GGCAAAGCAGAAATCGGGTCGTAAAGCTAATAATAGCCACATAAGTAATCTAGTTCGACTTTAATATTCAGTAATATCGATATTAATTCCATTAGGTACTGTAGGTTCGGCTATTGGAGTGGTAATGGGCATATAACCTTCCATTTGATACCTTAGGAGCATATTCATAAGATATTGATTTTGGTATAAAAACACCGAACCGTCCCGCAAATGTACGATTTCCATATCCAGAAGTGTTTTGATTTCTTCTATATTGGTCATATCAAACTTCTAATATAATTGAGCTTTGATTCTGTTAATATAGTTTATGTTTTTTCCTATAATAATCATATCGTCTACGTAAATAGCGATTAGAATTAGTAGCTAATTAACCTCGTATTTCCGGTGGATATAGAGTACTGGATTACTAAGTAATTACTGGAACCTAATAGAGTGGAAAAAACAATTAATTACCTGATACTAAACCCTAGGGGCTTGTTTCAGGCCATAAATACTCTTCCGTAAGCAGCAAATAAGGTTCGTTTCTTCGGTAAAACCAGGAGGTTATTCCATATAGTACTCTTCTTCCAATTCTCCATATAGGAATACTGTCTGAATATCTATTTATTAGATATATAGCCCATATTTAGCCGCTAGGGCTAATATAATTCGAATAGTAGAAAGTCTAGTAACTGGTACGAATATTTCAAAGTAATCTATACCATATTCTTGTATATAGCCTTATACTATAAGCCTAGATTTGTAGTATCTATCAGACTTGATTTTGAAGATCCAGCGGCATCCGATGGTTTTTTGGTATTTTCGTACTACTAGATCCCAGGTATAGTTCTGCAAATGGGAGTCCAGTTCCTTCTTAATCGAAGGTCTCCAAAGATAGGCATCTGGACCAGAGAGAGCTTCTTTAATTAATAATGGAATTTTGGAAGCTTCTGTATTCTGGTTACTGACTATTAAAGCTCGGTAATCCACTGTTTCCCCGGCAATTCTAGTCGATTTCGGATGTCTAGGGAGTAGTTTACCCCTAAAACTGACCATTTTGGGCGCCTCCTGATTTATAGAACCCTATTCAGAAGCACCTATAGGTACTACAGGTTCTTGGTTATTCTCAAATAGGGGCTCAGGGGGCTCGCTTAGGTCAGGAGCACCCCTAATTGCATTACGTAATGCGTTTTCAGTAGTACCCCCTTCGGTATCGGAGTGATTTTCTCTATCGTTTTCTGATAGATCGTTAAGCTATTAATTTCCAGTATCGATAATAATAGTATCTCTGTAATCTATATCGGGATTATCCGAATTATTGGTAGAACCATTATTAGATTCTATAGTAGTTCCTACTAGTCTTCTGTATAGCTGGGATACTGGGTTTAGGAGTAAAACTCCCTTAACGTATTCTTTAATAGTATAATAGTTAGAAATAACGAATATCCGCTTATACGGGTTCCAAATTCGGTATCCAGAACCACTATAGCCGGTAAAAATGCCCCTAAAGGCTTTGGCCATATGCTTATACCATAAAGCTGTTTCCTTAGATATATAAACATATACTAAGGAGCCGAATATATATAAGTTGGAAACGTCCGGTTTAGCCCCATAAAATACTTTATACGGAGTCATACCGATTTTGGGCAGATAGTACCGATTATAGGCGTAAATCCCATATATAGCGGCTTCCTCCCAAAACTCGTATAGTAAGTCCGATTATTCTAGCTCCGTATACTCTGATTCGATAATCGTACGTATACTGCATTCAGAAATACTATTCTGCTCAGGCATATAAGTGGTAGTTAGTTCCAAGCGAATACCCTTTAATTTATACTATTCCTTGATTTGGCCCGATACAAATTCCGGAGTATTATTAAGACATAGGCATTTGACTTTATTTCCAGTTTAGGTTTCAGAAAAGGTAACCTGATTTTGGAGATCGGTAAAATAGCTCTTTCTGTCCGAATTATATACTGCCATACAATATTTGGATCCCTTACAGGTAGTAGACAGTATATAAGTATTTCTACTAAGGGAGGCTACCCTTAATAGCCTCTATATATCGATTGCAATATACTCTCCTGGAAGCAGTTTTTCAGGATATAAATCGCTTATACTAGCCCTAGTGATTTTGCTTATATTACAGGGATCGCAGTCAAACGGGTTTTAATTTTTGAATTGGAGTCTATTAATATGGTTTACCGATTCCAGAATATACTTCGTATTCAGGTGGCCATATCTCTGGTACCAGGTTTCCAGGGAGGCTAGTATATCCGATTTTGACGATTTTAGGGTATACCCTGAACCAAATTGGTCAAGCTAATATAACCCAGTAGATAGTTTATATATACCAGTTACTATAGTCGTTCCGTTATTAATAATATGGGCTTTCCCAGTGGAAAAATTAATGCTTCCTCTAGCTTGGGTAATTTTGGGAATCGATAATAATAATATATTTCGGAATTGGGGGCTATATAGTATATTATTTAGCTGTACTTTTAGCTCAGGAGTAGTAGATAGAATAATGGTTCCCTTATCCTTAATAAGAATCGTAGATTCGTTACCAAGGGTAATAGGGAATGGTTCTACATTTTCGTAGGTAATAAAGGAGCTTTTACTCCCCGTAAAATAATCCGTAGTACCCGAATTAATATACCAGATATTCGCAAAATTATTATTATATAATTAGCTACTGAGTAGGGCACTGAATATCGATTTTCTAGTAGTTGATTTTTTAGTAGTATAGGCCTTTTTATAGATAGTTAATAGAGCTAATAGAGCTAATAGCGCCTCCTGATTAGTGGAATTAGAGTCCTTTCTATTGGAATTAAAGTAATCCTGGGCCAATTTATATATAGTATAATCTTTAATATTATATCCTTTGAATTTGTAGAATATATAATAGGTATTTGGATCTCTTTCACGCTTCGGCTTATTATTTAACTGATTTTCACTACCCCCTTGGACAGCTAGTACCTTTAGAGTAGTATCTGGGTTAAAAGCGGGAGGTTTAGCCCTGAGCTTTTCCTCCTTGGTAGAAGCGTCCGCTTTAAGTAATTCCAGCTTCAATTTATTAATATTAGCTCTGATGGAATTCAGGAGGGGCTTGTATAAGTCGTATTCCTTTGGGAGGCTACGAATCAGGTATCCGGATATAGAAACGTCCGAAATCGATCCATTTACCCCCTTGATTTTAGCTACTTTGTAACTAATACGGTTAATAAAGTCATCCATTCCCATAGTAGTATTAAACGTAATAGTTTCCATTTATTAAAGGTATAGGGCTTCCTTTTGAGCTTTTAGCTATCTAGCTTTAGCTTGAATCTGGCTCCAAATTTGGTATACGAGCTTGATTTCCTTGAATTATTGCCAGGTATTATAGGTAATAAGTAAACTTAGTACCGCTCTGGCGATTGCAAATTGACGAGTAATCGATTTATCGTCCTTTGGGCCTGCTTCTATAAGAGCAGGAGCTTGATCAGGATCGACAAATTGCCATAGATCTTCGACGATAAAGAGGTTCATAGCATCGTCTATCCAGGAGTAGATATTATCGTCCGAGAGAGGCTCAATTTTCGTACCTTTATAGGTAATATGGATTGATTTTTTGGAATCCGGCATATTGGATTTTGCGGAGAATTTCTGGCCGAAAATGGCTGTGTTTTTGGCGAATTCTGCTGATGCGAAGCCGAACTGATAGGTGAAATTCACCAAAATTGACGATTTTGATGATTTTTGGAAATGGTTTTGGAATGGACAAGCGAGTACTAAGGTCAAGTAACGCTTGGATCGCTTAGTAAAGCACTAGCCGGGCTCAGAACCTATTGGAAAGTAATCGATTTATTAATGGAAAATCGATATATTGGAGGTTGACAATCTGTAGAATGACTAGATACAGGAGAGTAAAGTATAAAAACAGAGGAAAAGTGTCTAAAGTAAGGGATTTATTCCCATTACCCTTCGGCGATACCGGTGATGCCGAGCCCGCTTTCTCCGATACATTATCAATCAGCTGATAAATCAAAAGTAATCAAAATGACGATATACTAGTAAGCTTGGTAAGCTCAGCGAGTGACGCATGACAAATGAGAGTGGAGAACCCTAAATTAGTGGTTGAACCTGGTGCTGGAAGGACTGGTGAGCTAGCTATGGTAGCGTACCAATTTCAACAGTAATAGCTGAGACGGCCCTATACTGATATCAGTGCGCGAAAGATGTAGAAACAGAACAGAACCAATAACCCACCTCTACTGCTTAATATTATCTATACGTTTCGGCTACTAATAGTACTAGACTATAATATTCTAGCTCTTATTCTTCTGGGATTTATGGTTAGTATTAAGTTGTAGGCCTCTTAAATTATTTAGGGTTATAAGAACCTCTTAAAATTAGAGACTAGGAGGTAGTTATCATAAAGGACTAGTCTACTCTATAGGCTCTAGTAGTTTTATTAGCTCTCTCCATAAGTATAGTAGTTCTTAAGGTCTAAAGATAAGTAGCTCTTAATTAAGAATTTATTAATTAGTAAGAGTTCTATTTCTTTGTCCTTTTTCGCCACGGCTCAAGCCCTGCAGATCGAATCTCTCCCTATTCTCTGGGATTCAGCACGTGGTGTTATAGGCACTGGCCGAGCTTCAAGCATAAACCAGGCTCTCATAAACCTAGACAATAACTTTGCCCTCAGGGACTATCACAAGCGAAACAAGACCGAGGAGCAGGTGCTCCCGAACTCTCATCAATGAGGTCACGGTGTTGAATTAGACGTTCGTATGCGAGCGCGCGAACCTTGCCCGGCTGCGGGGAATCTGCTGGAATATCTCTGCCGACGTCGACAAGCCATAGCCCCGCCCTAGACTCCTAGGCTTTGAAAAATCGCACTTCAGAGCCTTGCACTACTTCGAAAGTCATGGAGGGAGAGACATGAAACTGGATGACCGACTCAGACTTCGCTTAAATGTTGGAAAAGCGATCATGGATATGCACTCTAACCGTAAGTAAGATAGCACTCAGATGCTGGCCCTCAGTCAACATAATCCATTAAGAGAGCAAGTATTGCATACTAGTTAAGAAAACCCTAAAGATTATATTAAGGAAGACAAAGCATACTATAGACAGGGAGCTATATAAGCGAAATCTCTTCTGTACTTAAGTCGCGGCATTTCCACATTTTCACTGCTTCTCCCCTCATCATTCCGTGGAGATATACCTCACCTAACAGTAGGAAAGTCGACTCTTCGGGGCTGCCTGAACGTGCAAGTGCAAAAGGTAGCCGAGCGCCAAAGACCGTCGCGCAAATGTGGCCTTTCTTTAACGCAGCTGGCCCGATGCCAAACCGGCCTTGCTTTGTGACGAAAAATTTGCGTCCGTGGCAGAAGCGACCCGCGGCTGTGGAGTAATGATGTGCAACGCCCTCTTGTGAAGCTTCCGATGAGCGACTTGTGCATAGGGACACAAGGTGCTTACCACATCTCTCTATCACGAAAGCATCGAAATCTGCCCGATGCTGTGTAATATCATCTTCGGCGGCGCAGTCAAGATCTAGCAGACCTGCGCAGAGTGCCTGGCTAAAGGCGTCAATGTTTTCAGTGTCGAGGTTGGTGTCTTTCAAAATGGTGGCCTGGAGCATATCAAGCAGGTTCAGCGAGTCGATATTATGCCCCCCGCTTCGCGTGTACTTCTCAAGGTCTTCCTCGTCCATAACTTCAGATACATCTTCAACAATATCGATCAATATCACTCGAACGTTTAAGCGCGCTTCGGTGACTTTCTTTGTATCACCAGGGATAATGACGTCTGCCTTGTATTCAGCACCGGTCTCTCTGTGAAGATCGGCATCGAAAGGTCGTTCGACCGTGTCCGCCAGTGAGCCAACAATGACAACCTCGCTCGATTGGTCCCATCGTTCGACCCACGAAGGCATGGAGCCATCCAAGGTCTTCTCCGAATGTCGCACTGCGGAAAGTGCGGCCAATGAGTCTTGTTGCGAGAGACGATCTATTGTAAGCTTCGTAAACATCTCCTCCTTTGACACGTCGTAATCTGGCTCGACCATTGTCTTCTTTTCTCTACCCCGCTTCGCCGCCGGATGACCGAGAAAGGCGTACACACGGTCTCTAGGATCAGTAGCTCCTAGCCAGGAGCCCGCCAGGAGGATATTGAAGAAACTACTCTCAGAGAAGTCCCTGCCAGGCTGAGCAATGTGACGAAGCTCTTCTCTCCAGGAACGCGCGTTATCATAGCTCCTCCAGATCAGGTTGAATGCGTCGATTATCAAGCCGATTGGCAAAGTAAACGGGACGCTGTTCAGGTCGAGCCGCCGATCTACAGTGAGGACAAATTGAATAATCTCGCTGAAAGGAATCGAGGTAGGGCCATAGAGCACTGTAGCACTCGCAGCTACGCCGACTTCTTGGATTACCCAGACGCGAGTGAACCATTGTTTATCCAGCAAATGGAACATTGCGTGCCATCTGCTCTCGTCAAGCAATGTGTTTGACTCTTCGATGTCCGGAATATCTTCTTGGCTTCCACTTTGAGCCACGGCATTATCAAAATACTGATTGATTTCTAAAATGGTGTCGACGGCAACCTGGGCATCGCCCTGGTCGTCGTTTCCAAGCCATACCAATACCTCTTGAGCTTGTTCATATATTTCACTCATAAGAGTAACCTGGTGCGCACGCTCAGCATTGTTGGTTTGATCGATGCAAATTGCGTCGGCCCAGACAACCCTCTCGGCTGTCTCGTGCCGGATGCGTTTGAGGGCATCTCGAAGATTGTAAGTAATACCGAAATTGTGACCACTGCAAATGATTGCCGCTTTCTTTGTCGCGTCGCCCCAAACGTAAGAGATAGCGCTGTATTTCGAATTGCTGTGGATATCGGCAGAGAAAAGTTCACAAGACAGTGTATCGTCGTCGCGTCCGGGTAACAAACGGAGCAGCCTGATCCACTTCCCGCTATTCAGAATATCATATCGGTAAATTTGAGATCCACCTGCCCCTGAAAGCGAGGCCATAATATTCCTGTTAGCCAGGGAAATAGACTCGATTACAGAGTAAATCTAGGAGTTATGGGTACTCTGGAAGGAGGGGCTTTTAGTGGGGAGGGGGGGTTATGCATTGAAAAAGAGGGGTAAACCGTGGTAGTTTCTAGAAGTGACTTTGAAGATATCTTTTTGGGTGCCACACCCGTGGCTAGTACGCTAGCAATGTCTCACCGGTCGCGGGGAAATCTACCGGTAATGCAATCATTTTCCAACCGACAATTCCAACGATCCTAGGAGTTAACATTCTTAATAGTACTACCAGGATAGGACTTACGTAGAGGGTAACTAAGGATTTAAGCTACTAGGGAGTAGTGAGTAAAGGTGAGGTGGTAGAGACCACGTGTAAAGAGTAGGTGAGGCGAGGGTGAGAAAAGCGGCGAGTGGTCGTGTAACGGTCGCTTAGCGAGCACGCAGAACGAGGTGATTATTCTGGTTAAACAACAGGAAAGGTTGCCGATTTGAACATCGCGTCTTAAATAGCGAAAGTAATAAGCGAGGCATGGGGAGTATATAGAGATATGTCAATAGGAACGAGGTCTTCTAGAGGGAGAGGTCTGTATTTATCACTTCGTCCGCTGAGACATTGCCAGGCGCTAGCAAGGGGCCTGGCTCAGGGCGAAAAGGGATAAATGGCTAATAAGTTTATATAAGCAAAAGTACGCCCGTACAGTCTGAGCCAGGCCCCCTTACTAGCGCCTGGCAATGTCTCAGCGGACGGAGGGATAGGAAATCAGGAAGTCGTAAACGGCGGAATCGGAAATAGTATACGAAGGCCGGGGTTATAAGTCTGGGTAACACCGGGTCTACCTGCCCGAAGGCCCCTGTAACGGCGGGATTAATGCAATAATTAATGGCTCAAAGTTTAAAAAATCTCATATATTAAAAATACTAAGCTAGAGAGTAAGTAGCCATCGTGCTAATTCTAGGAGTGTTAAAGCTTATTCCTACTAATACCGGTACCTTAATAGGCTATGGGCACGCCGTGTGCGGAGCACATTCACATGCAAAGCATATTTATATTTAAAGCATATTAATATTTGGAGTGTATTTACTTACAAAAGCGCCTTTATGTTTAAAGCATATATATAGAGCGCATTTATATATAAAGCGTCTTTTTATATGCGAAGCGCATTTACGTGCCCGAACGCTGCCTCGCTTCACAAGAGCCAACCCTATCCTTTTGCCAGACTTCCATTCGATATCGGATATCTAATCTGGATGGAGTCTGTGGGCCCAATCATGCACATTGTACCACTCGACAAGTTTGAAAAGGTTCATAGAGCGTGCAAACCACAAGAAACCATCAGAAAGTGTCAAGCATGCAGGCTCATACTTCCAGGTCGGGCCATCCTAGGTAAGTGATGTTCAACTTTCTATCATAAAATCAGGCTGACAAGATACAGTCACAGCAGAATACAGGCCAGAGGTAACCGAGCTCTTATTCTGCCATGAGGGTCCAGAATACGCAAGACCTTCAGGAGAATAAGAGGATCAAGAACATACTAGAGAATGTGGGAGATGACGAGGTGCTTTTCATTCTGGACTTGATGAAGCTTAATGGCCTCGGGTGGCATAGACTTAGATTGCTCTCTTCATTTGTTCTGGGGAATATTCGAAGTCTGGCCTTCTACGCCTCAGCAAACACTCTCGACAATTGCAAGCTTTGCTACACGTGCAAAGATAATAATCACATATTGAAGGTTGAGCATTTAGCGACACAACTTCGAGAGACTTTACCACATTTGGAGAACATCTATCTCGTTCTAGGGGTGGAGAGGAAATTTGGATCAACACCTCCTGGTACGACAGCTTGGAGACTCATTCCTAGTTGCAATCGAGCACGACGGCAGGGCTCTTGTGAAGGTAGATACGCATTTATGCGCTCATATGCTGAAGGACATCGTGTGAAGCGCGAACTTGTCAAACACTTACGATATGTGAGACGAGAGCATCATGAAAAGTATTGCGAAGCCGGAAATGGAACATCAACTCAATCCGATGTTGCGCCCGCAATGGCTTCTGTCCTTGGGAACACCGCTAGGAAGTCGAAGTCGAAGCCAAGGTTGACATCAAGATCGTGGAATGGGGGGTTGAGGAGAAAGTAAAAGTGACAATGGTACGAGGATATGAATGGACGTAATTGGGGGCGGTTACCAGATGCTCAAAATTTCGCCAGAGGTCCTTCAGTGGTGAAAACGTCACGGTACTCAACAAGATAGTCCCTTCAGTGAGGGTGAGCACAATTGAAATCCAAAGTTTTCCCCTATGTATTGTACCACGAACCACTTCCATTGAAAGACATCTTGTACGGAGATCGCGGCATAAAGTATCGGGAATACAGGGCATTTGTGCTGAAAGTCCACTATAGAGCTCATTTCTGGCACACTCAACCGCTATAAGCCTCTATATTTCTAGGCTATTACCCTGAAAATGCCCTATAAGCAGTCAACAAGGGGTGGCACACCTTTAAAGCCTTCTCCCCTGTCGTTACAGCGGCTACCTCGCTAAAGAGCCCTATAATTGCCCTCCTTACAGCGTCCGAGCGCTATAGTTGCTCTGCCAGCAGCGCTAACACCCCTTGTTGTGACGTCAGCGTCACATGACTTGGCCCTAGCGTGGCACCCTGTACTTAGCTCGAGCTCCCCGCTCCTCTCTTCTCTCTTTAGACGTTACATACACACCCAAAAAGAGCTGTTTACCAGACCAGGTCTTCAGCCCAGGGAAGTGATACCCCTGAAGATCTTCCACAACCTTGCGAATGTCTCACAGCGTGCTTTCAGGGCGTATAGCCTAGAGTTACAGGGTCTTATAGCGGGCTCAGCCCCTACTATTGCACGCTATAGTGGGTTTAGAGTCCCAATGCGCTGTATTCCCGATACTTTATGCCGCGATCTCCGTAGAGCAGGGCTTTACATGAACCATTATTTCTATGTCTACAACAACCTTACTTTATACGAATTGCAAAGTGTGGTTATTTTTGAAAACGCTATTAGACGGTCCCGGACGGCCGGAGATTCCTCATCGTGATTGATATGTCCCTCACCACATCTCGTGTTCCTTGGGATGAAATTGATTCCGAGGGTTCACGCGGTTCCGAACGCTTCCTTTTTCGATTTCTCTTGAGCATGCCTTGCTGTATATCTCCCAATGAAGCTTGCCTATTGGTATCTCTAGCTACCATGAACTCCGCAGCTTCAAAGTCAGATCTTCCAATGTTGGTCAGCCAGTTGATATCATTTGGTACTTGCCATCGCACGATCTGAATATTGAAAGCTTCTCGGTTGTACTTGCTCGAAGCATACGCTCCGAGCCTTCCCAAAAGTGTTCTCCTTTTTTCACATGCTCTCTTGTACGCTTGGTAAATGTCATGGTCCCAAGACAGACTACTAAATTCAGCATCGCAGCATCCAATACCACGAGTAGATTTAACGAAGACCGAAGTGGAACGAGTGCTTGCCCGTTGAAAAGCGGGATCTGCGACAATAAAGAGTTTCCTAAGATCTTTAATCTTGTTCAAATGTTCAAGGTTTGTTGTGCTGAACGTGCAATCGAAAGCAATTCTCGATAAGCGTATTGGAAAGATTGTCTCCTTGGAAAAGTCGAGAGGTTCGGACAGCGTGCCTGGGACTTTTAGATGGGCTCGCTCAAGACCACAGAGAAACCGCCAAGTTGGAACGTTCATATAAAATAATAAATCGCTATTTACCATCAAATTTTTAGTACGTAGAGTTGACAGGGTAATTTCTCGAGCTTCTTGGTTGGCAAAAGCCGTTTTAAAAGACCAAACTACAGAAACTTAGCAGCTGAGGCAATGGAGAGGGAAACGGAAAGGACATACAGTTGGTGGCCTTTAAATGAGCCGTGCGGTGGTCATGTTTAGGCCAAATAAAGCCCACCTTGACTTCGACAACTTTTTCATCCAGGACTGATGTTTGCCAAATGAGCCGACGGCAATCCTCATTCAGCTCTGGGAATTTGTAGAATGTGGTGAGAGCTATTTGTCTAGATGCAGGCGTAATAATTTGATCAATTGTCAAAAAGCCATTCTGCAAGGAGGTCGTTGCTTTTGTAGTTCTAGCGTCCATTGCGTGGAGAACCTCGGAGGAAAAGTTCTGATTTTACAAATTGTGAGATGGAAGCAAAATTGAATCCTGGAATGTCTAAGTAGTTGAGGATGCCGAAGAGAGAAAGTAGAAAGGGATCTCTTGAAAAGCAAGTCCCTAGTTGGGGTATTAAATTATGGACTGGTTCAAACAAGTAAAGCATGAAGGACGGCAAAACCAGTCGGCTTCAGAATCACGTGATCCCCCTTTTTTGCTCGCTTAGCTGCAATTTCCTTTCTTCAGATTCAGTCCCTGTAGGTCTCTTAGCAGCCGAGTCCAACATTACTATCAGACGTCCGTATCGACCAACGTATGTCCCGATATTCATTTTGCGCTGATCTCTAGAATGAAATCTTGCTGTGATCGCAGAGTTCCTATGCCTGCGGCCCGGACCATGGGTACTAAATAAGCGCCGTCTGTTTCTATGCTCAAAAGCAACAGAGCCGGAACGCTATCATGACTTAGGTTCCAATTCGGCATTGTTGTGAAATCCATAGAATACAAACATGCGGGTACCGGTTCAAATCGAGATGGCAGGTATAAACTCGAGGGCAAGAGCCTCTCAAGCCGCTCCCCCCCCTCACAATTCATGATCTGCAACGTCACCGCAAACCTCAAATTTTCACACAATTCTCATTCAACGTAAAGGGTCAGTGAATCGAAACCGCACACCTTCTTCAAATCAAGGCTCCTTTGAGCTTCGAGCCACAATGGAGATTTCAACTTCAAGCTCACCCTCTCGCAAGCCCTTCTTCCTTGACGAACCAAGACTCAACGTCAATCCATCACATTCTCCAGAACTAGCAGCCACTATCGAGCGGTGCAACGACCTTGGAATGCTCATGGATCCTACAAGAGCCACATTGTTCAACTTCATGCCTCCCGAGGTCCACGTCAAGATCTGGAAGGATGCTTTCACAGAGTGGTCAAAGACCCAACGAAGAGTTCGAATTGTTATTCCTGCCAGCCCACTGGTGTCCGATAGAGTGATCTGCGACACACTCGATAACATACCGTACGCGCATCCCAATTCGCTCTCAGATGGGAGCGGCTTCGCCAGCGAAATTTGCCCTCTTCTCAATTCCAGCTTTGAAGCACGAGAAATGGTAATGAACGCATTCGCTGGCTCGCTCGACGTATGTACATGCTACCAGTACCAATGTTATCAATGTCAAAATTTGGATGTACACATGGTACCGGGTGCTCAAATTTGCTACTGCAAGATGTGGTGCGATGATAGATGTCGAGGCAAGTCGTACTTCACTCGCGACCAAATCTTTTACATACCAGGTTTTGCCGCAATTTCCCAGCAAATCGGACGCATCCTGAGTGAGGGCATTGTGAGGCTATTTCACGACATCCACCCTCTCGCTTGGGCATCAAAACTCCAAAATGTGGCCCTCGACGCTCACCACTTAGCGGGCCAGCCAGGGGACTTTATCAAAGACACTCTATCCAAGTTCACCAGCCTAAGGAAATTGTATATTGTTTGGCGCTTTGATCCAATCGACTTTGTCAGTCAGAGTTTCATTACTCAGTATGCCAGCGAGGATAACGACAACAAGAAATTCATCACCCCTGGTGCTCAGCTCGACTGTTTAAGACAAAATTTCTTCGAATCCCCCGAGCTATGGTTAAATCAGCTTCCTGGAGTGGAGACAGAATTTATATTTGTGCCGGTTGACCTTTCGGGAGGGGATGCCTTGAGTGAAAAGAAGGTGAACAGATCTGTGCTGACTTTGGAGGACTACTTCACACCTGGAAGCCATGCCCGGAAGATCGCCGAGAGGTCAGAATCCTCACTTACGAAATCAATTTACTCCGGTGCCGGGAATAAGAGTGAGATAAAGTCTTGCAGAAAACGGGGAAACATATAATATTGGTGCAGCGGAAAACGGCAGCATTCTGGTCCCGAAGTTAGAGGTGCAGAACCATCTACAATCCCTGATGAGATGAGCGAACTGGAATTGTGGAATGGACCCGGGACACGAGAATCGTCTTACGTCTTGGAGGGGCTTTTTGAGGAGTCCGAAAGGAGACAAGTAGAAGGATACAAGCTCTGGGCAAATATACTATCTCGCAAACATAAACAGAATCAGGCAATAGTACAAAGTCAGTTGTACTGTACGGTATCAGCTTGGAGCAATTGAACCACGAGTTCCAATTTTCTCAAGTTGGATGTTGCTTTCCCGCAGAAAAGTGCAGCTTTATTCTCTTTTAGCAATGTCCCAATTCATGTAGGTACGTTGCCAAATCCCCAGCCCAAGCAGCAAATCTCCAATCTATGTAGATGCGCCGTCCTCTTCATACTCATGAATCTGATCCTCCAAGTAATTCTCCCCAAGGGGGAAGAAGTGCATCTTTACTCCCTCACCAACTCCCTCCTTAAAAACCGTACCATTGACTTTCTGCAAATCTGCACCCGCTCTATTAACCTCCTTCCCCAACTCCACTTGCCCAAAACAACTGCATCGGTCCAAGCAGTATCCTTGTTAAACCTCGCACTTGGTACCTCGAAAAGCTGCTCCTCGATGTCCACGATGCTTTCCGCAAAATCAATGGCAATCTGTTCCCCTAGCAGTCCAAGCGTGGTCTCCTTATCCGCCTCTTCTTCGAAGACGACTCGCCTGATGTTCTCAAAGCCCCTGAAGAAGACCATCTTGGGGCGGCGGCGTTGGCGAAGTTGATTGAGGTTGAATCGAGTTCGGCGAGGAATGGCAATGGTGTCGATGTCCGCATTGAACCAGATGTTTCCGCGTCCAGTTTTCTTAAAAAGTCGGACGAAATTGAGCTTAGCCTTCAGATAAATAGCACGGCTCTCCTTGCAAGCACCGAGTTGTCCAGATCGGATGAATTGAGTCTCGTCTAGACGAGAGACATAGGTTCCGCCCAAAGTGATGGGAATTCCGAATACTTTGTACTTTATGCTGAATTGTCGTCGACTAATTTGTCCGTCGACTTTCTTCTTTTTGTTCGTACCCTTTTCTGAGATAATGGGAAGAATGACCTCGACGCTTATGATTTCAGCAGGCGAGGAGGAGAACTTCCAGATGATGGTCCTTGTCTGGAACAGTACAGGTGCTCTTCGTGTGACCCTTCCGTCCGCATTGGAAACACTCTGACATGTCAGGGGCCTGAAGCTCGACATAGACTCCTTGAGTCTTAGCCATCTCAACTAACGACTTGATGTTCTTGACGTGGGACTTGTACATCTCGAATTCGCTATTGAGATTGTAGCTCTTCCAGTACAAAGCGCCTTCTGGAATGATGATTGCAAGGCCCTCACGGTGTCTAGTAATCTCTACGAGGAAACGACAAGGCTCCGTGCCGAACTCTGTCAGATGATGGGCGTTTGGCAATGTCAAGGACACGCCGTTTCTGCCTATGCCTTGGACGACCTCGGAAACAAGGGAGTCGCAGTTCTTCAGGCCAGAGTGGTTGATCTCCGTCTGGATCATAGTAGCTTCTGCCTTGTAAGGAGAGATGGATGCAAAGGACATGTTCTTGTCGGCGTCGCATTTGTCTGATGCAAGCATGCGCTTGGCCTTCTTCTCCCTTACTTCGCGTGGAAGCTTGAGGAATACTGTGAGATGAGATGGGTTGTATCGATAATCAAACGGAAGACTCATGTGCTGAGCCCAGGTGGAGTTAGGACGGTTTGGTGGGCATGGTGACGTGGGTGGGTGGTTGTCAACGCCATACTAGACATGGCGAGGGCGAGGGCGAGGGCGAGGGGAGAGTTGGAAGCCATTGTACTGGCGATCTGATACAATAGGTGCAGTTATTTTGGTAGAAATTTCCAAGGTAATGCGGTACAGTGTTATTATAGTGTTACAGAAGAGAATTAGGACCGGGAGGGGAGGATGTCGTTGTTTTTGGAAGATTGAAATCGAAATACGACAGCAACCGTTCACTTTAAATTCTATGTTGTGCAATAGAAAGAGCACGGCCCATCTTCTTGTTGTGATCTGGTATTCACAAAGTCCGATCTATTGTTTGTTCGCTTGAACGGTGAACGACAGCCGTTCACTTTCAATAACCGTTAGCGTTGGAAAGGGGGAGTGAAAATTATTTAACAATTGTGCAGATTCGACATTTGGATGGACTGCTATTGATCTCTATGGGCTTGATTAGCTTTAGATCTTGAAGTTTTTGCTTTGGGGTCAATGTTCCAGGCGATTTTAGAATACCTGGAAGCCAGAGGTCCTTACCCCCTTTCACCAAGAAATTGTCAGATATATTTTTTATATACATTGTACTCAGCTACCTTAGAATTTAGCGACCGTGAGTTAAGTACTTCTTAGAGAGCCAGCAAGCTCCGATGCTTGTCACTACTCTGTCAGATTGAAGTGTTTCAGTCCGCTTGCACTGATGCTCTGCCATGTCTCACTTCTTATGCTCATCAAGCTTGGTTGTATAACTTCAACTTCAACAAAGAAAGAGAAGAACAGATCTCAGGTCTCATCGCACTAGGGAAAACTCGAGATTTCAAAGTACTCGGATTGATTAGTACTTTGAAGTTACCTCACATAGGGCACAAGTCTTCTCATTGCTCCATTTTTTTTCCTTCTATACGTACACCCAATCTCTCCATCCGCTCAACATTTATGCCAAGTCCTTTGCTGTCAGGGGGAGACGGAGGATCTTAGCTTCAACACTAATGTAGCCTCCATTAACTCGTCCCAAGGCTCCTGAATTTCGGATGGCCCGTGGTCGCATCTCTCCCATCAACCTGTTTTCCTCCAAAAGCTTAGCCCGTCTCCATCCAAAATCCTTCTTATACTCCGTCCCATTCTCAATCCAACCCATCTCAATCCTCGTTGTTCTCATCTTAAAGTCCTCCACGACCTCTTCGGATAAATCCTCGATCCTATCACTGTCTGGAGTTGGGTCGAAAGCAATCTTCTCTGCTTTGTCAAGTCCTGAGAGGAAAGGGAGGGGACGTCTCAAACGTTGGCGCAGATGATGGGAGAAAAGAGAGGAGAAGTCATCGAAGTGGAGGACGTCAACCGATGGGTTGAAAAAGACTTTGTTGTCAGGGCCATAGCCGAGCAGTTGGATTTCGTGCGATCTGAACTTTTTGTACGCAGCACGAGATTCATTCGTGGCACTCCGAAGGCTGGAGTGAGGGGTATTGTAGCCGTGGAGGTTGATAGGACCCGAGGTTGCCTCGTACTTGAAGTGGAATTGGGTTCGTGCGGTGAGGTTCTTCTTTTGCTTGGCTTTCGACGGAGATTCCTTAACAAGTCTTCGGATCTTGACCTAGTCATATTAAGGTTGCTAAGTCGAATTCAAATATGCCACAATATTATGCAAGACGAGGAGAGTATACATACCGTGAAGACTTCTGGCTCCATCGCTGCGAAAGTCCAGACCATGTTGCGGATCTCAGGTGGAAACTTTGGGAACCGGGTCATAATAGGCAGGATCTCTTGCTCGTTGTCCAAGGACAGCAAAAATAAAGAAAGACTGCCCATGGCTATTGTAAGAAGCTGAATGTACTTGTTGATATGGTACAGTATTGTGTTAGACGTTGATAACGAATTCGATGTCTGCTGTTATTCTGGGAAGGATTGGCCTGGGGAAAGGATTGCGTAGATAGTATCTGGAGCAAGAGTGACCCGAGCGCTTAGCGTTATTTCTTCTTCGAATTTACAGAACTGCTATGTCCCTGTTCGAATGAACGATGCCCGCTCACTTTTGTTAGCGTAAAAAATGGGATGTTGGGATGTAGGCCATGTTTGCTCATCCACAACCATTGTAATACTAAATTAATAAGCTCTGGATAAGAAAACCGTTTGATTTCTGCTTCAATAAAAGCTGGCTTTATCTCGAGTTTCGATGGGGTTCTGATTATTCCAACTTTGAAGGGACAGTTTGAACAGGAAGTGTCGGACACCCAATTGCGATTTGACGAGATGTAGTTATATACAAGGCTCTCAGCCGATTTCGAACATTGGTATACTAATTTTAGGCAACTTGAAATGGTAAATTAGTATCTAACGTGTTCTATTGCCGTGTAACGTTGAAGTGATGGGGCACTACATTGGTTTTTATCACGTGACATTGTTTGCTCATACCTTGGAAGTCGTGTGTTCATGATGTTTATTCCTGCTGTCTGCAAATATGATACCCTGATTGAGCGCACTGAGAAACCCACTTTTCTCGTTGTCTCAAGTCCATCTGCACATTGCCAAACCTCATCTCACTGTTCTGGTTGTGTATGTACTGAACGTTGTCCACTCCTCATGCACCTCCCTCCAGACATTGCTAAACCTCATCTCACTGTTCTGGATGTGCATGTACTAAACATTGCCCACCCCTTATGCATCTTCCTCCAAGTTCGGAAACCGCAGGATCTTCACACCCGACGCAAACTGAACCCCATTGACCTTTTTGCAGAGTCTCGCATCCAGGTTCAGACAGACATCAGCCCTGTCAACCTCATGAACCAACCTCTCATGCTCCTCCTGGACCTCCTCCTTCCAATCTGCGGTTTTCTCGTTCAGGAAGGTAATACCCTGCTCGATCTGCTTGATAGTTCTCAAGAAGGTGCCGACAATTGGTGGGAGGAGATTTCTGACCCGATTGTTATCAGTCTGCTTGTCAAATATGACCGTGCTGATGCTTGTGCCACCAGTGAGATAGTCGATCTGGGGTCGGAGCCTCTGGCGTCGTTGGTGCAGATTGAAGCGGGTGATATCGGGGAAGTAGATCTTATCAGTATCCGGGTTGAAGAATATCTTTTGCCCATTGTTGTGATTGAGGTAAGCTGGTTTGCTCTTGAGGTAGATGGAGCGAGTCAAATGGCTAGCAAATGCGAGACCGGAGCGTTGGTATTGATGACCGTCATTGCGAGTGAATTCAGTGCCGTCGGGATTGACAGAAACAGAGGTTGTTTTGTATGTGGACGTGAAACCTGCTTGAACAACGACTCCGCGAATTGTCTTGGAGCTTCTCGTCTTGTTCTGCTGGATGTGTCGTACAACGGTGACCTTGATTATCTCGGATTCGTCGCTGGCTTTGTGCAAGATCATCAGTTTGAGCTCTTCGGGAAACCCGTCGGGGATGGTGACTGGTCTGTTGTCGATGGAGAGCGAGGATAATGAGAAAGAAGCCATGGCTTCGGTGATTTGTATTGTTGTTCAAGAGATTGATAGCACAACTCGTTGCACAGCAGCTGTGCTGGACTTGAGCTGGTGTTGTTGAGGGAAGGTTCAGATCGAAGGGAAGATTGATTTCGACAATATAAATACTTGTTGTGGGCGCACGGACATCTCGATATTCACAATGTCGACGACGGTCATTCGCCTTTCTTAGCGTCGTTCACTTTTGCCTTTGACAAAGTCCGTCTTCGGTTGTTTCAAAGATATTGGGGATATTGAAGAGGGGTAGCCAAAGGAGAGAAGCTTCATTGTCCCTAAACGTAGGGGACATCTAACGGAAAAGGAGGTTGACAAGGGAGAGTTCAGTTTTCCGTGGTGCATTTAGAGGTAGAGGTGGGATGGAGAAGGGAGATGTTCACTGTTTTCAACTGAAGTGGCACATTTGGAGGAGGAGGTAGAGGAAAGAGTTTTGGCTCTTACTAGTGGTGCTTGAAAATATAGCTTTATAATTTTATCCTCTCAAAGGATTGAGAATGTGCCACTTGTACCTTAGACATTCGCTATCCAAGTTGGACAGGAAGCAAGTAGTGCAGCTTCCAGACCTCTGGTAAGGGCATTGAGGATGCACCCTGGACCTTGGGGCACTCTCCATTCAAGCCTCCCCGGAAAGCCAGCTGTATAGCTTCTGGACAGAGGCTGGCAGATCAGGCGTTATATAGACATTGGGGCCCCTTGGTTTGCATTGCCAAGCAACATTGGGTGCAGTCATTCCTAAAGAAAGCAAGCACGTGGAATGTCAAATTGCTATTTGCAAGCAAAGCAATGGTATTGTGTAGGCAGAGGCTTTTGGCTTGTCTTGCCAGCTATTACTTCTGTATCTATTTGGTGTACTTGCCAGTTATCTGAGCCGATACAGGTATTGAATTTACAAATATTGGTACTTGTAGGGTTGCGACATGATCGTGCATAGAATGCGGCATGGCTATTTGCTTGAGTTTCAAAGAAGTGACCAGATGAGCTATCCTAGAGCACTTTCGTCCACCTGGAAACAGCTGGGCAATATCCATTAAGACGAGAGTTTGATATTTGATGATGGGATGCCACACATCACTTGAAATTCAAGCAGTCAGAAAGACAGAAGTTTTCATGTATTGGCAATACTAGTTGGAGAGGTGGGCAAAGCAAGCGAAATGCAAGCACGTAACAGACAGATACAAACACAAACACAAAGGGAAACTGTATCCATTGTGCCAAAGAAATGTCCAAGCGAGCAATGCTCCTGGCGGGTAATAGGGGCGATCGGTCTTGCCTTCTCGGTGTTCACTACTGTCTCCATCGCTAGCAGCAACTTCTCGACACGAGTCCCGTTTCCTTGCTATAATTCCAAGACATTCAGTTCATTTAGCTATGAGTAGCCGCATCCTGATGCTGTCTTGGAAACCATTTTCTGAGGTCAAGTCCTTCATTATATCCAATAAGACTCTGACCAGGCTTTCTCAACCAAGCGGATGCCTTTTCTTCCTCCACCCAGCCATCAACCCAGAAGTGTGCAACAAGTGTTTTGCTCGACACCATCCAACAGGTTAATGTGTTCCTCATTTTCAACAATGTCCTCCCTTGGCTCTTCAACCAAACAGATGCTTGATCTTCCACCACCAAGTCTTCAACCGCGGAATATTGATCGGATACTGGTATTGCCCACAATCGCCCTCCTCGCACTTCAAGCCACATTTTCCATACGTTCTACAATAGCAATCATCCGCAGCCGGACAATTTACCGCCTCTTTCCCAAACAGGATGTGCCACATATATTCCAGGACTCTTCCACTGTAATAATCATGCATCTCGGTTTCCATCAACCATTTGCGTATATTTATATAGACATCTTTCTTATGTCTACGGATGGCGGAGGCAGTAACCGCAAACTGGGAGCAGCATGTTGCGGCTACGGCCTTGGGGATCGGGAGCGTTGAGAATAGGTGGCGAAGGGTCGAGGTATAGAGGTGATCGAAATCCGCGGTAGGGTTCGCGTGGAGGGGGTTCAGGTAGGGAGCCATTGTGAGGTTCACTGCTAAGGGGCAGCCTTGGAACCAGTGGCAGCGTAGGTTGACGTAGCCTTCTTCATCAACGTGCTTGAGTCGTAAGTTTTGGAGATTGTTCTTTGCGTCTGTGCATTCAATTAGCCAAGGAACAGATACTGAGTGGTATTTGGGGCAGACCGTATCGTGGATCGTCATTGTGCCATTGGTATCTACCTGCGTGCATGAATATCACCCTTGGGGCCAAGTGGTCGTACTGGTCGATTATGTGCCTGCAAAAGGTCAACGTCATCGCATCGGCAGACTTCACATCAATTCAGAATATACGTCAGATAAATCATGGCCTCATGCCCCTTATTCTTCGGCACAGGGTGCTTGGCATTTGGATTGTCGGCCTCATACTTCCACACATCCCAATATCCATTATCAATCCATCTCACGTCGTCCTTCTCGAGTGCAGCAACCACGACCTGGGCCACGGTCTTGCCATCACTAACCAAGCCGGGGCTCGTCCATGAGAGGTTATATGGATGTGAGGCTGGTCTCAGGAATGCGATCGTGAGGATTAGGCATACAGCTCTGAAGAGGTAAAGCCGCCAAGAGCGCGCCATTACCTAAGGGGGTCAGCGCCAAGTCGCGTCCACGAAGTCGCTGGCGAAGAACCATTCGGTATTGAGAATATTGTGCATTTCAGGTTTAGCATGACAGATGGTGTGATTTAAGATGTGAATACTGGGCCGCAATCAAGCTCTCGCGTCGCAATCAAAATTCCCAGTCCCGCCTTGTTTTGCAGAGATAAGAAACTCTGGACCCCAGTCCAGGGGCTTCTCACTTAGGGAATGATCAGCAGGGAGGGGAGTTTTCTCTCAACTAGATGCATGTTTACTTTCGTTATTAAACCTTTTTCTGCATTGGTCTGTTTGACTTTAAAAGCATTAAAAGGTTAGAACCTACACAAGGAAGCTGTTTGTTCTCGCAAGTTGCGGCTGGACTCGGGTTTTCATAGCCTTTAGTCAAGGCTCGGGCATGACGAGTCCCATTCCGTGCTCGCATGAATCTTCAATTGCAATTGCAAATTATCGATTTATTTGAATCGTACATTCATCGGCTAATCTCAATTTCTTTAATTTAAGAGACCGACATCGCAGTGATGTTTCAGACAGCCACGCTGCGGCTAAAGTGCCTTGCCCTGCCTCGTTTGTCCTGCCACTTCATGTCAATCTCTCCCCACGATCGCTCAAGGCAGCGAACTTTGGAGAAATTAAAGCAACGGATTTAATCTTGCTGCTGCTTCTACAGCCTTATAATCGTTGCCTTGAGCGCTCCCCTGTTCCTCAGTTGATGTTTCACACGAAGTAGTGAACTTCAGCCCCACTCCCGCGAGGCAGTTTCTGTGGTGATGATGTCCACACTCTGATATTCAATTCTATTTATTGGATAGGTTAATCTGTAACTTGATAAGTCTAAAAGTGGCTGATGTCGTACAAGTGACTAATAAGCTGTGGGTTCAATCAAGGCATAATATATGATTGGCAGTCAGCTCAAGGTTTCTTTGCTGTGTCGGCCCCTATGTATTCCGCCTTTACAATTCTTGTCAACATCTCGCAGTATTCTTGTTCCCAGTTCATCCAAGCTTTCTAATACTACCATGCCATATACCGTCATAGCCACAGTTGCAACAATGTCTACTGTTGGTACACGAAATGGCCAGGCAGCCTCACGGCGACGCAGGCAAGAATCCTCAGTAATGGACGCCGATGAAGATGGATTCTTCTATGTTTTTTTTAAAATGTTAGGGAAGCTATCGATATTTACAGGAGTTGGGCCGGGAAATAAAGTACATTCAAGTGAGCCAGGAGCTCAGGATATCGTGGAAGTGAGCTTCTGGCCGGGGCTTGAGACTGGATGAACTTTGTTGTCAAGATCCAACAAGCTTTGGTTTCAGATGAAGTATATTGCCAAGTGTCAACGGTTTCATTCCTCTACGCTCTCCAGTTCCAAACCCCGAGGTCAACAAACTCTGCATTCAATATTATGTTGGATGCTGCAAGAGTTTTGCTCTCGCTCGTCATGCCGCCAGACTTGTTGTCATGGGCTCGCATTGACTTCTTCTTGGCTTCCTTCAACTTGGTTGAAGACTTGCCAGATGCCACGACATTCTTAACGACAGTACCGCCAAAGTTCGTAGCAGCCTCCTTCTTGGCCTTGGGGGCGGCAACTTTCGGAAACTTGCAGATGAGTGTACCGACAAGTCCGCATTCTAGTTACCGGGTTGAAGTAGCTGGACTGCAATGTATCGGACGTCTTGGAAAACAAGGACGATTTTAAAGGTGCCGAGGTTGCGGATCATCGACCATCAAATGGACCAGAGGGATCACTATCGCATTTCATGTTCCTCCACCTCCCTTAACGCCGCAAATGTCACGCCCCTTCACCAGCAAGCACAATACTCTCCTCCCTTACAACACCCTCTCCAACCATTCTTTCGCGAACCGCCTTGTCCTGCACCATCCGCCTCGCAAGCCAAGAATCAAAGCTCTGACCCCACTCCTGCACTCCTTCTACATCCCCTTCCCACTCCGAACCTTGAAAGCCCCACCACGTAACTTTCGCGTTCCTCAATCCCTCCTTCTCCAGCAACCTCTTCGTAAACTCCCATTCTTTCCACTTCCTCCCCGTCTCAACCTCGCTCTCCTTTTCTTCTGTTCCTTCCGGCAGTATTGAGGCTGGAAAAGAAGCAGTCGACCCAGAACTCGACCAAATCGTCAAATCCACCGTCCTCAGACCCAGAAGTTCGGTAGTAATGTATTTGCAAACCCTTTCCCAGGCAGAGTCAACGTACTCCGAAGCAGCATTATCGCGAATCTCCCTCGCAACCTTAACGCGCCCCACACAATTCCTCGCCTCCTGGCTCCTATCCCCAAAGAAGGGCGCCACAGCTTCGATAGAGGTCCCGAAATCCCATTCCGTATCCAAAGCGCCATACAAGACCGGTTCCGCTTCATCTGTGATCTGTCGACAGACTCGTAACAGCTCCGGATGAATGCTTGCTTCCGGAAAGTCCGTTCTAAAGTTGCGATTGAGAACCTTGTAAGTGGTGAGATTTTGCGTTTTTGTTTTGGCGGGCGCAGAAGTCCCAAAGGGGTAGAATGAGGAGGCGGAGTGGAGGGGGGCGGTAGAGGTATTGTAGAGGTAGCCGTTATGCGGGATTTGCGTCACGATTGTGTGGGACCGCGGCGGGAGGAGGAGGGCGTAGATTTTTAGGCGGAGTTCGAGAGGCAGGTCGAGGAATCTGAAGATCCCTTGCTCTTGGTTTTGTTGTTGTTCGGAATAGGGGGCGTCGTCACGTGGTGTAGGGCTGAGCAGATCTGCGGTGGGTTCCTGAGTGGGCGCCATATTTTTGTCGAACTCGATTTTGCGTTCCGCTACTGATTCCTTATCTTCGTCTTGATTTCGAGTTTGGGGATTTCGGGGATCGGTATTATTATTTGAGGAAGTGATGGCAGGGTATAAGACAACGACCTCGATGCTTTTGCAATTACTCATACAAGTGGCCATCTTCTTGTGCCGTAACAAAATATTAATGTTCAGCTGCGGCGATAACATCCCGGGAGCAGCTGCTGGTGGCGTGCCAGGCGGTGGAGAGGTGGATGCGCTGTCATGCTGAAGTGGGCCGTTGGCTGCGGGGTTTTGGTGCCAAGGAGGCGGGTTTGGATCCATTGTCCTACAGGAACGATGGTGGTGACGGGTTGCTGGGTGCCGAAGTAGGATGTGATTTGTTGAGGGTGTTCCTAGAGGATATTGTGGTGTTGTGAGTGAAGTCTGGATTGAGTTGATTCGTCGGCTTCATTCGTGGACCGTCAACCATTGGTCCCATTTATGTAAAGAGGCGCCTGGAGAAAACAAAACATAGCGAGAGACACTTGAGGATCGAAGCCTTCTTAAAAAGCCATTCAGTACAACGGGAGCATCAGCCACGTCTGACATGTTCTACCACATGACATTGAAGCAGATTCAAATTAAATCTCGTAATTGCATGAGCACCATCCCAGAAAGATTCCAGACTCCTGCTGCGAGCATCCGTCTCGGCAAAAGGTGAGGTTAACAAAATCTACCTAGATGACTGTATGCAACCGAAACTCTCCAAATCAAATTCTCCCACCAACCAATCTAGGCTCTCGCGTAACGGGAATGATCACCCCTGAACCACATTCAACTCCCTGTAATCATCTCTGACCGCAAGAACTCCGCAAATCCAGCCTCGATGGACGCCGAAAACGCAGCGAAGAAGGACATGGCGCTGGAATGGGAGGGCGGGCAGTGGTGAATTTCTGCAGAAACATCCAGCTTCCGAAGCCCTTTGATAGACAATAGCTCCCAAACCCATTCCAGGGCCTCGTATCTGACCATGGAGAGAGTTTTGAAGTCTGCCACGGTGTATTCGGGGATAGCAACCCATCCCATAGATGGCCGTCCGCCTTCAACTACCAATCCCAAGCTCTCCACGCGCATATGATCTTTGAGAAACTCGCATACGGCATTCCATTCGTATCGGTCGTAGTCTCGGCAGTAGACTGAGCCCTGTTTCACAAGAGATATCTCTCTGATCAGTGCCCGATTTTGTTTCGTCATATCGGAGAAGAAGGGCACAATAGCCTCGATATCTCTACCGAAACTAAAGGTTCGATTGCCGTAGAGGATGTGTGAGGCCTCCTGGTAGATCTTTTGGCTCACTGCCATGATTGAGGTGTGCATATCTATCTTGGTGGCTAAAGTGTAGGTTGTTGTCTTGCTTGCGCGAGCGAGATCTCTTGCCACGACTCGATATATTGTTCGTTTGTGAGGACCTCTTGCTCTGTATTTCAAGGAGTCTTCATTTCGTATCTCAAAGGTCTTGTGGCCGTGGTCATTGAGGAGGAGGGTGTAGATGATGAGTCGAATCTCGCTGGGGATTCGCATAAAGGGGGATTGTTCTGCCATATTGTAGACTGGTGTTTTTTTTTACGGAGGAGTTTGGTATCATGCTCTTGCAAAATTGAAGAAAACTTGCTTGCGCTCGCAGTTGCTATATGAAAGGGGGAAGGGACAGAGGGTGTGCTGGCAGTAATATCAGGTGTTAATGAGAAATTATTGGGAAGCCAACAAGGTGCAATCCTCGGAGGCTGACTGTGCTTAGGAGACATAATGGCCAATTGGAGGAAGGACCGTAGGAAGGCTTGATCACTCAGCGCAGGGGAGAAGCATGCTGAGTCGCGCTGCCATCCACGATTCAGCTGCTCTCACCCAGAAGGAGCATCCCTGATTCCCTGGTCAGATGCAGCGCCGATAGGAAGAAGGAGGGTGTTGGCGGCGGCGAGCTTTGATGACGATTAGCTGGCGGAGCCCGATAAGGAGCCTGACGGGACGCCGACTGAAACATTTCCACAACGAGGACGTGGATTGTTGAGAAATCAGATGCCGGGCTTGCGGCCATGGGCCAATGATCAAATACATTGGTGATAGGAATCGTGAGTGTGTCATCGGGGACGAATTTCATGAAAAGATACCGGAATCGCGGTGGGTGCATCCAAGACCCATTCTTCATGAAATACAGTACGTTCTCCATCACGGGAACCAGCGGAAGAGCACAATTTGGAAGATCTAGATTCTTATGCAAGGCACAAGAGATCATCTCGGCGCTTTCAGACTGCCGCATGGCCTGCCGCCTGACAGCGGAGAACAAATATGTTTCCCAGCCTCTCCTTTTCACAAAGTCGCTCGGGCTCGCTTAGTCAGGAGGCGGCCGCTGACGGGGAGTGGAGTGGCTCTCGGCTCAGACTTTTCCCTCGATATAACACATCCCACATGCCACAACACCTTTCCTCGCACCTCTGGAAGCAGAGAACATCTTCAAACATGACTCTGTTCGTGAAGAGCGTTATCTCTATCATTATCACAAGTTATGCCCCTTGAAACACGTTCCTGAGCTATTTTGGGGATCGCGCTTGTCTCCCAGCCATCGCATTTACGCGTAAAGTACCAGCCCTCCCTTAGAATCCCAACCTCTCCAATGGCAATGCCATCGGGAGGCTGCATATATCAAGATGCATTTTTTGGCCCTGGTACAGTTTTTCTCTCTTCATACTTTGCTTTATTTCTCAACTGCAAGTATTGAATCTCAAGTCTTCGCTTCCCTCCGAGAAGACCATGCATCTCAACAGATCCACCCCAGCACGCTTTGCTCTATTTTCACTATTATCTTTCGGATCATCGTTACCATTCCACTTTCTGGAGCCATTGGACAGACGAGCAACCTACTCGGTTGTACCAGTCGATGGAGGATCAGCGGCATCAACAGGAGGAAGTGGGCAAGGCGATGCCACAATCTACAAGACTATAATCATCACTGCAACTCCAGCACCTGCCACAAAAACTATCATCGAGACGGACACCGCAGAAAATACCGACTACATAATCTCCACCCAAACTGTCCAACTGTCAGGAACAGTTCGGACAATTCTGGTGACAGTCACCCCTCCCGCAGCCACGATCACCAAGACCGGATATTCGATCATCGATGTAAGCGCATCCCACGTCACAAGCACAACCACTGCATCTCCAAGCTCGAGTTCGACCATTCCAACGACATCGGCTTCTCTCGAAACGTCTTCTTCCTCTATCGAAACATTCCCGTCCTCCTTCTCAACATCCTCACATTCATTCGACGATGGCCAATGGCATACATATTATCCAGCTTGGAATGCCTCCAGCACGTCGATCACATCACAAGCTGCTACGCCAACATCAGTTGAAACTACACCTACACCAACTCCCGATGTAATTTTACCACCCGTTGAGCCAGGGAGAGGATATGGGGGTCTGGGGAGTCGCCAGGCAAGCCCGAGGGTTGTGCCAGAGTACGGAAGCTTTGGGTTTATCGGCACATGGGGGAGAAAATTGAGAAGGGGGCTTGCCAATCTACCTTGAAAAGGCACAAAGCAATCCTCCTACCGGTCAAGAACAGGAAATCTTGAAATAATTTGGGCTCATTCGAGCAGTATTAATAATGGTTTAGATTTTGGGCTGGGTTGTACTTCCAGGAGTTTAGGAAGCGCACCAAGAGCTGGCGCGCAGCATTTTAATGGCGTCTAAATTGGGATGAAAGTAATGCTACATTGTATGAGAATAGACGGGATAATTCTAATAACAAAAGAGCTCAAAATCAAAATTGTTTGTTGATCATCCCATGTGATTATGTTTAGTGAAGTTGTAGCCTTCCCAGTCTACGCGGCTGCGGCTGCCAATGATGATGCTGGCCGTAGCGAGAGACCCTTCCATCAACACCTCCCATTCTCAATTCTTGCTCTACGTCCCCCGACCTCAATGATAGCTGCTTGAGTTTCACAGGCCATTGTGCAAGACCTCTACACTGAGCAATCGCCATGGCCAGTCCTCCAGCAGTGGAAGATCAAGCCCGTCTGCTTGAAGATGCCTTGACGGTGGTAAGGCAGCAGACTCATCTGATGCGCAAATGCTTGGAAACACCAGGGAAGCTTATGGATGCGTTGAAATGCAGGTACGGAACAATCCTGGACGGCGTTGGGCTTGTACTATGATATGCGACCACTGCGCAGCTTCTTGATCTTGATCTCGTGCTGACCGATCTCTCGTGATGCAGTTCTACCTTGGTATCCGAGCTTCGAACAAGCAGTCTTGGACCGAAACAGTACTATGAACTATACATGGCAGTCTTTGATGCCCTGCGACACTTATCATCCTACCTCAAAGACTCACATCCGGTCAACCACCTTGCCGATCTATACGAACTAGTCCAGTATGCGGGAAACATCATACCTCGATTATATCTCATGATTACGGTTGGGACGGTATACATGTCTATTGAGGATGCGCCGGTCAAAGAGATCATGAAGGATATGATGGAGATGAGCAGAGGCGTCCAGCATCCCATACGAGGCCTCTTCCTTCGATACTACCTCTCCGGACAAGCTAGAGAGAATCTGCCGATGGGCAATGGAGATGGGCCTGAAGGGAATCTGCAAGACTCGATCAGCTTCACCCTTACCAATTTTGTGGAAATGAATAAACTCTGGGTCCGGTTACAGCATCAGGGCCATTCGAGAGAAAGGGAGCTGCGAACACAGGAGCGCAAAGAGCTTCAACTACTCGTAGGAAACAACCTTGTCCGCTTGAGCCAACTTGTGGACCTGGAGACATACAAAAATGTCATATTGCAGCCATTACTTGAGCAAGTTGTACAATGTCGGGATGTACTGGCTCAGGAATATCTCCTGGAAGTCATCACGCAAGTTTTCCCGGACGAATACCACCTCCATACTCTGGACCAATTCTTGGCAGCTGTTTCCCGCCTAAACCCACACGTCAATGTCAAGGTGATTGTTATTGCGTTGATGGATAGACTAGCTTCTTACGCAGCTCGCGAGTCAGAAGCACATCCTCAGGAAAATCGTGAGAAGCTGGAACAGGATGCTATCACAAAGCTGTTGGAGAAAGTCAAATTAAACCAAGAGAAGAAATCCGAAGAGCCTGCGCCTGCAGAACCCAATGGCGATCACCCTGCTCCGGAAGTCAACGGATCTGGGGAGGCAGCCGCACCACCCGAGCCTACGAAGGAAGAACCTAAATCGGAATCCGAACCTGTCAATGGCAACGATGAAGACAAGAAGAGCAGAGGTATCCCAGAGAACATCAAACTCTATGAGATCTTCTTCGAGCAAGTTATGAACTTGGTCAATGCGCAGCATTTGCCGATACAAGATACCACGGCTCTGTTGGTATCACTGGCGAATTTGGCATTGAACATCTATCCAGACCGCCTGGATTATGTTGATCAAGTTCTCGATTATGCAAACCAGAAAGTCAAGCAGCACGCCAACAGCGCGGATCTCCATTCCCAAGAATCGCAGACGAACCTTCTGAATCTTCTCTTGGCGCCTATGAAATCATACGTCTCACTCTTCACGGCTCTGGCACTTCCAACATATATCCCATTACTTCATTCCCAGACGTATCCTACGCGGAGGGCGGTGGCTGGCGAGATTGCTCGTACTCTTCAGCGAAATCAAACCAAGATCACAACGCTATCAGCGTTAGAAGGTGTCCTCGAAATCTTGAAAGTCATCATCAAAGAGGGAACACAACAACCTGCTGGCTATCCTGGCGTCCAACAACGAAAAGCTATCGAGACTGATGAGACGATCGAAGAGCAGGGCTGGTTGGCCCGGATAGTCCATCTCATCCACAGCGATGACAACGACACGCAATACAAATTGCTGCAAATGACGAGAAAAGCCTACGCAGAAGGCAATGAGCGCGTCAAGTTCACCACCCCTGCGTTGATCACCTCGGCCATGAAACTGGCCAGAAAATATAAGGCGAGAGAGCACTACGATGATAATTGGGAGTCGCAATCTTCAGCTCTCTACAAGTTTATGCATTCATCACTTTCAACACTCTACACTCGTGTACCAAGCTCCGCCGAACTCTGTCTACGTCTCTTTGTCGCCTGTGGTCAAATAGCTGACCAGACTGGCGCTGAAGAAGTCAGTTATGAGTTCTTTGCGCAAGCTTTTACCATCTACGAAGAAGCAATAAGTGATTCGAGGGCTCAATTCCAAGCTGTGTGCGTTATTGCTGGAGCACTCCATGAGACGAGAAATTTCGGCAAGGAGAACTATGATACCTTGATCACGAAATGTGCTCTTCATGGCAGCAAGCTCCTCAAGAAACCAGACCAATGCCGTGCTGTCTATCTGGCAAGTCATCTATGGTGGGCTGTGCCAATTGCAGCAAAGGGTGAGATGGAGGACGAGAAGAATGTGAGTTTCGAAGTTTGAGGGTATATTAATTTATGCTAACAATCGTAGCTCTACCGTGATGGAAAGAGGGTCCTTGAATGTCTTCAGCGGGCTTTACGAGTTGCAGATGCTTGCATGGACACAGCCGTATCAGTTGAGCTGTTTGTTGAGATCCTAAACCGCTACGTCTACTACTTTGATCAGCAAAATGAGGCTGTAAGTGCTCCCAAAAAGTTCATATTCTATGGTGCTAACGAATTCTAGGTCACTACCAAATACTTGAACGGACTGATCGAACTAATCCATTCAAACTTGCAAACCAACCAAGAATCAGCCACCATCGATATGCCCAGACGGCACTTCCAGCGAACGATAGAGTATATTGCATCTAGGGAGTATGAAGGTGTTGTCACCTCAGCAGCGAAGTAAGGAGCACCCTACTGAGAGTGGGGAACATGAGGGCCGGTTTCTTGTAAGATGTTTTGTAGGCTTGGGGTTCTCGCGGAGCACTTGGGTTGTATTGAAGCCCCAAGCGTTCACGGGCGAAAGATCAAGCAAGCGGTAATGAGATCAATCGCAGTCTGAAGACTGCTTTCTTGCCTCTTGGCACGTGTATGTAAGATTCGGACGAGAACCTAATGAGAGGCGTGAGCGATGATCACATGACTTGCCGGTTCCATCAGGTCGAATGGTTGATCTACAAGTGAGAGTTCACTGCTGCTTAAGACGAGCATACTGAAAATGCCTGAAATCGGAGAAGAAAACTTCTATTAGAATTTACCATTGAACAGCCCAGCGCACTTCAAAATCGTGCTCGGACTCCAGTTTTCTTCAAAGTGTTTTATCGGAGCTCCCAAGCCTCAACCGAGGACGCGAATCGATCATGGTACTCCAGCTGCAGCTCTCATCCCAATCCTCCCACCCTACTCACCACACTCCTTCATTACAAATGCGGCATCCTCAGCAGCTGGCCTGACGAGCGCCTTCCTTTTCCCACTCCCCGAAATACCACAGCAATCATTATCCCTCTCATTCTGTTCCCGTAAGCAGCTCCTGAGCGTCAGCCGCCGTCCGTAGGCTTGGCCACATAGCAACGATGCCAGACGAAAAGCCAAACAAGTACGAAGCGCTGCCCATCCCGACGTACGAGGAAGCAATAAACGGCGGATCATCGCGCACTTCTACGCCGCGGAATCATGGCACCGATAGGAACGAGGCCGCGCATCCCGCCGAGCGCGAGGGCCTCCTTGGAGGTGGATTAGATCCAGGCCGCATACCGGTTCCGACACGACGGGCGGGGTACAGGCCGCCGTTGACGGAGGAGGAGGGTTCTACCAACGGCGACGGAGAGGATGGGGAGCATGACACGTTTCTTGGACAGAGTGGCGATGGCAGGAGGAGGAGGGACAGTGAGAGCTCCGAGGACGAAGAGGTTAGGCGGGAGATTGAGGAGATGGAGATTTCTGAGCCGGGGTCGACAAGTCAGACGACGTGGGGGAAGCGGATCTCCAGTCTGAGCCAGAGTCTGAGTTCTCTCAATCTGCCGTTTCGGTGGAGGTGGAAACCACGGTTACCGGAGGGGATGAGTATTAGGCTGCGGTGGCCAAGCATTGATGCGAATTTTTGCATTGTGCTGGGGAGGTGCTTTGCGATTCTGTTGGTTATGGCGCTGGTTTATCTGGTGTTCATGTCTGATGTCTTTGCGGGCGCCGCGAGGGGGATGGTGGGACAGATGTTCGATCCGGAGAGTGTGAGGCGGCATGTGCAGAATATAGCGGATGCGCATAAGATTGGGGAATACCTGAGGGTTATGACGGAGAATGATCATTTGGCGGGCACGGAGGGTGATTATGTGCTTGCGCAGCGGGTGAAGAGGTTCTTTGCGGAGCAGGGGCTGGAACATGTCGAGGTGGACGAGTATGGTGTTTATTTGAACTATCCGAAAGAGGGAGGCAGGAAGGTTGAGATACTTAATGGGGATGGGAGTGTGAAGTGGTCGGCGAAGATTGATGAGGATCTTGTCTATGCGGATCCGCCGAAACCACAGACGCCGGTTTTTCATGGACATTCGAAGAGTGGCGATGTGACGGGACCAGTTATATATGCGAATTACGGGTCGAGGGAAGATTACAAAAGTCTGTATGATAGTGGGATTGATACGACTGGGGCCATTGCGTTGGTTAGATATGGTGGGAGTCAGGGAGACAGGGCTCTGAAGGTCAAGGCTGCGGAATTGGCAGGATTTGCGGGGTGTATAATCTACAGCGATCCGGCGGAAGACGGTTTCGTGAAAGGAGAGGTGGCTCCCAAAGGGAGATTCATGCCTGAGTATGGCGTGCAAAGGGGTGCTGTCTCTTTGATGAGCTGGGTGGTTGGAGACGTGCTGACTCCTGGCTTCGCGAGCAAGAAAGGGGCTAAGCGGAACTCTAAAGAGAACAACCCAGGCCTTGTCAACATCCCCAGCTTACCACTCTCATGGGGCGATGCTCAGAATTTATTACAAGCCATTCAAGGCGTTGGGCAACGCTGTCCTGAGGAATGGACGGGAGGAATTCCGAATCTAGAATACTGGTCAGGGAATCTGTCGTCGCCCAGGGTCCGTTTGCTCAATGACCAAGACGAGGTGGATGAGCAACCGATATGGAATGTGATGGGCCGAATTACTGGAGTCGAGCAGAAGGAGAAAGCGGTCATCGTCGGCAACCATCGAGATGCATGGGTCTACGGAGCTACGGACCCTGGATCTGGAACAGCTGTGATGATGGAAGTTGTTCGCATCTTTGGTGACCTGATGCAGAATGGATGGCGGCCACTGCGGACGATTGTGTTCGCTTCTTGGGATGGCGAAGAGTACAACCTTATCGGTTCTACCGAGTACGTCGAGAACAATATCGATGCCCTCCGCAAAGATGCCTACGCCTACTTGAACGTCGATGTCGCAGTTGGAGGCCAATCTTTCAGAGCAGCAGGAAGTCCAGTATTCCGGAAGTCTCTTCTGCGAGCATTGGACAGGACATCAGATCCCTTCCAGAACAAGACCATGCGCGAGCTTTGGGACGAGCGTGGAGCTCAGCTCGACGGCCTCGGAGCTGGCAGCGACTATGTCGCTTTTCAGGACATAGCCGGCACATCAAGTCTCGACTTCGGTTTCGAAGGTCCTCCATATCCCTACCATTCTGCACATGACAACTTCGAGTGGATGGCCTCCGTCGGTGATCCCGGCTTTGAATACCACAAAGTCCTCGCCCAGATCTGGGCCCTTCTCATTCTCGAATTCGCTGACAGACTCGTCCTCCCGTTTGATATCTCAGCCTATTCGCAATCCCTGACAAAATGGGCGATAGAGCTCGAGAATTGGGCCGGCAGCAAAGGTGCAAATCAAGACGGATACACTCCCTGGAGCACCGAGCCATTACGGGAAGCAGTCCTGCAGTTCGCACAAGATGCCAAGACGTTCGAGAAGTGGGAGATGGAGTGGGATAGCGTGGTGCTTGGTGGCGGCGGGTACGAGAGTGCAATTATCGCTGCCCATCGAAAGTCCCATAATAATCGCATGGCAAACTTTGAGACGCATTTGCTGGATTTGGAGGAAGGTGGTGGTGTAAGTCCCCTCCCTCTCTTAGTGTTCTATTTAAATTTTGTACTGATAGGAGGTAGATACCCAACCGCACGCAATTCAAGCATGTCGTCTTCGGGCCGCAGCTCTGGTCCGGCTACGATGAGGCGTTCTTCCCTGCTATCCGCGATGCAGTCGAGGCTGGGGATTGGGATCTTGCGAAGAAGCAGGTCGAGAAGGCGGCGGATATTATTAAGAGGGCGAGTAAGAAGTTGGTTGGAAACGCTTAGGGTTGAAATGTATAGGCTGCACAGGAGAAAGTGTATATTTGTTTTGTTTGAATTGGATTGAGCGAGTAATTGGCATTGCATTGGTGGCGTTGGGTAGATCTTTTGTTGGGAAGGAAATTTGGTCATAGCGGTTCTTGAAGAAAATTTGAGTTTTCTGGTTGATGTTTATTGTTCCTGTACATTGAGATTCTTCAGTGAACGTGGGGTTCCGCAACCGACCAAATTATCAGCTAATCGTTCACCTCTCGTTTCGTGATTCCACCCAAATTGCGCGTCTCGCTTGACATTTCCGAATAGCTTCAAGGAGAAAATATTCCAGAAAACTACACACAACAAAACTTCGCTGAAGGAGAAAGTCAACAGGACCGATTGATTTCGAAACTTTGCAAAGACGCATGTCATCCACTATTCACTCGAGCAGTACTCATTTCCTTGTACAGTTGTACTGCACCGCATCATAGCCCCCCGCCCTTCACCCATCAACATCTCACCCCGTTCACCAGATCGTTATTATCCGCAGATATTCGACACCATGGCGCGAACGAAATTGCCAGATGCACCGATCCTCAGCATAGAGCAAGACGATATGGAAGACGATATGGTGCTCGATGATACAAGTGTTCCTGAATGGATCCCCAAGCACGAGGCGCTTGAAGATGGGGTCACAAAATTGCAAAAACTGTTCGGGATGGTGCGCTTGACGTATAAACTGCTAGAAAAGTACATCTTGAACGCAGAGACTGTGAAGAGATTGCGTAAGTCAAGCATGAGCTCTGCATATACTTTGCTAATACCTCCAGTCGCAACGATCCCGTCTTCTCTGCCACCTATGGTGACCACTTTCAGCGTCCTGTATGTGCAGCATCTCCTCTACATATGCCGTACACATGCACATACTAACTCATTTAGTATCTTCCACCTCCCTTGAGCGGTGGCAAGAAGAAGGTTTGTAGCATATTGACCGTGTGTGCCGAGCATATGCTAACAATGTACTAGCGCGGTCCTCCTGTCGATGAGAATGACGATAATGGGACGAGGAACCTCGAACTTCTGGTAAGTTGAGCACCCCCTCAGCATATGCCAAGCTCATGCTCTATAGCTCGACAACCACCCAAGAAAGCTCGTATAGCACCTCGGCAAGGATCCAGTAAGTCAAGCATACCTCTGGCGGACGCCACTCTCAGAACCAAGTCTCGGCCTAGTTGCTCGGACATATGCCACACATTAGGTGAGCTGATGGGATGAGGAGCAACGTGAATATGAGTATAGGTTATACGAGGATGGGGTTTGCTGTTTTTGTGGATTTTCCGCATTTGTAATTTTAGAATAATGCAGACGGCGTTCTGCAAACTTGTGCCAAGTATTGTTGTGACCATGCTTTGATCTTGTGATAATTATGAATTAACCGAGCCCCTGGCAGGCACATGCGGAGCACATGCCTAAAATATGACCGCCACAAAACCTATTCTTTTGCTCGGCTAGCTGTCGCGCTTCTTTAATCGAGAGTAGTGATCAGCTAAACAAACGAGCATATGCAGAGTTTGATAATAGTGATTAGCTTAAGCGATACTATGGATCAACTAAAACCTCATGCTGCAGCCAGCAGCCTTTAGCGTGTTTCACGCTGAATGAATAGAGCAAAAGATGCAATAGCGGCGAGAGCCGAGTGTGGTCTGACCAGCAGCCATTTACAAAAACAAAACAAAAAAAGGACTAATTGACGGAGGTGGTTTATTCGATTCAGGGGGCCAGAAAAAGTATCCCCTGCGCAGGCTGTGGCGGGCTTACGGCATGATCCGGGGCCAAGAACAGGGCTCAAGTTACAGCAGCAGCTGCTCAGTCCAAAGACGGAAATGGAAAACCCTCGTGTCAACACTCCCCTACGAGATCACATGGTCCTCCGGTGGGTGTTGTTGAATGAGTGATCTACAGGGAGGAGCTATTTGGGATTGTGCTAACGAACAATAGTTCTAACGACAAGATAAAGTCCACAAATAAAGTCCACCCGGGCCTGTAACAGGGCTTGCAACAGCCCTTTACGCAACAAAAGCTGGGGAAGATATTCGCAAATATCTCAGGCGGGGCATGCCAGTTTGGCTACGATCTGCGTAAGGATGGGAGTTCCAAGGACCCGATGTGACGATCCCGATCGGGCCGGGGGGAGCAACGAATGGGCTGACGAGTCAAGTACCAAGGGCCCGGCTTGCAGCGCGGACGAGGGTACGATTGGACGGGGACGGGGCTCCGCTACCCCAGATTCGCGGCACCCTCCCCTCCTCCCCTCCTCCCGCCATCTGGGCTCGGGACTCTCCTGCACGCAGGATAGGCTACCGAGAGCTGCGCTGTTTCCGGTCGGGATGCTGTCCAGACCACGGAGCCAACCACGGAGCCAAGCTTGCGCCCAGAGATCCGCGGTGGTTCGTCGCCGTGGCCAAGTAACACCTGTGCTTCCAGGCCGAGAGAGAGGCCGCGAGAGAGGAGGCATAGTTGGTCGTGACTCGTTCTAATGCCAGACACCAGACGCTGGTGCATAATGTGGCACCCGAAGAGGGTTTATGAGAGGTCTGCTGCAGCCTCCTGCTGGAAAATTGAGTTCACGACGTCGCATCTTAAGTACAATGCCAATGCACACACACGCGAGGGCACGCGAGGACGAACGCCTCCGTGTGCCGTGGTGGAAGCACGGGCAGCACTCCCGAGTCACGCACCCCCCCTCCCAACTGACGCCTTGCAAAGGAGCATGGCATTTCCCCGCCGATTGCTCCTTTGAAATTCATCCCGCATCCCGCATCCCGCTGCCTCTGAGATGAGAGCTCACCTCTGAACATTGTGTATCCGCAAAAGGCGGCCCAATCCTACTGTACGCGAGAGACCCTTGTTCCCGCGACGACATCTCGTTGACCACGGATACATACCCCTCTTGGCCTAAACCAGATGTTACTACACCCGCATGGGCTGGAGCCTCCATGTTCCTGGACGGCCACAACGAGACCCGGAGCAGGGCGGTCTTTGTCTCCGTCACGGTGACATTTATTCTCGCGAGCATTCTCGTCGCCGCGCGACTCGTTGCAAGGGCCATCATCATCAAACAGCGTGGCTGGGACAGCTACTGTATTCTCCTAGCATGGGTGAGTACGCTTCCAGCAGAAATGCGCAGAAACCGAGTTGTCAACATGGACTGATGCCTCGCCGACCAGATATTCGCCTTTTGCATGTCATTCGCAGTCGACTTCGGCACCAGCAAAGGTCTTGGCCTCCCTGATGTCGACAAGCCCCCTGCCGAGGATCCAACGCTGCTGGTGGCCGAGTACGTAGCCATCCTTCTCTTCAACCCAGCCTTGATGGCCACGAAGACCTCCATCCTCCTCCTCTACCTCCGCCTTGCCCAGGACCAGAAGAAGTTCCTCCGCATAGCCTTTTATGTGACACTTGCCGTCGTCATTATTGGTGGCATCGCCCTTACTTTCACCACCGCTTTCCAGTGCCGCCCCGTAAGAGCCGCATACGATCTCGCCGTTGCAAACCCTGTTTGCATTTCCATCGAGACCATCTACCTGGCATCCGCGCCTGTCAACGTCGCCACAGACCTCGCCATCTTTGTCCTGCCGATCCCCATTTTGACTGCCTTGCACCTGCCCCGGCGGCAAAAGAGCTTCCTCGTTCTCACCTTCGCCATCGGCGCCTTTGTCACCGTCGTCGATGTCGTGCGCATCTACTTCATGCAGCTGGCTGCCACTAGCCTCGGCATCCTTCCTAGTGGACTTGGCCGGATCACGAGCCTTGAGTTCTCCTACAATGCCAGCATGGCTCTGATGTGGTCGACCATCGAGGTCAATGTAGGAATCATCTGCGCATGTATCCCTACCCTCAGGCCGTTGATCAAGCGGTTGGCCCCGGGAATGATTTCAGAGTCTGCTCCAAGCAGCGGCGAACACGCGTTGATGGAGGCCTCTTCCTCGTCACACGGTGATGCGTCCCTTGATTCACGGAGACGAAAGAAGCTTCTTCAGCAAAGGTCACCAATAGAAATCACTGCTGAAACCGTGACGGCTGATGTACATTCGATACACTCAGCACAGCCAGCTGAAGACCAGGAGAAGCAGCAGATAAATGCGAATAATGGGATAGTACAGGAGCCGGGACGGCCTCTCACCCAATGCACCGACCACTCTGTTGTCTTCGGATTTTTCCACCTAGACCAACAACCCAAGTCCATGGTCAACATGCAAGGATCAGAGGCTATCAAATTCTGGGCCTTAATCGCGAGACTTCTCTTCTTTACGGGATTCGCCTTTGGCATGCTCATATCCATAAGCAGCGAGATATTTACCGTGGTGGACACGACTCGATCTATAGGCATCTCATCAGCTATTTACGGCGGCGCCGCAGCAGGGCCCGTCCTAGGCCAATGGACCCTGCGCCACGTAGGATTCAAAACCTCATTCATCACCTCCTTAACTATCTGCTGCTGCGGAACGCTCATGTTCTGGCCATCCGGAGCGCTGCATTCCTATCCCGGCTTCGTCGTCTCTAGCTTCGTCGGCGGATTCGGTCTCGGTTTATTGGACCTCACCTCGAACGTTTTTTTCATGCTCTGTGGACCGCCTCAATACGCCGAGTTCAGGCTACTCATGGGACAGAGCGTTGAGGCTGTGGCTGCGGCGCTGAGCGTCTTGCTCTCGACGGAGGTCTTCTCGGTCGAAGTGATCAACTCCCGCAGCTTCATTATTATCCAGTGGGCGTATCTCGTTATCGCTGTTCTCACCGTCTTACTCGGGCTTTTCTACTATTATCTTCCGCTGCCCGAAGCAACCGATTCAGATATGCAAGACCAACTCCATAGACTAGGCATCGACCCTTCGCAGAAATACTTCGATCGCTTCCCGGTTAATTTCACCTCCTTAACTATAGCAGCCTTCTCGGCCTTCTGCGCTGGCGGTGGATTAGTCTGCATCCGCACCTTCACCGGCAACCTTTTCGCCACCGTCTCCACCAAGACTCATAGCTCGCTGCCTATCAGCCCCTCCAATTTCGGTATCTTTCTCACGGCGATATATGCCATCAGTCAAGCCCTCTTCGCAGTCCTGACCCTCTTTATCCCCCCACGCATCCTCCTCCTCCTCGCTTACGCAGGCTGCATCGCGTTCTCGGCGCTCCTCGCCGCCCTCGACTTCCCCACAGTCGCAGGAGTGGAAGCTGTAGAGCTCGTCTTCGCCGTCCTTGGCGGGTCGATCCCGCCTCTCGTCATCGCGATTGGCATACGCGGGCAAGGACGAAGGACGAAGCTCGCTGCGTGCGTGATGGAGACCGGGACAAACCTTGGTGCCTGTGTAGCCCCTTTTGTTATGTTGCCTGTGGTGAGGGCGCATGCTGTCCCGTACTCGTTTGGTGTTATTGTGGCGTTGTTGGCTGCGGGATTGGGGTATCCGCTGTACCTTAACTTGTTTCGGGCTGCGAGACGTTTGGTAGATGCTAGGTCTTACCAACTACGCTAGGATTTGCTGGGGGGGGGAAGGAAATTGCATACGTTGTGCAAATAAGACTCGTTGCTTTTTTGTATTTTATTTTGTAATATATTTATATAAACATATATATTAGTAGCTGGAATTTGGGCGGAGGAGCATTAGTACCCTCGGGATGCTGCTCTTGTTCTCGAATACAAGCACTCCGCCGAAGTGGAGCTAAGTGAGATGATAATGCTGCAGGTGTTGCTTAGCTACTTGGATCCGCCTCTTGTTGCTGTCCTCGAAGGCGAGCGCTCCGCCTCAGAATGCGAGCATTCGGCCTGGTTGTAAAGGGTACATGCTCAAATAACTCCGTACCGAATTCTGCGTTGGCAAAGACAAGCCTCTCTGATTCCGAAAGGCTAATTGATGTCGATTCTTGAGATTCATTGGTAACGGAAGGAGCTCGTTGCTCCTGCTGTAGGTTTGTTGCAAGAGTCCGAGGCGTCCGTCTGCCGTGTTGCCTGGCAGATGGTACTGTCGAAAAGGTTGATCCGTAGCTTTCCGAAAGACTGATCTCAGGAAAGGAAGGAGCTCGTGGCTCCCGCTGCCGGGGGGGGGGGTTCAATTTCTCGCAGACTTGTAGTGTTCCCGTTGAGAATCCACATGCCTAAATCTTTTACTATCAAAATGGTTCATTGTTGTCAAGTCCTGTCTTAAAGCTGCCCAATCTAGCTGCTGGCTCGTGATTTGCATTTAACAATTCTGTCTCTCCAAATCCTAACACTGGTGAGGTTGCAAAGTGTAAGTGTATTCCTGTTACCCAGCCTTGCGCTGGAACAAGCTCAAGCAGGAGTTCAAGAATATCTCACGCCAGTCAGCTAGGGTAGAATTTGCAAGGACGTGAAGTGTAGATAGCAAGTCAACAATTAATTGAGCCAGCTTTTATATGCCCCCTCTTTGAATTGAATAAATTATTTTCCTATCACCCACTGCTCTTAGAAAAGGTAGTAGAGTGGATCTTTGCAAACCGCGACGAGAATTCATTGCTTTGCAGAGTCAAAGAGGGGTATAAAATGCACTCGAGTTCTAGTGATTAACTCTTCCAGCTCAAGATTAGCAGCGCATATAGGACCTGTATAGGGAATAGTGAAGCAGCAGATATGGTGGGTATTTAATCGGATTCAACGCTCGTTTGTTGCTTTTATTGCAAACTCCAGACTTGGTTGAACCGCTTAGAACTATACTAGAGATTGACTTCGGTTTGTTGTCAAGTGACTTAATGCTGTCAAAAAAAAATTCTGACTGTAAATATTAATAACTTGTGGTACTGTTCACTCCCGTTCGTCAATACGAGCGATTGATCAATCGCCCCCCCCCCCGATTAATTAATCGTAGCGCGCGATTAATCAATCGCTCGTATTGACAAACAGGGTGGATCAGTACTAACCTAAAGGTTGAAACAGTTCTTGAACGTACACCCCACGAAGTTCAAAAAGTATCTGGGTTCCTCCCTCCATGCAGCTGGGAAATCAATACTTGAGCAAGGGGTCGGGAATTTGGCACTCGACACACCTCTTTCCATACACTGTGGACGATGTGCTAAAACTGCAGAGTCGTTCTGCAGAAGTCCAGCCTTTATACACCGACTTCGGTCGCAGATCATTCTCCTGCCAATCCTTCACAGGCATGGCGGACTAGAGCATGGGGAGAGAGAGCGAATCGTTAGTAATCTGGTCATATAAAATCCTCGCACAAGCAATGCAGTATTAATAACATATAAAAGATGTATGTATATCCATAGACTGATTATGTCGTCAACAATCTGTCCTACCAGCAGGCAAGGTTGAGATAAAGGAGCGGTTGAGTATAATTAACTTTTCCCAGTGCCCTATAGTTTACACTAACGTCAATTTTGTTAAGTTAATTCCTCACTCCCTTGCCATGCTATGCTAAAGCTTTCCCTCGCACATATGTCTCCTCATCTGTTGTCAAGTATTTTCTATAATCAAGTCCACTTCTAGTGTCATGAAGAACTACCCATTAATTATACATTCACTCGTCAACTCCTATACCTCAGATTTCATGCGGGTTTCTCACTGCCAATTGGGAGAACTCTGATGGCGGGTGTGGTGTGCTTAATAGAAGTCATCTAAATGAACATTTTCGGTAACCGCCAGCCTTCGGTGGGCTCTAGGCCTTGAGCGATGTTGGTGTTTACAATAATCTTAGGACCACTTCTACGTTGGATTATATACGTCAATTTTGTTCTTATAACCTTGATCGTACCTTTCCCTTGAAGCTTAATAAATAGGTCGAGCCGAGTCACAGCGAATTTCAAGTCTATTCTTTAGAAGAAATTACAAACGGAAAGAATGTCCCTAGACTAAGTAACGCTGTGATGAGTCCCTGGTGGAAAATGCAGCCAAGTGGCTTCTTTCACGGCATTGAACAAATAGCGATAAGTTGTGGATCTTTAACGGCCGAGTTGTATATCAGGTTAGTAGATAATTTGTGGACAGTAACCTTTAAGCTCTTGCTATCTGGTTTCATTCTTAATCGTTACATAATTGCTACTATATAAATACTTAAATCTATCTTCTCTTTATTCTTTAGATTGATCTCCTCAGGCTATATCTACAAATCGTGAATCTAAACAAAAGATGAGAATTGACAAAGGCGTTTAAATTGGCAATAAATATCATAAAGGGTAGCACTTACATAACTACTAAGGGCCTTGATTAATGTGGTGACAGAATGGTGCATTGTGCAAGACCAAAGACCGAAGCCTCTAGAAATCCCCGAGGCCTGTACCGTGGGCCTGTTTGTCCTTCTGCCAAAAGAGAAGTTGTGAGATCAAAGATACAGTATGACAGCTTAAGCAATCAGCACTTGTACCTGTACCGAAGGCCAATATAGGTTGTCGCAGCCGGTTCCCCACTAATGTAATCTTACCTTTTCAGATACTTGTAGTTGTACCAAATCTCAAAATTGATGGAATTTATATGCGCTTCCCATGGTAACTGATCGCCAAGTGCTTAGCGATTAGCTATTTGGGAACATTTCAAGAAGTAAAGAGCGCTCCTAGTGTCTTCAAAGTATAGAACAACTTTGCGAGTAGACTTCCTTTCACAGCTTCAAGTACAAATCTCGCTCTGAATGCCTACTATAGCTACCGCGAAATTGACATGAGTAAAGACAGAAAAGCTAAGGAAGAGGGAGCAATAGCGCCCGACTATTTCTTGTCTCGTGCTCCGTGATATTAAGAGATCCAAAACGAGTTTTACGGAAAAGACCCAGGTTTCATAGTGTTCAAGCTTGAGGAAGGCGATGGAATTTGCTGCTTGTTGTCAGCGAATTATTTGTTGTCTCAGTTGCAACTTCTAAGCTATTAAATTCAAAAATGAAAATGAATAGAGTACGACGCCTTCCGCATCCTTGTGAAGGAATAATCTATCGAGGTGAATGTCGAGGGTGAATCGAGGGACTCAGTACTAATAGCAGTCAGATAAGTTGCGCTGATATTGAATAGCTCCCACATGACCTTTCATTACTCATTGGAACCTTTTAAGATATTTATTTATGGTAATCTGGTATATGGGGCGTAATCGACTCGTTTCCCTTATCACTCTCCATCTTCAAATGGCCCTCCCCAAATCTATACCAAGTCTTGAAAGTATGTGCCTCCTACATCTCCTAGAGGCCGGTAAAACCTAGCTACCTATTCTGTATTGTGGTAAATTCCTGGATGCGTATCAAACTGTATAGTGGGAGTCAAAGACCATTTCGCGCAAACATATTTCGCCCTGCCGAGTTCCCCATCCTCATCTCCTCAACATCAATTGTGTTGAGGGCCTAAACTATGCATCACTGCACCTCGTCCCTCTTTTTAAGTCTCTCTTTTTAAGTCGCAATATTGTCCAAGTCTCTACTGGGGATGTTTGGGCCCCTGCCCGTAACTGTTGTCATGAAAGTCGAGGATTGATGGATATGTTGACAATTTCTTCAGCAAGTGACCGCGGTCGACTTCTCTGGGTTCGAATCCAAAGAGACTTGTCTTCGCTCAAAGGAATCTGTGCATTCGCATCCGCAACCTGAATATCGTCTTGATGAGGCTCGAAACGGTTGCCGTTCTGCCACGCTTCGATTGAAGAACCTATACGAATTCGAAGCGCGGAGAAGCTATGAAAGTAGAGTCCATCGAATCGTATAGCAAAAGGTAAATATTCAGGCGAATAGTTGGCGAAGAACACTATTATCGGAGCGACCTTCCCTTGCGCCATGTTGATTCTGGACACAGCTTCAAAGTGCGTTGGTATTTCTCCAGGTGCAGCTACGAAGTTAGGCGGATAACCACCGGATATATAGTAGCCTGACCCTTCGGTAGGAAGAGACTTAAGCATGACCCTCATCCGATAGCCAATAATTGGAGGAAGACTTTGTATTCTATCCGTTGTCTGTGCGCTGAGTGCTCTTACGAATAACTTCTCGAGCCCCTCCATATTTCTGGTGGAGGCCCTAAGCCATGTGAGATCGTAAGAGGCATATCTTGACAGCTCACCGGAATGAAGCTTTCTCAGAGGTATGGCGATATAGCCGAGTTCGTCACTGCAGCGAAGAATAGCCATCATAACCCCGTCCCAAATAGTCTTTTGTAAATTCCTTTGAAAATCGAGATGGTCGGGAAAATCGCGTGTAATTCCAGGTGGTAGCAAAAGTTGAGACTGAAGCTGCCATGCCTCCACTCCATCTACTCCTCGCTTCTCGCGGAGTTGCAACATACAGGTCGATAGTCGAATATATTGCTTTGAGACATCATATGATATTGCGTCACCTCCAGGCATTGCACGGTCGATAATTCCATCTGAAACCTCGAAATTGTTCGGCGATTCGGCAAGCAAGCCGCATGATCGTGATGAGCCCCATGCCTGATGACCTTTGGGAACCCATGCAAATATTGATTGGTCATCTGACATCTTCATTATCTCCAACTGGAGCCTGTAGAAAGCCTTCCGCCCTTCGCCGTAGATCAAGGGCATGTTGACGTCAAAAAGTCCCATTAAGCTATATGCTTTGTCCTCTACTCTCGTGGTGTTACGCGAGGAAGCCCATGACATTTTACACGCAATGCTGGCGTGATCCCAGGTACAATTGACCAGCGTAAACTCGTCAATCTTCGTTCGACCAGAAATAATACTGCTCAAGGATTGCTTCGTTCCAATCTCTTTCCAGTCTTTGGCAAGAAAGGCAACCTCATATGGTGCAAGCAACTCCTGCAAGGTCCAGCCGCGAGTGAACCAGCGACTGCTCTGAAAGGAAGATGAGGCTTGGGCGGGGTCTTCTGAGCTGCAAACGTCATCCAGGTAGGCGTAGCATATATCAGCCTCTCGATACCAGCGAAACATTGAGTTGATGGCCTCAGAGAGCTCGGCGCTGCCTGATTTGTCGATGCAGCAGGTGTCGATCCATACAAATCCATGGCCTTCGGACTTCGCTTTTTCACAACATTGAACAATCTTTTGGAAACCCTCCCGCTGGGCCAAAGCCCCGTGATCGGTTGTCATATCGCGGAACGACACTTCTTCCCGGCCCCATGTATGCGACAAAATCGCGTATGGAGGAATTCCATTGCCCGGCTCACCCACGAACTCCTCTAACTTGAGGCTGTGCACGTTAAGAAGGCGCATGACTGCGGAGTCGCTAACTGTGAAGTCGATTGAGGAAGTAGAAATAAGCTCCGAGTATGTCGCGTTCCTTTTGGAGAATATAAAATGAATCAAAATATTTTGTAGAGGTGTTTGTTGAGTGGAAGGGAGGAGCAGACTCCAAGCCTTGTATCAGCTCGAGGCTGCATATGCACTGCCACCCTAACACAGCCCCTTAGGCAGGAAGGCCCGGGTTGCAGCAGGTGGCCGGCATTTGACACCCTATGGCTTAAATATTGCAAGCCATCTCTCAAGCGAGTTGCTCGAAGCCTGAAATGAGGTGACAACACTTCACAGAAACACATCCTGTTAATAGATTTGCGCAGTTTAAAATATGAGCACAGCATAGAGAGCTTGCTTTTACAAGAGTGGCTAAATTTCAAGTATCAAGTAGTTATATTTGTTGCGATTTTGCGAGAGATCGATCCTCGTGGAGCCGACCTGTAGACCGACCGCCCCTAAATAGTTCAGCGAGCCCTTACCTTTCGCTTCAGCCTTTTCACTTATGTGCTGCAACCCCTATTTGCGAATCACCTGGTCCCTTTCTGCCCCAGCCAGAAGGAAAACGCACGGCTTTTCCGAAACCATTTATTGAACTTCCTCCTAATGGAAGAAGTTTAAGAAGTCAGGTAATTTCAATTCTTCTCCGCATGCCAAAAACAAATTGCTTTCCCATCGAACAGATCTTGTGCCTTGTTTTGGTTCGAAATCAATAGTGCATCAGCTGCAAATCCAACCCCATGAAAGCAGTCACTTGAACTCGGTGTTTGCTGTACTGATTTTACTCAGGCAGGGTTGACAAATCATGATAGAAGGTTTCACTGGCCAACCGCCCAGACCACCCAACCGCGCAAAATTGCTGTTTTCCAAAAATCATAATTCAACACCCACATAATATTTTACTATCAAATCCACTGTTTTCTAAAGTTTTTTTAGCCCCTCAACATGTCTGTAAAGAAAAATCACTATACCGAATTCGCGGACAATCCCAACGAGCTCTTAGAGAGCGTGCGATTATAGACGGCTTATAACGATATCTCGATTACAAGAAGGCTAAATCCATTGGGAAATGAGCGAGAGAGCATGAAATTGCATACGAAACCCTTTGAGATCGAATTAATGGAACAAAACCAAAGGTATAAGATGCAAAGGCAAGACAGCGTTTATTAGTGAGGCAAAAAGCGGCTAGCTAATTAAAAGGAGGTATAAGGTTTACTATATAATAGCGAATTCGATTAATATATAAGCTTTTATAATTGAAAAATCAAATGATACCTAAATTATAATTGAATATTTATATGGTATGAGCGATTCTTTGCCCCAAGAATTAGGTACCTAAATTTAAGCTTGTTATCCCACTAAACGCAAGTTACTAATTCTTATCCCAAAGAAAATCTAATGAGAAATATTATTATAATAATGCAAAAAACTTTCTAATACACTCTCTTATATTAAGCCATATATTACTAAAGAATTTAGGATGTTATATAAGATATTTAATTAATTGCATAGGAATTAGTGAGGGGTAAAGATGGCAGGGTAAAAATATGTAGGAAAATGCCAAAAATGCTACTAAATCAATAAATTTAGTAACACCACAAAGTTTTAAAGTAATATGTAGCTATTAGGGGGTTGAGAATACTATAAAGTATTAGTATTTAATAGGAATTATAATTTTATTAAGGCGTTGGTTAAATATTAAGATTTTTAGATTGGGCGGTTGAGTAGTTTGGGCGGTTTGCCAGTGAACTCTTCTAAGCGGACTTTAGCGAGCGTTTTCCCCGATATTATTAGCGACATTCCTTCTGACCTCACCCCATGCCAACGCCAACGCCAACACCAATTCTACCACACCACCTTCATCAGTAAAGCAGTTGCACTTGTCATTGACATTGGCATTTGGCGTCTACAAACCTCGTGCAATCATTCCATGGCGACCCCTCCTTGGGACATCCAGAAAGCCAGCGAGGAATGGCTGGCTCCTTGAGCTCTGCGACAAGGTTGAGGAAGAGAATGGCCGAATTGGCGGGCACCAATACGGAGATCGAGTCGTCAAGCTCTCCGACGAGATTGCTGTCAAATATGGACACGGGGTCAAAGAGTCTGAAGCAAGAACGCAGGACTTTGCATATCGAAACGCAAACCCGAGCATAGTTCGCATTCCGCGAGTTCACCGTTTCTTCTTGAAGATTGATCCTTCCTGGCATTGCCCAAGAGGCTACCTCTTTATGGGATATGTTCCAGGCAAAATACTACAGGATCTTGACCTCAATATCAAGGGCGATATAGTCCCCAGGGTAGCCAAAATTATCAAGCACTTAGGGCAAATCTCAGATAGCCAACCAGTCCCAGGTCCCATAGGCGGGGGCGAGCCAGAAGGTTACTTCTTTGGTGATGATGGCGCAGGAAGGAGTTTTGCTTCCGTAGCAGACTTCGAAGCCTGGCTCAACATACGTCTTGCTTTACGAAACAAGTCAATAGATCTCAGTTCTCAACCTCTTGTTCTCTGCCACATGGATTTATGTCGACGGAATATGATCCTCGAGGAGAATGATAGCATCTGTCTTCTCGACTGGGGATGCGCCGGAATGTATCCGCGCTATTTCGAAATTGCGACGCTCTCTTGGTTGAATCCGTATGATGCACCTTACGAGAAACCTCTGCTGCAAGCTACCACTGCGTTGCTGGGCTTGACGGCGAAGGAGAAAGACTCGATCGCTCTTTTGGAAATCGCTCGTGCTGCCAACCTGAGATACACCTTGTGAATAAACCCACATGGTGTTGTAAGCTGGGATTATCTCTGATGCTAATCGTTGCTGTAGTGAAACCGACGGGGAAAGTCAGGGGATACCAGACTGGCACCACACTATGCCCCCTCCGCCTCCTCTCCCAAGTCAAAGGCCCAAAAGGTCATAGCTGTCTCATAACAGTTAGCGAAGCGGCTCGAATCAAGTTCCTGTTCACTTCGCTTTGAACGGCAGAGGCGGGGCCGCGCTTCGCTGCATTAATAAGATGCCGACTCAATCCTGGTCGAATGTTTATCGCGGCCGTGATCTGATGATCTTGATTTCATCCATTGGATGAAATAGGCTTCTTGTACGACAGACTTAATCTAGTTATCTGCTTCCAGAAGGCCCCACTTGCTACTCGGTATTGTTCATGAGGGTTCTTGCTCAGAAGACTTCAAAATTTTCAACTTCTAGGGAGTAAGTCCCTGACGTTTGATCTGAAAACAAATAGAGAAGCATTCGAGATTTTCTTGAGTCTCTCTTCTTGAGCACACTATGTGTTGAATGCTTGAAAAATTTGAAGTGTTTGAGTTGAGGTTCAATGAGAAGCCAAAACCACCAATTTAGTTTGTAGGATATACACAAAATGCGAACAAGATTCGATAATCGTCCAGCTGCGATGAACCGCAAGGTTCCCTGTCTCTACTGAACATTCCTCTAAGTACTTTTACAAGGAAGCCCCACCTACTCAAATAATCACCGTACTTTCGACACCCACTCTCGTCACTTGTGTCCCTTTCAATATTTTGTTCACCTCATTGATAGCTCTGGGACTTATTGCCCACCAGTACAAACATCATATACCGTTAGATTCTCTTGCTCGCAACTTGTTGTGGAAAGGCTTGATCTGTGAGTGTGCTTCATGGTCACGAAATCTAGCTTGGTGAGTCCAGGACTGAATCCATCCACTCACCTGCACCAAGTATATCCCTCCCTCTCGTCCCTTTTTACCTTTCCCCAATTATAGCGAACCCCAGATTGTCGGCGACGTCCTCCTCTCCTCGCCACTCCATCCATCTCTCTAACCCACCTAGAACGCATTCAACACAACTATGAATCCCAGCCATGACATTGCCGAGCACGCATCCTGCACAACCTGCACCTTCGCCGAAGTTTTCTCCAACTACTGAACCGCAGTCCTCTACTTACGCGCTCGAAACGGGACATATAAGCGCGTTCCCCAGCTCGCAAATCAGAACCTGGGTTCTGCCGATGGAGGGATGATAGTCTACTACATCTCCCCTGACAACAAAACCACGGATATCACCGCTTTCAAGCCTGTGAGTTCCCTTTACCACCCCCGATTTTGCACAGAGAAGAAAGGGGAGATGAAGGTGTTGATGTTGATGCGAAAAGGGGTTCCGCATTTTCGCCGGCACAGCAGAGCAGCGCGTCAATAGCTCGTCGAGTTCTGTGAATTTGTACAGATGTTATGACAGCTATGACGCCAGCATGAACTTCAACCAGAACCCGATGGGTGTCGCTGCTACTGATACCCTAGAACTACCTAATAAGTTTTGTGCTGGAGGGATTCGTGTGAATACTTTCTTCCCTACATGAGTAACTCAATCTCTCTCCTCTCTCACGTACATTGGTGAGTCGTGACTTACGGAAACGAGCTCTGATAGGTGTTGGGATGGAGTCGACCTCGACAGTCCAGATCTCAAAAGTCACGTTCCCTGCCCAGCCGGCGCGGATTGCACCTCAAAGCACCCTGTTCAGCTCCCACAGATATTCATCGAGACAATCTGGGATACAGGGAAATTCAATAAATCTCCCTGGGCCCACTGACAGTAGTCAACCTTTTATGTTCAACCAGGGAGATTTCGCAAATCTCTCCTTTCCCTCTCCCCTGTCATTTCCCTGAATTATTTCTGATAAGAAGGGGAAAGAACTGGATACTGCCATCACGCAGACTGCGTCTTCGGTTGGAAAGGGGATTCCCTGCAAAAGGCTATGGATGCAAGATGTGATGTGTACAACGCGAGTCCCGAGCCACTTGTGTTTCAGGCGAGTAGGTGTCCGCTGCTTAAGACGCAGGATTCGACGACGGCTAATACATGCAAGTGGGGGCAGATTGCCAAAGAGAATTTGTATGTTTGTAAGTGGTACTTCTTGGAGAGAGGATGAATTAGTGCTAATGGAGTTTGATCTTAGGGGTTTCAATGCTTCCTGGAAATATGCCGGTTACTTATGCTTAGGTCGGACCACAAGCACTTCCAGAGTGACAGAAGTATTGAAGGTGGTTTTGTGAATAAATCAGAATTTGTAGAGAATCCAGCTACTTGGGCGCGAAAATAGAAGAGCTCTGGTCATGAAATCCAAGAACAAGACCGGAATTGCTCCCCAGCTTCATTACTGGTATCAAAACTTTGCTAGACTTGCTTCGACGTTCTCAGCCCACCACTCGGGGAAGTCCAACACCTTCTTGCCAAGTCTCGCCTGCTCTGCAGCGAAGACCATGGCATGGCTTCTGATGACTTCTTCCAAGCTGCAACCAACATGCACTCGTTGGGCCTCCTCTACAGTGGACCCATGATTCTTGACAGCATCGACAGCAAGAATGAACTGCCTAGCCAGTCCATCGTCACCGCCACCATGACCGCCCTTGGCAATGAACGGCCTGTATATTTTCTTCGTCCCAGTATTGAAATCTTCCACAGTGATAGTCGTGCTATCCGCATAGATCTCTCCATCAGATCCGTATATGTTGGTGTATCTGTCACAGATCTTCTTTGTGTGAGCGACCATGTGGAAGACGGCGGTTTTGGCACCACGTCCAGCGAGAGCTTTCTCGTTGTCGTCATTAACCTTGGGAAGAGGGTCATTGTCCCAGCTCATAGTCACCACTTGCTCATCGCAAACATCATTATCTGCTTCGTAAACACAGCGGCCGAACCAGTTCTTGGCTGCGATTTCTGAACCGGGAGTATCCTGAGTGTAGTTTTCCTCGAGCCTCTTCATGATGGCGGCTTCGCCTGCGGAAGGACCGCCCATGGATATGCATTCTTCAATCTCAGGAACCACAATGTGAACCGGCCAATGAGTGTTGCCGGATCCAAGGCCCTTGAGTTCAGATCCCAGGTAAATCTTCTTTGCAGAATATTTGCAATACGTTTCGATTGGGCAAGAAAGACAATTGGTTGCATTTCCAGCAGCCGTTGGCTTTCGAGTCTTGTTGAAATACTGAAGAGATCCAACAGAAGTTACGGTTGTGGGTATATGGGCTGGGCGGGTGCTATTTGGAGGTGGGGAGCAAAGTAACCAGAGGAGAACGTCAATGTCGTGACAGGACTTGGTTAGGAGTGATGGGGCTGTGGTAGATTCTCTTCGCCAATTGCCTCTGCAGCCTCTCAGTGATCAATTCCAAAGGAGTGAAGCAAGAGATACATACCTAACGTAGCTGTGTGTGAAGTGCCACCACCCAACAGGTTCCGTATGATTGATTGACAGAATCTCTCCAATGATTTTGTCTTCCAATAGTAGTTTCCGTAGCAGCATGTTATGTGGGCTGTATCTCAGGACGTGCCCTATTGAGAAGATTCTGGACGGGGTGGTATTTGGAAGGTTCGGGAGGAGAGACTTGTATATCGAGACACAGTCGTCCAAGGTGGTGGCCAAAGGCTTCTCGCACATAATATGCAGGCCGAGGGGAGCCAATCCAACAACGACCTCCTTGTGCTGCTCATCCAATACGCAGATGAATGCTCCATCCACCCCTGCCGGTACCTCTTCTCCTCTGCTGGCCTTCGCCCGCCTCTCCAATTCCCATTTCAGAAATGCCCTCCAATCTTCGAACCCTTGTCCATCCGTTGGCCCTGCCTTGCCCCAGATGTATTTCTCCCCAAGTTGCTTTCGCTTGTATGCAACAGGTTCTGCCACAGCTACAATTATGCCGTTCGTTGATTCTGCGGTAGCTCTGGCATATGCATTGCCTCGTGAGCCTGCCCCGATGATGAGGAGTCGTGGGGGATTTGCTGACATGGCAGGACGTGGAGGAGCGGGAAGAGATTCACCATCATCGACTGGGGAGTCTGCGTGAGGTGCCATGTTGCTTCTGGATGTGGGGCAATGCTCTCGAGGGGATCGAGTGCCTTTTGAGCCCGAGCCCCAGGCTCCCACCTTGGATCTGGTCAGCCTTGTGGACCACGCAGTCGCGGATTCACTGGCTTGAAAGTTATGCAACGTTACCGACCAGTTACATGGCTGGTATTTGAATTGACAGAGGTCAGCTAAAGCTTGGCATCTCGAGCTAATTGTGTGACTGGCAATTTGTGTTCATGGCGTTTCAAAGGTGGGAGGAGGTTCAATTGAGCTGCCCCACTAGGCGGATCGCCGCTTTTGAGATGTCTTCTTGGGCTAGGTTTCTTCCCTATGCAGCTGCAGAGGTCAAAGTCTTCACAAGCTCCATCTGAACAGAAGAACTGAACCTTGGATGCTACGAATTTGATTTGATAAGACAGAGCTTACTTTATTTTTTCCATGGATAAAACTCTGGACCGTTGCTGGGACAGGACTGGTAGCAAGGACTCGCTTAGCTAAAAGAGGCAAAACTCGCTTTCTCGCCCACAGCTTTCAACCCCCAATATCACAAATTTCAAAAAACCATTGTAAAACAATTTCTTTCGCAGTTGTTCTACAAAAAAGCTTCAAAAATTGTTGCAAAACAGCTGTAAAAGCAAAATATGTATCAGAAACCTCAAAAGAAGAAACCCCTGAGATGAAGTTCGCTGAGAGAGTTAATCCTTAATTCAAATAATTTGATTTAATTGAACTTACACCTAGACGGGACTCGAACCCGCAATCTTTGCCAATTTCCAGAATAAGAACACGAATATTCAGCCGGAAAGCAACGCTCCAAGGATGTTAGTATGGGATGAAAGCTTGGCGTTCAGATGAAACTTACCCTTACCATTAGGCCACCAGGCCAGTTTTCACTGGTCTTTGAACCGGAAAATCGCTTATTTGGCCCTATACTGCTCACCCATTTTTGGAATGTTTCGGCCAATCACATGCTTCCATTTCCTATTGTCCAGTCAAGGCGAAAGTGAGCTCTAGCATGTAAAATTTGGACCCCTTGTCAATCATAGTCCTAAATTGTGATATCGAAATTTACTGTTGCCTTTTCTAGCTTTTTAACCACGTGTTCATGAAATTCCTTGACTGTTATCTTAAAGCATCTGCGGAAAGACGTCTTGAAAGTGATCTATTGTGCCCTAAAAATTAGAAGGAATGCTAGTTATGTGTTCAACGCTGCACTTCTATCAATAGATTTGGCTCTAAGGGTTCTGAAATTTGAAATCCTTTCTTTGTGTGGTTGTGCTTTGTTGTGATATTGGAAAAAATAATTTGTCCTCAATGCAGCCTGACAACTTCAAGTGAAGGAAGGACAAAGCAAGGAGTAGGTGAGCTCTTATTCACGTTGATAAGCATTCCTGCAGATGCACCAACGGTTTCTTTTCGGTCTCCTGCCGGTTCAATGTGACCATTTGGACCGCTATAGCGTGGCCAGGCTTCACGCGTGATCCAGAGCTGTCTTCATAATGCGTGTCCTCAAGGCGGGAGATCCTTCTTCAGCGTGCTCATCATAATTTCTTCAGTCGCGTTGGAGCTTACCCAAAGACTGTCTTGATTGAGTTGTGCTTGTGGAAAAAGCCTCATGCCTCCGGAAAGGTCCTTTGACTATTGAAATTGGCTGGTGTTGCAGAAGTTTAAAACCGAATTTATTAGTGGCTTTTTTTTGGCTCGCCTTCACCATGGGCCCTAATTCTTAAGACTTTGCCTTTCGAATCTAGATGAAATCCGCCGTCAATTATCAAAATCTTCGATTTGGGGTGAAATTTGCTGTCAATCATTAATAGATTTCCTCCTTGATTTGAATGTACCCACCCTATTCCGGGGACCTACCTTCACCCGACGTCTGCAAACCCTCTTCATCCAGCACCAAATCATTACCGACTACGGTCTCTGCCCGTAATCCATGTTATAGGATATGTCTGCTGACACCGCAGACAGCCTTGTAGAATGTTCCCTGCTTGTAATAAAGGGAAATCTTCTCCTTGAAGCTTTACAATGTACACATCCTCAAATTGAACACATCAATTAGTATCATAGAAATGAATCGGATCGTAAAGTGAAATTGTTTTGATTTACATGTCAGTTCAACTCGGCCTGCAGCTCTATAAATCGCGGGAACGTATTATTACACTGCTGTCAATATGGCATCATGCCGAAAGTTTTGGGTATTTGGTCAAGCCGGTGCACTTTCTAGCTGACACTTCGATAACCTAAGTGTCCACACGTATGTTGGCATGGAACTTGAGAGCAAGAACAATCTCGAATCTGAATAGGTCTTGAGAGGTACAGATGATTCACGTGGAGCAATGAAGCCAAGACCGTGATCAAGTTGTAGGCATTTGGAAAGACAGATCACATCTCTGAAGACTGTGAAGCAGTATCGCAAGATTTCGTTTTGAGAGAATCAATGAATTAAGGTGGTAAAGAATAAGAACATAGAACATAAAGCAGAGCTTTTTGTACACATATGCAAAAAGAGAAGAAACAAGCTAAGTGAGCCAATTGTGTTATGAAAAACCTTCATCTACTAACTAACTACACCACTCTCGATTTTGACTTGTCTTCAGATACTTTAAGGACATATATGCTTTGATAAAGAAAGTTATCAAGGGATCAAACGGTTCAAAAACCACCCTTCGTACCGTGCACGTGCCCAAGCTGCGTTCGAGATAGGTCATTTGCCTTGTATAGAGTCATGATCGGCAGCTCTCGATCAGGAGGGAGAGGAGGTGAAGCCATGTCACTGGGCACTTGGATCTACCAAAATTTGGAAAAATGAACACCATTGGCCGGATGAAGGGTATCAAGAAGCACAAACCGAAAGGCCCTTTGCCCAAGCCTTACTTGCCTCTCCTTTCCTAGCGACAAATACAGCCTCAACCTCCGGAACTTCAATTCCCATCTCTTTCTCGACCTCCTTCACTCTCTCAATTACCACCCTAAACCATCCAATTTCCTTCCGTATCCTAGCGTTTAAGGTTTCCTCACTAGATTCACAAACTCACCATCCTCGCTCAACCTCTTGTCACAATGCATACTAAACACGACAATCATCCTCCCCAGAAAAGTACAGTACGTCCTTCTCCTTCTCCACGTAGTCATATCCTCCGCCCTTCTTCTCTCACACGGAATATTGCTTTTTGATTAAATCACGTGATTACAGACAGGTGGAGAACAGTGCGGGGAGTGTGTGGCTCCGGTGGGCAAGGCGGAGCTGGATTTCGGGATAGAACGACCTCGGACGGATCGTAGGTCCGAATCCAGGCTTGGAGGATGCCGGGTGTCGAGGTCTGAGGCGATGGGGTGGATGCGAGGTGGGTGTGAATCTGCTTGGGTGTAGGTTGCCATATCCGACATTTGAACCTGGATCTCGCGCGGAAGTTTGGGGAAGCACGTGAACTCACTGGTGCTAGGAGAGCAACAGATATCTGCCATGATAGGAGGTCGGAGTAGGGTTTGACTTGTCAGGTTGAGGTTCTATGAGGTTCTGTGAAAGGGCTGAGCTCGGTGTGGTAACCCTTAACGGTTGAGGTCGGGCCAGCTGAACACGTGAGGACTTCTCCTTACATTGAAAATGAATGAGATTTTGTTGCACGTCTAATCAGTCACAAGCCTGTTTTTGCATATGACGAGACGTCAATTACTGGGGTTCAAACCTGCTCTGCTGCTGGAGTTGTAGTGCAGCAGCTGAGGCTGATCAAAAATGCCTATCTTTGCGGGGTTGAGATCGTCTTTGATCGAGGTACTTTGAATTCACGTGAATCACCGAGGGCATAGTGGCTTGGCACAAGACATCCCATTGAAGGCATCCATTAAACCCAAACTAAACTAAACTACATACAAGCACGATCCAATTTTCAACCAATTCCCAAGCTAACATTACAGTGAACAATTCATAAGTCATACAATCGCAACCTTTTTAGTTCTTCTTTCCAGTGAGTGATTCCGTGACCATTCCAAGACCAAGACCTTTGAGAATGCCTTTGAGACCAAGACCACCCAAGAGGTTGTCAAGGAGACCACCGAGACCGAGGCCAGCCAGAAGTCTACCAACAAGACCCAACACACCGCTGAGGAGCAAACCAACAGCTGCGATAATCTGACCAAGTGGTTCTGAAATTGTCAGTGCTGCCATATAGATGGATTGAGAATGCTTACCAGCCAACAAGTTCCACAGAGGATTCAACTCCTTCTTGGCATGAGGCATGCCCGCGATCTTCTTCTTAGCATTGTCAATGGTTTGAGTAACGTTTCCAGCCAGCTCCTTGAGGACTTCAGCGAGACGGTACTCTTCTGGGGTGGCTTCTCTGGCAGCTGTCTTGTGCTTGGCGTTGGCTTGGATGCGTCCATCGGGATCAAGGCCACGGATAACACCGTTTGCTTCAGTCAAGATTAGACCGCCTTGCTCGATGAGTGGCTTGACGGTATCGACCAATTTCTGCTCGTCGAGCTCCTCTTTTGGTTGACGCTCGGCGGCGTCGATAGCCTATATTAATGTTAGGATAGGATTGATGGTAATATTTGAGTGAGCTCGACATACCTCTGTGATCATCTTCAAGATGGGGTTGATCTTATCAAGAGATTGTTGAATACACATAGCCAATTGGCCAGCGAGCTTCTTATCCATTTCAAGTTGTTTGCGCTCTGCAATCTCCTCGGGAGACTCTGTTGGCTCTGGCTCTGGCTCTGGCTCTGGCTCTGGCTCTGCCTCAGGCTCAGGCGGGATGTCCTCGAGGAGAGTTACGTGGCCGATGACTTGGTTTTTGAGATTATAGACGTCGCCATCTTCGTCAATCTCCTTGCCAGCACACTTTGTGATGTCGCCGTCTGTCAATTTTGCGATCACATCTCCTGTTCCGAGAGTTAGCACTGTATAATTAGGAAGATTCTGAAGGATGAGCCTCCGATGCTTACCATCTTCGTCAACGACATTGCCCTCGCGGTTGACCTTTCGGCCAGCGACAGGGTTGTGTGCCTTCTGTTTCTCTTCTGGCTCCCATCTCTCAGCACGACCGATTGTGTTGCCATTTTTGTCCAATACATCTCCATCATCATCAACCTCCTTGCCATAGAGTTGTTTTCCGTCGCCCTGTATGAGACGACCGATCGTAACGCCATTTGAGTCAGCGACCAATCCGTCCTTGGTGACTTTCGGGGAGTCGAATCCAGCGAATGGACCTTCCTTCTGGCCCGCTCTCTCGCTCTCAGGAACAAGTTCAGCACGACCAACGATGTTTCCGCCTTCACTCCAGACATTGCCATCCTTGTCGCACATCTTACCTGCAAGTTTCTTGGGATCTCCCTCGACCAGGCGACCATAGATTTCACCGTGGGAATCCACGACGTTGCCGACCTTGTTGACGCGCTTACCGGCCAGAGCCGACATGTCAATTTTCTCTGGCTCAGGGACGGCCTCCTCTTCAGGTCCATCCCATCTTTCGGCCTTGCCAAGTACGTTGCCAACCCTATCGACGACCTCTCCGTCTGGGTCGATCTTCTTCCCGATGAGCTTTTTCGCGTCTCCCTCGACCAATTTGCCAACAATCTGGCCTTCGTAGATGACGTGACCCTCCTTGTTGATAACTGCGTCTGGGAAATCTTCGAATGGCTTTCCTGTGATCTCGTCTCTTTCGTCGACAGGAATAAGTTCTGCGGTGCCGATGACTTTGCCCGATTCGGACCAGATCTTGCCATCCTTGTCGACCTTCTTGCCGATGAGCTTGGCTAGGGCGCCGGACACAACGCGACCGAAAAGCTTGCCGTTATCATCGACGACATTTCCGGCCTTGTTAACCTTCATCCCTTCCCTACAGACGTGATTAGTTTCTCCTTGCTGGTGTGAGGCCGGCTGCTTACATGGCGGAGAGATCCTCAACTTCCTCTGGGACCTCCTCTGGAGCGTCCTCTTCTTGGTAACGCTCAGCCTTCCCCAGGACGTTGCCGTTCTTATCCAAGACATCTCCATCGGCGTCAACTTTCTTGCCCTCCAACTTCTTGGCCTCGCCCTCGATGAGCTTGCCCACAATTCGGCCTTCGAACATGACATTACCCGATTTGTCGAGGACGGCATCTGGGAAGTCTTCAAAAGGTGCAGACGGCTCGGCTTCACGGTCCGTCTCTGGCAACAATTCTGCCTTTCCAATGACCTTGCCTGAAAACGAATCAGTAATGAAGACAAGATTGGGGAAATGAGGTCCACGTACCGGTATCGTCCCAGATACAACCTTTATCGTCAACCTTCTTGCCGAGTAGCTTCTTGGGATCGCCCTCTACGAGAACACCGAACGGAGTTCCGTCTTCAGACACGATCTTCCCGAGCTTGTTTACGGTCTTTCCTTTCAGGATTGACAGGTCTGGAACTTCGCCCTCGGGAAGCTCGCCCTCGACACCCTCGACTTTTGACTTGGCATCCTCGGGAACTTCACCTTCGAGACCCTCCACTTTTTCCTTGGCCTCTTCGCCCTCAGGTAGTTCGCCCTCGACACCTTCGACTTTTGATTTGGCATCCTCGGGAACTTCACTTCCAAGACCCTCCACTTTGTCCTTGGCTTCTTCGCCCTCTAGAAGTTCACCGTCGGTACCCTCGACTTTGTCCTTGACGTCTTCGCCCTCGGGAAGTTCGCCCTCTACACCTTCTACTTTGTCCTTAGCTTCTTCACCTTCGGGGAGCTCCCCTTCAACGCCTTCGACTCTAGACTTGGCATCTTCAGGCAGTTTTGAGCCGAGTTCAGAGCCAGCTCCTTCGGCCTTTTCAAGCACGTCAGGTGTGATTTCTGCTTTGCCAATGGTGCTTCCTATGTAAAATCGTAGTCAGTAAAGTTGCTTCTGATTACCGCGGAGCCGGATCAGACTTACCACTTTCACCCTTCAAGTTGCCTTCAGCGTCAATTTCCTTGATCGAGGTCCCTACAAGCTCCCGGGGTTCTCCTTCTGCGAGTTTCCCAATCACGGTACCTGTCGCATTTGTGATCTCGCCGTTGTCCTGTACGCCGAATGGTGCCTCGAGTTCAGGTGCTTCGACATCAGGCTTCTCGGATTCCAAGCCACCAATAGCTTCAGCGATCAAATCGGCTTTTCCGATCACGTTGCCCTCGGCATCTAAGACGTCCTAAAAGAACACAACAGTCAATAACGTTCTGAGTTGGGGTTCGTTTAGTGACATTCAAGCGAGGTAGGTATTCTTACACCTTCTTTATCCACCATGGATCCTTTTAGCTGTTTAGCTTTTTCGCCAGTGACACTGCAATTCCACGGAGTCAGTATAACTTGATTCATGTAACCACAACTTGCGAGACATTTTGGAAGAAAAGAAATCTTGATGGTGCCGCGACTCGCGAGCCGTTCGGGAGGGGTACGGATTTCCATTTTATAGCAATTCGTGAGACATTCGGGGCCGAATGAACTTTGCATGTGCCATGAGTAGCGAGAGGAAAATATATCCTAGAGAATACTCACTGTCCAACAACCTTTCCTGTTTCATCTACAACTCGTCCCTCTTCGTCAACGCTGCCCGCAGCTTCAGTTCCTTCCTCCTCATCATCGACCGTCTCGAGTTCGTCAACATTTTGTGTTCCGTTATCAGTTGCCTCGTGAGTCTGGCTTCGAACATCATCGATATGACTTGACGCTGGTGCTGCAGCTTCGGTTGCCTTCTTTTTGGCAGCTTGGGGAGAACCAGCCAGGCTGCTTTGTTTGGACTGCCTTGGCAAGTTCTGCTGCATTGGTCTTTGCGCGATATCTGCCATGTTGGCGATGTGCTTTAACAGTGATAGGACAGTATGGAGACCAGCGGAAATGTATTCTATGATTTTGCTTTGATATTGCGATTTGGGCTTTGTTCAAAGACGCACGGGTATATTTTTGTTTGAGGGTGCGATTTAATTTCTGAAAAGGATCCTCAGGAGAGATGTGGTTATATGAGGGAGCTCAAAACTTCTTGCTCAGTACCGAAAGTAAAACGAATAGCTACGTCATGTGGGTAGCTGCAGGAACTGAAAGCCCCTCATTGCACGTTCATAGCTATGCTCCAGGCCAGAAAGCGTGGTCTTACATCACACCACACAGAACTCTCCGTCAAGGAGGGTCAGGATGAGCTGTAGGCTCCTCTCCCCAGCCAGGATGAGGTCGATCGGGGTCTCCATCAATTTCGATATGATTCATGAGAAGTCTTTGGACAGGGGAAATAACAGGCTTTCCAGAATCGAAGACGGGGAGAATATTCATAGCTCCAGGCTCGTAGGGACACTAGCTCCCGCCTGGGAAGCTGGATGATCAGCGAGGCGATCAACGAGCCACACTTGTGCCCTGCAATTATAGGGTGTCCGAGACGTAACGGCGTCGACTGCCAACTGCGCAGTGTGTCGATCAAGGAAACCCTTGAGGCTTGACATTGATGTCGAAGTTGCTTCAAGAGTGGCGTTTGCGTGTCCAGCCGCTGTGGCTGGACAGGCGAGTCAGTAAGCTAGTCCGTATTGGGCACTGTTTTGAGGTGACCAGGGGGCGGCAAAAGATGCCCCCTTTTTCCTTCCCGAACAGCCCTCCCCAGCCTGTGGCTCTCCACCACACCAATGACCACCATCAGCATCATGAACCCATCGGAAACTCTCATCCCACGCGTCAGCAGAGCACAATCCCATGATTTCCTTGTTTTGATCCTTTCTGATAACGCAACTGTTGCAGCAGACCCCGCCATCGAGGATTGTCCCGATCGCGATTCACCAGCCTCATCCTCATATCCCAGCTCCCCAGGTAATCCAGACCTCCCGAGGCGGTGGAGGACGCCGAGTCAAGTGACGAAAGGCCTCCGTGAGCACTTTACGGACAAAGGACAGATAGACTCGGACACGGTTGATGTACAGTACCGTTGGCAGATGCACAACCGTGTTCTTCTTCTACCAAGCGGCAAGACGGGACACTCGTTTCAAATGGCTTGGACTGAGGCTGCGTAACAACATATCGTGCAGCAAGGGCCGGAAAGAGGAAGCCGCTCTTATTTCTCAAGTGAGCTTACTTCGTGCAATGATGACGATTGATTGGCACATCTGAACGTACTGTTCATGCATAGGAGCTTACCTCGTCCAGTGATCTTCAAGTAGCCCTGTGAAGTGGTGAGCCACACCTCAGTTTGGAGTGCCAGTGGAGCACGGCCATCTTCCCAGTTTCTTTGCCACCTAATATCCTACCCCGCTTGAACCCTGACTTGGAGTGAGGCAAAGATCGAGAAGCTCAGTCGGTCATCGAGTGCCGGTATTCCACCCTCGTCATAGCTCGTCGCAAAAAGTTAGAAAGCAATAAGTAGATCCTTTTGGAATCTATTATCAAGTCAGTTAACCAATCTATACCTTCGAGAGATAAGACCGAGCTTTATCATTGCCTATAATTTTCGTCTCGAGATGTCCACTCCCAAAATCCCAAAAACACCACTCAATTCCTCCGACCAAAACGTTGCAGGCACGAAATCGCCGAAATCGGTCAAGAAGATGATTCCTTCAAACCCAGATTCGACCCAGGTCAAGAGACGTGTCTCGAAAACCACTCAGGATGCGAGCTCGAAGCTATCGCAGGCCCAAGATCAGGCATCTCCAGAGCAGCATACGAAGACTTTGAAGCAAAAGCTTCCCAAGGCCCCTTCAGAGAAGCCTCCAGAAACCCCTTCCGTAGTTTCAGAGGCGTCGCAAGCCCCGTCAGCGACTCCCGATCCATCCACACCAAGTTCCCAGAAGAAAAGAATCATCAAAAAGAAGAAGCCCGCACCTCCACCCTCCGAACCTGACAGCCAAGCTGCACAGGACCTTGCAGACCAGCAACCAGAACCAGAATCACTCGACACTCCAAAGCAAAAGATCAAGCCAAATACTCCACAGAAGGCAGACTCGCCATCACCAAAGATCCTTAAGAAGAAGAAACCTGCACCAATTCCGGAGCCAGAGCCCGAGCCTGAACAGGAAGAGATGGAGCCAGAACCCGAGCCAGAACCGCAACAAGAGGAGGAGGAGGAGGAACAGCCAAACTTGCCTTCACCAAAAACGCTGAAAAAGAAAAAGCCGGCACCAATTCCAGAACCAGAGCCAGAGCCACAGCAGGAGGAAGAGGGGGAAGAACAGCCAGAGGAAGATGAACAAGAGGATAATGAGGCTGAAGACGATTACGACGACGAGGTTCACCATGACCAGGATGAAGACACCGAAACTTACGAACATTCCGATGAGAATGAGCAATCTGCCCAATCCGAAGGGGGCCATGAGGAGTATCACGATGCAGATGAAGAGGACACACAAGGTGCTCCATTGAACAGCGTTCAAGACACTGCAAAGGATCTCCCGAGCAAAGCCAAAGATACTGCCGGTAGTCTGCCAGAACAGGGCCAGCAGGGGGTTTCAAAAGCATCCAAGACTGCTAAAGGAGCAACTGACAACGCTCAAAGGCAGGCCCAAGACGTCGGCGACAAGACCCAGTCCACCGCAAACGGTGCGACCGACAAAGTCAAGTCTTCTGCAAAAGGTCTCACTGATAGCACTCCCGACCTACCCGCCGGCCTACCTAGTGGAGACGCAGTCTCCAAGATCGCCAAGAAATCTTCTCAAGACACTGCTGGCAAGACGTCAAAGTCTGCTACTGATGCTGTGGGCGGATTGAAGAAGAAATCCGGTGGGCTCTTGAGCGGGGCCCCAAATACAGACTCGATTGGGCAGCAGGCAAACGATGCTACCAAATCTGCTAAATCGACCGTTGACGGGGGTGTCAAGGAGGCAAAGAATTCAGCGCCTAATATTGGCGGAGATCAAGCCGACAGTGCATTGGATAAGGCAACTTCTACCGCAGGGGCCGCGGGTTCTAAAGTTCAAGACAGTGCCGGAGATGTAACCAAGAAGGCCCAAGGAGTCGCTGGAGATGTGAAAGACAAGGCTCAGGGAGCGACTTCGCCTCTTGGATCTGCCTTGGGGGGTGTCACCGAAGACCCACAAAGCATATTCGGCTCTACCAGAGAGCAGTTGGGAGGCATCACAAATGGAGTGCAAGACAGTGCGGACCAAGCAGCCAACGGTGCTAGCGGGGCTGCAAAAGATGCCCAGGACAAAGTTGGTGGCCTCGCAGATCAAGGGAAGGGTCTTGCCGATGGCGCAACCTCGAGCATTACAGACAAGCTCGGAGACATTTCTTCACTCGTTGGCAATAAAGTTAATGATTCAGGAGACATCGTGGATAGCTCTGGGAAGGCATTGGGGAAGGCTTCCGGGGATTTGAAGTCAATGGCGGGCTCAAAAGTCAACGAGACAGGTGAAATCGTCAATTCTTCAGGACAGGTGGTTGGGAAGGTCGCAGACAAAGCAATGAGCTCAGTCCCAGGACTCGATGTTGTGCAATCAGCACAGGGAACAGAGATCAAGACGAGTGGTGGTAGTGGCGGTGGGATCGAGATCACGTTGCAGACTACAAGGGAAGGAACTACGCTCACGATTAAGATTCCTGGCGCTTTTCAACAGCAGTAATTATAGCCTGGTTATGGATTTGGTGGTTTCGATTTGATTGTTTCTAGTTCTAATTCAAAAGTTCGGATTGTAACTTCCACTTCCACTACTACCCCGCAGCGCTATCTACATGGTGATGGAGATTACTGGCAGTTCTTGACGGCGGCCGTCGTATTGGCTTTTCTGATGTTTGTATTTGGACGTATGACTCGTTATTGATGAAGTAGTACTAAAGAATTAATGTGCAATGCCCTCAATTATTTGAAGTGCTGAAGTGCCGAAGTGCTGAAGTTCTCAGTATTTGCATAATTGAGAAATCCAAACCCCATCCAGCGAAGCTTCTTTACACTTCCAACCTTTCACATGCTAAACACTGACATCAGGATCCCTCCCTCTATTACGAAATTTATCCACCCCTAAATCCGAACAGGTTCTTTCAGAACAGGTTTCACAACATCAAGAAAGATTCGAGCCCAATACGTCAGCCACAGATTCGCCACCATGCAACTTCCCCCTCCTCTACCACATCATCAACCACCGTTCTGCTTCCCATGCCAGGCCTCCCTGGAAAACTTTCTATGCAGGGTTCTCCAGATCGGAGGGGCCGGATATATGCCGATCCAAAATTTAGTTAAGCTTTGGGAGGCAAGTGTGTTCCCTTCTTGTGATCTTCGACATCCTGGCCCCGACACTGAGAAAAAGTGTGGCATGTTTACTTTCAATTGCTTTGATCGCCCAAGATAGAAGTGAGGTCAAAGATAGCAAAAGCAGACCCTGTTGAATTCAGTGTTCTAAATAATTGAAAGCCAACACGACATGATGATTAACACATTACTTCTCTGCTTTATTCATGGCTTCAAGGGAGATGAAGAGACTTTCTTTCAGTTTCCTGAGGTTCGTCATTTCCACCAAAAGTTTTCGCAGGAAACATTTACTGACTGCCGCCATACAGGACCTGAAAAATGCAGTCTCGGAGAAGAACCCAGAGCTCAATGTCCAGACTCGGGTATATCCCAAATACGAGACCCGGGGCGACCTTGCAGCATGCGTGGAAACATTTCGAGAATGGCTCCAAGATCAAGTCACAAATCTGGAACGCAATGCTGCAACACCATCAGCAATACTTGATCCCTCTGTGAGCGTGATTCTCGTATCTCATTCAATGGGGTAGGTACATTTTCCAGATTTCTTCTCTTCATTTACTGACAAGAACCCAGAGGTTTCGTCGCAGCAGACACCCTCTTCTCCGTCCTCGACAACACGCCCGTCTCCTCCAATCCCAGACAAAAACTCATGTTCCCCCTAATCCAAGGCGTCATGGCCTTCGACACACCTTACAATGGTCTCTCCCGCTCCATGTTCGCCTACGGCGCCTTCTCGCAATACCAAAACATCTCCTCGATTTGGAACGTCCTGTCCAGCATCTCCACCTCCTTACCCGCATTCATGGGTGCCGCAGGATCAGCATCTGCTTCCTCAGGCGCCGCCTCAGCTGCAACATCCTCAGCCAAGATCGCTACAACCCAGAACAAGACGTCTTGGAAGCGCTGGCAGCTCCTCGCTGCTAGGACAGGGACAATTGGTGCCATTGCTGCCGGTGGAGTTGCTGCGTACATGAACCGCGAAGCGATTCTCAACTCGCTGTCCAAGATCAACAGAGAGAATATTTCGAGTATCAACTATAGAGAAAATCTTGCTAGGATCCCGAATATTAAGTACAAGGAGAATATTTCTCAAGGTTTAGCCTATGTGAGCAGAGAGAGTATTGGAGAGGGATTCGCGTGGATGGCATCGCATCTCAAGTTCGTCGGGGCACTGATGAAGCAGACGCAGCTTACTACGAGGCTTGAAAGACTGAGTCAGTTGGAAGGTGTCGGACTTGTCAATATATATACCTCTCTAGGCGAGAATGGTTATTGGAGTGGAGGGTACTTCGTTCCAAAGAGGACATTCTGCGCTATTCCTACTGGAAAGGGGCAAAGTAGGCTGTTCATCGAGCAGCCGAACCCAAAGGCAGAGAACGAGATTGAGGCGCATTGTAGCATGTTCAAGCCGAACAAGAATGAGAAGTATGTAGAGATGCTAGAGAGGAGTCGGGAGCTTGTGCTTGAGTGGGTCAAGCATGATCCTAGGATGGTGGTTGATGAATATAAGCCGAGCCGGGAGCAGTTGACGAGGAGCCGAAGTGAGAGTCAGCTTTGGGACGACGACGGGGTGGTTAAGAGCCCCGAGGGAGAGAAGGATGGGATGAAGGGTGGTGAAGAGGATGAGGATCAGTTGGATGCTATTCTGAAGAGTCAGGATATGCCGCAGCCGGAGGATGGAGGGGTGAATGACGAGGAGTTGAAGATGGCTTTGCAAGTACCGCTGCCTGTTGATCAGGAAGCGATGCAAAGTGAGGACCTGGAACAGGCTGTGAAGATTCCATTGCCCAATGATGATGAGATCTTGAAGGAAGTGAAGGAAGAGATATGATTTGGTTCAAATTTCGTCAACGCTGCATAGCTGGTACTTTCTTGAGTATAGTTTGGGATAGATTTGAGAGTGTTAATGTAATGAACAACGGCCAGAACAATCTCGCAGGGTATCAGAGTCTAAGAAAAACTCAAGAACTCTCGGGAAGTATTCAAACGTTCCCCCTCAGAAAGCTCTTGTCAACATTACTCCCGACACTTTCGCCAACGCCCCCTTTCCCGAATTGACCCCCTACTGCCTCCCCAATCTCTCGCTGAGCCCTATCAATGTCCTTGTTTCCAGAGACTTCTCCCTTTCTCAAAGTGTCTGACCACATTAACATCCCACCTCAAACCTCTGAATTTGAAAGCTTACCTTTGACACCATAGCTTGTCCTATTCTCCCCAAAGTACTTTAAGTACGTATCCTCAACCCACCTCCACGCCTTGTCATAATAACTATCACTCTTCTTCTTCATCGATTTCATTCCCTCCATTCTGACTAGTTCTCTTCAGGAAGTATCTCAAATAATTGGTTCTAGAGTGATGGCTGGAGCGGCACAAAAAGCGATGATTTCACCCTTCAAAACAGCTCGTCCGAGCTAAGAAAGATATACGCATCTCTCTAACGAAATACCTGCTTCTCTGCACTTCAACGCGATATGACGTAAATGATCGTGGGGCTGGCGAGCATGATGTGGCTTGAGACAGTTCACCAGCGGGGAACCCTTCCCATCCCCTGCACCTTTCAATTTCGAAACTCGACGACTGGCACGATTATTTCGTACGCTAACGATGGCTCCAGTGATTTGCTGTTGAGCTTTGACAGGCATTGCTGAGCTACGGATTTATTAATCGAGGTGGTGATAACCGCTTGCCGCATTGGGAACGGGATTACGTGAGGAGTGCCATATATGTTCCGGGATGTCTGCACGCCTCGTAAATTCTCCTCAGCCACATGCAGATCGGTGCAAGCCACGAATGTTCTGGAATCAAGCCCCTTTCGCAATCGAGGGATCGGGAGGGGGTCGGTCATGCTTTTTGGAAGTGGCGGGGATTTTTTTGGTGTGAGTGGAAAGTGCAACACTCGAGCTTTGAAATTTTGGTGCTCAAGGAATCGCGAGTAATATTTCGTATCTTGTCATTTTGTGGATGCTATACTATGCTGAAAACAATTCCGTAAAGACTCCAGAGCTCGACAAACCCAAGTCCCACCCTTCCTGAACGCCGTTCGTTGTCAAGTTCATCATAGAATCGGATCCCCCTTCTGCATCCGCAGCTCTTTCCTCGTCAACTCTATCTCCATTATCCTCTTGTCCAGCGGCACCTTCTCTTGTAATCCATCATCATCCATATCAAAGTACAACGCCCACTCGCCCTCCTTCTCCTCGACGACTGTAAATCCTTCCCACCCATCAAAGTTCAGCCGTCTGTCAATCGGCGTGACATTCCACGGTCCAACATGATGTCCTTGTGCTTCCACCTTTAGCCCATATTTCACTTCGTATGTGTCTTTGTCCACGTATATCCAGTTGAGTTGCGGCGGATCGTCTTGAATGGTCGAGACATATCCATCGCCTCTTCGGCCCCATTTGGACTCGGGGTAGGGGAAGAAGTATCCTGCTAGCTGGTGGCCTTGCTCTTCTACGTTGTCTTCTCCTTCGTCGGGTAGGAATTTTGACTTCGGGTTCACGTTCGTCACGTATACCTAGAGAAGAAACGTCGGTATGTGAAGTTGAGATTTGTGAGCGATCAAAACCTAGGAGGGCCTACCTTCTTGTTCCGCAAAACGACTGTTCCTCCATGTATGTCGCGACTTTTCCGTGAGGGATCATTGCAGGTGACGAGGAGATTCGCCTTGCGACTTCTGTGCCGTTCTCGAGCATTTTGCTTTTGTCCTGAGCGAACTGCTTCAGTTGTCCCAATGATCGCCGGACATGCTGCGATGGATGTGATTATCCCCAACACCATAGTGGGGAAGGAGGCTCAAAGTGTATATATAGATTTATAAATACGAATTATCGAAGGTAAATTTGATGGGAAAAGACCTTTGAGAGTCTAGAACATGTTCATGAAGAAGAATGCATGAGTTGGAAAGGCGCATGGTCGACAAGTCAGGCACAGGGTGCGCCTTACAGTTGTTATGACAACATCAACAAAGGGATTGTCGTGACCCCGCGCGCAGCTGCATGTCTGAGACCCTTTCCGAGTATTCGACCAAGTCCCTGTAGGAATGGTGAAAGCGGCTGCGACGTAAGCTTCAGAAAAGGGGTCATGTTTACAGCAATAATTTCTTCTTTCAGCTTAGTGAGGAAGTTGGACTCGAGATCGAGATCTGATGTGTTCAGAACGACTGTGTGACTACACACGGATCAAGGAATGCGCAAATCTTACAAGGGTGAGGTTCAACCTTGTTGGAGGGATTTACATACCTGCAGGCAGACCAAGCATAAATCGGGAGAGGTGAGAAGTGGAGCGATCAAGTGGGGGACTAGCGGCTGCCTAACCACCGCCAACACTTTACTGTACATGGGAACCAAGGCGCCGCGCAACCCCGATTCCAAAGTAACTGAAATTAACACTACATCATTTGAAGTTCAACATGAAATAATAAGCGCACAGCTCGTAGGCTGGAACATTTGGGGAATATCCTCGCCTGCAAAAATGAGGTGGTCGAGTGGAGAGGCAACTCGCCAAGCGGACGCATGACAGCCATCCACGCATCCCCGGATGCGGATCGGGACAACCCCTTCGATCGAACACTGTGCGGAGATTTATGACGCAACACAGTCAGCTCACACCAATAGAGGGTGAATAGAGTGAACAAATAGAATCTGTCCACTGTGCTCATGAAGAAGCCCCATGAATACCCTGAGGTTCCTGAACCTGTTTTCTGCAACCCCTCGTGGCAAGTGAGCTTCCCTAGAGCATTATCTTGATTTCAAGCTATGGCGTAAGAGTTCACCTTCGTCGTCATAGGTACCGATGAGCAGATAAGTATGCCTCTTTTCATTCTTATTTTGCAGATACCAAACAACTCTTGAAAACTTTTGATACCCCAATATCGCTTCTCCTGAAACTTCATTCAACCACTATCAACTAAACAAACTACCAGCCTCCAACTTCAAAGACTTCCACAGATCACAATCTCAAAATCACATCTTCGCCATGTCTGATAAGTGAGTTGACTCCGGAGCTCAGTTCCGACGGCCCATACTAACAGTTCAGCAGCGAAAAGCAACAAGTCTTGCAAGAGGACAACAACTACGAGTACGCATCTGATACCGACGAACAACCAGAGCAACAACAAGTCGCACAGGCCGCTCCCAGGCAGGGTCAACGAACGATGCAGCGCGCTCGGCAAAACCAAGCTCAAACACAACAGTTCCAAGCACCGCAGCAACAGCCCGCACAGCAACAGATGGTACCTGCGATGGACCAACGCATGACCGGCAACATGGGCGGCAGGACTGGAGCAATCCGCGAGTCGAGAATCAAGGACAGGCCACAGCCAAAGGAGGAAAGAGACAGCAGTTTGAAAATCAAGATCGAGCTGGATCTTGAAGTCGAGGTAGATTTATATGCCAGGGTCAAGGGAGACGTCACAATAGGCCTGATGTAGTAACTGTTTTGTAGGTGGACCTTTATGCTAGAGTCAAGGGAGATGTAACAATCGGCTTACTGTGAGTGACAGAAACGAATTCCCATCAACAGCGCAGTTTCTGATACATGTCAGTAGATGAGTGCTGAGGCACATGATTTTGGCGGTGTCTTCTTTGGGATCCATGTACTTTAGTTAAATGTACCCAAGGCGCATGAAGGAAGAATAGAACTATTTTGCCTCAATATGTGAAAATCATGTGGATATGATTTGGTCTGCCGTCGACAAAAATCAGCCCAGGCAACGGTGTTCCCCGGGAATGCATGCAGCCACGATCATCATAATGTCTCAGCCTGCCGCCCTCTACTTCGAGGGTCCCAACACGAACTGCAGGCAATCCTTGGCCGGACCACATCGCTCCTTGAGAGGTTCGTTGCGCTGTTTCGCGGCTCAATCTAATCGCCCATGTGCCACCCGTGCATTTAGAAGTGTCATAACTGTCGGGCATTACGCCGACAGTGGGTGGTGCGTGCATCCCACTGAGGATGCAATGCAGCAGTCTCGAACAGCCTGCAGCCCACCCACACGCAACGCAAGACTTCTTGTGGGTTCTTGAACAGTTGATCATCCCGTCGAATGTGGAGCGACGATGTTTCATGCCCCCCTTTCGGATGGATCGAGCGGTCGACGTTGGAAAAAACGCGTCTTCGCTTACAAACCTTACTGGCTTGCTAGCGCTGATCTGCTCGCCTGTCTGCGAGATAAGTGGCCATGCATCTATTTGCACACGGCTATAATTGCCTTGCGAGTCCAAGGAAAACCCGTAGCAAGATTCCCATCCTACGCCAGGTTGAGATCGGGGAATCCCATTGATGGACGTCCCAGCGGAAACGGCATACCCTCGGGTGGTAAAGTACTTCCAACTCGTAAATTCTCATTTGGGTGAAGTGAAAGTGCAGCGCGAGGCAGTGAGTGGCCTTGGAATGGCCTCACTCCAGCCAGACGAGATAGACACACTCTCCTCTTGATTAGTGGGATTTTATGGCGGGGTGGCTGACCCGTCGCACGGTCATACCCCACAAACTGAATCAACGGCCGACAGCCCGAAATTTTGCCCGGCTGAGTTCCAAGTTTTTATCCCTGACGTGCATCAGAGCCAAGGCTACGTAAGCGTAAGACAAGGGTTTCTGAGAGGAAAGAGGGGTACTCCCGTACTCATTTTGTAACACCCATGAAATGCCAATTTTATCTTTTCCATTTCTTGAAAATGGGGGAAACGAAAGTCCATTAGCCAAACAACTCTTCTCATATTGGCTCGTGCTGGGTTGTGGGCCGGATCAATGCGTGACAAGCAGGTTTTCTGTAGCATTAAGCGGAGGGCCTCTCCGAGATTTCCGAGACTCGAGATATCGGGTGCCCAGCTCGAAAGCTTTGATAAGTTCACATAAGCCGTCCAGACGCATCCCTTATCTACGCCGTTGGTGAAGGTCGCAAAGAGATGAAGATTTTAAAATTCTGTCTGGGAGGACAAAACAAGCTTTTACTAGTGTCAAGCGTCCTGCTAATCGCACTTGGGGTAGGGCCAGTATATGGCGGGAGACGTAGCGAAACTCTATTCCTTTTTCCTCTGAATTGCGGAGTTGCATCCGTCGCAAGACTCAGAACTAACTATACTCTAGTCTGAAAGAAGGCGCACGATCAATGTGGCATGCGGAGCTTCGATGCGGACTGTTCACTTGTTAATACGCAAAAGTGTATAGGAATCTGATGTCTCCCAGGTAGTGACAGACAGCCAAAAAGTCGACCTGAAACTCGCATCTGTCCTTATGCCCATGCAATCCCACAATAAACATCCCAAATCTCCCAAATAGCCCCTCGATACGCCGTCGCAATATGATCCAAATATTTGAACCGGAAGAATTGAAGTTCCAACCCGAAAGACTTAAAATTACTCCCTAATTCCGGTGTCAGTGATTCCATATTGCCGGACCAAGCGGACAACACTCACAAGAAAGTAATAGTAACATCGCCTTGGATTTTTGCTTTCAAAAAGATCTCAATCACAAGGTTGAGATCAAGTTTTATGGACATCGGTCTCGGTTTCTCCTCCTCTTCCTCCTCGCTGGAACTCTCGTCCTCGGTCTCGGATTCCTTGACCTCGGCTTTTTGCTTCTTCTTTTTCTTCTTTTTTGAAGACTTCTTCTTCGACTTCTTGTCTTCAGAAGTGGTTGTTCGAACTCCAACAGGCCGTCCACTCGAAGAAGCAGCTTTCCTCAAATTGAAAGCTCGTATCCCCGTCTCAAAAGGCGTTGGTTGCTTCTCCGGTTGCTCCTCTGGTTGCTTTTCCTCCACCTTCTGTTTCCTCGCGGCACATTCTGGACATGATGTCCCGTTCACTTGTGTCTCTTCTTGATCCATCTTGACCTCCTCTCTGTGTTTTGGTTCTGTTGAAATTTCCGGTTCTGGTATTGGGGGCATTCGGCTCGCTCTGATGTGGTTTGTGGTACTCTGTTTTCGGCCTCCACGTTGATACTTTCTACGTTCTGTAACTGCGTCGTCTTCGGATTGTTCAGAATCTACATCCGAGTAATCGTCAGGAAGCGGTGGGTTTGTCGGAGGAAACTCTTCTGTTGTCGCATCCATTTTCGATCCCAGAAGTCGTTTGATACCAGCGTAATCACAGAATAATCGCACACGTACAGCTGGAACTGTAAAGCTTCATCGAGCTGCGAAAAGAAAGAAGTTTGGCCAAGACGACATGCCTCGGAATGAGGTCACCGCAATTGCACGAAGCAGTCGGGGACGGGACGGGTGCCGCTGTATCAGGCGGTTCGACGCGAAACTCCAATCGAGCCCCCTGAAGACTAGGCGTTCCCAGAACAAGTTTCGAGAACCTTTTATCAGAAGCTAACTTGCCGGAAAGCTAGCATTCCCTGCAAGGCTTTGTCTTATCCCGCTCAAAATAGCGGTAGCGCTCAGTCCTCCTGCTAGCTTCCCGTCATACAGCTGATCATAAGTAATGGGATCACCCGAAAGGCTCCAGCCACAAGAAACGTCCGAGCACCAGGCCACACCGCGGCTTCAATTAACATGAGGCAATATGCGCCATCTTATCATTTCCTAATTTAGACGATTTTCCAACCTCGCCACATGCTCGTCCTTGGCCAGAGCATCCCACCTCTGACGAATGAGCAAAAGATCATCCTGACAGGCGACCGACACCGAGTAAAATAAAGGGAAGAAACCGCTGTAAATGCGAGTTCGTGCCCATTCTGAAACAAAAAATGTGATGTCTGTGGGGCCGAACGTAGCCACTTGAACGGCACACGGGTCGACATCCCAGCCCCCCGTCTCGATCATCGAAATCGTGCCAATGGCAAAGTTCTCAACTTCTGCATGCAGAAGGATCCCACAAATGAGACAGCTTGCCGAAGAAGGATTTTTGATCTGTCGTCACCTTAGTTGTGAACTTGATTCTCGAGGACTTTCTGACCAGTGACGGGACTTGAGATTTATTATCCCAGCAAAGGCAACCGTATGAAAGAGAAATCGAGAAGATCAAAGAATGCCATGCCGCGACATATGGGGATCACTGACTGATCGGATAATGGTGGGACACTCGGGACCGATATTTTTTATTGACTTCAGAGCGGGGCAATCGTTGGGCTTCCTCCACTCACAGCTTGAAATCCCAACTTTTAAAACTTGGGATACCGATGCTTCGACTTTTTTTTTTTTTGCACATCAGATATTATTGAAGTAACTCGTATCAACTTTGAGAATGACTAGCAGAGCTACCGTTCTTACACTCTGGGTTCTGCGTGGCGGATTGTCCGCGTGTAAACAGCACGGGACACAGGACTAACCAACTTGTCACTTAACCACCTGCAGCTCCCGGACATCTCGTGACAAATACAAAATACAGAAGACAAACTTCAAAACAGTCTGAAGGATAAAGCTACCGCAGCCTTCTTGCCTCCGAGTTTTGCATGATTGGAGATTCCCTTTAGGCCACACGTCACCGCCACACGGCCAAGACTCCCACAAGACTTCAGAAGCACCGAGCATCCACGAAATTACAGACAATTTATATCCTGTAATAGCAAATGACACTAGCGAATTCTTCTTTGCTAAATAATTCTTAAACCAAAATCTTGGTCTTGATGTACCAGAAAGGTGCTGTGGCTGACTTCCCGTCTCCCACCACTCCATGCAACCAGTTCCGAGCTGCTGCAGCATAGACAGCCCAATCCCTCCCCGACACCACTGAGACAGACAACTAATCCTCCTCAAGAAACCTGTTTCCAGCCACATCTCAAACATCCCTTTCCAGAATCCTTCCATGATCGTCGACGTGCCACACTTCCCCCAAATCATGACGCCGCAACCATCCTCCCTCCTCTCCGAAACCTGTTTCTTTACTCCCTCCGCTGATCCAAAGATCTAGAACTCTGCAAGGTGCTATACTACACATATCCATAAATTAAAAGCGTCAGACGGAGATCCAACACCTCGCGTGAACCTTCCCTCCCCCAACCCGCCAACTTATTGGCCCTCAAACCAAGACCTCAGCCCACAACCGTTACAAACCGCAGACCCACTAGACCCTGCCTCAGTCCCTGGAGCACATCAGCTCACCCCACCATGCTGAACAGCCACGTAATGAGAGGTCGATATGACTTCACAGCTCAGGATTACAGCTTGGGATCAAGTTTCGAGGCGGAGGCAACTGTGGCTGACCGATTGCTCGATCTTCAGGCTCAGCCTTCTCTGATCCAGAGACGCAACGATCAGAAGACTAACAAAAGTCTGATTGCGGGCGGCGAAATCTTGATTGAATGGTTAGTAATAAGGGTATATCTTGACTGAAGTTTCTAGGGGTCTTTTTAATCAACAATCCTCCTGTACCTAACTTCCAGAAAACTATAAATTTCCCCAACCAAAGCAAGCATTTGATCCTTTCATACTTCAAAACACATCAATCGCAATGGCCGGCCTACTAGGAAACCTCACAAATAGCCTCGACAATACACTCACGGGCGGCGAGAAAGAGCAAGGCCAAGGCGGTCTCTTGGGATCTGTCGGCGGCGCTGTAAACAATACTGTTGACGGTGCAGGAAAGACTGTGGGACAAACCACAGACGGTCTTGGGAATGTTGTCGGTCAGACTACGAATGGAGTTGCTGATACCGCGGGGAAGACAACTCAAGGTGTTGGAAATGCTGCTGGTGGTGTGACTGAAGGTGTCGGGAATACGGCGAGTGGTTTGGGCAGCACTGCTGGTGGGTTAGCCGGCGGTGCTACAGGACAACAGAAGCAGCTGTAGATGTGTGAAATATCTGAGACGGGAATGATGGAGAGTAATGGGATGTGTATGAGTATGGGGAGATGTTATGTTGACAAGGTTGCGGAAGCTCAAACTTCGACCGAGAAGACACCTTCACTTTTAGATAGTTGAAAAGTCTTCTGAAATAGTCCTGTTACTATGATTGCAGGTCCATTGCAGTTGTGAAATTCTCGGTGTGCACGTCCTATTCCTTGGGCTAGAGCCTGCCGGCACTGAGCGCTCCCCTGAACTGCGCACATCAGCACTTGCCTGAAGGGCATCGGGACCCTCAATTGCTAGGCCTTTACACCTACCAGCGTTCTTCCAACCCCTACTGCATTCCTCATCTATACCAACATTTCCGCAAAAGTTCGGTGCAGGTATTTGCAAAGTTTGGATCGTCGCTTCTACACCTTTTCACTTGTTATCCTTCCTCCAGTATTTAGCAACTTTCTTCTACACCTGGTGTCGGCGGTGATCCCATGAATTCCCTTCCAATTATTACTCTGTACCTTTCTTGTCTATTGAAGAAGGATGCTTTCAGTTAATGAAGCTCAGCCGGCACTGCCTGGATCTCCCCCAACAACACTTCAAGGCTTCAGAGACACTTTTCGACAAAACACACCCTCCTCAATCACGTCAAGCAGCTTAGGACACGGTTCGGAGGATCTTCTTTCCTCGCGGGGCAAACACGAAGCTATGGAGGTAGCTCAAAGAACGGTCTCTTCAGTGCCTATCAACTGTCTCCGAACCACCAACGCCAAAATCCGTCGACGCATCTTCACCAGCAATGCCCCGGCCAAGTACATCACTCAAGTCCCCTATCTCCGTAACCCTCCCATCAGCCATCCTAACTAACACATCTCTCCCACTCTTCCAACCTTTCTTCAACGCACCAAGTCGATGCGAGATCTCAATATCGGTATGTCCCTTATCTGTAAACTCCTGTTGTATAATATCATAAATTATTGCTTCGGTTTCCTCATCTAGAGATGAAGTAGCTTCGTCAAGCAGAAGGATAGGTTTGATTATGGCGGGGGTCGGGATATGGTCGGTGTATGGGATTGCATTGGGGAAGGAGGGAGGTTGGGCACGAAGCACCGCGCGAGCGAGGGAGAGGAGTTGCTGTTCGCCAGTTGAGAGTTGTGGGAGGGAGGAGAGAGGCGAGTCTAAGATGTGTGAAACGGTCGACGTGGTGACTTGGTCTTCGACTCGGTCTCCAGTGGGGAGAGGATGATGTCCATTCACCCCGCACTGGGAGAATTGATCCCCTAACCGAGTTTTTTCTAATGCTGCCGTGATTTCCTCGTCTTGGTAGTGCTCGTTTGGATCCATGTTAAACCGAAGTGTTGCGTCTGGTAAGAGGAAGGGATCTTGTGGGACCGATATGAAGCACTTCTGCCACACGACAGATCGAGCAATTTTTGAGATGTTGGTCCCGTCAGCCGTGATGCTGCCAGAGCGTGGATCGAGAAGTCGAAGGAGGGAAAGGACAAAGGTACTTTTCCCACTAGGGTCCATGACATGTCAGCTTCACCCTCATCATCTCATACTTAGGCTTGCATACCTCCCTGTTCTTCCACACAGTATGAGCCTTTGACCTGCTTTGACTTCGAGGCTCATATCGCAAAGGTCGAGCTTGCCCGGACTGTATGGCTCCTCAGTCAGACGACACCGCTTTATGATCAATCAAAACTTACATATAGGACACTTCCAGATCATCTACTTTCACGGCACCGGCTGAGGGCCAACCCTGAATAGCATAATCCTCTTCCGATCCATCTTCTTGTGGGGTCTCTTGAATCGTCTCTTTCAATCTTGCGATTGCGCCAAGCGAAATCTCCAAATTCGTATAAGACGTAACAAGCGTAAGGAGAGTTTTGTTCACCAATAGAATCATGTTGAGGGCAACGACGATCTGCCCTCCTGTCATCGTGCCTCTAAACGCAATTGCGATTGAAATAACACCAACTGCAATGCCAGCAACGAGGAGGTCGAGGACAATGTTGAGCCATCGCTGAAGACACATTAAGAGATAGAACGGACTCTGAGATATTTCCAGCTCGGCAATATTCCTCGATTCGAATTTATTTTGCCAGCCAAACGCGCGGATGGTAGTGATACCTTCAACCTATGCCATCTTCAACAAAGCTACATGGAAAAGGGGGTCGGGTCACACCGTTTCTAGGAAGCTTGAATAGACCGCCGATCTTGATTCCAGTTCGAGGAAACGAAGCTGTCTCGATGTCCGCAAGTAGATTTTCTGAACGAAGTAGAATACCATGGCACAGAACGGCAAGGTGACGAGAATTTGCTTCTGAGCGATAAACAGCATTGCAGCTTGCATTGAAAGCTTGCAGATCTCTGATGAAAAATTAGGCAACACCTCTACCATGAACTTGAGCTAAACTTACGAGTGGTGAGACTTGACAATGCTGGCGGTAACTTCTTGTCGACGAGCTGAATATCTTGGCTGAATCTGCCATGACAGTGAGCAGCTACTTTTGAAGAGATGGGAACTAATGGCCATCACCTATTCAATAATGTGCCAATCTCGGACTTGGAGTACAAGGATAGTGGCGCTCTGGTAGCCTGTCAGTTTCTGCAGACGGATCTCCTCATATTGACTGACCCGATAATGGATTTCAGTAAATTGTAATGGAGGACTATCCCTGAATGTGGCGCAATCTTGATTATCGTGGACCTGCTCTTTCAGTCAATGGGAACGGATCTGATATTTCACAAACTCACCACATGGTACCGTTGGTGGAAGACCAGTAGATGAAAGCAAAGATCAAGTATCCTCCAACATAATACCACGTCTGATCAGATTCTGATTCGGTCCACCATTTCACCCAGTACTGCGAAAACAATAAGAAGAAAGAATAGGAAGCCATGCTGCAGGCCAAGATGATGTAGTTCAGGACACCAACAGACTTGAAGTAGTAACCTGTTAGATGTCAGAATCCTGGGAATCACAGGGTTCATAATAGTTCATTACCATAGACTGCTAAATCACCAGTTCTTCTTGTCAAATTGAGAGCAGCAGTTTCTGTCGAGTTAGTTTGAGCTCTGTGCTTGACTACCAGCTCATCAAATTGCCTGCTTGTCTTCATTTCTTTATCATCTATGATTGTTTTGAGTATTTGGCGGGAAGAATACAGCACGACTTCGGGGGCGCCCTGCAGCCGAATTTGCGACTCTCCGAGAATGACAACATGATCGGCCAAAGAATATTGCCGAACTGTTGAAGCGTCAGAATACTAGTCCGGAGCTTGATATGGCATAGTTACCGTTGTTCGTCATCAAAATCACGGTAGTTCCACTCTGCTGAAGGAGACCAGTTGGGCTCAAGAGATGTTGAACGACGTGGTGTTCTGTCGCACCGTCAAGAGCGCTGAAAAGGTCACCGAGAACCACGATATCACATCGAGAATAAACAGCACGCGCGAGAGCCTGGCAGTTTTTAATGGAGTTCATACCTGTGGAGGATATTGCTAACTTACCACACGCTGACGTTGCCCTCCAGAAAGTTTAATCCCTCGACTACCAATTTGTGTTTGGTCACGTTTCGGAAACGCATCCAGATCTTTCTCAAGACCACAGGCATAAATGACAGTCTTGTACCATTCAAGATCAGAATCAGCATGCTCACAGATGATTTTTTTGATACTTGAGCTTGGCAGCCATGGAGTTTGGGGGCAGAATCCAACGCATCGGGTAGAGACTGCCATTGAGCCCGACGACGGCGGAACCTCTCCCAGAATGACTTGGGCCAGTGTAGTCTTTCCTGAGCCAACATTTCCCGAAAATATCCAGAAACAACCAGTTTTGACCTTGAAATTGATATCTTGAAGTATTGGTTGTAAGCTTGAGGAGTACTGCACAGAAATTTTGTCGGCGACGAGGGCACAGCAAGCAGTACCGTCCTCGGGGTCTGAGGTGGGTGCTTCTAGCACAGTCTTTTTGAGGTCCAACCTGTTCACTTGTCTATGTGACTCCAAGAGATAGCGCTGAATACGCTCGAAGTTAGTCATACATGCCACGGCTCGAGGCCAAATTGTCATGAGCATATTAGCGGGGTGTGTTATAAAAACCATTAGTGAAATTGTGGTAAAAGCAGTCCCAGCCTCGAGTTTCTGATCGCCGCGGTTCCGGGAAACGATCGCAAAGACGACCAAAGTGATAGGTGGAGTGAATATGCCCAGAGCATTTGCTAAGTTATGTGAGACAGATACAATAGGCCCTTGAAAGCTCACATACAACTTGCATTGTAACCAACCATCATCCATCTCAGTTTCTTCGACATAGCAATCTCATGAAGCCGGAGGTCCTGGACTTTTGATTGTATTGCCTCTGAGATTCCAAGCATTTTAATGCTCTTGGCTGACGAGAGCATGGAGATCGTCATGGATATCCGTTTCTGCGTTGCAACACTCCAGTCTCGCTGCTTACAGTTCAAATGAGTTGCCACATACTGACTCATGCGTGAGCAAACTCTCGGCGGGTCAGTTTGATACAATTTCCACTAGAGGCCTGGAAACTCACACATGATTATGATCAAGGGAATAGGCCAGAGCCAGCCTATTTGAGTTGCCAGTAAGCTCGTTCCAATGGTCACTTCAAGGAGTTGGGCCCAAGTTTCATGAAACATTTCTCCGACACCTTGCACGTTGTCAACATCAGTGCTCATCAGTGTCACAGCGTTTCCATCGTCATAGGAGGTGTTTCGGACATTTAAGGAACGCTGATATATCAAGCCTATCAGTGCTCCTCTGGTCATCACTTGAAGTAGATTCAGCTGATGTTGATAGGCTGCTTTAGACAGCTGTAACAGGAGATCAGCGAAGAGTCTACGACGGCGATGAGGGGCACAGTACTTACCGCCAGCCCAACATACACCACGAGAGCTCCCACGATAAGCCAGCAACCAATGTCTGTTGACTCTTTCTCCTTCGGAGCATTGCTGATATATCTGACTGAGATATTGATGAGAACAGGTTGAGAGTAACGGAATGTGATCAGGAATAAGCGAGGCAAAATGGCAGCTGAGACCGGACGCTTGAAACAATCCAAGAGCACGTATGGTAGATCAGTGCTTCGCTCAGGTTTAGCTTTGGTTAAAATTAGTCATAGGCGCAAAAGTATGAGAGGGAGGGAACTTCTCAGACCCCTTTGATCCTAAGACCGCAAGATGTTACGATGCAGTTTTCTCGAGGACAGCTCCTCTCCGGTGCGAGGCAGATCGGCGTCGATGAGAATCGATCGATGCCCTTTCATCAAAATTGGATTGATCCACCAAAAGAAGGTTCGCTCAAGAATACCTGCTCGCTCCTCTGGTGTCAGTCGTTGGTAGTGGGGCAACAAGATAGAGGTTTTGTTCTGGCACTCAACAATGAGTACAGCGAGATCCAGAAAAACATGAGCAATCAACAGATACAATATTTCTCGGCTAGTCATGGGAGGTCGAATCAATAGCTCAACTCCATGTCCCAGAAGACAAGCAAGAATATACAGAACCAACGAAGTGGACGGGGTTGCCGACCGGCGATGTTCCACGAAAGAGAGTACGCAGAACGCAAGAGCAGCAACGGACGAAACAGTATTTGACAACAGCTTCAAGTCAAGTATGCCTAAAGATTCAAGAGAAGCTCTAATGAGATCGCTCAATTGCAATCCCAGGAAGGCCAATGCCGTGGTCTGAACTGGTCAACATCTTGTAACATCCTTCTGTTCTCAATTCCCTAGCAAGTACATACAACTTTGATATGGTAAATGCCGACATATTTGACCTTGATACTGGCCCAATGAAGCTGCCAGAGGCGGATACCTGAAAGCAACAAAAAGCTAACGGAAATGCAGCTCGAGTAGATTGCAGGCCAGGCGGGCCACTCGTCACTGAGGACTGCTCAAAAGGCAAGTGCCATCCTGACTCTGAGTCGCCTGACTTATACAACGTTTCCAAAAAAGGACGAAATGACAATCCCACGATGCTGATGCCCTGCATTGGGGGAGAACTGGTCTAGAAGGTGAAGACGCGATCGATGTGAGTGATGTGACTTGGGGTTTAGAATTCAGGCTAGCGGCCGCTGGCAAATCTCACTTGGGGAAGGTTCAGGGGCTCGCTTAGGAGTATCCACGGGCCAACCGCCCATCCCCCAAACCGCTCACCCCTTTTCACCACAACAACGGCATAAAACCGAAATTTCAAGTAGATATTTGCAATCAGCGACCTTGGTATAGTAATTCAGAAAGTTTTTAGCATTTCCCTAGTACTTTTAATAAAAAAATCACAAAATTTTGGTGTTCTACCTCTAGCGAGGCTCTAGTAAGGGATTTGATAGCGGGGCAAAAATAACAAAATCACTACCATAAGCGATTCTAGCCGCATTACTAGTTTGAAATGAATAAATAGCTGTCAGGATATCGAAAATACTATAAAGTATTAATATATAATAGGATTTGGAATTATAATGAAGGTATAATTAAAAAAAACAAATTTTTTGGGATGGGCAGTTGGCCCGTGGATACGAAGGCCGACGGCATTAAAAATCGTCCATATTCGCTAGTGCAAGGAACACCAAAATGTCTTAGTTTTGAAAATTGTGCGTCACAACGCCACCACATCCGTATGCTTTAGTTCAAGCTTGATAGGATAGAAAAGAAGCTCAAATATCCTTCATTTGTATTTTGGTGACTTTAAAATTATAGGGACGTTTTTCGCGAATTTTTGAATGGGGGGAATGATTTTCAAGGCTCTCGCTTAGCAATTTAGACGATTTTTAATGCCGTCGGCCTTCGTACTTCTATCACGGAGATAATTGAACTTCTGCCGGAGAAGTCATATGGAAGTAATCAGCATCCAGCGTCTTGAACCCAAAGTAAAGAGCAAACATCTATTACCACATCTCTCACGGCGACACGTTCATAGCCTCGGCGGAACTGAGATCTGGCATATCTGCTTTATGCTTTGCCGATAGGATAAGGTGTTTCGTCAGAGGCCTGCATGCCTCAGTGCCTCCGATGCAGCCTCATGCATTGGAGGCTGCGAGCCCCACCATCAGCCGCTCCTTCGAAGTCGACCAAATCCCTCGAGAAATCGTTCCAGCCTCGCCAGCATCGCTCACCGCAGCCAAGCCTAAATCCTAACGACCATGACCACGTTGACGAACGCATTCGCATAGTCGAAGAGATTGGGCATAGTCGCGGAGTGTTATTGCGTTGATACCACCGCACGTCCAACAGCCATGGACGATGCGGATCCCAGAAATTTCGGAATCCCCTCAGCTCCTGATCGAATCCAGCGAAGGTTGTCATCGAAAATCACACCAGCTTTTCGAGTCCCGTCTCCTACAATCCGGCGAAGGAGGTCCTCCGAAGGCTTACATCCGCATCCTTTCGCTCCCGGGCCGAAGCGACCATTCAAGGTTCCTTCCGCAGAGCCACGAGTCCCGTCACCTCCTCCATCAAGGCAAAGGGGTCGCGTTCCTCGCGTTTCCCGGGAGCAACGAGTCCCGTCACCTCCTACAGTCCGACAAAGGGTGTCCTTCGAAGGTTTAAGGCCTCACCATGGCGGCTACGAGTTCCGAGTTCCATTACCTCCTATAATCCGGTCCTCCCCAGGGTCGCCTGGCGGTCATCGCTTTTCTGATAAAAGAGTCCCATCACCTCCTACAATCCGACGAAGGGTGTCCTCCGAATCGCCACCTCCCGCCCGTCGCACTTACGCGTTCCGAGTTCCGTCACCTCCGCTCAATCGGCGCCCCGAAGGGCAGCGCAAAGACCCACGTAGTTTCAGCAACAACACCCTCCCAACGATCCGCGGGGTTTCCGACTACCAACGGGTCCCATTGAATCCTCCTCAAAGTCCTTCCCCTCCCCTACACGACCCTCGCAGACGCTCCTTCGACGATCGTGATACGCGTCCTCGTACTCCGCAATCGCTGTATCCGACGGTTGATACTGGATATTTGTCCCCTCCAGATGGAGTTGACTACTCCTCGTCTGGAGGTGATCGGCCACAGGGATTGAAGCGTTGGAAGAGCGAAAGAACCCCGGGTCCTAGGGCCGCGACCCCTACGGCCTCTATAACGCCGCCCAATTCAACATTTAGGTCATCGCTTGCTTCATCTCCTGGAGTGCTGGGCGACCAGGGATATCAGTACAGGGCTCTTCAAGACTTGGAAATTAGACTGGTTAGGGTTTTCCCGGAAAGAAAAACCATGATCAAGTGTGAGATAATCCACGCTTCTCTTGAAAAGCCCCCTCGATACGTGGCTATTTCTTATGCCTGGGGAGATGCGGGAAACACACGGAAAATTGAGCTGGAAGGTTCCCTTATTCCCGTCGGCGTCAGCCTCTATGGTGCTTTAGAGGCACTTCGTCAAAAGGTCGAGTCTGTACTAGTGTGGGTAGACGCTCTCTGTATAGATCAACATAATAGAGACGAACGTAGCCAGCAAGTCCGGCTAATGACCGACATATACTCGACAGCCGAGTCGGTAGCCATTTGGCTGGGCCCAGAAGCAGACGACAGCGCTTTGGCAATAGACTTACTCCGCGCCGTGGCAGACCAAGCCGATTCCCCAGAAAAGGTTTCCCGCTTAATATCCCGAGTTGGAAAACTGGACCTAGCCGCCGTAGTCTCACTGTTTGAGAGGGACTATTGGAGAAGACTGTGGGTTGTTCAGGAAATCTTTAATGCCAGATCTATCACAGTACACTGCGGGTCCACCAAACTTCAGTGGGCGGTGTACCAACGCGCCTCTGATGCTTTTAGTCGACACAGAGCTGACTTAGATTATTACTTCCCTGTAGGCCGAAGAGATTCGAGACGCCACACAATCTCGCCGAATCAGTTCAGTTACTCGCAGGTTTTAGTCTACCAAGGGCCCGGCAGCCTTCCGGATCTCGGATTATACATGGGGCTCGGGGAAGGATCCCTGCTCGAAGTATTACGTGCCTGTCGAAGGAAACTTGCCTCAGATGCAAAGGATAAGCTATATGGGATTATTGGTGTTTTGCCAGAGGAGACGCGCAAGGAATTTCGTGCTAACTATAGCCTTTCGGTCAAGGATGTATATACGGAAGTCGTCGACTATCTCCTCAAGACGACCGAGCGCCTAGATGTCATCTGTGATGCCATTCATTTCCCAGTTTATACAGGCTCGGCCAATCTACCCTCATACGTTCCGGATTGGTCACATATCCCTCAAACAGCAGCCATGGGCCACAAATATAATTTCTCAGCTGCAGGCACAACCAAGGCCAATTGCAGATTTCTCGATGAACGTCTAAATAAGCTTGAAATTTCTGCGATTTACCTCGATACCATCAGCATTAACGGCATTTCCGTAGGCACCCTCTGCACATTAGCCGACTACCTCATGGCATTTCTGCACTGGATGGCCTTGCTTCTGGCGAGTCTCGACAACAAAACAGAGGAATACAGCCTCAAGGTACAGAAGGATTTTTGCAGGACGATAAGTCTAGACCAGGTACCTCAGGCATGGGATAGGTCCGACCAGTGGCTAACTATCTGTTACCACGTATTTGCTTCCTTGCTCCGCGAGCGACTGCCTCATATGCCGCTCAATCAAAAATTGCGAGACTACGTCGACAAGATGGTGGATATCAGGCCTGAAGCTCGCAGGCAATTTCTCCAGAAACACTTCGGCGATAGGATGATGGGACGTTGCTTCTGTATCACAGAGGAGAAGCGGATCGGAATGGGCTCTGGCTTCATGTTGCCTGGTGATATCGTCGTCGTGCCTTTGGGCTGCTCCACTCCAGTTCTCCTTCGTCTAGAAGGAACTCGTGGTGAGTATCGGTTTGTCGGCGATGTATATATTCATGGGTATATGCGTGGGAAGGCGGTTGACCAGTGGAAGGATGGGAAAAGAGAGGTGAGCAAATATGTGCTCCATTGAAGAAGATAGGAACAGTGTGGCTAGTTCAATCCTGCTGCAGCTTCAGCCCGCCCACCAGATGAAGTCATTCTCCTGTGGCTAGTGATCCTCCAGGATCAATCTTTCGCAGAACCAAGCAGGCTTTATCTACTCCAACAGAATCTCAGAAAATTACTTTTTACTTGCGCGTTTTATTAACTAGCCCGCTAATGGCCTTAGTACCCCCCCCCCCCCCCCCCCCAACGCAAGCACATTATCTCCACGCTCTCTCTAGAATCTATTAATTTATGATTTTAATTTTAATTCTGCTCATGGACATGCACTCCTCTAAGCTGTATCTCCTCATCCAAGCTGCTTCTCCAACTTCGTATTTGCTGCAACCACAGCAAAGAAAAAGACTCTGCAGTGATCGAATTGTGTCGGCACATCTATTCCTTCTTTTCCTTGATTCGAATCGATCGGAAGGAGAGCCTTTTCTTGAAGAGATTCGGACTTATCAGAGGGAAGCCCAAAAGGATCAAAAAGAATAATCTCATTTAGGTTGGGAATTCCGGATATTGCCGATACAATGAAAGAAAAATCCAAGCTGCTATTCTTCAGATTCTGTGTGTACTAGTACAGTACATATTTCGGTAAAAATTCCAAGCTTTATCGATCTCGTCCTGATATAAATAGGGGCTTCTAGCTTGGTCTTCCCAGCTTGCACGGTCTTTCGGTGCATCAAGCATAACCGGTTCATACGTGATCCTTGTAACATAATAGCAAAACCGTTGGTGCTAGGGGATGCGGAGCAAATTATTAAAGCTGCTTTGATAGAAGACGAGATGGAGATGTAATACTATAAGTACTTCTCCTCTAGCTGCAAAGGCTTTGCTCACAAGCCGAAAATTGTACAAATATTCCGTGTCGATATATTTGGCCACAGCTAGTAAGATCTCTATTAGGAGTTGATCCATTGTATCTGAAGGAACGATAGTAGAACGAAATTGTTAACCGGAGCGGGTATATAACAAGGAGTGTGCCGTAATAGAGCTGAGTTTTTGTATTCTCAGTATAGTGAGATATTACCTAAAGGATTTTGGGAGTGGATGAGGAGCTATTGTCACAAAGCAAAAAGCCCTTCGGTCAGCCGAATATAAGTCGGCAGCTTATCGGCCGACATCGTCAAATCCTCAAGCAGAAGCCCACCTGACATCTAGAACAATGAAGTAAGCGAATGAAGGGGTGTGAAATTGAGCTAGCTCTTAGGGTACCCGTGTATTTAAATGTGGGTCAAAAATAAAATCATTGAGTGTTCCGAATTGAAGCCGATTTCGAACTTTACTGTAGGCAACAGTGCGTTTTTACTAACCTGGCGAATCTGGTGAATCTGGTAAACGAACTGGAATGATTACATAAAGGATTCACCCAAATCACTCAACCCCCCTAACCCCCTTCCCACTTTTTCCCTGTCGCAACACCAAAAATTTGAGATTTTTCAAACTCTTTAGAAAATTCTAAAAACTTCTAGAGGTACTTTAAAATGGTCGTAGATTACGAATATCAATTTGGATTTCTCCTTTCGTGTCGTTGCGTTGTTACGATAAATTAAAATTTAGGTGTTGTGAGATTTGGGTGGTTGACTAGCGCAAAACGAAACCCCTCAGAAAACAGAAGTCCCAACCTCAAGTTCCTGTGGTATTTCCTTTCGTATCGATCGACTTATGAGCAGATGGAATCAATCCACAGAATACATTTCCTGACTTTACTGCGTATTCTTCGAAGGGCTGTGACGCAGTTTTCGGTGATCAAGTGCTCTTGGCCATGACAGCTCACTGGAATGTTACCCACAGGTGAGCCCCAGACGTAGGACAGGGCTTTGTACGGCGGAGGATTTTCAAGAGATACCTCTATCAGTTGGATGGAAACTGGGGTGTTGAAGGTTCCAGGCAGCAGACGAGCAAGACGGATTGAGCTCTGGTGCTTGAGCGGTTGATGTTGGTATCTTTTGCGACGCTCGACCTCCTCAGCAGCCATATTTGTTATTCTCAATCATCGAGCCGAGACAAGGGCTGGTAGTCCCAGATGAACGGTCTGCGTAAGAAGATGGCATAGAACTGAAGTCCGTAGAATATCGTGGTTGAATAAAAAAGACTGGGCAAAGCCACAATGCCTTGCGTCACAAGGCACTCTTCACTTCACGTGACCGATCTTGATTCATTCTAAAGATTTGTGAATTGAAACACGGATCGATCTCTGGATAAAGAGAGAGCTTCAGAAGGTTCGTTGAATGTCTGGGTACAGGAAAAGATGTGGGAAGGGCGGGAGGTGGAGAAGTATGACTACCTCTCTCTGCACCTGAAGTAGAAGTGCGATCTATGAACACTGAATTTTGTCACTTGACTGTCAACACTAGACGGGCTGGAGTTCCTCGGAATATTTATGAAAGAGACGAGAGAATATTTTCAGACCATCTTTCAACTCCTCATGGCCCGAAATGAGTGACGACGGGAAGTACCCTCACAAATCCCGCCCCGGTCAGGGGAAAATCACGTGGCAGGACTCCTCCCGAGGTTTCCCGTCCCCCCGTTTGCTGCCGTGAGCTCAATATTTACCACTTATTACTCCTGTCCAGCACAATTGCGCCGAGAGAGCTCCTTGAACGGTCCGAACAACGCATGAAGTCCCAGCACCACTCTTGGGCTAATCGCATCAGACGGCTCAGACCTCGGTCCAGGCACAAGCAACTCTCAGATCCCTGAGCCCATGCGGGACGATAGGCTTCCAGCCAAGCCCAAAGCGGTACATCGGGGGTCTCCAGCGTGGGGAATGGCACTAACTCCTTCTCATGATCAGACCTCACCACCTTTTTTACTTTCAGTATGAAGGACGAGTATCAGATTTGTCTTATGTTGGGCCCCGTTATATAACATCACGAGGTTTAATCTATTTATATTAAACTCGTCTGAAGAGGATTTGTGCCTATTCTGGGTCCAGTAAGAGCGCTGAATGACCCCTAGAGCTAGAGTCGATTTGAAACGCGAAACAAAGCTCCTTCATTCGCGCCTCCACAGCACGGGAGAAACAAAATCGTTGGTGGTCGTCGATCCAAAAGACATTCTGACCTTCGATCGAGTCTGCCTTTCTTCTACGCAGGTGAATTATGGCCATTCTGTGAAGTGTCACTGTTCTGCTGGCTACGGAATTTTTGCAGTTGCAGCCATCGGTTACATCATTGAGGCTTCGCGGTCGAATTATTTACCGGGCTGGGAACAATCACAAAACCGGCTGGCCATTTTTGTGACCGCGTCCTTCGAACCCTTTCTCCGTTGAACAACACAGATATATGCGCCTGTTTATCTTCACATCATCGCCCGCGCGTATATCTCTCCTGCTTGCACGGCGTCTATCCACCTTCAACCCACGATTTACCACCTACGATCACGATCTGACTACAAGATACCACCGGGCCAGCGCTCCGACATCGTACGTCCGTCCACCGGAATACATGCGCGCTCGACCCTCTACAAACTACCCAGAATTACAGTACGCGCGCGACACGCATTCGAAGCAGTCACCCTCCCACCCGATCCTGGCGAAGATCACACACTTGAGGGGTTGACAGCAGAGGGAGAAATCGGCATAATGTGGAAAAGACTCAACAACCCTAAGGGCCGCCAACCGACATCTCCTGTTCATAGATCCTACGACGAGAAGGATTCTGGGTCCACGGGGTTGGGAATCAATCGAGTGCAATCACCTCCCGGCAAGGGCAGACCACCTCCGAGGCCTTCTCGCGATGATATGCCCCCCAGAGAACTTCCTCATCTCCCGTTGTAAGTCCTCGCCATTTCATTTCATTGAGCAATTCCGTATAATTTGGGGCAGCTCGGGGTAAACGGACTTGAAGCATCAGACGTTCAGTTCGTGCTGCACCATATCCGCAGACCTCGCGCGGGATGGCTTCCAGAAGATTGAAGGAACCCCAGCTAACACGAGAACAGTCAAGAACAGCCGCCCCCTCCCCCAGAACATCGCGATTCGAAGTTCAGACCTACTTCGTCAATCTATTCACAACCCTCCCCTAACGCTATAACGACCCGATTTTCACGAAACCAGTACACATCCCGGCAAAACCCGTACCCAGAAGAAGAGGTGTCCCCCCCAAGTTCGCCCGAGTTTGATGGTTCTATGAAGAAGAGGTATGTCGATTCTTTTGAGGATATACCGAGAGCACGCGATGGAGATGCTATACAATCCCCCGAAGCAAGCCCTCAGGTTGACTTCAGTGGCCTTCCTGAGAAAGCCATTCCATATGTGGACCCCAGAGTCCTGAGCCACAACCACCCAGGATTTCCCCTTTACCTTCTCATGTCTGCTCCTCAGTTTGTATACAAGAGACAAGCTAATAACAAACAGTAGCCAGTTTGAACCTGTTTCTCCAATAGACGAGATGCCAGATGTGAACCGACCAAACTTTAGTCAGAATAAGCCCCCGAGCAGGCAGGATGGGAGGCCAGGGTCTAGTTCGAAGGGCCCGTCCAGCAACATTCCAGTTCTGAGGAGAGAGAAGCGACGCAACCAGGTAGCGGCCGCTGCGGCAAACTTGGTGACTCGGAATGAGGTTGATGATGGCCCGCAAGGACGAGGAAGACAAGCTGTTGACCCCAGATGGGATCCTTATTCGGGAGAAATCACAACCAGCGAAAAGGGGAAGCCACAGTCCGTGAAGCCAGGTCAATTCACAGCACTTCGACCAGTCCACAAGGAAACTGGCATTCCTCTGGGAAATGACACCAATGTCAGCTCGGGACCAAAAGCACATACCTCTTTCGGAGACCGGGTTCGAAGGTTAAAAAGCAACACCACAGCACCAGTTGAGAAGCCAGAATGGCAGGGAGCAACTCGGACTGGCCGTGCAGCGATAGTATCCCCAGTGGCTGATCAATTCAATATTCCACCACTCAACATCCCTAGAAAAAGCAGCAAACGAGCTGGATCAGACCTTGCTTCGCCTCAATCTGGGTCGAGTACCCCTGTTTCGGTCATCCGATCTGGAGATGGTGAAACGAGCCCTGCATCACCAAACACCACTGAACACGTCGACCCCACCATTCGCACTGTTCTTACAAACTCCGGTCGAAATTCTCCACGCGTCACCAATTCTCCAATAACCATCACACCGGATCCTGTCGCCGTGAATCAATCACAAGCAACCAAGACTTTAGCACGCAAGCAAGTACCCGGGCCAACAGAGGTCACTCGACAACACACCAAGCAAGAATCCACCGACTCGTACGAGCAACAATTTCGAGATAATTACAAGTACAACGAGGTCTCTATTCCATCAAATGATTCGTCAGAACCATACCAACAGCCACCATCCCGCTTCAGCGTAACAACATACGCCCCTTCCGAAGCACACGACTCACCAAGGCCCTCAACGGACACATTTGATCGTCCACCAATGCCGACTCCGCCACAGAACTACTCCTCCTTTTCCTCCACCGCCCAACAGGCTTCCTCAATCCTCGACCGCAAGCGCCCTAAAGTCGTCGAATCCCAAAAACAAAATGTCTCTCGAAAAGCAATCCCTCCTTCCTCGCCAGTCTTCATCTCAATGTCCCCACCAAATACCAACAAACGCTCCTCAAACATTGCCAAGACCCTCCCCATGACACCCGACGAAGCTCAATCCCACGATCTGGTCACCTCGCTTCAAGCGCAGCTCGACGACCTCGCGCATCGGAGAGGTAACATCACTAAAAGCATAAGACAAATGACGGAGCTCATGCCGACGGATAGTTTGGTGGTTACGGACGAAGTAAGACGGAAGAGGGAGATGGAGAAGATGAAGATTGAGAGGCTGAAGACGGAGGAGGCGGATGTAAGGAGGGAGGAGCATGATATTGGACTTAGACTGCATAGGGCATGGAAGCGGAGGGATAAGGAGGCTGTTTATGAGCCGACGGGTTTGTGGGTTAGGCGGGTTACGGGGTAAGCTGGAGGTAGATTCGTTTGTCTATACGCTCGAGCACAGCGGGGGAGGAGGAATGTTAACGGAAACGTAACGTGGGCAATAATTGGAGGGAGAGGCGGTTGAAGAGGGGTTCTCTTCTCGCTACGAAATAGCAGCATCTTTTTCTGTTAGATTAATCCGTTGGATCTTCATGGAGTTAGAGTGGTGGATGAGATGGAGGAGCATTAAGGATCAAGATCGTTTGCTTGTCTCTATGTAAGCAAGCGGATACGAAAGGGAGAGGAGTTCATAGCGGCTTAGATATGATATGATGATACCAGGCGTTTTTATGGCGTTGAGTGGTGATGAATGATATCATGGATTTTATATTGAAGCCCATAGTCTGTTGTATGTGGATTTGCGAGGGGAACAGGGAGAGGACGGGGATTGCAAGTGCAATAGATGACGAATGAAATTCTGCAGCATTGACTACTGAAGTTTCTTGTACATTACATTTGAATGCTCCGTCCGTACATTCACCAAGGCTTCTTCTACTTTGCATTATCAAAGTGGTTTGGATCTTTTAGAGGGGTATGTGTAACCCCACTCGCTCCCTTCTCTTTCTCCAGCAAGAAGCCCGAGGTAAGAAAAGTCAAGAACTAGGGAACCTCTTAGGAGCGAGTCCTCCTTATTCTTCCAGCTTTCCTTTTGTTGTGCAAGTGGGATGCAATACCTTTAAATATCTTGCCTCGTGCTCAGATTTGGCACGGGAGAGGTGGCCAGGAGGTGGCTTGTTGTTGTCAAAGATATGTTTTTGTTTGAAGTGCGTTGATGTTTATTATCACTTGCCATGACTCATCGCATGTAAGCAAAGCTAGAGCTGCTAAAACCAGATGTGAAGGATGGGTTTGATTTTGATGGAAGGTGGTAGGGATTCTCTAATTCTTTAGCCAAGCGGCCAGCAAGCAGGAGCTGCTAGTGCTCTCCAAAGTAATTAAGGTCAATTTAGAGAAGCCAGACATGATCTCCGAGTCGATTGACAGTTTATTTTTTCTGTCCTTGTGTATGTGAGCTCAAAAAGAATGTTCACTTGTGAGACGTTCACTCAGGAGTCCTTAAGTGCTAATGAAGGGTTTTGACTCCTCATTTTCCTGTCAGGTATCTGCAAGAAAGGCTCTTGCGGAGGTCAAAAAGTAAATCCACACATTTCCTACTCTGTTCAGCTACGCATTCAAGCCTCTATTTCAGACGCCCACGCCTCCCTCACATGATAAAAGATGCTCGCGGAACAGATCCACACCGATACGCCATCTTCGTTTACCTTGGCTACATTATACCCTCGACACCAGCAAGATACATAGTAGCCGCACGTCTTACCCTCTCTTTCTTCTCTGCTATGCTCACAATGGAGAGAGTAATATCTCTTTATCAAGCCAAGTGTGCTTCATTGCTATAGGAGTTGTGGAACATTTGGATGTCGGATCTTGCGGCAAGGCCCGCGACCTGACAACGAAAGTCGTCTAAAGAAACGGATGGTCATTATCCTTGATAATGCGGGTACCTTGAGACCGTCCATTCTTTTATATTCAGTCGTCCGCTCTTAAGACAAGGAGTACGATGTGGCAACGAAAGTTCATCCCGGGACAGTCCTCACTCTCACCATATCGTACAGGCATTGACAGTTCAGTACCGGAACTGTCTGATTTCTAGGTATGAAGAAGAACGTGTGGTTTATGAGTTACTCGTTAGCATCTCCATGCAAGCACACCCCGCATTGGTGGATAATAGTATTTGGCTTCTATATCGAGAGAATAAAGGGAAAGGGAGGTGGCTTTAAATATTGGTTACAAAGGTAGAGTCACTTGGGTGTTTTTTGCAGCGTATTTTCATTGCTCTAAACTTTTGTGTAGAATGAGATGACGCACAAGACCGCAACAGAGCGACTGTCTCTGAGGCTTCTGGGCTTTGGGGAAATGGGTGCAAGATGTAAGGGATCATAGAACGCCAGCGTTTGGAAAATTCAGGGTCTCGATTGAGATCAACGCTCCCAGGACCTTGAAGTATTCAAGGAAACCAATTCTATCAAGAATTTGCATTAATTGGCGTGGCGGTTACAAGCTACTGTTTTTATGCTTCTATTCTATAATTCTATAATTAATTATTAGTTAATTCGGGTTGTGATTTAAAAGTTGTTATGGGTGAAAATAGGGCCGCTGTTTTATTGTTCTGGGTCGGACCGACTATCCGTTCCGCTGCGGCCAGGGACGACTTTCATAAAGCGAATTTTCTCATCAGTTTAATTTGAAATAATTTACCACGAAAATAAATAAAGCTTAATTCCTCTTTAGGATTCCTAAAGCACCCTTTTGAGATAGTTAAAAATAAAGTTTTCATTAATTCTTATAAGTATTTAGCCAGGTGAAATGGATTAGCAATATGAGGTTTTGTGATGTTCTTGACTTTTCGCGAAAGTCGTCCCTGGCCGCAGCGGAACGGATAGTAGCGCTGTCATGAATCCTTGCCTGTTGAAATGTTTAGAGAAGGGGACGGACGAAGGCACGGCGTGACAACAACAGTTAGGTACATGGTAGATACATAAACCGCTTCTCGTATCTCTGCTATATGGAGCCTGGAACTTTTCACATGTAGCAGACCCCAGTATTGCTTGAAAGATCAAGGAGTATCAGAGGTGGAAGCGCATAAGGGCCAGCAAGACTTGCAGGTAATGATGGCTCCTTCTATCTTAAACTAGGAGGAACACTTTACGCTTTACGTAATTCTTGTGCTCTGGCTACAAGAGTTGTTAGGCGAGGAAAACTCCCTGAATATAGGGTAAATGGCAGGCACCATTCAAAGTACTTTGCTTTTCAAGGGTAAATTGAAGCTGGCAATAAATTTACACCATAGTGGTCTTGGATTTCTAAGATAGTGAATGGCAAAGAAAGTCACTTAGGTAATTTGTGATACTTGTGCCAGTTGAATTTCAAGTATAAAAGTAGAGAAGGATTTGGCATACCTGCTTTCCTACTCTGCACAATCTCTTCGCCGAAGATAATTGCCACGATGCCCAGCATGTAAACCTCAAAAGGCTAATATTGACATATTGCAAAAACAAGTCCAGTCTTCAAAGCTGGCTTAGACTTTTAGACTATGTGTGCGGGGGAGGCAAGAATGCTTGGAATTTTGCCAGGATAGATTTTTTGACAAGGTAGCGAAGTATGTCGCATCGCTGTACGACGTTGGTTGTTGTTAGTCGGCCACAAAGTCAGAGAATGGAGGAAAATGAGACAGAGACAACAGGCGGTGAATGCTCTGATGTTGGAGATTTGAAACTTTATTATAGTTATAAAGAAATATGAGAAAAGGGTTTGAAGATAATGCCGCCATGAATTGATGAGAATAGCCTGCTGACCACCGGCATACATTGGAAAGATCACACCCTTGCTGCAGTCTGACTTCTTGGTTATTTATAGAAAAAATCAATTCAGTAACTTGAGGGTCTATGCAAGTTCGCGGCCGATATTTATTACCTCGATATTGAGAAGCAAATGAATTGGGGAAGGAGGAACAGGGGGGTTAACACGTGACTCATCATTCCCCAGCCAGCCACGAGGAAGGTGATGAGGAGAATGGAGATCCATGTATCAGGCTCCGTAATATTGTTATTAGACCTCGCCCTTCGAAACCTTGTTCTTTTAATAGAATTGAGAGAACTTTAAAATGGAATGCTGAAAATTCAACTTCATGTGACCATGTCAAATTGTCAACCCTGCCTACCGCCCAATGGAGAACTTCAAACTTTGTGGCTTCCACCAACGACCCTTCAACTTCCACAAACCTTTTTTCAACATTTCGAAACACCGCGCGAATGCGAATGTTGCTCCGCAGAGGCTCGAGGGCGTTGATGCTGCATGCAAATCGTCCGATCGGCTTCCGCCAGCCAATGAAATTCCGGCATCGCTGTTGCGCGCAGGTCGGACGACCTGCTGCATGCAACGATGTGGCGTCGTTTGCGCTGTCATGAATACGAACTGCCAGGTACCCTATCCACACAAATTTCCCATTCTGTACAACAGGTCCCTTGCTTGCAAAGGAATATATTGTTTTTGCTTTCAGCCGCTCGTTGAGGAGGCAATAATCAATTTGCAATGCATGAGAAAGCTTTTCTTGCATTCCATATTATGTCAACTCAAAAAGTCAAATTTGTTCCCATCCTTCAGAAACAAGCCATGAGATCGTGAAATGAGAGGCTCTCAAGCCCCTTGTGATTTTGGCTGCGGTCGGACTGTCGGTTGAGGAAGCGGCTCAGGGGTAACGCCCAATTCGTGCCCCGGCACAAACGGCCGTCCGGATTTGGAAGCCTCCCAGCCTCCTCCCGGCGCCCGCCTGGTCTTACCCGAGCATTCTGAGTGTGGGGAAAGGGTCCAAGTTCCACCTTTAACGCCCTCTCTGCCCGAGAGCGCTTCAAACCTGGCCACATCGAGGTCCATTGGCATCAATGGATACGATCTGTGCTCAAGCTGAGCACACAAATGACATGCCATTCTGATTTAGAGGAGGGGAGTGCAACACTGCAAGCTCTTTGAAAGCATTTCCTCGGTTCGGATTTAGCCATAACGCTTGCATCAATAGTTACCGAGTCTTCTCGCTTGTGCAGGGCCAGTGCAACCGAACTGCAAGCATCTGGCCGTCAGGGGTTCAGTGAACCCAAAAATATTTCGCCCCTCACCTCTGATATTCAAGAGACACGATGATATAATGGCATCTGATAGATCCCGCAGGGGTACCGGAAAGGCCCGAAGCCCGCGCATTGCAACTGCACGGACAAGAATAAACCTTGCTTGTTCAGATGAACCTGTGTAGCTTCGGTTGGATATTTTTTTTAGCTCAGCCCGACAACGCCAGCTTTTGTTGTGCTCCCCCAAGTCTTATTTATTGATGTCCGCTCCCATTTCCTCCAATCCAACTCTCTCCCCTCATCCGTTCGGAGTTTACCCCACAATCGTTTCCTCTCTCACTAGAATGGCGACATTCAAGACGTTCGTTACAAGCATCGCGTTGGCTGCCGGCTTGCTGCAAGTCGCCAATGCCAGTGCTGTCAAGCGGTGGGGAGTTCCTCTCCCAGCATGCACACCAGCTACTCCATTCGTTTACGCCGGATGCTTCTCTGATATGGGAAGCACCGGTGCTCTGGAATACAGATCAGAGGTTAATTATGATACTATGACCATCGAAGCTTGCGTTGCTTTCTGCAAAGGTAACCCCCATCTGGGCGTCAGCCATGAAACACTACTAACAGGAACAAAGGAAACGATTTCAGGTATGCCGGACTCGAGTACTACGGCGAATGTTTCTGCGGAGCAACAGTGGGCGGTACTTTAAGTGATAATTCAAATTGCAATGCGCCATGCAACGGCAACCACTCAGAGATCTGTGGAGGGACGAGTAAGTCAATGTTTATCTACTCCCGAGTTCTCTCTTTTAGTAAATGCTAAATCTGGGATCTGTAGGCTACATCTCGATTTACCAAGATCCGACATTTCCACCTGTGGATGATACCATCATTACCGACTACAACTCCGTGGGATGCTACTCCGAAGGTGTTGGTGGCCGAGCCCTGGAGTACCAACAGAACCTGGACACTTCGACGATCACCATAGAGGCATGTCTCTTCGCTTGCAAGGACAATGGTTTTGCCTTTGCCGGCGTTGAGTTTGGTTCACAATGCTTTTGCAACGTCGTCTTGGGCAATGGGTCTGTGCCTCTCCCAGCCAGCTCGTGCAGTAAGTGCCTGCAGACCTGACCCCGGTCCACTTACAAACGAATTACTGACCTTTTGTAGATATGCCTTGCAACGGCAATTCTTCCGAGACTTGTGGAGGTGCTGCGGCGCTTAACCTCTATGTGGCCCCGGATCTTGAGTCCGATCAACCATGCGGATATGTCACTGTCTCGTCTTCGACGACTTCGTCAAGCACGATCCCAACAGTAAGATCATTATAACCTCCATCCTAAACGCGTCGTTCTAATCTAATTGTCCACAGTACTCCACGCCCGCTACAACTCCTACAACCACCCCTACGACGTCCTCTTCAACGACTCTTACAGTACGACATTTCTTCCAGAATCATGTCACATGACTAACTTGGGAACAGACTTCTACCTCGACTTCAACGACCACGAGCTGCGTAGGCTATGGGTGCGCCACACCCATAGTAAGAGCTGCTCCTTTCCTAGATGTTGACTAGATTACTGATCTGAGAACAGACTTCTACTTCGACCTCGACGACTTCAACGACCACACCCACACCCACAGTAAGAGCTATTTCTTTCCCAGATCTTGACTAGATTACTGACCCGAGGACAGACTTCTACCTCGACCTCAACGACTTCTACCTCGACTTCAACGACCTCAATGACCACTCCATGCGCAGGCTATGGATGCACCAAACCTACAGTAAGAGCTATTTTCTTTCTCGGAATTAACTAGAGTACTAACTCGAGAACAGACTTCTACCTCGACCTCAACGACTTCAACGACCACACCCACACCCACACCCACACCCACAGTAAGAGCTGTTCCTTTCTCAGATCTTAACTAGCTTGATTACTAACTCGAGAACAGACTTCTACCTCGACTACTACCAGCAAGTCGGTATCACTGTGCACGTCGACTGTCGTATCTACTCCAACCCCAACTTGTGAATATCAATGCGGAAAATGGTGCTCGAAACCTCTTCCACCCTTCTCCGACCACGGATCTTGCAGCACATCTGCATCCAACTGCGCCGTCCAGGTCTTTTCTTGCTTCATGAACGCCGGATGGCCCGCTTCTCAAAACTGCTTTGCCTTCTCAAACTGGTGTAACAGCGTGAGCAGCTACTGCTCAAGCAGTTGTCCAGGTGGAAACTGCAACCTCAATAGCTGCAAATCCAAGTGGCCTCCCGTCGGACCTCCTCCACCAGCCACTACATACTCTCCAACAGTTTATCCATGCACACAAACAACAACCCTCTCCAAATCAACCACCACCTCCAAACCAACAACCACCTCCTACGTCCCCATTCCCACGCAATCTTGCATCTGCAGTCAACCCAACAACCCCTCCAAAGGCTACTCCTCCACCTCACCCGTCGGCTCCATCTCGCTCCCCTGCCTCACTTGCAACAACCTCTACTCAGACTACAACTCCGGCAACCACTTCAAACTCTACACCTCCTCTGATACCAAATCCTGTTCTTCGTACCCTGGCGGCTCCGTGCCCCAGGGCTGCAAAGACAGCTGCGACTATCAGAAAACGGCGTGTCTGGGCACGTACGCGGAGAGCTGCAAGGGGAATTCGGCGCAAGATATTGCCGGAGGGAAGGACAGCTATGCGAGTGCGTGCAATAAGTGCCAGAGTCAGTGGAGCGATTGTTATGCTGCGAATGGTTGGGTGAGTGGCGGGAATAGGTGTTCGGGGTGGAATTCGGGGTGGTATTAGGACTGTAAAAGGTGAAAAGAGGGGAGAAAGACCTGAGCGATTCGATGATTGGGAGTCGCCCAAGGAGGAGGAATCAGAATCAAAACGAATATTATTGGCTAATGTTTTATTACAAATTAGGATGGTGGCACGGTGGAAAAGATGACCTTCATACTATCCTTAATCTATTTAAATAATATCGACTGCTCATCAGTCATGAACCTGAACATTCCTTCGGATTTGCACATTGAGAACGATTTTGAGTGTGATATGGACCCAGGTGACTAACAGGCGACTGGCCACGTAGGTGAGTCATAACAGCAGGTCTGTAACATATGATGCTCCTCAGCTAAGAAGAACAAAGCATTGAAACAAGACTCTGGCTCCGGCGATGAGACGACAGGCGCGAGTTCGACACTTCGCCTTGCAAATGATGTCTTCTATTCTACCAGTCATCTACATACCACCGGTATCAAAAGAGTTCCATATGTCTCCTCTCTACTCGTTCGTTGGGGACCTCGCACACTCCGGAAAGTTGATATTCTGCCAGCGTGACAACACATTTCGTCTGGTGTTTTTCAAAGCCGTGTTTGAGTGACAGCAAAAGTTGTAGCAGTTAGATCACTATCCAAAGTTTCAGTGCGGCTGAGTGCTCTCGAGACTTCGGAAGGGTATTGGCCCAAGTTGACGAGGCGGAGGAACGATTTCTTCCTTTGATACATAGGTTCCGGCTGGATACACGCCATAGAGTTGTCGAATTCTTTCGACATCATCTCAGGCACCTTATATATTGGAATTTTGGCGACTCTCGGCAGCGGCTCACGCCTGGCGGCTCCGGCAGGGAACTTGGGTGCTGGATTGAATGCAACCAGCGGTGAATCCGCATTTATTCAAAGGAGTGATTCTCGCCTCTCGCCGGTTCTAGAATATTGATTTATTTAAGTGGATTCCTCCTACCCTTTTTGCGGTTATGCCGTACCCCCGTCCAAGTCATTCCTCTATAAAAGAAGTGCAAAACTCACCTAAAGACAGTCATGGCAACACAAGGCGACAATCGCGATGAGGTCCTTAATCATGCTTAGAGGTAGGTATTGCATTGTGTAAATATATGTGTGTTTTCGACGAGTAGCTCCGTTCATTTCCTAACCTTGATTATCCTTGGAATACCTCGGAGCTTCAGTGAGCATGATGCTGCTTTACAAAGCCTTTGAGAAGACCGGATGATATCTGCTGTCATTGATATTTTGCTGTCAGCGTATTGCCTTGAAACATTGGAGAGCCTTAGAGGGTCCATACCACCTGGTAGGTAGGACGGCCGACATACAGGGTCACCTGCTATTGCATAAGCTAGCCTTTTCTTGCTGCATCTTCCTTGACAACTGTCTGACCCTGTGTACTGTGTCCTTTTACATCTCCATTTCCCCGCACGATCAGTTTGTTCAAATGTACTCGGAGAATGGAGAAGAGTCGAGGAAAAGGTTTGGCCTGGTCCATCGTCACGTGACAGTGCATTTTCTGTCCCTTTGTTCAACCCATTAAGTTTTTACCTAGTATCCCTCTTACTCCTACCAGGGGCCGCATTAGCAAGTGCAAATGCAAAGAGTAAAAGCCAGATTTTCCCACTTTAAGAGATTATATTGTGACCTAAGAGGTCCCCCCTCCCAGTAACTTTTAAAAGAGGGCTCAGTTTGAAGAGCAAAGTGTTTATTCTTGGAGGAGGGCCCCCAAAGCCCCTTAAGGAAAGGAGGAAGTAGAAGAAGGCAAGAGGAGTCTTTAATCTTGGGGGGGACCCCCCAAACCCCCCCTTAAGCCTCTGGCAGCTAGTCAAATATTTCTCCAGGTCATGTGATAGTGCATTTTGCCCCAGATCCCTTAAAGAAAGAAGGAAGTGGAAAAAAGTAAAAGGAGTCTCTAATCTTGGGGGGAGACCCCCCAAACCCCCCTTAAACCCCCCTTTAAGCCTCCGGCGGCCGGTCAAATATTTCTCCGGGTCAGGTGACAGTGATATTTTCTGACACGTGATTTTTTTGCCACACCAGCCCACCGCGCGTAACTAAAACCCAGCTTCCGACAAGTCTAAATCAGGCTTTTAATCAAGCATGATTGCGACAAGAATATCGAACCAAATCTCAACACCAAACCTCACTCCTGGTACTCAATCTTCCCCGTCGCCGTCCCTGTCCCATTTTCCAGCTCACCACTCTCTGTAACCCTGTCCCTCCTAGCCCGTCTGGCAACCCTAATCCTGCTCCCAAAAACCCTCGCCCATAGCGTCAACCACCATTTCAAACTCAGCGTTTTCTTCAGCACACGTAGAACAAAGATGCGGAACTCGGGTTTCAGGGCTAGGCCGAGGGAGATGCAGGTGATAACGAAGGACACAGGATCTGTATTACCTTAGTAGGTTTGGAGGGAGGTGTGCGGAAAGGGGTGCGGGACTTACACATGATGATGGAATAGAATCCAATCGAATGCTCGCCCGTGAGAAGTTCTCTGGCCTGTGATTGATGATCTTAATTATATTCTGGTAAAGGGAGGGGTAGGAGCGTACATTCATGCCGAAGAGGCCGGTGAAGAAGGAAAGAGGAAGCTGTAATGTATTAGCTGGAGGCCGAATACTAGAGTAGGCTGGGCTTACGAAGATAATCGTAACGATTGTGAAAATCATGATGGACCAGCCCTGCTTGACAGTTTCGTATGTAAGTGAAGTCGAAGCTTCGGCTTGATCCGCGGAGGACTTGGCATCTTTCCTTGCGGCGCGAGCTTCGATCACACTCGCCTGCTTTTGCTTGAGATCAAGCAGATCTTGCAACTGGGCTGAGTAAGCATTTGACAAGCTCTGATATCGAATGTCGCTTACAGCTCTATAGGTTGACTTGGCGGTCTTCTGAAGTTCTTCAATTTGCGTTTCCAACCTGGTGCTGTCGTGGAAGGATTTATCTTGCGTATCTAGAGACTGATTGAGCATGTCTCGCATGAAAGGTTTGATCACGCTGGTTTGCTGGCGCCCCACTGAACTGATGATGTTCAGCTCATCCAGGATGTCTTTGATCTCGGTCATTAAGTTCGTCTCAGTTGTTATGTCGAAGAGGTGTTCCATTGCCAGGTCAGTATACCAGTCGAGAGATTTGAAAGCCGCGTCCACGAGACTTTTCAGCTTTTTGCTTAAGGATACAGTCTACACAAGAATGGTCAGCTGTTTTGAGCAACTATGGATCTCGGCTTATCACTCACCGAATGAGCTGTCTGGACAATCTTCTCCAGATCTTTGAAACGGTCCAGAAGCTTGCCCAATAGCTGTGCTTCAATGTCCTCATATGTAAGTTTGATCTGCAGGTACACTTCCTTAGCATTCAATATCATGACTAGTTGAGCCTCCAAGTTTCAATTTCTGCTTACATTATTCCGGTTCTCAATTGTCTCTTGAAGCTCATAGTAGGTCTTCTTCAGCACATTGCCCTGCGAGCAGCTCAGCATTACAAATGGCAGTATTCATAATCTTTCCACTCACCCAATTTTGGTCCTCTACGGCCTCCGTGGGGTCTTTCCTGAAAGGTTTGAATGATCCTACGGAGCCACCTCTTGAGGGTGTTTGCCGAGAATCCGAAAGAGACGGCGTCGGCACGTCCACTAGAGCTGGCCAGTGTGCACCTTGGGCCTTCGCTTGGGCTTGAGCATCTGCAACACTTTGCTAGAAATTGGAGTATCAGTCAGCATCTTGCACGCATTGAGGAGTGTATCTTGGATGAGAGCACTTACCCCGAACTTCCTTCTGAAATCAATTGCAAAGGTTCTAAAGTTGTCTCTCCATACCTGGATCTAAACCAATTTAGTGGTTGAATTGGAGTTGGGTCTGCATATGTCAGAATTACCTGTGTCGTGCCAGAATTCTCTTTCCAGAAAGTCGAAAGGAGATTCAGCAACTTCGCTATCTGTTCCACACAGTTTAGCACTGTTTCTTCAAAGACCTCGAGTGGGGGCTTACATTATTGGCATTATGTGCTGCCCTGACGTTTCTGGAGAATGTTGCGAATGCATTTGATTGGTGGAAAGTCTGGCCGATTTAGCGGAGGTCCATATGGGTACCAGGTGAACAAATTACAATCTCATTGATCTCCATTTCAAACATTTGTATGAACTGCAAATGAGGGTGAAGATTTCTCTTTTGGAACACGCCACGCGCTTGATCAGCAATCGTCCAAGCTAGATCAAGCGCTGACTTTGCAGTCCTTTGCCCGTACGTTGTTCTATGTCGAAGCTCTCGTTGAACTGCGCTCCAAATATCGGTGGAATCGTAGATATCGTCTCCTTCCATATAGTCTTTCTCGTCGGCCGGATCGATAATGGAAAGCTCTGATTTACTTTTGGCTGGGAAACTGGTAATCACGGTATCTGCCAACAGAATGTCAGCATGACTTCATGGGTGGGATGCTCTGTATAATCTACCGCCGTCTATGATCCACATCCACAACTGGTTGACCATCATGACCTTCGGCGGATCCCAAGAAGCTTCGACCCGTTTTACTTCCTGGGCGTCCATCACTGCGACGTCAATTTCTGGGTCCACCCGGCTCCTGCTACTCCGCAAAGATGATTCAGATCTCTCCCACTTTCTTCTTTCCATCCATTCTGCTTTCCTTCTCTTCTCTTCCTGTTTTGTCTTCTCAGCCTCTTCGATCTTCCTGCGGTGCTGCTTTTTCGCAAATTTGTAGACGACTTGAGACACAGTTCGTTCATCGGCATCAGTCAAAGTACTGTAGTAGTATTGATCCAGTGTTCTTCGAACATGTAAACATCGATCATTCCTAGGATCGAGAAACGCTCGTAGTATCTTCATTTTGATTGTATCGTCTTCTTCGGCTTCGATCTCTTCGGGAGTGGGTCTTTTGTATTGAGGATCTCTGAACTTATCGGCAAGCTCTCTGATCAGGGCAATTCTGCGATCTAAACGGTCTCCACTGGTTGCCCAATGAAGATATGGCATCTACAAATGTAAGCTATTGCCCCAATCCCGAAAGGATTGCTAGGGTGAAAACTCACGAAGAGGACCATGTTGTGAGCTGTTGGATCTTCGGCGCACTGGCTAGGCTCGTTCGTGGTCTTCGCTGTATCCAGGGATAGTCTTGGGCTTGGAGTAACAGGTGTTTTGACTGCTGATAGATTTTCAAGCGGCGGCGCGTCGGAAATGGGTGCAACAACGGAGAGGGTGGCAGATTCCCAATCTAACAAGCGTGTGTCAGCCAGCTGCCTCGCTACATCTTTGAGACTTCGAGATCTCAGATCATGTGCTAAACGTGGCGGCACAATCATACGCACCAGTTGGAATTTCCGCAAAGAATGGAACCATATGCCTCGCATAAAGTGGGTGATTGGCGCAGTGTTCGAGGCATCCACGTTGCTGGTCTTTCCAATATTTGGCATTCAAAATATCTCCTGCCTTCAGCGCCTTCCTCTTCTTCTTCTGCGCATCTCCCTTTGCCTTCCTGGCTCGCCGTTCGTCCTTCGATTCGCACACCTTTTTGATGATTTCCTACACGAAACGTCAGTGAGATTGGGAGTCTAACGAGCCAAGACCGTGGGTCAAACCTCAACCCAAACCATATTGTTGGCAGGAACATGAATCCACCGAAAGTTGTAGCCGTCTTTTGTCCAGGGTAGATACGTCTCCTCGAGTGGGTCTGCTTTATATGCATCTTCCATGATCTCATCAGCTCTACCGAGCAGAATGTCTTCCAGTGGAGCGAACTTCGTAATATAATCATGACCGAAGAAATCGACGATGGGAGCTTTCATTCCAAACGTATAGCCCCCTTGAACGCTGGATGTAGCGGAGTCTATCGATGGAGCCCTCTCCTTCCTGGTAGATCTCCAAAGTTTCGGAGCATACGGCCCCGCTGCAGTAGGCGGTCCAGTAGCCATTTTAAGATGGTTTTCAGAGAGCACTCGACTTGGCAGAAAATGAGGCTCTGAGTTTACCTGTATCCTTCGCCTCTTGAACTCTCCAGTGGGGCATCACGGACTTTATGCCTGTGGAACCTTCCCCACGATGTTCAAACCGAGCCAGTCCAGCCATTCCGAGAGTTGGACCCACAAGACGCCATCCCTTGACTAATCCCTGGACAAAGGGTACACTCTGTGCGTGATTGACCATTCGGCGATGTGTGAATGCGTTGTCATCGGAAGCCGGCTGCGAACTCGATGCCCTGCAGCCATTAGATTATCAATCTTTTAAAGTTTGGCCAGGGTCGGTGAAGGAAAGAGAGAGAAGCTGAATGCAAGCAGGTGGCCGAGAGTGGTAACGGTCCGCCATTTTTGGGCCAATGGATTTCCTCCAATGAAAGCTGAATTCAAAGTATGGACGCCACGGGACGGCACGCTCTTATGTGCCCGGGAACTACCCACTCAAAATTCATTGTGCTGCAGGACTGCTGCCGCTCCGGAAGAGACTCTGATCCATTGGCCAATGGCTCGCCAAACGTGCAACCCTCGGTCGTCCCGAGTCCCGACCCGCTTCGTGGCAGCTGCACGTGGGGTAAGTGAGCAAGCTTATGCGATACTGTTACGCTGGTTGTCTATTTCGGGAATTGAGCCTCATGGTTGTCCTTCTCTGCCTCGAGATCAGCACAAGGTTGCTAGCGCTGCAAATGAGCTCTGTGGTTGGATAATGTCCCCCGCATCCTTGTGTCTGTGAGCTGCGAATGAATGCGCCAACGATGTCTAGAAATGGATGAGATATTGCAATAAAACTTCGATAGAATGGCATTGTGAATAAAGACATAACACTAAGATAAATAGAACAAAATACCTGACTATCGGACTAGGTTTGGTGATTCGAATTGAAGCCGCAATCAGGGTCTTTTAGCGTGGTGCGGCGCCTGCGTGATGCCACGTCCCCCAAGTCATGCTCTGAAATCCAATCACAGCCATGTACCGTTCTCCTTGGTTCTCATTATCTTTTAAATGCAACTTCAGTCCCTTCCCAAGACCATGGCCTCGGCCCTGAAGCCTTGAGCCTAGACATTCGTCTTCCTCTTAAATAGGAAGGTGGGATGTAGGTGGGGACGCTATCTCGAAAGTACCTCCATCGAACATCGAAGCATGAGTCAGATCGGCACCTCCTGCGATATCTTACAAGAAAGGATATAACTTATCTTTATCGTGCTTGTCAATCATTTTTCCTCCTCCAGATTGTCAATCGCAACTTCATATTCCGAACAGTTCAGATCATGCCTCCCTCAGATATCAGGTTCTTCACTGAAGATTGGACGATCACGGTACCATCGCTTCCCAACGTCAAATTCCTTCGATTGACCCCTCCACGGAGTGACGAGCAAATTAAAATCCTTTCAAATCCGTTGAACTCGCCTTTCGCCAGCCCATCAGATCTAGCAGAAGTATGGGACGAAGAAATGAAAAAAGGAGTAAAGGAACGGTTCCTGGCTCGATACAATTTGTCGAAGACAAAGTATCAAGCCTTGGAAATCGTGGTTGAAATCGACGGGGAGACAGTAGGCCAGGGCAGTGTTTACGAGATCCCGCAAGTACAGGCTGGACTAGCCAACATCGGGCTTACTCTTGCGGCGAGCGCGAGAGGGAAGGGAATAGGGAGGGCCGCGATGCAAGTCTTGCTGAGACTGGCCAATGAACTTGAGGTCAATCTTGTCCATGCGGGTACGATGTCGACCAACAAGCCGATGCGTGCACTTGCAAAGAGTCTGGGATTCACGGAAAGGGAAGAGGTGCTTTCGGTACCCGGACGGGGCGTGGTTGCCGATATTCTGTTCGAGAATGTTGACTACAAGAGATATAAAGACTTGGAGATGAAGGTTGAGTTCTTGGGGCCTGTGCTTGAGTAGACGCGTGGTTGTTGAAGGAACTCCAATGTCCTAGTTCGCACCAGTTCAATAGAGGAAAGAAAATGAACAGCCAACGTGACTTCACTCGAGGCTTTCTCATGGTGGCAAAAAAGCATGATTAGTTTTGAATGTCCTCAGTCGATCTAGACATTGGAAGGAGACCATTTTTGGATGTTCCCGGACTTTATAGACAACAGGAGGAAGCAGAGTTTGGATGCACCATATCTAGAAGGAGCTTTCGGAGGAGACGCGTCTGCAATAGCTCAGAGTGACTTGGAACATTGAGAATTCTCAGTGCCGCTGCAAAGACTCTGTACAACTTCCCCATCTCAAACCAGCCTCGTTCGTCATCAAAATGCGCATGCAGCGTTTGGCTCTGGACACCTGTTTCGAAAACATATAGAAAGTATAGAAACAAATAACCCTGAGTTTGTTGATACCTCCATATTCGAGCAACGAAATTATCTATGGAAAACTTCAATGGTCGATACTCGATGGAAGACGCGTCCGAGGCTTCGTAGGACGCGTTGTACCTAAAGTCGTGAAAGAATCACAATGAGGGGTCCAAAGACCGAGGTAGGTTCACCCTCATCTGGGAGGATTTTGATGTGACAGAAATTGCAGGGCTACGTTGGTTTGTTCAAATTGCTTCACCCAGATTTTGCTTGCTGCTTGAAGGCTGGAGTTGATGATGGACGGTGCTGATCTCCAGCAGAATGTCTCCCCTCTTGGCTCTAAGGCTAGCTTTGGCAATTTGTTTTCCGAGGCCTCTTGCATTAATTACTTTTATAGGCACAACTTTCAAAATACCTGGAATAAGAATATTAGGTGACTTACTCCTATATATTCCGAGATATTAAAGAGGAAGAAGAAATTATAATTATAATCTGGCAATTATATTAGAGTATATAGACCGGTAGCGTTTTCTAAAGAAAAAGTTCAATTTCGATTGCAAATTCGAGCTTTGCTTATTGCCCCGAGCCTAGTAAAAGCGTAGTAACACCCAGCTAAGGGAAATTCAAATTATTAATAGCTCGATTGAAAACTTTTTTGGGGTAGCTTGAAGTCGGAGAAGGCGCTTTATCTTTTATATAAAATGTTTGATTTATTTAAAAAAGAAAATATCTGGAATAGAAGTATCTCTCTGGTATATAAGGATATATACAATATTGCTATCGAGAGCGGAGATAAACCAAGGGCTCGGGTTTTCGCCGAAGGAACGTATGATATATGATGTCTAATTAAAGGGGTAATAGCCCGGTTATGATAAGGATGAAGCGGGTAGCTAAAGAACTTTCTATAGAGGTACAAGGGCTAAGTGAAGTTGATTTTGAGAATTGGCTTTGGATACTGCCTTTATAAAGCTAGATTAATATAAGATGAGTGACAAACTATTCTCAATAGAGGGTACGGACAACGGAATAGATAGAGAGATAAGGGATCTTTAATTTTTGATCTAACTTAGCTTTTCTCGCTAATAATATCTCGCTAACAAAGGAATCCGTGAGAGAATTTCCTAAACCGAGAGGTTACATGACATTTCCTTGTATGTACCTTGAAAGCATTGTGCTTCCCTGCCCGACGATTGCCAAGGTACGGAGATCCGAATGAACCAAGGCAGGGCGGGCAACGCTGAAGAAACGCCAAGATTGGGCAGTAATCAGGGTGCGTAGCTTCATTTAGGTACACATGAGCACCTGGGCATCCACTTTGCCTTGAGGAACGAAGAGACGAAAAGGCTCTTATGCCGCGGCCTTCAATCCAGCTCTTGCCGTTGTTCGTCTGACAAGTGACGCAAACCGCTTGCGGTTTGCCTAAGAGAGTCTTGAGGAACGAAGCGGGACTGGGCAATTTCCAAAGCATAGGAATAGTTGAAAGTTGGTAGACTACGGATATATAGCAAACGTTTCTTAATTGCAATTCCACTACTCTGATCAATTTCGAAGGCTTCGTGTGAGCCGTAGGCTAGCACCCATGTTATGCCTTCGAAGAGAGAAAGAGAGTGGGTTCGGCCTTTTAGTTGTTCCGTTCGGATTAATTTTTAATCCGTTCCGGATTCTAGAAGCATCACTGGAAGGTCACGTGTATTGCTTCCTTTTTTACTCTGACAGTCAGCCGGAGATGTACAGCCAAGTGGCTGGAAATGGACCCCGCTAAAAATAGTTAACTAAACCACGATCATAATAACCTCAGACGAATGTGCCTTGCTACATTCTCAAATGAAATAAATAAAGTCTTGTAGGATTTTATTTAACCTTTGAAGTTTAAGATCTATCAGCTTCATCTCGAGTTTTACCCAGTATCTCCTAGAAGAAAAAAAGCTGGAAATGGGCGACTTATAATTTAAGCGAGGTGCGTTCCTAGTGCAGCTGAAATGATGACAACCCCAGGCCATGCAGCAAGATTCTCTCAGCACAGTTCAGCTTCAACCTTTCATTGCTGACTTATTGGTCACTGTTACTCTATGCGGTTTATTCCTTGCCAATTCTCAAAGTTCTCGCAGAATAGCTCCTCGGTGGTAGAATGGGGAAGGGCGTTTGACCTGCTGGATTTGGGAATAAGTTTGGAAAGAATGGACGCAAAGTATGCGCATTAAGATGCACAAGCAAGAGAGACTGCATTCAGAGTTTGTTGTCCGATATCTGCGGCGATGTTAACTGCACGCTCCTTAACTGAAGGGAAGGATGCGCTGCCCATCCCCTGAAAAATATCCGCAGCTTGGATCCGCTGATGATCGCAGATGACCACCGCAGTCAGTGGCGATCACAACCACTTTATGAGGATGACAAGGAAAAGTACCAACATCTTCGTCTTTTGTTTTTTATTCAACTGATTGTAGGCGTATTCCCCAAGAATTGTTCCAAGAGTTTCCCGCCAGGGAATAAATAAAGGTGAGACAGACTCATGACCCGACCATCTGCCGGACTCTTGAACTGCCTATATAGCGGAGGCGCATTTTCCTCTTCCTTTCGTATCCGGCTCAAGCTCGATGCCTAAATTGAATTCGATCAAAGGGGCAGTGTCCGATATAATTAGACATCCTAATTTGTCTTGTGGCCCAAGATGCTCCATAATTCCCTTTCAGTGCCTCTCTTCTCTTTCTTGTCCGAACCACGTCCGGTTTCTACTTAACCCTATGTTTAGTATTGCCAGGTTTTTTTTTGCCCTTCATGAATCCTTACCTACTTTGCCTTATCTTTCTTGAATGAAAATCTTTTGAGCTTATCCTGCGTGTTTCTGACGAAATTTGCTGCTTTGCCTTTGCCTTTTCTTTCTTGGCTCTTCGGCAGGGAGAGTGCTTCCGCTCTCGGCTCCGACCTGAGCTTTATCGAACCTCGGAACCATCGATCAAGCATCATCTGATCATTCATCATGTCACTTCTTTGAGGCGTTTCGAGAAGAAGGTTGATATTCCCCTCGATATCAGTCCTAATGAGGTAGGTTCCAGATTGTTGGTCAGAGATAGTGAGGAAAGCAACCAGGTGGTGTATATTCATTTCTTCAACAACCAGCGCAAGTGTGCCGTTCATGCCCTCACGAACAATCAGAAGACCTCGTTTTGCCATTTCTTTGGAACAAATGGCCCATGCAGGAAGCATTAGCGTTCCGTGGGCTTCTGGGTCAAGGTGAAGGTCCTCCGCGGAAATTAGGGTGAAAACAAGGACGTTATTAATGGATGCCTCATCCGGTAGGCTTAGCAAAACTTGCTTGATTTCGTCTTGAAGCGGACTGAACATGAAGTTTCCCCCGGCTCCAGAGATTAGAACATCAAAAATCTCGAGTACGTTTTCAACGTCTGACAACTCTGATATTATCCCGACTGTTGCTCCAATGACCTCTTGTAGAGGCCTTTCAGGGTCAGCGATAATATATGTAGGGTTCACCAGCATCGCCGAGTTGCGAAAATGGACAGCAGTATCTGCCCTACCGGTAAAGATGGGCGCGCCGTGAAATTCGGTCTTGTTTGTCGAGTTACTTTGTATATGCTCCTTGGCGTAGTCAAAAAAGGAGTGAGCTAAATCAGTCTCAGATCGGACCACAAAATCGAAGATTTTAATCTCACGCCGCCGCAGTGCAGTTTCTACTTTCTTCAAAGCAGTAGAAAGGGAGTCGTCCTTCCGATATTCGTAATCGATCTCGCACATCGAGGCCCAGCAGCAAACCAAATCGGCATCAAACCTGGCTTCTCTCTTGCTGCTTCCAAATGCATTTAGCATTATGTTCAGTCTGGCGAGAAACTTCTCTCGATCGTCTGTGCGGGGATTGGACCTCAGGCCTAGTACCTGACTACAACCATAATTTGGAAGTGAAGTTTGGAATTTCAATACCTCCTTGTCAAGCTCTTCATGATAGAGTATGACATGCTCGTAGGGAAAGAGGCGCTTGACAGTGTTAAAGTTCCTTATCACCTCGCCTCGAGATAGTCCCAGCTTTATCTTGGCGTACTGGCCAGCTCGTAGTTTATACTTCGTTATCGTGATAGCAGCAAGTACGATTGTGGATTTGACCCTTTCAATTCTCTGAAATTTGACATCACTCTCCCAGGTGATTTCAATATCTCCGGCAAGAGCCCATTCTTGAAAAGTCCACGCTCGCCGCCAGTATTGCCAGGTATCGAGACGGTCTTTGAACAACTCAAGTTCGTGATAGTATCTCTTGCACAGACTGCCAGTAGTTGCACCGCCATAAAGAGGTCTCAACCGTCGAGGTACCCGCCCCAAAATAAGATCGCCAGCGAGTGGAATATTCGGAACTCCACTTTCGTCCCAGCTTTCAACACGCTCCAACTCATCGTTGTCTTCATAGTTCCACTTAAAATGTTCTGGACGGTTCAAAAGCTGTTGCGCCAAATCAGATAGATCCCTCAATCTGCTGAAAGCTTCCTCATCGGAAGAGGGTAACAAAACTGAGACACAGGTGGCATTGCTGTATATCGTGCCCATAACAGCTACTTGTGCGGCGATGTCGCTGTGATCCGACTGGTCAATTGAAATTGCATCCAGCCAAATGGTATTGCCTGTGCCTGCAAGGGCCATCAATCTGTGGAACTTGGCAGGACTTTGCATAGGCACAGTCGTTATAGAAGTGCAGTTTTGGCAGCTAAGGCGAAGAGGATAGGTTTTCCCCCAAACGTAGGACACGGCTTTGTAGCTAACACCTTTTGGGACGCCTGCTACGATAGTGACGACGCCTTTACCAAGTGGATATTCGAATCGTCCTTTACAAGCCCGACAGCAGAGAAGATATGACGCTTCGGTAGGATCGAAGTTGGACATGGCCAAAGAGGGAGGCGGCGATATTTGCAATGCTGAAGAACTATTTGAAGGAGATCTAGGAGGAATGTTATAGACAAGGCCTCGGGGGAAATAATCAGAGATCCTGAAGGATGGAACTGGGCCACCACCGCCTGATGGGTCGAAGTCCAAGAAGAATGCTGACGAGAGCTTCTCCCATGGCTTGTCCTCTTCATTATCTTCCTTCGGACGAACATACTTCTGTCTGGCCATGTGCATTATCATTTCGTGAAGGTCAACGATTTGTCCAAGAGATGGTCGTAAAAATTCGTCACGATTGACTGGCTCTGGCCTCCAAAATCTGATGTAGTCCATGCTGTAGTTCATGATATTTGTGGTCTGGATTAGAAGGGGCTGACAGCTCTGTGGATCTGCACCAATAGTTGTGATTTTGAATATTACTAGAGTCTAAACGAAAGTTTAATTGATCATAGAGCAAACATACAGGAGTTGGTTCAGCGTAGTGATTCTTTTCTTTGCATTTCATATGCTATGCAGCTGCCCAATGCTGCCTAAGGTTCCACAGGACTGCCCGTGGCGCCATGTGAGGCGCCATGTATCACAATTCAGACGGCACAGGATCCTCCGCATCAGCCACCCAGCCAGTCATGTCTCTAATATCTACTACTTCTCTGCATGCTTCTCGTCATAGGGCAACACGACAACCGCAGGTCTGCTTCTACAAAAGCAACGCCACTAGTAACGCCACCAACAACAATGGCCAATGTAAAAAACTTTAATCGCCTCAATAATGCCACCGTCGATGGGAGCCCTTAATCATGGAATAATCGCAAACTATAACTCCTACGACTAAAACCAAATATAAAGTTTCCTTCCAACAGTGATATTGGAGCGCTGTTAGCCCCAGGGATCCGCCCTAACCTTAAAATGCGCTTCCTAATCACACCGCCTTCCCCTTTTGGTCGGCATTTCAAAAGTGACTCGCGCCCCACCTTAGCCTTCCACCTCCATTCTCCTCCGTCGGTACATTCGCATCTCAAAGAGATTCATTCAACCTTCTCCTCAAGTACAATCACAAGTTAGAGCTTGCCGCTGATCGCTACCATGGCTTTCATTACCGTCGCCGCCGCTACGCTCGCCAGCGTCCCCCTCGACTTCGGAGGATGCAGAGACCGCAAACTTTCGATCCATCGCGATTGCGAAAGAGAAGAAAGCAAGCTTTCGCACAGGTCCTGAGTTAGATATGGTCACTTGGAGCATCACCTGGAAGGTGATATATTTTGCACTCATGGGAGGTGCTCGCAGATATCCTGGCAGACCCAGTATGCAAAGACATACTGGTCGACGTGGGCATGGGAGTCAGGCATCGGAATGTTCGATACAATTGTCGAATATTGTGCACATACGAGATGATCTATTTGGTTCGACCCAAGATGTCTCCTCCGAACGACAATCTGTATCGAGAGACTCGGCAGTGAGTTCCCCCTCCACTCAATCGGAAGTCCCTGGTACAATTGTGAATCGGGGACCTTGAATCACCCACACGTTTCTGGTACAAGCAAATGCTGACTTTATTCTACGTCCAGTTTTACCGCTTGGGTCAAAGAACGACAACCCGAAAAGTATTAACTCGAAGAAGTCGTCCGAAACGTCACTGGGCAGCAAAGTGTACCAATTGGCGACGTCGTCCTTAGTACATTGGATACAGCAGTTGGTTTCGAGACTTGCGGAGAGCTATTCACCCTTTTGAACCCCTCTATATATATGGGCTTAAATGGAGTCGGGACTATACTGAATTCAAGCGCCTCACATGCCGAACTGATGAAGCTGAGAACACGCCTCAGCCTTATTTCGAATTCGACCCGAAAGGTGAGAGGAGTCTATGTTTATGTCAATAGAACTGGTGTTAATGGGGAGGCTCGCATGATGTTTGACGGATCATCAACCATTGTTGCCAACGGGAAGGTCTTGGAGCAAGGGGCGCAATTATCTCTAAAGGATGTGGTGGAAGTGACGACTGCGACTTTTGACATTGAAGGAGTTCAGATTTTCCGATCCAGTATTAGCAGAAACATGGGGTTTCTTTTCCTTCTGTTTTCTCGTTGTCTTATTCATCCCCGGGACAACATACTTCAATGTTTCAATACTCTGGGGACAATGTCAATTTGATTAATTGCTGACGCTCCGCAGTACAAATCGTAGATCAACCCGAATAGGAACGACTCGAATGCGAAGTTCGGCTATCTCGTCCCGTAGATGAGCTTTGCCTTTCCAAGCACCTGGAAATATCGAAGGAGATCGAGATCAGTAGGTGACGCGAGAGAGAAGTAACGCCATTAAGAATGGGCTGATTGTCCTTCTTGTGCGGGAACAATGTAAAGTAGGGCTCATAGCCAGACGGTAAGATCTTACCCAAAGGCAAATGCGATTCCTCCTTAGCTGTGTCTACTTTTTTGGTCCTTCAGGGGGGTTATTCACCGCTTCCACAACATCCGTCGATAGCCGCATCCACACCAATGACTGTTGGCCGCTGCTAGACATTTTGCACACTCTCGCGCAGAGCTTGAAGGTCTCTGGTACGTAGTTCGGGCTTGACTTGGCCTGGCCGTGCATACAAGTCCCCGCGTGACTCACAAAAGTGGGGTGGGGAAATCACTCGCAAGTTGCCTTTCACTCCTGTTGCATTTCAGATATTTCTCAATGGAGGTCTTGATTTAAGAGACTCCTTTCGCATTTATATTTTCTTCCTTGCTATGATTTCATATTTTCTTGCATTATGGCATCTTCGTCTGATATAAAAGTACAGGGCAGTGAGGTTGACATCAAAGATCCAGCATCTGAGATGGGAACAATTGCCCCCCTCCAGAGCCCACAAGATATCGAGCTTGTTGCCTTCGATGATATCGCCTCTGAGCCAGTCAAGGTTCGAAGCAAGCTGAGATTGACAGCGATCATGATAGGTCTCAACGTTCGTCAGCTCTTCTCGCTCCGAACTCATCAATTAACTCCAGGCAGTTGGCAATGTTCATCGTAGCTCTGGACCAAACAATAGTTGCAACCAGTATACCGACAATAACTCATGACCTCCATTCCTCGTCAGGCTACGTCTGGATTGGAGGGGCATACCTTCTCTCCAATGCTGCTTCGGGGCCAATTTGGGCTAAACTCTCTGATATATTTGGCCGCAAGCCAATCTTCCTTGCTGCAGATGCATTGTTCTTTGCTTCCTCGGCTTTCTGTGCTAAGGCGGGAAGTATGAAGGTTCTGATTATTGGAAGGACGTTCCAGGGGGTGGCATGTGGGGGCTTAATTCCGTTGATTATGATCACGATTTCGGATTTATTCAGCATTAGGTTTGAATTCTGATAAGTTTCGCTCTTGTAAAAGACTAACGTTAAGCAGGAGTCGGAGTCTGTACATCGGAATTATGGAACTCGTCTGGGTGATTGCTGGAGGCGTTGGCCCTGTCCTTGGAGGCGTGTTCACACAGAGGCTTTCTTGGCGATGGAACTTCTGGATCAATCTCCCAATCTCTGGCACTACTTTCATCTTATTATTTCTATATCTGGATGTTCACAACCCTAAGACCCCAGTTCTGGATGGGCTCAAAGCAATTGATTGGTTTGGCAGCCTCTCCATCATTGGATTGGTTCTCATGCTGCTTCTGGGTCTCGAGTTCGGCGGTGCAACTGTCCCTTGGAATTCGCCCCGAGTTATCTGCCTTATCGTTTTTGGAGCCTTGATGTCGATTGCATTTATATACAGTGAGAAACGGCTTGCGCAGTACCCCTTGATGCCATTGAAACTGTTTGCAAACGGATCCAACGCAGCGAGTCTCCTCCTCACACTCTGGCACGGAATGGTATATTTCCCCTCCTCCTCATCACATCAGATGGCAGAAACTGACGACCACAGATCTACATCGGCGCAGAATACTACCTTCCACTTTACTTCCAATCCGTCAAAGGCTCCTCACCTCTAACTTCCGGCCTCCTCGTCATGCCCATTACAACCACCGAAGCCATAACCGGCATACTAGCGGGAATTCTAATTCACTCCACTGGCCGGTATCTCGAGATCATCTACATTGGCGTCACATTCATGACCATTGGAAACGGCTTGTATATCCTGCTCTCTCCCGCCTCCACCCTTGCTCAAATCATCATCTACCAAATAGTGGCGGGAATTGGCGCTGGTCTGCTCTTCCAAGCACCTTTAATAGCTCTCCAAGCACTAGTCTCCCAGGACGAAACAGCCACCGCAACTGCGACTTTCGGATTTGTGCGGAGTCTCGCAACATCTCTAGGGGTTGTTCTCGGTGGCGTGATCTTCCAGAATTCAATGGATATCCACATCCCCCCGCTCTCTTCTCCGCCCATTAGTTTACCATCCAATGTCACGGAACTATTGACGAAGGGCGGGGCGGCGGCGAATGTTATGTTGAGCAACACAATTAGGGATTCTGCTCAGAGAGAGGCAGTCAGAGGGACTTATGCTTGGTCCATGAGAAATATGTGGATTTTTTACACTGGTATTTCGGGCCTGGCAGTGCTGAGCAGTGCGTTCATCAAGAGGCATTATTTGAGAAGTGATCATGTTGAGACGAGGACGGGAATTAAGAAGATGGCTGGGGTGACTGAGTGAGTTTTCGGAGGGTTGGGGTATAATGTATATGGAGAAGATGCTCCAAACGTATATATCAAGGAGGGGAAAATTGCTAAATGTCTCAACGTAGAAGGTGACAGCTTCGGCACCATACTCAAACATGTCAGCTGGACTCTTTTGTTGAACTGCCTCGATCACTGGTCCTGGATATCGTGCTTTGCCAATTCTTACAACAAAGTGCTTTGATTTCAGATTTCTCATGGCAGTTCCAGAAGGATTCACCAAGCACGGAGTCAAACGCCGACACCACCCAGATACTTCGTATACCCTTGCTAGAACATCAAAACATTCAGCACTTTTCCAGATGCGTAGAAATTCTGAAAACTTCAGAAACGATAAATATTGCCTCAAGTAGCCTAGAAATGATGCCAATTTCTCTAACCTACGCCATAGTTGGGGCCAAATCAGGCTTGAGCCGTTGTGATAGCGGGGTTCGAATGCGAACTGAGCCCTCCCAACCCTAGTCTGGATTAGCCTAACACAACCACATACCAGCCCCACTAGGACATCCATGAGCCAATTTCAACCGTGTCAACGTTTCCGGCACTGCTCCATCGTGAATTCTGAGAGGCCTTTCACTTTGCAGCCTTTCACAAACACTTTGCACACACCCTACTAATCCTTCCCTCTTATCGCATACCGAAAATGGGGCATCTCGTAACTATCGCCACTTGCAACTTGAACCAGTGGGCGTAGGTCCCCCACCCCCCGAGTCCATTTTTTTGGCATTACTGACCGCGGTAGACTCGACTTCATTGGAAACCAGCAACGCATTCTTGAGAGCATTCGTCAAAGCAAGCTCCGCGGTGCTAGGCTGAGAGTGTGAGTTCCGAGCCTCTAAATTTCTGTGCACAGAAGCTCCTCTTTGGATGTGCCTCCCTATTCCCAAGAAATCGGAGTCAGCATACTTCTTTCATGTGTTTTCGGGGGTAGGATGTTCCAGCAGTTGTTTGACATCGCAAGGGGATTGTCCCAAGAGCTGCTAGACATTGCTACAAAAGGGAACGCTTCTCCGAGGTGTTGGGACTTATCTATTCATCCTCCATCCCCACTATTGATACATATGAGAATGCTGACTCCACTTCTAGAGGACCAGAACTGGAAGTATGTGGCTATGGCTGCCTGTAAGTACACTTTCTGGCAATCAATGATCATGCAAGCACTGATGACTGATAGGGACCACTTTCTTGAAGGTGATACCGATATGCATTGTTGGGAGAGTTTGAGCGAGATCATTCAACATCCAGACTGCCAAGACATCCTGCTGGATATTGGAATGCCCGTCAAGCACAAGGATGTGAGGTATAATTGCCGTCTTATCTGCTACAACAAAGAAATCCTCCTCATTCGGCCAAAGCTTTACTTAGCCAACGATGGAAACTACTATGAGATGTGAGCTTCCCTGGAATTCCTTTCTCCAATGTGGATTTGTTTTGAGTGTGTTCCTGTTGGCGCTTCACCACGGGCACATGCGAAGACGACGGAGAGAAGGGATTATATTACATCAGATTTGATGGGCCGTGAATCTCTCAAGTCTTGATTTTCCGACTCGATCTGTCCTTGCTATTGAAAGCAGTGTGACTGACTTGTCTTACAGGAGATATTTCACACCTTGGAAAGGAGCCCGCGTTGTCGAGAACTTCTACTTGCCGCGATCAATCACCAAGATTATGGGCCAGAAGAAAGTTCCTATCGGAGACGCGCTTATTAGTACTTTGGATACCTGCGTTGGTGTCGAGACGTGTGAAGAGTTATTTGTGAGTGCCGGGTCCTTAGTCTTCAATGTGAATGGAAAATATACTGAGATTCATCTAGACCCCAAATGCTCCTCACATCGCGATGGGCTTGGATGGGTGTGAAGTCTTCACCAATAGCTCCGGAAGTCATCATGAACTCAGAAAATTACACACCAGAGTCGAATTAATCGTGTCCGCAACGCTGAAAAGTGGCGGGATTTACATGCAAGTCCTTCGTTCTGACTCGAACTCGCAAGACTGTCATGCTGACTCCTGATAGATATGCAAATCAGCAAGGGTGCGACGGAGACCGCCTCTACTATGACGGATGTTGTATGATAATCGTCAATGGAAAGATTGTAGGGTACGTAGCTCCTCTTCACAGCATTTGGTGAGATGTATTCTTAGGCATTCGTTGAAACCCTGCTGACTCCGAGATGTTGAAGACAAGGTAGTCAATTCTCGTTGAACGATGTCGAGGTGGTCACAGCGACTATAGACCTAGAGGAGGTCAGGAGTTACCGAGAACAAAAAAGGTAGGAGACTTCTCATTTCTTCGCCCTTGATGAAACTGCACCCGAGGCAGAACGTATGCTAAACTCCGAATTCTTTCAGTCGAGCCATGCAGGCCCGTGATCAACCAAAGTATGAGCGTGTTGAAGTGGACATGTCCCTCTCACGCGAAGGCGATGGAATCGATCTCCACCTACGACCCACAAGACCGAAGGAGGTTTCTTATTACCTGCCAGAAGAGGAGATAGCATACGGTCCAGCTTGCTACCTTTGGGATTACCTCCGAAGAGCAAAGCAAGCAGGATTCTTCCTTCCTCTGAGTGGAGGTATTGACTCGTGTGCAACCGCACTCATCGTCCATTCTATGACCCACTTGGTCCTCGAGGCAATACAATCAGGAAAAAATCCGCAAGTCCTCCAAGATCTCCATCGGATCTGCGGAGAAGAAGAAAACAGTATCTGGAAGCCCAAAACTCCACAAGAAATCTGCAATAAGATTTTCTGTACGGCCTACATGGCTATGGAAAAGCATTCTTCCTCCCTCACCCGGTATGTAACTTCCGCTTATTTCGGTCGAAGCATATCTTTGATTTGAGAGAACCTTTGGAAGATATTATGCTGACTCGGAAATATTGAAGACAACGAGCTGCAAATTTGGCTGAAGCCATTGGTGCCCACCACCTGGAATATGCAATTGATTCTGTGTATGATGCACAGGTGGCACTCTTGCGTAAGTCATCCCATTATTTGATAACGGAGTATGCGTAAAGAGCTCTAGCATAAGAAGCAGAGGAACACATTTCCAATTCCCCATCTCCCTCACAACCTGTATACTCTCAGCGCTACTGTACTCCTATCTCTTGCTGGCATGTTGAAACTGACTTCAATGGATAGAATCGACGACTGGCTATGAAGCAAAATTTAAAATGTATGGTGGCACAAAAGTTTCAAATCTTGCACTCCAGAATATCCAAGCTCGTCTTCGAATGGTCAACGCATACACCCTCGCTCAGCTCCTCCCTCAGATCCGTGGTCGGCGTGAAGGGGCTCCAGGGTCCTTGCTTGTTCTTGGTAGCGCTAACGTAGATGAGTCCCTACGCGGTTACTTGACAAAATATGACTGCAGCTCTGCTGATATCAATCCGATCGGTGGCATCTCAAAGACAGATCTGAAGCGCTTTATTCAATGGGCTTCGAAGCCAGAGACCTTTGGACTGTCTCTTCTTCAAAAGTTCCTCGACGCTCCACCCACAGCAGAGCTCGAGCCCATCACAGACACCTACATCCAGTCCGACGAAGCAGACATGGGAATGACCTACAACGAGCTCTCCGTCTACGGTCGCCTCCGCAAGATCCACAAGCTCGGCCCGTGGGGAATGTGGGAAGAGCTCGGCCGCCTGTGGGGCGATAAGCTGTCACCTCAACAAATCTACGAGAAAGTCAGGTTCTTCCACTGGAATTATGCGATCAATCGACACAAGCAGACCACGATCACGCCAGCGTATCACATGGAGGCTTATGGTGTGGACGATAATCGATTCGATATGAGACCTTTCTTGGTAAGATACACTTTTGGACACTGTAGCTCTTAGCGCCGTGGACAGCAAGAACGGCATTATATCTTGAATGTTCCAAGCCAAGTTGGACGTTTCAAACAAATACCTAACTTAGCCCGAGGACATTGGGATTTAGTGCCTCAGTTTCTGCCTGATGCGGTCTGAATATTGCAATTATAGTGCTAATATATGCTAGTATCCGTCCTTCGAGTGGGCATACCGAAAAATCGAACGAGCTATTACGGCGATGGGGGAGGCTGGGACGAAGGTAGCCGGCAAGGAGGATCAGCAGTGATGAGCGAGGACGTTGATGCTGGATATTCGTGCAAATTTCAGTTCCAACTTCTCGTTATCTGGCTCTAGAAGGCTTTAAGCCGATTTGTAGACTAGATTTGCATACTCCTTCCGGAGTATCAAGTGCTTGCGCCCTTTCCAATCTATTCCATCAAGTTCCGCATATGTCCGTGTTTGCTTCTGTATGAAGTAGTGAGATTGGTTTGGGCCTTACACAGATCGGATTCGGGTGCGATTGTCGCCACGTGCTTCTGCTTGACACCTCTCCACAGAACTTCCGAGCTTTCATTTCAATGCTTGCTACCACCGCTTAGGGTTCCTATGATATGGCCGAGGGAAATGGGTGATGGCTCTGATGTGAGGTAGACGCCGAGAAGGTGACTTCAATCTCAAGTTGAAAATTACCAAGCTGTCAGACTGCAGGGACGGAATTTGTGTTGAAGGGAAGTTTTGGCTAGTGGTACCAACTGACGTGATATGTGGAGCTCATTTGCATGTGCGTAAGAAAGGGGGGGCATACAGGAGGCCTGGAAGTTGTATGACACTACTAAGATATTTTTTCCGTCTGCTCAACGAGAGGTAGAACTCATAATTTAGAGGGAAGTTCTCAAACCACTTGATAGTTTGCAGCATTTACGATACATGGAAGCTTGATGCGAAGCTAGGACACATGAGGAAAATTGGAGGCCCAGGTAGTCACGTAGGCATCTTCCGGCAAGTAAAACAACGTCCTGAATATCTCCACCAGAAGGAAAGCTCTAGCGAGGACATATAAGCTTCCAAAGAAAATATCCCAGATTTTGATGAGGATAATAGGAACGCGCCCTTGGATGACATACTCATTGGCAAGCAGAGGGAGATACATTATGGGCAACATGACTGTTGACATCACGCTCGCCATACGTCAAAGTTTTTGCTCAGTAGCAGTTGGGAAGGATAAATTCCACGCTGCGATGTGTATAGCACCAAAGATGATACCTCCCAGAGAAACACCAACATGTAGGACATCGAGTTCGCTACCTGCGTTTAAAGCATCGTTTGGGATATGAGAACCCATGATATCGACCTCACCAGCGAGACCATCTCCAAGTACAAACAATGAGCGAATATACTTTTGGACTACTCGCTGACGAAGAGTCTTAAATTCCCTCTGGTGAATAGGTATGTGACCCTTGTATTCCTTTACGGTGATGGGAACGTCAACGCTCTTTGGCTTTGGCAATAGCAAAAAATAGGTGATGATGGCGCAGATTCCAAAGGCTGTGACGGCAATCTCCAATTGAGAGATACTCAATTGCCGTATGGCTCTGATGACCACTTGAAGGATGAACCAGAGAACTTGAAAGGAGGTGATGAGTTTGACGAATGTATCACCCTTGCTTTTGTCATTAATTTCCGCAGAGGTGATTTTGGGAAGCTTCGTTAAGGCACCACTCTGTCGAAGGTGAAAGATTTCATCAGCGAAAAGGTGGTAAGGCACGTTGTAGTATGGTAGAGCTATAAATAAAAGGTCAGTAACTTGCATAAGACATCATCTAGATTGGGAGATAGTGTACCACCAGCTGCTCTCAGAATAGGTGACTCCCAGATTGTGGCGCCCATCTCCAGGACTGGCCTTCTTGCCTCTCGTCTGTTGGCCACAACTTTCCTTCTGGTCGCCATCTTAGGTAGCATCCTTTCCAGGATGATAGCTGACTTATTTTGTCTAAGAAGAGGCACAGTGATGGAATTGGGTGCCAGCTCAACAATTGGTAGATCCTTTCTGAGATGGTCTCCTCTGCTTTTCTGAGCTCGGGGCTAGAATTTCCCTGAAAAAAGATCTCCTGGGAAAGGATTGAGGAGTTTAGAGTGCTTGTTGTTGGTCAAGATGATGGTGTAGCCGTACTGTTTCACTCTCTGGAACGTATGCGGGAATCCTGTTGGCAGGCTTGGCCGAGATTCCATGAGATGAAATTTCAGGCGAGCACACAAAGACATCTTCAGGCCTATCATTCTCCCTTCTGTTGACACTTGCAAATTTGTGAGCGCCATTTTCGATCAGTGGTGAAACGCCCAGTTTTCCAAAGGCAATATCGGGGCTTTTGTTGGCCACACCCTCTTCAAGGTCTTGCTGACCAGTACGCAAAGCGTCCGCATCAGGTCCCGAGAACGACCTCTTGCCATCTGGCGTCTCGTTCGGACTTTGGCCAAGCACAAAGCCGCCCATGTTAGTAAAGAAACCATGTGTCAATTCCCAGTCTACTCCATCAAGCTGCGAATAGATCCACATCATATTCTTCGATCGATATGCAGCATAGAGATCAGCTAAGGCCTTGCCCAGAATGTATTCAGGAGCAATAGTCGTTACAAGCATCCACTTGAGACTTCGCCGGACTCCCCTCAGATTCCATCTCAACGCTTGAAATCCTCGTAATTCTCGAGGGTCAATGCCAGGTTGCTCCGGGACATTCAGATGCTGCATTGTCCAAGTGCAAGCGATGATGGTGAATAAGCAGCTCCAGAGTATGTCCAATGTTCCTCTCGTGTCCGGCGATGAGACATAATTCGTCCTCGATGATGGGGTTGTACAGGTTGTATGAAACTCAGAATACGCATAGACGAAAGGAAGTAGAAGAAGGAGAATCGCTGACACGGACATCGCTCGTGAGGAAGGAGTGATACAACAACTCTACGATCGCCAGGAGCTGGATATGTTTATTAAAGATCAGTAGATTGGCACTCGCGCCAACACGATGTCTGCGGGAAAAGCAACGTGAACACAGCTGAAACAAAGGCATTCTGAAATATACAACCTTGAGTATATTTCAGCATGGTAGCAAAGCAAAGCCATAGGCTGGAACTACCCTGGTGGCACACTCCAGCCCCAAAGATTCACGATACAAGTCGACCGTGGGGAGGCTCCAAAGAACATATCGAATGGCGTTTCGTCTGAATACTGAGGAGGGAGGAATGGGCGACGAAGAAACGTCCTGAAGGTGAAATACCTGGCATGACCCCTGAATTCCCGTGAGCCGAGAGCCGTGTCGGTACTTAAATTATCAAGCAGGATCTCACGTCATACAACGTACAACCATCTTCTCAAAGTCAAACAATAATGATAAGGCCATCATGAAAACCTCGATACCACATCTTCTCTTCGAAGATGAACCAAATGAACAAACCAGGTCCCAGTTTTCATCAACGCCTTGGACCGTGAAGCTGTTTGATGATCCCACTCTCCGTCCCTTCGTCAGCAGTTCACGAGTCCCTCCAAAGCCACCATCGACACGAGAAACATTCGTTTCTCAGACTCTCTCAACATCAGACACCATCTCAGCCTGGCAATCATTCTTTAAGCCCCCTACCTCATCAAAACCCTTCGAGGTCATCTACCTCCTCAAACTCGGTTCAGGCCTGAACGGACATCATAACCTCGCCCATGGAGGATTTTTGTCAGTAGTGCTAGACGATGTTATCGGCACCGCTGTGGATATTGAAAGGCCGGAGGACAAGTCGACAATGACGGCTTATCTGAAAGTTGATTATAGAAAGCCGGTCAAGACGCCAGGGGTCTTGCTTTCAAGGGCTTGGCTGGAGAAACAGGAGGGAAGGAAGATGTGGGGAAGGGGAACAATTGAAGATGGTGAGGGAAATGTGTTGGCGGATGGGGAGGCCTTGTTTATTGTTGTCGAGTCATTGAGACCGAAGGAGAAGCTTTGAGGGAAAGTAGCATGAGAAGCAAGATTTGAACTTGGAGGAGAAAGGTTCAGCGTCCGGGGATAAGCTCTGGACCATTCGCGTTAAATAGTACGATGACTAGTGGGCTTTAGAACGATCTCCCAGCGACTGAGGGTGGCATGGTCAAGTTCCTGACATGAATTAGGAGGACATTGCGCAAGTACCGAGCGTAAAAGGCATTCTCATCAAGGTCACGTGAATGTATCGTTTTCCACAGGATGGATGAAAAAGTTGAAGTAAGATCGTTCAAGAGTTATAAATTCTCCCCACGGAGTCTGGAGCTGGTTAAGAAGTGAACATTGAAGTAATGAGTATGATAGTGAACCAGTGAAGTCAAATGATGAGTTGGGCTAGTTCAGCCATGGTTAGTCAGCCCCCTCCTTCTACCAACCTCAGCTCATCCTCGATTACCACCGTTCACTCCCACTCCTCAGTTGTCAAGGTAAACAACCTTCAGCCAAACATCAGCCACCCTCCATGTCGTTGTATTAAAACCAATGGAACTATCAGCTGGCTTTCTCGGAGTTCACCAAGATCCATCAACGAAGATGACTCCAAGTTCGCCTTAAAATGCGTCTGATCAACACATCAACCCTTGAATTACACGAGTTCTTCGGCACCAAGACGCCAGCTTATGTAATTCTCTCTCACTTCTGGGGTGATGACGAAGTGACATTCCATGATTTAAGAGATGGAACAGGCCCCCAGAGGCAGGGGTGGGGGAAGGTTTTGGGATGCTGTGACAAAGCTTTGGAAGACGGATGGGAGTTTGTGGTGAGTCTTCTGCTTGAGTCCATTTCTATGTCTTTAATGATCCGAGAATTGGCGCTATTTCCAGTTATTTCGGTTCCTGAGAATGTACTAGAACGAACTTTTACTCATTTATCAGTAGTGGATCGATTCCTGCTGCATTGATAAGACCAGCAGCGCCGAGCTCTCAGAGTCCATCAATTCTATGTTCGCTTGGTACAAAAACGCCCACGTTTGCTATGCTTACCTATCTGATGTTCCGGGGGGCAACCGTGACTACGAAACAGGCGGACTGAGCCTCTATATAGCTCTCGAGCAGAGTCGATGGTTTACTCGAGGTTGGACACTCCAAGAGCTGCTTGCCCCCGAGTGGGTGATAATTCTTGCGGATGACTGGTCTGCACTGGGTACCAAAGCAAGCTTGGCAACTGATCTGACTGCAATTACCGGAATAACGGACCTCTTTAACTTTGAAGAAGCAAGTGTGGCCCAAAAGATGTCTTGGGCTGCTCATAGGAAGACTACCCGGCTCGAAGACCGAGCCTATTCTATGATGGGCTTGTTCGATGTTAACATGCCACTACTCTACGGGGAGGGAAACAAAGCATTCATCAGGCTGCAACTTGAGATCCTGAGCCGAAGTGATGATGAGTCAATATTTGCGTGGTCAAATCCAAGGCCTGAAACACCCCGTCCTGGACTTCTTGCCGAGACCCCGGAGTGTTTCGCAGACTGTGGTCAGATCAGGAGAGGGGACTTTGACCCCGATCGACCGCCTCATTTTATGACCAATAAAGGTTTGCAGATGCAGTTACTTCTGCAGCAACGAAAGGTTCCTTATCACTTGGAACCGACGGCAGGCGATACCTATGTTGCTCCTCTTAACTGCACACTTCCAGGTGAAAACGGGTTCGTGTTCGTGGTGATATATCTCCTTGAAGATGGTGGAACTTATTTCCGGTACGGGGATCCAGATTTGACAGCCGACGACTGGGCTACAGCGAAGACCCAGGCAGATATGGAGCGGAAGCTCGTCCATATTAAGGTCCATATTAAGCAATCAAGGCACAATGAATCGATGGCCGAAGTCTCTCGCTCTGGAAAGATCTCTTATACAGTCAGCTTTGATCTCTGGGCAATGTGGAAAACTGGTTTCGCTCTATCCGAAGGCATCATGTGGCCGGAAAACGAAAGCTCGTGGAATTTCTGGCGGGACAACTTATCAGCAGACTACCAACTCGTTGTCACGATCACATCTACAAAGTATTCTGTCTTGTTACGTTTCAAGCATCCATTGATGTTAAATGGGTTCACGATCATTGTTGGGTATTGTCTGCGACGGCCATGGATAGCGGCCATCACACACGAGGCCTTGGAATCCTTGAAAACAGTTGCTTCGTCCCTCGACAAACAGAATGCGTGGCCACGTTTTTACTATGACCCGAGGAGGTTTCAAGATAGAGTGGAGGTAGACCTCTGGTATTCTTGGTTCATTGAGGTAACGCTGCAAAAGGCTGGTGTGCAGCATTCATACGGCCCGGAAAAGTATTGGGTGAAAATGAATGTAAAGCAACGGCCTGGAGAGAACGGAGATTCGATCCATGAATCCGATTCACATACTCTTGACAGAGAGGTTGAGGGTGAGCTTGAGGAAGAGGCAGCTGAGGTCGAGCTTTCTGGGCTAGAGGATAGTAGGGCATCTGACGCTGCTCTACTCGGACAGGACGTGCTTGTGAGTGGCACGTCGGGGGACAAGGAAGCGTTGACACCAAGCCACTCGCCTCTCAAACAAGATGAAGTATGCGGCAGGTTGAGGGAGAAGGAAGCAACAGTTGCAAATGAATCTCCACTACAACAGAATGATGTTAGTACAGATGTTATGGCATGACTCCTCAGATCTAAATCTCATATCACAAGTTAATGTAACAAGACCGAAATGGATTTGAAAAGCTCGAATCTTGATCTATTAGTGCAACCAACGGAAGCTAATCAAGAGCAACATCCTGCCGATTAACTATTAAAGATACCAAGCATATAAGAAAGAAGAGAAGGTATTTGGTCCGTAAAGCTATGTGTACACATTTGGAATTATTCAACTAACATTTGAGCTTAACTTAATGCTAGAGGGAGAAGTTGTCCGACTGGGCAAGCTCGGGTAGTGTTGGAATCCTCACACAAACACGACACCGCCCCTACCAAATTCTCGTGGAGCATTTGAGTAAGATCTATATGGAAAAACTAGAAGTAAAGAGTGAATATTAGCAATTTCAAGAAACCAAGACTCGAATTCTCACATGACATCACGTGCCGAATCTCTCTCGGCTGAATTTCGGCTTCGGATCCCGAGAGGCGGACGTCGAGTTTCCAATTAATGAGAGCTCTCTCTTAACACATACTTCGAGACTCACGTCACACACAAATCCAGAATCCTCAACGTCACTTGATCTGCAGCAGATAGAGTCGATTATCGAAGAATCCTCAAGAACGGCGATCCTCAATCGAGCTGACCACGGATTTTGCCTTTGGATGATCGATTGAACTCCGACGCTCTCGTCAGCTCATTCCCAGAGGCACAGCGCATCCCGTGCGGACTCGCCTTAATACCATGGATTACGTCGAGAACAGAATGGCACAAGGTCAAAATCTCCTCCCAGTGCCTCAAAATGCCAACTAATATCCCCCAAGAAGCCGCCAAACCAACGCCCTCCCCAGAAGTGTAAGCCCCGCCTCCTCTCCACCATTCCTCACCCGCTGACCCCCCCAGCCAAACGATCGCAACTCCGATAAACTTCATCCTCCTCTCACTCTTCCTCCTCGTCCTCTATTACCAAATCCGACCCAAACCCAAAGTCGTGCTCCCCGCCGCACCCCCACCAGTAGTCTTCAAGACCTTCACACCCCCCACCCTGCTCCCCTTCAACGGCCAAAACAACATGCCCGTCTACCTCGCCGTCCGCGGCCGCGTATTTGACGTCACATCTGGCCGCAACTTCTACGGTCCTGGTGGGCCTTATGCGAATTTTGCGGGAAGGGATGCGAGCAGGGGATTGGCATGTGGCAGTTTTGATGAGGAGATGTTGACGGAGGATTTGCAGGCCCCGCTTGATAAGTTGGAGGGACTGGGGCCAGATGAGATGGAGGCTTTGAAGGGGTGGGAGGAGAGGTTTGAGGAGAAGTATTTAGTCGTTGGGAAGTTGGTTGCTGTAGGCGATGAGGGGAAGGAGGAGATTAAGGCGTAAGCTGGAGCAGATGGGATATGAGTAACGATACGACTGGATAGGGATGGAGTTCGAGAGGCACTTGATCTGGGAGGAAGCATCGGAATGGCCACCGGTACGTCGAATAAAAGCATCAAACAAAGTCCTCGGTCAGTGGTGTTCTTGTTTCAATATGCCAATGTCCCTGGTATATTGACTTGTCTTGGCCACTCATTTGAAGTTTCAAATTTGGAGATCTCTAAATGGCATTTGTTCCAGCACTTGTGAAGCGATGAGCACTACCCATCTGAATGTTCAATCAACTGAAAGCTCATGAACTTCCTTTGCATTCCACCTCCTTTCATATCCATCCAGTGTCAACTTCGGACAGCTTTTGTTGTCACTTCACATCTAACTTCCACGTCCCTTGACCCACTATACTTCTCACCAACGGGTTCCAAGTGCATCCTTGCGAATTCAAGCAGCCAAGATTCTCCCAGAGATATATAGTACAATCATAGTAACCTATCTGTCTAAGATCTACACTCCTCCATGTATGCCCCGGACTGGTAAGCCTTAATGTGCGCCAAAAGCAAGAGATGCCACGGTTAGGGTGCCTATATACCCAGAAATATCTGGGCTGTTGAATTTTATGTGGTGAACTTGTGGGACATGGCTAGTGAAGGCCCTTGTTGTATTGAGACACATTTGGTCATGTAAGTAGGGACATGTTTCTTTCTTTCTCTATTCTCTTAAAATTTGTACCGTTGCTTGTTCAACGAAAGCAAAATGTTTGCAAGCAAGCAATGGATGTCTACAAATTCGTTAAATGCCACAAACACCAAATGGCTAAGTTTTGGTCGTGCCTCAAAGAAGTGAGACGAAGGGTGAGCCTATTTATCTTCCCTTTTATCTACTAGCCAACACTTCCCACATCCTTTCTTAATGGCTGGCTCTTTCTTAGATATTTGAAACTCACCAACTTTTAAGCGCTCGATGTTCGCTTATGTTCTGTTGTCAACAATGTTCCTGCTGTCGCCATGAGCTGAGTCACTGAAGTGCCAGATGAAACAGCATATGTGGGCTCAGACGAATAGTTGCTGAATGTCCCAAAAATCTTGGAACATTGAGCTTGATGCTAGGGTACTTAAAGTAAGTGGTATCCTCGGACCCCGCTCTGATACCCGAACATAGAACTCCCTCTACAAGATAATCCCAACATTAGCGCTCTTCCACGGATTTGCCGGGTCAACCACAGCCCAGCCAAAGTTACGCATGAACTACCAGGACTCAAGTCAGCCATCAATTCCAGACGGAACGACCCTCACTCATCCAAACAATAACCTTATTCAAGTCCATAAAGGCCACCCCCAGACAAGACATTTATACCTCCCACCCCCAAACGTCAAATCCACCACCCTCGCCATCTCCGCATACTTCGCCTCCTCAATCTCCAGCCGCTGCTCTGGGCGAAACATCTCTGGATCCGGCCCAATGACATCCTCATCACGCATCATTCCCCACGTATTAACACCAATCTCAACACCACCTGTGATAGAAATGCCGTTTATTGTGTCGCCTTCTGGAGGAGTTAATCTAAGAAGTAAACCTCCAGGAGGTGGGTGAATGCGAATTCCTTCTAAGATCACGGCTTGGGGTAGACGAGCTTGTGTGCTTCTTCGTCTCGGACAACGGGTGTGCTGAGTGGTGCAGCGCCGATTTCTACTTGCAGTTTTTGGCAGGTCAAAGGAGAGGTTAGGGTACAGAGCATTGTTGCTCTGATAGTAGACGAAGCCGTGTCTGAGCCTGTAAGCCTGTCTGTGATGGTTAGTTCTGGCACTATTGCTTGGGGCTGGACTGTTTACATCATGAGGAGACTCACTGAGAAAGTTTCTTCCTGAGTTAAGCCGTTGTTAAGTAAGGATTGTATGATATTCGGCTTCTCTAATTTCTTTCTCGAATTAGGATCAAAACGTTCTGCGACTCTCTCCTCAGCGATCCTGATGCACAGTCAAATCAGAAAGTTGTCTTAAGGAAGAGGGGAGCATTATCAAACCCCATAATTTTTCCCATTCCGACCCCATCTTGAGATGTTGGGGACAGCCGTTTCCAATCCATGGGATCTGGATAATTTTGGTTAGATCAGGTATACTGCTGATCATTACAGATGCTAATTGGGCTTCTGTGACGGTTCGGAGATACTCGCGCTGGTCTGCATCACTTGTTAAGTCACCGAAAGGAGCACCGGTTGCCAGATCCGTGACTACCTTGGTGGTGAAGAATTGCGCCTTTTAAACGAGGTCCATGACATTAGATGGGGTTGGGGTACAGAGATATTTGGTGCGGATAAGGAGGTGAAGTTCTGCACCTGAATATCAATGGTGGGCTCGAAGTCAATGCCGTCTCTTCCTATACTCTATAGGTTACTTGGCTCGTTGTGTCTTTGAGAACGGGAAAGGCAGTGAGCATACACCAGGACTCATCTGAGTACGACGTTTCATATGCTCCTTCTCATCTCTCAGTGGCCCGACATTGCCGATTCCAGGCGCGAGTCGAAATCCAAGTACCAGTCAGACCTCTTATATAGAGATCGAGATGAATTCATGCGAGTGACAAGTTTGATATCACAAGTGATCAACATGTTGGTCCCAATCCGTGCCAGCTTTCCTGAAATCGCAAGTGTCAGCCTTTTGGGTTCTTGATAAATCAGCGGTTAACACACCTCGTATTCCTTTTTGTCGTCATAAAACACATAATGTGCTCTTTGCTGGAATATGGTCGCGAGGAGCCAGAGCTCTGAAAATTGGGCGAGCCTTGGTCCTTTTATATGTGAGGCGGCGATAGCTGCGAACTTCGCAAGCGATATATCTGGTCAAGAACAGCGTAAAAATGTACCATCTACCTTGGTACAGTTGCTCGAGGATTGATATCAAGGTAGGCAGGCATCCTAGCCGGAGCAGTAGGTGGCGCACTGCGATCGATGCAAGAGCAGATTCGATGAAGAAGAGAGACAGTGAGCTTGTTGCGCCTTTGAGCTAGGTTCCTTCGGTATATGCGGGCTGAAATGCTGCATATACGCCTATCAGTTGTACTGAGTGTGGTGGGAGGGGGAAGCGGTTCAGGCTCCAATTACAGCACGTTTCTCATATCCTTGCTGCTTGGCGGTATGGGAGCATCTCATCCCCGGGCGACCAGTCTTGTGTAACGAATGGTATGCTGTTGAACTTTTAAGTCAGTGAGCCCAAGGTGCACTCCGAACAGGCAAAAACATAATACAAAGCATTCGGTATTCAAGGAACATACAGTATATCTTAGCCTTGATGTAGATGTGAAAATGAAGGTCGGGGGAGCCACGATCAGAAATGCGGGGTAAGAAATTGGGGGTCTCGCTTAAAAAGGGGCGGGGTATTAAAGCATCGAGATACATCGCGATACTAAATTCAAAATCTAAAGAGCTAGATCTGAAGGATTAAATGGCTCTTGGTTATCTCCTTGCAAAACTTCGAATATATATAGGTAACCTGAGCCCCAAATCGTTCATCAAGGCACACAAAGACTAGTACCGAACTGGTTCAGAGAGTGAGCAGGTCCAATCTTCTCTTCCTTCTACTTTCTTTCCCTAAAATTAATCATATAAAGTCAACTCCAATGGGGCCATGGGCATATAAAGGACAGCCCTTAGCATTATGTTGTCTTTCCCAGCAATTCAAAGATCTCGACCCGCTCCGGGACAATGAAAGGAGTCCCTTGATACTGCCCTTACCCGTCTTTTGTATCAGCGACGAAAAGGAATCACCTTCCATTTTCGCTTTGGCGGATGTTCTTACGAAGTGTTAAGGTAGACGAGACGGTAAATGACAAAAATCGGACGGTGATAGCGATTAGGTGATGACAGCAACTATTAATTAAGAATAATCGGCCAATTCTTAGATCGCAGGGTTTGTTAATTATGTAGCTTCCAGGTTTATTTTCAGCCTGAGTTTATTCTTCGCTGAAGTCTGTAGAGGGCAACCAGGGTTTGAAGACTTCCTCTTCAGTATACCACACCAGACATGGCAGCCTTCTTGTCCTTTCGCGTTTGAGGATTGAATAGGATCAAAGAGGAGGAATATATAGAACTCGGCCACTTCCAAGAATCCACTTCCGTAGCTTTGAAGATGGAACGCACACTGTAACCTCGCTCTTTGCTCCACCTGCAGCCTTTGATATCTAATTGTATACAAGACATCCCCTCTGGAAACGATAGGGGGTAAGATTATCCGGAAAATGTTCTGTCTGTTGAGACACTGCAGAGTCGGATTACCAGTACTGTACTCAATGTTAACGACCGCTCAAAGGCTGTCTTGAGATTTCGCACAGCACAGGGGCGATGAGAAAAGAAAAGAAAGACATACTCACTCTTCGCGGAACGTTCAGACGGTGACAGTCGCCAAGCCATGACAAAAATTCAGACATTGACAGCAATTAGACAGTCATTGATTATTAAGAAAAAACAGGAAGGACAAGCCTAATTTCCTCGGAAGATTGAGACGGTGACAGCGGACAGACAATGACAATAAATCAGAGGCTGACAGCAATCAGACGAGTTATTAAATACACGGATGGACGTCTTTCCCTAGCACCGATGTGAGCACTGCATTCCGGACCCACGTCGTGACAGGATTGAGGTCCTTGCACATGTTGACCCACCACGGTGAGAACGGCTTCCACAATGGGACCAACAGTGGCTTGCGCCAATTGTTCTTGCCTATTACGATATTTCTTGGCCAGCTAATTTGCAAGAACTTCGATATTGTGTGCTATTAACATCCTGGCTAGGGGGCTTAGCAATACGAATCCTGTCTAGCGGATTGACTTCGTATCCTTCCAAAGTAATCTCAACTCTGTCGTCCGGCATTAGCAGCTTTCCTTCTCTATTAAGGTCTTCAATGGCCATATCGACCATAATGATCAATGAAAATGCAGGGCTGTCTGGTAACCACTTCTCAGTTCGACCCGCAACCCAATCACACTCTTGGTCGACTTGTACATCTCGAGTCTTGTCGTAGGCGTTCTGGCTATACAAACTTGCCCCTTTGACATAGAATTCAACTTCCCGGTTGCTTCCAAAGGCGTATCGCCTCGGTAAGGCAATCATCTTCGTGGTAATCCGGGTCGTGTTCAGGAGCAGGAAGCTCTGCTGTAACAAGTCCCCTTGGTATTTCCAGGACCTTCTGAAATGACAGAAAGTCCTGTAAACACGAGCCCCTTGGTATATCCGGTGCCGTCTCAAAGTAGAGGAAGTGTTGCTGCTCTTCTCGAGTCTTGTGAGATCTGCGTGCAAAGCACACAGGCTCTTGACAGAAAAATTCGTCGGCAGAGCTCAGTTGCTCGGGAGTGAGAAAGTACTGGCTGGTGTGTTTGTCCTTCCGGATCTCATTCCAAAATATAGGAAGAAAAAAGAAAGGATGAGCTTATTTCCGCGGAAGGTTAAGGAGGTGACAACGATTAAACAATGACAACAGATAGACACGGACAACAATTGGACGAGTTGTTAAACACATGATGATTTATCCTGGAGTCGGATTGATTTTTTCTTCGCCGATGTGCTTCATTTTCAGCCCATGTTTGCGAGATGTGTAAAGAAGGGCCAGGCTGGTTCGCTTCAGGTGCTGATTGAGGAGATTGGTTGGGAAGTCAGACTTTGGCTTGCTGATTCCTTTCGTGAAGAAAAAGGTATATGCACTTACAGAATGGTGAACCCAAGGAAAGAAAACTCGAGTCCTTCAAGCTGAGATATTTTGGCACTTGCTGTTCTGTTTCAACTCTCATTTTTCTGAAGCTCAGTATCATATTCTGTAAGATAGAAAGATCAAAGAGTCAAAACTCTACAATTTGGAACGCTTAAGCCAACTCCGTGCCCGCAATAAACAATTATACAGCCCGATATTTGCTCATATCATACATAAATGCCGTGCGCCTTGCTCGCTGATGCCACTCCTGTATCCCCTATATTCTATTCTCCTGTCCCAACGCTTCAGCCCCACGATGTATCTTCGGTACCGGAGGAGACGCATTTCCTGTAGGTCCATGCTCAAAGTACCCAACCTGCTGCGCATATGTTGTCTGGTCACTCCTCGTTCCTCCGGGCGTGATCAACGGCAAATTGGCCTCCGAACCCATTGCCTTCTTTCTTGTTGTGGGCCTGGTGGCGAACGGGGAGATAGATTCGACGTCTTGCCCTTTCCCACTGCTCGCCATCATTCTGCGGAGTTGTTCCTGGCGCTTGTTTCGGTTGCGAGATCGCAGGCAGAGGATAGCCCATGCGATGAGCGCGGCGCCGATTCCGCCGGCGAAGATGATGGTTACGATGAGGCCGGAGGTGCTGAGTTTGTCTTGTTTCGTCATGCAGCTGTTGGCGCCGGCGGTGGGGGAGAAGCATAGCATTCCTGGAGCGCAGGATTGGATTGCGGTTGTCGTGGCTATGCAGGTCACAGTTGTTCCGGCATGGACTGAGCATGCCGATGTAGATTTTATGCTTGTTACGTAGCAGCTCTCTGCCCCTGAAGTTATCGCTGATGCCGCCGAAGTCGTAGTGGTGCTATCCGTGCTCGTAGTGCCATCGGTGGTCGTGCTATCTGCAGAAGTTGTAGAGGAGGGAGCTGCAGTGGTCGAAGAGGGTGCTACGGTTGTGGATGAGGCGTCAGAGGTTGTCGTTGCTTCGGCGCTCGTTGTCGTCTTCGCATCCGCTGCAGTGGTCTTTGCATTGGTCGTTTTAGTATTCGTTGCTTGCCTTTTCCTCAAATCTTCTCGATCTTCTGCTCGTCTCTCTCTGTGGCACTCTTGTGCGAACATCACTGCTTCCACCGCGGCATTCACGCCTGAACATCCCCCACCAACAAAGCATTGTTCGATCTCCTCCAATGACTCGAGATCAACACCTCTACCGAGACATGCCGTAATCGATTTCGAGCATCCGCAGTTCGTCCTTGAAACAAGTTCACTGAGATTGTTTTGTGCACACTCTGTTCCTGACGCAGAAACAATTGCGGCTCCAGCAAAGAGCGCGAGGAGGAAGGACCGCATCGTGGCCAGTGAAACAGTGGAGAAAGGCAGATTTCAGCGCTAGACTGGCTGTTCTTCAAGAACCCCCGTCAAGGCCTCCAGTAAATATTAAGATAGAGATTAGTGAGTATAAAGAGGAAGAAATGCTACAGATGAATGTCAAACTGGAGAGGTGGAGACATAAGTGCGATGAAATGAATTCCCCTAAAATATGCACTTGTGAAGGGCGGAGGGAGGCTTGAGCTGCGGCGTTAATAAGGGGTCAGGGCACGCCTTCTGATAGGCCACCAGCGCCCCTGAACTCTTTCGTGCAGCTGTTCGGAGATATCCACAAGCACCCCAGTTGGGTGGCGTGCCGCAGAACGTCCATCTGGAAAATACGATGAGTTGACGATGCAGTACGAACACCTTTTGAGAAGATCATGGAGGCTGGATTGATGATGAAAATTGAACGTGGCCGTGGGCCTTGATCCACTTGGTCCCCACGTAGAGTCGTAGGTCACCACGAAGCTTTCGGATCGTCCTCGAACACGCAGTTTCGGGTGGCGGAGTGACTTTTGCTTGGCATAGATGGCTTGAAGTTTGCCGAAGGGGCACAGCTGAAGCCTGAAACGCAGTAGAGTATCACCCGCTCGAAGGGGGACGGGCGAGGAACCTCAGCTTGTGCAACAGATGATGGAGAAGCGGGAAAAGATGATGTTGAGAAGGATGAAGAAAAACTGGGAATGGGGAAAAGCTGTTTGAAACTTAAGGTAAGCTGAACAAGGTGTGACAACCGATCAAAGTCACGTGATATGCGAGTCAGATCAGGGGGTACGTCATTCGCTTTCTCTAGTGCTTGGACAAAGAAGGCAGCCAAGGTTGATATATTTTGATGCAACTTTATGTTCTTCATCAAAAACAACATAAACTCCTTCGTCACAAGAAGCAGAATCCAACACAAACAAACCCTTCAATACCAATCCTTCCACACCAAAACTACCCTCAAGATGCCTCTTGTTGTCCCAGGAATCAACTCGGGTGGTGACAAGTCAAAGACCGAGGAGTGGACTCAGAAGTTGGTTGGCAAGAAGATTGGTGAGAGCCATGATGCTACGGTAAGCTCCAACCTAGACTTGTCTGGAAGATACTAAGAGACTGATGATAAGTAGACCTTCGCAAAGACAGATCTTCCCAAGGAGACCCGAGTCATTGAGCCAGGATCCATGGTTACCAAAGATTTCAAGCCAGACAGGTGAAAATACCAAAACTGCGCCTTGAAAAAGAGGAACATATGCTGACCAGCTATCCAGGTTGAACGTTCACCTTGCTGAGGACGGAACGGTCTCTCACGTTGATCACCAGTAGAGGTTCAGGAGTAGTGGGCTAGAAACCAATTCATGAATCGATGACCTTCTGAAATTATCTTCAAATTAAGACCTAAATCACTCTGATATGCGTCTTCTTCCTGCAACAAACAGAGCATCAGATCATCTTCCTATTTCGTCATGCATAAATCACATGACACTTACCCCTCCATGAAACAGCACTTCTTGTCTCTGCGGGCAACCGAATCGCGGGGCATCTCCACATTCATCTTGATCCCAAAATCTCCAGCCCCTTCCACACGACACTCTCTATTCCACAACCCCCTTCAAATCCGCCAAGATGTTCAAAAAGGAGTATGCCGCCTCTGCGCCATTGTGGTACTTTTGTGCTAACGAAAGAAGCATCTCCCCCGGCTCGAAATCCAAAGTCAAGTCCTCCGTCCAACGCGCGATCCGCAACCAGCTCGTGACAACATACCCCCTCCTCGCACCACACATCGACGAGATCATACCGAAGAAAGAGCAACTGGATGCTATGAAAATGTCCTTCTCCCTCTCTTCCTCTCTGCCCATCTCCTCCTCTCTCCCTCTCTTCCTCCTTTTTCCACCAAGCAAGGCGGGAATACCTGCTGACAAGAACCTCCAACCAGTCCAGACAGAGTAACCCTCTACCTAATCGGCCCCACCCCCCTTTTCTACCAACATATGACTGATGCTCTTCTCCCACACCTCCGGCTCGTACACCGTTTCCCGACCTGCTTCCCAAGCATCCGCATCGACAGGGGAGCAATCCGCTTCGTGCTCTCGGGTGCTACGCTCATGGCGCCGGGGTTGACTTCCACTGGTGGGAGACTGCCATCTGGTGATGCTGAGGAGAAGGGGGGTTATGGGGAACATGGGGGGAAGGAAGGCGGGGAAGCGGAGAAGGAGGGCTGGTATGGAGGCAGAGAGCTGGACAAGGGAGAGCCGGTTGTGGTTTGTGCGGAGGGCAAGGAGGAGGCGTGCGCTGTGGGGATACTGAGTATGGGGACTAAGGAGGTGAAAGAGAAGGGGAAGGGGCCGGTTGTGGAGGAGGGGCATTATTTGGGGGATGGGCTTTGGAGGTTGGCTACTGAGTAGAGATGGGGTTTGAGGAAGTGAGATACTTTGAGTCTTGTGGGAGGGACATATGGGATGGGCTTACGACATGGAGGCAGGGAGAGTCTCTCAAAGTAAATGTCAATGTGGGACAAAATTCTGAAGGTCAGCACATGCGGGAACGCTGCTCGAGGTTCCCAATCTGTCCACCAGTAGGGAAAAGCCAGAAATAGGAACGGGCCCATTCCCTTGGGCCAACATATCCCGCTCAGTCTTACAAGTCTTTCCTAGCCCCTCAATCTGCTAAATGTACATGGCCAAGTGGCAAACCATCATTACAGGGCAGGAACTTGTTCAGTCTCCACTTGCACAATCAAGCGGTTTCAAAGTAAAATCGTTCTAGCGGATGGATCAAGGCAGAGAAGCGTCTATATACAAAGTATAAGTACACCTCTATCATGCAAAAGACTCACTCATATGAGAAATGAAACACTTCGGGAACCCATCCAGGCTGTGTGGATATTCATGATCTGTTGAGATGACTGAAGCTTTGATATTCTTAGCAAGTGTGGCATACTATTGTCATCCAGATTCCACCACAAATTCAAATACCTTCTATACTCACAAAATGGAATCTTTTAGAGGACTCAGGGCCAACTTTGTGGTTCAACTTCACAGTCTCGCCAATTCATTCCGCAGATCGAGACATCAGATAAACCTCGATTTTCTATTCAGCTGGACTCTCTCCAATTCGGCCCAGCTTTTGCTCCAAGTGCTGTCAGTCTTGCCACAGCCCTCGCCATCTCTCTTTATGATAGACTCTGCCGGTTTTTGATTTTTTGGTCTTCGGCTTCATGCTCTTCGCAGAGTATGGAAATGATTTTGTCAGCACCTTTTATTCTAGGAACCTTCACTACCTGCCCCACTTGTTTTGTGATCCGGCTACCATGACCTTTATTGGACTTTGCAAGACTTTGCAAAATGGGAAGAATAGTATGATATATGGTCGAGCGGCTGCTTTTCATAGCCCAACCCCCCCCCTTTCTCTACAAGTTTACCTCTTTTAACGTTATTAACAAGCGGCTTGGCCATCTATTAAAATGGTTCTTCTTGTGCTTTTACTGGGTGGGGCATTGATATTGAAGTGCGAGTTTGTGAGTTTGGTGAACCGTAGGACGTCGACTTAGATTGAGAGCTAAGTCATGCTCTCGCTATCAGAGGGCTATCTTGCCATTTTAGGCAGATGGTGCAAAGTCATCTAGAAGATGACAGCAACTTGATAGAAGATGTATCATGCGCACAAAGTTTAGGGAAAGGAGATTGTCTGACAACCTAAAGCTTCGTGCTCACTGTAAATAAGGGGTTTGTGCACGTTTCGGCTGGATTCGTAGCCCACACCTTTTCTTTCCGCCCATGTATATTTTCAGTGGGTTATTCTTATTCTTCCCCGATGTCATACAAGCCGACTTCCTTGAACCTAGTTATACAAGTATTTATTGCCATAAAATTCTGAGTTTATTTAAGGATATGTGTGATTCAAGGAGGTTAAAGTGATCACGTGATCCTATTTCCTATCCAAGCCCTGTCCCCACGTCTTAACTATTCAACAGAAAGTGGAAAGTGGTAATAATGAGATACCTTCTTAGAATAGTGAACCGCGATGGCTCAAACTAGAATTGAGAGCCGTATACGGGTGCATGCGGAATAATGACCGAAGTACAGGCGGCCGCTCCCTCGGCATCCTCGCAGAGAGCCTCCCCTCTTTATTATCAGCGCTCAACTGCTTGATCAACTTACAGATGCTATTGGCCTTTACATTCCTTGCTATAAATCTGAAAACTCACTGCCGCTGGATCACTAACTAGGGCCACAACCCAACTATAGGTATAAGAGCAAGGCTATAACGCACCATTTCGCTTATTGAGACTTCAGTACTGAACTACAGGTTTGATTCTTTGACGGATATGTGGCGTAGAAGGTTGGTGGCGAGTGGAAATGGCAGAGGAAAACGCCATGAACAAAATCACAAATACCCCATCTCCCCCTGCAACCTTGCAAACATCACTGACTTTCAAACACATTGTCCTTGGAAGGACTTGTATAACTACTGCGTTCCAGAACATGATTGAACAAACTCTATTAAATTGTTCCCGAGAATTTTGCAAAATCCTCCCACTGCCTCCACCTTTGCAGAGCTGGCAAGCCACTTGAACAATTTTCAAAAGTCTTGTATAATTTCTCGCATTATACGATAGATTTTCCTTGCAAGATATCATACGTTCTATACATAACTTTCCACTTTGAAGGACCTTTCTAGGTTCCTGAACTTTCAAGTATCTTGAAATAAACAAACATTGTTCTTGCTCCAACTGGTTCACCTTTTTGTCTTGCAAGACAATGCTATAGCTAGGGCTTAGGATACTACCCGTCAACTTGTACAGTAGACCGATTACTAACTCATTAAAAAGAGTCAACCACAATTATCCTGTCTAGTAAGATAATGGTTCCCACAAACTCCCAATGTCACTCTTCTCTTGATTCGGGGTTTTTCTTTTGTGTAGTCATGTATTACAAATAGGGAAATGCGGCTCAACTACAAAATTCACAAACACCTCTCACGGCCCTTGTCTTTTCCCTAAAACCAAACCGAACCTGAGAATACCATTTCTTGTCCCCATTATTATTGATATCAAGTATGCAAGACAACATTCCCACATTCTTATACCAATAAAATGACTGTGGAATCCGTTATTAAAATTCATAAACTCTCCTTAACGGCTTTGCCTTTACTTAAAACGGAATAAAAAGAGTGGGCTCACTTAATATTATTATGAATATCAGAACAATAAATTTGTGAGAAAAAATTTGTATATTCTCATCTAAAGATAGGAGGTTCCAAATTTCACAAACACCCCTCACGGCCTTCGCCTCTACTCAAGTGCTTAAAACCGAACCAACCCCCCTTTTTAACTCGCACAGCCCTATCGCCTTCATAACCTCAATTTTGTAGAATAATATCCCCACATTCTTATACCCAGGGCATTGCATTGCAACACGCCTTTAAAAATTCATAAGCGCCCCTCACCGCCTTCGTATTTTCCTTTACCTTCAAAATTCAAAGCCAAACCGAACCCCTTTTTCAGCTCGCTTAACTACCTCGCATTACCTCGCCTTTTCACGCCCTCAATTTACCCGCTTCTTTCCCAAATGACTACCTACTTTTGCCACAGACATGGCAGTGGCCTACGACGATTCAGCACTTCCTCGCAGTACAGGCTGGAAACCAAGGGCTTTCATGCTCTTGGGCTAAGACTAAATCACAACGACTATTTGAGTCTCGAATCGGCAATTTACTATATGAAGAGGTTTTCCTCTATCGACTAATGGCCTTTCAATCCTATCACCGTATCCTCTCGCGCGCTACGAGCCCTCCGAATATATATACAGAGATAGAGGGAACTAGGGAGGCGTTTGGCGGAGCCGCAAGAAGGATAATTCCGCGCCCGAGGACGCTTTGTGGTTATAAGGAGGGGAGGGGGGTTAAGGTTGGGGGAAGAGGTCGATATTGCGCCTTCGTACGTGCTTACATACTTCCGCGAAGGATGGGTTTATAGCTCTATTGCGTAGAGTTAATAAGGAGGCTTTTAACTTGCGTTAGGCTACCTGGATTCGAGCTCTAAAGGGCTTAAGATACCCCTTTACAAATCGCATATACTTCCTAGTTTCCATCCCACCTGTCCGGGAATGGAGCAGTCACAAGGCCTTGCTAGTTATGCAAAGAGAGTAACTAGACAATTACACGCTTTGGTATAAAATGCTTTCTAAGGCAAGGGCACTATAACACTGCGGGATTAGGGACCCGGGGCTATTTGGGAAGGAGTCTTTTCGCCCCTTATAGTTTTTAGCTCCTTTGTAAATAGGACTTTTATTCTCAACGAGATCCTTAGCTTAGCATGTCGGACGTAAATAATTATCATTATTATCATTATCATTATTACAGACATGACAGTGCAGCTCGCATTCAGGTTTTCACAAAGACCCCTCACCGCCTTTACCTTCGTCTTCGCCTTTTACCAAAACGCGACGAACCCCTATTCAGCTCGCTTAACTCCCTCGCCTAACATCATCACCTTTGAAGCCTCAATTCACCCAGCCCTTTTGCAATTCACCACCCTAATAACCACACTAACTTACCCCTCTCACTTAGCAAGATCACATGCCACACAGCCTTGCAAAATTCAAAAATTCAAAAGCGCACTAGCTGGTGCACTGACCGCCGCCCTATCTGTCAACACCTCAACTTCCCGGTGCCCGGCGAATCTTTACTCCGGCACTACAATCAACAACACCACAAGCGACGCCACGATACACTCGATACACGTTGCACCAGTATGGCATTGCAGCAGCATTCTCGAGGCAAGAGCTCGATGATGTCCTCGGATGGCAATCCTCCAGAGATGTCTAAGGCTGAAGCCATTGCCAAGTTAGCTCCTTACAACAACGCGGCGCAAGGCCTCATGATGCTCGCAACCCAGGCGCCCTACCCTCTACCAGTGGGTGAAATAGAAGTTTTGGTGTACAGTCCCATGGCTAAGGTTAGTTACATCTTCAAGAACGACAAACTGGCCCTCGGTGGAAGAACCACTCTGCGCGGTTTCGTTTTCGGCCTCCAGGGATTGGTTGACCAGGCCTTTCGCAAGAAGGAGATGGCGGGCGAAGCCGGCGAAAAGTACGTCCTGCACCAGATTGAAATCATAATCTTTACTAGATCGACTGGCCCTCTCCCGCGTATCAGCGGAAACCCAGTTTACCAGGGCGCCGATCGTGGTAAGTTCTGACTCGCGCTTGCGAGCTGTTTCTTCAAGCTGACAATGAAAATACAGATCTGAAGACTGCTTCTGTTGAAGGAGTTATTTGGAACCTTGACGCCGAGATGACATCCTACTGGAATGAGGTCAAGACGCGCATCCAACTTGGAGGCGTGGACGACAGCCCTCGCGAGATCAAGAAGCCCTTGATCAAAGTGTATACCACAAGAAAGGGCGAGGCTGACGTCATTCCGGGAGTGGACCTATTTAAGGAACACAACGGCCATTTCTTTATTTCTAGCAGCACGTGTTCGCTACGTAGCTCTATGCCGCCTGTTCAAGCAGCGATGGGTCTCGACGCGAACGCGAAGGCAAAATTTCGAGAGCACCCGATCAACCCGGAACGTCCCATGTTCGACTTGGGACAGACCGGTAGCTTCTCTCACAACACCGGCTTTGTTAACAACAATTCCTTTGCGCATACCAAGGCTCCAAAGCGTGTTCCGAAGATGCCTCCCAATAACGCAAACAAGGAGGCTAACGATATCATGGGCAAGTTGAACGAGGTCGGCAACCCCTTGAATCTTCAGGAGGGTGAGATCGAGCTCGGATTGAAGGTTTCCAACGTGGTCAAGGACAACATGAAGGCAGGAGAGCAAGGCGGCAACGGCGAAGGTTCGAGCAAGAGTACTTCGAAGTCCAATGTTGAAGGATCCTACCAGGAGCACCTTTCTAGAGGCCGCAAGCCAGCGAAGGGACCTTCAGTCAACAAGCGCACGCAGGGAACCAAGAGAAAGGCTCGTCCAGACGAGAACTGGGGCAAATATCAACATATGGGCGGTGATCCTTGTATTCGCAAGGCGTGTGATCTCTCAGGAGCACCATTCGAGCCGGCCACTTCGAAGAAATTGGTTAGTCCTGAGGACCCAAACAACCTCGACGCAGGCAAGGATGGCGACACCGTCAAGTCGGTTGCGGAGGAGGCTGATACCTCAATCAAGATGGTTAGTCAAATGACCAGTGAGGAGATGGCCACGGCTATGGGAATGTCGGACTACCATGGGCTGCATCGGGACATGAATGCCAGAGGTATGATCTCCCGCATGGATGCCGGCTTAGGTTTCACCGAGGAGGACGACTACCTGTTTGTCCCAGCCATGGAAGCCATCGAAGAAAACCCTTCTCTACGCCTAGATCCGACGCGTGTCGACGCCCTCCTAGGTCTCGTCCCGCAAAACAAAAAGTTAGAGACCCTGCGTGCCCTTGGCAATTCCCTTCTCTCTCCGGCTGCCCCGCCAAGTTCTTTGAACAACAGTCCGTACTTGGGCGCCCTTGGTGGTGTCGCTCCGCCTGCGGGCATGTACAACACCTCCTCTAGCATGGCTAGCACCCCAGGCTCCGGTCTTCCCATTCAAAACCCATATCAAGCCACCATGGGCCAGTCCGCGTCCTCATCTCCCCTAACCAGTTGGCCTCAAATGGCGGCGACTCCTCCTCTTGGCTTCTACGACACCACGACTCCGAGCGCTGAATCTGGCATGGGCATGAACACGGGTGGTGGTCGACGCTCTTCCTTGGACAACTCTGCACGCACCCACTCTCGCTCCGGTACCCAATCGAATGTTGGTGGTGGCGCTTCTCTTCGCGTTGAATCCCCAGCTTCCCACTCGGCGGCGACCCCCTCGGCTTCCAGAAGCATGTTCTCTCCGCCTGTCACTGGACGTGGCCTCCAAGGTCAACAGCAAGCTGTTCTTCCAGGCCGCCAATACGACGCTCCTGGTGCTCCATGGGAGAATGGACGGGGTTACCCAGGCCAACAGCAAGTTGGTCTTCCGGGCCGCCAATATGATGCTCCTGGTGCTCCATGGGAGAATGGACGTGGTTACCCAGGTCAACAGCAAGCTGTTCTTCCGGGCCGCCAATATGATGCTCCTGGTGCTCCATGGGAGAATGGACGTGGCTACCCAGGTCAACAGCAAGCTGTTCTTCCGGGCCGCCAATATGATGCTCCTGGCGCTCCATGGGAGAACGGACGTGGCTACCCAGGTCAACAGCAAGTTGGTGTTCAAGGCCAACAATATGGTGGCGCATTGGAGATGGGACGTACGGGCTCGCGTGCCAGCGATCTTCACGGACAACAAGGCGGTGGATCTCCTAGCGGACGTTCGGGTCCTGGTGCCAATAGCTACGACTAGAGCGCTGACGTCGATCCCTTGGCTGCGGCTGCGAAGAAGGGTTTCGGTTGGTTGAATTGAGGCAACTGCTGGAGCGTGCTGATGGCTGAACATACGATTTGGCTTTCGATACATGGGTTTTTATGCATATATGCGTGGGGTGGATTTGCTGTTCTTTGATTGGATCAGACGGCGGAGGGTATCGTCCCAGGCTTGGCTCATGACCGGGCTGGTGGTTTGGTAACTCAGCTTGTCGATCATTTCGTGGAGGGCAACTTTCAGACTTCCAATGCATACAGTTTTCTGGGTGGATGATATGAGATACCCCTCCTTATGATAGGGAGGCATCAATCAGCGACTGCTGATTTCGCATAACAAATACAAAATTTCAATAAACGCAGTGCAGATATCAGTGATAGTGACAACTTTACATTCAAAGCCGGTAGTTCATAACACGCAGCAGTTAATTTCTAGCGCAGCAGGTATTTTTCAAGGAGCACACATATCAGCACAGTGCAAAGCAATTAATTCGCAGGCAATTTCGGGTGTCACTCCTCACAGCTTCACTTGTTCGCTGCCAGTGTGGCATTCAAACATAGGTCATCTACTTCCCCTACGTGGACGAATCACCACGGCGCTTCATTTGGCTGGCCAGCGGCCCATCTCGCGACCACATCGCAAAGACATTGATAACAGGATTGCAATGAGATCTCCAAACATATTGCGAGTTACGGCTGACACGTATTACGGCATTGTGAGTTGATTCAGATGCGAAAACCACCTGAACGGAAAGAAAAACATAGATTATGCAAGTGGCTGCATCAGATACCATTTCTTGGGACCTGTCAATCGGTTCTTGGCAGCCAACTTCTGGCATAGTCCAGTAAGAACCGTTGCAGAATCAAATGGTGGAGGTCGGAAAGCCGCGGTGGCGAGTACCGTTCTGGCGGGTCATCAGATGCAGGACAGTGCAACGTGGACGGCATGTTGCACGAAAACGCTCAAGCCACTCAAAGTGCAGCACAACGAGCACAGCAAGTCACAGGCCTCTCGAGAGCACGAGATAGCTATGATTCGAAACGTCGCACTGGAATGATTTTCTGCTTACTGACCACAATATCGCCATGTGATAACAGGCATGCATCCTTGAGTCAGAATATGTCAGCGCCCTCCAGCAATTCGAGCGGAAGTGAATGGCCACGCCGGTTTTGCAGCTTGGAAACCGCCGTTTCTGTCGTCACAATACATTTTCTTAGTTCGGCTCGGGATATCCAATGGAAGGTCGTCGAGTTGTCGGCAGTTCGTTCGAAGGAGAATGTCGTCGGCGGATACCAGTGTATTTTTGGACTACATCCCGGTTGCACGAAGTGACGAATCGTAGGCTCCTCCAGAAATTGCAAGAGCCGGTGCCATCAATGCGGAAAGAAGCAAACATGGCTCGGATTCTATCACATATCGTGACGAAAATCGATCTCCCGCTTCGAGGAAGGATTTCCAGAGTTGAAAGCGGTTCCCACCGATGCCTGTTCATGCAGGCTCGGCGCCGACTCAGAAAACGCTGCAGGAACAGTTGTGTAACCCGAGGCGCTGGGACACGAGTTTCGGTATAGCTGGAATGGGCGGACGGGCGGCTGGTTTCTGGTCCGCCGCGGAGGGGAGACCGTCCCCATATGAGGAGATGAGGGAGGTTGGAGTTGAAGATGGAGATGAAAATGGAAATGGAGGGGAAGAGAAGGAAACAAAGGAAAGAAAAGAAAAGTTGGGAGTCGAGACGGTGTGCGAAAAGAAAGAAAGTCCAGCAGGGTTGATTTGTACGCAGTACTTTCGTCTGATCCATTGGCGCTCCCCAAGCGAACCGGACCACGTTCTCCAGCCCCGAAAAGTCCCAAGCACAGGTCACCGCCCAGCAAGCTCGCCGGCTATGCATGCACGCCTTTGCTTTTTCTGTCCCCAAAAGCACTGGATGTCACACATGACCGGTGATGGACAACGCTCTGATGGCTCGGCCAGTACCTCCAGCAGCTTATCTCGAGTCCTGATGCCAGGTTGATGCCAGTATGCCAAGTCGTATGTTGGTGGCTGCTGACGGCGAGTCCACGAACTGCCCCGTTTCGGCGTCACCGCCACGCTGCTGCTGCCTACTCGCACAGCATCACAGGCGGAGGGGCCTTTGGCCTGCCCCAGCCGTTCTCAATCCGCAAGCGCAAGCGCAAGCCCATGCCCAGAGCCATCTCCATCCATCTCCATGCTTCCTTTTGACCCCGCCCTGGTTTGCTTTGTATGTACCGTGCATTGACTTGACTTGCCCTTCCCTCACCTGGCCGGGCCTGTTCTCGATTACCACTGTTTTCTCTGATGCTCTGGCCCTTGCTCTCCATCATGCAGGTCCACTATGATTCGATCCCAGATCGAGCCCGATTTGGTACGGGCAGTCTCCTTTTGTCGGCGGGGAGAACCTTTGCTCATATGCCTCGCCCACCCTCTATCAGACTTCTGTGATCAGGGTCCGTAGCACAGGAATTTGATAAAGTCGCGACTGTGCAACGCAGCAGAACAAGCTTGCCCTAGCCTGCGGAGACATTTGAGCCAGCTGACAGCCCAGACGGAACCGTGATTCGAGACTGCCCAAGAGGGTTGGGTGCAGCTGGAGAGGGACGAAGCTGAGAGAGGAGGTGTTTAAGGCGGACTGTCCTCGCACTGCAATTTTCCTTCTCCTACTCGGTGCTGTGGTTGCCTCTGACGTGAGTCTTCATGGGAGGCTGGCCGACCGAACGTCAGGGATAACGAGAAAAAAGTAGCATACTAATCACGTCGACCCTGGGTCTGGGTCATCGTCGTGCGAAGAGGGTGTGTTGGGGTGTTGTTGCCTCCAGGTACTGTACTTTACCTCACTTGATTTGTTTTCGTCTCATCGCTTCGCTTGCGCGGGTACACACGGCTTCAGAAACCGCCCCCCTTTTCATCCCTCCTCTGCCTGTCCTGGAAGCGACAAGGCTGCCACCCACTCTCTGCAGTCTGACGTTCTGTGTTCGAGGTTACCTGAGTCACTGCGAACCACCCCAGACCAGGCCAGGCCGGGCCAGGCCGCATCAAACCAGCCCAGTCAGCCTTACGTCGTTCGTTCCTGCCCTTTGTTTGCCTCAGCCTTACCGGCCAGCGCCTGCCCCTTCGTTGGCTACTTCTTGCCAAGCCGTGGAGCTCCAGATTCTCCAATCCATCATCGTTCGCTTTTGGTCTACCATCCGCACTTTGGCTGATCCTTTCCCTTCTGTAGCTTGCTGCACATCTCCTCCCGTTGATGGTGTCAACCCACAAGTCACTCCTGATGTTGACAACTATGGCTCCAGTTGCCCCAGAGCAGGTAAGCACGCAATCAATCACGGGGAAGAGGACCTCACCTCTTGCGGCAACAGCCAGTTCTGGGTGATTCTGACAATATTGCAGCTCTGGACCGCCGTCACGGCCATTCGCTATGCTTTTCCTGCCGTGATCTTTCTCTACTTCATTGCTGCTCTCGCCATCACTGTTTGCACCTTGCAAACACAACGACTCAGAATCAAGGATGAGCACGTTCGCCGTGATGTTATCCTCGGACTGATTTTTGGTGTCACTGTTGCCTATGTACGTCCCCAGTGCCTCACAAGAGGGCAAAAATGCTTCCTCGGCCGCCTCTTGGCAGAAGACGGGCTCTGCTGACTTTAAGCAGCTCATTGAAGTCTTCACGGTCGTGATCAGAGTGATTCTCGACCGTGGCTGGGATCCAGGACAAGATCGTATGGTAAGTTTGTGCCAGAACCTCCCTTGAGAGCCATTGCTTGCTTGGTATAATCTCGTCGAAAGGTGATTTTGATGGCTTTGTAGGTCTATCTCATCGCCTCCACGATTGCTTTCTGCGCCCAAGCCCTTGCTTTGACGGACAGCAAATTTCCCGTTTGGTACCCGTACTACGGAACTTGGTTCTTCGGATTTGTTGTCGAGTTGATCTTGGCCGTGGTTCCGAACGTCTTCAGACCTCCGAAGTCCCCATTCGACTATGCTGCCATTGTCATACAAGGCTTGAGAATCTGTATCTTCACCATCCTCCCATCCTTGTACTTTGGTTTGCGCAACGACAGGAAGGAGTATGACAACTGTGATGCTGAACGTCAAACCCTCTTGGCAAAGAAGCTTGCCCCAAAAGCATCGAGCTCGGATAATACCACAGCCAACGGAAACGGAAACGGATATGGGGCCACGACAGATGCAAATGCTCAAGAATCAGACACAGCAGACAATGCCAGTGATGCGGGTTCCGAGGATTCGTGGCTTGCAGAACAACGAAAAGCACAGGAAATGATCGATAAGCGCTTGCAGCAGGATGGGAATTGGTTCACATATGCCAAAGGTTTCACTGTGAGTTCACATCATGGACCTGGAGAATGGACAGCCGCTAATACTTGATTTAGGTATTTCTTCCGTACCTGTGGCCATTCCACAACAAAGGTCTGCAGTTTCGGGCAGTGCTTGTTGGTTTCTGCTTATTAGCTTCCAATGCCTTGAATGTTCTTGTTCCCAATCAAATGGGCGTCATGATCGATAGTCTGACAAAGTATGCCCAAGGAGGTACGTTTTCGAGACCAATTGTGAAAGCAAAGCTGACGCCTTTCAGATTCGGAGAGCAACATTTGGCTTCCGGTCGTTGTCTACACTGTGCTGCGTTTTGTAAGCGGCGGTGCATGCATTGGTTGGATTCGCAGATGGTTGTGGATCCCATTGGAACAATATTCGTACGACGCGCTCAGCACAGCTTCTCATGCACACTTGATGAGCCTTTCGTCGGATTTCCACGACAACAAGACCAGTTCAGACCTCAGCCAGGCTGTGCATGGCGGCAGATCCGTTGCAGATTTGCTCGAGACGGTCTGTTTCCAGGTTATCCCCATGTTCATCGATCTTGCGATAGCATTTGCCTACTTGTGGAGCTTATTTGGTCCCTACATGGGACTCATGATGGCCGCTACGGTAATCTCATACCTTTACATTACGACTAAATTGTACGCTCGGCGAGCCTCAAAGAGACGTGACTACATAACTATCTACCGAAAGGAGTGGACAATCGGTCAGCAATCGCTCGATGGTTGGAGCACCGCAAGTGTACTTATCTTGGATTCTATTTTCTCGGTCAATGCTGACGATTGGTAGCTTTTCAACATGATTCCGTACGAAAGACATAGATATGCTTGTGGTAAGTTCTCTGTGCAACCTCTCTCAACTCCTGCTAAACGCTTCTCAAGCTGTCAAGGACCATATGAAAGCCAAACGAACTTACGAAATGTCCTCACAAGCAATTAGTGCCGCCCAAGGACTGGTCATGACTCTCGGCTTGCTGGGAGCTCTGTGGCTTGGCGTTTACCAAGTTGCATACGGCCGCAAGTCAGTCGGAAAGTTCACCACTTTGTTGGTGTACTGGGCTCAATTGCAAAGTGAGTGTTCTCTCAATCACCGGAATTCTCATGCTGATTATTGCAGGTCCCCTGATCTTCTTCAGTTCCATGTACAGACAGATATCCTACAGCCTAATGGATGCCGAGCGTTTGCTTGAGCTCTTCCAGACAAAGCCAACAGTCACTGACATGCCAAATGCGAAGCCGCTCAAGTTAGGCCAAGGTCTTGTCAAATTTGACCGAGTCTCTTTCGCATATGATGAGCGCAAGCCAACTTTGAAGAATGTCAGTTTCGTTGTTCCCCCCGGAAAGACTGTCGCTCTCGTTGGTGAGACAGGAGGTGGCAAATCGACCATCCTCAAACTGATTGACCGATTCTACGATGTCAAGTCGGGAAGTATCTCGATTGATTCTCAAGACATTCGTGATGTTTGCCTCGAGAGGTAGGCCATTCTATTCGATAGAGTTGACAAGCAAAGCTGACCTGCAATTCAGTCTTCGTGGGAAGATTGGTGTTGTACCACAAGATCCGATGCTTTTCAACGACTCGATCATGAACAACATTCGCTACGCTCGTATCACTGCAAGCGACAAGGAAGTATACGAGGCATGCAAGGCAGCCGCTGTTCATGAGAAGATCATGTCTTTCCCAGATGGTACGTTCCGCTGCTTCCTTTCGAATTAATCATTCAGCTGACTTTATGATTACTAGGTTACAACTCGAAGGTTGGCGATCGTGGCGTGTAAGTGTTATTGTTTCCAATCCTCTATTGCTTTGCTAACATATTTGAAGTAAGCTGTCCGGTGGTGAGAAGCAGCGTGTTGCCATTGCCCGTGCTATCTTGAAGCAACCTGAAATCATTCTTCTGGATGAAGCTACCAGCGCTGTCGATACCGAGACCGAGCAACTGATTCAAGAAGGTTTCAAGACTTTGTGCAATGGCCGGACCACCTTCATTGTTGCGTACGTCATCTCGGATAGACTCCTGACATGTGGAATATGCTAACATGTTGACAGTCATCGACTTTCGACTATCATGAAAGCTGATCACATCTTGGTTGTCATGAACGGAGAAATCGTTGAAGGAGGGTCGCATGATGAGCTGGTTCACAAGAAGGGCAAATATCATGACTTGTGGTCAAAACAAATCTTGGTGAAGCCTGCTGTTGACCGTTCCAGATCTCAAAGCCCGAAGAAGCGAGACACGCACATTATCAACGATCTCACTCCCAACCGTCAAAAAGTTGAGTTGGCCAAGGCTTTGAAGAATACTCCGCATGATGAAACCTGTCAGTCCAACCAGCAGAAGCCGAGTGATACTCAGACATCAGATGAGGGACCAGAGGGACCGAACCAAGATCCATGCAATATTGAGCAAGGAACGAAGCCAGCCCCGGACACAAAGTCTGGACCTGGCCACCAACGTGAGGTAAGTGCAGAGCGAAGTTGAAGGAAAAAGTTTGTCCATTGCAGAGCAGAATCTTGAACATCAAGTCTGCTAGAAATTGATGCGCTGCGACACGTGCAAAGGCTCTCATTTCAAGTCAAGACCCACAGTGTGGAATACATTCGAACATGATCTTTCAAAATTGACTTGCTGCTTGTTGCTTGACAGTGTCCACGTTCATTTGTTTTTCTTATATAATGACCACGCCTAACACTTTCAAGGGTTCGAAACTGAAGCCAGATGCCCCCGAGTTCGTTCCTACCCAAATGAAGACCACTGCTTCCGACCCTGCGAAGCTGAATCTCAAAGAAGCTGCAAAGGCACAAAAGAAGAGAGACAGAGAGGAGCGGAAGGCGGCAAGCTTGGCGAAGAAGGCTGGCAAGAAGATAGCAATGAATCTTGACCATCCAGATGGTGAGTTTCTCGGCCGTCGTTAACATGGTTCTCTGCTGATCAGCCGCTTGTAGCCTTGACCGCCGATGAGTCGAGCCCTCTTGCTCAGATGGATGGCCAAATGACCGAAGGCGAGGCCTCCGCCGCCGACAAACCCAAGCCCAAGCGATCCCGCTTGTCCAGAAGACATTTAGCAAAGACTGAGCCAGGAAATCGAACAATTGTGTCTCATGATGGCCAGCAAGACTCGGACTTGACTGCAGTCAGCTCAGGTGAAGGACAACCACTGCTTGCAACCTCCGCCATGGTGAGATATTTCCCACAATTTTACTTCCTTTGCTTATACCAATACCAGCATCGTCGAGTTTCGGCTCCAAGTGATCCCCCCTCTACAACTCAAGAATCTCGTGCTAATAATCGTCGCCGCAATCGACACTGGCGAATGAAGAACAGGGGTGGTGAGAGTCATGGATCTGCCAACGCATCAGGAACCGCTTCTTCAGCAGAAGCTTCCTCCGACAGTCATCCTGTTCCAGTCCCTCCCAATCCGACTCCTGTTCCTGGAAGAAACCGGGGTAGTGAGAACACGCCGAATCCTGCAATCAAGCCAACGGTTTGAGCCCTGAGCCGACATCAATGAATGCCATTCCTCCATTGATTTTCACGGGATCGCTAGTCGGCTTCGACTTATCCATGACCTATTCGACCACGATTATCTTACGACTGTCTACTATTTGGGATGGTTTGACACAGTCAACCTTGACCTTCCATACCTATCCATACATTCGATGATTATGATAGACGACTTTGCTTTCTTACTACAAAATTGGTTCTGGGATGTAATATGGGGTCATGGCTGGTGTGGAAAAATTGATAGATAGGTGGGTAAAATTGTGGTTCAGCAAGCATGCATGGCGCACTACTAGATGTAATGGGTTTGTTATCAGAACAGGGCATAATATCGGGTATTGTTATGCTTATGTTGGGGACGGAGGCCATCAGGCGTTAGACAAAATTCAAAATTCTCCTCTTTTATGTTTCTTGCTCGAACTCAAGCCAAGATTCAAGCAAGTCCTCCACTTCCAGACGAGTCCCAGGACGTCAAGGCAGATAGATACCTGCAACGGCAACACTTCACAGATGGTATCAATCAGCACTTGTGTCTTATCACTTTGAAAGATACTTTCTTGACGATGGACCAACGAAATCTCTTCTAATTTTTATTTTGAATTGGGGAGAAAATCACATGATGCACTTGGCCCAAGACGCTAGCCGAGAACCCAACGATAGATTCGTTAGCCTTCTCCCCACTTCCTTTCACCTCAAACCATATTCTCACATCCATTCGTTCTACTACACCTGTAAACATCTCACCGAACGGTGAAACCTTCACTCAAAATGGCAACCACTAAGCAACGCCTCGCTCTCTCAATAATTGATTTCCTGACCACCTCCCTCACCGACGGAACTCTGACCGAAGAAGACCGTGACTCCATCGACGTGGCCACCACCTGTATTTCCGAGTCTTTCAAAGTAGACCCAACCGACTCGACACCGAAAGACACACAATCCCTCCTCCAAATCTACAGCGTCTACGAAAAGCTCAAATCTAAGGCCCCGGGTGCCTCCACAACCACTGCTCCCGCCGTTCCAGCTGCCCCTTCAGCTCCAACTGAAGCCCAAAAAGCTGAAGCCGAATCTTTGAAGAGCCAAGGCAATGCAGCAATGGCGCAAAAAGACTACCCAAAGGCTATCTCCCTCTACTCCCAAGCTCTAGCCCTCGTCCCAGGAAACCCTATCTTCCTCTCCAACCGCGCAGCCGCATACTCGGCTTCCAAAGACCACACATCTGCAAAGGCAGATGCCGAAGCTGCCGTTGCCGCAGACCCGAAATACACAAAGGCCTGGTCCCGTCTCGGCCTTGCGCGGTTCGCGCTTGGCGATGCGAAAGGTAGCATGGAGGCTTACTCCAAGGGAATTGAGTACGAGGGTAATGGTGGTTCGGACGCTATGAAGAAGGGCTTCGAGACGGCTAAGAAGCGGGTCGCTGAGCTGGAAGGCGAGGGCGAGGACGAGGACGAGGACGACGAGATGACAGACCGTGGAGCACCTGGTATGGGGGCGGGCGGAATGCCGGATCTGAGTGCCCTTGCTGGCATGTTTGGTGGCGGTGGAGCGGGAGGTGCGGGTGGGGGAATGCCGGATCTGAGCAGCATTATGAGTAACCCGATGTTTGCTTCTATGGCACAGAATCTGATGAGCAACCCGGATATGATGAATAACCTCATGTCGAACCCGCGGATTAGGGATATGGCGAATCAGTTTGGCGCTGGTGGTGCCGGTGCCGGTGCCGGTGCCGGTGCTGGAGGGGAAGGAGGACGAGGTGCCGGTGGTGGGATGCCGGATTTGAGTAGCTTGATGAGCGATCCTAGTATTGCCGAGATGTGAGTCCCATACTCTTATTTTTGATTTAAAGGGGTGAGAGCTGACATGAAATAGGGCAAGAAACATGATGGGAGGCGCAGGACGTGGAGCTGGACGTGGGGCCGGGCAGTAGTTTCTTTCCTCCCTAGACAGCCTGCGTGATACCAAGTTTTTGCATGCTTCTTTTTGTGTTTCAGCACGGCAGGATAGAGCAAAAGCCAATAAGACATTTCGGATTTTCTCCCTGATCTTTGAGCGTATTGCTATATCACGGGAGATGAAGTTTGTAGAAAGATACTTCTAAGCTGAAGGTCGATTTGATAGACCGCGTCTCCCTAATCAGCGTTCAAACGCCATGCGAGTTTATAAGTTGTTCACTAATTCAGATGTTGGCTCTGGTCCGCGGCTTGAGAGAATCAAATGAGAGCTTTTATCGTGTGAGGAGAAGGCCTCTCTCCGCTGAGGTCCTCCTTCTGTAGTTCATGGAGCTCGAACATCCCTCCTAATCGCCTGGGATGATTTCAACCTAGTGGATGTCAATTCCTTCACTGCGTTTCTCCACTTATAGCACTCTATCTTCAATATCCTCCATCCCAACTCAATCCAACTCAAATCTCACTTTCTTCTTCTTTCTAGTGACCATTAAGTGAGAATTTTCCTTTTCATCACAAGGAGCTTCCTTCCTCTTCCCCTTCCCCTTCCCCCCTTCCCCGTCCGGAACGTCATACCCCGCAACCAAATCCCCATATTCCCCTTCTCTTAGCCATCTCCACGCCGTTGCCTTATCATCCCTCCCCCTCCACCTCTCCTCAAACTCCGTATAGCCCAAAATATCCTCCACGCCATCCGTCCCAATTACATGCGCCGCGAAGACCACATCCCAGCTCTCCCTCACCTCCCGACAATCCTCATCCATCAAAAGGTGAAACATCTCCCACACATTCTCGTCCCTCATCCTGGAAAACCGGTCCGGGTAGCGCATACGCTCGCATTTTTTGCAGGTGCATTGAGAGGCGATCAATTCTTCCGCCAGACCCTTCAAAAAGCCATCGGACATAAGGGCGGGATTCAGACCTCTCCATTCTCGCATTCCCGCCCGAGTTCTTCGGAGTTGGGAGACGGGGCGGCGAATCTCTCGAGGGATTTCCATCGCGTTTATCTCCTTTTTCTTCCTTTCGACGTATTTTTTGAAGCCGCCTCGGAGAGCGATTTCGTCCAATATGTGGACGACGTAGTCTGCTAGCAGGTCGTACAGCCGTTCGCGTTTGGCTCGTCGTGTGTGGATGGGAGGGTAAGGGATGCGGCCGTCGTAGGTTAGGAGTCCTGTGCGGGGGGAGTAGGTGAAGTGGTGCTTCCCGGCGTGGAAGAAGGCGAGTTTGGCTTTGTTGAGGGGGGTCAGGGGGAGGATTTGGAGGGGCTTGAAGCCGGGCTCCTGTGATATTAGGATTGGGTGGGAGGCTGTGGCTTTCGAACAGTTTGGCGGACAGAATGGCGAGGCGGTGGGGAGGGATTGTGAAGCTGTGGTTTGTTGGGTGGATTTCGGAAGTCCCTGAGGCTGTGTTGGGCTTGAGGGTTTCTCTTTGGTGGAGGGTCTTGATGGAAGTGGGGAGTTTGGTGGACAAGTTGGTGATTCTGTAGGAAGAGGCTGTGAGTGAGTTTTTGGTCGGGCTGATATCAGAGGTCCCTGAAGAGGTTCCGGGCTTGAGGGGTTGTCCATGTTGCAAGTTTCCCGACGAAGGTTCTTGTGTGGTTGTTGTGGTGGAATGAAGTTTGAGAGTTTTGGTGAAGGAATGAAAGAGATTGTGGAGAATTTGATGGAGTTCTCATTTGGAGGGGAGGGAGGTGGTAGTCAATATCCAAATACCGCCTGCCGAAAAAGGGGGAACCGAACTTTCGGGGTCCAGTTCAGATCGCAACGGTACCAAACTTCGATTTCCATGTCTTCCCCTTCCCTTCACCAATATAAGAACATCAAAATTTCCTGCGGAAATGAGGAGCTTCCTTTCCATTTTTCATCTCGTTATTCTCTTCAAACCGTTCGCTCAAACAAATCATGTCTTCTTCCGACCTCGACATTTCGTCTCGCAGACAAGATAATCTTACAAACGCGGATTTAATAAGAATAATTGGGAAAACCGTTCTCAAGCACTTCAAAAATTCGAAATTATACTCTGCTCTCTCGAACATTGGAAGAGGTAGGAGCTCGATCTGTAGTCGGAGCGCTTTCAAAGTACCACGAGCTGTGTATAGGATAGAGGAAGAAGAAGAAATGTCAAGATCAAGGCAGGAAGGAAGGGGAACTTGGGGACTAAATCTCGTTGGCATGTTTCTTGCTAAGTTTAAATTCTGGGGAGAGGATGGAGGGGTAGATATGGAGGAGGACACGGAGCTCCACGATGGTGATGAGCTGAGTGAGGATGACATGAGTGAACAAGAAGGGCAGGGGTTCAGCTGTGATGAATACTGTCGCGTCATCACACCGACAATCCATCTGAATCGACTGGCAAACGCATACCATTATGTTCCCCCTATCTCCAACGATAGGAACCTGGCCTAGTCACTCGAATAGAACGGACTTCACTATTTTCTTATCCAGATACTCGCTGACTTTTCAACCCGTGAAGATCACAAAAGAGGATAAAATCGCGTACCGGATCAAAAGGAATAGATGTTGGCTTGAGTCATGATATTATTTCTCTATCCTTTCGCAGCTCCACACTTAAACAATGCTATGTCACCATCCTCAATGACGTAGTCCTTGCCCTTCGTCAAGATCTTCCCTTTCGCCTTGACCTCTGCTTCGTCGCCTAGCTCCTTGAGAACTGCGAAGTTGTATATGATGGCTTGAATGAAAGTTTTCTCGAAATCACCATGAATGACACCTGCAGCCTGTGGCGCCTTGGTACCATTTCTGATCGTCCATTGTCGGACTTCGTCTGTGCCGGTTGTGAAGAAGCTGCCCAAGTTAAGGACTTTTCGCATCGTGGTGATGATCTTGGGTAAAGCCGAGTCGACACCGAGGGTCTTGAGCTCAGCGGCTACTTCTTCTTCGGTCTCAAATCGAGTAAGACGCTCCTCGAGGCAAATGGAAATTGGCAGGATAGGGTCTCCAGCAGCGTTCTCCTTGATCCATTCCATGACCTTTCCGAGATGCTTGTTCTTCTTTCGGATATAGTCCTTCTCGCTCAAGTTTATAAGGTAGACAACAGGTTTGGCGGTTAGTAGGAAGAGAGGGTTGATGAACTCGACCTGGAAATTTTGTCAGTGACTGTTATGAATTATATAATCCAGAACAGATATGTAATTTCAGAATAGATCAGAACGGGTTTCGTATCTCATAATGCTCTCTGCGTTTATAGTGAGGCATTCGACGAGCTGGGATTATCAGGCCTCTTGGCCTTTTGTCATCATAAAAGGGTGTCGTAGGAATAAGAGAGAAGATCGTGTACATACCTCCTTTGCTGACCAGTCTCCTTTCCGGACGTCACCACCTCCTTGTAGCAGAGCCAAGACCTTTTCGACACAAGCTTCTTCCTCCTTAAGCTTCTTCATCTCGAGACTTTGACCACCTCTCCGAGTCAGCTTCTTCAAGTTTTCAAGAGCCTTCTCGGTGAACTCGATGTCCTTGATTCGTAACTCTTCACTGATGATGGTCAAATCTCGGACAGGGTCGACATCTCCCTCAATATGAATGATCTCTGCATCATCGAAGCAACGCACGACTTGAAAAATGGCATCGACAGCACGGATATGTGACAAGAAGGCGTTTCCCAGACCAGCACCAGTCGAAGCGCCTCGGGTCAAGCCAGCAATATCGTAGATGGTAAGATGGGCGGGGACTCTGGATTTTGGTTGGTACTTTTCGCAAAGCCAGTCGTATCTCTCGTCAGGTACGATGACTCGGGATTCTTCAGGGTCAATAGTCGCGAAGGGGAAGTTCTGAGCTTGTCAGCAACATCCAATAGGAGATAGAGAATTTCCTTACGGCAGGGTTTCCAAGGTGACATTTGGTGATAGCTTGGAAGAGTGTGGATTTCCCCACGTTGGCAAGACCGACCTGAAAATTGTAAGTATTTGGCAGAGATTAACAGCAGAGCAGCATACAATTCCACTCTTCAAATTATTACCAGGCCTGCCCAGCAGGATCTTCTCCTCCTTTGCCGCTTTCTTGGGGGGCATCTTCTTTGCGTATGTTCGACTGGTTGCGAGGAAGGCCGTGCAACTAAACAGGCCTTGATTGTTGGTCGCAGTTCTTGCCGCTGACCGTTGAAATGGGGTTGAAAGAGAAGAGAAGAGGCGCTGAGCACCGAAGGTAGACGTCGTGACGGTGGGCAACAGCCTTGTGCGTTTGAGGGTGGTGTAAACCTCTCCCTGCGCAGTTTTGTGCGACGAATGAAATTCGCTGGACGATTTTGCAGCTGGAGGTGCGATGTGCAGACTGTCACGTGAGATCGGCACTAAATGCGCCGAGATTCCTGAGGATATGACTTCACAGGGGGGCATTCAGACGAAGAAGCAATACAGTCTCATTTAAACCTGACACTTTCCCCAAGCTGCAGACGACCACAACCCACCAATTTGACCTTGATACACTGCAACTCCCCAAGATGTCGTCGAAGAAGAGCTCGAGAAAGTCATCGAGTGGGAACCACCGATCGACGCTCAGTTTACAGAAAACCGAAATTATCATCAATGTTTATGATCTGCTACCGGTACGTTTCCCTGAGTTGTCTTTGCGCTTTATACTCTAGAGTGGGGATCATTTTGTGTGGGTAATGATCGAAATGCTGATAAGAATTCTACCCCTTAGCCAGGACGACTTGCCAATATCCTGTGGACTGTTGGGACCTCCCTTCTCCATTCCGGAGTCGTCATAAACAATAGGGAGTACGCATACGGGGGACATGATAGGAGGGCTATGACAGGAGTCTATTTCACGCCGCCAAAGACAGTACCACCAGGCGGCACGTTCAAATGCGAGATTCTCCACGGTTTCACAATCCGACCAGCAGCCGAAATTGAAGCTATTATCAAAGAAGCTTCCGATGTGTTCCAAGGAACCTCATACAACCTCCTCACGAAGAATTGCAATCACTTCACAGCATATCTGTGCGAGAAGCTTACCGGCAGACCTGGACCTGGTTGGTTGAATAGGGCAGCATCTATAGGTGTTGCATTGCCATGCGTTGTTCCTAAGGAATGGATTGCACCTCCGGACTTTGAAACCGCAGAAGGTGAATTGCTCGATGACGAGGATTCCCATGAGCACACGAGGATGTTGGGCAATACGGACTCAAGCCAGAGACGAAGTATGGATGACTGTAGAGATTTCGACCACGAACTCGATTGGGATAGTGAAGAGGAGCGAAGGCAGGGAGGGAACGGAAAAGGGAAAGGCAAGGCTCCTGTCAGAGATACTTCCGGAAGGGTTGTGCCACCAGCAGATAGGGCACCAATTGCTTCGAAGAAGGGCCGAGCATCTCGCGATTGTCCTCATTGAGCATTCTGATGTTAGCAGCATTGTTGGCGTGACGGAGAGCTTTTCGCATTTTGATTTTACAGGCGTTGGTCTTAAGATGATACCACCAAATCGGACTCTGATTATTGTACAAGTTTCTATATGCAGTGCACAACCCGCGAACTCCACAACATGACATCTAACCCAGACGCCTTGGTTTCTTGCTCCTCGTGCCACCAAACTTCAACCTCGTAGCGTCTGAAACCTTCACAATCTTTCCTCTCAGTGCTGCACCTTCCAGACCAAGCAGTGCTCTCGTCACAGCTTCTCTTCCAGCCCCAAATCCTCGCAAAAACACCTCTAGTTGCTCAATATCCTTGATATGACCTCTATTCTTCAGTATACCCATTACATAAGACGCCAATTGGAAAGCAGAATCATAATGCTTCCTCGCAGAGTGCCGAAAAGCCAAATTGCCACAAGCCACCGACATCAGAACTGTGCGATTATTCGAAACGTTCCCATTCAAAGGATTCTTGTAGCCAGGGGGACGGACGACTGTGATATGGCAGTTGTGTCTCGTGGCGTAGATGTGTAGTTGATGCGCCCTCTCCCTGAAATCCTCTTCTCCTGGGATGAGATTTCCGTCATAACTTCCATCTGAAGATAGGGAACCAAGGCTATCTAGCAAAGTGCCACGTCTACGAGATTGTTGTGCGTATCGACTCTCTTGGTTTTGGTCGATCATGTTAGAAATGCCAGAGAAGGTTTTCGCCAATTCCCCCATGCCTCCTGAGGTTGCCTTCGGGTTGAGAGATGGCGATGGAGGAGGAGGCTTTGCGGATTGTACTCGAGGAATCGAGGAGAAGTAGACGGGTCGAGATGAGGGGGCTGCCGATCGGGGTTCTGAGGGTGGTGGTCTGGTGTCATGCCCTTCTGCTTTCCTCGTTGTACTTGAGAAGGGTCGCAGACATCGTAATGGCAGTCTGCAGGTGGGTACCAGCTCAGAGATGAGCAATTGAGGCGGTTGTGCCAGCAGGCGCCTTGAAGCTGCTCTACTCATGGCTTTCTTGATGTCGAGTCCACACTCAGATGTTGTCGAGCCGGAGACGAAGAAAGTTGATGCCAAGGCCGGATCGGAAAAACATTCTAATCCCTGCATCTCGGCGAAAATGTCAAGAACGCCGCTGTCCTCCATTTTCTCTGCCATCAAATTTCCTGTTGTTCTTTTCTCTCTTCCTCAGTTGACCTGCTCTGCAACGGCTTTGGGTCAACTTTATGACAATCGCTATGAACGGTCTACGACATGCGGCGACAAGAGCGCCATCAAATGGACAGTTATTATCAGTCGTGAGACCTTCTACTGGCAGATCTGTAGTCTGCAGACGAATACTGCTGCAGACTCAAAGCTCGAATCTACACTCATTTTCATTTAATTTGTCGAGATTGGAAGTCTCAGGATATCCCAAGCCATTACGATCGAGGTTCCTACCAGACGAAATCCGAATAGGACTCGGACCAACCTCTTCAGCAAGAAGTTTTCATCATGGCGCGCGACTGAGGCAAGCAAAGGAGAAGGCTGCGACTAAAGAAGAGCCCGTGGCAGACGAAGTTGAGAAGAAGACTTCTAGTGAGAGCACAGAATCGGCAACCGGCGAAGAGAAGGCCAAAGAGGAAGCCAAAGAGGAGACCGAGGGTGAAGGAGAGGGTGAGGGCAAGACCAAAGAAGAGAAAGAAGCTCCTCCACCACCACCGCCGCACGGAGACAAATCACCATGGCAAGTCTTCACGGAAACTCTGCAGACTGAATTCAAGGCGTCTAAGGAGTGGAACGAATCAACCAAGGCTTTGGCTGCTGGTGCCCAACAATTCACTGAGAACGAATCTGTACGCCGAGCTCGACAAGCATACGAGTCAACAACCGGAGCAGTTTCATCTACAACTGCGAATGTGCTAAAGACTACAGCTGGTGCTGTTGGAAAGGGTGCTGCCTGGACTTGGGAGACTCCTGTTGTTAAAGGCGTGCGAACAACGGTCAACGCAACTGCCAGCGTGATTGAAAAAGGGACGCGACCGATTCGAGAAACAGAAGCATATAAGAATGTCAAAAATGTTATCGATGATGGAAGCAGTTCGAGATATGGCGGATGGGTTGAGAAAGAGGAGAGACGGAAGGCAAGAGAATTAAGAGAGGCGCAGGAGGCCAAGAAGGCTGGACTCACAGGCAAAAGAGTCGAGGTCCTGACAGAAGATCCTGAGTGAGTTCTCTTCCCCTATTTGCCGTGAATGTCTACTTACAGTGGTAGGGCCGGAACAAATGTCACTCTCCACAAGGATGCTGCATGGAAAGAATCATGGCGAGACTTCCGCGACTCCAACAGGCTCATGCAATCCCTTTTCTCCATGAAATCCGCCTACAACGAATCTGAGAACCCTCTTATTTCAACCGCGCGAAGTATCTCCGACCGAGTAGCTGGTTTCTTTGCAGAGAACGAGACAGCCATGGTCATCAAGAAATTCAGAGAAATGGATCCAAGCTTCCAAATGGAGCCATTCCTACGAGATATGCGGGAATACATCTTGCCAGAAGTTCTTGACGCTTATGTTAAAGGCGATACCGAGACGTTGAAGCTATGGCTCTCTGCGGCTCAGTTCCAAGTTTATGATGCTCTAACAAAGCAATATACGACCGCAGGCCTGAAGTCAGATGGGCGAATCCTCGATATTCGAAATGTGGAAGTTTTGCAAGCACGTATTCTTGACCCAGGAGATATTCCCGTCTTCATCGTCACCTGCAGAACTCAGGAGGTGCATGTATACCGGAACGCGAAGACGAACGAGCTCGCTGCAGGCATGGAGGATAAAGTCCAGCAAGTCACATACGCCATTGGCGTAACTAGAGTTGCGGAAGATGTCAATAACCCCGAAACAAGAGGATGGAGACTGATTGAGCTGCAAAAGAGTGGCAGAGATTATATTTGATCAGATCCCGCACATCTCCTCCCATACGAGAATTTCTTCAGTTTGCTGCTTAGCGATGAAAATTGGGTGACGGATGTTATCAACTGCATTGTATGTGTATGCGGCGTCTGGCGTTGCGGCTAGTGAGCTGCTTGATTCGGGATGAAAATGCTTCTGGAAAATGAAAGAAGGTCTTGAGGGACCTCCAACACCACTCTTCGTATGAGAATAGTTATACCCGCTTCGGATGGGAGGCGGATGTATGTATATTAATATGTGTAAATTTGAACAGGGCAGCCTGCGTTGGTGGATTGGCTACACATCATGGTCTTTCCCCAGACCTGTCAAGTAACTCTCGATTCCTCCTGTTTTACATTCTGCGAGGCTTTGAAGTCCTCGCCATCGAGGTTTCCGCTGTTGTCAATCACATAGTTGTTCTTATATGCTGATGATTTCTACCTTTAATTATTTGATCGGGAAGTCTGAATGTCTAGGTCTAACCCTTTACTTGCGTTGCGTATCCACTGAGTCTGCTACACTTGTTCTCGGAAAATAGTCCGTCCTTCACAATCGAAACACCACCATTGCATTTCGCCAAAAGTTCAGCCTTATATCCCACTTTTCATTGAAGTCTATTTTATTACGTACAAAGTCTGCAGATCAAACCCTATCAACTTTATTAGTAAGGACTTAAACCAAGGGCGGTTTCAAGCACATATCATTACAATAACTATCCCAAGGCGCGTAGTTGAGATTGGAGATGCAGATGATTGACACACAAGGACTTTCGTAGGGGTTACGGCAGGTTGTGTTGATATCTGGGGGGCTGTTGCCGGGGGCATGGTGGTTATGGTATGGGATCTTAAGATCTGACTTCCACTGGCGGTTGTGGGGGTCGGAGACGACGGAGATGCATCTGAAGTAGTAGGCGATGGCGCAACTAGGGCTTTACTGGACGTTATGGTTTTTATACTTGTCGTTGGGACAACCATGTTGGGGTATCCTGCCGCAGAGCAGTATCCAGTGTAGATTCCTGAAGCAGTCTGGAGATCCAGGGCTATTGTGCCAGCTGGGGCACAATTACGCTTGATGCAGTCCCCAATCCAAGAGTATGCGATTGGCTGAAGGTCCGGTCGACAGTAACAATGTTCTTGTACAGCCCCACAGCCAGTAGGACAACCTTCAGCACGTCCAATCTTGTCAGTGTAGTCGAAGAAACAAGTTTGTGCGTATGGCCGTTGGTTGCCCTACCCGTCGAATGTTCCGATTGACGGTGCAGGGTTGCCATCTGCCCAGGTGGAAGAGGAGAACAGTAGGAGGATAAATATGTGTATATCCTGGAAAGCGGCTGCTGGATTTCTGCTCTTAGAAAACATGATTTGCAGGTCCTGGGAGCTCGTTAAATTTTCCACGAGATGCGGACACCGTCGATACAAATCCACAGGTGCGAGGCTCGGGGAACAAAAGAAAGTATTTTTTAAGCCACTATGAACAATTTCGGGAAGAATATTGAACCTATCGGGCGTTGCCTGCATTGAGGGCATCGAGCTGCCACAATATATCTTCTCAGGAAACTGTAGGCGCCTAGTGGAATACCTCACTACATCATGAAGATAATAATTGAGAAGAGGCGTCATCTCAATAATCGTGACGGAATAAAGATGGAAATAGTATGTAGATGGGACAAAAGAAATTGGAATACCCAATTTCCTGGTTGAGGTTGGTCTGGACTGACGAGCCTTCAGGAATTCCCCAGATCACGGTATCCGCCCAGCCTATCCAAAGCGGTCAGAACGCTCACCGATGTCCCATCTCTCATTGCCACAGCTCCTTCCCCCGGCTGTGGTGGAACTTGTGACGAGATAGAAAGATGCTACCTTTCATGTGCCTTAAGTACAGGCTATCAAGTCAATACCTGCCTCTGCAATCTTCTATCGTGGCCAACGACGTGGGACCCAGTGTTCGCAGCCCACCGAGCGATCCTCACTTGCAGCTTGGTATTGGGATGTGTGCCCATCGAAAATGGATTCCCAGCTGGGACAGATGGGGATCACAGAGTGGCAGAACCCGTTCCAAAACAGTGCATGATTGGGCGGTACGAACTCCTGATATTACCACGACACTGACCGGATATGATTGCTACTAGTCATCTCTGTGCTCTGGGATAGCAGCAGCCAGAATAGGTCTTGTTCCAAGCTCAAATACTGGAGTAGAGACCGCTGTCAGTGCTGTAAAGAGTCTCCTGGTGAAGATACTAGTCCCTGTGTGTCTCTGTGCTCTTGGATTAACGTTGTTCACCGTTTATGGACCATGTCGCCGAGAGGAAAGCCAACCCCGTCAACCAAATCGCCAGGCTGAGGGACAGACGGCCAATCTCCTCCACTTCATCAATATGCCCGACTAACAGCAACCTCTTCCAAACAACGCAATGGTCAACGAGATCCAGAGAGTGAACAACTCAGTGGCTGAACTACGAGCCACTGTTGTAAATACTCTGGTGAGATTGGATCAACAGCCCGCTGGGCAGGGTCCGGGGCAGCATTATCAGCAGGGAGATGGTCTGAGAGAGGCTCTGTGGGAGCAGTTTTCGTGTCCGATTTGCTTCGAGATTCATCACCTCGTGGCGGTCATCAATGACGTGGCGTATCAGGGAGGTGGTTGCTGTAAGACTGTATTCCATTCTCCAAGGCACTTGCTGACGAGGAAGCAGTGCACGCATTCTGCTGTATAAATCCATTATTCCAGTCCTGCCGCTCTTGCTTTGGAATCCTGAACTATACTGACTGTGTTCGAAGTTGGCTGTGCTGTGATATTAGTTCGTAACAACCTGCATCCTGTCAGATGCCCAGAGGATAGAGGTATCTTACGAAACTTCAACGAGCATCGACTCCTAAGCGTGACATGTGAGGAGTATCTTGACGGATCCCCCCCGATGAGAAGAGGGATGATGATTCTCTGGCAGCCATTGATTTGATTTATGTCCCCGGTCAGAGAGTAAGTCCTGAACCCGACGTCAGAAGGGTGCTGTCTCACGAATATGTGAAGATCCTTTAGTCGTGAACCAAGATCTTACATCCCCGCGAGGGTGCTTTGGGTGGAGAGATATGGAGGTGTGCCCGTAAGGTAGAATCCTAGCCTCGGGGTACAACCTTTTCTTTAATACGGGGTATATCCTCAACTTCGAGTAGGGTTTCAATGAAGTATGTACATGCAGGACGGAGAAAGGCGCAAAGGAGAAGTTGAAGAAGTAGATTATGAGCAGGCATTTCCCGAATAGGATTGGCGGGTTTTGTGGCGGCACGTGCGCCATTGGTAGACAACCCTGCCCGTCGATTTCAAGATTTTTCATCACTCCCGCCATGCCAATGTCAATGTATTGTGCCAAATATGTTTTTGATTATATGAATTGTAAATTGGTCATCCTGTTTTATCATCCAAATGCTTTCCCCCATCTAACATCCGCAAGTGCTAGATTCATTCCATCCGTTCTTGTTTTGCTGTCATTGGCCATGTTCTATCAGCGCCCTCGTGCTTTTTCTCTGAAAACGAGGCTTCCAACTTCATCTCAGCTTCTACGTTCTTCATGCATTGTCGCTTGAGCCAGCACATATTAATGACAGTCTTTATCACAACTCCGGACTTCGTCCCAGACAACCCTTCCTATCAGGTACCGGCCGCTGGAGAAGGAAGACCAGGAGATCCGAATCCTGGTCCTGCAACGTGGAGCTGACCGCTCATCCCCTCTCCACTGCAAGCTCGAACATATACCACTGTCATATGCCACGTTCTCAGCTATAACCCACGTCTGGAGGCAGCAAGAGGAGAACAGAGTACATGTGGACATTAAGTACTCAAGCAAGGATCCTGTCACAACAAGATACGGATCGAGGGCTTGAATACCACCATCGGAGAGAATCTAGGTCAAGCATTGATCAATCTCCGAAAGGATGAGGAGGACCTGAGGTTGTCGGCGGATGCCATATGTATCACCCAACAAGACGATGTCGAAAAGTCGTGGCAGGTGGAGTTAATGGGAGACATCTTCAATACCGCTCTGCTCACTTATGTATGGCTTAGACCCACGCCTGGAGATCACGACGAAAGTCCTGCACAAGCTCTGGACATGATACTCGAGATCGGAAAATCGTGCAAAGGACACCAAGTCGTGGGCTACGTATGGCCAGACAATGGGTTACTCTCTATTAGCACGTTTATTCCGGAGAAATAAGGAGGACTTGAGTTGAGAGGCGGAAAAATGCTATCGAGTACAAGAAAACAACCTTCATGGAATTGGCGAGAACCGAGCGTCCCGTTCAATTCTACAATCGGCTTCAGAGTCTGTCACAGTCCCGTTGGTGGTGAAAAGTCTGGGTACTTCAAGAATATGCTCTAGCTCGGGACGTGACATTCCATTATGGAGACAAGCATGTCGGAGGAGACATATTGTTTCATACCGTAATGCCTGCCCTGGGAATGCGGGGATATGGTGTGAGGCTGGCCACAGCGTCTCGAAGGATATGCAGACATACACGAGAGTCGCTGTCCAGAATGTTGACTCCAAGATGGCAACGGCCATGTGCTTGAGATTATGGAACCAAATTCCGACACTGATGAGTTTGATGTTCATAACTCTATCTCCCAGACTCTGGACGATGTTTTTATTCGACGGACCCACGGGATAAGGTGTTTGCATTGTTAGGACTTGCTTACAACAAGATGTCTCTCGAAGCTGACTATCAAAAGAGTGTTGTACAAGTCTATGTAGACAATGCCCTTGCTTTTTTGGCCGGTGGCGATGTTTTAATCTTGTCCGTTCCTCGGCCTATTTCGTCCAGAATAAACCTCTCATCTTGGGTCCTGGATTGGGCAGCTATTCCTAATCTTGCGCTCACCTGGAACAGATTCAGATCGTCGAACAATACAATGCTTCGCACTGAGACCCATGGCTATAGTGGTGGTCTCAGAACCATATTGAGCTTGGAAGGCACGAAATTATGCTCAGTCTCCAAGGCCAGTGTGGGATACTAGGAGCGTTTTGGGACAGCAACAATTCTTGACCAAATATCCACTACCAGAGAGGTTGAAGAGGTAAAGAAGCAGATAAAGCTTCATATTGAAACTACGAAAGAGCTTGTGGGAGTCATTGATTCTAGAACCACGGGCATTTTCAATATCGATTCCTTTTCAGACTTTCAGATCAACTGTCGTTCACGAGCTTGGGTTAGCAAGTTTCTCACAGCCATTCATGACCAAGGAACCTCAGGGGATTTAGAATGGCAAAAGGTTCTTGATGTCGTCCTTTTGGGATGGAAAACGGACCTCAATGAATATGAAAATCACACAGATTTGTGCAACCGGGTATCACCCACGGAGGGCTTACTTAAGCGTTCCACCTGGCTGACAAAAGTTGGCTATTTACTTCCAATTGTGGCCGATTTGGCTATGCTCCAGACACATCTCGGGAAGGAGATCAAATTGTCATCTTTGACGATGTGTCGGCCCCACTCGTCATCAGAGAAATCAAGCCAGGTTATTTTAACTATTTTTGGGCCAGTTTATGTTTACGGTGTGATGGACAGCGAATTCATTCGGGATAGAAATCCTCCAGCTGAGACATTTCTCTTGGTCTAAGAGAGCTTCTCCACCCATATATGGTCGCAGATGCGATACGAAGTTTCCAAGCGAGGATGCAGAGCTGCAAGGAAGCAAATGTGTGTATAACTCTGCAAATCTCCAAGTGAAATAGCCGGAGCCACGGGCATCATGACTCAGTCTGATATTCAGTACAGTTGCAGGTACCTTGAGCAGAGACAACTCCGCTGGGAAAGGTTGACCTGTACAAATCCAGTTTTTATTGGTCTTTCTATTTTGGCCCAGCCTTGGAAATGCAGAATTTAGCACCTCCTCCTCTTGGAGTAGTCCTATTGGTCCAAGATCGACCTTTCTCGGTCACAAGTTGCATGAAGCTCATGGGCCAACGAATGTTCCAGAGAACATTTCCTAGAAGAAGTACAGACAAATCGGAATCATCTTCAATTGGGCAAACCTAATTATTGCTGTTCATAGCCCCCAATCCGACGTTGCGTCTCTTTGGAGCCTAGCGAACGAAGCTGCAGCTCAGCTTCTGAAGCCTCGTCTGCAGGAAGCCTGGAAAGAATTACAAATGTGCCCAGTGACCGAGCAGAGGCCAATCATAACCTCCTTCGGGGTCTTTTGCAAGGGTCCGGATATTTTGCCCGGGGACTGAGTGGCGGGGCTGCGGGGAAAATGGGTTGAAAAAATGCCAACACAACCAAGATCACTGGGTCAAACGTGCATGTTAACGGCCTCAAAGCTGGGGATTTTAAGTATGTAAGTAACGCGGCCCATTTCCGTGGGCAATACCCACTTCACTCATGTTCCGCTAAGATGAAGTTCAGCTGCTCACGACAGCTTCTGATATCCACTGCCTTCATCGTTGCTCAGTGGTGCCAGTCGGCCACTACAACAGCTACATGTTACCTTCCAAATGGACAAATCGCATACGATAATATACCATGCTCCGACTCGCTGCCTTCTACTTGCTGTTCATCCGATGGCGCTTGCCTTTCGAATGGCCTCTGCTTCCATCCAACCAATATATTTGCTCGCAGCAGCTGTACTGATCAGTCTTGGAACGCCGGTGTCTGTACAAGCTTTTGCAAAAACGGCAAGACCTTCCCGTTCCTTCTTTTGTATTCTGCAACTAATACGAGAGCAGTGCTTACTGGATCCTTTTGCCCGATTTTGCCTTGCGGGGACGACTTGTTCTGTTGTGGCCTAGGCCAGCCGGCGGACGCATGCTGTTCTGCTGGCGGTGGATTCTTTATCGGCTCAGGGACACTTTCGCTGTCCACCCAGACAGTTACGAGCACTCTTACAAAAGTTGCAGTTGGTGGAGTCTTCACGGCCACGACAACCACAACCTTCTCCACAACAGCCACATTCTCTTCCAACCAAGGATGCCCCACAGTAGGAGGTGTGGCTACAACCTGTGCCAATAACCAGCCCAACAACGCCGGATCTTCAGCCTCATGTCCCAACTGCTCAACAAGAGAAGCCGCAATCGGGGCTGGAATTGGAATTCCTCTCAGCGCTGCATTGCTGTGTTCCCTCATCCTGCTCTTCTGGCGAGGAAAACGCGATAAAGAAAATCATCCACTTGCGGCGGTTCCTCCTGCCATGGTTCCTCCTACAACCTCAAAGCCTACGATGATCCAGCCATATCCAGCGGCACCTCAATCTGCAACCGTCAGTAATGTACATGCTTCTGGTGGCAGCCAGACTCAACAATACCTCGGCCAACAACGAGAATACGCTGCATATACTCAAGTACGACCTCGGTCCGATCCTGTTGATCCTCAATTTTGGGAGGAACCAAATCAGAATCACAACCAGAATATTCCTCTGCGTGTAGTATCGACAGGTTCTGATCGTGGGAGGTATGAGGTTGGTGACCATGTAGGGCGCGGTGAGCCACCTACTTATCATCCAAGGACAGACTTGAGTTAGTTTTGGGTTCAGGGTGTGGCAAGACGGATATTCGATGCAAAGTTGGAAATGAGAGGCGGTTTTCCTCCAGATGAGATTTGCTGAGTATTTTATCTGGCCAAAGTGCCTTCAATTTGGTCACCTCTCAAGGAAGGGAATGGGATCTAACCAGACTGTGAGAACTTTCCCAGGAAAATGAATTGCATAAGTCATGAATTATATGCTCTTCCCTGCCAACGACAAGCGCCTAGGCTAAGCATAAAGAAAATCGGCTACCACTCATGGCTCACTTCTTCAACATCGCACCCCTTTCAGCTGGCAGCACTGCCCCTTCCTCGGGTTTATTCTTGCTCTTGAAGTCGTCGGACATCTGCTCGAAAGTCACCCACTCAACGCCTTCATGCTTGTTTATATGATCAATGATTCTTCGTACCTTCGTTAGCACACCTTTTGATTCGGAAAATTCAAACATACCTCTGATGCATCTTCAGCACATGCGGTCTCCCAGAAACATCAGGATGAATCGTCATCGGAAAACAAAACTCCTCGTAATTCTCATAAAAGTAGTCAAAATGGTCCATCCACAACTGCTCAACAACCTTCGGGTCGACCCACCCGTGGCTATTGGGTGCCGTTTTGATGAACATCATGGGAGGGAGATCATCGATATACCAAGAAGCGGGGATCTCAACAAGTCCAGTCGGCTTCCCCTTCATAAGAGGCTTCATCCACTCCTCCGCCTTCTTCCCATAATCGATTTTCGTCCACGAATCCCCGATTCTCAACCAATACATCTGCGCATCATCATGACTCATACTGTGATCATACTCAATTCCATAACTCAGCAGCAGCTCCGCACCCTCTTTACTTGTTTCCCACCACGGCGCAACGCTTCCTCTCGGTGGCTTGCCGCAGAAGTCCGTGAGCATGCGGTACGTCTTATCGAGGACATCGCGCTGCTGCTCCAATGTCATGTCGGCTGGGTTCTCGTGGGAGTAACCGTGGAGTCCGATTTCGTGGCCAGAGTCGCGGATCAAGGCACATTCGTCGGGGAAGGTCTCCAGGGAATGGCCAGGGATGAACCAGGTTGCTTTCATGTTGTTCTTTTCGAAGAGCTTGAGGAGCCGGCGTACGCCGATGGTGCCAGCGAACATGCCTGGACATTGTTGAGTGGGATGGTTTGGGGTGGAATAGGGAGAGTACCTCGACTTATGTCACTTGAGGAGTCCTCGCCGCCATAACTACCTAGCCAGCCGGCTACAGCGTCGATATCTACTCCATATCCAACAAGCACTCGCTTCTTGGCCATGCTGCTCAATGAGGTAATGAGATAATGAGGGGAGGAGTTGCAAGCAAGTCTACAAGCTGGAGAAATGAGAATGGTGAGCTGACTCTGCACGGTACCAACTGTGGGAAGAAGAAGAAGAAGAAGAAGAGATGGTATGTAGGGAACGTGAGGGGTAGCTTTTATTTAGCTCTTGTATCTTGAAAGCAGATCTCCGTGCTACATCATTCCCAGCAGTGGGGTAGCAATAGTGGGGAGTTCCAAATACAAACTTAAGTGGGTAACGAGATGTCGTCTCCGAAAGCGAAGATGATTGGTATCAATGTACCTGACCATGCTCAGATAAACGTCAAATTCCCACCCACTGCGTACTATTGAGCATCAAGAAATCCTTCCATCGATTTCTCCACGTGATCCAATCACATGCTGGGAGCGGGTCATTCTCAGCCCCGTTGCTAGTCCTGCCAGGATCCTTGGTTTTGGAGGAATAAGGTACGAAATACGAATAATTCAGGCGACGACTTTATGAGGCTTGCGCAGCTCTGAGCTCTCGTCTTACTTCTTCAACATCCTCACGACCCCTCAACCATATCCATACTCGCAGAGTCCACACCCCGCCAATGATCTGATACAGAGCAGCCCCCTACTCACCCGTGCACCGTTGCCCCTTCCAGCCGCTGCGACAATATCCGGGCAGGCTCTAGATACAGAATCCCAGGGCTCCGGCGTTGCAGGACTGACGCCTGCGCTGCAGTCGTTCATGCAGCGCGCGAATGTCGAATGAATGCAACCTCTAAATCCTTTTCTGTGTGCCTTCTTCAAGAGCGCTCTGCTATCGCAGTGTACTCCTGTCCACCACCATGTAAGCTCTCGGAGAAGCGCTTAACCTTGTGCCTCCATCAATTGGAGCTGACAATGGGTCCAGATTCTGCTCGTACCTACAACTGAAGTCCTCCTTACCTCCCGCGACCGCGAGTCCGGAGTCCTCTACGCAGATCTTGCGGGGTCTGAGGAGTTTCTGGGTAGCCATGTTCTGCGAGTACCAGCCCACAATGCTGCGACGGCGGGAGGGAAGGATGTTCCGAATATGCGAGAGAATAGGGGAAAGGCAAAACAGTATACGACCGTCAATGGCAGGACGGTAGTGGTTAAAGATGCCTATGTCTACAGCAACAAGGGTCTGTTCATTGGCTAGAAGGGGAGAGAGATGCTGACAGCGATTGCACAGGATTCAAGACACTCAACCAGGCACAACTTCTTGGGGACTCAATATGGTACCCGGATTCTCTGGAGCCACGCCAATGGCTCATTTACTACATTTCACGACCGTTATTGGGGATATACGAGGAGGTCAAGATCACACCCGCGCTGTTACCTACCTCCCTACCAAATGGCAGACCACCTTTACCACCACGAACAAGCTCCGTCCAGGACTCACCCACGGCTAGTAATGCTCTGCCGAAGAAGAAGGACATCAAAACTTTTAACGATTTATTGAATAATTTCCCAATGATTGCGAGGCAGATGCAGCCGGGGCTCGAACGGCTGTTTAAGGAGTTCAACACTGTGTTTGATAAGCCTCTACCGCCTCCGCCATCCGCTGAAGTCATACCGGATCCGGTTCCGGAAGGGCCCATAGCTAAGGCGATGAAGAAAGCGAGGTCAAATAGCACACATTCGGAGCCAAGCCTGAGATCTAATGGCCATGCGGAGCGGAACATTGAAGACTTCTATGCGGAGGACGACGAAGACGTTATGCGAGGTGCATTGGAAACTGCAGTAACGGCTGCTATTGATCTGTTTCAAATGGTTGACAAGCAGCAGCTCTCACTTCTTGGTGCCACGACAGACCTCACCGGACCGGTGGTAGAACGACTTATCGAGCGTTATGTGACTGAGCAAGTCCATGATGCCATTCTCTATCCCAGATTATGTGCTATGAAGCGGCCCGAGGACGTGGAGTTGGAATCGAAGATTAGGCAGATGGAATTCGTCGACATCTCGCAAGTAGGAATAATGATTCAAGGCGGCCAGAAAGGAAAGCATGAACTGACGTTGAGACTTGGTCGAGCTGTTGATGAATTCCGGAAACTCGGAGTTGCTGGAAGTCCTCAGCAGATGATGGATATTCTGCTTGTGGCTTTGAGGACTGTGACCTTACTCACTGATGTTCCGGCAGAGGTGATAAACAGGGAGCCTCCGTCGTCCGAGAAAGTCAGCCCAGTACTCACGATCAACGCCGATACCCTTGTATCTTTATTGCTGATCGTAGTCATTAGAGCACAAGTCCGGCACCTCCAGGCCCGTTTGTTGTATATGCGCCATTTCATCTTCATCGACGATGTTGAGAGCGGAGAAATGGGATATGCTCTGAGCACATTTGAGGCAGTCTTATCCTATCTCGCACGGGATTCTGGTGGCCTACGGAAAGCGAGTCGACGGAACAACAAGCTCTGGCAAGCCACGAAGAAAGGCGAAATCAAGGAGATGATGAGGATCATGGAGCCGGATAGGGAACAATCATCAGACGAAGATGGCGGGAGTCAGGAGGCTATCGCTGATGAGGTGATAGAGGAAGATGTTCCTTGGAGTGCTGTCAATGGGCATTCCAGGAGATCCTCCAAATCAAGCGCCAGAAGCGCCAGGTTCTCCCAAGCTTCAACACTTAATCATGTCTTTCCATTTCAGATCCAGCACCAAGACGAAGAAGAACGACTGCCACCCTTACGCCGACCGAAAAGTGTTACTATGGATACACGAAGTATGTCTAGTAGCTCCGAGATATCTTTCCGATCGAGGGCGACTACCATCGATTCGATGAGCAGTGGTATCGAAGGCGATACATCGATTATACGGCTATCACAGACCGAGGATTCTTTCGGAGAATCGGTGCCAATGATGGCGATACAGAATGAGCGTCCAGAGGCTCTTCGATACTTGCTGTCACTCCGTGCTTATTATCCACTGGAGGTCCTCCTGGAAGATACCAATAACGAAGGAACAACTCTACTTAGCGCTGCAGTTCAGCTTGGGCATACGGAGTTGATCGATATCATCCTGGATTTCATCTATCGAGCTGAGTCCGAGGCCATCGTGGTTGAATATCTTGCAAAGCAGGATGTTCGAGGAAGAAGCGTTGCTCATTACTTATTCAATGCGCCTGCACTGATTCCTCGAGTCGGACGGCTACTTCCCTGGCGGCAAAAAGACAGGAATGGGCAAACACCACTCTTTGCCCTTTGCCGATCGTACGATCATGGGAATTATCGAGCTATGGTTGAAGCAGCGCTTGTTGCTGCAGGCAATTCTCAAGGAGATAATGAGCCACTGCACCTGGATGATCATGTCGATTCAAAAGGCAACACACTTCTCCATATTGTCAACGATCCCCAAGTCGCGCTGAGGATCCTCCATCATTGCGATGCGGATGTCAATGCTACAAATGACAAGAAGTTCACAGCTTTGATGGTGGCTAGCAAATACGGAAGGCTAGAGATGGTCAGAGCACTGTTCGGAGACCGAAGGGTAGATCTCTTTGCCAAGGAGCTTCGAGGATTGACGGCTGTGGAGTTGGCCAAGGATGACGATGTTCGGAATCGAATCGATGATCTGATTCTATTTTCTGGTCAGCCAGGGAATGACGGACGGATAACGGCCGTGGTACGATCTTTCTTCGTTGAGGATGCCACTATTCGACTTGTGGTCAAATCCGGTGCTCCTTCCAACAACCAAAGCTTCACAGTGACAACTTGCAGACGATCTCTCACCGACTTCGAGCATCTCGCCCAGCTCTTGGCCCTTGAGAATCCAGCTTCATGGTTGCCAACAATATCTGGAATGCATTCCCCCTTTCAACTTCCATCCAAACCGTCTCGTGCAGTATTGCGAGACATCCAGGTCCGCCTGGATGGATTCTTGAAAATATTACTGGCACATTCAACCTTCTCAACCCATGAGATGTTGTGGGAGTTCTTCCTCGTGCCTGATATTCAAGCCGAACAGATGGAGGCCCGGAGCAAACTCAAAGCCCAAGCTAGAGTCGAGACAGTTAGAGACGAGTACGAGCCACTAACGGACCTGCGAGATGTAGAACAGTTTGTGAATCACGCAAGAGATCAGGTCCGAGGCGTCAACATGTCCATCAAGAGAGTTGCACGCACGGCTAATTTGGTGAAGATTTGCTACACCGGTAAGTCTCCTGCATCAGATCACAATGCAATGCACCCAGCTGACATCAACAGATCTCTACAATGCGTACATTCTAGCAACTCGCGCGATATCAACCCTGGAATGTTTACCCGGTACTCACATATCAGCTCTCCAAGCCTACGTGCAAACTCTCGCCCCTGCCTCCTCCTCACCATACGGCGTCTTCCACTCCACATGCCTCTCAATTCTCAGCACCGTCATCGCAATGCTCCTCTCACTCTCCCGCCCAACCTCCCTCATCCTCTCCATAAACGCCTCCCGCAAAGCCATCGAACGCTCCTACAACTCGCTCTCCCGCTCGACCCGCTGGCCTCTTGGCCTTTTGGACGAAACTCGCCAAAGATTGAACGAAGAGAAAGAAGAAAAAGTCAAGCGCACGAAAGAAGAAGCCGAGGAACTCGGCCGAGAACTGAGGTATACGCAGCAAGTTGTCGCAGGCGAGTTGGCAGGGTGGCAGGATCTGCATGAGAAGATGGGGCGCAAGGTGATCAGGGACTTGGCGAGGAGTATGTTGATTCGTGAGCGTGCAACATTGGAGGGCATGAAGAGAGCGATGAGGAAGCTGAGGGTTGTGCCTGTTATGAATCCGGTGCCTGCGACGACTATGGAACCCGAGGCGGCGGGCGAGGCTGAGGTGCTTATCGAGGCTGAAGCCGTTGTTGAGCCAGAGATTGAAGGGGAAGTTAATGGAGCGAATGAGATGAGCGGGGAGGGATCCTCTTCGCCGTAAGAGGATATTTAAGGAGGGATATATACACTGTACTGGATAGATGGACTTGATGGCGTCTGGCAGCGAAATTGAGGCTTGTGACGGACGGGCGAAACTTTTGATTCTTGAAATGAAGCAAGCGGGCGAGCGCTACTTCAGAATTATAAGCTTTTTGATGACCTACACCGTCATGTCTCTTGTTTTTGGTGTGTTTCTGTTCTGGTGGCAAGGGATACAAGCTGAGACTTGTGACAGGTGGCGAAGGTATGGCAAAAACATGACCATGATCGAGCAGATTCAGGGCCTGGCAGTCTCGAAAATTTACTATCCTGTCTTCTTCCCTGTCTCAAAGAGGGTCCTAATGCTCTTCATCAAAGCGGATGAAAGGACCTTAACTCCGCACTCACAGGTAACAACAAAGATCTAGTTATAGCAAGTATTGTCACCTCCATTTCCCGTTTCCCTACTTCTTACCTCCTGCCCCGGAATCTTCTGCGCCTGTACTCAAACTGCAGAAGAGGACAATGAGAGCAAGTAGTATGGGTTCAGAGCAGCCAGTGGCTACAAAGGACCAAGCAATCCCTGAGTCATCCCATGCTACTTGATGATTGTATAGACATGTTGAAGGTTGGGGCAACTTTATCGACATCTACGACTCTCTCGCTTCCCCTTTCAGCGGTCGTGCGTGGTGGGGTCAGAATCGACCCCACTTTCGCTTACAGCCTTCGATTTCGGACAGAGTCTAGGCCTCAATCCAGCTCACTGAGGGCATATAAATAGTGGGCCTTGGCCCTGCCCGGAAGAGGTTAGACCGGGTGCCAATTGGCCCTCTCTCTCCCGGGCTGAAGAGTTGGATGAGCCCGCTACTGTACTTACAGAATAATAACCTTAAGCAGCCCGGCAGCAATGCTCACCGCACTTTTCCCCCTCCTACCGATTTGGTCAAGGACGGCAGAAAATGGCGTGCCTGCCGTGCACGGGGAGCGATTTCAGCATCGGCCGCATGCAGATCGCCGGCCAATCTGGGCCCTCCTGGAAATCTGATAAGCTCTCGGCCCCTGAGCTGAACATTCGAGGCGGGGAAGCCAGTCTCTCTCAGGTTAGGTCCTCGCTTCCAAAATGGCCGCCATAATGGCCATTGCCAACAGTTCGCACCCATTGGCCGGTCTTGCTCTACCATTGGCTGACGATCTTCTGCCCCTGCCACGCCTTCCCGTCCAAGATAATAGTGCCATGCACCTTGGATGAAAAGTGACAGCTCAAAGCTACTAACAGGATGCCGTGCAAAAAGGCACTGGGTCTCCGATCGAGGACCCCCGTTGCTTGGCAGGATCTTTATTTAACCTTGTTTAAACCTCGAGATCCGCAGAGGACCTGACGGTACGCTTCTCTCTTCTAAAAGCTCGAACGTCAGTCCTGCCAAAGGGCCGTTCAGGATGGCGGAGATCAAGCCCACTCAAGCCGACAAGGATGTTGCGCTGGGGGAGAAGGACGAGAAGATGGGGATGGACGTTGCCGTGGTGGAGAGCCAACAAACCCCTCAGAGATCACCGAGAGAACGAGTCGCCCGCTTCACCAACTCCATCTTCACGAGGAAGACTTTCAATGATACAGGCAGCGTTCTCTGGAAATTTGCAAGATTTGCGGGGCCGGGAGCAGTCATCAGCGTGGCATACGTCGACCCAGACAATCTGCAGTCCAATGTCACGGCTGGTGCTCAGTTCCGGTTCAAACTCTTGTTCATGATTCTTTTCTCGAATGTCGTTGCTGTTTTCCTGCAGGTGAGTGCTACCAACCGCCAGACCCGTTCTGAGAGCAGGGAGAAAGCGGATTGACGGGGTGCAGGCTCTGTCTACGAAGTTGGGATGTGTCACGGGAATGGACTTGGCTCAGATGAATCGCGCTTTTCTTCCTCGATGGCTGAATATCGGTCTTTGGCTCATGGCTGAGGCCTCGATTATTTGTACAGATATCTCACAGGTTTGTCCTATCCTGCTTGGTCATCTCTTGAGAACGCTTGAGAAGCCGTCACTCTGTTGTTTCCATCTCTCTAACCATACCACAGGTTATCGGCACAGCAATTGCCATCAACCTCTTGAATCCCAAAATACCCATCATAGGAGGCTGCGCCATATCGGTCGCCGACACTCTCTTCATCCTCTTCTTTTACAGACCAGATGGAAGCTTGCGGAAACTCCGTCTCTTCGAGATATTCGTCTCCATCTTCGTCATTGGAATCTTCATCATGTACTGCATCGAGCTCTCCTACGTCTCAGCACCAGTCCGCGACGTCTTCCGCGGCTATGTCCCATCTCGAGAGATTTTCGTTAGCGACGGGTAAGCCTCCCTTCTCTCTCCATCTCCACCTCCCACTGACTCCCACCCAATAGATTGTACGAATCCTGTGCCCTCCTCGGCGGCACACTCATGCCCCACACCATCTACCTGGGCTCCGGGCTCGTCCAAGCACGGATGCGCGAGCTCGACAGAATCGACGGCCACCTCCACGAAGTCAAGGCTTCCGACTCCAAGTTCGCCATCTCTTTATACCGCCCCACGCTCTCCACAATCAAAGCCTGCATGTCCTACACCATCGCGGAACTCTGCATCGTGCTCTTCGTCGTCGCCGTGTTCGTCAACTCCGCGGTGCTCATCGTAGCCGGCGCAGCCTTCACCCCAGATGCCAGCGACGCCGACCTCCCTGGTCTATACCAACTCTTCAACGACACGATCGGGAACGGCACCGGCACGATCTTTGCTTTGAGCTTGCTGTTTTCAGGAGTCAGTGCAGGCATCGTGGCCACGATGGCAGGACAAATGATCTGCGAGGGCGCAATGAACTGGCGCATGTCTCCGTTCCTCCGCCGCATCGTCACGAGAACCGTGGCTATCATCCCCGCCATGATAATCGCTGCCGCCGAAGGACAAGCCGGCCTCGCAGCCGCGTTGAATGGCTGCAACGTGGTCCTCTCCTTGGCCCTGATCTTCCTGACTTTCCCGTTAATCTGGTTCACCAGCAGACATAAGTATATGACGGTTAGGATTGATGATAGCGCGGACCCGGTGGGGGTTGTGGATGGGATACTGTCGTATAATACGGAGAGGGCGCTGTGGAATGAAGGGCATTATAGTGAGGGGACTATTAGTATGGCGAACAATTGGACGACGACGATTGTGGGGTTTGTGATTTGGTTTATCATTGCAGCAATGAACGTCGCTACGTTGACGTTCTTGGGGCTGGGGATTGGTGGTGGCGACTAAAGGTTGATATTTCTGGTTTGGGAGAAAGGCAACTGGGTAGATTTTGGTTTCAAGGAGTTCGGAAGGGGCGGGACGATATACAAATATAGGAAGGAGTTTGAGGGGTCGAATAAGCATATATTAAGACGAAGCTGCTGTTTCGAATCATCCCGTTCCTTTCCTCCAGTCTCATACAGATGCAGTTGCTAAAGCGCTCTACCCTGTCGAGAGTGCATTTTGCCTGCTCCTGGTGCTCATCCTCCACCCGTGCAGGAGAAAGAAGGCACTCCTTCGGACGTAGTTGTTCAAACCCCACTGAACCCAAAACCAACACTCCTGCAATCAACCTCCATGGCAGCCTTCCCCCATGCAGCAGTAGTCTGTTCCTTTGGTTTAGTTTAGCTCGTTGAAAGGCCGCCATTCACTTCCCACAAATATCCCCAAATATCCAAAGTAACACAAATGTCCGTTGTCGCTGTTCCCGCTGTTCCCCCACCGGAATGTTTGCGCTTCCCGACCCTATGTCTCACGTGAGCCGCGCCACCTTTGCTCAGGCCCAGCTCATCTTCGGCTCAGAGTGGCTCAAGAGATCTACTCAGGTCTGCTCACCCCTATTACGCGACGGCGCTCAGCTAAGACTAACCTCACCAGAAATCGTTTATAATATGTCGTGGCAATAATGGAAGGCAAGGTGGAAATCCTAAAAAAATCATCTCAAATTTCAATCGAATCTAATAAACCCTTGAAGACTTTTTCTACCTCCATACTATAGTCAGGTCGGAAAAAAGTCCTGTCGCTTTGATCAACCAGTCCCATAATAGCAAATAGCTTGTCTCGCCGGTCTACAGCCTGCCGGTGGCGAGTACTATATGCAATATCCAAGATATCTGGGGCCGGCCGCAAAATCTCTCCGCGTTGGCGCTCGATATGCTGCACCTGAAGGTCTAATAGTTGTAGGAAAATGTCCATATTGACTTGCGAGAGGCCTGCTTGTTCCCACTGTGGAGAAATGACCGCGTATTTGATTCGTCGTATGAATTTTAGTATCTGGCTAGGATTATTCTCCCACTGGAAGCTGTCATTCCCGCACGTCATGATAGCTTTTCGAGACACACATGCTTCCTGGACCACCCACAAGCGTTGAAACCACCCTCGTTGAAGAATTCCGTTGAGTGCTGAAAAGAATTCAACTTCTGGCATTTGGTCCCACGGCGATAGCTCGTGCAAAGTGTTTTGAGCAAGGTACTTCAGGACTTCCATTCCCATGGCGTTATCTTTGCTGGCAGTGCCGAGCCAGATTTGGACGTTTTCTGCTCGAGCATACACATCTAGCATTAGAGTTATTTGGGTGCCCCTCTCCTCGACAGACTGTTGATTGATACAAATCGCATCAACCCAAAGAATTCTAGGAACCGTCGGAGAGCGGAAGCGTCGAAGTGCAACGTCGAGGTTTGGCACGACCGAGAGAGCGTATTTGTCGTCCAATATTATATAAGAAGACATGTTGTCCGAAGTGCGACCCCAAACATATGACAATGCATCGTATTGCATAGACCACCCTAGTATGCCGTGCTCTGTGGTACCCGGGATATGAGAGATGTGAATAATTCGGGCCCGTAATGGATCGTTAGGCGCACCCGGGGCTAGTTCTAACACTCGAATATCTTTTGGGTGGTCGAGCTGACGGTACTCGTACTCACGGTATCGGTTGACCCACTATTAGTGTCAGCTTGTCAGTCAAGCTTTGTCTAGAACGAGTAAGCTTACATACTTTTTTATTTGTAGAATGGTTTTTTATAACCCTGTCGGTCACGATGTTCGCCCCAAAGCCGAAAGTCATGCGTCGGCCCTATATCGAGAGATTCCATGACTTTCTCACCTTCTTCACGTGATACTCTAGCGTCATGATTTTTATCACCTCTTCACTAATTTCCTCATTGATTTGTTGCGTTTGAAATGAATGTTTTGAGTTTCGAGGACGGCAAGGAGAGCCTTAAAGTATCTTAAAATTTTGCGAGCCCGATGGGGCTGAGTTGAACCCTGTGGAGGCTATGTTAGACACCAGCTATCCCTTCGTCTGGTGAGACATGTCCAGCGCTTACCAGGGGTGTCTCGCTTAGCCGCACAGGTGTACCTTAGCTGCTTAGCTGGGGGGAGGCAAATGTTTCACGTGACATTAAAATGTCACTGTCACATAATCTGTAAAATTTAAAAAAAACTCGCAGAGACTTAGTGGGGGTTTGGGGGTTTTCCCCAAAGATTAAAGACTCCTCTTGTGACGGCTGGCATAACGGCACGATCTGCCGGGAATAGGAATTCGGAAACAGGTCTAAAAGGGAACTAAGCCAGAAGGCATAGGCAAAGTGTTGTGACGTCAGCGTCACATGACTTGGCCCTAGCGTGGCACCCTGTACTTAGCTCGAGCTCCCCGCTCCTCTCTTCTTTTCTCTCTTTAGACGTTACATACACACCCAATACAGCTGATTCTGCTTCCAGAACACCAGCCACGGGTCGTGATACAAAGTAATACTAAAGGTCGAGGCATTTCTCCCTTCTTTGCTCCCCAGCTTAGTATTTTTAATATATGAGACTCATTAAACTTTAAACCTTCGACTATTGCATTAATCTCGCCGTTATATAAACTTGCTCACCCAATACTCATGCTAAAGCAGCAGCTGCTCAGGTCCAGAGACGGAAATGATAAATGCCATGAAAACATTCCCGTGCGGGTTGACCTGTTCCCTCGATGATAAACCCCCTCGCCATCTCACTCACTGAGGACCCAATAACAGAGGACATCAGAAGCCTTGAAAATCCTGAGTTATCCAACACTTCCGCACTGCAACCTCGCTAGGTTCTTCCTTTCTCTCTTACAACTTTTCTATCCCAGACTTACGATAGTCGACCATTTTGTTCTTTGGGTTCCAGCTCTTTTCTTCGTCGGGGCGGTGGGCGAGATGTCCTCGTGAGAGACCTTCGAGGAAGATAAGCGCGGTGGGATATCATATCCCACAGCGTTTACCTACGAACCTGAAGCGCCTTGCAAGTTTGAGGGGTAGAGGTACAGACTATCTCGACATTCTGGGTACTAGCCATGAGAGCGGTGATATCCAGAGGGATCTTTGGAGTCGAAACTGTAATGTCTTTGCTCTGCAGAGGTAGAAGTCGGAGAAGCGGTTCTTAAGTTTGCTGGAGTGAGGAAATTAGGGATAAGGGAGGAAATGGGAGTGGGAGTGGCTATCCTTTGTGCTATTCGTAGCTGGGATTTAGTTGAAGTTCTCTTGTAGAGTGATAAGTGCTTCTATGTAGCACTATTCAGAGACGAAGAGAAAGAGGCTAAGTACGCTCGTCTTCCCTAAACGAATATTGACTTCCAGTGAATGGAAAATTCTGCGTCCACGGACTGTAAATTAACCCTTTGGCAGCAATGCTGAAGTCTGTAACTACCCTTTGATATCAACTCTGCATGTACAGTGGTGCTGCGGCATACCATCTCCTGAGCACAAAAGCAGATCCGTGGATTCGGCTTGGTATTGGTTGGTACAGCTCACTTAAGCGCCGCTCCACTTACGTGCTAGCTATAAGGACGCTTTTAATGAACTTCTTTCGTACGGTTAAAGAATAGCAGTGAGAGATTTGTTGACAGCAAAAACTGTTTTGAAAATAGAAGGTGTCCAGCCCAGGTGAGCTGGAGACCCCGATTGGCCCCCAGGCTTGAAAATTGATCTTGGCCTTAGAAGTGGAACTTGGGTGGAGAGACTCAGGGGAGAGGGAAGCACATTCGTCCTCCGCAGATAAATGTATGTTTTTTTTGTGGATATAACAATCGCATTTTGTTGCAGATTTTAGAGGCTACAACTTTAGCAATGCCCAAGGCACTCCGACCAAATGCATGTTCTCAAGTCTTTCACGAGCACAGCCCCAATTCCAGGGATCCAATTTGGTGGATACTCATAACTCTGTATGGAGTCTTCCCGCCTTACGTACTATATATATTTATGATTGAATGCTTCCTCTATCCGGTCGTCAATGGCAGCAAGGGATTATTGACAAACAAGCACCTTGATAAAGGCGTGAGGTTCGGGCTCGGTAGCTTCCACTCTCCACCTGAGCTGCTAGAAGTTGCTTCTCTATTTGCTGCTAGACGTCGAGAATGAAGTCAGGGTGAACAAGTTTGGGGGAAAGAACTCGAACAGGTATTGCTGCACGGGAAGGACAGCGGTACAAGAATGGCTGTTGAGTTTCGTAGGCAGAGAGGGATGGGGATTTTATACTCTCTGAGAGTAGAAGCCAGAGAGATAGGGTTTCTCCTCGATATAGAGATATCTTCAAGTTGGTTTATTACCACAAGAGACCCTTTGGATTCGTCTCTGAAGAACTCGTAACTTCCTCTGCAACATCCACACGGATGAATAAGTATATAAGAGGGGATTGGAACTATCTTAACCTTCTAGGGACTTGAGCAGAGCGGTCGCCATCCCACACGTTGGTGGAGATAAGGAATGCGTTCCCATGCATGAGAAGCAAGTTTGTGCCAATCACTCCTTGTCCCGAAATAATCGATATTGGCGGCTTGGGGTTGTGTCGTATTAAATCTTGAAGCTGCAACGTAATTCAAGGATAGAATGGAGAATGACAATTGGGGTTTGATTGACAACTATATCGCTTTTGACAAGAGAATATGCGAGTGAATGTGGAAAGCTCTCTAAACTAATTCGGCGGCAGCCTCGCAACTCGAATTTTGGAGCCGGCAGTGAGATTTAGGGAAAGCAGGAAAGAGAGAGAGGGCGGAGACGCAGTGGCAGTTCCAAGAGGCAAGTAGTTCAATTTTTGAGACTCTTCAGTAAACATACAGGAGTTTATTTATATCCTCAGGGAACCGGGAGTGCTGGATGGGGCGATCAGTGGCGGGTGAATGTATTCCTCTTCCCCTGCGTTGCATCTTAACCCATTTTCCCTTTGAGAGAAAGCTCTATACTCTGCACATGTCAAGCAGGCAATTAACGCTCCTCTCAGCTTCACCCCTTGCCTGCGCAAGTAGATATGGGAACCATATTTCCCATTGCCTTTCTGTAGTAGTCGATAGATGAGGGCCGGAAACCACGACTATCCTTGAACAATAGCGAGCCCAGTAGCGACTTGGGTGCAACTGCCACAAGGGGCCTTGGAATATCCGGAGTGGCTATAACCATACAGAATCTGAGCATGGGGATATCCAATAAACTGAAGACCAGGCGACGAATAACTGTTCTTCGCTTGGGACTTGATTCATGTAATCCGCGTTCGCGCATTATGCAACACGGCCATTGTGCATCAGGCAACAGCGTGGGATGTTACATTCACCTGCCGCCAAACCCTGCTCTTACTGTCATGCGTCTTTAGGCAGCCTCACCGTTTGTTGAACACTAAATTGCCCTGGAGGGTTGAGTTATACTCTGTTAAACCAGGAAGCGGAATCTTTGATGAGCAGTCCCTAAAATTGTACTTTTGAGGAAGTGTTGGGATAATGAGACAGGACTTGGCAATAACTCCCCACTTGACAGCGAGGTCTCCCCTTACAACAAATTACGTAACTTCTCCGAAGAGCACTTCCACCCAACAAAGTCATGCAACGATCTCAACATCCACCAACATTCTTCTCTACAGAATATGGCAGCCAAGCAACAACCCTCAGTGCTCCCTTTCTCATTCCCACGACGGACGGTCTGGCCATGCGGCGCTGTTGTGAGGTGGGGTTGGCTCTCCTTTCTTTCCATGAAGGGGGTTTATATATACGAGATCCTAGGAAAGTGAGCCATTGGGCAGTGGCAAGCCCAGAACAGCAGCGACTCAGCTCGCTTCTAAATGTTCCAGTAGGCTGAAAGGTGGTTTGGCAGCTTCCCTGCTAACGCTCAACGTCCTTGCGGGTGTCAGTTCACGGGTAGAGTGCACAAGCCATGAAATACCACGAATACATAAAACACCCCCTCTCAGCTCGAATGGATGAAGCACATCCAGCTCTGCCACTTCAACACGCTCCAGCTCAGCACGTCAAGACCGGTTCTGCGAATTCTTTGCAATTCTTTGCTCTGGGCCGAGGCAAACCTCTAGCAAGGGTTTCAGATTGAAGGCATGCCCGCAGTAGTCTATAATCTGGCAAATTTGGAAGGATCCATCACTCAATGAGCAGACCCCGGACGGCACCAGCTAAAACGAGAAGGACTAACAACAAAAACGAACTAACAGCAACTTCTACAATGACAAGAAAACCAAAGCTCAGACACAGGCGAGTCGACTCCACTCAGTGAAGCAATTAAGCTCAAGGAATAGATTTCCGGGGAAACAGAAAATGGCGAAGCTCGAGTGTGGTTAAGTTGAGGTGGGGTTCGGCTACCCATGTTTCGATGTAGTACTACCACATTCCGAGGTGCAAGGTGCTGATGCCCTCTTTCGCTGGCGATGGGTGAAGCTTAAATAGAGATTCGCAGGAGGCAGGTCTAAGGAGGACAAGGCAACGACCTCCAGCTCTCAAACCCCTCCCTATCAGCCACTTGGCGGGATATCAATGAGGAACTTTTCACACGCACGAATCAGGGAATAAAAGTAACAGACCGAGTCATCGATTCATGATTACATTATCATGAGTTGATCAGTCCAGTCAGGCACAGAGGCACGAGGATCCTAAGTACAGTATCCACTCATCAACCACCATGAATACAGCGAGCGTGACACGATCCCATCGGCCGCACCCACTCTGCCCTGCCCGCCTCCTTCGGGTCAAAGAAGTAAGACAAGACCAGACCATGACTGCAATAACACAAATAATGCAGCGCACTACTTTCATCTCATGCCTTCATCAATGCCATTCATCACCCTCCTCGCTGAGGCAACAACATCATATGCTGTGAAACCAAAAGAAGAAGAGGATGCTCAGCTCCTCAGTCAATCTCTGATATGCAAAATGCAAGAACAGCCGCATGCAGCTGCATGCAAAGCCACGCTAATCGTTGCAGTGAAGGTAGTTCCGCCTGTGATGTCATCCGATGCAGCTTCCATGTACACCGTCGGTTCATATCCACATGAAGGAGAAATAAAGCCGATTGTATCGAATGCTTTCCTCCCACGTAGCCAATTTGTACTTCGTCAATCCATCCGCCCATCATCCAGACTCCGCTCAAATGCAAAATTACGCCGACCCATGCGCAGGTATGTAAAGGGAACTTGTGGGGAAAAAAAAGTATTTCGGTGGACCAATAATCGATCAGGTCAATTTACATGTCGAATTGCCCGCCGTTGAACATGTTGCTATCTTCGTTGGTGCCGGTCCGGACGATACCGCTCATTCGGTCACTCCGTCGCTTGTCGGGAATATCATTTCGGTCTTCCCAGTCATCTTGATGTTTCTCATCTTCGTCCATGCTCTCGTCCTCGTCTCTGATGCGACCTTGCATATGCTCATCTATCGAGCTCTCATCGACGAAGGTGAAGCCCTTGAAGTTAGCCTGCATGGTTGGCGACAAAGGCGTTGATGTAGCCACACCCGCTGCCAAAGCTGCAGCACGAGCATTGAGTGACGATGCTCCGTTCATCAGAGCATTGGTAAACTCGGGATCAAAGTTTGATGTGTCCGTCTCATCCTTCAGCTTCGGCTTGAACGGTGGCGTGATCAACTTCTTTGTCAACGCCTCCCAGTCGATATCAGCGAAGAATGGATGCCTCTTCAACTCTTCCGCGTCATCAGTCGCCCCGAGTCTGTGTTTGGGGTTCCGGTTGAGAAGACCCTTCACAAAGTTGCGCCCCTCGGTAGTTAGTGTGTCTCGTGGGAAGCGAACCTTTCCGAAAGCAATGTTCTTGTACATTTGTTGCGTGTCTTCTGCATAAAACGGACTCCACCCGCAGCACATTTCGAAAACGAGAACCCCCAGGGACCAGAAGTCTACCATCTTAGTGTATCCGGCTTCGTCCAAAAGTACTTCTGGGGCCAAGTATTCGGTTGTGCCACAGAACGTATTAGTTGTGGCATTCTTGGTCAAGTTTGCTTTGGACAGGCCGAAATCGCACAAAGCAATGTGTCCGTTGGCATCCAGCAATATGTTTTCCGGTTTCAAATCCCGGTAGACAATGTCGTGCATGTGAAGGTGTTGGAGAGCAAGAATCAGCTCAGCAATGTAGAACTTCGCCCGCTTTTCATCGAATCGTCCTTCCTTTTGCAGATGCCAGAACAGTTCGCCGCCAGACATGTAGTCTGTAACCAAATAAAGATCCGTGGGTGTCTGGAAGGAGAATTTGAGTCCCACAATGAATGGTGAGTCCGCCATAGCTGTTCTGACCAGGATGTTCCGCTCTCCAACTGTGTGTGCAACTTCCTTCTTTTGAACGATCACCTTCTTTTGAAGAACCTTCATGGCGTAGATTCGCTTCGTATCCTTCTTTCTAACTTGATAAACTTGGCCGAAGGTTCCCTTCCCAATAAGCTTCAGAATCTGGAAATCTTCTGGGCCATAATGGCGCTTCTCTGTCCGTTGGAACGTGATCTCAACATAAATTTCGCCAGGAAGACCCGTATCGGTGTCGTTCCTACCACGAAGTGGAAACCAGCCTTTGAGGGGTGCATTGTTCTCGGTGAGATTCGCTTCGAGGTCTACATGACCAAGAAATTCTTCCACGACGCTGCTTCTATCATAAATCGTGATGTTGACACGTGCATCAGAGCCAACCACATCACTGGATGATTGTTAGCACGGTCAGAACATTCAACAGACCGCAACTTACAAGATTGCTTCGGTATCCCACTTCGGGTTGGTCATAGACCTACGGCCCTTACTCTTGAAATCGCGGTAGTCCGAAAGGCTGGTGTTACTGCTTTGTCGACTCTTCATAGGGATAGCCATTGGTCGACCCGAATCGCTTCCGGATCTCATAATCGGAATGCCACCCATCGGACTGCTTGTTGTTCCCTGATCTTCTTCCTCTTCCTTCCCGGGTAAAGGTCCTTTCGATACCAATTCATTTCGTTGGAAGACGGCTACAACATAGGGATCTCTGCTCTTTCGTAAACCTCGCGCCTCGGCGATCTTTACTGTAAGCTTTCCTTTCGGTGCAGGCGCCGGAGCTCCGGTCGCGGGAACTAAAATTTGTGAAGGGACAGCCTCGGCCGTGGTTGATTTTGCATCTTTTCCATTCTGAGCATTTGCGTGATCTGATCCGCCGCTAGCATCCGATTTGTTGGTCTGATTTGACAATGCGCGCGTGGGAGTGGCCGGAGTGCTCTTTTCCGCGTCATCTGTTAGCTTTTTGAGCCGATCATACGACGGTGACTCGTGAAAATCAGAGTATAAGCGGGAATGTGAAGGGGTGTTAGGGGAGGTAGAGCAGTTGCTGGGGTTAGAGAAATGTGCAGCGTGAACATTGGAAGCCGTCACAACACTCGAGAGCGGATTCATCAAGGAGGCTCTTCGAGCGCTTGACGGAATTGATTCCGATATACTCTTGTGATGTACGGAAGATGAGGTAGCCAACTCCCCCGCATTGACTCCCTCATCCTCCGAGCTTGAGGAATTGCTCAACTTCAGCTTGTGCAGTGATGGTGGCTGGGAAACGGGTGGTGTCGGGTAGGGATGCAAGCCACTTGTTCGGAATTTTTCTGGTGCAGGCTGAAGCGGAGCTTCTGCTTCTTGAGAGTCACTCGCAGGCTCATTGCTTGAGTCTGGCGTGGCCTTCGGGAGCACCTCATCACCCCTCGCAGAGGTCGAAACATCGCTCCCCATGACGGAGCTTTCAAAATGACCAGAGTTTGGACGTGTAGAAGACGCAGAACCAACCTGTCCAAAATAACTGTGCATTATGCCAGGTAACCGCTTGTCTGAAGGGTCAGGCTGAGGAGTAGCGACACCGGAGCGGGGAATATCGGAGTCATCGCCATTCTCGTTGTCCTCCCTAAAATGAAGTCCATTAGCAAAGGCCATGATGGGACAAATAAGGCAGCAGCGCGCGAATAATTAATTGAGGGAGGAAACATTGAGGTATTTAAGACATCGGAATAGAGAAAAAGGTCGAATGGATGCAAGGATCGCGACTGAGCCAATGCTCCATAATCAGAAAATTCTTTCATTCGGCGACCAAATTGCAGGAGGACGCCGTGTACGGTGCTCTGCCCTGCGTGGGTGCGCCCAGCTTCTACCGATTGCCGCATTGATAAGACCCCTCGTCAACTTTGACGTTGAGGCATGTACAAGAGACATCATCATGACAGCAGCACCCGGACGCGGACGAGAACACGGGCACAGGTGGTGCAAAGGGGATCTGTGCAAAACTCCGCGCCCTCGTCCTGCTGGAATGATCGCAGCCCCGAAATCACCACTTGTGTGTACCCCAACGCGGCGCGACCCCTCGGTGAAGGAACAGAAGCCAAGTATTTTGCCCTCGTACCTTGACATCATTGCTTGCGTAGCCCGCTTGAGCAGGTCTCCGTCGTTCCCAGCCATCGCGCACTGCTCTTTGTGCGCACTGCCAGTCTGTGTATCGCGATGTAAAAATTCGGCGCCGTGTGGAAGTGTCCGTGGCCGTCGTCGTTGGCTGTGGGGATTGTGGCCAGGTACTTAATGTCAGTTCCCTCGCACTCGCCGAACGGAAGGGTCGAGAAGGTTGCGGGTGGCGAGACCGAGTTCGTTTTTCTCAGCAGCTTCGAACCGCAGCGAAGGCGATTTCGAAGATGGAGATCCTGCGTCGCAGCTGGCGCAGAGTGAAGAGTTTGTTGGGTGTGAGGAGAGGAAGGGAAGACTCGGAAGAAGGTTCGCGTTCAAATTCAAATTCGGAGGTACCTTCTCAGCCTAGCACTTCATTCAGGTAGTTGGAAATGGCGATTGATGGCCAAAGCCTCGTTCGCTCGCTCGCTACGTAGTGACGCTACCACGCCCACACCCACACCCACGTCCACGCCCACGCCCACGCACAGCGCAACACTGGCAGGCCCGACAGGGCAGGCCAGAACTCAAATGTCAGTCGTCAGGTATGAAGGGCCGAGCAGCACAGCCTGTGCACGACGTGCCGGCTTGCTGTTCCTGCTTTTCTGACTCGCGGAGGCGAGTCGCCGCCGTGGAGATTGGATGCAATGACAGCGGTGGTCCTGCAGCCCGGCGCCGGAGTGCTGGTCATAGATGTGCACGGAGGTAGTGAGGCATCAATAAAAGAGGGCCCTGGAGGGAGAGAGGGAGGAGAGAGGCCGCGAGAGAGGGCAGGCGGGTAGGCTGGCAGGCTCGCAGGCTGAGGGAGGCGGTGTTTATGTAGTTCTATATGTTCCCAGAACATTGGCCGTGTGGCCGGATGCCCGAATGTGAGAGCTTAGAGCTGTTGGGCGGCCTAGGCCACACCGAAGGCTGGGAGGGAATCGGTGGTGAGGACTCGACCACATGCGCTGGGAAGGGCAGGACTTAATCTTCACCTCCCTGGCCACTCCCGTCCCGTGCAGCTGTTCAACAAAACAAAAAAGGGTTGTGATCCTGTGTGTTGCCGTCTGCTGGGCTAACGTCATATGTCCGATTTCATACGATGATACGAGGCGGCAGCTATTTATGGGAGGGAGAGCACAGATTTCAAGGGGTCGAAGGAGGACAAGAAAGAAGGTCAAGTGTGGTGCTCGTGGGGCAGGTCACACAGGGCAAATTTCTCTCGAGCTGATTATTCTGACCATCTCCAATATAAAAGCTGCATCTCAGCCCCGTACGCATTGCTGCGTGCGGTCGGGGTGAACGAGAGCTGACCTAAGACCCTCCAATGTAACGCTCCCGACCACAGCAGCGCAAACCAACAGGAGGAAGTGGCAGAGGACAGCGTCTGGTGGTCAGAGTCATAATCGAATGGTATTTGCGTACACGGCTTTCCTGGCTGCCATTCGAGCATCTCGAATCTTGGTCAGGATCCCCACTTCGAAGCCGTGACACCTCTCATGTGATCGAAACTTGAATCCTGTATTCGTAACGTTTGTGAAGCTGGTGGAGAGACGCGGCCGATGGCAGGACAATCTGGGAGCCTTACATGCGGCAGTTACAACTTCAGTAACGTGGTACGGGTTCAAACCATTCCGAAGGGCGTCAATTACCACCGGTGCCGATGTTTGATGTTCTTTGGAAAGTGAGGAATGGATGCGGAATGGGAGAAGGAAGTTCCAGGGTGACATACCTGGCATGAATGGAGAACCGTAATTTTGCCGAAATCGTTAGCGGCTTCCTTAGCGTACTTTTTGAACTTCGTGAATTCGCGTCTTCTTTCAGATCGCGACAATCCGACATCTCCCTCAAGCATATTGCACCAAAACGAATTGAAGTGTCTTGACCTCGACAAAATGGGTAGGCGACCAGGTAGAGCTGCGGCCAAGAATGCTGCTGCTGCTTTGAGTGAGTCTGCTTTCTCCATTACGCATGGCGCATGAAGCCGTGGCTAACATCCCTTCCCTAGAAAACACCCCGCAAAACTACGATGATGCCGAAGACGAGCAAATGCAGGATGTGGGAACCTCCGAAGCTGGAAGTCCCCCCGAGATTGAGGAAGATAATGGAGAAGAGGAAGAAGAGGAAGAAGAAGGCACCCCAGCCGTTGAATCCGAACCTGCATCAGCACCAACTACTCCAGTCCCAGAACCTGTCGTTCGCAAGAAGAGATTAGGCAGACCGCCGAAGAATAGGCCAGCAGATTGGGACACCCAAGATGGAGATAATAATAATTCCGAGGCAGGCACGCCAGCAAAGCGAGGCAGGGGAAGAGGTAGTGGATTTGGGCGAGGCGGAGGACGCTGGGCACGACGCGGAGGACCCTCGCATGTTACACAACAACCCGTCGACAAGGAAGGGAACATGATGGACGTAATTGATGATGAGGTTGAGCTGCCAGAGGACGCGGAAGGCGAGACCAAGGTCGACAAGATGGGTCACCTGCAAGGCGGACGAGATTATCGGTGCAGAACATTTACGGTCTACGGCAGGGGCTCACGACTCTACATGTTGTCTACGGAGCCTGCAAGGTGTGTAGGATTCCGAGACAGTTATCTCTTCTTCACCAAGCACAAGCGCCTATTCAAGATCATCATCGACGACAACGAGAAGCGCGACATGATCGAGCGCGAGCTCATCCCGCACTCTTACAAGGGCCGTGCTATTGGTATCGTTACCGCGAGATCAGTCTTCCGCGAATTCGGTGCTCAGATCATAGTCGGAGGAAAGAGAATTATCGATGATTACGAGGTCACGAAGGCGCGAGAGGATGGAGTTGTCGAGGGCGAGATTGCGGATCCCAATGATATCATCAAGCCTGGCGAGGAGTACAACAAGAATCAATATGTTGCTTGGCATGGTGCGAGTTCTGTCTACCACACAGGCGCGCCAACGGTTCCATTGCAGGCCGGGAAGATTCCGGATGGCAAGAAGAGAAAAGTCATGATCAATGATGTCAATTGGCAGTTGGAGCACGCTCGAGAGGCAAGGTATGTGGAAACTTGCTACTTCAGTTTGCAGTCCTAACAACTTGTAGTCGATTCAATGCTGCTCTCGGCGCTCTACGTCGTGCGAACCTCAATGGCATCTACGATATACACACCAACGTCATGCATTACCCGAAGACAATGCAACCAACACATGCCCGTTGGGAGCAAATCGATGACAATGAGGTCGAAGCCAAGTCACGTCTCGCGAGTGGCCACACAGAAGATCACGAAGATGGCGAAGAGAAGAGCATGTTCACTCCCGTGAAGCCTATCTATTCCAAGAACTTCTTGGTCGTGGATACAGTCTATGAATCTGCCCCAGCGGTCGGTCTCGGTGTTCCTGGCCCTGACGGTGATACTTACGACTTGGGCTTTAATGGCCTGTCAAGTGTTTCTGATGATATCAAGGATGAGCTTCCTCCGGAATGTCGCAAAGCTTTCGAGGAAGCTTTGGAGAAGGAGTTGCAGTGGAAGAGCAAATGGGGAACCGAGACTCAATTTGGGCACCGAAGGGCACCAAAGATCGATAAGGGAATGGTTTGAGATGCCTTTTGCTTTGTAGGATTGATGATGGCAGTATCTCTGGCGTTACGCAAGGATATCGGCGCGGTCCCAAGAACGGCCGAGGTTACACACGAATCACGTGGCTTGCATTGCAGTGAGCAAAGGCGCTGGCCTGGAAAAGTCCACGAAAGTCTAAAATGGAGCTAGACAGGTAGATCTGAATAAGAGCCCTTAATCGTAACTCTCGCTTCTTCAACTGTGATGTGAACTTCAAGGGTCCCAAAATCGGAAGCTAAAATAGAATCGCGCTAGTAAACTCCAAATGCAGATATCGTGACTCGACGTCTCCAAAATTATCCAACCACAGGGAACAACATCCAAGCAAACTCACAACCAGATCCGAAATCAAGCTCCACAACTCTCAGTCTTACAGACTTCCAACAAAACCCACTCCGCTCAAATTACAGCCAATATTTGACTATTCACCCCTCCAACAGCAAAGATGTCTCCACGCAACGATATGTACCTCTCCCTTTGCCTCGCTCAGGCCGAACTCTCTCCCCTTCACTACCGCCACGGCTCGATCATCGTCCGTGGTGGGAAGGTGATTGGCCAGGGTTTCAACAACTATCGTCCTGGGTTCGATGGTGGCGCTCTCAAATCTGGCGTTCTCCTCGATGGTCCCGCCATTGCTGAGCTGAAGCAGCGTTTGAAGTCTAAGCCAAAGTCAAAGAATAAGCCGGACCATCAGCAGGACGATGCCACATTTACGCCATTTGAGTCTTCGGGTTGCGGTCCTCACGCAAACGTGAACCTCTCCATGCATTCGGAGATGATGGCTATCCGCTCCGCTCTCTCGCTCTCGTCGGGCACCTTGTCCTCTCAAACCTCGGCTCGCTCAGCGAAGTGCTTCGAAAAACCGTGCTTCAAGTTACCGGGTGATTCTAAAAAACGAAAAGCCCGAGCACGCGGTCTCAAAGCCTACGCAGCAGCAGTCTGCGCCGAGGCGGCCACGTCAGGCACCGGCAAAGCCTACAGTGGCAAGTTCTCTATTCAAAAGTCGGGTTTTGAACCCTCTACATCTCAACCAGGTCACCAAGAAGAACGACAACAAGTCCAACATCAAGGAGGAGGACAACGAGTTTCAGAAGGAGATGGTGATGGTGAACGTGGCCTTGAACACATGGAAAAGCGCCGAGAAACACCGACCAAAGAAGAAGTATGGGTATCACTATCAGACTGGGTATCAGTACGAGGCGGATCACTATCAAAAGCCTCAACACAAGCCCTATCAACATAAGTGCGGTTCAGAGCCGCAACTGTCCAAAGTCAGTGTAAAGAATTTACGAACTCCAGATACGCCATCAACTCGCAGCGATGATGACTCAGTTAGTTCAAGAAGTATCAAGTATAAGGCGAGAAATCCTTCCCTATCTCAAAATCGAGATCTAACAGTCCACAGCCTCCCAAGAAACCGCCTCTAGCCCCTCCAAAGCCACAACAAATCCTCATCACCAAGAAGAACTCTCTTAACACCAAAGCTGACGTGAAGGAACGCACCAAGGACTTCCGTCTAAAGGGTTCTGATCTCTACGTTGCCAGGCTCGGGACCTGCCAAGTTACTCCTCCCATGGACCCAAAGCCGCATACGTCCACTCCTCCAACTCCAACTCTCTCACCAAAATCCGAGCCCGCATCTCTCTACGACGAGCTCACATCTATCTCCCGCACTCCATCTCCCTCAACATCTCCGCCCAACCCACCACCCATGGCAACGCCCGAGGTCCGTGCCTCTCGTCCCTGTTACAGATGCGTGAGTGCTATGCACGCCGTGGGCATCAAGCGAGTCTTCTGGACGAACGCAGATGGGGGGTGGGAGGGCGCGAAGGTTCGAGATCTGGTTGAGGCGCTGGAGAATGGCATTGAGAGTGATGGGGATGGTCCTGGGACGGGGCAGGAGAATAAGGGGGTGTTTGTTACGAAGCATGAGGTAAGCTTATTTTTACAGCAAATTCCTGTCTCTTATTTGAGAGCTCAGAGCCTGGGAGCTTTACAGGAGCTTGCATTTGTCCTTGGAGCTCGGCTCCCCAGCTCCTGAGATCCCTCTCAAAAATCGGGAAACGTCCATACTAATTCGATGATTAGGTCCTGATGTTGAAAAGAATTATGGGGTTTTAAGTTGCTGCGAGGGGACTGGAGTAGGGAAGTGGTTTGAGTTTTCAATTTCGATGTTCCGCAAAGGAGAGAGTGCGAGACGTTCCAATTCATTTTCATTCCTGCTCTGCTGTCCCAAATCCAGACATCTTCCAAGAGGAATGTCCCACTACCTTCTGTATAACGCCTGGTTGAAGATACATTTCCCATTCTTTATCTTGCGCTCCCAGAGTCCACATCCCCAGAGGTCCGATTATCTGGAACATCACCGTTTAATGTCCTCTTCAGCTTGGGGCCTTCAGCCCTTGCCTTCGCATTCACGCAGTTCTAACGAGATCTCCCTACATCGCTCCCTGACCCCTTCTTTATCCTCGTTACTACAAACAATCACGAACAATGGCATCATATGAGAGGTCGCTCTATGTAGCCTTTCGCACACCCATCCATTACTCGGTATAAAACTGCCAAGCAGGTCACTATGCAAGTAAGATTACCTCAACGATGCACAAATAGTCTCTGCGGACCAACCAAGATGTCCCAACTCAAAACCACGGTCATCTTCCCCCAAGCTACTACCATTCTATCAGCGAAGCCCATGAGGTTATGATCACTGCATGCAAGCGTGAGTCGTTCGCAGGGAAGCTTAAGAATGTGAAAATTTCACCTAATGTTTGCTTCTGTTGTCATTCAGCGATTTTTTTGTCAAGTGACCGGTGTTTCCGTAGGAAGTATAAAGAGCGATTGTTGGTATGGCCAGCTTGCAACACGGGAAGTGTTGAACTTGTCAATCGTCATTCTCGCCAAGGATTACGCACCGCCTACCCTCATTGAGTGAGAGCCTGGCTATAGACAAGGAACTTCACGCAAAGCTGCACGACCATCAAGGGGCGTCAAGGACCACTAGTGCTGCGCGTTGACCCTTTTCTCTCTTGGCTTTAGTAATAGCCTCTCGACCTTTTGCTTTTGTTGTCAATGCGTCTTTTACTGTCAAAGTCTTCCATGGCGTTCATGATTTATCTTTCCCTCCCTGCTCGAGTTTCACGGTCCGAAGCGGTGACTCTAAAAATTGCAACAACTCGATTAAAGCTGGAAAGCTTTTATAGAGTATTCAAGAGCATTACCGAGCGAATTCAAACTGTCTCATACATATATGCAACGAAGGGAGTATATCTCCAGCCTTCTTTTCTATAATGACGGCGAGTATTTAAGATAGGGGTATCACGTGATATAAACTCCTGGGTGTCTATAAAATGATTTCCCCACCCGCTAAGATTGGAATCACACCTAATTCAACAAAGGAATATACAAGACGAGTTGCCAAGGGACGATGAACCAGCCATTAATGACGTGGACATATCCGGAGGCGAATCTTGGGATTTAAACTCGGACACTCCCTCCTCCCAAAAGCATCGCACCGCCGTTGCAGCAAATGTTGGTCTGACTTCGGAGGAAGGAAGTCCTGGAAGATCACTGTGTTAGGGCTGATCGACAACTCAAGATTTTACGTCTCTCTACCTCGCTTTCCTAGTATCCTTCCAAGACGATATACTTTCCGCTTCTTCGTCTCATTAGTTTAGATGATCTTTTCATTACCTAGTTAGCTCCTGCTGTCACGGCGACGACAGGATGGCCCTATATCAAAGCAAGGCATGTGTCTTGCTTGCTGCTCCAATATCTCCGAGCGAATGTACCGTAGTCTCCAGCGGAATGAAGCGCTTGTGAACTACTCGTGTGCCTGAACAAGACATTGCAGCCACTTCTGCAACGTGAACGAAACTCGCTGTTTATCTGCAGTTCTGTGGGTTACGGGCAGCGGCATCTTTTTTATCAGCGAAATTTGTGCTCAATCTCTTTCTCCTACTAACGCGCTGCACAGAGACTTTCAAACTTGCAAGAGCGACTGGTGATGCTCGACTTAACAGGCTACAACCCGCATAATAGTGTCATTTAAGGAAAAGGTCCTTCCAGTATTGCTAGGCAGGGTGAGCAACCACTCCCGGAAGAATTCCCAATTTGGAGAGACCAACTCTGTTGGAAACTGCGGCGCTTCAGTGAGGAGTAATTGGCTCTGACATGAGGCTGATGGTTTGGTGAAGGTGAAGTTAGCTGACAGCAATTATTTACTGTCAGTTTCCAGATGAAGCAGAATAGAAATCCATTAGGTGATACTTCTCAGGATATTGAAAATTCCGCGTAACTTTACCTTTTGCGTTGCTCGACCTAGCTAGCTAGTGTCAGTATAGTCCAGCCTTGATGGAGCTTCTTAGCGTTCTCCTGCTATGTTCACATCGATCTTGTTCTTAGAGAATGGATGTCTATTTATCGATCCTTAAAATGGGTGTTCGAATTTGATTTACTCGTGAAGTCATCTACTTTTCCGGGGACTTAATTTCTACCAGTCCAACATTCTAGGATTCTGGGGAGATGGAACAAGTGGATGGTTGGAGGAGAAATTCTGAGTGGCTTCGAACTCAAGCCGAGAATTGAACTTGAGTGGGGTTGATCTCGTTGACTGCTCGGCTTTGAACTCGAACATTGAGCAGACGAGAGGCAACTTCAAAGATTGTTTGGCCGCATAACTTTGTTTCTTTTGTTTCCTCGAACGTATTATATCATTACATCTTCCTGTCGTTCATTTCGCCTCGACTGCATCTCTACGCAGAAGAAATCGTGACTGTAAAAGGAGCAATTTGGTCGCAAAAAAAGCCAACCTGCCCATTCCCTCCAGCATGGCAGTAAACAGGAACATGATCAGCCTCCCCGTACAATCCGAATCTTTTTTTCATTAGCATTTCATTCTATCGCCCATAGTCATTCTCAAAACTTACGCAATACCAAGCTCCTTGTACAGCCTCAAGCCGTAGACACTGTGGCTTCCATTAACCGCAAATCGGTATTTGCTGTTGCCGCATAGAGCAACTGAGTAGTTGACCAAGGCCGAGCCGTTTGCTGAACATGTGACATTGGCGGGTTGGAGAGTCAATTCGGCGGCCTGAATACCGTCATTGTCCCTAATGGTGAGGTTCTCGACAGTGACGGTTTCGTTGGATGCTGCTGCGAAGGCTGCGAAGACAGCTAGAGCGGCGATGGTAGAGAAACGCATTTTGAAGGTTGATGTTGGTGGTGGGTTTAGTTGAGGCTGAGACGGAGGAGTGTTGATTGGCCGTTGTTTGGTGGGACGATGAGTGAGTGGTGTTGAAGTTGATGAGGTGAAAACGAACGGCTGGGCATCTCAGTATACTTAACTTTTCCGTCTTCAGGTCCAGAGATTTCTTCGCGGATATATCCGTTCCAATGCTCGAGCGCCGGTTATTGCCTGTTTTCAGTACCAATCTCCCCTCGAACGTTCCCTGTCCCGGTATGAAATAGATTGTCACCTTCTACTTCGCGCTAGCATTTCGTTCAGGAGTGAGGAACTTCGCAGCCTCACATCTCCACAATCACGAAGCGGACGTCATGGGAAAAGGCGAAGTGTTCTCTACGTGGTCTGAAAATATGTGGGAAAACCTCGGGAGGTGAGATGTTATGCAGCCCTGGCAACCCCTTTAACCGTAATATCTCTGCAATCTTAAACCTTCATTTGAAGGTATAATGCTGCCAAGTCTCGTATCGCGCAAATTAATTTGCTGGAGTCCACTTTGTAGCGAGAGTGGAAAGAATAATCGGTTGTGGTTTCTATAAATAAGTGAATTCTCTGAATTCTCGATGGAGCTCTTCTAGAAGCCCCATAAATTGATCTCATTACTGCGCTCGGGATCTCCAAGATCTTCAACCGAATCTACTGCCCCTTCTTAGGCTCTTCCCGGGCTCAGCGGGTGCCCATAATTCATGAGGTTTGCCGTTTCATAGTTTTGATACCATGTGCTATTGGCGGTGCTTAATTATCTTTTCTCCATTCTCTCCATTCTAGCATTCGATATAAGAATTTCTGCTGTCAATCAAAATTTGCAGTCATGGACCTCTATGAAGTGAGCAATTTCAGAGGGTTTCCAATGGTGCTATTGGTCATTGAAGCGGAGACCTTCCAAACATGTCTCCTCAGAGACATCTCCTCTAACTTTGACACCAACAATCCATTGACAACAAAAGTTCTGGTAATTTTGATATCGAGTTAAAATGAACTGGGTTTCCAGAACAAACCAAAATTTTCATGCCAATGCCCATGCTGCTTTTTCTGTGCGCTTTCGAGATAGGAATCCTTCGAAATCCTTCTCACGTTCACGATCGTATGCAGCCTTGCTAGCCTGGGCTACTGTTTGTCGAGTTCTCTCCTTGCAACATCCTCAATAGCTTGTAGCTGATGAGAAGTAAGGTGAAGTGAATCCCCAATGCCTTCAGATAGTGCAAGATGTGAGTTCAATGGACCCTAAGAGACTGAGTCGCGAGTCCAAGGCATTAGATGACTCCATAACGGTTCCATCATCGTATAGAAGGTAGTGTAGAAAAGACAACTGAAGGTTGCTTCAAGGCCAAGAAACAGGAGTCGTGCTGCGGAAGTTCACTAATTTAACATGCAGAGCACAATAAAAAGCAAGAAAGTCAACATGTCTGCTTGGATCACGTGGGTCTTCTCTCTTGTGAGGTCCTGTACTATTTCATCTTGGTGAGAACAGACGAATTCATGCCAATTCTAGCAGCCAGTAACCAGATTCAGAAAGGCTATCAAGATTGTTTGCAACGACTTTACTTCACCTTCTCACTTGGGAAAACCTTCTTCCTACTTAACTAGTGGGGGAAATTTTATTATGTGACCAGCTGCCTCAGACTTCTCGAGTCATTATCTTCCTATACCACCTAACTAATTTGCTCTAGCTTAATGGATCCCAGTCACTAACTTCATGTTTCATGGGGTTGACGAGTTGCAATATCTGCTTTCTATATCTCCTTAGAGGTTGTTGTGTCGCACGTGACCTCTTTGCGCGGCACCCTGTATCTTCGTTCTCTCTCGAGCTCCCCGCCCCTTCTTCCCCCTTTAGACGTACATACACACCCAATACAGCTGTTTTCCACTGAGAACACCAGCTACGGGTCGTGATAGAGGTGTTCTGACAACCCCCCTTGAACCTTGACAGCAACAAAGCATTGACAACAAAAGCTTCAAAGTTTGAATTTGGCATCAAGTAAAAAGAGCCAGAGTCCCAGACTCCCAGGCAGTTCCTCGCATAGAAGTTCACTGACCGAACTTACACAGCACAGTAGAAAAACAAGAAAAGTAGATATAATGCGTACTCTGTGGAAAGATACATTCTGCTAGGTTGTTGAGAACTTTAGTGCTGATTAGTCTCATGGAGAGAACGGACGGATTTATACCTCTCCTAACCAGGCCTAGCTAGTGGACGAAGCTTTGTGTAACTATTCACTTCATCTCTCCCCTGGGGAACACCTTCCTTCGGGCAAGAGGTACCGTGACCACAATCCAATGTTACATTTTCCCCGAGACTTCTGGAACATCTCACACGAGGCAGCCAGATCTGCTAATAGCTTTTGTATTTGCGATAACAGTACTCCATGCTCTCGGAGCAGTCGAGGCCTCCACATATCGGAATTGCACCCAGGTTTTCAAGCAGCAAGTATCACCTGACCGAGAATACGAAGTGGGGCTTAGAGATGGGTCTGAGTATTACACTAAAGGAATGAAGGAGACTTCTCAACCCGAATTCTGGATTTTGGGGAAATCAGAGCCTCATCAAGGGCAGCGTCCGTGAAACGGTGAAGTGATGGGTGGGGCTTTTCAGGGGTCAGGGGCTGTAAGCGAAGCCAAATTTAGCTACCAAGAATCATCTTCAAACTCCAAGCACCAAGTTTCATGTTTTCACCATACATGAAATCGGATTGTGGAATCGTTCGAATTTTATTCTTGTGGGACTTCTTGGAAAGGGGAAGGCATGAAATGTGTGTCGATCGGTTTCGATCAACAGGAAATTCGTGGACAAGATCGCCATAACTTACCATGATATTGACGGATTCAAGTGAAGCGCTGAAAATGGGGAAAGATGTGAAAAGAGACAAAAAAATTAAACTTGGCTGTTCTCGCTTCTTCATATCTATGCTATCCTTAGTAGCACTGATATACTTGTCGTCCAAACAATCTCATCTCCGGCTTCACCGCAATCGAGGTTGGGTTGTCGCAGCCAAGCATCTGCCACCCAGCTGCCAAGAATTTTTTCTAGGATGAAAGAACACTATTCCTAATTACCTCAACTCGTTTCTTCAGCCAAGTGCTGTTTGCTTCTCGAGTCGTCTGATGTTGTTGCCGCCGAGATAATTGGTAGTTTGGCCAAACTCACGATATTTCGTTCCGACTCGGATGGGATGACGCCTTCATGTCTCATCAGAACCTATGAACTGTTTGATCTTAGGAGGCCTTGAACCTATAAGATATCCTTGAGAAACACGTTTGTATTATTCCTTCTACAGCTCATTCGATCAATAATCTTTCGGTCTTTTCAATCTTCACTCACTTCTTCATCGCAGCTGTGCTGTTCACTTCACTTCTTTCTTCCCACCTTTTTGTTCATTCCTTCAATAGAAGCAATCCACTCATTTGAATCTTTATCTTTTATCACAATCATGAAATTCTCATCTGCCCTCGTTGGTACCTTCGCGGTTCTTGCTATCGCAGCTCCAGCACCACACCAAAAGCGTGCTGGTGTCCTTGCCACCAAGACTTACGATGAGTATGCATCTCCTCTTCGCTTCTAAGACCACCACATACTAATTTTCCTGATCCAGGATCTCCATCTCAGGCGGCGTCACCGGCAACGCTAAGCAAGAAGCCCTCGACGTCTTCTCCGCCTTGGACCTAACCAATATGGCCGCCGTCGACCTCGCCGATATCGACTTCCTCGGTTCCGTAAACGACATCGGCAATGATGCTGAAGTAGGTGCCTTTAATCCTGCCATTTCTGCCGCATCAGGAGCCGAGAAGACCGCTTTGCAGAACGGCAAGATAAAGAACAAGGTGTTGAAGTTGCAGGCGACGGTCTTAGAGCTGCAGATCAAGGCTGCGCAAGGAGAGGATACGGCTGAAAAGTTGGCGGCGGAGACGAAGAAGTTGAATAATAATATTGCATTGGATGTTAAGGCTGCGGGGCAGGCAAGCACGAAGTTGGCGTTTGATGCTACCACCACGTAGGGAATGAGCTGGAGAAGGCGGTCTCTTCATATCCTCCAGTCTAGAGGCTTGAGGCGCCTGATAGCATTGGACAAAAGTTTAGAAGTGAGTCGGAATAGAACTTGCGGACTCTTCCTCAAAATTATTCGAGGCCACAGTGGCTACTCAAAGATTTCACGCTATTCCATTTGCTGTCAACTTCAACGCCTCCGCCAAATTTCATCTTTTAGTATTGCCATCTACAGATTGACTTGAAGCCGGTGGATCTATTGTCTGAATGATAGCTTGTGCCTGTGAAACTTAGGGAGCAATATTCTCAAGAAAATTAGTTGCTGTTAAGGATGCACAAAGTCAGTATCCTCATTACCACTTGAACTCCATGTCGGGAGATTGCCAGGCTTGGCTCTTGTATTTATAGATACGCAGGGGAAAAGCAAGAACGTGACCAGCCTTTCTGACTCGCGACGATACCACACTCAACTATAATTTAGTTCTTCACTGTTCTTTCCTTCTTTGTTAGTGTCGTTTATATCTCGCCGATGTTATTTCGTTCTCTGCGGATATAGTTAGTTATTCGCAAACTCCTGTTGGTTCTTCGGAGATGTATATAAGTTAGTGAGTCTCTCTCACTGGCTCCTAGACGACTCTAAGACAAGTTCGAGACTAGCTGTTTATAGCAGATTAGGTTTAGCAAGCCTGGTTCTATGAGTAAGTGCAACATATCTCTTTCTGTGGCTGGCTCGCGATCCCCATTCCCTTGTCTGATATCTGGCTCGGCCCTGCTTTCACGCCCCTTCACCTTATTCTAACCTTCTTTTATTGTCACGTGTGTAGCTATTGTCACTTTCGCCCGCTAGGATGTAATAAGAACAAGTGAGTCGTGACTTTTATTATCATTATCGGTATTTGTCTTTCATAAAACGGCAAGGCTCCACAGTGTAGGAATGGCATTGAAGTTCAAACCTATTGTTGCTGTTCATGGACCCATGGGGTAGGGGATGTCAGTTTATACAAAGGTGCTTCAAAGAGGATTAGAATCCCCTTCAGGGGGAGCGAAATTGAAATTATGTTCAAACAAACAAGTATAAATGATTAGAGACTCAAGCTTCCCACTCAGGTTCAGGGAGCCATATCTCCACAACGAGGAAACAGATATCACATGACACTCCTCTATTTCTCCGTCGACACCAAAAGCTCAGGGTTCTCCTCACTATCATAGAATTTTGAGATCCCACGCTCAACAGCCGGTCTTGCGGCAACCCTAGCAATCCATCCCAACAAGTGTGGAAAGCTCGCCATTTCCTCATCAGAGATCCGGGTGCGCTTCCAAGCCCGAAGCCATGGCCAAGCGCCAATGTCAGCAATGCTATATTTTCCCTTTCCATCTCCAGCGAGGAAGTCTCGTGGACCAGCTGTATACCGCCCAGAAAGACGGAGTTCGAGAACGCCGTACATTTCAAGAGTCTTGGCGCTGAAGCGCGAGATGGCGACTGGGTTTTGTTCTGCTGGTTAGAAAAAATTCCACAAGCTCGACTATGATATCATGGACGAAAATAGTTTGAGTTCATCAGAGAGTGAGGTTTGAGCACAACTCACATGGAAGTTTCTCGGGCGCACTCCTGCTGAAGTAGTTATTCTGTGACTGCATTGGCTGGCCCGCAGCCCAGAAAAATAGCCATTGCACTGCCTCGCTCTGCTCAACTTTGTTATCGAATCCAAAAACGTTGTCTTTGTCTACAGTTTCTTGTAGATAGAGGAGCTCTGCTAAGGATTCCATGACCACGAATGGTGGGGTTTGCGTGTTGTCGATGAGGATCGGGATCCGCGCTGGAAAGTAGTCAAAACACCTCAAACAATTGTCCGCAGACAAGGAGATAAGGCGTACGAGTGGGTGTACCATTTGGATTGAGACGCAAGAACCAATCTTTGTTCTGCTCAGGATTCGGGGCGTCAAGATTGAGCAGGCTTGTTGTCCAGGAAGTCCCGTAAACATCCTTGAGTTCCTCGAGCAAAATTTGAACTTTCTTCCCATTCGGTGTTTGTTCAGTGATCAAGTGAAGTCCCTGTATCCACTTAATTTCGAATACTCAATTTAACATTCATTCACAATTCAAGACACTTACCTTGGCTTCCTTTACTGCTGTTGGCGTCTCATTAGTGTAGAGTGTGGTCATGATTGAAGTTAAAATACTGGTAAGATACCTTTTGAAAGCTGGATGGACTTTGAGGAGGAAGAAGATCCAGATCAGAGAAAGACCCTGTGCTGATGAAGAAGATCGTCCTGTTTCCTGCTCGGTTGCTGCTGATTATACAGTGCATACAGGGTCTTCACCGCCCGTTCTGGTTCCCCGTGGAGCAACGTGGCCTCGGCCAGTGCTGAACCGAAGGAAATCTGCTGTCAACTGTCTCCTCACCGCCAATACCCCTTTCTCGAGTACAGCTTCTGATTTACGTTAATATCCCTCTCTACCCTTTCAAAACTCATGGATCAAGGAAGTGCATTAAGTCACGGGTTTGGCCAGATCCCTTCGCGAGTAGTACATGTAACTTTGTGATAGAGAATAAGGTCCTAACTGTGCTTCACATACCCAGGACCATTTTATAAAAAAACTTGCGGCAAAGCCGAATCCTTGACAATTCGTCAGATGTATAGACACCGGACGACGTACCGACAAAGAGAGAACGACAATTATCTTATCAAATGCAAGAGAAACTGACATGCAATCCTTGTTATACAATGTCCTGCGTCCACCCTCCTCTCTATAATTCCATCGCAGGTTCAGTAATGGTCGAGATATGCTGGTATTGTTTAACTATACGGAAAGGTCCCGTGAACAGGAGGCAGAAGGTCCCTTAGAGGCTATTAACTCCTCAAGTCAGTCGATATTTCTTGAAGCAAGAAGATTGTTCGAGATAAAAGATCAAACTTCTGAGCGCATTATTCATGTTCTCTAGCATTTTCCCGTTATGATAAAATAATGGTGTCCATAAACTTCCTCAATGGTATTTGAGACTGGATCACTTATAGACATAGACATAAGCATCTCGTCAAGTTCATTGTCTACCATTACTCTATGTCTCTGAAGAGCTGACTACGCTTGAAGTCGGCAAAATTTGAGTCGACTCTTTTACTAAAAGTGAAGTGACGTGGCCCAGGCCAAGAGAGCAATGAAGTCGCGACCACGCACTATAAAAACACAGATCTGGGGGAATTATCATGTTCTTCAACCTCAAATAACAGAGAGCTGCCTGCATTAGGGAGCCTTGGTCCATATTCGATGCCCGGGTTAGGTTTTCCGCGGAACCGACCTTTGTGATATGTTTTCCCAATATTCATTATCAAACACCGAGATCCTGAGAGCTGAGTGGCACTTCGAATTCGAAGGTGACTTTATCGTTGTCTACTTTCAACTTGATGTCAATCTTGTCTCCACTCTCACTTATGGCAGGCACTCCTCTCTTCGCGTTGCCAGCCAAGACCAAATATGTCAATAGATAAGTACACATTTTGTGCGCCGGCGGAAGTCGATATTCATGATCAGAAACACCCCCGAAGCACAGGTGGGCCGAAGGCTCTTGACGCAACGTCACAATTGACATGCTTGAAGGAAGATAGATTGTCGGAGGTATCAGCCTTGTAGGAAGCGGAATTGAAAACACGTGACGAACACATGCATCATGATTAGTGATTCCTCAGGCTAAAGCAACACCTCCTGTCACCCACAAACCATCTCTTTTCAATGAATAGAAACGGATCCATCCTCATTATTTTGAGATCTCACTTTGATCGTACGATACTTGCAGGAATTTTCAAGGAGCCGCTAGTATGCCTTCACAACCTCAGCCCATTCACGTCGTGACGGTGGACAGCACCCCTGCCAAGGCTTTGGAAATCCTTGCTGGATTGATCAAAGTATGTGCAATGACAACCTGAGCTTCGGTTCCAGTGACTAACTTTTAAAAGGCAGTTGAGAAAGACTACAATCTCGTACACGTCGCAAATTGCGAAGGTGAGCTTACTCGTCCTTTTCCCAACATAAGCTTATACTCAACCTCTCAGCAATCAAAGACGTCAAGCCAGTTCTGAGTTCCTTGATCATTGGACCCCAAGTTCTTGTAGAACCCTTTCTCATCATTCTTCACCTCGAAAATGAGGCTGACCGTGTGAAGATCTGCTCCAGTAAATTATTCGACGATGAGGAAGAAGAAATCCGAGAGATCGCTCAGAGACTACTGCCAGATATCAAATTAATTATGGTTCCTCATGACCTGCATGCAACAGGCGGTGGAAATGCGATTGCTGAGTTCTTAGTGGAGCAGGTTACTGAGTCAAGACTTCCGACGAGAGATTGAATAGGTGGGAATTAATTGTGAAGAACAGGAAGCAGTGGGAAAGAGAGATAGAACGATTTTGAGTCAGGGTCCTTTATAAAAATCTCTCAACGCTCTCAGAATAGTGTTTCGAGTAATGTATGTTGCTTGAAAACGTGGTTTCGTTCCAATTCGGCTCTGGCTTCATTTCAACTATGGGTCGTAAAGCTCTGGCATCTAAGCTATAAGAAGCACAGCTTAATCCTGATCCGCAGTAGAGAGCAACTACACCCATTGTTGTTGCACGTCTCCTTGGAGGATAGATTGCTTTACTTACTTCTTGAAGAGAAGAACCTCAATGTCCGGTGAGCTTTTTCAAACAATCACGTGATGCAAACCTGAGAACAGGAAGGGATTTGTAAGCGACTACAAAACAGTTTCGATTTGATTTCCCGGCAGGACTCTGCGCACAGAAGCTGCGATGAGCAACAAAAGTTCGTGATGTATCTGGGCTCAGCTAAGATTGGATAAAGGAGAGAAGGAATCATGTGATGGACGAGGTCTTCTTGAAGTAACCTGGCTCCCCTGCAAAGCTGAAGATGAGGGATTTATTATCACAGAGCCGAAGATCCTCTTTATCCCACCTTTCAACTGGCCGCTTGGTATGAAGAAGAGGGTGTTCTGCTACACCAACACTGGAGGTAAAACACGTGCCGAGTGGCACAAGTGAGGTTTAACCTCCAGCACTGCCACAACGACCTCCCCTCGGCCAGTCTTGGACCACGAAGATGAAACGTTCCATCTTGAAAACGGCGCGGTCATCGGGCCTCACCACCGACCAGCCGGACAACGTCCATTGTCCCGCACCAACAGCGAACATGAGGCTTTTGATCACTGGAATCCCCACGCCGTTCGCACCCTTCTGGACCTCCCGGCCACCTCTTTTCGTCCCATGAGCTCAGATGACAGCATGGTGCATGAAAACGTGGAGACATGAACAGTCGAGTATGAGTCAGAGCTTTCTGAAACGGACGATCTTGAAACATTTACAGAGAGAGGGTCCAGTCAAAAGGGCCGACACGACGGTGACTCTTCTAGTTCGCAGCTCTGGGATCTGAGAGGTTATTTTCATATGCAGCGCGTAGCACCCCTGTTGCCGACCCTCGCCTATTCTCGCGTGTTGGGCATCCAGTAAGGGAGCAGAACAGCGCTCTCGCTTACGGGACCTTGACGCGAAAATCTCACGAGCCGCCGAAGCCTGACCTCGTCCTCCTCCCTGCGCAACCGAAAAGTCAAATTTCATCGGCGCTTGAATGTCGGCTGTGCGAGATTGCAGCGCCAATCCGGCGCGGCATTGAGCCTTCTTAATAGCGTCTAGCCCATTGTACGCATATAGAAGCGGCTCTGGGTTTCATGAAGCAGCCGCCCGCGGCCAAAAATACCTAAAGCTGATCTCGGCAGATGACCTGGGCTCCGCGAGGCGAGCGAGGTGACGCGGGCGCCTCGTGAAGCTCCACGCGACACGACCAACACACCCGCCAAAAGTCGCCCTCTCCACGTCGAAAAAGAAGACAGACGCGCTGCATATCGATAGAAGCTAGCGCTGCATTCATCCTAATATCCACGCAAGATTACATGGTTCTAATTATGACTCAGAGACGCTGCATATCAAGTGCAGCCAAAGGCTGCTCGGCAGTGCTGCTGGTGTTCCCGAACTGGCTGCGAGATATGAGCGGCTGCTGAAGGACGAACCATTTTGACTTCTGGCCTCGACCAAGAAACAGCTTCATCCTCATACTGCAGCGATGGCGGAGAATAAGCTCAGTTCTCCGCGTTTCACATCCATTTAGACGGTCCACACCCATGGCCGCCGGGAAGTATTGGGCTGTGCAGCTTCTCATCTTCGACCGAAGATAAGTATCTCCTCCTCGCCTCAGGAATTGTTGGTTTTTGTCCATTCGATAGACCCTCATCTATTGATCCTTCTGTCTCATTATTAGAACGACTATTAGAACGAATTTTCTTACCTGCCTTCTTCCTTCTGTCATAGCAATTGGAGCTGGCCTCCTCCCTATATCTTAATTGATAGTGTCTAATAGACACCAGCCCCCCACCACACCACCTTCCTGCGTAAGTTGGTGAAGTCCATTCATCACCATCAGCATGGCTAACATGTTACTTCCTCAGTCTGGCAGCAGACAAGATGTCTTTCGACTACTCATTCTCGTTTGGGCCAACCACCCCGCCGTCCTTCTCCTTCGAGGAAGCTCTCAATGATGCCTCCTTCACTGTCGGGCACACCCGATCAAGCTCACACGCTTCCTCACTGTACTCCCAAGAGTCGTCACCTGACTCCGTCAACACTCAATTGACCACTCCGGCCAGGTCTCCCATCCGCCAACATGGGCCATTGCTGCTACCAAAGATCCGTCCTCAGGATCAGGAGATCCATTCTCCTCCCAAGAGATCTAAGAAGACTCCCATGAAGACAAACACCAATCCTTCCAACGCCGTCTTCAGACCATCACATCAGAGAAGCTACACCAACCCCGAGTCCATCTCTTTCTTGCCACAGCAAGATAACATCCCATCACACACCCGTTCAATGTCTACGTTGTGCTCTCCAATCTCCTTTACCCAACAACCCAACAACGAGAGACGAGCATCAAGTGTCGGTCTCGACAGCCAAAGCCTGGGCAAATATGGCTTCCCTACCTACCGCCAGCTTCCCACCTACACTCCTTCAGCCACCAACCCACAGACCGAGACCTTCATGGCGCAGAACTTCTACCACACTCCTCAACGTACGCCTTCACCACTTCACCAGAACCTTCTCTTGGACGACATGGCCGTCGGTCCCATCGACGACGGCACGACCACAACCCTAATGGCCTATCTAACCTCCCCCAACCCAGCCCCAGCGCTAGTCCGACAACTCAACATCCACGTCCGCGACACAAACACCAAGCACTTCTGGTGGGACATCCGGCAAATCCGTCCCTGGACAACCTTCACTCCAACAACTATAAACTCAATCCCGGGCCTCCAAGCCCTCCTCTCCATCGCCCTTCCAACCCTAACCTTCCCAACACCACCCCGCACCTCTCTCCAACCCGATACCGAAACCGAGCTCCAAAGCATCTACACCTCCTTCTACGCTACCAAGCTAAACGCTGCGCTATCGCTATCGCTCGGGCCAAGACATCTCGTCATGCGCCCCTCAAAAGGCAGCGCCGACGCCTCATTCGTCTCAAACTACACAGACGACACGTCCCAAATGATCTACGGGCGAGGTCTCGGCCGCGTCGTCGGGCTGGTCAAGTCTTTTGATCGATGGAACACGGGCATGCGCGTCGAAGGCAACCACCGGAAAGTCGAGTACCTGCGGGGCCTCGCGCACCTGCACCGCCACATGCGGGAACACGGCTGTCGGTATGGGTTCATCATCACGGAGATCGAGCTTGTCGTTGTGCGCAATGGCGGCGAGACCGTTCCCCATTTCGGGTACTTGGAGATCCAGACGATCCAACTCGCTACGCACGATTCTCAGACTTGCACGTTTGAAGAAGTCGAGGGTTCTTTTGTAGATGCAGGGGAAGAGAATGTGGTGGAGAGGAAGCAGAAGATGACTGCGTTGTTGGCGTTGTGGTATTTGCATATGCTGGCGAGAGATGATGTGTTGCCTGGACAAGTTGGCTGGAGGAGCGAGATTGGAGCGCCGGCGGAGGGAACCAGGAGGAAGTGTTTGCCGAAGGATGAGTGGATTCCAGAGCCGCAGTTGGCGGAGAAGAGGGAGGCGAAGAGAGCTAGAGGATGGGTGTGGCCTGAGGAGGCGGTTGGACGAAAAGAGCTTGGGAAGAGGGGAGTCAGATACAATTGTTAGATGTGGCTGCTGCTGGTCAGCTGCCACGGTGGTTGGCCGGTTATGATGTGATGAATGAACGGATGGTGGGCGGGCTCGTGTTGGAGATATGATTTATTTGCTTATAATAATTCAATGGATTGACCAAAACATGTTGCTTCTCTCGATTCGTAAACCGGGTTGGTGGGATTTGTTTCGATTTAGGGGCATGTTTTTATTTTGCTCCTCACGTGTCTTCACGTGCACGGCCTGGCGCTTTCCTGTAGGCCTTATATATTGAAATAAGCAATTTTGTCAATAAGAAGTCTCTAGTCGTAAGCTTAGCGCAAGTTAAGTTTCTGGACATACATAGTATGTGCCCGGCTCTAACTTCTACTGCGGTAGCGAAACTATCTACCAATGTGGTAACTTGAGTAACGGCGTGTGAGGATGAGATGCTCTGCCACAAGTAAACCAAGCGAAAGCTGAGTTTCTTGGTCCAAAAGGATTTCTTTTGCTTCTTAAACCTTTGGAAGCCTGGAAGTAGGCCATGCATGCTTTGGTGGGTGCGAATTTTATTTTTGCATAATTTTTTGAGCGAGCTCGCTTCAATCTTTCCGCCGCTTCTTACTACTGCTCAAAGCTCACCAACCCGATAAACCAACTTCACACCACTAGCCCTCCCCTCCTTCAACATCTGCATGCCCCCCAAAGTCCCCTCTAAACCGCCTTCCATAATTTTCGCCGGATGCGCCTTCGCCCTCCCCTCTTCGACCAACCCCTCAGCCAACCTTATCATCCTCTTCGCCAACTCCCAATCCTCAGGCACAACTTCCCACCGTTCCCCTTCAATCTCGAACGCCTCGCCCGTAGCCGTGTATCCGAGCAAAAATACGTTTTTGACCTCTGATTCCGGGCGCGGGAACGGGATGTCCATTAGGTTGACGTAAATTGACTGCTTTGGGGTTGAAGTTGAGTGTGAGGAGGATAGGGCTTGGGCGCAGATTTCCGCGGACGAGGGAGTGGCGATCGTGTCGAGGACTATGGTAAGGGTTATTTTGGGTGAGGGCATTGAGTTTAGAGCCACACGAGGGGTCGCGCTGGGGGCTTGTTAGGAGGGTTGTGTTCATACGACGGTTAAAGACGAACATAATCGATCACGTGATTTGCTCCTAGGCTCTTGAGGAGGGAGAAATTGTGCGCGGAGGAGGTGGTGAGGACTTGTAATCCAGATCTAATGTTTTATTTACATCAATATTGATTCTTGATCAGGAGTTTGAAGAGAATTGGGAGTATGGAGGTTGTGGAACGAACAGTTTCGCAAACTGGATGGCGAGCGTGCCGGTCGCTGTGCTGCCGCCGTAAATCAAAATCGCCCGCCCGTCTTTCTTCTCTTCCTGGTTGATGGGAAAATCAGGGAGTGGTAGGGAGAGATGCTTGTATAAAGCCAGTGCTACGGTTGCGAGACCGCAGGGGAGCGTGGCTGCTTCCTCGAAGGAGAGGTTCGGCGGGATATGCATTGCTATGTCGCCTTTCACAAGGATGTACGATGCGAAGGTGCCGTCTTGGGGCTCAAGATCGTTTCCTATTTACCATTAGCTTCAATTCTCCAATGAAATCTTTTGCCTTTTCATTTTAGATGTGAGCTTTGGAGATGAGAGGAGTACCTCCGTGTGCCATCCCCGCGATCCTATCCCCAACCTTGAAATCCTTCGTCACCTTACTCCCGACTTCAACAACGATTCCAGCAGCCTATTTAACGGGGGAATGAGCAATTTCTTGATACAGATTCCCTCACGAAACAGGTCAGGAAACAAGAAAGAAGGCACTCCCTAGCGGGCCACTACTTACATCGCACCCAAGAAGGGTATACGGCGTCCCATCCTTCAGCGCCTCATCGACAGTCTGCCAGTCTGTGGGATTCAGAGCTACAGCTATGGTGCGGACGAGGATATACTCCGGTCTTAGCGCTGGGATCGGAATTTCAGCAAGGGAGGCATGATATTGCGCTGTTTTTATGATGCCGCGATTTTCTAGGGTGGCCATTGTTGAGACGTTGCTAATCCTTTGAGCTAGAGGGAGAGGAGGAGAGAGGAGACATGGTGCGGGTTTTATAGAATTATGGGAGTTCAACTTGGTGTTTCATTGTGACTGTATGTACCTGGATTGCGGGGTGATTGAGGTGGATGGAGGTGCTGACTGATGTCTGTATTTCTAAGCAGTGCTTTTTAGACGCGCTTGTCTATGAGCCGGCCGATGATTCCAACCTTATCGAAGGTTTCATCATGAATTCCGTGATTTTTGGCATGATTTTTGGCATGATTATCGTCATCTTTAGGGTTGCACATGGGGGGCGACTCGTCAAGGAAGACTGTGGGAGGTCGAGAAGCCGGCGATGGAACGCCGTGTCTCATTTCGGAGTTAATCTCCTCAACCAACCTCAAGCTTCGTTTTTCGTTCTTCGCTTTCACCTTCAGTTCAAATTTCGAGCGAAGAGAGGCGGATGCACGCATTAACGCACTCGATTTTGTGCAATGTGAAGGCCATGTGATGGGCATTATCGTCTCCACTGATGCCAATGATCCAACCTCCTCACCGCCTCCTACAACATCCCTCAAGCACGAATTCTCATTCCAACGGAGTGCGAAATTATGCGATTGAACATCGAGAAAGCCAACACCACGTCTCTTAGATCCCATAATTAATGGGCGAAGCGGCATTGGCCATGCTTAGTACGGAGGTTGTGAAGGTAAAATTTTACATCCATGATGCTAGGATCGAGCAGAAGGAAAGGTGATCGAGCTTTGATTTGAGGAGGCTTGTTTGCATTGATATCTATCTACAGGTATGTTCTGAACATCACAGAATGTACCTCCAGGCCCACGTGCAATTTAGCCAAGCTTGTTCGAATTGAGAGTTGAAGTCTCGCCAGCCTTCTCTCCCTCAAATACTCCTACGATGTATGGCACATTCAGTCCAAGTCCATCTCAAATGTTGTCACGAACTGCAGAACATAAACCACACAAGACAGCTTCTCCATCTGCATTTCAGCGCGTCTCTCCAAAACTAAATTTGGCCCGTTTGGGATGAGAGGACTGCTATGCGTGAAGGAGTTGTGTCCAAGTCAGTAAAGGTCAAAGTTGAATGGAGCACTCAAGCATACCTTGCATCTGAACAGAGGTGGGCAATGTTGGTTCTTACGCCTCTGCGTCATTGATATTGTCGAGCGATTGGTGAAGCGGGGGGCAGACAGAAAACCCCGTTCGAAATTGGACCTGTATCTCGCACCCGGTCAGTTCGATCTGTTGAACTGAGTAAGACCACACAATCCTCCCCTCTCTGCGTCCAGCATCACGGGTCCGTTCCAAAATCTCAACAGAGGCATAAACTGAATCCGAAGAAACAGGTATCAGCACCAACTGTGGTATCGCCTGGACCGAAATCCAACTACAGCAGGGGTCAGGGAACATGCTGCCCACGGTGCCATCTCAAAGGATGATGATTGATCATTTTGGAACTTTCCACATACACTGCCGCTAGCCCTAAACCAAAGGAAGACTCCCCCCAGCCAAAGCAGGCGGGTTTACGATCCCAAGTGATTCATAGGAGTCTTGCATGCCTTGGCAGTCATCGCATGGAGAGTACCTTACCCCATGCTACACGGCAAAGTGGTCCCCTTGTACCACTCTTTCGCAGACAGTGTGTGTTGTGACAGGCCCGCCTGCGCATCGAGGAAGTGGATGTGCCGAGCCGTGCCGGGTCTTACCTGATGTGTCAATCCCACTGGAGTGATTGTTCTGATTCCGACCATGCTCTGCTTCGGTCTGAACTCCCCACCGGCTGGTTGTGAACTCAGACCCTGGAGAATGACAGTTAGGCTCCAAGCGGGAACTCTTGCTTACCTTGAGTACCCCTTTGCTGTGGAACTGCATGCGAAAGTGTTTGAAGCCAAGTGGACCAGTTGCGATCCTGAAGGTTGTCGAAGTGAAGGTGGAGAGTGTCCAAGTTGCCGTGGAACATTCTATGCAATGACCGAAGTCAAGTGAATCAATCGAGTGGCCGATAACTACAAGTGCTAAGAGATCAGCAAGTGAAACTTGGACAGGATGTTTTGTTTGGACGAAAGAAAGGGGTGCTAAAGCCAGCACTTGCTAATGAGAATGGGATGAGAACACATGAAGGGTATGGTAGAGCATATCGATGACCACAAGTAGGCAACATGCCTGAAGGGCAATGATGAAGAGTGAAGACGTGTTGCTTCACTTGAACTTGAACAATGGCAATCGTATGGTGAGGCACAATGAAGAAGGCTAGCACCTTAGGCGCAACTCAAACTCTTCTCAACTCGAGGAAGGCGCTACATCCGGGCTCTTTCCAGCTCAAAGTCAAATCGAAAGCATGATCTCATAGCGTGTTGAGACCAATAAACAAATGCGAACGGGCCACCTGAGCGCGTTGCAGCGATGAAAATGCAGAAGAGATGCAAAGATCAAAGGAATGCGCAAAAGGTCAGAGGAAAGCAGATTGTTTTTCGCAGCTTGCGAGTTCGAGTGATTGATTGATTGAGAGAGGCTTCTCTTGATGCCACCATGCAGTGGCGTTGTGTCGTTGATGACTTCTTCCACGGGAAGCTTTCGCTGTTGCTGTCACGATAGCCTCAGCGACGACAAGGCCGCAAGTCGCGACCAGACGAAAACGAAAGCTCAATGGGGATGAATTACTAACCTTTCCTTATATCCTCTGATCCATCGCATGCATGTCGATGCTGTTGTTGCGTTGTGGTGGGCGGAGATGAAAAGTACTGGTGGCAGGTTTTGAGAGGTAAGAAGGATGGAGAGAAAAGAGGAAAGGTGGACGAAGGGTCCTTTAAGTAGGCGTTGCGCTTCTGGCTCATAGGCTCGCCGGACATTGAGAGTTTGCTGGGAAGCAGGCTAGCAGGGCTGTGTGTTGAAAAAATGACGATGGCTTGGCGTGGTGTTGTCGTCAGCGACAGCGAACAGAGTGGTGCTCATGATGTTGAGAAGACCTGCGAAACAACACCATTTCTCGTCCCGCGGAACAAGAACGAGATGTGGATTATTGCCCGGCCATTTCTAAAAGCTATTAACGAAGAATAACTCGAATATTATACTCTTTACATTTGATTGGGATGAAAAGGGGTTGTTTACTTTCTACCGTTTTCAGCGCCTTCCTCACATCCCACGGCAGCACAGCAGAGGATGAACGCTGGGGCCGGACGAAATTTGCGGGCCATGCGCAATTATAGAGGAAACTGATAGATTGTGGTTGAAGAGGTTAATGATCTGTTGGCAGATTTCGACCGAGCCTTACCTGAAGATTCAGCACACTGATTTTCGGCCCTACGAGCATTGCCGCTAATCTTCCGTGCCAGTCTTCTCCAATCTAAATGCACCCACTTGAGCAATGGCAGCGTCGGTCCTGCTCGACCAGAAAAACCAATTGTGCCCGAGTTGGGAGACGTCAGCGGGAGGACCCGAGTGTGCCAGAACTCGGGAATGCATTCAAAAGAGCCGAGACCATATCGTGCATGTCACGGCTCGTTAGAGGGGACTGTTGGGTGTTTGTTTTGAGAATCGTGGTATATTGGCTAGAGCGATTGGCGGCACGGACTACCACATCAATGAGAAGTGTTGTACCGGGGGGGGGGGGGAGGAATCACGATTTTTGACTTCGAATTAATTACTTCTATTGGACATATACGTTTCTCATCATCATCCCGCCGTGATCAACCGGCCAATTTCCAGTACGGTCGATCATCTCAACTCCGATCCCAATGCAAAGTCCGTCTACCCGTTGAATCCACGTCCAGTTTAGCGCTTCTATCAAAGTAATCTCAGAACCCTTTCTTATCCTACGAATCCCTATGCTGTCGCCTTGTCCTGAAGTAGTCATAAGACATCGGATCCGCGTCCTCTTCATGCTGAGGCAAACCACCGTATCCTTGTGGGCCGCCGCCCAAGAAGCCAGGGGCTCTTCTCTCTAGACTTTGCTCTCTCGTTCGGTTTACCATTATAGGAGGAGAGGCGAGAGGCATATCTGCTGCGTCATGAACCAGTCCTATCTGGCTATCATTTCTGTGGCCATAAATCGGATTGTGGTGTCCGCCCACTCCAATATCGCCTTGCGCATCGTATGACACTGTCGAAGCACCTGTATAATCCCGCTTGGGGGTGGGGTGGTGCATGACAGGTGTTCCAGGTCTTGAATCAGAACCCCAAACAGAAGAGCTCCCAGGCGTATCAGTTCTGATAATATCTTCTGCTCTACCATAAATACCTCCGCTCCCACCATGTTCATCTCCAAACTCTTGTCGGCCTTTGTAATACTCGAAATCAAGACGATTCTCAGGCACGATCTCGAATCCAGGGACACCCAGTGCTGTTTTTGGTTGGCCTGGACGACCTTCTTGCATGAGATTCAATGCAAATGTATCTGAATATCCAGAAACAGATCCGGACTCACCAGAACCTGGAATGTTGCTATCTGTCAGACGGCCACCGTAAACAGATGCTAAAATGTTTTGTGCGCTGGCATGCACCATGGGAGTGATCAATGGTCGGTAAAGCGCAGGGTGACCAAATCGAGATGCGAGCCTGTCCCGCTTTCCATCGAAAATCTTGGTGCGGCTTGCCTCATGGTCTTTCATACCAGCCCTGGTCATATAATAGTGAATCTTGTCGTCGAAGGTAGTCTTGCAGTACCATTTGAAGGCGAGCATCAAAAATGGCAGCGGGATTACCGCATAGGCTTCCATGTGACCACCGTCTCCATGCACCCAAACGGCAAGAAACACTACTAGGTTTGACAAGATAGCCGCAAAGATCATTCTGTTGTAAAACATGCGCCAGAACATGCCGCCAGACTCGGTCTTCGTGATGAAGATGTAGAGGATTAAGTATTTCTTCAGATAAACGTCGAGCGCGAAATACAACGCGCAGGCTGGAAGGACCAAAGGCTGAAGAGTTGCATAGCACAGGGCAACAGTCGTGTAGAACAGAAAGTAATTATAGTAACTGGCGTAATCGAAAGCAGGCGGTGCCGTGAGCTCAATCATTTCCCGAGGAGTTGGATGGGACCATTTTCGAGCACAGAAACTGTACACCAAAGTCCATAATTGAGCCAAATCGATCGCAGCTCCCAGGTTTCTTTGAAGTAACCAAGTGATCCAGAAGGTTGAGATATCGCAAAGCGATATGAATAGGGACTCGGCAAAATCCGCAGATTTAATGGCAGCCCAAGCTTCCGTTCCGTTTGCTGTCTGTTTAATGACACTGGTGACAAATGTCCAGATGGTACTGAATACCGAGAACACAATCAAAAAGTTGAAGACAAAGAAGGTGTAGAGTTTGCCCGCCACATGACGCTCGCGGGCAGTCTTCGTTGTATCTCCAGCCCTGATCGCCAAACGTCGAAAAATAATTGGCAGAATCAGGTACACCAATGAAGTGAGAGCCGGAGAGAGAACACCTTGAACGATTGACCACCAGCTTGTGTGAGCAGCAAGTGAATCATTGAAACCATGCCAAACAAGACCAAGATTCGCCAAATTGACCAAGAAGATGGAGATCATAGCATTTGGCGCAATCCATACGAGAGTCAAGAGCGTAACCCAGAGGTTATTCACAATTCGCCTTGTCCGCCTCTGTGCCTTGCTGAGAGGCATGTTCTTCCAGATGATGTCGTTTGGCCTCGGAGCTAGCACGATGCTGGTGCCTTGGGGATGTTTCTTCTTCGCGGCAAATGCGATGCTATGAGCCTCCTCGATTTGCTCATAGCTCGCAAATCCATACGGCAAGGGGTTTCGCATATCGACCGTTGTGCGGACCTCTTTGATCTCTGTCTCTAACTCCTTTATGCGTTGTGTAAGGTATTCAATGGCATCCAACTTCTGGCCCTTTGGGTAGGAACCCCAATTTGGATCGTCTTTCGAAGGCTTGCATACTGGCCGGCGCGGTGGGAGATTATTGGGGTCCTTCAGATATTTCGCCAGGAATTTCTCGAGATCGCGAACAGTCTGATTGTGTTGTTCGATGAGCTCTGGCAACTCTTTGACGTTTCGAGCTATGGCTGTCCTCGAGAAGGACGATGTTGGCACAACTTCATCAATCAGTCTTCCGATACCCTCGTCAGATCGAGAGTCCTTGGGAATATCGTTTATCTGCCCAAATTAGCAGGCAATCCAGAACGGTGTCCATGGCATCTTACCATCAATGTTCGGGCATGCAGACTAGCTTTGTACTCTGGACTGTCGTAATACTGTCTTCGAAGTCTGAGTACTGCTCTGTAGTTCCACCATAAATATGCAGCCAAGATGATGTTAAACAGCCATGCGCATATCGCCATCCCCCAATTGGCAGATCCGAATGTATTGACAGGCGTGACCATGCTCACTGCATTCGATTGTGAGAACTTCTGACCCTTGGACAAGTTGACCGGTATTAAGATTCCACATCCCAGTACAGTTATCGCCAGGAACATATTCCGGCACATCCTCAAAACTCTCAGAAAGACCGTAGCGTCGAGTCCAATCAGATCCACCAAGTCTTGCTCCTTCGTTTTCAGAACCGGCCCCACCCACGCCAGCATTCCCTTTCCCATCGGTGGAGGGGCATGTTTCTCGTCTGCAATCTTTAATTTCGGTGAATACACGACGGAGTTGTAGGGTCTCAGAAGGGAGAATCCGAGGGCAAGGAGTAAGGTGAAGCCGATCGACGTGCCCAAACTTGCGAAGATGGAAGACTGGGAGAGCTAATTGTCGATTAGACATACTGTGGGTAAATATTACACAGAGACTGACCTGCGATCGATAGGGGTCTGCGAGAAGATCAAGCAGTTTGCCCGCACCGGACTTGCCCTGCTCCTGCCTCTTCACAAAATCGACTGTCGAGATGAAGAGATCCATGGTAAAATAAAATAAAAAGCGAGTGGCTATGACGGGCCAGAGGCCGGACAAGAAAAAGAAAGTTGTTCTGTTATCGAAGTCGAGGGTCTTTAGAGAGAAAAGGGGTCTCTCGTGAAGGGTATTGAGCCTGAAATGGTTCGTTTCTTCGTTGGGTTCTGTCGAAACCGGGTTTGTCTTCCCTTGATTAGATACGGGATTGTAGGGAACAAAGACCGGGGTTGCGAGGAATGTCACACGCTCCTGAACAATCTCGATAAACGGTGCGTTTTCAACAATGTAGATGTAAGAAGGGAAGAAGGAATTGGAAAAGAAGGAAGAGTAACGACAGACGGGAGGGGAAGAGAATTCCTAGGAGAGAGGCCCAGTTGCGCACAGCATAAAAGCCATGGGCTGTCCTTTTGCGGTGGGGTTATGACGGCGATGGATCGCCAGATCGAACTCCTGATAAAGTTTTTCCGGCCGCCCAGGTCGGCTTCCAGAACCACTGCTGATTGGCTGGGAATCACTAGGCGAGGACCGGGTTGAGATTAGTGGCTGCTATTTTCAGCGAGAACCGAGGACCCCTTAACGCCTGCAAAGAACGTTGCATTTTCATGCTGTTGGGTGTTGGGCTGTGGATGGCTGAAGACCCTGGATAAGTTGAGATGAGGCTCGTACTTCGTATACGCGGACTTCTCAAATATACGGCAACAGGTTGGGAATGATGTAGATGTGACCCTGAAAAATGCGTTTCAGCCGAGAAGACCCTTGCACTGGGCTTCCCGATTCGGAAGACTTTGTGGCTGTGAACAAGAAACCATTTGAGCGAACATGAAGGCGACGCGAGGAAACTTTACCTCACAATTAAGGGGCCGTTCACGAAGAGATGAAGTTTTGAATACTTGCACTGGCTTGATTGAAACCCTCCACGCCATCCACGAAGCAGCTCATGAAGCCACCTTGAACAGGTCACTCTCAAAAAGACAGCGAGTAAATGCACGAGCAACCGAGACGAGAAGGTAAGGAATTGGAGACTTGAGAGGGATGGTGGTGAGTTATATGAAAGAGGCAGGATGGAGTGAAGGAAGGAGACAAGGGGGTACCAGCCTTCATATGGCTCTGTGACCGGGAGGTTGCAGACTGCAGGAGTTCGCACGTGATTGTAAACCACTTAAATCGAGTTTTCTGAACTACATTTTGGTATCTTCATTCAGCTGCTGACAAATTTCACGTTCCTCTTACATCATGCCGACATTCCTCCCTCCTATGGTTATCAACTGGTCATGGCAGTACTTCAACGGCTCTACCACTTTCATGAACATATCTTCTCTCCACTTCTCATCGTTTCCTTCCACACCACTGCTTTCCGGGGTATGGTGGAGGCACCAAGTGATTGCATCAGCGTACTCCGGCCCAGCTTCTTCTACAACATCTCGGGACCATTGAATGGCAGCTGTGTAGTTGAATAATTGTAAAATTTGTTCGTCGTTGGTGTTGATATTTTGCCGTAGCTTGTGATCCTCGATCGCCGTCCCGAAACAAAGTTCCAGGAGCATGATGCCAAGATTTCGGATACTGTCTTGAAAGCTGTAGATATCGGCGCTTGTTGCAGTGTTGTTGCTAGGTTGTTGAAGGGACTTGGAAAGAGAGCGAGATATGTAAGGTTGATCAGAGCCGATTTTGGTGGGGTCTTCTGGGTCATATAGGAAGAGAACGTCCCGTTTGCTCCATTTCGACTTGAGCCATGGTGTCGGATGAAGTTGGACATGAGAGGAAGCGAGAATAAGCGCTATCTGGAAACGTTGCCGGCGTGAGAGGCTGATTGGAGAGAACTTGCTCAGAAAAGTGTCGAGTGTGGCATATTTCTGAGGTTCCTTGTTTGCGCAGCAAAGAGGTTCTACAATATATTGTCGGGCTTCGCCCCTCAAACAGCCATACGTTGGAAGATCTGAGGAGCATCCTGCAATTGTTGAGCACAAATTGGTAATTTTTGGGGTTTGAGGATCTTCGTTTTCAACCGGCGTGGGGTTGACAAAGGCTACTTTGGCCTTTGTTGGGGCCGTATTTGGTGCGAGGAGGGAAGTTGGGTTCGTTGTATGTTTAGGTATGATAGTTGTAGAGGGCCCTTTCGAATGTCGAAGTTTGTCCATAAATGACATCCTGGTTGATTTTGCAGAAGGTCTTGGAGATACAATCTAGGTAGTGAGCGAGTCAGTTTCGAGGCCAAACATCAAGGAGAATTGAATTGAAAGGTCGCTTCGTGATGGGCAGAAAACCGCCAATCATTTTCCACTTCCTAGGTCAAGTTGCATCCTGCCTTTCCGAATATTCCTTCCACTTCTCGTAAATTCGAGATGTATCCCTTCGAAAGGCTTGCAAGTTTCAGAACAGTCAAACACCCAGCTCTGAGTCGGCGAGTACCTTTGAACACTGAAAAGAAGAAGAAAAGAAGCTTACCATTTGTTGGGGAGTCTTGCTCGGCGTGAGAACATGGTTGACAACGGGGACTGGTGATTTGGCGTTTTCTGGGACAGGAATCTTTAGGACTTTTGGTATGGAGGTTTCTTCAAGGAGCCTTATGCTTGTGTCTTGCCACGCCCACGGCAATTGGGCTGATGATGGGGTTCCTTTCAAATGCGTTTTGAACCAAAACACTACTCGAAAATTGACCGTCGGCACAACCCGGTGTTGAAGCAGAAGGTTTGCATGGTGGAATGGCTGACATTTGCAAGACCACGCTTCAGTGAGAAGATTGAAAACAGCGTTTCCATGGTTCCAGAATTTCCACAAGGCCGAGCTCAATGCGGTTGAGACTCGAGCACGTCTCAGGCCAGCTAATCGGTCTGAAGAACCGAGGATATCGCGAAGCCGGGAGTTCTGGTCTCCAAAGTCATCAAAGAGTTGTTTCCTGACGTCTTTGTTGAAAGCTAGTCGTATCCTCTGCGAATGATACCCGATGTTCGATGTCACGTGTGCCATAATTGAGAGCTTTTCTACTCGCTAGGTATCGAGACACTATCAGCTCATTTTCCATCTTCAGGTCTTACGGCCGTCGACCATTGTCTCAGAGAAGAGTAGAATAATGGGAAACTCGGAGTCAACTTACGTATGCCCCCGTAATGCTGACGTGACTTTGGAAATGCGTCTTGTCAGTCCCAAGAGCCTCTTCCAGACTATGAATCGTCTCAAACATTGACTCCATTGTGTCCAAATAAGACAAGTAGGTCTTTGGCATTCGCTGCTGGAGCAGCTCCTCCAGCTTGGGGTCCTGCCATTCGGACCCGCCTGTTGGAAGTTAACATCGGCGACTTAACAGTATTAAGCACGCAATCTGGCCAACGGAGACATCTAGACATGGTTGAGGTTGAGGTCTCTTTCCAGCAAAGCATTTGCTCAACCACTCCGTGAGTTTCGAACCCCAGCCATGCTGGAGCAACGAAGATGAGAAATGTACCCAAAATAATGGATACAATCACCATTATCATCCTGCTTCTTCTGAACCCCCATCTCTCCGAGAATCGGCCTAAGTCTCGAGACTCATGCTTGTCTGATGTCTTCAAAATCGCCCATGAAATTGAGCCTACCTGGATTATTGAGAAGTTGTTGTAGCTTGTCCTCATCCACGATCAAGGGGAGCAGCAATTCCTCGAGGTTTTCTTCAAAGGCAACCTTGTGGTACTTCAGATTCCGCATGCATTTCTGGTATTCGCGCTTGATCTTCCACCAGCTTTCAAGTACTTCAGCACTCTCTCGGTAGTGCTCCAACCCCGAGATCATCAATGGGATTGCTGCCAGCACAAAGCCAGCAATTTCCTACGTAAAGTCAACAATGACCATGTCTCGTTGACTCGGACTTCGCTCGTGGAAAGTGGTGATGACTTTGGGTATCTCCAGCTCTGGAACTTGCTTTCGGGGACGTGCTGATGTCTGGAAAAGCGCAGGATGGAGAGATCCTTCTTAGAGATCATACTTACAACTCCGCTCATACTGCACCAAGCTCAGCGATAGATCACGGGCAACATTCCTGATTGACAAGAGGCTATAAATGAGAGGAGTCGTTCTGGTGAGGTCGAGTCCTCAGCCGCACCCGCCGTTGTGTGGGGCACTGGAGTTTGGACAGGGAAGCTGCAGAAGCGAGCACGGAATCGCCAGCCTCACCTGAAGCTGCACTTTATCTGTTCCGCTCCCATTCTTGGGTGGAGCTTCATTGTGATAGAAGAAGGTCTTTGCCTGCTCGAGCCATGTCGCAGCACCCTGAGGGCCATGTCTCCAATCGCTTCATGTGCAAAGAATTGTCTTGGCCTCTTCGAGGACCTGGTTGAGCTTCTTCGGCAGCCTGCTCACCAAGACGATTCCGGGATCTCCGACACGGAGATTACTGACGCCTTCGGACGATTCAAAATCTGGGCGGGAAACATTGGTGCTTTTCAGCAAATCGATTTGAAAAGTTCATTGGACTTTCGACTCAGAGACACTCCTAAGATCTCAACTCAGATCTTGGAGATTCTTGATGACCTAGCAGAGTCTTTGGAAGATGGTGAGTATTTCTCTTTTGGTGCCACCAGAAACCTATGGTCTAATTTTGAGCCGTAGCACGCTCCATTGCATCAGAATCGAGAGAGAATCGCAAAGGTGCTTCGTCAGCTCATGTAGAGGAGACGCAAGATGACACTGACGGCCCTCGAGTACAACCTGAAGAAGAGGAAGAGCTATCCGAGATTCGAGAAATCTTTGGGTCCATACAAGATGCCATCAACAATTTGTTTCGCTACTCAATAATCATTCGCAATAATACCAATCGTGACCGTTATGCGAAAGCGGCTGCTGCGGCGATAAGTTCCCCATTCAGCAACGAATTTGATATTCAACATGTCAGGCACAAATTTCCGGCTTTGCAATCAAAAGACCATGAGTGGTTGATCGAGCGATTGGGAAAAGCCAGTACTCAGAGAAGGCAATATCTACGCTACTGTCGTTCTCATCACGATAAGACATGGCAAGAGCCATCATCCAAAGTTGGTCCAGACATCATCCGGTCCAATGAGCAAAAGCCGCAGGCTTCGATGAGACTTATCCCCAGCTCTCGAAGCGATTTCTCAAAACCAACAAGCACCCTGGCGCCAACACAAGCATCTACCCTTTTCTTGAAAGCTGGTCAGGTTATCGAAGAGGAAGGAATCGAAGAATCGCAGTCTCAAACATCGTATACAACGTCGACCGATGGGGAAAGCAACTACTACGCACTACGGGTCATTCAGTTAGAAGATGTGTCTAAAGGACTAAGTCATTTTGAGTGTCCCTATTGCTGGCAGATTCAAACATGTCGGAACCAGAAGGCATGGAAGTACGTTATCTCAACCTCGAAGTGGTATGAATCTATACTGATCTTGTCAACCCCAGGAAGCATGTTCTATCGGATCTGAAGCCGTACGTCTGTACATTCGAGGACTGTGAACTGAAGCTCTTTTCCGATCGACAAACATGGTTCTCTCATGAACTGAAGGACCATCGAAAGGAGTGGAATTGCCACTTCTGTGCTCATTTCCCGTTTGACAAAGCAGCCGCATATCACGCTCATCTTACAAGTCATCATCCGCACGCTTTTACCGAGGACCAACTCCCTGCGCTCTTCGAGATGAGCCAAAAACCACTTCTTAAGCTCTCTCCAACAGGCTGTCCCTTTTGCGACGATTGGGAAGATCGTCTGAGAGCTATCAACTCGCATATTCCAGCGGAAGAAAGTCTAGTTGTCACACCGAGCCAATTTCAGCACCATGTCGGTGCTCATATGGTTCAGTTGGCACTATTTGCTATTCCAAGGGGTTACACCGAGGAGGGCGAGGCCGATTCTGCCAACGCTATACCACAAATTGGGTCTGACGACTCCTCGCTTGGGGATAATCCTCCAGATCTCGTGACCGCCGAGCAGTTCAGGAAATGTGAAGACATTTTAGATGAGCTCATTGAACTTGGCGGGTATTCCTATCATTACGAAGACATGCGCCAATTCCAATTCCCAACATTTTCTGCGTCGATTCCATATTTCGGCCGCACGGTCAGAGTGTCGCCGGTGGATTTTCCTCAGATATCACAAAAACTTCAGACTGGGGTTTACTCGGATATCAATGCCTTCTGTCTCGACCTCGTCTTATTCTTCGCCATAACTCGTCTCCGCAACATTGGAGTTCCTCAAGATCATCATGTTATTATGGCGTTTCATCGAAGTTGGAGGTCTCTGGAAGGGAATATCTGTCCGAGTGAAGCTTTTGGCCTTGAAAATCTTATCTATCAAATCGAATTGCAAATACAGTGGTCACTTTGGAGAGCAAATGAATTTCCCCCAGAGTTGGGCGCGGACACCAGGGAAGTCTGCAGGATTAGACTTCTGTTGAAGAGCGGTGGGACAGTCGAGAGGAGATTCTCCAAGTCAGCTGCCTTGGAAGAGGTCTATGCCTTCGTGGAATGTTACGAACTGATCAAGGATGGATCCCCTCTCCCGCAGGTCGATGAACCGATTGGATATACACCCGAGTACAATTTCAAGCTAGGAAGTATCATTGCACCAAAATATCATTTAGACCTTCAAATGGGCACAGTGGGAGATTTGTTAGGCAATTTCGCAGATTTGATGGTTGTTGGTCTTCAGAAGGGAGAAGAATCCCAGACGCTCTCCCGAATAAAGCGAAGATCTTTGTCACCTATAAGCGAGCAGACACCTCGAATCGACTCCACTACACCCATACCGAGGGATAACCAAGTTCCGACCTCGGGCAACGATGAGCTTGCCATGCCACAATCTCCTGGCGCCTCCTCTACCAGGAACAGCGGTTCCTATCCTGACCCAGGAGCCTCCACACTGCCCTGCATTGAAATTACTAATGATGAGCTTGCCTCCATCGGCAACCTCAAAGGGGAAAGTATCGATCCAAAAATTGGGACTCTAACAGTCCTTGTCCATTTTGCAAGGAATTTACAACCTGGATACCGAGATTCATATTGTAGAGTGTTGCTGGGTGCTGCTTGTAGAGTGACTAAAAAAGATTCTCTTGCCGGTGGAACGCCTTTCTGGTACTGTATACTCTTGGTTCTGATGAATTTGGAGTACTCGGATTGCTCTAACATAACATAGGGATGAAGCATTCCACTTCTCTGGGAGCACTGGTTCGTGGAACTTGATGGGTCAGAACTTGGAAGTCCATGTCCTCAACGGAGATGGAACTCTGATCGGCAACACCCCAACAATCGATTTACGGACTATTGGGGAAAATATCCAGGAGCGTTGGCACAAATTGTATCGCGCCAACCAAATTGCAGGAGAAATCAGGCTAGGCTTGATGTTCTTGAAGGACGTGCAACAAACATCCGACTCCCCAACCGGGCACATTGATTCAGAGGAAATGGCGATAGGCAATCTCGATGGACTTGAGCGGATGATAAAGCAGGTTGAAACTAAAGAATTCTGGGAGCCAGAAAAAGGAGTGAAAAGTTGTCCTTCGTGTGGAGATTCGTTCTCTGGGTCTCGACGAAAACAACATTGCAGGACATGTGGGCATATTTTTGATTTCAAATGCTTGACCGAGTTTGAGGGCCGGAGAATCAGCATTGAGGAAAGGCTGCTAGTATGCAAGAATTGTCTTGATATTATTGAAGGTTCTCTGAACCGGGTTTCTGGCTCCCGGGTTTTCTCGCCAATTTTATCTGGAGAACGAGGTGGTTCAATCCCTACAAACCCCGAATCTGAAGCCGGTCCTTCCAAGCAACCAGAACCCGAAGAACAGCTACCGATTCCAATTTACGCCAAAATACCGCGGTATTGTTTTGCGGAAGACAAATATTCGTTTGTGGTAGAAGTTAAATTCGAGGATGGACGGCGACACTGGGAACTGTCTCGCTATTACGAGGACTTCTATGATTTCCAAATAGCTCTTTTGACTACATTCCCCGTAGAAGCTGGCAGTACAGGAACAGAGAAAAGGACTTTGCCATATATGCCTGGGCCCGTCAACTACGTTACCGATGCGATCACTGAGCGAAGAATGCATGATCTGGAGAAATATGTTAAGGCACTTCTCTCACAGCCATCTCATATCTCGAGGTCAACTATAGTGAGGCAATTTTTCGCGCCCCGCGAAGGCGATAATGAGATAGACCGTAATAGTGTGAATGAGGAGCCATCTGGTGGATGGGACATGGGCACAGTACTTTCGTGGCTGCGTAGTCACCAATTCCCGACACATTTGGAAAATGCCTTCCTGGCCAATGGCCTCTATGGTTCTGCGTTTCTCCAACTTGGGAACTACGTGCGGAAAGGTGCCATTGACCCGCTGCATATTACGTCGAGAAGTGCTCCCATTGGCTCATCCGAGGGACATGCTCAGGATGATGAAAGGCTGCGGCTCATGATTCGAGAGATACTGAGGAAAGGTTACTCGACCACGGCCAACCCCATACCCCCTGCTGAATGTGCAGTAATTCAAAACTATACCCAATCCACTTCTTATGAGGTAGATTTGATTAAGGGTGAAGTAGTCACGGTTGTGGAGAAAGGGGATCTTGGTAAGAGAATGACACCTAAACATTGGCAGGAAAGCTTCTAATGCTTTGGACTTAGGATGGTGGCGAGTGCAGACAGCCGTTGCAGAGGGCTGGGCTCCTGAAGCAAACCTCGTCGAAGGACTACTATTGGACCAACCGTTTCACAAAAGTTTACCTGCGCCCTCGCCACTATCGAAAAATTTGGAAGGCAGCTCCGCTCACGAACAAACAGCTGATGATTCGGTGCAGCGATCGAACTTGAAACAATGCGTTTCATACACCGACGATGGATCAAGCGGACTTAGCATGGTAGCGGGGATGGACAAGGAAAACCTTGAGAGCTCTTTTGCAAAAGGGAGTCTTGAAGAGGAGAGACAAACGGCTGAACATCCACAACTTGAAGTTCAAAGAACAATACAGGAGCACCGCCGAGCAACTGAGAGCTATCAACCATCTGAAGATGCCAATTCTCCAGAGAGAAATGCTCGGTATCCGATTGGGGACCTACTTAAGGACTTCACTCTCGCTCTCACTAAGGACAAACGAAGCAGACTTCCCCCGGGCTTCATGCCCCAATTAAAGAATCAGATGGAAAGAGTTATTTCTGGGAAGGAAATGCTTGACGGATACAGTGATGTCTTCATTAGACGTTCATTCGCTGAAGCATATACGACCTTCACCGAGCGAGCGTTTCGCAGACAAATAGACAAGGATCGACGTGCAGACGATCTTATTCTGATATTCTGTTCCCAAGCAACTGAGGCATTGCAGAGGGACAACGCACCCCGCTTCTCCTCCTTGGAATTGCTAGTCGATCGTCATGTTGCAATGTTTGTCAAGGTAATCTGCAGTACCTTGATAGGCTATGGAAATGACAACTTACGAGAGCTCATGGAACAACTGATGACCTTGGAGTCGAAATTGCTTGCAAACGACCAGTTTAGATTGCTTACAAATGACCAAGAAAAATTTGCCGGTTCAGGGAAAGGGGTAGGAGTATCACGTATTCCATCCTCAGCCGATGGTTCGTCCGGTTCCACACTGACTCCTCATCATCCTAAAGCTAAAATTTCTTGCCTTTAGATTTCCAACGACGCCACTTTGGTCGCGCCGCCTCTCACGGGGAAGAGCCACAAGCTAATTTTTCAGAGCAGCAGACGAATGAGTACCAACCAGCAGATCCGCCATTATTTTCTGCAACGGATACGACCGCGCGAACTGGGGAAAACGAATTGAGCAAATCAAGCGTGGCGAAAGGGAAAGCCAATGTAAACAGTGGAGGCCTTTTAGCATCGCGGAATCTGGCCGACCTGAGACCAATAGCAGCTGGTTTGAAAGAGGTGCAAGTTGCTGGGAACAAATTCCTTTTAACGATGGAAGGGAATGAAGGTGACCTGCTCAAGCAGGCTAGACAAGCAGCGATGTCAAGAGAAGACAATGAGAACAACGACGAATCCCATATCTCCCGCTCTGGGGATACCTCAGCCTGACGAATCAAACAAGCGCTTACTCGGCATAACCGGCAGTTATTTCGAATAGATTAGTTCCACGTCCGAATTCTAGTCACTTTGAAAGTTGTGCCTTAGGGACCTAGGTTTTGACACTTATGAGGGGCGATGAGGAGTGTTCGAAAACAATTGAGTGGCAGTGCCGAGCAAATGAGAATGAGAATTATAATCGCCAGGAAGAGCCATACGCCGCCCACACTACAGACGAGAAATACATCCCACAAAAAAAAACGCCGCGAGAAGTCAAGGGGTGCCGTCACGCTGGAGCAAGTGGGATGAAAATGACGGGAGATCTCTTTAAGTTTACCGTTTAGACGTAGAAGGTGAGTTCGTCAAAAGGTGAATCTACCCAAGGAATCTTACAAACACGAAAAAGGCCAGTTCGAGCACCATAATACCGATATGACAACCCAGCCGACGAACCAGAACCCCGAACTTCGATTTGAGAGGCTGAGAAAGCAACACGTGGCGAACGGTCCTAGCTTAGTGGTGACAGGGTCCCACGGGTATATATCGAAGGGACAGGTGTGTAGTAATGGAAGCCGCTACTAAGATATGCTCCAGGAAAAGGACCCACCGTTCAAAGATTCTACTAGCCGGATACCCCGGGAAGAAGCGAGAGGGGTTACTCGATATGACACAGCGTTTCAACACTCCTTAGAAAGAAGGGCAGAAGGGCTTTGTGTGGGATTTTGCATGTTCAATGAATCTACACATACCAACTGCGGCATGAATGATGAGCCGTAAAGAGTGCGAAATGGTACCAACGATTTTCCCGAGAAAATCGTTTTCGAGAAATCAAACACTAGCATGGAAATTAAGCTCACTTATTATGATCAGCAAAGGCCTGGGTTTAGCTACAGACTCTAGAATCTATGCACAATGTATCCAGCATCTCCCATCCAAAGATGCCACATCTAGATTTCTTTATATGCCACCTCCATGCCTGATCCAGTACAAGCGCTCAGCCATCCAGCAAATGCAAAAGTAAGTGCTTCGAAAGTGAACTCTTACAACAAGACTCCATAAAATGCAAAGACCCATGCACCACCATCCAATATAAAACGAAAGTAGTACATCGTCTCCTCTTTTCTTAAACTTTCCACATTTAGAGTGAGCATGAGCATCTGAAGATTTTGTTTGAGCAAGGAAAGGGTAAGGATGAATAAGTCTATTCATCCTTATCCAGTTCGTAGAACAGAAGATACACCTCCCGCTGCATAGCAAGCACCTCACTCGTCTTCGCCTCCTTAGCCTTCTCATCGCTAATCCGCCACCATCGATTGCTCTGTTTCTTCTTCTTCAGAGCAGGCTTTAGCTCCTTTGGCGCACCGTTCGTCTCAGAGGTAACATTTGCTGTTCCGTTTTCTTCGGCTACTGGCGGAGAAGACGTTGAAGCCTTGGATCTCGAGATGCTGGGGACTTTCGACAGGCTCGAACGTGCGGAGCGCGCGATGGAGCGGATGCTGCTCGTTTCTGAATCTCGAGGTGCTGAGGTTGGACCGAGGTTCTTAGCTGTTGTGTCGCTGGAGGTCGATCCTGAGGCTACTGGTGATAGGGCGTTGCCGTTGAGGTGTGTGTGGCCGTTCGTGTAGGGTAGTGAGGGGGAGGATGATGCTGCGGAGGCGGGTGAGAGGAGCTCAGGTGTTGAAGACAACGTGCTGGTGTCTCCGGATACTTCGCCGAATCTTTGAACCGGTTCTACTTGTGGTGTTGAGATATGTGAGGATATTGGAGTTGAGGGTTTGCTATATACAGCAGACTTTTTGAACGCGTTGTGTACAGGGAAGTGTTGTGGGATGGCTTGGCGCCGGAAGGTCTCGTAGTGTCCTGATTGATGGCTGCCTTTGTGACAGACGATGCTGGAGAGTCTGTACGTTCTTCGATTTGTAAGACCTCCCAAGCATAGCTTTTCCTCAAATGAGACTTTGGACGAGTTTTTCATTGTGGACTTCCCAAGTTCGTGTATTGATCTTGAGAGATGAATGGCGATAGCCTTTGGAAACTCGGAAATCTGGACATGTTTGGCGATTTTTCGTTTGGGTGCAAACTTCCTGTCTGGCAACTCTACCTCCAGGAGCTGCTCCTCTGGATCCGTCTCGATTGCAAGTTTTATCCTGTCGATTGCCTTTTGAGTCTTTGCTTTGAACTTCTCCGAGTTTGATTTGGCCATCTCTTGCTCAAAGGTATATATAGCGTGCTGTAACCGGCATTTCTCGCATTTAAAGTCCTCGATATATTCCGTCTTGAACATTTGGTCGAATATCGAGCTCAGAGTAGAATTATATTCAGGAACACTCAAAGTTAAGGTGCAAAAGGTCGACTTGGTGGAGTTTGGCTTGAATCCGCATGTCAAGCACTCGATTTGAGATTCTGAAACACCTTCCAATGGAAACCCCTCTTCTTTGGGGTAGGCACTTTCGGGATTCAACGATTCCTCATCCTCGAGGGAAAGCCCAATCAGTTGTTGATCTGCGGATACTTGCTCTGAGGGGCTGTTCGTACCCGTGGCATCTGGGCTCGTACCGTTCGGGCTCCCACCATTCATACTTGTGCCATTCGGTATCTTCCTCGCATTCTTCCTCGCTCGATGTCCGGCATGATACTCATCGCATAACCGCTCAGCCACCACCTGCAGGAATTCCTGCGCATCCTGCTGCTGCCGGCTTATTCTCTGCTTGAACGCCGCCTCTAGAACTTGCACAAACGGGGCCGCGGATATGGACTTCCTTTGTATAGGACGCTCGTTCAGTTTATCCAATACCTCCTTCAATCCCTGAGTGACCATCCCGGCTTGCAGACCCTCAACCTTCCATGGTGGCATGTTCCTCCTTGCGGGGTCCATCACAAGCTGTGAATACACTTCGGGCCCATCGAGCTTCCTCCTATGTGTCTCCCGGATAAGATATACTCGTAGATCCCCCAACCCAGCCAGCGCCTGGAGTACCGAGTTGATGAAGCAGTCGTTCGCAGGATTTACGAGCCCAACCACATTTTTCTTCCGAGTACTGGCGTTTGCCGAGTCGTGATCGTGAGGATATGATGGGGCAAAGACCCAGACAGCAACTATTAATCCCAATGATGCCCCCAATAGGTAACCCGTGGCAGTCGGCCTCTCGGGCATCTCGGCGGTTCTTCAGGCAGGACGAGAGTCGCAGAGATGGCAGATTATCGCAACATGGCCAGAGAAAGGGATATCGTGTGCCGCAGTTAGAGGACTCCTGGTGCTTTCAATGTCCCTTCTGCCAGCAATTTCGCATTTCAGGGCCTGCCAGGCTTGCGTGAAATGGTTCCCGCAGCTAGAACTGATGAAGTCGTTACGAGACGAGCGTGGGGTGTAGTGTATGCGCGTAAGCCGGAAACGCTTGGTGTTCCTCCTCCTCTGGGCTCAAAAGTGGGCGGGTATCCATAAGGCCAACACGGAATGACATGAATTAATCAAATCATCTCTGAGCATAAAGTATCCCAAGCATTGGTTTGCTACTTAGACTTCAGACACTCCACACAAGGCCTTTGCTGTTAACACTCGTCGGCCTCGGCAAGGGGAAATGCCGACCTTCACTACGGGCACGGCATCGTGTCTGTAACAAGTATTTCCCCAAGACACCTCAAGTTGATTCTTGTAGATTGAGGCACAACATCTTGGGCGATATCCTCCCAATGGCATCACCATTGGTGTCCAAATATCCACAATGCCTATCCTACATCCGTCGCATGACAGGCAGCTTAAGAGACGTCTTCCAAGTCCCCAGCCATCAGCAAACCCGGGGAAAGAAGAGGCTTGTTAAAGTCTCAACCGTAAAGGTTCACCTTCTTCAGAATGTGCCTGGCTATGGTCGGAGAGGTAGGCAACTGTGCCAAGGCCACTGCCCAAGACTGCGCAATACTAATCTGCGGACAGGAGCTGTGATTCCAGTGACGACTGGGATGATGAGGAATATTTGGTACCCGAAGAAGATGGCAGAGTACGTGACAAACGACAAACTTCAGCAGCTTGGGGTGAAGAAGGATACGACAATAGAGAGAGACTCCACATTCAGAAGCAATACGGAACGAAAGTTGGATAAGGAGAAAGAGAAGTATGAAAGGACAGTTGCAGCAGCAGAATCGGCAGTGGCTTCAATTGAGCCAGAATCTTCGATCCCAATAGAGCTCGGCTTGCTGAGTGTGAGACTACCCACCTTTATTCCAGACTCCTAGATTGAGTACTAACTTTTGCATAGCCTGAGCGCTCAATGACTATTCTGGAAAATCTGGTGCCTCCCAACCTGGATTTCTACAGGGTCCCGGTAACTCCTTCCGAAGCTCCCCAAAAAAGAGTTTCGCCATCTGTACGGTTCAACTCAGTCATATCTGCAGCTGCAGCAGAAGTCAAGGAAGCACAAAAGCCAGAAGTTACGGGCATATACGGCTCGGTGACCACTACGGATATCGCTGCCAACCTCAAAGCTATATTAGCAGAGGACGAGGATGGAGTGCGCGTGGTTCTTTCGCCTGAAGATATCACCTTTGTGGAGGAAACCAGCCGGAAAAATGGCGTCAAGCGATTGGGAATATTTGATATTGAGATAAGGCTCGATGATGCACCCGATGCTATTAGAAGGACTATTCGAGTCAATGCTCAAGACTGATCACGAGGGCCGTGTGTACAAAATATTTTAGAGTCGACAATGTAATATCACGAGAGTGTCCGTCATAGGTCCTCCCGGATACGGTGTGAATAATACAGAGCGAAGAATCAAGGTTCGGGTAAGTTATTGTTTGAATATGTATGTTATTTGGAGGCGACTGTTGACTGTACGGACTATCCCCAGTTCTACCTTTACTGGATTGGGTCCCGGATTCATGAAGGTGCATATTATGCTTACAGGATGTTGCTACAGAGGCAAGCTGATTTGAAATAATGGCACGATTCTGGCCAATCGGGCAAGCTACAGATCCAAAAATTATCAGTTCGATTACCATCGGCACTCCAGTTTATTGTCTGGACTATGATGTTTTTTTTTTTTTTGAAGAATCGGTACTTACAACCTCTGGGCCGAAATATTTAGTCTCGACGCCTGGGCAAACTCGGAAATGAAGGAGCAAGGACGTCCAAGCTGATCACGAGTCACAATCATGAGGGAAGCAATATCCATTTTCTGGACTGACGCTTATGTTGGTGGTTCGATCCAATACCATTGCTGCGATTCGGCGGGAGAACTGGCCCTGAAATCCAACGTGCCAGACGTGGGTCTTGAAATCTTCAGAGCTTATTGCAACATCTTGGACAGACTCATACACTCCTGAGCGGGTCGATAAACTTTGAAGATACCTACACTTGACTTGACGCAGAGTCACCCAGGACGTCTAAATACCTCACTGGGCAACTTTCAGCAAGCAACAAATTCTTCCAGCACTCTGATGGGGGCAGGTCTTCAATCACTTCAACAAAAATTTCACAGCACCCCCACGTGACTTATATAGCGCAGCAAAATCCGAGATCGGTTGAGGTGGGGGTGACGCTCTGCAGCCAGAGACTGAGTGCTGCAGCAGCCAGTATGTTCTGTCATCTCTCATCCTTGAGAAGGCGATCTGCTGCTATAGTGAAGTTGAGTTGAGTGAATGCTCAGCATGAGTTCACTACACATACGTCTAGATTTACATCCATGCGGAAGCAGTGAGCTTGCCCTTCCCTTGCCCACGAGAATGCCCGATTACCGCGGGAGCTTATCGGCACGACGACCCCGCCAAACCGCCTCAGCACTTTTGCTCCCGCACATCCATCACACCCTCACCCTCCCATTCCTTTGGACAAATCTCGCACGATAGCAGAAATACTGGCACATCCAATTGTAAGTTCGCAGCTCTGGTTACTTGCACATTTTTTCCTGCAGCTCTTGGTGGAGGAAAAAGCAACTGGGCGAATGATGCAGGCTCGCAGGGAAAAAAAAACTTCCCCCACCTCCAGCCCACCACCTTAACTTTAGCGTCTTCCGGTCCCTTCAATAACATATCGATCTCGAAAACCTTCTTAGTCTTCTACACGCAACTGATCTCTTTGCTTTCACAGAAATCTACGGACCTACTTCATATAACTCGAAACAACAATCATGGGTGTCAAGGACGTTCTCTCTCGCAAGACCGGTGTCATTGTCGGTGACGATGTGCTGAAGCTCTTCAACTACGCACAGGAACACAAGTTCGCCATCCCCGCCGTTGTAAGTGATTAGCTTCTGGAGACAGTCAATTGGCAGACGCTTACAAAGATCAGAACGTTACCTCTTCCTCCACCGTCGTTGCTACCCTCGAAGCTGCCCGTGATGCCGGTGCACCTATTATCCTCCAAATGTCCCAAGGCGGTGCCGCATACTTCGCAGGAAAGGTACATAAAATATCTCGCGTGGTGAGAAATCGATTCCTGACGTGTCAATAGGGTGTCGACAATAAGAACCAGGAGGCTTCGATTGCCGGTGCAATTGCTGGTGCCAACTACATCCGCTCAGTCGCCCCCGCCTACGGTATCCCTGTTGTCCTGCACACCGACCATTGCGCCAAGAAGCTTTTGCCGTGGTTGGATGGCATGCTTGATGCGGACGAGAAGTATTTCAAGGAGCACGGCGAGCCTCTCTTCTCCAGCCACATGATCGATCTCAGCGAGGAGGCTGTCGACGAGAATATTAGCACTACTGCCAAGTACCTGAAGCGCGCTGCCCCAATGAAGCAATGGCTCGAGATGGTAAGCTTACGTATCTAAAACATTTATGTTGTTGGTAACTTCTGACGTTGCATTGCAGGAGATCGGTATCACCGGTGGTGAGGAGGATGGAGTTAACAACGAGGATGTTGACAACAACTCCCTTTATACCCAACCCGAGGATATCCTGGCTATCTACAAGGCCTTGTCTCCTATCTCGCCATTCTTCTCTATTGCTGCTGGTTTCGGAAATGTCCACGGTGTTTACAAGCCTGGAAATGTCAAGCTTCACCCTGAGCTCCTTGGCAAGCACCAAAAGTACGTCAAGGATGCCATTGGAGCCAAGGAGGACAAGCCAGTTTTCTTGGTCTTCCACGGAGGATCTGGATCATCGAAGCAAGAGTACCTGACGGCCATCAGTTATGGTGTTGTCAAGGTTAACCTCGATACCGACTTACAATACGCTTACCTGACGGGTATCCGTGACTACGTTCTCAAGAAGAAGGACTACATCATGTCTCAAATTGGCAACCCAGATGGCGAGGATAAGCCAAACAAGAAGTACTTCGATCCTCGTGTCTGGGTTCGTGAAGGTGAGAAGACCATGTCCGCGCGTGTTACTGAGGGTCTTAAGGACTTCAACACTGCTGGACAATTGTAAACGGCCTGCGATCGCTCCACTGTTCCGTGATTTGATTGTTTCTTTTGGTGCTGTTACATCGGGATGGGTTGGTAGGGAGAGTGAGATACGTACATAGCCTAGGATGACACAGGTTAGACGAATGCAATCCAAAATTGTAACGACTGAAGACGATTTCGAAGTTTGAAGTTGGCCCAAATTTCCTAGACCTCGCTGGGACTTCCAGCTGATGTGCGACAATTTCTGAACGTCGACCGTTCTAGATGAAGTGAAGTGTCAATGTGGATCCAGAATTGCTAGTTCCATACGCGGTAGGTGTAACCGTGTGACTGAGCCAGTGAACCTCAATTAGCTAACCTCCCTCTCATGATCAGGGCACATTATATAGAGGCTACCTCGGTACCACAGCAAATTATTACTATCCGTTAAAGTTCTGGGTAAGACTTTACATCTTCTCCCCCCTTCCCCTTTTGACCCTAAGCGAGCCCTAAGAGACTCTTTGACTACCTGTAACCCGAGCCAGCTCCGGAAAATGCTCGACAACAGGGGATTAAACTCGCAGAGTCGCCCCTCGTATTCGTGTGGTATCTCTAGGAATTTTCTGTCCTGTTTCATAAGTATCCAATGTGACCAATGTGCCCCAAATCCGTATTGTGCGGCTCACGTGCAACGCTTCACCCTCCCAGGCACAACTCAACAGGGGTTTGAAGCAACGCGATTCGCAGCGATGACGTCCTGGAAGCGGCACAACCACACAATTCGTGGGGCAAAAGAGGTCCCTGGCGTGGGGAGATTGGACATCGAAACATTCACCTCAATTCCAAGGACGCAATCTCGCCGCCACCTGCGTCCCGTCCCTTCAACATTTGTTGGCCCCCTAACTCGAAAGTGCGCATCACTACTTCTAATTCTTCTAAATCCACACACAGTCAATTTCTAAGAGACGGACAAACCACAATCACAACACTGTTGGCAGAGCTGCAATATCCACATCGAAACCACTCGCGACATGGCTACGAACGAGAAAGAAGGCGCGGGCGTGTCTGCACAGAATCGAGGCAGCTGGAGCGCGTTCCTCAAGTCGATTGCGAGCTTCTCAGGGGATCTGTCTTCTCTCACCGCACCTCCATTCATATTATCAAGCACTTCTCTGGTAGAGTTCTCCTCGTACTGGGCTGAGCATCCTTCCATTTTCGTGGCCCCAGCGCAAGAATCGGACCCCAAGAAGAGGGCATTGTTGGTGTTGAAGTGGTTCTTGAGTACATTAAAACAGCAGTATGCTAGTCGAAGTGAGAAGTTTGGGAATGAGAAGAAGCCTTTAAACCCTTTCTTGGGTGAACTATTCCTTGGGAAATGGGAGGATGAAGCTGGCACAACGGAGCTCGTGTCTGAACAAGTCAGGTGCGTATCTGCTGGTCGTTGAAGAATTGCAATCCCTAACGGAAGAAGTCACCATCCACCTGTAACCGCCTACCACATCTCGAATAAAAAGCACGGGGTTTATCTACAAGGATACAATGCGCAAAAAGCATCCTTCTCGCGGACAATCAACGTGAAGCAAATTGGACACGCTGTATTCGCCATACCAGCATACGACGAAACATACCTCATCACTCTCCCCAATCTACATATCGAAGGTCTCATCTTTGGATCACCATTCGTTGAGCTCAATGACAAGACATACATCACCAGCAGCTCTGGATACACAGCGAAGATTGACTACAGCGGCAAAGGGTGGCTGTCAGGAAAGAAGAACAGCTTCACAGCTACCATGTATCCAACTGGCAAGGAGAAGGAGGTCCTATACATCATTACAGGCCAATGGACCAAGACCTTCGAGATCACAGAAGGAGCGAAGAAAGGAAATGTTATCGACAACTATGATGCTGAAGCTAGCAATACAACACCTCTCACAATAGCGCCTATTGAAGAGCAAGATCCATATGAGTCGCGGAGAGCTTGGCAGAAGGTAGCTGCTGGAATTGCGATTGGGGATATGGATATCACGGGTGAAGAGAAGACCAAGATCGAAGAAGAGCAGCGGGAACTAAGACGGCAAGAGAAAGCTGAGGGCAGGATATGGGAGCGGAGGTATTTTTCGCTGGTGGAGGACGATCCTGTGCTCGAAACGTTAGGGCCGGTGATTGGTCTACTCCCAGAAGCCGACAAGACGGGAGGAATCTGGAGATTCGATGAAGCCAAGGCCAATGCTGTGCTGTCGACGAAGACGACTGCTACTGAAAAAACAGAGTTGACAGCATGAATCCTGGTGGGGTCTTGGCGTTCAGAGCGGGTCCTTTGAGGGCTTACTTTCTTGCTATTGTATGAACACTAGATTAATTAATGGTCGGTATGGAATAAAACCCTTGTGTTTGCCTCCTATAAATTTAAACCTCCCACATGATCCATACATTCGCTATGACAATAAACATCGGATGGACAGAAAAAGCTCTACCCATTCTCAAGGTCCCAAGTCAAAGCTGGACATTTATTTGGAGTGAAAGGACAAGAAAAATGTTCTGTAATTTCCGCCGATTTTTGAAGAAAGCAGACTTTTGAATGTAAAATAGCAGATACGTACCTGTAGAGAGGAAGTATTTGTCCAGCTTGACTTGGAATTGAAATCGAATAAGAAGTAAGGTTGGCTTCACTCGTCCTAGTGAGGGGAAGCGAGAGAGGCCGGATCGTGAGCCCCTCGAGTCGAAGTCGACACGCCTTGACCGCGTTTCCCATTGTCTCGACCTCTACATCAACAACAACCAAACCTTCCACCTCTTGCACTCACAACGAGCAAAATGGCATCTGGCAATTGGATGAGTGGACGGAAAATGGGGCTCGGAGAGGCATATTCCAGAGCGGATGATAATGCGGAGTTCATAAGGACGTTCAAAAAACCGGAGACTGAACTCTCGCGGCGACTTGCCAGGGCTAGGAGCGCGTCGAATTCAAGTACGGATGTTGCAGGCGCAACAGAAAGTCGCATACCCAGATCAACAGCCTATTCACCGGGTTCTTCGTTGGTTAAGTCGAGTCCTCCAAAAAGTTTGAAGGGTGCATACGCGCGCGCGGAGGCAGAGGAACAAGTAAAGATTGATGCGCGTCTTGCTAGAGAGCGCGCTGAGATGGAACGCGCAGATAGAGAGCTTGCAGAGAGAGAGGCGCGTGCAGAGAGAGAGCGTACTGAGGGAGAGCAAAGGCTTGCAGAGGCTCTGGGACCAGTCGAGTACGAGAGCGAGTCTACGGGTCCAAGAGCAACGAGCCCGAGTCCAACAGCGCGTCCAGCATACTTGCAGCATGCCAGGCCAAGCAGCTCAAGGAGCAGTAGTAGCGGCTCTGTGGGAAGCGGTTACAACTACCCACCACGGGATCCAGCCAAGGAAGCACAGTGGGACGCGACCAGAATCCGTAACCAAGAAAGAGCAGAGCGCATGAAGAGGATTATGGCTAAGACAGGACCAATCTATTTGAGCGATAGAAGTCGGCACAACGAGAGCAAAATCGCGGAGGCCAAGGCTATATTGGAGAAAAAGGCTGCTGCTGAAGCAGCAGGCCAAGAATGGGTCCCTCCTCCATCATCCTTTGGTTTCAAATCACGAAGGACGGAAGCTTGGATGAGAAGGATACTGAATCCCAACGATCCTCTTTTAGCTACCTTCGATCCTCCAGCTTCATCTTCATCCAACAGCGATGTACCACGACGTGCATCGGCAGACATCCCTCGTCCTTCCGTGGAGGTTGGCCCCTCAGCCCAACCCACACCACCATCTTCACGACCAAGCTCAGCCCAGCCCAGCAACAGCTCTCCAGAGAAGAGCAAAATGTGGAACGCTGATATCGATTTTACAGCACATTCACTTCAAGAATCTACAAGCCCACTGCTTCGAGTAAAGACCTCGAAGCTTGATGATATACGACAGAGAGAAATCAACAGCTTGACAGCCCGAGCTGTCGCTACCAACAGATTGGAGGAGATCCGGGAGCGCAACACTGAAGAGAGATCAATCCTCTCTGAGTCATCCAGAGTCAACTCCAGACAAACAACGCCTGCACCTAAAGAACCTCAAGAAGAGGTCTATCATGAGAGAACCATCCTCGAAGAGGAGGGTGAGCACATCCCAAATACACCAATCACCATATTCACAAAAGGGCATTATCGACCCAGCAGCAGCAGCAGTTCAGCTGAGTCAAACCAGGACCCTGAAAAGATGCGTGAGGAGTCTTTTGAAGCCATAAGATTGTTGGCACGGAAGATGAGTCCTGGTCTGCAACGAGCAGAGAAACTCGTGGAAGAGTTCAAGGAGGACAAAGCGTCTCGAGATGATCAAGAGAAGGAAAATGGTACAGAGGTGCCAGTGAGGACTGAGAGAGCTGGACCAACCGAGAAGTCAGAAGTGTCAGAAATTGAGGAGAAGAAAGAGTCACGACCAGCAAGGGTCAATGAACAACGGACCAAGTCATCAGAGAGACATGAAGGAAAGGAGAATGAGAACCCATTAGGAGAAAGAAAGAACCAATTCAAAAGGCGTGGCTTGGACGTCGACAATGAGATGAAACGCCGTAGCACTACCAGCTCACCACCGAAATCAGATGTTGATCCTGAAGAACGCATCACAGCTGAAGCGAAGCTATTCGAGCTCCCAGACAACAAATCTGAACGCAACTCTATTCGAGTACCCTCACGATCACCATCACCTTCAGATGATGGAAAGTGCGATGAGACGCCACGGCCAAAGGCAGACCCATTGTCACTTCCCACTCCGAAAGTCACCGGTGCATATATTGAAACACCAGCTCCTTCCATGCGCAAGCCACGGAAGTCACGGTCTATTTCACCTAGCTATGAGATGGTCAACGAGGTCAACGAGGTCAACGATCTTCCGACAGCATCAAACAACAACTCACAACGGAGCAGCCGCAGAAATTCCGCTGCTCGCGACGAAGAACATGCTCAACAAACATCACGCAACGCACCATCACAACCAGAAATCACGAAGCAACGATCTAAGCCCCGAACTTCACGATCCGCAATTATTAACACTGCGACTCCTGCTTCGGTTGCAAACGACCTACGATCTATCGCAATGGACGAGCAATACGAAGACTCCACTCTGGATGACTTCGAGAACATGCTCGAGAGCGACGCTACTACACACCTCAATAACACGACTATCCTCGCACCCATCATCGATCTCGAATACGATGAACGCGGTCATCCTCTATCAGCAGAAGAACGGGAACGACGCATTGAATGTCTTCGCCTTGACAGAATGAATCAACAACTCAAGAACACCTCCTTTAGCATTCGGGATGCTAAGCACGGCATCGAACGGCTGGAACACCAAGTCGCATCTGCCGGCTATACTTCTACTCCCTACCTCAGCGACCAGGCGTACATTCACATCAATATCAAGATACCAGTCCCTCGGCTCATCGTCGCGACCCCCATTGATCAAGACCAAGGTCGCTTTGGATGGAGACGTACCTGGAGGTTCACCTGGATTGGTCTCATTCTATTCCTCTTCGGCGCGTGGTACGTTGCAGAGTCTGCCATGTGCAGTGTCTATTGTCATCCGAAGCAATCATCACGCAACACTTGGCAGCCAAGTGATCCCTTCTTCCCTTGGGCAATCCCGACGAAGGTGAATCAATGGACCGGAGATGTTGGTGGCAATGTACTACGCAACGTGTTACAATGGATGGACTTCGACTTGCGAGGCAGGAACCGGTACATGGGTGCGAACGACTGGTGGGAGGGAAGGGGCGGGCCAGCGCCCATTATGCGGACAGACGGTGGTATTTTTGAAGATGACGAATATGTTTAAATGAATCATTGGGCTCTGGTACATTGGCGTTTGGGTAGTACATTGAAAAGGAGTTTGGACATTAGCATCAGATACCCTGTATTTTTAGTGAATTCACACCTAAGAAGCGCAAGTTCGGTGTGGAGAAGTAGTTAGAAGTGCATAACTCCTACTTCAAAAATAAAGTTTTCATGCTGAAATGTCCTAATTCCAACTTAAACATTGTAACAATGGCCTCCTCGAATGATCTAAAGCGATCTGGAACGTTGGAAATTCGAATTCTTCAATATCCCAATTCCCACCTGAAACATTATGCTTTCTGTTGAATGGGCTGAATGGATTTGGAACGATACAAAGTTGAATTTGAATTTCCGAATACTATCTCGAACACTACGATATTCCCTTAGATCCCAACTTTTTATTGACACTATTCCTGTGTGCACATTGTGAAATTAGGGCTCGCTGTTGTTTTTGTAGCGCTTGTTTCGAATATTTCGGATAATGATATGGGGCCCGTGGAGGTGCGAATCGTCGTTGATATGATTTTATCTCAAGTCGTTGGGAGGCCGAGGGAAGGTGGACGGTTGCACTCCTTTCTGCGCCCAATGTTCCTCGCCGCAATTCAGCGTTCCTTAATCACTGTGTCTAATGGCTCCCGTGGTTTGCAGTATTTCTACTAGTGTTGTTCCGTTGATCTGCTAAGGACAACTTTCGAGTTGGCGATTGTTGATGGGCTCTGCCGTTCGACTTGCTCTTCCCTATCGGATCTAAAGGGATTATGGGTTGCGAGAAACCCAATGAGCGCCTTGGAACTATAACATTCTGCATATCTTTGCGCCTCAATGTACTACCTGGCTTCGAACACCGAAGGGTCTTTTAAAGGGCCAGACACCAGGGGTTTCTCTCTGGGCACCTTACCCAATGTTGAAAGTTTGTCAAACCATATCAAGCAGATACCGAAGATCTCACTTTCAATATATTAAAAAGAACATAGTCAGAAAGAGGGTAGCCAATTTCATTCATTTGACCCTCCCCACCACTAACTATCCCGCCAATGGCTCTCCCATTCGTCATCCCATCCATCGATACACATCTCTCGTCTGCCTGGCTTGCTAGTAGCTAGCCATTCTCGTTCGCCCCCATGCAATGAATCAACCTTCGAAAATCAAGCCAATTTCATGCCTCCTCAATCGAAAGAAGAAACCCAATCAGCCAGCCCCTGCAATCCAGATGTGACAGACAAGATGCTTTTTCGCTTTGTTTGAAGTTGATTGCGCGATTCGATTCGATTCGATTCGATTCCTCCGATATGATGTGTGTTGTTGCAAAAGAAAGTGAAAAGAGAGAAGAAACCTAATTGAAAACAGAGTGGGTTGGGAGAGGCCCCACAGCCAGAAGGTAAGGAAAAGGTATTTCAGAGTACAGACAAAGCAGCCAGCCAGCCCAGCCCAGACCAGATGCATGGTGGCCCGTTTTCCTTTCAAATTCAACCAAGTTCTTCCCCAGTCCAGCGCAAAGGCAGAGAAGAAGAAAAAAAGGAGCTTTGATTTGGAGTAGTAGTAACACATTTTGGTAGAAAATTACAACCCCAAAGATGATCCATGAGGCGGCAATCTACCAACGAGTGCACTTCGTTATGTGCAGCTGCTACAAACGTGGCCATCCATGTCTTATTAATGCTGCTGTCCGTAGTTGCCGCCCCATCCTCCGCGCTGCTGCTGGCTGCCATAGTAGTTGCCACCGAAAGCTTGGTAGCCTCCGTATTGGCTGTTTTGGTGCCCTTGGCCTCCTGCTTGGTGGCCTCCAGCTCCGCCTAGGCCAGCATAGCCGCCACTTTGGCTACCGTGAAGTCCTTGGCCTTGTTGCTGGAGATGGGCGGGGTATCCTCCGTACCCAGCTTGCTGAGATTGTGGTGGAGGAAGTGCTGATCCAGCCGTGTTCGTCGCAGATCCTGGTCGGCCGGCTTGAGACAACGATGGGCTAGGTCCATTTGCAACCTTCGAATCGCCGAATGGCTTCAAATCGTCACCGCCGCCTTGTTGGTTACCTTGCTGGGCGCCGTACTGCTGCTGGGCTTGGTACGATCCGCGACCAAAAGCGTCATGAGAACCACCGAAAGCACCACTGCCTCCGAGGGCCTGGGGAGTCTGGGATGATGGAGCCGATCCTGCTCGACCGTAGTCAGACAAGCCTCCGAGGGCACTGTCGCGTCCATGTAGAGCAGATCCACCAAAGCCACCGGCCGCAGGGGAAGCAGCGTGATCATAAGGAGCTCCTGGAGTCATGCCATAACCTTGATATCCCTGATGAAGTCCACCTTTAGCACCGTAAGGTCCCCCTGGGTAGTTTCCTGCGCCGTACTGTTGATACTGGTTCATGTACGCAGCATAGTACGGGCTGGAGTAGTACGGATGGCCATATGGGTAGTTTCCAACCTGAGGTCCTTGCTGGTGACCGGGTTGTTGGGGTGGGGCGCTCTGGGCAGCACCTGGCTGTTGGGTTTGAGCAGCTGGGTTCGGAGTAGTGTGCCCGCTGGTTTGAGCCTCTCCTGCAGTCGCATAACGTGACTGGGTCTGTTGGGCAGCACTTTGCGGGAATTGAGAAGAATTCTCTGCCTGAGGGCCGTTGTAACCACTGTAGGATCGTTGCTGAGAAGTAGGACCATCTTGTTGACCTTGAGAACCTTGCTGCAATCCATATTGCTGATTGTAATAGTTGTTGTAAGCGTTGCGATGTTGCGGGTCGGAAGTGTAGTAAGAGGAGAATTGGTCGGGTGCGGAAGAGAAAGCCCCAGATTGGGGTTGAGTCTGGGACTGAGATTGCTGGTTTGGATAGCCCTCGAACGGGCTTTGAGTGGATGGAGCCTGCTGACTGAAAGCATCATACGGCTTTTGGGGCAATGAAGACTGTTCTTGAGCGCCAGCCTGTGGATATCTGCCATATTGGCTGAACTGTGCATTGCCTTGCGGTCCTTGCTGGGTCGCGCTTTGCGCACCTGCCAAAGGAGCCGGTGAAGGGAGACCAGGAGCAGCAGTAGGATGGGTGGATGGCAAGCCGGCTGATGGTTTTGTAGTCGGGAAAGCCTCCGTGACAGTTGCGGGTTGCTGAGGAGCCGGTGGCAGCGCAGCTCTTGGCGCAACTGGAGAGTGTTGAGGTGGTTGAGCACGAGTCTCTGCTTCCTCGCGGTCACCATCAACGTCCTCATCTCCAGATCCATTCAAGTTGAAGGCGCCAAATTGAACTGCAGCGCGATCCACCTCACGGTTCCCTGGCATGCGAACAGCTTCCTCTTGATCAAGTACACGGCGTTGGTAGCTTGGAGCCCGCGCAGGAGTTCCTGTAGCTTTCAATGCAGAAGCTTGGAATCCACTCGTTGGTGGGCGAATTGCTTGCGGTTGGTTTTGTTGCAAGGCGGAGTATTGGGTGGAACTAGCAGGTGTGTTTCGAGGATCCCAAGAACTAGCAGTAGTGCTTGCAGCAGTTGCTGAGGGGGCGGGGCCAGAGGTATCTGGGACTTGTTCGAGGTTGGTCTCGGTGAGATCATCATTCGAGGGTGCGATCGCAACTTCGGGTTCTTCGAATGAAGCGGTTTCAAGAGGAATAGTTTCGGCAAGTTCAGCTGGGGCAGGTTGAGAAATTGGGGCTTCGGGCTCGATCGCAGGTGCCTCGACAGGTTCTGCTGGCTTTGCGGGCTCGGCAGGTCTAAAAAGATTGTCAGTCAAAAAAATCATGCAATGAATGCGAGATAACGTACTTCTCGACAACCGGCTCTGGCGCCTTCTTTGGAGCGGGTGGAGGAGGCGCAAACATGCTTGCCCAGCTCTTCTTGACGCCGACTGGAATAATGCTTGAAGCCGCCTGAACAGTTGCTGTGGCAGTAGAAGAGGCAGACTCTCCCCAACCAACTTCAGCAGGCTTGGAAGTATCCCAGCTCTCCTCGGCTGCCTTAGGAGCATCCCATGAATCGCCAGTAGCAGGAGCATCCCAGGCAGTTGGCTCAGGAGTAGGGGTCGAGATCTCAGAATTTTCCTTGCGTCCATTCGTGTGTGCGACCGATGCTCCTCGAGCTTTTCCACCTCTGCCTCGATCTGTGCCACGGCCACGGCCTCCTCTGCCACTGTCAAAGCCAGCTCGACCACCGCGCGAGGTCCTGGTTTGGTTGGTTATATCGCCGAATGAAGTGACTGTAGCATCCTTGGCCTTGGAACGAGATCGATCCTTCTTCGCCTTTGAAACCTCTCCCCATTGTGAGATTGTACCTGTTGCGACGAGGTCAGTAATCGATCTGCAACCGTGAACCAGCAGTCCATTGGGTTAGCGTCATGAATCATTTGGGTTAAAGCTTACCGTCAGTTATGCGATCAACTGTGGTCTCCAGATCACCGTCAGTCTCCTGAAGGGCGAATACAACATCCTCATCAGTCCAGTCGGGAAACATCTCCTTGATCGTAGAGACTTTGGAACCATATTGCTTCTTCAGTTGGCCTACTTCGCCCTCATCTTCAATTGATGTTGCTGGCGCAGCATTTGTCTTGTCGCCGTTGGTTGCGTGACCTCTGCCGCCGCGTCCTCCTCTGGAAGAAAAACCTCCTCGGCCGCCGCGAGCTGAGCCTCTGCCTCGAGGCGCGGCTGGTCGTGATTGTACCTCAGACATGGTAGTGTGTGAGGAGGGTGTGTGTGTGAAGCAGGCAAAGATAAGGAGATTTCAAAGGGTTGTGGTGGGAAGATGAGGTTGGTCTGAGTCTGAGTTGCGAATGACGATGAATTCTAGCTCGCGTATTGCTTGCAGGCGCGCCTCTTGAGCTCGCTTTCGGGCTAGGGTGGCGAGTGAATGCACGAGGCTGAGTTACAGGACCATGCGAAAATGAGTTGTACAAGCAGGCAGATCTCTGTGGAGGATTAGGAAGGGTTATAAAGGGTTGGGGTTTTTAGAGAGGCACAAGGTGGAACATGGCCGTGCTGGGCAGTGCTGCATGGCATCTCCTTTTCTTTCAGGCCAAGTGCATCTGAGCCAATGAGTCACGTGAGCTACATGCCCTGAATCGGATGATTCAACCCCACATCATCTCTTCTCAGGTACAATCAACACAAATCAAAACACCATGCGATCAGGGACGAAAACTTGAATTGAACTACTTGTGGATACTGCTATCCACGTCTACGTCTTCTCGGCCTCCCTTCTCCTCGGCAGCCAACGGGCTGCGTCCTTACACCATGTTTCGCCCATCCCAGAATCTCCTCTTCCGGCCGATGCCAGCTCTGAACAAGCTCAAGATACACCAACCACTTCCGTTAAACCCCCGCGAATCTCAACAACTGCTCAATATCCTCACAACCTCGTTCCGACAACATCTCGACCGCGAACATCCTCCGTTCAGAAGCGATAATGCCTCGTGGGCTACAAGATTGGGTGTTGAAGGCAAAATACATACACAGAGCTCCACCGTACCAAGAAGACGACGTAACTCGGATCATACGGCACATCCTACAGACCAGCACATGCACTCTCTCCTGACGAATCCGCTGTTCAGTGTGTCACCTGGGGTGAAAGGAGGCAAGAGGATTGCGGACCCCATGAATATATTCGACCAGGCAGTGGCAAAGGGCATGATGAGTATCAGCTATGCTTATACATGTCTTGCTGGGGTGAAGCGAAAAATTATACAATCACCGGTGTTAGAGGTAAGAGACGGGATGCAAGAGTCTGGCGCTGGCTTGAAGGTGTTGAAGTGGTTGCTATCAAGCGGTACCGCGAACGACAATGAGTTTTTGAAGCATAAAGCGTTTGGTGAATTGCTCATGCAATTCTTGGTTGCAGAAGGCTTGCAGGAAGCTACTTGGACCTGGATAAAAAGAGCCCTCGATGGTCGACCGGCCATCGACAAGCTAAAAGGCTCGTCGAGGCTTGAGGCACGTGAGGACGCAATCAGGCCATTGATGCTACTATTGAGAGCAGAAGCAATGGAGCCCAACATCTCCTTGGATAACGCTTATATCTGCCTATCCAGAGCTGCCGGGTACTTCAAGTCTTTGTCAATTGTTGAGAGGAGACCCTTCCTGGGCCCTCCTGGTCTATTCCTTGTACATCAGACTATCTTTGGCACTCACGGACCGTCAAGCGAATCGAGTTTTGAATCTTTCCTCGGTTTGGTTCCACTTATCTCCAAGGACAGCGATTTCTTTTCCGCCCATCTGAACATCCTTCATCCCACGAAACCAACGCCGGATTTTGCGTTGAATTATCTATCGAAACATATGGAGCCAACCCCTGACCCGCTTCGGAAGATTGACGGCATAACAGAAGCCAGGCAAAGTCGTTCTCGGATACAACTTTGTCTCGACACAGCAAAGCTCTGCCTCGAGACCAATCGCTTCAGAGAAGCGCATTGGGTTATGGACCTCCTACGTACCAACTATCCAAGACAACTCGGTGTCAAGGAGGGGGGTAGACAGTTGGAGCAGGCAAGAGCGGAGGCGTCGAGCCTAGAGCTATTGGAAAGACTCAGCCTAGCATAAGTGGAAGTTGGTCATGTTGTTTCGGCTTGGAGTTCAGGCATTGATTGCATTGCATCTTTGATTAGGAAGTGCAATGGACGGCGTTAGAAAGGCGGATACTCCATGAGGTATATAGCAAAGCGGCATTGGAGATTAACTCATGACTGGACGCTATCAATGAAGCATTTCAAAAGAACTGGAGCAGGTCTGCTGAACTGTTCACAGCTCCCGACGCGGGGATATCACACGCATCAATTTTCCGACAAACTCAGGAAATGTCCATTACAGCACGCTACCTTTCACAATATCATATAAATAGGTTGGCGTGCGGAAATTTAAGAGAAGCCAGTGCTGTCCCTTCAAGAATTGCCGAGGAGGTGTCCGTCGACCACCGTACCAGAATGATGACGCCCAAACCTCTCCCGTTTCTCCCTCCACTCTTGCACCAAACTTCGTTCGGTGCCACTCCTACGATGACCTGCATTAGTCCTGCACGGTCGCAGATTCACCATCAGAGGAGATGGAAGCAGACGGCGACCCTGGCGAGCCCAATGCCCTTCAATAGGGAGGCAGTGTACAGATTCTGTACATGCATCATATCAGGATATCAGAGAGCCTCGACGGGCACAAGAGACTTCAGGCTCGCATCTCAAATGCCTCTTCCCCGCACTCCCGCCCTCGCCCCCTTCGATTGGCCACGGCTGGCACGCCCGGCACGCCCCTCCTCATTCTCCACACCGTGATGCGATCAGCTGTGGCTTGATCTGGGTCAGGCTGACCCCTTCATCCTATTCGCTGCTTTTTGCCAGATCGAAGCTCTTACCTCAGCCCGGGGTGGTTTTCGTTTCCTTGCTGTGGTACCTCAATGATTAGCTCATCCGAGCCTCCTCTTCTGGACGTCGTTCCTTCCCCAACCTTCATTTTCCTGTCGCAACCCATCAATACTGAGCGCGCAGAACATCCAATTGGGAATTCCTAGTCGCGAGGTTCCATTATTCCAATATCTCACCCCAATTATCGATTCATCGAAGTTACAAATTCGAAGCACCAGCGTCATCCATCATGTCAGGACCTGAAGTCGGCGACAAAGGTACGTGAAGAAGGCACTTTCCTTACCCATAGGAATCAGTCAGTCGATATTCGGGTATCGAGGTTATATTGGAACATCCCAACTTTCATCAAAATCCCCAAAAACACTTCCTCGCGGGCATCGAGTACCACTTCACCACGATGGCACAAACCAACTACGGCGCAATCCTCTTCCACTTCTTCACTTCCAGTTATATGCATCCCTCCATTTCACAGTAATATCTATGAAACTAATACATCCCAACTAGTCTCTTGGAACTGGGGCGCTTCTCACCCGTCCGGAACTGCCTCCGAAGTCAAACCCGGCGAAGTGACCGTCGTCTCGCACCGCGGCAACGAGATCAGCAAGACCGGCGATGAGAGTAATCCCGCCGTGCACATCGAGCGCAACGGAAACGATGTCGTCAAGCTTGCAAATGAGCTCAACGTAGACAAGAAATCCTCGGACTCGGACACGAACGGCGCTTCTTCCTCTGAGCCCAAGAACGACGAGCAGAAGAAGGAGGACAAACAAGAGGAGAAAGTAGAGGAGAAAAAGGAACCGGAAAAGAACGACGCGGAGGAGAAAGAGGAGCCCAAGGAAGAGAAGAAGGAAGTGGAGAAGGAGTCGAATGGCGAGGCTCAGGTCGGAGATAAGCGAAAGGCAGATGAGAAGGTCGATGCTGTGACTGAGGAGAAGAATGGCGAGGAGGCAGCCAAAGAGGACGAAGCCAAGAAGCAAAAGACCAGCAACGGCACAGGTGCTTCCACTAACGGTGAGAAAGATAAGAAGAAGCCTGGTCGGCCAAAGGGGAACACCTCAAAGGCTCCCAAGAAAGAGAAGAAGGCCCCGGCTGTTGGTCGTGCTGAGAGGAGGACCAGAAGTCAAGGTGGTCTTTAAGCTATCCGCATGTTATGGAGATTAAAATGGGGGCTGGACTTGGATGGCGATCGGGTTTGGGTATGGCTCGGGGTTGGTATATGGGCTGACGGGTGGCAGGTATGGCTTTAAGGACTTGGTTCTTCTTTTTGCTTTGCTTGGTCTGTACATATCCGAAATTCAGTATCAAAAAGGACTATTTCTCTGACGCACATTCTCGCTCAATCGTTTGATGTTTGGAACCAAAATGCCTCGCTAGTTCAGCCTTTTTGTCTCAAGTGGCGCAATCGAAATGTCTCGGGAAACATCTCCATCGCAACTCCAACCCGGCTGCATGTCGAACTGTTTATGGACATTGAGTAAAGTTTTCTCACTACGCCTCAGGCGATGATTAATGTTGTAATCTTCACATTAAGGCAGTGACCTAGTTGTTTGTATTCCATTCAACTCTTAATTCATCATACTATCTTTTCCGATCCAGATCCTCCGTCAACAGCCCATCCTCCCCCTGTCCCTACCTCCCAAAAGTCAACGTCAAAACCCCCGGAATAGTAACCGCAAACGGCCCGGGACTCCCATTCGTAAACCTCAACGTCGTTCCCGCTCCCCACACACCAGTCTTCATCCCGAAATGAAGCTTTTGCCTCTCAACCATCGGCGCTTTGCTCATTATTGTCCCACCACTTGTCTTCGTCGCCATCCCCGCCCCAGTTGATATCAGAGTATTGAACGGTATAGCAAAATTCATCGTTGACGAAACAGTTGCAGCGGGCGTTGTACTAGCAGGCTACGAAGTCCCAGTCCAAGGGGGGAGAGGTAAAGAGAGAGTGACAGAATATGAAGGCACACAGTGGTCGGTGCACCAGCTCCAGTCGTTATCTGGTGTGTCGTTGTTTGTGCCTGCACAGGGCGTGCCGTAGGAGGCGTTGGCGATGCTTGTCCCGAGCCAGTTGCAGACGCAGTCGCGGGGTCCGCCGACCTGGGAAGGGGTTGGTTAGCTGCGTTGTAGGGGGGAAGAAGGGAAGAAGGTTTGAGAGGGGGGAAGGAGAGGAGTATCTACGTATGTACCTGAGAGCTGACGGAAGACTCTACAGCATTGATCGCGGTCGAGAGAGGGTGAGAGTTCTTAGGAGGCTTGAAGGATGTTTGGGGTTTTGTTGCAGGGATGCAAGGGTTGAAGGGAAGATGGAGAGAAGGGATAGTATGAGGTGTTTCATTTTGCTTTGCTCTTCTTGAGGCGAAGACTGAGTTGTCCGGGTTGCACTTTGAAGAGCTCGAAAAATACACTAATAAAACAAGGAATAATCTCGTCGATCATATATGTGAGATCATTGCCTAATAAGTAATAACCAAAAAGTGCAACTTCGAGCCGAGAAGTGCTTTTCTTATGTTTCCCTAGGGGTCTCATGGATAGATATTACTCCCTCTTCAGATTTGCTAAAGAGGTGAAGAACCGAAGAAGTGATCTGAGTATAGAAGGGCTACAGAACCTGAGCCACTCACTATTGTTTGTTGCCGGTAAAGATAAATTACCCATTGTCTGCGTGGAATGAAAGACGGATAAGGGTGAACAGTATATATGTTGGAGTATGGTGTTTCATGCAGATTCGTTGGTGGCTGTTATTTATGGTAAATATATATAAAGGCGGTTGAATATCCTGGTTCCTGCATAATCACCCATGTATCTGGTTTGGAGAATGTGATCGCGAGGTACCATATGCATTTGCTCTTTCATGTCTAGAGCTGTAAACTTTTGTGCCGTTTGGATTTTCTTTGGAGATCGTGACAGCTCTCGCAAATTTTGGGCACGTTTCACCGAGAGAGCCTTCTCTCATTCATATGGATCCGGATATGTGCCATTAGCAAAGAGTGGAAACGTGGTCCGTGGTAGTTGGAATAGGTTGCGAGCCTTAGCCCATGGCATCACAACCTTGCAGCGAGCCTTCTCTGCATCAGTCATGCTCTCCATCATAGTTCCGTTGTTGTGCAAAAGTAGCCGTCGTCTAGTAGCCAATGTCCAGGGCTCCCATCCCGCCAGATCTTTTCTTCTGAGCGTGTTAGGATCTAGGGTGAGAATGAAGCTTATCCAGTAGCTCTGAGTGACAGGCACGGCACCGGCGTTGCCCCCCTTTTCGTTCGGTATGTAGTAAGAGGGCGGAGGATTGCCATCGGTGTTATTCGGGCCCCAGATGGCATTCAGTTCCACGGTATGATAAACTCGATTGCCACTGGCTTCATCTCGAGGATCCAGGACATCGTAGTGGTAATGCCAGTTCTGTGTGTTGCCGGCATAAGCTAGCATGTCGGATTGGAAGTATGCTACGCATCGAATATCTGCCTCGCCGAACATCGCCGCGACACGCTGCCATTCATTACCAGCACCAGGATAAGTAGCATTCAATACCGCGCCTGAGAAGGTGACTTCATTGAGAGACTCTGGATAGGTTGTTTTCAATTCTTCAAGTTGTGCATCGGTGATGTTCCCTAGGTTTCTTCGTATATAAGAGTCCAAGTTCGTCGAGTTAACTGTCTTGTCAACATTCTTGGTTCCTTCGTCAGTTGTACTTCCATATATTGCGGGGACTTGGCGGAATCTTCTGCTTTCATAAAGCTGGTAGAGCGGGGCTACGAGGATATCGTTATCGATACAAGGACTCCATTGAAACCCTGGCGATTTGGTTTGTAGTTCCGTAACGTTAAGGCCTCGTAAGCAAGACAATGTATCTGTTTGATTAGAACACCCAGTGGCTTTGGTCAAATCATCGTAATGTGGTTGAAGGTCAACAACCTAGTAATGTTAGTAAGGGCTTACAATCCCAAAAACTAACTTTCTCTTCTAGAAACACTTCGAGGGCTCCAGGTTGGCAGATTGTCGTCATATGAGCATACAGAGAGCACTTACTTGGGCATTTCCAGCTAGGGCGGTACTTTCGGCAGCGACACCATGAAAATACCCCTATAGTAGTCAGCACCTGGCATTTCCGGCGCTTGAGTCTGCAGATAATACCGGAAGCCCTGTGCCATTGTAGGCAGCTTGGAGGAATGTGATGATCATAGCCCCAACGCTATCTCCCGTCAAAACAACATGATTAACGTCCCCTCCAAACTATAGGAACAGGTTACTGATGATCCTGCCCACACTTTGAGATGGTGAGCACGTACCAGACACGCTTTATCTTGAATCCATTGCAGGACAAATATCACTAAGAGACCGGAGTTAGCGGAATCTTAAAACCCGGTAAGTCCAACATACCATCTTTCAATCCATTATTAAGACTGCCACCTTCCAACACTTGCTTGCTGGCCAACAATCCAAGCAAACCTACGCGATAGTTGAGTGTAACGACCACCATATTCATGCCTGAATTCTCAACGAGCAGAGTGCCGTTGAAGTTGCCATTCGAATTGGAAGTCCATCCACCCCCTTGAACGAAAACCATGACAGGGAGCTTTGACCCCGTTGTGGCATTTGTCGGGGCGTATACATCAAGAAAAAGACAATCTTCATCCATAGGTTGCTTCCCATATTGCAGCCCTGGGCCAGCTTGATTGGCTAAGCAGAGCGTGCCATGCTGAGCGATTCTCAGCATCCATCCTTATCGTAGATCGTCGCCGTTAGGGTTGACTCACTTTATTGGCCTTCTGAACAGTCGAATTGTACTCTGGATGTGTGGGGCCCGCAAAACGCAATGGTCCCAAAGGCGGTGCCTAGAGGGGGAAGAAATCAGTCAAAAAGTCTCGAGAACAGCCAGTGTTGAAGAACTTACAGCATACCGGATGCCAAGCCATTGAGTAATACCTCCTGGCAAAGCGGTCCCTTCATATTTCGAGTAGCTCAGATCTACAATACTATCAACAGCTCCAACTGGAATAATGGACAAGCAAACCGCAAGAAATCCGGCGGTTTTCATGATGAAATACATGACAGTCGCAACGATGTCCAAAAAGGAAACATAATAAAAAGATGAGATGAAAGAACAAGAAAACACCTGTTGTCAATTGAAAGCAGCTAAGTGAGATATGTACCTCGCATATTCTCCATAGTGCAATGGATCCTGGAGCTCCGCGCTACCCACCTGTAACCTTGAAGAAGGTGGAAAGTATCGTGACCGGATGTTTCATCCAAACGAGATGAACACCTTTAGCCTGCACCTAGCATGCTCATTGCAGCAAACATCTTTGCTCAAAACATTAATGTGGTCCTCACCGACCCATGTAAAGCTGCTTGGCCTCAATCTGGAAGCTTGATGATCCGATGTTCCTGAAGGAATTGAGGTGCCGAGGAGAGATGAATGTAGGTACAGAGAAATCAGGCGGTGAACTTAGCAGAACGGACCTAATCCTGGCCCAGTAAGCATTGAGAGTATGCTCCCTGGCGTAAACACCAGACTATTGATGCAGAACAAACTTGTTTCTTCGCATAATTGCTGTATCCTCCGTAGAAGATAGCTGATGGAAATAGTTGCAGCTTCTTCCCAAATGATGTCTCCATCTTTCGTCATGTGATCAACAGGGGTATTTGGGCATTTCCATTCTTCCGAACAGGCATAATCATCCAAGAATAATGATTTGACGAGACCAGCAGTTATGCAGTGCGAAATTTTGATTACTTCGTGCTACGTGGGAGTTTGGCGATCGGCATGTAAGCGTTTCAAGCGCCAAAGCTTCGCCGCTCGTATTCGAGGCTACGAGTACAAGTGGCTGGAAGCTTCAGGCAACTACATCTCAACCTCTTCTCAATCCAGGGGCTTCCCCAGAAGTATCTGGATCGTTCATACCATCAAATACAAATTGATTACCTACCACCAAAGGCAAAATGTCTTCTGACGAGTTCGTCCACGTCTCTACAGGGCACGGTGGTGGACCCAATCCATACTCGTCAGTCTCTGAGGACTTCTTCAATAACACCAAGGGAGATCGACAATACACAGAAGGGTACATCACTGCTTCGATTCGCCAGAAACATCCCAAATATCACCTCACCATCTCTACAGGCTACAACCTCAATTTGCTCGGCTTTGCTGATTCACGAGCCGATGCTACATACACTCCCCACATTGATGCCAAGGAAACGCTGGTGGAAAGGCAATTCATGCCACCAGCAAGAAGGTATAATGATGAACTGGGTGGCGCTTTTGTTGATAAGGTTGTCTTCGCATGTTACGACTACACTTTCAAGGGGAACCAATTTCTGGTCTACATAGTTGATGGGCACGATGGGCCATATCACCCCCCACCGTACCACTATATTCTCACCGAGGACTCCAAAGAAGATAACCAGGCTTCTGCTCAGAAGAAAACGGATGAGTTGCTCGCGGAAGCATCAAAATGGTCGCAGGATCTTCATGGCGAGGTCTATGTGTTTGACCAGGGATTCTGGCAGAAAAACAGAGAGCTGTGGCAGAATATCCAGAAATCGAATTGGGAGGATGTCATTTTGGAGAAGGAGAAGAAGGAAGCTATCATCGAAGATGTTATTGGGTTCTTTGACTCAGAAAGTCGTTATTCTGAGTTCGGTGTGCCTTGGAAAGTGAGCGTTTGCGGATATCCCAAGACGCTATATATTAACTCGTTATTCTAGAGAGGCGTGATATTCTACGGTCCACCAGGGGTAAGTGAGTCGAATTGTATCAAACATATTACACTGACAAGGTCCCCCTTAGAATGGGAAAACTATCTCCACCAAGGCACTTATGCACGACATAAGCAAGAGAACCTCCCCAGCAATCGAATCGCTGTACGTGAAGACTTTCAACAGCTTTCAGGGGCCAGAATACGGCATACGCCAGATATTTCTCATGGCTCGACGAATGGCACCATGTCTCCTCGTGTTCGAAGACATCGACTCTCTCGTTAGTCCCATGGTGAGAAGCTACTTCCTCAACGAAGTTGACGGGTTGGAATCGAACCACGGAATCTTGATGATTGGAAGCACGAACCATCTTGAGCAATTGGACCCAGGAATTGCCAAGCGACCAAGTCGATTCGACAGGAAGTACCTGTTCGATGTACCCACTCGCGAAGAAAGAATCCAGTACTGCGAGTATTGGCGTCACAAGTTGCGAAACAACAAGAAGGTGGAATTTCCACCACAGATGTCCGCCAGGTTTGCTGATATCACTGGTGATTTTTCCTTTGCGTATATGAAGGAGGCCTTCGTCGCTGCATTGTTGGTCATTGTTGCTCGGACGGACGAGAAGCGAAGATTCAGACACCGAGAGGACGATCTCAGTGACAACATTCTCTGGAAGGAGCTGAAGAAACAAGTCGAGGCTCTGAGGAAGGAGATGGAGGATGAGAGTGATAATGTTGCCAGTCCGAGCATGAGTGGGATGTGGCCTGCTCTCAACAGCATCTTTGATGAGCATCGAGCAAGGCCCATAGACATCAACAGTGCCATGCCTAGATACTTCTAGTTTTCGGGTCTGCAGCATAAGGGGCAAAAATAGTAATTCACGATATTATCAATTAGGTTGTCTGTATGCGGTCTTCCTACAGTTTCCATGCGTGCCATGCAAAGGGTATCTTGAGCTCAAATAAATCCCAGAGGCAAGCCTCACTCATCGTCCAGTATCCTGCTAGCTAGTGGACCAAAGAATGGCACTTCAAATCTGTCTAATGTGTCCGCTGCAGAAATGTCAGTGAGCTATTCATGTGCAAAGGAGGGCCAGCACTCGCCATCCCGGTAGGCCCTAAACGTAAGGAGCCCAATCAACCCCAAATCACCAATAAATATCAACCAAGAAAGGAACGTGGACCACGAGAAGACCAAATGCAGCACGAATATCGCAGAGAACAGCAGCTGCCCAGCGAATTAGCATGGTAAAACCCCGACGAGGCGTGAGGGAGCTGAGAGCTTCGGGGCCACCCTGCTGCCAAGAAACAAGGCCAAAGGAACTATGCCAGTTCCCGAAACAGCTCCTGGGCTCCTAGCTTCCATAGAAGGCAAGAGCAAATTGGTATGAGGATAAGCCTTACCGCTGATTGCCATGCATGGAATCTGCCTCCCATTAGCACATCGATTCCCATGATTCCACCATTCCGGACTCACCTAACATAATCACTCTTCTGCTCCATCACCAGAAGCAGTACTCCCCCAGCAGGCGGTAGCAGAAGATATGCCAGGCAGGCCTCATAATCCAATCTGATCGGAAGGCTTGTATCGAACTCGTTCAACCTCCCCCTGCCACTCTCAATGTCCCCTCCAAACCCACCATTACCTCCACTATTTCCGAACGCCCTCGCAGAGCTATCATGAGTCGGCGCCCAAGGATTCACAGATGGTTTCGGAGTGTTCGTGGGAGATGGGAAAGCTGGGGAACGCTGGCCGCCAGGTGAGAAAGAGCGTCGGCCTTCGATCGGCGGTGGAGAGAGGGCTCGATTCGTCTCAGGAGATTGATCTTGGTAGGGCGCGAAATCAGCCATTATGGAATTGTGTTGAACAGTACTATCTTGCAAGCATTGTTTGAGATTTCGAAGTTATGGAGCTTCTGGCCCAAGAGACGCGTATCTTGGGGTCTCGTGCTCGCTTGGCAAAATGTATGTCTTGGTTTTGCTCGCGAGATGTTCGAAGAATTCTTGGCTTGATTCGACAAAAACTTGTACAATTGTTGGATCAGCCGCTGATGCTTTCTTGCCGGATTAAGTAATCCTAGATCGACAGTGTCGAGTTTGCCTAAACTATCTCGTGTTGCAATCAGTTTAAGTGTTGAACCAGCTCATCATGCTCCAGTGGGCCTGCCGAAACTCTTGCTTTATTGATGAGGCGGAGCTCGTGCCATACCACCATACCATACTTCTTGGGAGAGTGCCTGGGTTGGGAGTTGGGTCTCGGTGGATACCGGCTTATGGTAAAGAAGATACAACCGGAATTTCATTCAATACCTGACAAAAAGAATTGTGCTTAAAAACAACAGGTCTGTAAAGAGAGGATCGGGCGGCGTGGTAAAGTTGGGACGTGTCTCGCAGTTTACTTCCTGTTCATTTGAGTATGGCTGGAGAGGCGTGGGGGAAAGCATACCTTTGATTTGTTTCTCCAAAGATCTATCTCTTCTACCTTCCTTCCCTAATCATAGACCCCTTCGTCCATTGTCGAGCTTCCTTCTCTTGCAACTCAAACTACCAGCACGCCTCCCGCTCCCTCCCTCTCACGCCCTCTAAAATTCAACCGCTCGTCCTCTCCCCAGCTTTGGTCCATCCACTCATTCTCAGATGCAAAATTCACACCCGTTTGCCTTCTTGGTTAGTCAGTTACCTTCTTCAATTGAGTATAATGGCATCTCCACTCTTGACCAAGGAACAGCTTCGACGGATTCGACAGATGCGAGCACGGAAACTAATTCTCTCTCCTGAGGATCTCGGAGGGATGCGTCGGGCCAATGCTGAGATTAATGCAATTGGACCTCTTCGCAAAGCTACGCGAAGACCTAATGGCCTACAAGGCATGCTGTCCCAACGAGATCTCTACCTCACTTCTGGCTCTCCATAAGGACGCGACCCCGTCGTACCAAACCTATCAGATTCCGTATACCCACGAGCTGTACCCTAATCTGATCCCCAGTCCCATAAGTTCTCGACATTAGCAAATCCTTCGCACCATGACATCAACGCTTCCGGCATCGATGAAGGTTCACCTCAGCAGAATGTGTCTCAAAACGACGGATACACCTCTCCCAGCACTCTCTCCAACGACTCGACGGAATCCGAGTGGGAAGATATCGAAAAAAATTTGCCCTAGCGATGACTCCACTCGACCCAACCTGTCTCAAGATAAAGAATCGCTCGCTCTCGATGTTCTCCTTAACGACTCTGCGGGGGCCGTTTGGGAAGACGTTGAAGATTCTGGCACCGACGAGGACTTGTCTCAGGACAGACAGTATCCCTCTCCTGGCACTTCCCTCACGGAGACTCCCCTCCTCAAGCTTGAGAATATATGACGTTGCTAGATCTTCAACTGGCATGAAAGGCTTCGCAGTCTCTGCCCGGGTGTCTCGATCCACAAGAAACGTACAGTTTGCCTCCCGGGCGAAGTATCAAGTCAGCCCAGGTGCACGGGAATTCTATGCTTCTTTGTTTGGATCCTCTCGGGGTATGCTAAGAAACATAGCCCACAGTCGAGACAAATTGGTCCAGCCACTATCCTGGCCTGGTCCAAGAAATGCTCATCGACCTTGATATTCTGTGGGTGGAATGCGTTGTCGTCGTTTTGTCATCATTCTAGTTCGAGTGCTGGTGGCTCTGATCACGATTCAGATCCGTATTCTCGTTCAACAACTACAAGACTATCTATCAATTCGGACCAAGCATGCCCGAAATGTCTTGACCCACCTATCGACAAAAATCGGTGCTCCACTAGGACGATATTTCAGAGTCCTAGAGGCCACCAACAGCGTGAAGTACATTGATAATGACGTCAATCGTGAGCTACTCACTCTCACCAGATAATTATCGGTGTCAAACTGTCTCGTATTCTTACCGCGAAGCAAGTCATTAGCCGATCATAACAAATATTCCATTTGTCGTCAGGAGCCTCGGCATCAGCACTCAGTCGATTGCAAGAAGTAATGCGAGCAGCGCCTTCATACCTTTACCGCAATCGAGATCATGGACGAGTCATATTTCACGCAGCAGCCGCGACTTGAACGAAAGAGGAGATCTGCCGAGAAAGATGCAGACACAAGACCAGCGAAGAGACGCAAAGGCGAGAAGCCTTGCTGTTAATGGGGTAAACAGAAATTTGTGAGATTGTCGTATCAATTGTGCTCAAGATCCTCAGCACATCCATAAACGAGGGCCGGGCGTGGTGACCGTTGTAGTTATATACAATATATTGACATTAGTCATAGGGCATAGCGACACTCGGCACTAACTGAACCGGGCCTGCGAGAGTAGACGTAAGGACATTTGATGCACAGGCGTACTGATCTCTCAATATCCCCACTCAACGTACAACTCCCTAGTCTATTTCTTAAAGTTAGAAAGTCTTGCCTTTGCTGTCGACACAGATGACCCCAACCGACTCAGAGTTCTAGAAAGTCTTCTAAGCCTAGCCTGTTCTGATAATTATGATGTCTTGCAAATCAGGGTCATCGAACATTGGCCCTAGCTACGCAGCATCATACTTCAAATCTAGCATAGCAGTGATAGGGCGTGCTTGTTCTATATCTTGAATATGTGCCAAATGTTGAGTTAAGAGGGCGTCGTCGAAGGGGAGGTTGACTGATTTTGCGTTAAAGCCATGCCAACCCTTCGAAGTTATAGAAGAAGCAGTCCGCACCGAAGTTAATGTAAAGCGTTCGCTCCGGTGACGGAAGGCTTTGCTGCCGGGTGGTTTGCTGACTGGTCCCCCCCCCCCCTCTCCACTCAGCACTTCTAGCAGTATTGAAGTCCTTCTCTGCGCGCCTCGTTGCAGAGCTGGAGGATAGCTGGCGTGGGGTTCTTGACTTCTACGAGTGGTGTTAGTACCTCCTCGTCCCGCCCGGAATTAGGAGCAAGCCGAATATCATGCTGAGTCGAGATAGTATAGCTCGATAAAATCGCTCTTGGTTCGCTACGAGCCGTCAGACTGGAGGCCTGAACCCAATCAGCAACTTGGAGGATAATGTAAATCTTGAGAGGGGGCTTGTTGGGATGTCGGATGCCCCATGATCCAGAGAAAAAGAGTGGTAGGTCACAATCTATTTCAGCCTTTTGACCCCGATACATTGCAAGTGAATCAAGAGTTCAATATTCACGGCCGACACGATGCCATGCCGTACCTACACTCTGAACGCTGAAAGCAAAGAGTTCTCAAATTAACTCCTCGAATGCCGTACCCCTTGACGGGCTATTCGCATTCGTATGTAAAACCCCGATGCCATGCACGTTTACAAGTTCCCTCCTGTCCTGTTGCCGAAGAAGGGTACCTGTTCCCTCTGTTTCCTTTCCAAGTTGTATCTCCCAATGGTCGTCACTCGTCATTCATCGAAATTCCATGGCTGCGAAGCATCCTCGATCCTCAACATGCTTCAATTCTAGTTGTTGAAACCTAGAGATCATATTAGAAATGTAAAAGTGCAAAATTCATATAGCCTTTGCTTACTTCTCACTCTTTGCATGGAAGTATATTCCGCTGACCGTCCCCTGAATCTGGTTGAAGCAGATGTAGTAAAAGCCTTCAAAACTAGCCCCAGTGATTGTTCGCACTCGGTGATCAGGAACCAAAAAATGTTCCTTCCACCTCATGAAGATATTCTCTCGTTGCGCCATTCCCGGAATATGAAAGTTGCCCTTCCGGGCTTGCTTCTGAAATGGTCGGAAAGCGGAGAATTTTGCCCAATGTTGTAGATCGACCTTGTCAGTCGAGCCCCAGTCTTGATGTTGAGTGAGGAACGTGTATTTCGATCCAATGATCTCGCCTTCGAAATAGGTAGTGAGGGTTGGGTGTTCGTCGGTCAGTCCTGTTGAAACAAAACATCAGCCAAAAGCCAGCCCAAAACAGGGATAGATCGGTGTCATCCCATACCTTGAATTCGAAGATATCCACAGAGAAATGACTCTCTCATATCAACGTGCTTGATTTCAACCTGGACTGCGTATTCTGAGCGCTCCGATTGCTGAGTACCCTTGAACTTGCTGCCCGCGCGCAGGAAGGATGAAGGAGAAGAAGGTATGAGCTGAGGACGTAGTCAGTCTCTATAAGTCTAGAGCCCAACTCTGTAGATGGATACTCACTCGGATGTTGGAGAAGTCATAGCCCATCGAGGGTGAGCCAAGATCAGAGCGAGTCAATTGATGTAGGTCACTCTCATCTTGTTGCTTGTCTGTCTCTGTACTCATAGGCGATAGCATATCAGGTGCTGAAGCCTCTTCGTCGATATCCATTCGTTTGCCTTGTTGCTGCTCTGCAATGTGGGTATCCGTTGAACCGGTTGTATGAGACTCGGGCGGCGAAGGGCTTGGTTGCTGAAGCACTTCTGGCGCGGGTACGTTCGCTTCAACGAGGCCGTCTTCCATCTCTATACTCCTCCAGCTTGATCTGTCCTCGTCGGGTGGGCATGAGGAGTGTATTGAAGGCGCCGGCAGCATGTTCTCGTTGCTCTGAGGCGTAGGCATCTGGTCGCGCCCGCACAGGCTTGGGGAAAATGGAAGTGCAGTCTAATGATACAAGAGAAGAATGAGATCCAATAGGTGTCGACAACTAGATGGGCATTGTCGCTGTGGTGCGATACATTTTCACAAGATCGATGATAGTGAGCCTTGATATGGAGAAGGCTTCGTTCGATTGGGCCTTGTTCGGAGGCAAGCCAAGCGACGTCGCACCTTCCCCGCGCTTTCAGTCGCAAGTAAGTACCAACTGCTGAAGTAGCCCGTCAAAGTTTGGATCACTATTGCTCAACATGCGTTTCTTTGCAGAGTGATGGGTGTCAGGATGACTTGAGTAACGGACTTCGTGTTCCTAAGTCAGATACACAAAAATACTTGTTCTTGGTGTAGAGCCTCGTCGCTTGCAAGGCTCGGGTTAATACTTCGTTTACAGAGCTGCAGTGCTTGTTTGATGCCAGTGCTCGTCCCATACAGCCATCGAGTGCACAAACAACGCAAAAGTAGTTTTGGGCCATGGCGAATATGCCTTGCTTTCCTGCCCAGCTCTATGGTATCCCATTTTGCGAAATACGAAACGCCATACTCCCATTGCCATAGCCCGTCGAAAATCATTTCCTCAGATAGGCTTGATCTTGAAATGCAATGCTATCAAGGAGAACACCAACGCCTTAAGATCTTGGACGAGATAGTAGAAGACACGCAGACCTTCCGGGTCTTGCGATTCTGTGACGTCGACAAGAGATCCAATCTTAGCAGTCTGAATCGAGATCAATTAGTAAATTGAGCTGGCTGGGGGAGGGAACTGGTCTGATTCGTACCTCAAAGGAAATATGCTCGCTACCCATCCGAATCTCTAACTCCTGTCGCCCATCCTTATTCTTTTGTGGCCATTTACTATCGTCTTCCCTGTCTAACCGTAAGCACAGAGAAGGGCTTTGGATTGCGAGAAATATACTTCATGATCTCGCTGGTCTTGATGATGCGCTTGATCTCGTCGACCATAAGGGAACTGACACACACTGGTAGAGAATCCCAAGTCAGTCCAATTCTGTAGGGAGCGTGGAACAGTTGACGCACTCTCTTTTCGGATGAGGGAATCATTTCGATAGTTGGAATTGTTCGCATATCGAGCAGACGCGCTCCTTCCATCACCTAAAACTCTGAAGTCGAATTCTATTTCAAAGTATCAGCTTCCGTCAAGTTCACACGCGCTGAGTGCGTACCAAGAAATTCATGGCCATGTCGCCCTGAATGCCCTGAGCTACAGAAGGATTAGCAGATTTCAGGTTGATTGCCAAAACATCTTACTAGTAGCGAATGTAGAAGGGCTCATTAGATGCAGCCATTGTGACCTGGATTGTTCTGTGTGGATGTCAAGGTGGTGCTTTCTAAAAGGCTGGAGTTTTTGAGTTTAGAGTCGCGGTTTCCATTGGGTGGGGTTGGTGCCTTGCGAAGATCAGGCACCAACCCACTTCTCTAGAATTGAACACGGCGGCATTCAGAAAGTGAACACCACAATCTCAAATACGGTCAAGAACATCTAATGCGCAGCCCCGCCGTCCGTTTCCCTACCTGTGCGAAAGGTCCGTTAATCACCTTCTCAACTCTAATCATTCGCCCCCTATTTCGATCGAGTCCGCCATAGATTTCGAGAATCCCACAACCCGAGCTTCAATATCCATTACGCTATCCTCCATCTCCACGAGACAATAATCTGCGCGGTGTCCTGCAGCATACACTGCAGACACAGCCAGTATGGCTTCCTTCTTGGAGAACTCGTATAGCTTGGTACATCAAGATAATGCGGCGGACGTACCTACCATGTCCGAGTTGCGGACACAGCTAGAGAAGGGGACAGATGAGAGCAAGGTGGAAACAATGAAGCGCATTCTCACTATCATGCTGAACGGCGACCCAATGCCTCAACTTCTCATGCACATCATTCGATTTGTTATGCCTTCAAAGCACAAGGCTCTCAAAAAACTATTGTATTTCTACTATGAAATATGTCCAAAGCTCGACGCTAGCGGAAAGTTGAAGCAAGAGATGATTCTAGTCTGGTGAGAGCTCCTTTGAAAGTCTTCTTAAAGAGGAGTTACTAATTAAATTCCAGCAACGGCATCCGAAATGATCTCCAACATCCCAATGAATACATTCGGGGAAATACCTTGCGATTCCTGTGCAAGCTTCGGGAAGCCGAGCTCATCGAACCTCTCCTTTCCTCCGCTCGCTCCTGCCTCGAACATCGTCACGCCTATGTACGAAAGAATGCTGTCTTTGCTGTTGCCGCCATCTTCCAGCACTCAGAAAGTCTGATTCCCGACGCCCCTGAGCTCATTGCTACTTTCCTGGAGACCGAGACCGACGCCACTTGCAAGAGAAATGCATTCGCAGCGTTAGTTAGCATTAGCCATGACAAGGCGTTGGCATACCTCAGCAATGTCTTCGATGGAATACCAAATGCGGACGAGCTTTTACAACTGGTTGAGTTGGAATTCATCAGAAAAGATGCTGTTGAGAACTCGCAAAACAAGGTACGAATCGTGGGGCTGTTTTAACATAAATCCTGACGTGTCTAGGCCCGCTATCTACGCCTCATATTTGACCTGTTAGAGGCCGGAGCGTCAACGGTTGTCTACGAAGCAGCCTCGTCATTGACAGCTCTGACAAGTAATCCCGTAGCAGTCAAGGCCGCGGCCTCCAAATTCATTGAGTTGAGTATCAAGGAAGCAGACAACAATGTCAAACTTATTGTTCTCGACCGTGTGAACACTTTGAGACAGAAAAATGAGGGTGTGTTAGACGACCTTACCATGGAGATCCTCCGAGTTTTGTCAAGTCCAGATATCGACGTCCGAAGGAAAGCTCTAGAGATTGCTCTTGAAATGGTCTCCAGCAAGAACGTCGAAGAAGTTGTCTTACTCTTGAAGAAGGAGCTATCCAAGACGGTGGATCAAGAATACGAGAAGAACAACGAGTACCGACAATTGCTGATCCACTCGATACATCAATGCGCCATCAAGTTTTCGGAAGTGGCTGCTAGTGTTGTTGGTCTCTTGATGGACTTCATTGCGGATTTCAACAATACCTCAGCAGTAGATGTGATTTCTTTCGTGAAGGAGGTTGTAGAAAAGTTCCCAAAACTCCGACCCTCAATTGTGGAGCGTCTCGTCTCAACACTGAGCGAAGTTCGGGCAGGGAAGGTCTACCGCGGCGCACTCTGGATAGTTGGAGAATACTCTCTGGAGGCAAATGACATTCGAGATGCATGGAAACGGATACGGGCAAGCTTAGGCGAGATCCCAATTTTGGCGTCGGAGCAAAGACTTCTTGACGAAGCAACAGATGGCCAGGTGCCTCCTAAAGAGGCAGAGCAAGTGAACGGACACTCAAAGGCGGCACCAACAGGATCACGAAGAGTTCTCGCAGATGGCACTTATGCTACTGAGAGCGCCCTAACAAGTCAGTCCGCAGTGGCTGCAAAACTAGAAGCTGTCAAAGCCGCTCAAAAACCACCCCTTCGACAACTCATTCTCGATGGCGACTATTACCTGGCATCGGTGCTCTCTTCTACCCTTACCAAGCTTGTTATGCGTCATTCGGAGATCTCACCGGACAAGGCACGCACGAATGCATTACGTGCTGAGGCCATGTTGATCATGATCTCCATCATACGTGTTGGCCAATCACAATTCGTCAAAGCCCCCATTGACGAAGATTCCGTGGACAGAATCATGTCTTGTGTAAGATCTCTCGCCGAATTCGCGCAGAACAAGGACCTCGAGACCGTTTTCTTGGACGACACGCGAAAAGCTTTCCGAGCGATGGTGCAAGTGGAGGAGAAGAAGCGCGCGGCTAAAGAGGCCGTCGAGAAAGCCAAGACTGCTGTTCAGGTTGACGACGTTGTCTTGATCAGACAATTGGCGAAGAAAAATGCTGGTGATGGAACCGATGAGATTGAACTGGACCTCGAGAAGGCTACAGGCGGCGATTCTACAGTCGAGGATCTGAGTTCGAAGTTAAGCCGCGTTGTACAACTGACCGGTTTCTCAGATCCCGTATATGCAGAGGCATATGTCAAGGTCCATCAATTCGACATCGTGCTCGATGTTCTACTGGTCAACCAGACTACCGAAACTCTACAGAATCTTTCCGTGGAGTTTGCTACCCTGGGAGATCTGAAGGTTGTCGAGCGGCCAACTACTCAAAATCTTGGACCACATGACTTCCAAAACGTCCAAACCACAATCAAAGTCTCATCGACAGACACAGGGGTCATCTTTGGAAACGTGGTCTATGACGGTGCTAGCTCTACGGAGAACAACGTAGTCATTCTGAACGATGTACATGTCGACATCATGGATTACATTCAGCCAGCAGTCTGTACGGAGACACAGTTCAGAACCATGTGGACAGAGTTTGAGTGGGAGAATAAGGTCAACATCAACTCGAAAGCGAAGTCATTACGAGATTTCCTCACACAACTTATGGCCTGTACGAACATGAGTTGTCTCACTCCTGAAGCCTCTTTGAAGGGTGACTGCCAATTCCTGAGCGCTAATTTATATGCCCGTAGCGTCTTTGGTAAGTTACACTCTCCTGTTATCGCTGCTTTAGACTCACAATCTCTAGGTGAGGATGCACTTGCAAACCTGAGCATCGAGAAGGAAGGTGAGGATGGGCCAGTCACCGGCTTTGTCAGAATCCGAAGTAGATCTCAGGGTCTAGCGCTCAGTCTCGGGTCACTGAAAGGCCTGAACAAAGTTGGAGAGGCCGCTTGATAGAAGAAAATTCCATCATGGAATAGGATCGTCCGGACTGCAATCCAGTGGACTTACCAGTATGGCGCTTCCTACTGAATACTGAAGCTAGAAATGTCCAGCGAAGTAAAGCGCATATGAAGAAAGGGCGTCGGGTAGAACCATTTGTCAGCGAATTAGGGACGCTTCGATGCGAATCACCGTGACTGGTGCAGAAAAGCTAAAAGGAGTTATCTAGATGCAGAGAGGGGTATTGCAATAAATATCGATGTCCTGATATATCGTCCCTGCATGAAAGGTAGACCCTTGCATGGCATGTGATGCCGCTCGGGTCGGACTGCATTACTTGTGTTGTTGATTTTTGGGTCCTAGTGCCTGATTAGGGCACTAGCCGAAGGGGCCTGCTCGGGTCGAATGGACCCTGATGTCCGCCCTGAGGGAGGCGGACCGAAAATGTCTGGATCCGGTTTTTGCCCCCCTCGCGGCTGCTTCTTGTATAGAAGCCTAGACCTCATTCGGCACCTGCCCCTTCTCGCATGACCCATCCGTGCTTGCGCAGCAAGTGAAGCTCCCAGAAAGGGCCGAGGTGAGCGAGGAAAAATCACGCGGATTCCGCGCTCAGTGAACATCACCCATGACCTGCATCGACACACTCAGCAGCAACATCTACCACCAACACCACTACCACCACCAACCATCACAAAGGACAACTATTCAGAGAAGACCATGCTTTGCGATTTCGAGGGCTAACAAGATATGACCACTTCTGCTATGGCGACTGACAATCCATTTGTCGATCCGGCCTCCAGCTTTGAGGACGGCCGGGGCAACTCATTCGAAGGCTCCACCGTATCCGTTGCGCGAGACGCATCGCTGACTTTAGGCACCGATTCTCTCATCGTGCTGGATGAGGCCTTTGAGAAGAGAGATCGTTCCAATTGTTGCGGACTATGGCCTTCGGGTACGTTCCGGTATCTCCTTTCGTATTCCTTCTGCTGACATGTACTCTCCAGGATCCGCCAACACCCGCGCAATACCTTTCTACAACGTACTATGGGCCGAGCTCAAGGACTCCGAGCTTACAATACAATATGCCTCACCAAACTCCAAGAAATCGGTCAGAGCGGCTACACTTAAATACCCAATCGAATACCAGATGGTAGAGCTGGTGAACAAATGGGTGAAGAAGCTGTTAGATCGTTCATACGGCGAATCTCAACAGAGGAAGAGGGCGAAAGTCCTGGTCAATCCGCATAGTGGCAAAGGAAGTGCGGAAAAGTGGTATTTCCGGGATGTCGAGCCTCTGTTGAAAGCAGCGCAAATTACTATCGATATGGTCAAAACGAGACACAAAGGGGAGGCGGTTGATATCGCAGAGAAGATCGACATCGAGGCGTTCGATATTGTTGCCTCCTGCTCTGGTGATGGACTTCCCCACGAGGTTTTCAACGGACTGGGGAAGAGACCTGATGCAAAGAAGGCACTTTCCAAGATTGCCGTGGTGCACATTCCATGTGGGAGTGGTAACGCCATGAGCTGCAACTTGAACGGTACGGACAGTCCGAGTTTGGCTACTTTGGCTATCATCAAGGGCATTCCTACACCCTTGGACTTGATTTCAATCACCCAAGGAGATACCAGAACTCTCAGTTTCCTCTCACAGTCTCTTGGTATTGTGGCAGAGTCGGACCTGGCTACTGAGCATTTGCGATGGATGGGTGGTCAAAGATTCACATATGGATTCTTGGTTCGACTAATACGGAAGGCCCTCTATCCTTGTGACATCGCAATAAAGGTGGCTATTGATGATAAACCATCAATCAGGGAACATTATAAAAAGGAGCAGAGAAACCACGAACCTGCGGGTGAGCGACGAGGGTATAAGTTTCTCTTGGACGACGATGCATCCGCCAGTACTGGCAGTGGCAGTGACGATAGTCTTCCTCCGTTGAGATATGGAACGGTCAATGACAAGTTACCGCAAGGGTGGGAGCTGGTTCCTTATGACAAGCTTGGGAACTTTTATTGTGGAAATGTGGGCATTCTCCTCTTATTCTTAGAATACTGCTGACAATTTCAGATGGCCTACATGGCCTCAGATGCAAACTTCTTCTCGCCAGCTCTTCCAAATGACGGCTATATGGATCTCGTCTGCATCAACGGGGACATCAGCCGCCTTGAAGCGATGCAAATGATGTTTGCACTCGAGGGCAACAAGTTATTTGACAAGCCCGGAGTTTGGTACCGCAAGATTACCGGATACCGTATCATTCCCAAGAACCAAGAGGACGGCTTCATTAGTATAGACGGCGAACGTGTTCCTTTCGCGCCATTCCAAGCAGAAATACATAAAGGACTGGGAACGGTCCTCTCAAAAACAGGCCATATGTATGAGGCGCCAGGGCCGGTCTGATTTCCTTTGGATTTAGGGGCGTTTTTGTTTTACCCAGGTTCTCTTCTCGACTTACAAAAGATACCCAGCAGAGGTGGCTTCGCTAACGCGACTTAAGTGACATTTGAGCTCGTTCCGTATATTGAGCCAAAGAATTATTATGCATTTCGTCCGTAACGCCTTGCTGTTGTGACCTGTGAACAATCCTTCCCTACAAGCAAAACTTTCCTCACGAACTTATTCATGAATTCCACCCCACCCATCATCCAGTTCCTCTTCTTCCACCTGCTCATTCCCCGGCAGCCTCTCATCACACAACGCCTCCTTCGCCTTTTTCCTCACAGCCTTCGTAGGGCTGTCCTTCGCCAGTTTCCTCACCAGCTCAAGCAAATTCTCCAATACTTCCTCATTCCCCTCCTCAAGCATGCCCACTTTCTCCAACTCATCAACCCAAAGATCCAAAACATGAAACCGGATGCCATTCGGGACCCTGAGATCCTCAACATTCAACGGCACCTCTCCCCACAATTCCTTCATCTCTCCAACTTCCTCCTCCTTCCATCCTCCCTTCTTCAGCTGCTCAAAGCTAGCACCCACATACCGCCTCACTAGCAGTAAGAACTTCTCCATCCGTAAAACATCGATGTTCAACCACTCTCTTTGCATTGTCTGCCAGAATGCGCGCAGGAAAGGAATTACTGTTTCTGAGGGGAGGATGGAGATTAGAGAGGCGAGAGAGGTGCAGAGGTTTTGTTGCGGGATTGGACGGTCAGACATCCAGAGGCAGTAGAAGAGGCCTTTCCATAGTTTTAAGAGCTCGAGAGGTGGGAGGTCGCGCCGGCCGGAGAGAAAGGTCTTCAAGGATTCGAGGGCTTTGTCGCGGGTTGGTCGGTCTGGTGGGGTATTAATTGGTGATTTTAAGAGGAAATGGGATTGGTACCATTAGCAGCGAGCTGCTTGATAAACGGTGTTTGTTGGATGTCTGATGCCATTGCCGTATTCTGGTGGCTTCAATGTACAAGAAAGGCCGAGGACAATCAACTCAAATTGTACTTGAGAGACCGAGAACAAATGTTTCGAGAAATCAGAACATTTTTCAAGGTCCGTGCACCGGGCTGACGTAGCTGTTCAGCCTTGCACTAAAAATGCCTGCACGACTGCATAAACACCGGCCTCCGACATCCACCGTCTGCAATCACCCAATCAGCGTCGATACCGAGAGCCACCCTTGACTGGCCCACCATGGATCAACCAGCCTCTTCATTATCCCGCATCTCATCCTACCTCATTGTTCCTCGATCTCAGGGATAATTCCGTTCCGCGTAGATGTTCATTGACCTCAACAAAGAAGGAGACCCATCCAACTCCCGCACCATGGCCGAGTACATGAGGAGAAGCCATTTCTACCATCACATGCAAAAGAAGGCGCAATACGCGGAGGAGGAGAGGCGATGCCATTTCTGTCAATTCCGGGCCTTCTCCATTGCTCAACCTCCCCACTGCTACACCATGGCCGTCACGAATGAGGTGGACAAGGAGTGGATATCTCTAGACTTTCGGTTTATCGAGAAATGTGTTCTAGGCAAGGACGTTCAGAAGAGTCTGGCCGAGGAGGGTTTCCGCAGTGGTTGCGATTGCAGGGAGGATACCGCCTGCGCGAAGGAATGCGAGTGTTTGTCCGACTTGGATCCTGACAACATCATCAATCCCGACTTCAAGAATGCTTATTACACCGCTGGTCCACGCAAGGGTCTTCTCAGATACGAGATTCTCGAACTCAGCTCTGATGAGATTTACGAGTGTTCGGACCTGTGTGCTTGCTCTGAAGACTGTCCCAATCGCGTTGTTGGCCGTGGCCGCAAGTTCAATATTGAGGTCTTCAAGACCAAAGACGGACGTGGTTTTGGTGTGTTATCTACGTGTCAGACCTCGTTTACAAGCTGTTCTAACATATTTCGCAGGAGTACGCGCCAGAGAGGACATTCGGAAGGGGCAATTCGTTGATAAGTACGTCGGCGAGATCATCACTGCAGAGGAAGCCAACCGCCGTCGCGAGAATGCCAAGTATCGAAAGGACCTGTATCTCTTTGCCTTGGACAAATTCAACGACCCCGAGGCCGAAGACGAACGCCTTCGTGGTGAACCCTTCGAAGTGGACGGAGAGTTTATTGCCGGTCCCACAAGATTTATCAACCATTCGTGCGAACCGAACCTACGAATCATGGCTGTTGTCACCGACCGCGCGAACAAGCATCTCCATGAACTCTGCTTTTTTGCGCTCGAGGACATCCCACGGCTCACCGAGCTTACTTTTGACTACGTCGCCGGCACCAATACCGCGGACTCCAACGACAATGTTGCGAAGGAGGCTAAGGAGAGGCAGGCGAAGGGAGAATTCACTCAGAAGTGCTTGTGCGGATCGAAGAACTGCCGGGGCTCGCTTTGGTAGATGGCTTACATAGGGATGGCTTTCATATGCATTTGGTGGAGTTTACGTTGGATGATACCTAAAAATGGCGTTGGAGCTTGAATTTACGAGAGAATGATACCCAGATAGCAATGACTGAGTGCTTTTCAGAACAATCAAAAGCAATGAACCACTTCTACTTGGAACAATTCATCTTCTAACCATGGCAATGAACCACGCCTCTTAAGAACAGTTAGTGCTTTTTATTAACTTATTGAACTCTATCACTTAAGGACAATTAGAACGTCTAATTATGGCATTGGACCATTTCTCTCTAGTACAATCAGAACTTCTATCAAACCATTGAATCAATTCTTCCTGGCACAATCAGAACGTCTTGTCGAAAGCAAAATACCGGCTCGTACGGTGCTTTCCGTCACACATCCTCCACGACGTGGGTTTCCCCTAAGTGGTACTTAGCTCCGATGCAACAGCGACGGAATGGAGTGAAGCAAACCAAGATATCACCCTTCCAGGACTCTCTCTCTCTCTCTGTGTGTACCCAATACGAGGGAAATACGTTTTCCTCGCCGAACAAGTTCATAAGCTTACAATAGGAAGGAAACTAAGCAGAATTTAACTCTTTCGGTACTCATTCAATATGCACAACACGCATAATGTATAAGTCCATCGTTGGCTTAAAGCCGAAGAAAGTTTGTTGGTGATTGACAGAATAGCATCTTGCCGCCTGAAGGCTGCTGGAAGCGAGCCCCTAGAATATCCTTCAGGGGTTGGCTCATCGCCAATTCGCCTTCCACCAAACGCGCTTACAGCGTCTAAAAATTTCGATATCCAGCAACAAAGCATCCCTGCCCCGCATCCAACGCCTCCAAACTTGAACAACATGACGAGTCTCAAGAGATCGTTGGCGTCTGATCCATATGCCTCGAACATATCCAGCAAGGTATATGTGAGGTCTACGAAGAGCGGCAAAGTCCAGAAAATTGTGCGCGAGCTGTATCTTCGTCAAGATATCCCTTGCTCTTCGAGACTCTGCTCGAGCTGTCTGGAGACTGCCCCGAGAGATGCCAGTGGAGCCCGTGAGTTGCCTTCTTTATTTGAAGTCTTTTACATGCTGATATATAGCTCAGAGGCGCCATTCATCCTCTCCGAGAGACCAGCAGGAACAAAGGCATACCCTCAAGGACACTATTTAGTGCCAGACACAAATGCACTGCTTAATGCCCTCGACCTCTTCGAACAAACTTCCGCATTCTACGATGTCATTATTTTGCAAACCGTGCTAGAAGAGCTCCGAAATCGGTCACTTCCTCTCTACAATCGTCTCATTGGTCTCACGAAGAGTGAAGAGAAGCGCTTTTATGTTTTCTTTAACGATTTCCGGCTAGAGACATACGTGATTAGAGATGAGGGGGAGTCTATCAACGATAGAAATGACAGGGCAGTTCGAAGAGCCGTAAAATGGTACAGCGAGCATCTTACGCAGGCTGTGAAAGCAGCGGGAGGCTCGTCGAAGAAGATCCCTGCGATTGTAATGCTGAGTGACGACAAGGAGAATTTGAAGAAGGCGAAACGGGATGGTATTCAGGCATGTTCTCTGAGTGATTACGTTGGCGGGCTCGAAAATGCAGACCAGCTGCTGGATATGATTAGTGTGGTGAAAGAGGGGCGGGAGTTGAGAGATGCGAAGGCTGCGGAGAGCCTCTATCAGGAATACTTCTCGGTATCGAAGATGATGACTGGTGTCAAGAATGGGACTCTACACCAAGGTATTTTCAATGTTTCGCCATACAATTACCTCGAAGGCTCGATACGTGTCCCCGCGTTCGACAAGTCGCTTCTTATTCTAGGGAGAGAAAATATCAACAGAGCTGTTGAGGGTGATGTTGTGGTTGTTGAAGTTCTTCCTAAGGGCCAGTGGAAAGAACCGTCTACTAAGATTATTGAAGAGGAGACAATCAATAAGGACGAGAATGCGGATGCTGAGGATGGTGAAGCAGTGGTCACTGAGAGAGAACGCAGGGCGTTGCAAGAAGAGGTCAAGAAGGTGCACAGCAAGAGCTCAGAAGGCCGACCGCAGCCCACAGCCCGAGTAGTAGGAGTGGTGAAAAGAAATTGGCGACAATATGTTGGTCATGTGGACGAATCTTCGGTCAGTCAGTCGGTCAAACAGGGTCGAAAGCAGCAGACTGTATTCCTGATTCCGATGGACAAGAGAATACCGAAGATCCGAGTCAGAACAAGACAAGCTGGTGAAATATTGGGCAAACGTGTCCTAGTCACAATCGACTCTTGGGACCGAGATTCGAGGTATCCAGTTGGCCATTTCGTGCGATCACTAGGCGAGCTGGAGACAAAGGGCGCCGAGACGGAGGCTCTTCTGTTAGAGTATGATGTTCAATATAGACCATTCCCTAAGGCTGTTCTGGATTGCTTACCGGTGGAGGGTCATGACTGGAAGGTACCTGAGAGTACCGAGGATCCCGGCTGGAGAGGTCGACGAGATCTTCGAGGGCTGCAAATATGCAGTATCGATCCTATTGGTTGTCAAGATATCGACGATGCTCTACATGCTAGACCACTACCCAATGGCAACTTCGAGGTTGGGGTTCACATTGCCGACGTCTCTCACTTCGTCAAGCCCAACAATGCAATGGATGCCGAAGCCAGCATACGAGGCACGACAGTTTACCTAGTGGACAAGCGGATTGATATGTTGCCAATGCTTCTTGGTACAGATCTCTGCTCGTTGAAGCCATATGTTGAGCGTTATGCCTTTTCAGCCATCTGGGAAATTACACCCAATGCTGAGATTGTCAACTCCGAGTTTACAAAATCAGTCATCAAGTCTCGCGAAGCTTTCAGCTACGAGCAGGCCCAGATTCGAGTCGATGACGCTTCACAACAGGATAAACTGACTGAAGCTATGCGGACTCTGCTTATGCTTTCCAAGAAGTTCAAGCAAAAGCGTATGGATGCAGGAGCGTTGAGTTTATCATCCCCTGAAGTCAGAGTTGAAACCGAATCCGAGACCTCAGATCCTATCGATATCAAGACCAAGAAACATCTTGACACCATGTCTTTAGTCGAAGAATTCATGTTACTCGCCAACACCAGCGTAGCGGCCAAAATCTACGAAGCCTTCCCGCAAACCGCCATGCTTCGTCGTCACGGCGCCCCTCCAAAGACAAACTTCGAAGAATTGGGCAACCAGCTCAAAGTGAAGCGTGGCCTCGAGCTTCGTACCTCCTCTTCGAAAGAGCTAGCAGACTCCCTCGACGGCTGCGTCGATCCCAAAGAGCCATTCTTCAACACCCTCGTCCGCATCATGGCAACTCGCTGCATGATGTCCGCCGAGTATTTCTGCTCCGGCACCCAAGCCTACCCCGAATTCCGCCATTACGGCCTCGCATCGGAAATCTACACCCATTTCACATCTCCTATTCGCCGATATGCGGATCTTGTCGCACACAGACAGCTCGCTGCTGCCATTGACTACGAGCCTCTCGACGCCAGCGTCCGCAGCAAAGGCAAGCTCGAAGCCGTCTGCAAGAACATCAACGTCCGGCACCGCAACGCTCAGCAAGCAGGTCGTGCTTCGATCGAGTATTATGTTGGCCAAGCGCTCAAAGGCCGAATCGTCGAGGAAGAAGGGTTTGTAATGAAAGTCTTCTCCAACGGATTCGTGGTCTTCGTTCCAAGATTCGGGATCGAGAGTTTGATTAGACTTAGGGATTTGGCTGATCCGGAGCCGGAGAGTACGTTTGATGCAGAGAACTATGTGTTGAAGACGAGTGGCAGTAGAGAGGTGGAGGCCGAGTTGTTTGCGAAGGTTGTTGTGAGGATTAGTGATGTTAAGGAGGAGAGCACGGGGAAGAGGAAGGTGAAGTTGGAGCTTGTGAAGACGGGGACGAAGTTATGATACGTAGATGATAGATGAATGATACCAAAATAATCAAAAGCTTTTTAAATACATAACAAGAATTGGTGGACTGCGGCGTGTAAAAGGCCTATTGTCAAAGATTCCTTCATGAGCGGGCGTTTTGACCTCCTTATCCGTCAGTATATTCAGCAAGTGTGAATGTACCAGCAAAAGTGGGAAAATAAAGACTTTTGCGTTCTCCTACATTCCCCATGCTGTACCATCATAACAATGTGTCTCAAGTCATCAATCTATTACGCATAAGCAATTTACCCTTTTCTTTTCCTTTCCTTCCCCATGCCTTCATCAATCATAATTCAGACGTCATTACTAGGATAAGCAACCTTCAAAGTAGGGTTGAACTCCTCTTTAATACTTCTCATGCTCACAAATCTGGTCAGCAGGTTCTGGCTTCCAGCTTTATCGTTCGTTCCACTGGCTCTCGCGCCACCGAATGGCTGTTGTCCAACAACGGCTCCCGTGCTCTTGCAGTTGATGTAGAAGTTTCCTGCAGAGTTTCTCAGTGCATCTTCGGCGAAGCGGACAGCTGCACGATCTGTAGCAAAGATGGAACCGGTGAGGCCGTACTCGGATGTGTTGTCGACAAGCTCGCAGATGGATGTATATGCTTCAACTGGTGATGTAGTGTCATCGTACACATAAACCGTCAAAATTGGGCCAAAAAGCTCAGTTGACAAAAGGTGGTGGTTGGGGTTGGTAGTAACATAAATCGTAGGATGGATGAAATAACCAGTGGAGTCATCATACTTTCCACCAGTGATCAATTCGAGGTCCTTGTCATCCTTGGCAGCATCGATAACTCTAGAGAGCTTCTTGAATGACGGAGCATGAATGACGGGACCAATGAAATTCTTGGAATCTGTTACGGGACCGACTGAAAGGGCAACGGTCTCCCGCACCAAGCGCTCCTTGAACTCGGACCAAACTGACTTCGGGACATAAGCTCTCGAGGTTGCACTGCACTTCTGTCCTTGGTATTCGAAAGCACCACGGACAGTCTGAACAGCGGCATTGTCAATATCCGCAGATGAATGGATGAGGTGGAAGTTCTTGCCCCCCGTCTCACCAACGATTCGAGGGTAGCCTTGGTATCTGCCTTCTGCGACACCATTGGCAATAGCACCATAAAGCTTCCTGAATACAGCGGTGCTGCCAGTGTAGTGAAGAGCAGCAAGCTTCTTGTGTGCGAGAACGACTCTGGTGACTTCTTCTGGGTTGCCTGGAACAAACTGAATAACGTTCTTTGGCAGGCCAGCCTCCAACAGAATATTATAAAGAAGCCAGTTCGACGCAATGGCAGAGTCGGATGGCTTCCATACAACAACATTTCCCATTAGAGCAGGGGCACCAGGTAGGTTACCAGCAATGGCAGTAAAGTTGAACGGCGTAACAGCATAAACAAAGCCCTCCAAAGGACGATATTCCACTCTGTTCCAAACACCAGGCGAATGATGTGCCGGTTGTTGAGCGTACAGCTCCTCGGCGAATTGGACGTTGAATCGAAGGAAATCGACCAATTCTGCCGCCGAATCGATTTCGGCTTGCCATGCATTCTTGCCTTGGCCGAGCATCGTCGCAGCCATAATCTCATATCTGTATTTGCCGGCAATCAGATCCGCAGCTTTGAGGAAGATTGCAGCTCGGTCGGAAAAGGGAAGAGATTCCCATTCCGGCTTCGCAGCAAGGGCCGCATCGATTGCAGCGGAAACATCTGATGGCGAGGCATTGGAGTATGAGGCGATCGTGGAGGAATGGTTCGATGGGTTTTGTTGGGTGGAGATAAACGAAGTTTTGAGCTGTCAATGTTAGAATCAATTTGGATGGCATGATGTGGTGATTTACCTCTTTACCTCCAACCACAATAGGTACCTCTAAAGGAGCTTTCTTTTGGAAGCGCTCAAGGGCAGCAGTGAGGCCATCCCGTTGAGCCGAACCTTTCGCATAATGGTGCTGCTAAGATTAGTATCTAATCAATCAATTCGCAGATTGAACTAACGTTTGGTTCATTTGAGACCTTGGGGATCTTGAAAGAAGCAATGGTAGACATGTTGGCGACGCTGCGGGGTATTCTGGCGGGGTTGGTTGACGTAGCGTTCTGCAAACAACGATTCAAGGGTTGAAAACTTCTGAGACTCTTAGCAGCCATTTCAGTAAGGAATGCACGCAATTGCACGGAATGGACGAGGAAGGAAAGAGGGCTTCGGCGAGCGTACCTCGAAAGCTTTTATTGTTCGAGGAAGGTACGAAGAATGAGGTGAAGCAGCTTTCATAGGAACTTTCGTGATGCGGCAATCAACGGCTTTGCAAATCAAGAGGGGCAACCCTCGACAGCTGATCCTTGAACTTCAACTGAGCTGCACTCCTAGATCGGAGCCCGTCAGGTACTTCTCAAGAATGGGATTTGGTCGTACAGTAACTTCAAAGTTTATGGCAAGTGAAAGGAAGATGTCAAGAGAACCTCCAAGCTCGCACGCACGCATATCGTCAGAGTATGCTTTTACTGATAGTATTAAAATGGTGCTATGCCCCCTCCCCCCCTCCAATTCTTCTGCTTCCCTCCAATCACGAAGTCTTTCATCCGCCGTCCCAGCCTTGTCTTCTCAACTATTGGTCCACTCAGTTTTCCCTATCAGTAGTACTCTCCGATTTCTATTCAATGTTATCATCTTGCTTTGAAGGGGAACCTAGCAGAGTGACCAACCAGAAACGGTTTATGGAAGATCCATGTCTCCAGCTCAAAGGTGACCGAAGATCACTCACCGGGGGCGCTGAAGCTTAAAAATGGATAGCAATACGTTGCTCCCAGAAGCGATGGCATTAGCCCTTTCTGTCCTCGCGTTCATAAAATCAATGACACTTGAGGTAACTTATGATGAAGGTGATTTTCAGATTGAAAGAGCTCTATTTTTGTAGGAGCGACTTTACAGGCCACTCGAGCACCATCTCAAGTGCTCAAATGCAAATGCATCTAGATATCTCCTCCCATGGCCGTTGATCAGCACATGTTGTTCATCCAACCCATTAACCATTACGCCTGATCCTGGTGATTCAAGATGCCAATAAACCGATCCTCCCGCCCGTGTTTCTTTTGGGTATATCTCTCCCTCCGCAGTTCGTGAACATTAACAGTTGGCACTGGGATGTGCCCCAATGATTACATTAAGTGAGTGTAGGTACACCTGAATCTGGCAAATAAAACAGGTGCTGAATATGCTAAACAAGATATGTTGTACAAGTGGCAGTGTTGTAACACAGACTGTGGGGGACACAGATTCTTGAAGCATGGAAGATGACGAGACCACAAGTGGCGTTGACTTGCCTCACTTCTCAGAGAAGTCGGCAGGAGTGGTGTGCGAGAATTGAAAGGTTTTTTGTTTCGCCATGGATGGTGACATATAGTGCGTCTCCGGAAACGTGTACTCAGAATGAAAGTCAGAATGAGGCTGAGTAGATAGTGTGTATTGAGGCGAGTCGCCCTCGTGAGCGAATAGGAAGTTCGGATTGAACTGCTCGTAAGCCGGGGTGACTGGCTGGCTCATCGAAGTCAAATATGCCGGGTGGGGCATGTGAAGTTCCAAGGGAAATGTTTCGTGTGCGGGAGTGTACAGTGCTTCGTCGGAAACTTCAAAGCTCCACTGCTTCTCTGGGAACTCGATGGTCTGCCAATTGTTGGAAGGGTGCATAACAATTTGGGCCTGGGGTGTCTCAGGGGGTGACGCGAGGTTCTGGTCTCCTTCCATTGTGATGAAACCACCAGTTCCAGCATTGAAAACGAAGTTCATACTCCCTTCATTCGGCGAGGCAGTAGATCTCGAGGTCTCCCTTTTGACGAGGGTCATCTCCCTTTCTCGAGGCGACATTGGCGTGGGTGGAGCTAGACTGCTATTCAAGGAGGACCCGGCGGTCAGGGAAGGCGGTACCCGAATTGTGTGGAAATTTTGCTCCATGAACGACTCGGGGAAGTTACCCAAGTTGATCGGTGAGCGCTGTGCAGACTCAACTCCAGATTTGTACACTCGACCAGAAAGTACGTTTCTATTTCCTCCGGCAGAAACAATTCGGCGCATTGGTGATGAAACTGGGCTATCCATTGGTCGACGGAATCCTTCGGCATGAGAAACCGTTCTTGGTCCCATTGATGGACGGTTGCTGCGCAATGTGTCCGCAATCAATGCAGCTGGCTTATGCTGAACCTTCTTTCGGCGAGAAGCAATATCCATTGGCGGTGGCGGTGGCGGAAACCTAAAAGGATTCGAGGGGGCTGGAGGCGACGCAGAAGTTTCATCGGATTCGGCAATGTCATGGAACCCAATCGCCAGGGTCGAAGCACTGCTATTCTCGGGACTTTGGCTGTCACTATTGCTGCCATTCGCTTGTTGGGGAAGGCTATCGAATTGTGTCAAGAGCTGTGAAGGGAACGCGGTAACTGCTTGTGGAGCAGATACCTCGACTTCGGAAGACGTGGGGTAGGCGCTGAAGAGTGTTGGGGTGTGGTGTTCCTGTGGAGGCGATTGAAGCTCGGCGCTCTGGGAACTGTTATTGTAAATATTGTTGGCAAAGGCGGAGGGATACGAATATTGGTCGAAGTTAACAACGGATTCCTCCGGAGACGGGAAGTGAGCACGATCGCTGTTTGCGGAATCGTGAACAAGCGAGCCACCTCTAAATGCATTCAGAGAATCGTGGTCAACAAAATCGTATTCGTCGTGCTCACTTGCGGCTTGAGCGGCTGCCATAGTCCGGTGGAGGGACTCCATGCTTGCCGACGACGGGTCAGAATACTGAGGATTGTAAGGGGCGACTGGAGGTGGAGGTCCACTTGGCAGGCCAAATGGTGCGGGTAGTATATGGCTGTCGAAATACTGATTGCCGTAATTGAAATCCGGCGACGAAGGTTCAGAGTATTGTCCCAAAGCATCTTGAGCCTGCCCTGCTTCGTAAGCTTCCTGCTTCTTCTCCTGCTTCCTTTTTGCTCGACGATTTTGAAACCAGTTCTATATATCGTCAGTAAGTGTATGCGTGCAGATGAGCTGGAAACCAACATTGATTCTCGGAAGTTCCACTCTCATATCATCTGCAAATTGACGTTTCGTTTGAGTCGTCGGCTTGGGGTTCTTCTTGAACTCGCGTTCAAGAATGTCTACCTCGTCCTTTCCAAGTCGTGGTTTGGTTTCGTTCGTTTTCGGTGCTGTGGGAAGAGGGGCCATTGCATATGTTTGGTGAATATCAGCGTAATGTGCCGACATTCTGTGCATCTGATCTTGGTGAGAGAAGTGTTGATGCTGCTGATATTCAAAGTACTGGGCCATGTTCAGCCTGGTTTCGGAACCAGAGTTGACAATCTGAGGTCCCAGGAAGCCGCCACCAATCTGGATCGAGGGGTCCGCAAGCTCTCCCGATCGAAAGACTCTTGGGACCTTCGAGAATCACGCTTCCGAGAAAGATGATTGTATTGATTGGTCGCGTGGCAGGGGGTGATAGATAGCTGCTGGGCGAGAGATCCTCCAAAGTAGCTGTGAGCGAGTGTACAAAGGCCAAAATCAACTGGATGGATAATTGATCGACGTCGGAAAGTGCAATGATCCTACAGACGAACGAATGGAGTCTGATTCAAATAAAGGTCGAGAAATAACAGCAATTCTTGAGTTCGGGGCCGGAAGGTTGGTTGGGTTGAGTCGCGGTCGTGTTGGCGGCCGAGGTCGATATCGCGTATCACAGGAGTGCTGGGTGAACGAATGGTGGTGATGTATTACTTGTAGATGTATGGACGAACGAGTGCGAGTTGAGCACCGTGTCCAACGATTAGGACGTAAGGACGTAAGGACGAAAGGGAGGGACTTCTAGGAGAGAGTCAAGAAAGGGCCAAGGAGGAGGGAGGTGGAGTCGAGTTAAAGGGAAGGGGATGTACGGGAGTAGCGCTTGGGCGGCAGATCGTGGCGGGCGGTTTGACTTCTGGAACCTGGGCGCTTTACACGGTCATACTCAAGAGATGTTCCCGGAACTTTGTACAGGGCGAGTGGGGGATATATATGACACACGGAGGGTGAGGATAGACGGCTGAGCAGAGGAAAGCAAAAATGCAGAAAGAGTTGACGAGAGCTATCTAGTGCACAAAAAGTGCCAGCCGCGGAGGGAGGGTTTACTGGGCGGCGGATGAGCGAGATCTCAGTCTCTGAGCACATCTCCTCAGTGCTCACCCATGCTTGCCATCCCTCCCTCGCTCGCTGTTTTTCGAGGTCAGTTGGCGTGGCTTGGCAGGGAATGGCACAACCTGGTCGTCGCTGCTTCTGCTCGCTGCCCTGGCCCCCTGGGGTCATGAATCCACGATGGCGCGTGGGAAAGCTTGCCGTCCCTGCCCTGCCCTGTCTGCCCTGCCCAGTGCCCACCCCTCTCTGCCCCTTGGAGCCCTGGCCTCAATCTCCTGACCGCGGTGGGCTTGGTGGGCCTATGGTTGGCGCACAGCGCCACGGCCACCAGCGGGAGAGGTGGGACGCGGTGAGACAGGCCTGGGAGGCTACTGTAGGAGGCTAGGAGGCTAGGAGGCGAGGAGGTCGAGGGAGGCCCAACCGGTTGACGAGCGGCGGCCCCTCAGGAGATCAAGGCGGAAGTGGAAGTGGAAGTGGTAGTGTGGAAGTGGAAAGGTGGCTAGGGAGGAGACGAGCCTCCGATTGCGAAGTTGCGAGTGGTGGTGGCTCACAACCACACACAGCTGAAAGTGCAGAGCGTACCTGAGCACCCACCCCCGGATCGAGCACTAGCACGCTTTGCTGAAATTAGCCCTCCGTCTCCCTCGAGCCAATCAGGGCCTCACTGCCGACTTTCCGGTCAACTCGGACTTGACGTTGCGACCCGATGCAATTTTAACGGCGTCTATCCTTCACATCAACGATTCAACTCACTGCATCCGCGACTGATACTGGCATACTGCCGACTACTGACGCCAGAGCGCGCATAGGTTGCAATCATCACTGGCTCTGTTCGACTGCGGTTCGACATGGAAGAGTATTTTGTCTGTCGCTATTGAATATTGCTCTCTGTGATATCACGATGCTCTGCCCGCCTGCTCACTGGTCCTTGCCCCGACCAGTTGCTCGGTCGGCCTGTCCCCCTCGAGTTTAATTCGGGACCGCACAAAGCGGCGGGCAGCGTGTGCACAGTGCACAGTGCACTGCCATAATCCAGAGCTTGGAAGTAGGTACCGTACTCCCTGGGGTGCCAGTTTCTGTCGAGTTGACGAGGGGTGACAGCCTGACAGCCGAGAACATGGGATGATGGGATGAAGTCCTGAACCTCAACGTCGTCTATTTTTGGCCCACTCCCTGATCATGCATATGCAGGCCCTGTGAACATTTGTGCGCGCTGGCTACTGCCACCACCAAACGGCTTTTCGAGGCTGCTGAACTGTGCTGCCTTTCGTTGTTATGACCACCAGGTCCTGTTGTCTGTAGTACCGTTGCATGCGCGCACTTTGCGCAGTGAGAATATACGTGCAAAAGAGGAAGCAAAGCTGGCCGTGAACAGTTCTCTCTGATGGTGAGATGGACGTCGAGCTGGCTGATGCTCACTGCCCCTGCTGGTAATCCTTGGCAGCACCCCTCTTCCGCAGCCAACCACACCCCCTGAGCAAAGTCCCGCGAATCGCCCTCCATAAGATGAACGATTGCTGTGATATGAACATCTCGCTGCGCCGCATGGACACTGAAGGAGCGGTTCTGAAGCTTTCTGTTTCTGCCTGTCTGATGATGAGCTGTTCCTCGGGATCGGGGGGATCCTGCCTGTCCCCGCACAAACCCCACTGCCCTTTCTGCCTCGAGACCTAGCTTTTGCATTCTAGAGCCTCAGCTGAACATGCAGCCGTTCGAAGGAGATCCAAATGCGGCCACGAGCTGGACAAGTTGGGATATACTCTGCAGTCGATTGCCAAATGGAGAAGGTCGCCGATGCTAGCCTTCTTCACCGCCGCGCGGAGAGCGTTTGAACTTTGAAGGCTGGAGAACAGCAGCAGCCAGACTTCTTTTTTCTCAGATTATTCTTCTGAATTCTGAAGCTCTGGGAGCCCGACGATGCTGGGCCGCACCGATCTGACCCCTCGGACATTTTGATAAGGCACACTCTCCTCACTCCTGGGCTGTATCACTCGTCTCGTCTACGATAACACACGTTTGGCCTGTCTGCTGGTCTGATGGCTGTGGCCACCGAAGCTTGCTGACTCGGACTCAGTGTGCAATCTCCCCCTCTGCTTGGGGCGCATGTTGACTTCGCATGCCATTGCCTGACCCAACCGGTCCAAACCGCGCGCCAGAGGGTTCCTTGGCCCTCACGCTCACTCAACTGCTGAGTTCCCTCCCGGCGGCCCACGGTCGATGGTCGACGGTCGACGGAATCGGCCAAGCAGTGGGAGTGTGGAGCGGCAAATGGAGCTAGCGTCGTCCCGACAAGCCAGATGCGAGCAGAGTGTTGTCCTGTGCTTCTAGGCCTTGGCGGGCTGGTCTCTTTGGATTCGTTGTTGTACGATGCTAAATCTCGCGTTTTCCGACGCCTCGATTGGCTGCGGAACAGCGCGCGACGTTTCCCCTGCTGTGGGATCTCCAGCATCCTGGGCTGCTGGCCGTCTCGCTTCTCTTCTCCCTGTCAGCGGCGGGGGGGAGGAGGGGAGGGGGCAAGGGGCGGGGCTGTTGAAAATCATCGTGGCAGCTGGGATTGCGGATTCGGCTTTCAGTCCAGAAGGTGAAAGTCGTGCAGTGAAGTGCAGGCTGCCGCGCGACTTGACGACTTCCAGGGTTGCAGAGCGATCTGGAAGAGTAGCTTCCGGCCTGCAAGTACCCTCCTGGGACGGAGATGTCGCACGGCAACGCGTCCACCGGGGCCGTGACAGTGTGTTGCACTGGCCAGGGCCACAGCGAGAGGGCCCATTTTGCGCGCGGCCGGTCTGTATGCGTAAATTTAAAAAGTACTTGGGATGAATGCATTTGCTGGATTCGGAGAAAGCGTGGCCAGCAGCGCAGCTTTCCTTCATCTTCGATGACCTGGGGACCAGGGGAGGCGAGGCGAGGCGAAGCGGCCGCGGCCGCGCATTCCTCCGCTTTGCCCCTGCTTGGATCGCGACCAGGCCATTCTCGCGCCCGCGCCCGCAACCCCTCAGGGGCGTTGAAAACATCCCGTACAGTAAAGTACTGTAGCAGCGCACCATGCATCTAGACCATCTGGTCATGCTCATGCTCACGCTTACGCTCACGCTCATGCTCAGGCCCATGCCCATGCCCACCACGTGGGAAGGGCGTCGGCCCATCGGGTAGGCCTCAGCGGGCGGGGAGACGGGGTTCCTCCAGACGCAGGGAATAGGGGCGATCATCAAAGGGCTTTGGGCGACTCCTCCCGCTCACACAGGTACAGCTTCACTTTCGATCAGACAACGATACATTCGTTCCTTCATTCATCTATTCAGAGACGGCCGCCGTCCGGGGGCGCTGTCGTGCAACGGACGGAAAATTCCGTTTTGCGAGGCACCACGTTCAAGAGGTCAAGTTTCTCTCCCGTACCTGCATGCGTTCCGCAACAACAAGGCGCGCAAGGAGGAGTTGGTTTGTATCACCGTCGACCCGCAGAAGCCGTTGGCCTGGGAGTTTTGCAAGACTGCAGGTCCAGACCCAGAGAGCAAGAGTGAAGCGTCTCGTCGGGCTATGCCGGCAATCGTCAGGCCCCAGCTGCCATCAACCATCGCCCCTCAGACAGACATCTGACGCAGAATCCTGCAATCTCCCACCCAAAGTCGTTTTGGATCCTGTTTCTTCTGCTCGTACCTGAGTCTTCAATGCAGGTGTTGGGCATGGCGCTCGAAGCCGAGATCCAAAATTAAAACAATCAAAATTACAGAGCGATGCGCCGGGGGATGGAGCTGGCCAAAATGACCAGTCAACATCCATCCTCAGAGCCGCATTGTTTTCGCCACGCCACCAGCTGTCAACTTTAAGATTGCCCTGTGAGTTCCGAAGCCCGGATCGGACAGGGTAGGCTGGAAATAATGCCGTTTGTACTTTGGTACTGTGGTTTGCGCGGCCTTTTCCACTATCATGATATCATCGTGAGTGGAATGTTTTGCAGACATGATCACAAGCTCTGCATAGCGCCGAGTTCTGGTCTTCTTCCAGTTATCGCTGGTTGTTAATTATTTACATCTTCCGAGTTGATATTGGTCCTCCCACCAATTCTCTGTACGAGACGTGTACACTGCAAGAACGGTGAGGTTGCAGCAGACGCTTCAACGGCAGTGGCCATCCCCCACATATCCATCCAAGACAGCTCACGCAGCAACAACTGCTCTCCACAGATCCATATTTCTGTGACTGCACAAGAGAGGACAGCAATGACGAATGCCACTTAATCATCTTCCCACCGGCAAACTGCAGATTCCACCCGAAGTCATCTTGAAATCTCCTACCCGCATCCGTTCAGGCAAGTTGCATCATTCCCCTCGCACAACCTTTACCACAGCCACATCGTCGGAATTACCCAAGGGAATTCGCATCCCGAGACACAATTACGGGTCCATTGAGACGTACAAAGGTACAACGTCGTACTGCTTCCTGCATCCCCAATAGCTGATTACGTCTCCAAGCGGCTGGTCACAACTCCCCTTCGTTCTCTAGCCTCGCGTCGCTTCCTCCAAATACTTAAGTAGCAACAAACACACAGCACGACCAACCATGCCGTCTGCTAGATTACGCAATATTTAGCTGCAGCCTGCAGCTCCCACATCGTTGGGATAACCACCGTCCTGCTGGCATCCAGCTCACCAGCGCACTTGTGTTCCCACACCCACTGCCGGTCCCAACGGCCCCACGTACCTTGAGAGAGCACTCTTCGAGGCCTTGCTGCCTTCGTTTGCTTTCCCCCCTTTTGTCTTAGCCCCGTGAGGCCTTGTGTAACACCCTTTCCACCCTCGTAGAATAGCGAAAACTACGGATGGACTAGAGCAGCAAGCACAACTTACCAAACTGTGCCAACCCCCTCACCCATCACTCACAGTAGTCGACGTTTGTGAAAAAGAAATCGGCCATAAGCTCCCAGCCTCCCGCACTCCGATCGATCCCATTCCACTTTGCTGTCGAAAAACAAAGCTCCGAAACGGGAAGTTTCGGCGCCGGAGATCTGGGAAGTGGAGTGTGGAGGCGCGCGCGCAAACGATTGCTTTTGGCCCGGCTGCTTTACGACCGCCCTGTCATCGAGTCCAGACCCCGATCCTTGGGATGTGGATGTGGCGAGTGGTGTGTGTGTGTGTGTGTGTGTGGGGTGGGCCGAGAGCACGTTCCTAGATCGAGAGCGTGGGGGACGCGTCCACGGAGATGGAGGGGCGAGTTTAATTTTGGAATACGTTGAAGAAATAAAGTCTGGAGTCAAGGACCCCTGCGTCAAATTTCACGATCTGCCACACGACCACACGAGAAAGGGATGAAAGGAATTTGAGTTTCTATTGATCATGTGCCTTACGTTCGCATGCAATTGAAGGGAGCGGTTTATTGCATTCCTTTTGTCGTTGCAATCCGCGCAGAAAATCCAGCGATGCTCTTCCTTTCAAAGCAGCGATCAAGATGTCACTCCACCAAGCGGGGAAAACATTGTGTTCAAAGCGATCTCAACTTTCGACGTCAATTGGATATTGAAGTCTCTAATGAAAGCCGGTTCCTGGGACCGCAGGTGCTTGGCTTGTTTACTGGTTCCCAGTGGAGCGAATAACGACATCGGGACGGCCTCGTAATTTCGGGCCACAGTTGAAAGCAGCCTCAACCGTCCTCAACTCAACTTTTTGCGATTGTCAGTGTATCTTCCAGTTCCGGGAATATAAAAATAACTTTAAAGATATTCGCGTACGCAACTTCATTATTCGTTCATGGCTCGGACTTGAACTGCGATTGGGTCGGAATCTGCAATATGTGGACTCGGACGACTTCCCGAGTCTGGATGCCGTGGAAGCACTACTACATTTCTGTTTGGCCTCTTTCCTGGCCTCTAGCTTTCTATTTGCTCGTGAGTTTTCGATGTTTCTGTCGGCATTGCCACAATTGCGGCAGGTACCAACGTCCTTGTGCCACTGAGGTGCGCGGATCACGTTCTCTGCCAGTGGCACTTTTCCTTTCTTTACTCTCCTGTCTCTGGCTTTCTATTTGCTCGTGGCCCTGTTCAACATCCCATTGCAATGGTGCCATTGCCAGGGGCCGAACCTCTGCCGCTGCCGAAAGCGCGCGGATCTGAACCATCCAGCTGGATCTGCAGGAAACAAGATCTCCCAATGATATCTCTATATGCTTAAACACGCGTTCTATATGGTCTAGAGCTGTAGATACACCCAATCAATCACCCCTCAATGCGTCTAAGATCTCCAACTCTACCCCCGCCTCTGAATGTCTCACCACCTTGACGCTCCTGAGATCCTTCACGATCCAGTCCGGCTTTGCAGCGAGCACTTGCTCAACAGTATGACTAGTAACAACCGCCAATACTTTGCAGCCCGCGGCTTTCCCAGCAGCGATACCAGCAGGACTGTCCTCTAATACGAGGACCTCTGCCTGCCCATCCCCATCTCTCAATCCCAGCTTCTCCTTCCCCATCAAATAGCACTCTGGATCCGGCTTCCCGTTCTTCACATCCTCCGCCACAACCAGATGCTCCGGGATGGGGAACTTCAATACGTCGAGCCAGCCCGTCACAAGCGGCGTCGTGCCCGATGTCACGATCGCCCATGGCACCTCAGCCGTCACCACTGAGTCCAGTAGATCCCTCGCGCCGGGGACCTCCACAACATCTGCACCGTAATTCTTTGGCAGCAAGCCTTCCATATGCTTGATATCTGCATATCAAGATCCCATTAGCTGTGAAAATCGCGGCTGAGAGGCAGTTACCCCTGAATACGAAAAGTTTTGGGCAGGACAGCTGGAAGGATTCTGAATACGAGAATGAGGCATCCAATAACAGGAACTTGAGGGGAGTGTGCATAAGGATCAGCGGTGGTTGGAAATAGACTAACATTCCCAGTTTGCCTTCTCTGGACTTAGGATTTTCAGGACGTCGATGCTGCGGCGGCCATGAGAGGTTTGCAGGATGACATTGGGGTCGACGCCGATTTCTTTGCCGATGCTTGAGGAGTATCAATTTCTGAGATGGGTGGATTTGCATGTCTGACCTTACAGGTGCCAATGTTTGATGACAGCTTCTGTTGAGTCTCTAGAAGATGAAAGAGTTAGCCGTTTAGACAGGCTTGCGTAGAGTGGGTGTAAGAAAGACACTGCAGATGCAACCGGAGTGGGTGAGACCTGGAGAAAGGGTCTGTAAATTAATAAAAGAAGAGTTTCCGAACCCTAATGTCCCATCAAAGTCAAAAAGTAGACCATTAAACATAACCCGTTGAAGGGGAGAAGAGTATGTTCTAGAGTGGGATCCCATTGCGGAGTGAGACCTTTGCTAATAAGGCTGTGTTATGGACTCAGAACGATGCACAGTAATAACGTCCGTTATCCAAGAGATATAAACGATTTAGATAATATAAATGAGTTCTGAAGGTCGAGGGCTGTCAAAAACACGTCGCGGGGTGAAAAACGGTGGTGGGGTTGAGAAGATATTGCCGAAAGGCCTTCCTAAGTTTTCACGAGGTCTGTCATACTTTCGCTGTCCTCGAAAAGTGCGACTTGCAACAAAATATCCATATGCCGAGAATCAACCTGATATATTTTCAAATTCCAATTCTGAATCCTGCTCAAAAATTACCGGCGGATTGCTCCAAGTGAAAGGGGAACATTTTGGTTAGGTTCGTGGTATTTAGAGTTCCAGCAGTGGCTCCTACCCAAGACAGGTTGGGAGTAGGGGTTTGGGAGAGATCACGTGTAGCCTCGGAAAACAGCCTCGTCAAAAACGGTTGATAGGCGAAAATAATTTTCGATAAGAAATCGTGAAAATACAACGTCAGTCTCCCCACAACAACAACAATGGGAGGCACCAATAAGCCTGGCAGTAAGTTTCAATGTATAATTAATATGCTGTAAACTCTGACACTGGATTTTTAGAGCCCAAAAGCAAACGAGTGAGTGTGCGGTTACGACATTCAATACAAAAAGCTTCTGCTGCGAAGCAAAAAAAGGACCGCAAGTTGGGGAAGAAGAATCCAGAATGGCGATCGAAGTTAAAGAAAGATCCTGGCATTCCCAACCTGTTCCCGTACAAGGATAAGATCCTGGCAGAAATCGAAGAGGGAAGAAGAAGAAAGGCTGAAGATGCGGAAAAGAGGAGAGCCGATGCAAAGGCGACGAAAACTGGGGAGAAGACTGGGGAGCAGATGGATAGAGAGATGGAGCTTAAGATGGAGGGCGTAGAGGAAGAAGAGATCCTCGACGAGGAGATGGACGAGGATATCGATGAAGATGCCAATCCTATGGCGGCATTACTGGCCAGCGCACGAGCTGCAGCACAACAGTACGAAGATGAACTCGAGAGCGGGGACGAAATGGATGAAGACGACGAATCCGAGTCAGATGAAGACGAGGAAGGCGGTGTCGAGCTTTCCGGAATGCCTACACGAAAAGATGGATCAAGAAAAGCATTCGACAAAGTCTTCAAGCAAGTCGTCGACCAAGCAGATGTCGTTCTCTACGTCCTCGATGCCCGCGACCCTGAAGGCACAAGATCAAAGGAAGTCGAACGAATGGTCATGGCTGCAGCAAGCGGTGGAAAGCGACTTATCCTCATCCTTAACAAAATCGATCTCATTCCAGCCGCAGTCCTCAAATCTTGGCTCATCCACCTCCGAAGATATTTCCCAACCTTACCCCTCCGAGCTTCTGGCCCAGCGCCAAACGCACATACTTTCAACCATAAAGAATTAACTGTACAGAACACCTCCGCCACCTTATTCAAGGCACTCAAATCTTTCGCCGCAGCCAAGCAACTGAAGCGTGCAGTCACAGTGGGAGTAATCGGCTACCCCAACGTCGGCAAGTCGTCCGTGATCAACGCTCTCACATCCCGGCTCGGCGGTGCAGGAGCAGCATGTCCCGTTGGGGCCGAAGCCGGCGTCACCACTTCTCTCCGAGAAGTCAAAATCGACAGCAAATTGAAACTTCTCGATTCCCCGGGAATCGTGTTCCCCAGCACTGGAGATGGAAGCAAAGCCTCGAAGAAGGAAGAGCAAGCCAGACTTGTGCTGCTGAACGCGGTGCCGCCGAAGATGATCGAGGATCCAGTTCCAGCTGTTACGTTGCTTTTGAAGCGGTTATCGAGAGCAGAAGGCATGATGAACAAATTGATGGATGTCTATGGCCTGCCGCCGCTTATGACTAGCAATGGAGATCCTACTACGGATTTCCTTGTTCAGGTTGCGAGGAAGAGGGGACGATTGGGGAAAGGCGGTGTGCCGAATATTGCGAGTGCGGCTACGACTGTTATTACGGATTGGAGGGATGGCCGGATTCAGGGCTGGATGGACGCTCCTGTTCTGGCGATTGCTCCTGATGCTACTGCTGCGACGTCCAATGATGGACCGGTTGTGGGTGATCAGAAGGAGATTGTTACTGAGTGGGCTGCCGAGTTCAAGCTTGAGGGGCTGTGGGGAAATGGGAAGGATGAAGTCGAGGTGGGAACCATGCAAGAATAAAAGTGTAGCATTTCATGATCTCAAAGATCTGGCTTGGAGTTGGGCGTCTCCGGATGTCTAGATAGGAAAACTTCAAATTTTATGGGCTCGAGATTGACCTTAAGCTGCCAAATCAAACGCAATCAATCCATATTGAGCTTTGTCGTCTTTTACCTATAGCTAGCGTTGAATATATCTCCAACTTGGCGGGGAGGTCCACTTGATGAGGCTGAACAAGGCTGGGAGTGACGTTGCTCTGATCTGCAAGACCTGATGTGACCTCAACCTTTAAATCCTTTCATCTCAACTTCCCTTCTTTTCTCACAACCTCCAACTCCTCCCCGCTTCATCCCCAACCTCTTCTCGAAATGAAGGAACTCCTGTCCAAAGCAAATTAATCCTTCGACCCCTCCACCTCTCATTCCCAAGACCCATACCCCAACCTCAATCCCACCAACCCTCCACCCTCGCACCTCCAACAACAAAAGACATCTAACGCCACCGCTACCGCTACACCCACGGCGTCAACCTCGGCTCCGTCTTCCTCCTTGAGAAATGGCTCACGCCCTCCACGTTCCTCTCTTCTTGTCCAGGTAGCAGCGAACTCGGCGCCATGACCTCCTCCGTTCTCTCCCTCGGTCTTGAAGCGACAAAGTCAAAATGGGAAGCTCACTGGCGAAATGGCATGAAGGAGGAGGTTTTTGGAATGGCTTGTGAACGAGGTGCAATGTAATGTCCTCGAATCCCTATTGGGTTCTTCACGTTAGGGCCTGAGTGGTGTGTAAGGCACTGAGTTCGAATCTGTTAAAGAGGTTTATGAAAAATTCCTCGCAGGCTGTGAAAGAGGTAATAGAGAGGACGGGGGAGTCGGGGTTGGGTGTACTGATTGGTTTCCATGCTGCGTGTGGAGGGGCGAATTGTGATGCTCATTCTGGGATTAGTTCTGGAAATGCCGGGTTGCGGGGGAATAAGGAGAATCTGGAGAGGGGTCGATAGGCGTTGGGCTGGATCACGAGGCAGCTGAAGAAGGTGGATACTTTGGTTGGGATTCAGGTTATTAACGAGGCGAGGTGGGGCAGAGGGGATGTGGGGGTGTTATCGAGGGGATTGGGGGCGTGGATGAGGGGATTACGGTGTACATCTCGGACGGATGGGATTTGAAAAAGGTGTTGGAGTGGGTGCGGAAAGGGGGGAGGAGGGGAAATCCGGTGGTGGCGGACACGCATCGATATTATGCCTTTAGTGAGAGGGATAGGAGCCAGTCTCTTCGGGAGATTATTACTAGGTTGGAAGTGAGTTGGGGGAGTTAGATGGGAAGGAGGGGAGTGTGATAGATAGAGGGGTGGCGCAGGTTCTTATTGGGGAGTGGGGTTGTGTGCTTGATGGAAACACTTGGGGCCGTGTTAAGCCCGAGGGAAGAGAGGGTCTTGTTTGGGGGTTTGGACTGGCTCAGAGTAGGAAGTGGCAGCAGAGAACTGGAGGAAGGTATTTTTGAACGTATAAGATGGATTGGATGGATGGTGGGGAATGGGATTCGTCGAACAGACGAAGAAGGGGAATGTTGTCCGCCTCCTTTTCCTGCGTTATCGGCTCGTAGAGTCAGAAGTCGGATGCAGGCTGCTCAAGTGAGGAGACAGGGCTTGGCAAGTTCGGCGAGACGAGCTCATGAGGAACATGGGAACCGTACTTGTCTGGGAAAGACATTTGAGCATGACTTGTATATCGAGGGGTGGGAAGTTGGGTTTTATGATGCCCTAAAGTTCTTTAGGATGAGAGCTGATGGTGCTTTGGCTAAGGTGGCAGGTGAGGGTGGTGGTAAGATTGGGTGTAGAAACGGTTGGTGGAGTCTGGAAAGAGAGGAGAATTTGTTCAGGAGTGGGAACCAAGTCTCTGAAGTGGAGTTAGGGCGTTTTATCATAGTGTTAGGATATGAATGATCATATGGAATTGTAATGATGGAAAGTGATTTGAAAGATGAGATTAACGAGTGTAGCAAAATCGGATAGAAATCGACAATCGAGTGAGTTGTCAGGATACAAAATGAGATTCCTTGTTGGGAGTAAGGACAGTTTGGCAGAGCTTTCTACTTCTTCCCCAGCCGTGCCTCAGTTCAAAAGGGGAGATTTGCGTAGGGAGCCGAGCCACGCAACTGTGCGGGTTCTATAACTGGATGGAAGGGATCGCGATGCATGTTCAGATGGTTCAAATCTCCATTAGCCAACGCTCTCAACAGCGACTTGTTTCCGCGTGCATAAAGGTATCAATGTTCTCATAAGTATTGGGAACAAGGGAATCCTCCGCCGCCTTGCTACCTGGTGCAGGAGGTTTTTTAGCGAACCTGAAAAGGGGCCACATTGTGGCTGTGCTTGTCTCAAAAGAACCCCTCAGCCACTCACCTACCACAAACGCAACCCCCAACTCCAACTCCCACGTTCAATCACGGAGCAATATGACTGGCTCTTTAGCACACGACCACTCGACACCAATCACCCCGAGCACGCGGGAGCACGCGACACAGGAAAGGCCCTCCTTTGCCCGCCATCAACGGCGGATAGCACCCTCGACGACGCAAAGTCTCATAAAATCCTCGCCCACCATGGGGCACAGCCAGAGCTCAAGTCCCCCCCCCCCTCTCTCTCTCTCTCCCTCCTTCTGCTTCATCCTGCGAAGATTCCATAATTGGAGATCCCGAGATCCCTTCTTTCCAGCTCTCTACTCATTTGTGGCTGAATTACCAGTCCATTCATCCTCTCTTTTCCTTGTCAGACCAGGAGATACGAGATAGGAGAAATCGCGCACGAGACCACATTCCGGATATACAATGCCTCGTCCCGAGCAGCCCCCTACACCTGCGTCTTCGACGGAGATCAAAGGAAAGGATGGATCTCAGTTCTCGAGTCTGCAGATGTCCTTCGAACTTCCTCCTCCGGCTGTAGCAGGCGGAGAGTCCAATCCCTCGAGCGCGTCCTTGGCAAACTCTTCCCCGACTTCCTCGTACCACCCCGACTCTCCAAAGTCTCCTGTGATTCCTGCAAGTGAGGGTGTCAAACTTCGTCGACGTCCATCTGCGGCACAAGCTCCTGCCAAAGATGCTTTTGCCCTTCCCCCACCCCCGACAAGGTCCAGGAAGATCATTCAGATGAAACCTCGCGGACAACCAGAAGAGATTCCAGAGTTCTCCAATGATGGGTCAAAAGCATCTGCGGGGAAGCCTGCTGCCTCTACGCCGAAAAAGAAACAACCCTCTTCAACAAGTGTCGCTGGTCGCAAGATCGCGCGGAAGACGGCTCACAGCTTGATCGAGCGTAGACGAAGATCTAAGATGAATGAGGAGTTTGGAGTCCTGAAGGATATGATCCCAGCGTGTACGGGGGAGATGCACAAACTGGCAATTTTACAAGTGAGTGGTACCGAATGATATACGTCTTTCCAAAACTAACAGCCTCCCAGGCATCTATCGACTATGTACGATATCTCGAGGACTGCGTGGCGAAACTGAAGGCTGAGAATAATCGAACTTATGCAGCCCCCACATCTGATCAATGTATTCTTCCACCTCCGGCAAGCAGAGGAACTTACAACACACCTCGACAATACCAATCGTATGAGGAGCCCGAAGATGTTGAAATGGGCGGCTCAGACCAAGCCTCACCTACCTATTCAACCCCTATACCACCGTCCAACCGGCCTTCGGCCTCTCCAGCACTCATACCACAAGATTCCCGAAACCGACAAGACTCATATTCGTCGGTGTCAACAGACCAGCGTCACTACAGCTTCAGCGCATCATCCACGACTTCTCCTGCTCTAGGCCCCTCGGCTTATGAGTATGCTCGAAGTGCTGTCTCAGTTGGATCGGCTTTGACGAGTCCTGTTTTATTGCCACAAAGGGATAGGGATATGGATCAAGAAGCCACTGCGGCTCTTCTCATGTTGAATACCGACCGGCGAGGTACCCAAGGAAGCATCGGCGGCAGAGGAATGAGCGTTAAGGACTTACTTAGTACATAATTTTAGGGAACATAAAAACAACCTTTAGAGCGTGAGTCAATTTTGGCGTCACAACAGGGTGGAATTTTGTGTTTGAAAAACGCCATTGTTTGTTGATCTTATCTCAGATGAAATAAATACCAGCATTCTAGAATCCGGGATCCTCAGATCCCTCGGTAGCACACGGCCCTGCCCCTTGTTCACGACTGGATATTGCCAGCGAAAGCTGGCACCAGAAAAGTGTTTATGGAGTAAGCAAGTGTTGAAAGCATCAGAGCACATTCGGTGTGATCTACTACCAAGTAGTTCCCCTGGAAAGTCGCCTGATTACAGGGCTATCCTTCGCTCCCTGCTGCTGAGCTTTGGTAGGGACTTGAAGAACCGGGATGTATCTGTTTGGAAGTCTGTAGGAGGCGGGGTCCTCCCGGGCAGCAATGGCGTTTCAAAAGCTTGAAAATCGTATGCTTGCTCGTACGATGCCTCTCTGATGTTGAATGTTTCAGAAGCCTTCAATCACGTGTCACAAGACATGAAGCCTCTCAGGTATCACTTATTCCTGGAGCCAACCCTCTGCTTTTTATTTATTGTTCTTGTTAGCTGCGCTGCTTTGCATGATCTCTGTCCTTCCACCCCTGGTATTCTATCATCCGATCACGATGCCTACGAAAGACTCTTCTCCCACTACCGCGACACTGCCCGCCGACCTCTCAAATGGCATGTCGAAAGACGCCATCATAGAAGATCTTCGGAGAAGATTAGAGGAATCCGAACTCTCTTCTAATGCTTGCTCTTCTTCTTCTGGCGGACGTCGGCGGCGACGAAGCAGGAAACCCAAGAGCTCCCTCGCCCCGAACTTGGCTGCCACAGCAGCACCCGCTCTGCCACTCCTTTCGACAACGGCAGCGAAGACAAAAGAAGCAAAACCAGTGAAATTAGTCGTTGGTTTGAATCTCAACCTCGAGCTTGAGTTAAACGCTAGGATAGAAGGAGATATCACTTTATCTCTAGTGTAAGTACCATGTGTGCAGCACATCTCTTCCCCAACTGTCCTTCATCTGTCTTCAAGAGCGGATGCTAATCACAAGCTTCTCAGGCAATAAGTGTCGAAAAGAAGGGCCGAAAATCCTTACCTCCGAGATGCATGGAGAAGCCACTGAATAAAAAGTGTGGCGGCGTTACGGAAGTTTTTGATGTCTGTTACATCCGAATGGGGACCTTTTCGTTCAGACAAAAGTGGATAGAAAGAGAGGTTTCGGATAGCCTGACGGCTGTGGTTGCCCTTGGTGTTCTGGGCTTGGGAATCGTTGTAGGATTTATTTGTGGGTGGGCTACTGCTAATTCTGGGCGGTGTTTTGTGGCGTCGGATTTCTAGAAAAGAGGTATATATTACACGTGATGCTCTCTACTTCATCTTCCCTCCCATCTGTTGATCAACGTTTTTCAAGGGAGTAGCCCTCTTCAGGCCATGGTCAGCAAGGCCAAGTGTCTTCACTGTGATTGCACAACAGAAGTTAGCTTGTTGGTGGTTGCACAAGTGAGGAGATCTTGTGTAGCTGTGTACACTTTACCCATGGGAGTTGATGAAATTATGGAAGCCGTCTTTGTCCTTTCACTGCTCACTTGCTTTGCTCAATGAATTAGCAGTGTGCTGAAAATCGGCAGTGCGTGCTTTTCTCTCCGTGTCGCTGCTTCCTTTAGTCAACTCAGATGCCATCCTCTTCTCCATCTTCGATCGTTCCTTCCCTCCTTTGGGAGCATTCCAATAGCTGCCGATGCCCCTACCGTCCAGTTTCTCCAGGTTTCTTCTCTCGCGGTCAAACAAGATGGGTATCCTGAAAGCGATTGATGTTACGGATGGTCACAAGCTCTTGCGGCTTTGTGTACTCATGGTGCGTTGCCAATTTTTGCTGCTGTTTTATACGTCTCCTCCTCCACGAAGTGGACCAAATTCAGACTGCACTTAATGCCCCTCCGAATCGTGCTTCATCTGCTAATGCCAGATCCAGTTCTTCACATACCTTGTCTACACCTCAATCTCTCGTCTCTACTTCCATCCTCTCGCAAGATTTCCTGGACCACGTCTCTGGGCTATCAGCAAGTTACCAGATGCCTATTACCGAGCAACAGGTCGCCAAACATACCTCGTCGCTGGATTTCATTGTCAATACGGCCCAATTGTCAGAATTGCCCCGGATGAGCTGACCTTCAATGTCGAAGAGGCTTGGAACGATATATATGGTAAACCCACGCCTCGTAACGCTCAGCTTCAAAAGAACCCGTTACAATTTTTCAACCCTCCAGGTGGTATCACCAATATGTTACAGGAGTTCGATGATGATGAGCATCAGCGGATGAGGTTATTTTCCCTCCCTGGTCCCCACTCCCCAAAACTTTCGATGCAATGTTTAACAAAGATTAGACGTGTCTTCTCTCCTGCCTTCTCGGAGAAAGCTTTAAGAGATCAAGAACCAATTATGAATCGGCACTTCGACTTGCTCATTCAACGGCTCCGTGAAAACGGTGGAGAGGCGCTTGATATAAACAAGTGGTATAGCCTAATGGCTTTCGATATTATCAGCGACCTCACTTTCGGAGAATCTTTTGACTGCCTCAAGAATTCAACCTTTCACGTAAGGGTTCCTGCGCTCTTCAGAACCTCGGACCTAATATTGTCTTAGCCCTGGATAAAGTCAATCCAAGATTTGATGAAAATTATGCCTGCCACTGGTGCAACACAGTCCTTCTACCCTCTGGATAAAATCCTTCTGTTCCTGGCCTCACCTTTCACAAGAAAGGCTGAGATGAAGCATAGGGATTTTGTCGAAAGTAAGGTAAAGAAACGACTAGAATGTGCAGCACTTCGGCCAGACTTGTAAGTTTGACAAAATAAGAGATTCCCGCTGTTACGCTGACATTGGGAAGTATGGCATACGCTCAAGAGACCTTGAATACGCCCGGCGGCTTGACATTTCAAGAAATCTGCGAAAATGCATCACCGCTAGTTGTCGGCGGCACAGAAACAACAGCCAGTCTCCTCTCTGCTGTAACTTACCTTTTGCTCAAAAACCAGTCTGTTCTGTGTAAGCTCACGGCAACGCTCCGAACTACCTTCAAATCCGAGGCCGAGATCAATAGCATCACGGTCAACAAAATCGGCTACCTCTTCGCGGTCCTGGAGGAAGCCTTCAGGTTGTATCCTCCTGTTGCCATATTCTTGTCCCGAGTCACACCACCAGAAGGTTGCATCATAGCCCGAACTTTCATCCCAGGTAACACTTGTGTCTCGGTCAACTCGTGGGGTGCCAGCCGCTCAGCTTCCAACTTTATCCGCCCGAACGAATTCATACCAGAACGCTGGATGGGAGCCTCTGAGTTCAAGAATGACAAGCGGAAGGTAGTGCAGCCGTTCAGTGTTGGTCCAAGGAACTGTCTGGGACAAAGTCTGGCACGGTTTGAGTTGAAGATTATTCTTGCTAGAGTGCTTTGGAACTTTGACTTGGAGCTTTGTGAGGAGAGTCGTGGCTGGATGGAAAAACAGAGGTTCTACATCGCTGCTGCCAGACCGGAGTTGATGGTTAGACTTAAGCCAGCAGTTAAGGTTTGATGGATAGTTGGTGAAAGCTTGCTGTTGGGTGGAGGAAAGGGCAGCTAGAAAATTCTCTTTGGCACGACCTTTGCTCTTGATCTTCTTAGATTTGCTCCTCGGGATAACATCGCCAGCTGAAAGTCAGTCTATCGCCAGAATTGGTGTATCTCCCTTTCTTGACCGCTTTATTGTTTAGATCCATAGCTGCTTAGGAGATAAACTTGCTGGGAATTGAAGAAAGGGATTTACTAACAATTGATTTGTTTTTGATAGTTCTGCTGAGTCGTGGTGATTACTTGCTGCATATTTGTATTTTCGTAAGTTGGCCGTCAGAGGCAAAGCTCTTTGGACCGCACTTCCCTCCCTTCGGGCAATCCCTTTCTTTTTCGCCGTTTTGATAAGGTCAGGACCGAGGTTATACTGCCTTCTATTTTGGTTGTCTTTTTTGATGTCTGTTGAACTGCGAGGATTTGCTTATCGTCAATCTCCCCTTTCCGTGATCAACACACTTTCACATCTTGCCGCTGACATAAACACAAATCAATGGACCAGAAGAGAATCTCAGATTGGTTCTGTGTTCGGATTACTGTTTCTGATGTCCTAAAGCTTGTGGGACATGCGGAACTTCTCAAATCGTGATGGTCTAGGGGGTACTTCGAAAAATTCCTACTTTCAACCAGTGTGTCAAAGGATTAATCACGTTAATCACATTAATCGATTAATTAATTGATTAATGTGATTAGATTTTGATTAACGTAATTCAGATTTTTTTTGATTAGATTAGATTAATTAATCTAGATTAATCTGATTAATCAATGATTAATCACGTGATAAGCGAGTTTCTTGACTTTACTTACTTTTCTCTTTACTTTTACTTATTAATTATTAAATAACCTTATAACCTATTAATAATAATATAATAAAAAATCTAAATTAAGCTAAGAACTAACTAACTACTCTCTTTCTATAATAATAAACTAATTATCCTCTTCTTTAACTTGATTTGCCCCCTTTTTCTCTTCTTTTTTTACTTCCTCTAATTCATCTTTAAATATACCCCAGCTCTTTAAACAAGATATCTTCTCAAAGGTACTCTTATTAAGTCTATTATGTAGTTTAGATATAATAAGAGCCCCTTGAGAAAAGAATCTCTCGCTAGCTGCCAAGGAAGCCGGGATTCCTAAATATTTCCTAGCTATTAAAGCCAAAACAGGGAATCTAGCGGTATTAGACTTCTAATAATCTAATAGCCTAATCTATATATATATTAGTACTTATATATTAAAAAATATTAAAGAAATATCGGGGGATTATTTAATAGAATTTAAGTGAATTCTACTTACTTTCTTATCTTCTCTCTTTTCCTCTAAATAAGTTACTAATTCGTCTTCTATATTAGAGGACTTATTAGTAATATATATATCGTCTTTATCGGAATCGGAATTAGCCATATTAATATCCGAGAAATCGGATCTAGCTTGAGATAAATTATAATTATATTTATATCTAAATAAAATTAGTTAGTTATTAATTAATTTATTAAAAAGTAATAAAAGGAATTACTTATATGTTATAATTAGTCTTTAATCTATTATATATATCCGAAGATATACTGCTAGATAAGCCAATACTACTTAATCCTTCTTGTTTAATTCGAGGATCAAGAATAAGAGCTAAATATAAAGCTTTACTTCTATTATTTAAAATACCTGTTTTAGGATAATATTTTCGAAGCTTAGCTATACCCTTATTAATAGTATCTATAAATATTTTATCCTATTAAAAGTTAGTATAATATTATTAATAATATAAGAAAGATTTTAAAAAAAGACTTACTTTAAATTCCCTTTTAAAATTCTCAAGTTTATTATATATTTTATATACCTCAGGTATAATATAATATATAGTAGGGTAGTTTTCGGCTTATAGCTTAGTTATAGCTTTAACAAATATTGAAATTATATTTAAAATATTATTTAAATAAGTAATTTCAATATTAGTTAAAACTAGACTTTTATTTTTAAAAGCCTTCGAATTAGAGCTATTAATAACTATTTCAATAGCTTTATATATATATAAAAAGTTCTTTAATATATAATAAATCAAAGACCACCTAGTCTTTTAATCTATAATAATTAGTACTTATTAATAATTAATAATTAATTAAATAATTACTTACCAAGTTATGGGAATCGAGTATTTTCTATATTAAAAGCTTTAATTTGAGCTTCTAATAGCCGTCTGTTTTCCTGGTTATACTTAAGACCTATAATAGTCTTTCTAACCTTTCTCCAAATAAATAAATCTATAACTTATTAATAAATCTCATATATATTATATAAGAAACTTACTTATTACTTATTCTTCTTCTTTCCCTTCTTCTTTATCTTCGAGTTCTTCTATTTCTTGTTCGTATAAGTCCGTAGAATAGGAGATATTATAGTTATTCTTAATAAGAGCTTTTAAAATATCTTGAATTACTAAATTCAAAATATGAGCTATATAAGAAATATCTCCTTGAAATTTAATGCCTTCCTTATTATAATACTTTATAAAAGCCTTTAATAAGGTATTATTTGAACTAGTATTATCTCGAGTAATACTAATTATAAGTTAGTTTATTATTAATAATTTTAAATAGAATTAAAATTACTTACCTAGTTATATTATACTTAATACCATATTCTCTTAAAGTATCTAATAGAACAGAAAGTATATAAATACCTGAGTAAATATTACTTAAATCTTTTATAGCTAATAAATAAGATTTTAATTTAAAATCTTTATTTATAAAATGTCTAAATAATAATTAGTATATCTTTAAAAGGGATTTAATTAATAACTTATATAGTAATATCAAGAAAGGCCTTTTGATTTATAGCTATCCAAGTATCTAAAGTAATAGAAAAGGTTCCTTAAGTCTTTATATTCTCAAGTAACTCTTCTTTAATAAATAAGCTTTTTTCGATATAGCTTAATTCTAATTCGTCTGTAAGAACCTTAGTATATAAAGGCGGTATTTAACTAGTAATATATTAGTATTAAAGCTTTAAGTAGGGTTAATTAAAGTACTTACTAATTTAAATAAGTTAAAAGCTTTTTAAAGCTCGAAGTAATAATAGCTCTAAAAGATATATTATTAGAAATAATAAAATTTAATAATAATCTTTTAAAGTAATTAATAGTAAAGCTTTCTTTGTATTAACCGGTATTTTTATTAAATAGCTAAGCTATAGTAGGCTGACTAGATTAACTAGACTAGCTTAATATCTCGCTTTTACCTAAAATATATATTAGTTAAATTAATTAAAGACTAATATTAATTAACTTACTATTAATCTCACCGGTCTTTAAGCTTAAGAGACTTATAGACTTATAAGCATGTCGAAAATGAGTATAATAATTACTCGTAGAGCTGTATATTTATTATTTAATCCAGATTTTCCTAATACAAAGTTAATTAAAATCTAAAATAGAACTATAATAATTACTTACCTATACCCTCGAACTAAGTACTTAATAGTACATGTTCGAATATCTTCGGGGTCTTCTTGAGAAGAATCTAATATCCTTTTAAGGTATTTAAATCGAAAGAAAGAAGGTTATTCCTCAAGTGGTTCAAGTATAAAATCGTCTCGATTTTGAGTTAAGTTAGTTTTAATCAAGGATTACTGAGACATTTTCGAATATATCGAGTAAAATAGAGTAACTTTATAGTATAAAGCTTTTTAATAGGTATAGTGGTTGGTTTAATATTATGTTTTGAAGTTTAATACTAGAAAAATTATTGAGGAGAACGAGCTTCTTATATAGGGAAACTTTTAATTCTAAGTAGTTCTTAATATTTCTTCTAATTAGAGATAATCTATTAATTTTAAAGCACTTATTACTAATAGAGGTTAATTTCTAATTACTTTATTTATAATAAACATGATTTATAAGGGGGTTAGAAGTATAGAAAAATCAAGGAGGTTCTAGGTAGTTCGCTTGCTTGGTAAGCGGCGGGCCAGGCCGCGCCTAGTCCTAATTCGGTAAAGTGCGTTCCCGATACGGCTAAACCCAAACCTTAATCTGGGATCAGCTCGGCTACTGGCCCTTGCGCTGTCACGTGCTCCATTAATCAAATTAATTAATTAATAATTGATTAATCTGATTAGATTATGATTAGAATATGATTAATGGCAAAATCCTTTGATTAGATTAGATTAATGGCCATTAATCTAATCTAATCTAATCATTTGACACACTGCTTTCAACCTCCCATATCATTTAACTCCCGGCGTTGCGGCTGACACCCAATCAGGTGTTATTACTGGGATTTGAGAAAGTCTAACAAGTTGTGAGAGTATCAGGGGAAAAGTCATTGGCAGAACGAGTCCAGAAATCCCTGAGACTAGAATAATTGAAAACTAAACTTTCTGGCAAGGTCTGGAGGCTCTGGAATCCAGAAGACATGCTGAGGTGCTGGAAGCATTATAGTAGCGTGGATCCACAGCAGAGAACACATAGAACGGAATCGTCAATGAAACGAGCGTAATAGTTTGCGTAAGAAGTGACTTGATTTCTAAGAACTATATGCAGTTCCGTATCGTCTAAGCAAAAGACCGACTTCTACTTGACCGTTGTTGAATATGTGCCAAGTAACGCCATTCGCTGATGAAAACAAAGTTCCCCAATTGTTGAAACTTTTCTTTCCTGAGAAAGACCTTGTATATGCCGTTGAAGGACAAATGCTTTTTTCTCATATCATGCCATCATTATTCGTGTTGAAAGTCTCGCCCGCCATACGTTCTTACAAAGGAAAGCGACCAGAAATAAAGGAAATCTAGTAACGGTACCTGGGATACATTAGAAAGGGATTCGAAAATTGGAGGGAAGAAACTTACATCTCGCTCTTGTATGGCCCCTCAACCCCAAGTCCGAGGTACTCAGCCTGGACCGGGGTCAATTTGGTCAACTCAGCGTTGACGTGAGCCAAGTGGAGCTTAGCAACAGTCTCGTCCAAGATCTTGGGCAGGACATAGACGCCAACCTCGAGTTTCTGGGTCTTGCCGAACTCGACGTACTTCTTGCCGAAAGCCTCATCCTCGCACTTGTACAACATAATTTGTGCAAGAACTTGGTTGGTGAATGAGCAGGACATGACGAAGGAAGAGTGACCAGTGGCACATCCCAAGTTGACGAGACGTCCCTCAGCGAGAAGAATGATATGGCGTCCGCTCTTCATGAGGAAGCGGTCAACCTGGGGCTTGATGTTTTGCACGCTCTTGGCATTCTTCTTCAACCAGGCAACGTCAATCTCAATATCGAAGTGGCCAATGTCTAGACATGTCAGTATTGTATGAATAACAAGAACTACAGAAAACTTACTGCAGACAATAGCATCGTTAGGCATCTTCTCGAAGTGCTCACCAACCAAGATGTCTCGGCATCCGGTAGTTGTGACGAAGATTTGTCCAACGCTAGCAGCCTTGTCCATGGTAGTGACTTGATATCCAGAGACGGCGGCTTGGAGAGCATTGATGGGGTCGACCTCGGTCACGAGGACGCGAGCACCCATACCGTGGAGAGCCATAGCACATCCCTTTCCAACATCACCGAAACCAGCAACGACCGCAATCTTACCAGCAATCATGACATCAGTGGCACGCTTGATACCATCGACCAAAGACTCGCGGCAACCGTATAAGTTATCGAACTTGGACTTGGTGACGGAATCGTTGACGTTGATGGCTGGAACGAGCAGACTGTTGTTCTTCAGCATCTTGTACAGGTGGTGAACACCAGTGGTGGTCTCCTCAGATACACCGTAGCAGCCCTTCAACATCTCGGGGTACTTCTTGTGGACGAGAGCGGTGAGATCTCCACCGTCATCGAGGATCAAGTTCAAGCCTTTGCCATCCTTGAATGCAACAAGTTGTTGCTCCAAGCACCACTCGTATTCCTCCTCGGTCTCTCCCTTCCAGGCGAAAACAGGGACACCTGTCCATGATTAGCTCTAGCTCTTGAGAAAGAGTGAGGGTTGATTAACCAGCAGCGGCAATTGCAGCAGCAGCGTGATCTTGAGTCTGTCATCTAATTAGTATGGAATGCTCCCAAGAAGCTCTCAGGTAGAAAAATAACAAGTGAGTAATGAAAGAGGGCTTACAGAGAAGATATTGCAAGACGACCAAGTAACCTCAGCTCCCAAGTGTGTAAGAGTCTCGATAAGAACCGCAGTCTGAATGGTCATGTGCAGACACCCAGCAATGCGAGCACCCTTGAGCGGTTGATCCTGAGCATATTTTTCGCGGGTCGCCATCAACCCGGGCATTTCGTTCTCTGCGAGATCTATTTCCTTGCGGCCAAAGGCAGCGAGACTCAGGTCTGCGACCTTGAATTTTGATGCTGGAGCAGCCATGATTGCGGTGTGGGTTTCGGGGTGGTGTTGCGGTGAGGGGCGATCTTGATTGTAGGAGGGATGAAGTTTGCTGAATTAAAGACGAATTAGTATCTAGATAGTTTCACATCCAATCGGCAAAGACAATGCTCGAGTTTGCTCACCGGAATCTTCAACTGTGGTCTGGGGGGGTGTGAAGAGATGAGAAAGAAGTTCTTCAATTTCGTGGCGGGACAGAGAGTTTCTGACTAGCGTCGCCTAAACTGCGGGGCCTGCAGAGACCCTTGAATGAGGGGCTAAAGGTTGCCAAGGTGATATGGTTTGGCTGAAGCCTCTTTGAACACATATCTTTAAGTTTTGAAGCATGCTATAATTGTCATTCAAACGTTGGGACATCGAGCTCAAAAACTCTGGGAGAATGGAGATACTTGAGAGGGCAGTGGACTCTTGATGCTGGCAGTCATCGAGTCAATGTCCCCCACATAGCGTTAGTACAGGGAATGGAAACTGAGATGATGAAATACACCACTCTGCACAATATCAGACAGTTTGCCATATGACTATTTTTCATTCGTTTCATTCGTGTTCAATGAAGCCAGGAAATAGATTTGGTATTTGAATCTATAACACATTTGTAACAACGAACAGGATTGCACATGGCAATCCCAGATGCTCAACTCTATGTGTGTCACTCAGTTTTTGAAAAGTGAGCCCGATACAGGCCCCTCTGAACGCCATCCCATGCAAACCCCATAAACGCATCTTCATGATGAACAGTCCACCCGTTCCGAAACAAGCAGAGAACTTCTCCTATGATGATTCTGGCAAGAGATTGCTCTTCACAGCAAACATCTTACTAGTAATACTAGCAGTAAATCCATCCACCTGTCTCGAGTATTGCTCCACCTGTCGAGCATTCAACATACCCTCCAATCTGCTTGGTTCCGTTGGAAGCTTGAACAACCTCTCCCACTCATCCTCCGGCAGCGGGGCTAATTTCTGAGCAGCCCGAGTCGCATTCTCCGCAGCACGCTTCGTCTTCCACGCGGTGACCTTAGTCTGCTCACGGGCCAGCTGTCTTTGGAAATATTGGAAGTTGTTGAGTTCGGTATAGTGGGTCTCGATACTATCAAGAAGTTGGTCGCAAGTCTTCTCAAGGTAAGGATCGATCGAAAGGTCCAGAGATTCAAGATTGGGGTACAGAGGAATTGGTGGTTGGTCCGCAGTCAGTTCTTGAAGGCTGGCGGGGAACTCAAGCTCCTCCTTAGGAAGTTCGGCAGGAAGTTGGTGGAGGAAAGATGTTAAAAGGTGAGAGTTGTGGACAATGATGGGCAATTCAATCAGAACATCCTTGTATGTGAGCTTCGTCTTTTGCATGCTGTCCAAGTGTTAGCACGATTTCTGCTAAGCTTTTCCCTTGATACTTACTTCTCTGTGGTGAACTTGCCCTCCTTGAACGCAGCCATGAAGCTAGGTGCTAATCTGAAGGCTCGCAGACTCAAAGCGCCCTGTGAACTTCTACTAACATCATGTACTAATGCGACTGTTCTCTCGTTGACCTCTTTCTGATAGTAGTATTGGTTCTCAATTAAGCTGGTGTTGATGAAGTTGCCCATATTCGCACTGGTGTACCATCCCACGTTATTCGCGTCCACATTGACTTCCCGCAGGCACTTGATCATCTCATTTTGATACACAACGTTCGCTTTTGATCGTGGAGCTGCAGCGGCAAGGTTTGAAGCAGCCATGTGGTCGTTGGGGTGAGAGTCGGAAGCCGCGACATCTGCGGTTGGGAAAGGGAAGCAGTTGGTAATTTGAAGGGTTCCATTAACGTCCATACCGACGATGGACCCAGTAGCTGTTGTTGGGAACGTCGCAGAGCATGCTTTGACAATTTTCATGACCACCTGAATTCCGGGTCAGTCTTCAAGTTCTTCCAACACAACAGGTAGTTCGTACCAGTGCCTCCACCTGCACCGAGTTTAACGGGACTTCCTTTGCCACGGGGTCCGCCATACTGGGCAACTCTCTATCTCGCGATTAGCTAGATGGCGCTTCAGCGATTTCAAGTCGTTCGCGAGGATTGTGCGTTCTCGAAGGGTTGTGCGGGTCGGGTTGAGAGTCGCAAATCGCGAACTTTTCGAAGACGAGGGTTTGTGGGCGAGTCTTTGGCGACCCACTTGGGCCAGATGTGCGGAATGCCCCGCCTATGGCGAAGAAATATCTCGTTTGGGTTTGACTTCATTCTAATAGAATTTATTTCGCATTTAGGTACTTATCGGATTAAGACCAGTGGCATAGTTATTTTTAATCTCATTCTCTATTTCTGGTAGTGATTGACAAAGAGTAATAAGGTTACGTAGATTGCATTGCCATGTCTTCAAGTTCATCTTCAATAGCTTTCATTAATTGTTTAGCGAAACTACGGGAAAGAACATAAAGGGTATAATATCGCAAAACTCTCGCAAGGCCTCCTGTTGAGCGGCGTGATTGCTGTCGATATTGAGGGTATACCAATCTGGAATATGGGAAGGACGAAGACCTACAACGCCTCGCTTCCCATGCCAATAAGAAATGAATCGCAAACCAACTAATGGGGAACATATGATAGAACAAATCAAAGGTAAAGGTAGGTCCCGATGTGAACAAGATTTAGTGATGGTTGTCATGGTCGTCGTCATCATGGTCAACGATGGATTCCGTCTCCGACTCGCCTCTGAAGACTTCTTCGAAAGCATATGCAGCTGTTCCTTGTTAGCATTTGTAGCAGCGGTAATTCCATCATACTCTCTCCACGAATTCCAGATATCGGCCGCTCGAGAAAGAGTGTTAAGGAGAGATGACGAACCTTCCTCGTTGACAAAGTATATTTCAAATTCTCCATCTCTCCTCAGCTGGTGTCTCTTCTTGTAATTGCCACAGAAAACATAGGGATGGATGTCCCTGAGCCAGATTCGGTGTCTGCTACGGCGATTCATCCACCGTGGGGATTCTGATTGATGGGTGACTAGTCAAGCGTTGATTGTCAGCCCTCATCAGGGAAATGACTTGCTGCAGAGAGAGGCAGAACGAGGAAGAAAAGGCAAGAAGATAGTTTGCTAAGCACAACTTCTTTGAATCAGTTCGAGGGTTCGGGGCTTACCAAATGCGGTCCAGACAGGACATTTTCTTAAGTCCCCATTCCTGACAGCAGCATGTAAACGGAGCCCGCCACACTTTTTATCTTGGAGGACTGTTAGAATATGCTCAAAGCCATCATCGATAATTTTTCTGCACAGTTATGTCAGCAAAACTGAGCCAAGTATGAGATTCAGGGGAAGAGAAAGGGGGGTAGGAAAATGCAGTACCCTTGAAAGCGTTTTGTCTCGCCTGCGAGGACGAGATCGTCTGAGGTAAGATTTATGGTCATTGGACAACGAGCTTTCAAGGCTCCAAATGCCGCATGGAAGAGAACCATCTCTATGGATAGAATAAGCAATATATCATGCCGGGAAAGGAACTACTCACTCTCCCATGTTTTGAAGAAGAGCACCAGCCACAGTGTGGGGTGGGCTCTGGCTGGACTCCAGCGACGAAACTGCAGTGATGAACCCTTCCGCCTGATGCAGAGTTCTTGAACTCCATAGCAGGAATACATTGGATTATTATACCGATCTATCCAGCGGCACAGCAGCCTCGTCATGTCAGGTCCATCAGGGGAAAGGAAAATGGTAACCGAGACACGATTCTTCTCGAATGGCCTGCGATATCAGCAGCCCTTCGGAGCATGGGTGGTGGCACGAACTCACAGCTTGAATAAGGCTTTCGATCCCGAGGCTATACCCAGCCTCCTCTCCACCATAACAGGTCCGAAGCATTGTGATCTGAATTTCGGAGTCAGTGCGCTCTATTGATCAATCCAGATCCTTATCAGAGAGGGCTGAGGGGTCGCTGAAGCATTGCTAGACTGGGGAAAACATGACTCACTCTCGCCTATGTCGCAGACCTGTTGTTGAGTGAGGTTGGTCGTCAAAAATCTTTTCTGCCCAATGGCGTCGCTTCGCCTGTTGGTAAGGTTGACGACCTGTGAAAAGGGGGCAAGGGAGATCTTACCTCAAGGGCTTCCTCGGTCGGGTGGGCTGGCGCAACATGAGGTTGAAGAGGGCCTGGGGGCGCTAGAACGAATGGGATGAGCGCTTGATTCATACCATCCATCATGTCCTCTTTCCCAGCAGGTATTCCGCTAGAAGCGCATACCTGAAATATGTTGTAAAGATCTTAAACGTAAATGCCTCAAGCGCAACAACTCCAGCGACGTTGGATCATATAAAGGCGATCTGCTGACACCCGTCAGAACAACCCAATCAGCGAGTGAATGCTTTCCGCACCTGCTTAATAGCCGAACCAGCTGAACAAGCAACTCCACATACATCACGAACCGGGCGGCCAATGTCATTCCTCCTTGCTGGTTGAGTCGATCGGACATCAAGCTCCATTGTGCCCGAGGTGGAAGATTCTCATGCTCGAGGTAGACTTTCATTTCTTTCAAGGTCCTCTGGAAAGAGGGGAGAACAACGTTCAAGTAGTAGAGAATGATGGGGACTCGAGACCGGTATATCGGAAACAGATCGTAGAGGTCTCGAAGAAGCCTGCTTGTGGACTCAACTTCTCTGAGGACCGCTGAGATCTGGTCATAGAATTCGAGGTCCAGGGCGGTCCGGAGCCGTAGAAGTCCCTCGGCGGCCCTGTCTGCTCGTTCGGCCTCCCGCCAGCAACCGAACAACTCCTCCAAGCGTACCTCCATGCGTACTGAGTAGAGACATCAAGTCAACGCGCCTCTGGTGGAAGCGTTGATGACCGATGCATTGTAGGAGATCTGTGAAGTTTGGAGAGAGTGCAAACCATCACAGCTCTGTCAACCTGGAATCCAGGAGAGGCTCTGCGATTGAGGTATCAAAAAATAATCACTGGTAGTATTGCGAGGGCTCTGACGTGTCAGGGCTAAAAAGTGTCTCCAGTAAATATTTGCACACAAAATTTAACTTCCAATGCGAGGGTGCATTCTCATGCGACCAAGCCGGTCATGCATTCTAGCGACGAACGATTGGGGCAAGAACCGGACATGCTGCGGACGATAGAGCCGGAATTCTGTGGAGACTCTCGATTGATGCCACGCATACACAGTATGCGCTCCAAGAGCAACGGGCGAATCGTGCAAGGCTGTCAACGCGGCTGATGATTGAACAGGCATTTCGACGAGAAACTTGGCCGGCCTGTTGACCAGACATGAAAAGTTCGTGACCAGAAAGTGCTTACTTTGACTGGTGCTCGCGGATGTAACTTGCAAATTATCTCCTTCCCAGAATTCAATCAGACCATAGAAATTCGACACGAGAGCTTGAGCGTAAAGATTGGAAGACATATCGCCACGGTTCTGTTACCTTTAGCATGCATCATGCAGTCGGCGCCGCCGAGTACCTCGAGATGCACTTCGTCAGAAACGGGTCAACTGCCATGCAGCCATAAAGCCTCTTCTGGTTGAAACGCTCCGGGATGAAAGGGAGAGCCTCAGAGGACGCTCTAATGTCTGTCTCGTTTCGCTGCTGATTTCTGGAGTCCGTTCAGCCAAACAATCAAGCGCTTTCACTTGATGGAGGCAGAGCAGTCGACAAACTTAGATAAAGTTACAGCACAGCACTTCGCGATAATGGCACCATTGCAACAGAAGAGTTGAGCGAAACAAGTATCGACTTGTTGTTGGCCATGATGAAGGGAGCTTGATTTGGAAGAGCGCGAGGTCAGGTCTCGACGCGCTGGAGGACGAGGCAACAAGGCAAACATGTGACCTGCCTGAGTTACCTGTAACATTCGAGGCTGCAATATATACCTCAAAGTAGGAGTAAATAACCGGAAAGAAATCACTGTTCTATCACATAGCGCGGAGAGATCACAATTCAGAGTCATTATGCGATTGTTGGCACAGTAAAGGAGAGCTAGAGTACAGAAGATATCATCGATACGCGTTGTTGAATTGCAGGACAGTGTCACTGTCCGCAGCCCAGATCATGAAAAGCGTGTCAACGATCATCTTGGACTAGACCACCTCCCGTGATCAGAAGAGTCCTCCATAAGGTCATAGCAAACGTCTCGGTCGCAAAATGAGAAATCACCGATATTGTCCCATTCCGAGCAGCAACACCCCAGCCCAAAGAAAAAAGAAAACCCTCAGACGTCCATAACAGCGCGCCCCTTGGAAGCCCAGAAGTCGAAGTAACCTTCCAGGAATGTGTGTAGCCGAGAACGTGAACTCAAGGAGTGGATGTCGAAGCAGGTCCTCTAAGAAGACTCTTCCTCCTCAGCATCAGCCTGTGCGACGTTCCTATTAGTACCTCTTGCAGTACGCTTGCGAACGCCCACAGGCTTTTCAGCACTTACGTTGTAGGTCGCCTTTTCATCCTCATAGCGCTTCTTGTCCTGAGCAGCCTTGGCCTCATATGGAGCACGCTGCTTGTCGTTCAATGCCTTCCATCGCTCGCCGAGGACCTTGCCAACTTGGCCTGTGTTGATGCCGTGTCAGTGTGTTTAACTGAAATGGAAGGATGTTTATTGCAAAGCCATACCGAAGCTAATACCCGGGTTCTCGTCACGAACATTCTCACGTTGCTCGTTGGCGAAGAACATGTAGGCAGAGAGACCACGCTTGGGCGCGTTGGGATCTTCAAAACAACGTCAGCATGGTCGCGGCAGCGCATTGGCAGGTCGTCAAGGACGTACCCTTCTTCTTCTTCTCGGTGCGGGCCTTGGTAGCGCGCTTGGTGGTCTTTTCCTTAGGCATGGTGAAGGTGGTTGTTGGTTCTGATTGAGACTTGTCGTCAGTCACATGCGCAAGACAAGATTGCGACCAGTGCTCAATCGAGGATCGACGTTGTGGACGAAGTGGTGGTTGAAAGAAGTGGTGGAGTTGAACGGTACCCAGGTCGGTCGCGGCTTTGTTGTGTTTGTTATTGTCGGCTTTGGCGACGTCGAGGTGAATGGGCCGCCCGGGCGCAATGTGAATAACTTCACCATCGTCGCGATCCGACGCTCTTTTGAACAGCAAAATAAGAGGAGAAAACTTACAGGGGAGTTGGTTTTTTGTGGTGATCAAGAATTGAAGATCGGTGGTGGACCTAGAGTGCGATTTCCACTGGTCAGCTGGTGGTCTCCATCAACAGATCAACAAAGGTAAATCGCGACGGGTGACGCGCCGACAAGGTGTAGATATTGCGAAAGCAGCTGGGCAAGCGAATGAATGCGTGCAATTGGACGCGTTTGGGGCCACTATCCAATCCAATGGTGTGTGCTCGAGTGGCGAGCCGAAGCGAACAGGTGCGTAGAGATTTGGGAGGGACCTTACTATGAGAGAGAGCTTTTGCAGTACTTCGCAGTGGTGAGGCACTTTGGTGAAGAGGAGTGAGGGAGGATGAGGGCAGAGGGCAGAGCAGCACAGCAAGAATGCGTGGAGGGAGTGCCAGGAAGCAACGTACGAAGCGAGCTCAGGCTCGCCCTCGCGCAGCAGGCCAGTCCTTTAGCGTGCAGTGCGCGGTTGCCCCTCCTCCACTTCCCACCCCGATCATTGGCCCCGTCCTGCTGCCAGACAGCAAGCATAACAAAGGCTGACCACACATTCCAAGGCCTTGCCTCTGCGCATCCTTGGTACATGCCACCCAGCAAGCCGTCACGCAGTGGCCGGTGGGTGTTTGACCGTTGACCGCACCTCCAGAGTTCAGGGGAAGGGGAAGCGGAAGCAGAAGCCAGGACGGTCACTGCCTGGCAAACCCGCTGTTGCTTCTACGGCCTATGGCCGACTTGTTTCTCACTGGCAGTATCATACGATACAATGCCCTCCACCTCCTACGATTCCACCTGGCATCATTGCACCCTTTCAGCTGTCCAGGGCGGGCCTGCTGCGGCACCAAGGAGGTGTGTGTGGTGGTGTGCGGTCGGTGGGTGGGCGCGTCAGTTTTGGCTCGTCGGCACTGCACCAAGTTTAATTACCGTTTATGTCACGCGGATGACAAGTAAAGGCGCACAGAAACCCCCAAACACGTATCAAAGTCTTGCATTTGCAATTGCTTAAGTAAATAACTTGCCAACGCAGCCCCTTTCTTGCTTATCTTTGTCGATTGTGTTTTGATATTCACGTGATCTGCGGAACGATAGCCGATACCGAGCCATTCCCGATCGGACTAAGCGTTGGAGCCCCCTGGACTGTTTCACCCCACACTCACCGGATTTCTGGGTTCTCCCACTTGCATCAAACTCGGCTCCCGAGATACTACTACAGGAACTTCAAGGAAATTGCTAAGCACTCCCTTGCCTTGATCCAGCTTTCCAAAGAGACCAAACTGTCCCGAGCGCCTTCTAGATAGAAATTGAATACCGGCGCTTTTGAATCTACGGTCCTCTTGGTAAATTGCAGAATGAAGCCAAGACCAAATCCCAGAATGTCTGGAAAATTGTATGGACACTCCGTTAGAAACCTGAAGACTTCACAGCTTCAAAGATCCCTTGGACAATGAAAGCTGAGAATCTGGGATTGTGTCAAGTACCAGTGAACAGTAAAGTCCTTAAACTGCCAAAATGGAACACACTTTTGCACAGCATTGAAAGGCGAAGACTTCTCAACAATTTGGTGAATAACCAGAAATTTGAGGTACAATGGAAATAGAGAAATTAGGATATACTTAGCTCTATTTCTGTTTTTAATTCTCGAATCCCACCTTGCAAATACGTTGATTCTCGCCCCTTTTGCATTTGCATTGCCCCCAGGAAAGGACTCTCTCTCATTCGTTATGTCGGAAATCACTTCATCTATTAGGGTATCACGGAAATGTTCGCCTACAAAATAGCACCTGGTCACATGATCTCCATTTTCCCCAATACCTCGACCCGAAATTCAATTTTCTTACTGGGAAGACGTACTAGTTTCCTTTCTAGTTCATGGTATATCCTCGAAGATATGTGAAGCCGCCTCAATGCAATGCCAAAAGTCTGGGCAATCATTAAAGGATATTCTCCACAACGCTGTCAGATTCAATCAAAGCGCAGAAGTTGTTTATGAGGCTCTCGAAAATTGAGTCGATTCCCATCGCAACCGATACGCTATATCAAGCCAAAAGCTATAGAAGGCAAAACCAAAGAAGAATAACTCAAGCTGTATTTCTGAGCCATCGAGTGTGATTACAATACACTTCTCTAGGATCCGAACCCGCCAACGAATTTGAGACGGATTCGGGATTCAAGGATGTCAGTATTCCCAAGGCAATGTACGGCTACCTTTTGTCTCATTCCGCTACTTCCAGTAACTCAAATTGCTCTCCTCAAAATGCGACATGAAGCCTAATTGCTTTTTGGCTAGTTTATCTTCTACACCATTCCGGAGGGCTAGTTTAGCCACTTTCCGGTAGAGGTGGTCAATCTTACAAAGCGATATTTTGTTGATTGGACGAAGAATCCTTATTTCAGAATAGGGGAGGGAGGGAATAGCTTCATTAGCGAAATCGACGTGTCAAGCAAGCGGAAGTCATGTGCTCGAGGAAGATGGTATATGGGATTGGTACATCCGGTGGCTCGAGTCATTAGGGGTGCGGAGGAGTTGGGAGAAAATAAGGAAGTAGAATCCTCTTAAGCAGAGAAACGCGATTCAATGTTCTCATTTATGTGGGCTTGAGAATTGTGTAGCTGACGAACACGGTTGCCTTGAAGGAAGTAGCATTAATCAATCAAGGAACACTTGTCATGGAGGGGAAGAGACGTGTGGTCATCAGATCAGATGTCCTAATAACCAAGGACCTGTACTCAAGAATGTCAGATGGAGAGAGGCTGGCCCTGGAGAGAAGCCATCTAAGAATTCCCACTATCACGGCCGCGCGTACCAAGAAGTAATATCTAGATCTAACCCGGGAGTCGTTGTGCGTAATACGAAGCAGTCAGTATCTTTCGAGGCACTTGGAGCTACTTTTGAAAGCGCAATGAATTGGGGGACATAAATGTTTTGTGGTATCTGCACTTCGATACACACCTCATTCTATGCCATGCGAACTTTTGTCTATCTATCTTCCACTAGAGCATTATGAAAGAATGTCTGCCCATTCCTACATTGCATTCTAAGATGCGTTTAGAAAATCCATGTCTTTCAGAAGAACTTTCATGACATTTCATGCAGATGCCTCGAAAACTGACGCTTTCGGCCATTTTGCTGCTGCTGCTTTTCGGAAGCTCTCCACCTCACTGCTCTTCCACGAGCTCAAAAGCTCCAACCCTTCCTTGGCTTCTTCCGAAGTAATCGTCGGCAACTGCAATACGCCGACTGCATCTTTACCACATTGCCCGACCGAGTCAGGCGCAAGCAACTTCCGAACCTTGAGAGCCGATAGTGTTCGTCTCGCACAATCCTTGTTTCTGGAAAGGTACTCGTCATTGTATTGAGAGAGGTTTACCGATGCTGGGAGTAGTGTAAACTCTGACTTGATGACTTCTGCAGATTTGGCAGCTACTCCCTCGATATCTTTGTCGATTGCAAGCTTGAATCTGACGATTTGCTCGTGGACTTTCGAGTGCTCCCTGTCAAGAGCAGCGGCTGCCAGAAGGCACTTGAGAGCGAGCAGGTACTTTTCTATTGGCCAAGTCAGTGTGAGGCACCAATAAAGATGAGAAGACCACTTACTCCTTCGAATATACACCTCGAATCCGGCAATTTGTGTATTGATACTCTTTGAGCTGAATTGCAGTAGAGGTATTAGGAATTTCATCGCATCAGCCATTGGTTCAGAGGTAGCAGCGAGCTTGACACCGTCTGGGTCATCATCTTTCTTCTTGGCATCAGAATCTCCTTCCCGCGTAGGCTTGTTGGGTTCCGCCTTCTTGGTTGCGGCTTCTCTCTCAGCCTTTTGAGCCTCTTTCCGAGCTTTCTTTGCTGCCTTCTTTCTTTCAGCAGCATCTTCGCCGTTGGCGTCGGCAGATCCGTTCGTGCCATTCGTCAAGGGCATATCGTGGATCTTAATGTAGACATCAATAGCTGACAAAGCTGCGCAACTATAGAATGGGTGCTCCCGCAGGTGATCCTCCCACCTCATCATCTCTACATAAGCTCGGATCTGCCCTTTCCTAAGAGAGAAGCTGTGAAAATCGAATTGATCTTCTTGCCAAACGTCAAAGACGTTGTAGACAGCAGTAAACCGTTTCAGCGCAAGGCCCAGCTTCCCCTGGCGAGCATAAGATTGGCCATCTTCGGTCAAAAACCAAACGCATTGCATATCATGGAGATCAGCCAAGGGACCTCCTGGAGTTTCCGCCCTCGTGAACATGCCCATAGTCTTGAGGGCGGCTTCGCTCTCATCATTCCTGAGCTGATACTTTGCGGCTTTTGTGTTGATATGTCGATCTCTAACATCGAGAGTCCGCGCTTTCTCCATGATTTCGGAAGACTTTTGAGTGTTCCCATAGTGCTTCCATATCCGGGCTTTTGTCATGTGGAAATCGACGCTCTCGGGTTCCAATTCGATAGCTTTGTCGATATATTCCATGGCTTTCTCCAAATCTCGACTCAAGTAATAGTTATAATGTTGAGCCAGGAAATAATAAGCAGCGGATGCGCCTTTTGACGTGTCTCCATTCCTCTTGGGCTCCTCGTTCGCAGCGCTTCTATCACTATCGATGTATTGCTGAACCAAAGCCGGGAGAAGTGCCTTCTTGTTCGGATTCGAATAAAGATGCTTGAGATTGGCGAAGGTCGAAGGAACCCCCTTGTCTAGCATTCGATGGATGTACTTGTCTGCAGCTTCTCGGAATTCCTCGCCTGCGACCTGTATGAGCACAATGCATAGATCGGCCCTATCAAGTACGTACCTTCTAGAAAATCCAGTGGCAACCGTCGAGCTGCATCGCATCGAGGATACTTCTCCGCGAACTCATCATACACTGCCTTTCGGGCCTTGTGGTCCGTTGCCACAAGCCCCATGGCTTCTATGAGACCATCATAATATTTCTTGTACTCGGAATTGCGGTCAATGAGGGCGCGGTAAGCTTTGATAGCTTCCTCTTTTCGTTCTAGCTTCGCAAGATATGTTGCCCGGAGCTCCAAGACTGCAAGCCTATCCAGGTTGTGTTTTCCTGCTGCTGTCAAATGTTCTAAAGCCTTTTCAATGTTGCCTTGTTCAGCAATCAAGGAGTTCTTGTACATAACAGCCTCCGAGTTTTCGAAGTCCGTTTTTGAGGGAGGGTTCTTCAGGGTTTCTTCGTATGCCGTCAGGACTCGCTCTGCCTCAGCAAGGTCACCAGCCAGATGATGGGCCACAGCTAATGCAGTCCAACTTTGTCGTAAACCAGATCTTGCCTGAAGCATTGATCTCCTGCTGACAATGTACCCCTGGTAGTCTCGCATCTGTATTTGAAGCAATGCCAGGTCCCGTTGAATCTGGGCAGATTCAGGTTCAAGCCTCAGTGCAAATTTGTATGCCTTGATAGCCTCCTCAAAATTCTTGACGGCTCGGTATAGCAACCCATAGACATGCCAGCAAACATGCGACTTCATGTCACACTGGAGGGCCACTTTGGCAAGCGCAAAGGCTTCGTCGGTCTTCCCTTGGGAGTTCATGATGAGAGCTTTCATAGCCAGTGTGTCTCCATGCTTGGGATTCTTCCGCAGGATCTGGTCGGCAGCTTTGATACCTGCATGACGTTAGCATCTGCTTGGGAAACGGTCTGACCATGTCGTACCCTTCTTGTACTGCTTGTCCTCATAGTTGCGCACGACTGTGCGGAAGAGCGACTGCTCTTTCGCACTCAGTTGCTGTGGCATGACCCGCGAATAGGCTCTGGGCAAACACAAGGACTATTTGGTACAGCAGGCAAGCTGTTTCCACACGACCGTCCAGTGGTCGAGAGGTCGATCGAGGGGCTGAAGGGGTGATGCGTCCGCAGCAAAAGCTTTGGGGGGCGACTTTGGGAAGCTGCAGGCTGGTCAAGTAGATGCGATGCGACTGCTGGGACTCAGTGGCTGGCTCAGAAGGAGGATGGGTCAAGGAAACGTGAACTCCTCGGTCGTGTGTGCAGTGGTGGACCTTTACAGTTATATGCGAAAACTCCCTGTTTTAGCGAGTTTTTGACGAAAAGCGGTACACTTAAAAATGGGTGCACCAAAAGTTACCTAAATTATCTTCAACCACCAATTGCTCCACCAAACCACGTCCGAATTAGATGAGAAGTGGATCAATTTACTCCCCTAAAGTAGCTCTTGCTAATGATAAGAGCAGATTATGGCTCCTCACCTAAGCCCGCGCGAAATCGCGGCCATCGACGCTATCGTCGCACAACCTTATCACCCCGATTTGCACGAGATCGCAACCCGATTCAACACTACTTACGAAACCATACGATATCGGAGGTATCAGATACGGGTTCGGAAAGCTCTTGGCTGGGATCCCCGGAAAAAACCAGGCCGTCGATCGATAATTACACCAGAAATGGAAGAAGCGGTAATAGAGCATGTTCTGAGATATGTCAACGTTTACCAGGAGGAAATTATCGACTTTCTTAATGAGGAATTCGGCATTAAACCTCACCAAACGACGATCTCGCGTCTTTTGAAGAGATTGGAGATTACACATAAGAAAATCAAGGCGGTGGCGGCGGAGCAAAACCAGGAGCTTCTTGAGCAGTGGTATGACGATTCTCGATTTTGGAGAGCAGATCAGATCGTTGCCGTGGACGAATCAGCTTTTAATAAGCATACGGGGCATAGGAAATATGGATGGGCACCTCAGGGCTTACCTGCGGAGATGAAGATACTCTTGAAGCGATCTCCTAAGTGGTCTCTTTTGCCGGCATATACGATTAATGGGCACCTTGATCCTTTGGTTTATTAAGGCAATATTACAGCCGAGATTTTTGAAGATTGGATGGAAAATAGGGTGCTCCCGCAGTGTAATCCATGGCCGGGCAAAAATTCGATTATTATAATGGATAACTGTGGTATATACCGGAGTCAGAGGGTGCTTGATATGTGCCGGGTACGGGGTGTTTGGATACGCTGGTTGCCTCCTTATTGCCCAATTTTGAACCTAATCGAGGAGAGCTTTCACGATATTAAGTCTGATATGCGGAAGAACTATAGGAAAGTCCATGGGGAGTATCCAGACTTTGGAGATTATCTAATTAATACTATTCGGAGGCTTGGACGGGGGCCGGAGGTAGCTAGGAAGGCTAGGGGGCATTTCTATAATTCAGGATATCGGAATTTCCCTGTAGAATTAGTATAAAATCAATGGAATCGCCATACTTAATATTACTTAAAGTTCTAGTGATTTTAATATTATAAAAGGTGGTTCCAAAATCACTTGTTACTTTACCAGAGAGCCGATATTGACGCTAATTAAAAAACACTATGGTTCTTAATAACCACAACTACTATTAAAAAAACGAAAGCATATTTAGAATCATAGGAAATAGCTCTTTTAATTATTCTAATATATAAAAATCCTACGGTGTGGTTGCAAAAATATTTAGTATAAGGGAAAAACTTCAAATGTTGATAATCTCGACTAAAAACAACGACCATAACGCCAGTAATAAATCTCTTCAAAAGAGCCTAAAATCCTGTAATCTGATTGGTCCATTCCTCGCCTCCCTAGTCCCGTAATGTGTGGAAATCAAGGCTCGATTCTAAATATCATCCTCCATCCAACCCCTAATTAATTCGCAATCATTATTAAACATCCCAGGAGTCATAAACTCTTCCCAATCCTGCTTCTGTAAGTTGCCTACGCCCTGGTAGAAGCTAATCTCGTCTTCAGGATATGTACTAAAGACGATATCTGGTCGAATCGAGTCTCCTGCTTGGGTATCCGGAATAGTGCTTTGGGAGGGGGCTACTATATTAGCAATTGGTACCGGAGCACCCATATTTGATATAGAAGATCGATTAACCTCCGAATTCCATATAGTACGCCAAGGGGAAACCTGATCCTTTACGACAAGGAGAAATCCCCATGGAATACCATGCTCTTTAGCCTCCGATTTCTCTATCGCCTTTAGCTATTTCGGGTCAATCTGCTCCTCTGACGCCATAGCTATCAAATTACTAATATCAGCTCGTCGATTTCGAGGTAAGTAAGCATCTAGCCATGCCCTGAATAACGCTAATTCCTCCCCAATATTAGTATCTCCACGAATTGGGCTAGACTCTCGCAAAGCACGCAAATCAAAGACGCTAGAGGAGTACTCAGCTTGACGATCGCGATCTTGATACCGGGAACGTGGAAGAGTAGGAGGAGAAGGTCGTCGACGTTAAAAATAAGGCGAATTAGCTCGTGGACGGGGAAGAAGCTGGTTTTGCTGGAGGAGTTCAGCTCGACGACGTGAAGCTTGCTCAATAGCCACGAACTCAGGGGGGGGAATTGGATCGTAATCGGCGGGATATACAGGTGAACGACGGGGTAGTGGTACCCGTGGGACGCTGTATAAGCTAGTAGAGGGCTCTTCTCCCTTGAATTTATCGCCATAGTAGTTGTGGTTGATGATAGGTTAAGATGAGCCCTCTCTTGGTTCATCCTTTACTCTCTCCTTCTCCTTTACCTTTCCTTTGCTCTCATTTCGTCGTCCACCAATCCTCTGTTGATTTTCGCCATATAGTATCCATTTGATAATCAAATCAGTAGGAATAGTAGTGGTATTAGCCTCATCAGGAAGCTTATCTCTCCATTAATCTATCTATTTATGGAAGTCGTCCAATTCAATCCTGAAATGGTTCCCTTCATGGATAAAACACTGTTGATTCCTATTTGGGCACCCTCCCCTTTCTCCCCCATTACATCTCCAATACCGCGAAAGTAGGCTCAATCTCTCCTGATATCTCGATTATGTCTTCCTATCCTTGACTAAAGACGCAATAGCAATAGTGGTAGCTGTTTTCCTAGCCTTCTTGATGGGGGGAATGCTCTTTTTAGCGTCACTGTCGTCATCTGAATAGACTAGCTTGGGAGGATCTGGTGTTTTTCTTCTCTTTCCTGACGCTTTCTCTGGTTCCGGTAACGATTCGGGGTCTCCTTTGGTGACGAATCGAGCTTCAATAACGCAATCAACGCCTTTTAAGCCCCTAGAAACCATCATTTTTTCGAACCTCTCAAAGCTCTCCCTATCTTGGATATGGAAGATCTATCAATTACTCAAAGCTCCATATATTCCCTTCCATTTTCTCCTAGCTTTAATCTCCTTATCCGTCTTCGCCGCTTCGTCGACCCTCATCTGAACCCAGCCCTGCCAAAATCGGTATCCATTATGTAGAATCGATAAAAAATCCTCCTGAAAAGACTCCGAATGAACTAGCTTATGGTTCAGGTAAACCTGCCAGTTCACGGTAACCACGTGGGTCTTAGCTTCGGGCTCTGGAGACTCGCTGGACGACGACGACGATATTTCGATAGTACGCTCCCTTTGGGGATTAGCTCCGCTAGCACCAGTATCAGGAGAAGGCTCTTTTGGGGGCCTGCTAGCAGTCGTGAGCTTGATTTTAGGCTGTTTGGGAGCTACTAGAGCGGAGGAGGCCTTAGCCGTAGGTTTTCTCTGTCGTTTTTTGCCTACTAAAGGCGGTGGTTTCTCGATTTTTTTGCTCTTTGAACGTGCCATGGTAGGAGCTTGCGAATAAAGTCGAAATTGCCTAATTGGGATGGTGCTGGAGGTGGTAGTGCGATTGTTGGGTGAGTTTTGTCAATTATCATTAATTTTTGGTGGGGTGCGCACCAAAAGTGCATGATGCGGCTAAAATTCGCTAAAACAGGGAGTTTTCGCATATAACTGTACTGAGTGGCCATCATTCAAGCGGCCGTGTGCCGAAATAGAGCCCCTTTTAACTTCCACTCAAAAACTTCACCAGTCAAATCACACCACCAACAAAATGGGCAACAATTCTCTGACCCCACGGACAGAGCTTTATCTCGAAGGTCCTGATGCCACAGGACTCAATACTGTCGACATCTGGACAACGGGACCGGATCTGGCTTCGGGTGGTGATGAAAGGCTCTGGGTCATGTTTGTCCCCACCAGCGACTGTCTCCTCAATGCAGCCTCGTGCTGAACAGGCAACAGATATATTCACGGAGGGGCCTGGCGAGACCCTAAGGTGGACTCAAAGAGCTTTGCGCCAGCCGTTGAGGTGCTCTTCAACTCCTCTCTGAAAGACTCAATTGCAGGATTTGCATCCATCAATTATCGTCTCTCTCCATACCCGTCCCATACCAAGGATCCCAGCTGTCCTGATGACAGATCCAGAAATGTGCATTACCCTGCTCATCTCGTGGATGTCTCACGCGCTCTTTTGTACCTGGACGACAAATACAGGATCAACAATCGCTACATTGTGGCGGGGCACAGTGCTGGTGCCTGTCTAGCCTTCGAACTCAACAACTGGTATTTGCCAGGTGCCCAACTACCTCAACCGGCATGTGTACTTGGAATATCTGGAATCTACGATCTGGAGGCTTTCATCGAGGCTCACAGTGAGATTCCGGCTTATCGGACTTTGATAGAGAATGCCTTTCCCGATAAAAGCGTATGGGAAGAGGCTTCCCCAAACAAAAGTCACCTATCCGAAAACGCAAAATGGCAGAATGCCAGGGCTATCATAGTCTCACACTCTGATGAAGATGAACTCGTTGAGAAAGCTCAAGCATCTTATATGCTGGAGCGTGCACGGATGGCCCCAAGTGCCAACGAGAAGATACATTTTCTACCAGCAACGGGCGCCCACGATGAGATTTGGGAGAGTGGCTATATCCTGGCCAGCCTCATCACCAAGTCCATTGAAATCCTTCGGTCATCTCCCAAAGACCCAATCAGTACATGCTGACTTGCTGGTGTCTCCTCGAAGCACGTCTCAAGCTCATGTTAGTATTTTCGAGTTTCGGATCGAGGTAGACGCATTTCTGTCGATGATACCCTATACACTCAAATAGAAATCATCCCCCATTCCTCTAATCTCCTTCAGTGATGATGGAGGAGGGACTTGAGCGCATAGTGGGTGAAGTCCTTGGAAGTGAAATTTGTCACGAGTTGCTTCGAGTCCTCTGGGATAGTTCTAGCTCCCGGAACAGCTCTTCAAAGCCAAAATGTTCAGCCACATCCGGGGCATTTGGACATGGTCTTTTCAGAGTGAGACAGAATACGCCGTCAGGGGAAGGAAACGACAACTCAGCAACGAAGCTCTTCTATTAATCTAAATTCTAGCACAGGTCTCGATGGATTCTACCAGTAACCGCCCTTTCATTCCGCACCAAGGGCTGCAAATAACGCCATCCTCCCACCGCAAAGCATTGAACTGGGGTCCTACACAACTTCTTCAATCGGTCCACTGACTGATCTCCCATTCATGTGCACCATCCTTGATGAGTAGTCTCAATCGTTCAATCTTCCACTCGCTGTAGAGGTACCTAGTAGCACTAGCCGCTCTCCGATGAGCTGCTCCAATGCTTCCCTTCCTCGCATCCTCCTGACTGCGCCTGATTCACATAGGAGTTAGCAATGGTCGACAAAACCTGTCTCGGAAAATTTGGGATATTGCCTCTCAAGTAGTGGGAGACTGTTTAGAATAGGGAATATTTATCCCTACGACTACCTACCAGACACATGTTGCAAGGTTTCTTCCATTCCGGTCAGGTTTTCCGAACCAATACCTGAGTTCTCCATTAGTCTGGAAACAACATCAGTGGCAAGAATTACGTACTTGAGAAAGCCTCCACTCTTCATAGCTTCTGCATGTGCAGGCTGGTCAAGGACACCGAGATCGGTATACGCTGTGGTTGGTGGAATCTGAGACCGAAAGACAACGATGTAGAAGGCCGCCTCCTTCCACTCAATGTCTGAACCCGCGGCGAGTTTCCTAAGAGAGTCGATGATCTCGGACCAGTTGAAGCTTTGCTGGTAGTCGGCAGTTGCAAAGTCCTCTCTCAAGTTCTTCATGCAAACCAACGCCTTCGCAAGAAGTTGATTAGCGGTGTCCAAGGTGCTGAGATCAAGCAGATGAGGCTCCTCCTCGTAAGGAGAGACCTGCAGAAGATCTTTCTCGTCGCTATCGGTCGGTCTGGCCGTAACAGAGACTTGAACGGTACTATCATCCTTGACACATGTTGGGAATTTTGAGGTCTCGGCTTTGAGAGCGGCTCCTGGGGCCATAAGAGAAGATGCCATAATGACTACGAGGAAGAAGTATGAAGCGACAGCCAACTGAATGAGGGAGCTTTGGAAAGATTCTTTTTAAAGGACGGGCGAGCAAGTGCTCGAGTTCGATGTGCCGGACGGAGGAAGCCAGCAGTCAGGACACTGAACGCAAGGAGCTTAAAGGTTGAAGGAGAACAGCACCTACATGAACCCGAAGCTTCCTTCAAAGCTGACTGATAAGGTAGAATACGTTCCGAAGAATTTGACTTGTGGGACTTGTATCATTTTATGCCAAAAAGTTGTCATATCGCGCAATTTTTGCTTCAAATGGCGGAATCGGGCCGTAAGTTATTCGCTGTCTCCTTTCACTGCTGTAACAGCAGGAGCATCATGAACAACCTTGCCTTCTCCACTGTTCACCGCATAATTGGTAGCCGGCTCCATCCGCGAAGTTTTGCTGCAGATGGATTGGAACTGTGAGTTGGTCATTGGCAAAGGAGATAGGAACCGTATTACCGGAAAAATGGAACCCAGAGTTACAGAAGGCTCGTCCCGAAACCATCCATCCAAAGACCTACCTTTACCCACGGTAATCTCAAGTTCATCCTATCTTGTTTGCTTCCGATTCTGGAGCTCTTACCGATGTGATATGCTGAGTGGAACATTGCAGTACTGGACTTCTTTGCCGGAACAAGTCTGGTATCCGCAAAGCCCAGTTGCTGGCTGGTGCGTGTCATCAGTGCATGCCATCAGTGCATACCATCAGTGCATGCATCGAAGCCCAGACCGTCTCATCCAGACTTAGGATGCAGATTGATTTGCTCCACCAGCCTTGTGTTCACCGCTGTATTTCGCTATCGAGGCTGCATCTCTACAGTGTTCGGCCAATGACCTTGTTATCTTACGCAATGCATGCCAATCATCCCCTTGCCCTGGATCTCGGCTCTGAAAATATTCTCCGACAGGAACCAGACTCTTTGCGCCAGGCTCCGAGATCGCTAGGGGGCCGGTCAAAGTGTGTGCGGACTGGATGAAGGAAGGGAAGCATTCCTTAAAGCTGTCACGATACTCCGAAACTTGTGGGCAATCTGCAGCGGGTCAAGTGCTGAAGCTGAGTCCCCCAAAGCTAGTGCCTCAAGGCGTGATAATGGAGAGAGACCCGACTGGTCTTTGAATTGGGTTCTCCTCCCTTCCACCACAAATATTGGTCCTACCCTACTGATAAGCCCCCTTGTTCGTGTGCCGCCTGCATCATTTCTTTAAAAGAAATCCAACGGTCTATTGACGTCCGAGAAGAGCAAGAGCTGATTTATTCTACGCACTATTTTCTTTATTTAGGGGTTATGGCTAGAAGGCAAGACTCAAGCGTACGGTACTTTGTTTATCACCTTTCAAACCACATGAGATTCTCATCCAGCCAGGGACACCACGTAATCTTGCACCATATGCAGCGTTGGATAACTAGTCTTTGCGTGCATTTCTCTTTCCTTCAAGGAGATATCACGATTGAGTACGAACGTCAAAGACTTGTGGATAGAATCAGTGGCTAGGAGCTGCTACGGCCATGCCAGTCGGCCGTACCCTGAATACCACAAGTTTCGGGCCGTCAACGTGAACTAGCACTCCCCCCCCCCCAAATTTCGAGTTCTGATATTCCATCCCTTCGAACCAGGATATCAGGATTATTGGACGAGATACGCTCCGGTAAGGCTTGGATGGCCGCTTTTAGGCGGTGAGTGGTGACCCTAGGCCTAATAAAATGCACGCCTAATCACGACCACCGAAACTCTACATCATGAAAAGGGGGGGATCTGCCATAAGCGAGTCTCGGTAAGGAGCAGTAACCCCCACACCCCCACCCTTCGAAGCCTGAATTCTTGCATGTCTCGTACTGGTTTCTGTTCACGTCCGCATTCTGCTTCGTTACTCGAATCTCGAATTATTGAATTAGAAGCTCAATTAAGTTAACAGGAAGCTGCTCGTTCCACGGCTGATCAATCCGACCTTTCTCACAACCGTACAAGATCACTGCTCAAACTGCATAATTATCAACTTGGATCGCACGATCTTTCCCAATCGCTCTCTCTTCCTTCTCTTTCATTCTCCACCCACCACGTCCGACCTACACATTCCCCAAAGCCCTAAAATGTTTCGGCTTCTCAACATAAACAGTATACCCCGACTGGACATACCCCTCATGCTCCACAACCCCCATAACCCCAACCGTCCTGCCCACAGTCTTCCCCTTCTTATCTTTCAACTTACACCGATCAAGCAGCCCCTCTGGCCACTCCTTCAACCTCTTCTTTGGGTTTCTCAACCCCATCACCTTGACAACGGCATGTCCTTCATGGTCCCCGAAATGGAGACGCGTGCCTTCGGAGAGGGAGATCAGGTCGAGGCCGTCGGTTGTGATGTTCTCTCCTAATGAACCAGGGGAGAGTGCGAATGAGGGGTGCTTCGAGGACGAAGAAGCAAGGTGGGTGAAAAGTGAGGAATCGATAATATGCACTTGTCGGGGCGAGGAGGTTGGCGCTGTTGCGCAGCTGTGGAAATCAGTTCTGAAATCCAAGATAGTTTGAGCCAAGATTGAGGAAAAGATTCCATTTTTGATTAGGAGCTCCAATATTAGACGGATATGGCAAAAAAATAATGGATTAAAGGAAAGAAGCGATCTTACTGAATATCGCCTTGGACGCCTTGATTTGAGAGAAGAAAGATATATTGGGTAGGAGATTTGTAGAACGTGTGGTCTGTCGACAACTGCACTGAGAGCACAGACATGGCGATCGATGTCTGGTTCAGATAATTTGACTTGGAAAACTTCGTGAGCTGCGTTTATTATTCTTGAAAGCTACCAAAAGCTGGAAACTCAAAGATAGAGCTCTGATTGTTCGTGAAGCTGACGTACAGTGGGTATCGACAGTCGAAGCAGCTTCACATGATTTAACCCTACTCGAGCCACGTTTGATGCAACCTCCTAGAGAAGGCCAATCATGATATGCACGTCACTCCCACATGATGCAGAGACGTCCAAATTAGTGCTAACACCATTCGGTATTGTGACCAACCACACTGTACACCTCACTGCGGAGACGTAGGCAAACAAGGAGATGAACTAAATGAGGATTCCGCTGTCTCAATATTTTCATGTGTTACCTAAACTATGGTGATAAGCAAAGTGGTATCATTCGCGATGCTGAATGTAGCACAACAGAACGAAGAATAAAGCAGAATCCTGGAAACTCCCTCTATCGAGAGTCCACCTCAGTCCCATGCACCCAACCAACCAAAGCCCTATCCGCAGTCAAACTCCAAAATAATGCCCAACCAATATACAACCAGCGATCCTACTTCTTGTTCTTCCCGCTTTCCAGAGATAGGTCCAGCGACCATAGGCTGTCCCAGATAACTGATTTCTTGCTGGGACTCGTATCCAGTGGAGATGGGTTTAACTTCGCAATGTTCTACACGCCGTATCAGCGCTCGTTCAGGGCCCAAGTATATCATCAATGTTCCGCACCTCTGGGCCGCTCAAAACTTTGTCGCCAGTTGTGGTCAAAGTTTTATCAACACTCCCGCTCAAAGCTTTGTCACCACTCCCGTTTCCGTCTTGCCTGCTACCGGAAGGAACCATCTGTGCCTCAGACGGCTCTCCAACACCTTGTGCTGTAGCACCAGATTTCAAGGAGCTTGCATCGGCGGCATTTGATCCGGAAGTTTTGATGAGTGTGCTCGCTGCAGGCACCGACTTCTTCGAGTTATTGCTACTCCTGCGGCTGTCTAGACTCTTGCTGAGAGTCTTATTGATGCCTTCCACGCCTCCGCTGGAAGATTTCTTGCTTCGACGAATGCTACCAGTGGCATCAATATTTGCGCTTGCAACAGTGCTCTTGCCGAGACCAGGCGTTGACGGCGCTCCGGGCTTCTCCTCCGCTGCATCAATAAGATACCATCGTAAGCCATCAGAAAGGTCAAAGGGATTGTCGTCTTCAAAAGAGTCCCCGCCATTGCTAGCCTCTCCGAATGACCGTCCATCTGATGGTGGGTGGAGATGAGCACCAGACATGGATTTCGAAAGATCAACAACTCGATCTTCGATCTTGTGAATGCGGGCGAGCAACCAGTCCCGTGTTCGTAGCTTGTGGGAGTCCTGCTCTCGCAGGAAGTAGTGAGGGGCGCCGACGTTGAACGCCGCCCATGCCCCCGTAGCTTGATTGCGCGTTGGCAAAAACAGTGCTAGATCGCCTTCTTTGAAATTCTTGAAAGCAATCTTCTCGTGCGCCTCCTTCTGAGCCAAATGAGACTTATCTCGGTAGGCGCGAGCATCCTTCGAGTATTTCTTGGCTGTATACTCCATGTCCTTAATCCGTTTGGTGATGACCTCACAGAAAGCTTCAAGGTCGAAGCTACCAATAGCATTCATGTATGCTTCGTACTTCTCGGTCTCAGCTTCCGAGTCTTCATTATGCATCCAGTATAGTAAATCAAGATCGCCACTGTCGACCATAGCCTTCCTGGACACTGCTCCTGAAATACTCCGCCGGATGGTGGAACCTGGGTCAGAAGAATCATTCGCATTTGAGCGATCTGGCTTCGGTATTCTTTGGATGACCATCGAATTGCCTTCCCGTGTCACTGAATAACTCAGGCGCTCAAGCAGTCTGCATAATCGATCGTTCTGTGCGTAGACTCGCTGAGTGAGATCCTTGGCACGCGAAGTCCGAGCCTCGAATCTTGATATCAACTTTTCGTACTTGACTTGAGCAGACTGGTATTTCTCTTGAGTTGATCTTAGTTCCTCCTCAAGACCTCCAATTCGAGATTGTGAAGTAGCAAGGTCCCCGGACATCGTCGTGACCTTTCTTTCTTCCTCTTCAAGACGAGTGCGAAGTGCTTCGGAGCCTGTCTCGCCATCTGAGATCTTGGTCCTGAGAGTGCTCAGCTGGCCACGCTCGTTGGCCAATTCACCTTCTAATGCGGTTAACTTTGCTCGTTCCTGGGTCAATGTCTCACGGAGCTGGAGTAATTCCAGCTCTTCAATGGACAGCTTCCCTTTAACCTTCTCCAATTCGGACTTCAAGTCAGTAATGGTGCTCTGTGCCGTATCACGATCGGATCTCGCAATCGCAGCATGACTCTTTACCGATTCGAGCTCAGCAACGAGGTCTCCCAACAGGGTGGCCAGTAGATCTGCGAGGGTACCGAGATCTTCTGGAATAGTCGACTTTGGTGACAGCTGGGCGTGAACATCCAGTAGTATCTTCGTTTGCTCCTCTGCGACTGCTTCGGCTCTCTCTGCGCGAGCAACCAGGTCTCTGTTTTCCTCTTTGACCTTCTGCATCTGCCTCTCCAAGGTCTCGTTTGCATCTCGCTGAAGTTTAGCTTCGTTTCGGAGAAATTCCACTTGGCCTTGCGCTTTTTGAGCTTCTGCTGTTGTCTCTTTTCTCACCTTCTCGAGCTCATCTTGTAATACTCGCACTCGCTCATCTACCGTCGCTCTTTCGTTCTCCCGAGAGCCTAGATATCGATCCATCTCGTCCTCGAGTTCTTCGAGCTTGGATTTCAGTCGCTTGATCTCGCTCTCGAGGGACTTTCGCTCCTCGATGAACTCCCGTTGCTGGGCGTCAAAGTTTTCCATAAGATCCTTTTTAGTTGAGTTCGCCTCCTCAACCTGGGCCTTCATGTCGTTTGCTGTTGTCTCTCGAGCAGCGATCTCCTTTTCCATGCCTGAGGAACGTTCACGTTCGGCGATGAGCTCAGCCTCTAATCCAAGGACTTTCTGTTGAAAAGCCTTCTCATCAGCACCTTGATTTGCAGAGAACCTCCGGGACGATACAGATGAGCGGCGAGACTGATCCTCTACGAGGCGTGGAGACGCCAGCGGATTTGAGTTGTTCTGAAGATCCGGGCTAGGATTTCCTGGTAATTGGAATACGTTCCCAGTAGAGGTCCTGCTGACCTGAGTTTGGCGATGGAGTAGATCCTCAAGTCTCCGAACACGGCTTTCGGCGGTCTTTAACTTGCTTTCCGTCTTTTGCTTTTCTTCCTGGAGAGCACGAATCAGCTCGTCATCTCCGCGTACCAGTAAAGCACTTCGACCCAGTGCAGCCTCGTGTATGCTCCCCGCTTTAAATGCCTTAGCCCGCTTGCTCTGTTGCTTCGTGGGATTATTTAGATCCGAGACGATCTTGGAAACATCTGCAGCAAGCCCGGAATTTGTGTCTTGGGCCTGCATAACTTCCAACAACTCTTCAAGATCCTGCCTCGTGACCTGAGGCCATTCTTCTTCCTCCCCAAGCAGGTTGACCTCTAGCCCAACGACCTTCCGTTCCGCTTTTTCGCCCCAGAGGGCGGCCCCTGTGCTCTTTTGCCATCTTCTTCTCCTCTTGGCTTCTTCGTCCTGGAAGGTGGCCATTTCATTGGCCAGCGTAGACGAGTCCGATTTCACTTTCTCGTTCCACTCCCTCCTCCGAATTGCCTCAGCTAAGAATGAAGCATAAGTTACTGGTAACGTATTTACCGTTGCTAGCAATTGGAAAGCATCAAGTGCATCACCATCAAGATCAAGTGCCGCAAATCGTGCATTAGCATCGGTGACCATGGCAGTTAAAGAAGCAATATCGTGCATAGCATCTAGGGCGTCGGTTGCGATCGAATTTCGTAGCTCCGTAGCAGCCCTCAAGAGACTATCCATCTCCAGACTCCGCTTGGATAGGTTTGGAAGGAAGTTTCTCGTATGGTGGAGTGCCGATTTGGACGCCTGTGAGACGTTCTTGGAGGTATTCGAGTAGCCCAGAACATTCTCATAGTCGTTGCTGACCTTTTTACCAATAGCTTCGATGTCTTGCATCAACTGCACAGATTCTGTGGCTCGTCCGAATGCTGATCTAGCGGGGCTTTTCTCCACCTTGTCGAAAAGATCATCGGTCCCTTTCAAAACTTCATCTACTTTGGTCCCCAGTTCTGCAGAGTTCCGAGTTAGTTGGGTGGAGATATTTCGGGCCAGTTTTCCAGCCTTTTTGACCTCCTCTGGCTCAACCAGATCTTCTAAGGAAGCCCTGCGCTGATTCCTTCGCGGATCACGCCCAGTAATAAACTTGATCATTTCGTTCGTAGCAGGAAGTGACCGTAATCGGGCTATAGACGCCTCCCAATCCGAACCAGCTTGTTCCTGCTCCTTCTTAACATCGGCAGTCCAGTTCTGGATCTCTGCATTCTTCTGGTCTAACGACCTGGTATGCTTCTCGAGATTCATTACAGCAGCATCCACACCCTTCGTAATAACCTCGAGTTCGGCGTATCGTTGCTGGGTTTCTTTGGACATGGATACGCAATCATCCACGACCTTCATCGCCCAAGATCTCCGCGCCATGAATAGATCTTTCCAAGCTTGTAAGTCATTTTGATCCGAGATGGTGTCTGGCGGTCTCGTAACATTGTATTTGGCTGGTAATGTGATTTCGGACTGGAATAGTTTTGCAGAGGCAAGGGATGACGGTTGAATGATTCGGCGGTCGTACACGAATATCTCTTTCTGCTCGATATTAGTATAAGCTCGCGAACTTAGGTTGGTGGTTCGCACCTCCGCTCCGAGCCCTTGGAACTTGACCGGCTTTCCCTGGCTTGTCAATGAAATGTGATCCTGTACAGTAACCGTGCTATGTTTTGCTACCCAGGCTTTGAACGCATCCAGGCTGCTGCCATGTCAGTATGGAGCAGTGAGGCATGGAGATAGTAACTCACGATGTGAATTGCCCGGGATCGGACTGAAGACGCTGGCCGGTATGAGCCAGATAAATTTGAAGAGCCATTCCCATCGCGTCTTTCTGCAGCTTCACCAAGCTGCAGAATTGTTCTTTGTCGCAGAGAGGTTTGAATCGGCGTCGTTGCATGAGGTGGTCAAGATCACCTGGCAAGGCGGAAAGCCTCGTGGTAAAACCAGCCACACCTAACCGGATATCAGCCACACCAACCATCGCGCTAAATTGGATCCCGACGCGTTCCAGTCTAAATGTCACGCGCCTTGGGAATCATAGAAAGGGGTCCAGTGAAGATCAGGTGCTTGAGCGAGACCTCAGAGAAGTCATGTCTCGCAGCCTGGTCGAGGAAATGGAGGGGGTGGAGTTGACCGGCATGGAGAAACAGAGTCCACCTCTGTTGACGGAAGACGAGAAACGTATCTTAGATGTCTACGATCGACTAGAGGAACTTCGGCTGGATATCGCACTTTTAAAAGCACAAGGTGTGCTATCACAGGGTGAATTACCTTACTCTTGAAGCAAGACTATGACAAAGGCTTACAGGTTTCAGATGAGCCTCTGGAGGTTTCCCAGGATGATCTGACCACGGCCAGACAAGAGCTTCTGACAGCCAAAGCCGCATATCAAGTCAGAAACAATGTTATTGAAAGTGTTCTTATTGCAAATCCCATCCTGAAAGCGGTACATGGAGGCAAGAATGCTACTATTGCAGAGCAGTAAGTAGAGATATCACGGGACACGCATAGCTGTACTGAATAGGCAACAGAGATCTTGCGCCACTCATTCAGCAGCGGGATGACCTCTCAATCACGTTGACTGAATTATCAACAAGAGTTCTGTCGACGCGGAATGAGTTGAAGAATGTCGAGAGTGAGCATATGGTGACTGCTCGAAAGAATGCCGAGTTAGCGGCCACGATGCTTGCATTGGCGGAGGAAGCCGACACGAAGAGAAAGGAGGACATCGATGATCCTAAGGCAAGGCAGCAACTGGATGAGTTGGAAGTAAAGATGAAGACTGGCCGTCAGAGATGGAGAATTATGAAGGAGACTGCCAGTGCTACAATTGCGGGGAGCGGGATCGACTGGGCGAGAGATCCAAAATTGCTAGAGATTGTACTTGATAATGACGGTAACGAAAGGTAGAAAGTTTGCATTGTATGAATAAATACTTAAGTATGAAAAAGTTGAAGTTTGCGCGTACGAGACAGGGCTCACAGCGTTTTGGTGTACAAGTTCGAGTGGGACATTGCAATGCTCAAATCCTTTCTTTTGCTCCATCAGCCAGATGAAGGTTGTGCTGGGTTGCACGATCTAAAAGCCTTTCAGTGTATCGAGTTCCAGTGGAACATTCAAAATAGAATATGCTCTTCTTTAATTTTCATACTTGAAAGGCATTGAGCTTCTTACTAGGAGTTGAATTATGACTCTAATCTTACAGCACTCTTACACCGCAGTCGTGTCAGACCTGCTCTTGTGAAGTACAGGTGCCCACTAAGGCAGTTGTTCCGACCGCTGATGAACTCCACCCAATGCAGCGGAGACCTGGTCCTATCGTTCTTTTTCAATCCTCATGTGTCATTGTGACTTTTCTCGTCCTTTTCGCCATTCATTGAGAGCCTCTTCCCAATCTCTCCAGTCCTCCCCACATCTCTCCATCACTAATCCCCAACTTCTTGCCCGTATAATATTTTCCACGCCTCTTTCTTGCCGTATAATTGTAGCTAATCTCTCCGTCCTGGCCTCTCTGGGGAAGAATCTAGCCGAATATGGATCTAATCTCTCATCGACAACCCTTTCTCTGTCCCGTTCACTTTCTGCCTGCCTCAACACGGACTCTGGATCTTCCGGATCTGGAGATGTCGCTACTGATGCGCAGTAATTCAAGACGTCGGATCGAACCTGCCAGGACGGAAATAGCACTTGGTTTTTGAAGTTCCGACAAGAGGGTGAAGATATGGTCTTCGATCTCGGTCCTCGAGGAATCCGCGTGGAGGTCGAAGAGGGGTCAAAGCCTGCGGTCGAGGGCTGAATGAGCGCGTTCAAATTCTGAGTTATGCTATCGTCCGTTGCTCCTCGAGAAATGCGTAAGAAATCTGGGGGTTACCGGTTAATTGTGTACGGAGGAGAGCTTTGGGCATCTATACCTCTCAAAGCAACAGTATTAAAGCAGAATTGTGGAGTCAGGGAGGGCGGAGGCAGAGGTTGTGTCATTATGTCTTTCGGGGCTGCTTTGGGTGCCTCTGTCCGCGAGGACTTCTTCCAGAGAAAATCCGCCAGTGTGGTAACTTGTAGAGATTTTGGGATGTGCTCCTGGAGCTGGGGTTTAGGTTGGTTAGCTTTTGACTGCACAGAGAAGAGGTAAACGTGAAGTGAAGGAGTTCCATAACCTTGACAGGGGTTTGTTATCTTAGCGTGCTGATAAAGCTCTCGATGACGACGTTCTCCTGAGCAATATCTTTGTTCACAATTTCTTATCCTCTTCATCATGTTTGTAAATGTCTACTCATAGCGATGTTCTCCTGGTAAGTAACTTCGTTCTTTTGATCTTCTATCTAACAACATGTTTCCCGTTTCGCAACCCGATCAGTCCTCAAAGCCTCCCCTGCTCACCTCAGCTTCAATAACCCAGCGAGGAAGACTTAGAATTGCAAACTGTCTATAGCGGACTCTTTCTAGGTCCTTGATGCTGTTTGAGGTCCCAAGATTGCCACTTTCGTGTCTTATTTTCAGAAAATCACACTCTGACGAAGTCCACAGGCTGGAGCCTTCGCAGCTTTTACTGTTGATCTTTTGGTCTATCCTTTGGACACATTAAAGACTCGGTTCCAAAGTCCAGATTATAAAAAGATCTATTACGATGCATCCAGGAATACATTAAACAGAAGGCAGCTTTTTCGTGGTCTTTACCAAGGCGTGGGAAGTGTGATCTTGATTACGATACCTTCTTGTAAGTACATTGATCAGCTTCCAATTCTCAATTTAATTCTGATACTGTTCAGCTGGTGCATTCTTCACAACCTATGAGGCAGCCAAGGTTTTGCTTTCCAAAGCCAATCCAACAAATAATGGATCGGCACTAGTCCCACAGCCATTCCTTCACAGTGCAGCTTCGGCAACTGCTGAGCTGGTGTCATGCTTCATTCTCACTCCGGCCGAGGTATTGAAGCAAAATGCTCAAATGATACGACGCCCTGCTGGAGCATCAACATCAAAGGTCTCTACTGCTTTCCAACCATCAGTAACTCTCCAAGCACTGAAGCAGTTTCAAAAGCCTTCGCAACTATGGAGAGGATACACTGCTCTTGCAGCCCGGAATCTGCCTTTCACTGCCATGCAATTCCCGATGTTTGAGCACCTCCAGGAAAGCATCAAACAATATCGAAAAAGGTCGAGGGCATTCACTGGAGGGCTACTGGAAACAGCGCTCACCACGGCAGTTAGTGCTGGGAGTGCGGGGTCTCTGGCAGCGGTCATCACTACCCCGGTCGATGTTGTCAAAACTCGAATCATGCTCTCGGCTGCTGATGAGAGGTCTGAAGCTGCAGCAAAGAAAGAGGTTGAGAAGGCTCAGAAACAAGGACAGTCGTTAGACACGCTCGTCAGTAAAAAGGGGGTAACGAAGAAGAGTGGACTCACTGTGGCTCGTGAAGTGATGAGAGAGAGCGGAGTGAAGGGCTTATTTCGCGGAGGAACATTGAGAGCTGCTTGGACGGCTTTGGGGAGCGGTCTCTATCTTGGTGTGTACGAAAGTGGAAAGGTTTGGCTTGGTGACCAACACCAAAGGCAGAAGGAGGATCAATGAAAGCGCCATGTCTTATGCAATGTGAGGTTGACATGGTGATGATTGATTCAAAGTGGAGAATATCAGTGAGGATTTTAAATTTTAAATTCAAATTGCAGAGGGCATTATTCTGCATTGTGTGATCTAGGAATCTATGTGGTGCTACCGATCATACACCAGGCATCATACACCAGGCTACTGTACAATGCAAATTCCATCTAATGCAGCAAAGGTATCACTGAACTAGCCTACAACGTCAATTTCGTTTTTCGAACAACAGAGCCTTTTACTCAAGGACTTCCTCATCAGCTCCTCTGGAAACCTTCTCTTTCTTCCCAAGTCCAACAGCTTGTAAGCCCATCTTGCCCAAGCTTCTCAGACCCCCTTTGATCCAGCCCTCAACCTCTGCTTCTGGCACCACAATACTCCTCGCTCTAGCTTCATCCTCTGCAGTAAGCTCGAACCTCCGCATTCTCGACGAAATCCGTGGATCCAGCACAACTGGCTCCAACCACGTTCGTTCCGGCTCCCCTTCAACGCGGACTCGTACACTTTTGTGCCATTCCTTCTCTTCTTCAAACAGGGCCGTTTGTTGTTCTGCTGTTTGTGCTGTGTCATGGTCTTTACTTCGGGGAGATTCCTCTGCATCATCTGAGGAGAATGATGTTGCCGTTAGAGGTGTAGTTGTGGAGTGATACGGCCGATATGTTGCGAGGATTATGGCTGCTGTTTCACGGCCAATTTGATCTGCCAAAACTCGTCTGTTGAGAAACCGATAGAGCCGCCTTGGCGTATTGAGGAATCCTAGAATGTGTGGGAAAGAGATAGGTGTAGAGGGATCGAGTTCGGATGGGAGATCTGGGGGCATGGCCGCTGATTGATATTCAGACGTTGTGATGAAGGGTGCTGGCTGAGGAGGTTTTGTAGGTTTTTCCTCGGGCTTGGATTCAGGCTCGGTGGGAGGTAGAGCTCGATTGGTAGGGGAATTTGCATCTTCTTCTGTTGTTGAATTTGAAGATAATCCGGATGTTTGTTCTGTGATTGAGTCCAGCTGCTTTTCTGTTGTGTTTATTTCATCGGCAGTTTTCTCCTGGCTCGGTTTTGGTGGTTCGGTGAGAGGGCCTAGCCAACCCTCGTGTAAACCTCTCACATATTCCTTCCAGGTGTGTCGTCCAATGACAATGTCACCTCGTACTCCATCGAATTCCTTGATGCCGCTCCGCCTGCGTACTTCCTCAACAACACTCTCCTCTGTCCGCTGCTCGGGCGGCGTCCTGGAATTTCGTATCTTTTCCGCTAGCTCGGCTCTCACGTCGCCTTCTTTCCTGCCTTGTATGAAGTCCCAATCCAATCCTGACGCCACCAGAATAGGCTTGACGTATTCTTTGTAGTGGTCTTGCGCTGCTCGAAGCCCATCACTTGGAGGGCCTTCCAAGAAGACAGTGAGCTTCCTTGGCATTTCCTGCCGCCCAAGGGGCTCTTTTCCTATGTGCTCAACAAGCTTGCACCATTTCCTTTGGGCTCGTCTCTTTTCTCTCTTGTCATATATGACTGCTGCGGTGAACGTGCCAGTGATGGTCAGAAAGATCATCCAATTCCGAGATGGAACTCTTGGTCGGAAGTTTTCTCCAAGGCCCATGTATTTCCACATTGGGTTCGGTGGCTTGAGATTCTTTGTTCCTTTCGCATTTGGCATTATCTCTGGTTTGGCAGTGGCAGCAGTGTTCTGTATTCATTGTCAGGTAAAGGAACAATCAAGTAATAGGATTGTTTACCTCTGAACCTGTTGGACGCTCAGAGTCAGCCATTGCGGTGAGAGACTGTGCGTAGCCCCCTCTTGATGTCAAGCAGCATCTACACCGCCAATTGGAAAGGAACAGCTTGCTTGGATATTGTTCGTGCTTCTTGAGAGCGGGACGCTCTACTGATAAAATATATTTTTTATAAGCAGCTTGAATCCGAGCCCGAGATTGGCATCCAGGCGGCCGCGTCACGTGTTGCCACACACATCCTGGTAGAGCAGTAGGAGGAGTCCCTCACGAATGTGTTCGTCAGATGTAGTAATCAATGTCAAACCAGGGTCCCAGCATGCTCCAAGGCAGTTGCATTTGCGTGCTGTTCTGCCGCAGCGACAGAGCATGCCTGCATAATGCTGTGCCTTTCCTGCTCGTGTAGTCATTATGCAGCATATGGGCCTCGTGGTATGAACCAAGCCTAAATAGAACATTCTTTGTATTTTACTTCTGTGAGACAGAGAAAGGGAATGGAGGTAGTACGCCTCGCTTTGGAATATTGAGGCTGATTCTGGAAGACGAAGACGGAAGCGCCTAGACCCGCCGGTTGATAAAAAAAGGGGCTTGGAGCCGGTGCACAGACAAGATGTGTCTTCCCGTTTTGAAACTGGGTATTTCACAATGAACCCAACCTGGAAAGAGAAAGGGCAAGTTCCTGTAAAGAATCTCTAGGAAGTTCTTCCTTGAAGCCATGTTTAGGCTAAAGAGCCGGAAGACCGTTGCACAACAATGACAGCTACTGACTGCAGCGATAACAGATAAAAAGCTCTCGGCCCAGACTCCGAGATCATACCTTTAGTGATACACAAAAGCCTCCCCCTTACATCACCCACCACGTGGGAATCCAGCTCCGCTTCCCGCATAAGCAGATATGCATTGCGAAGCCTGGTGATGTGAATAATAGAGACGACGTGCCGCGCCGCTTTTACCCCTTTCCACCCCTGCTAGTAGTAGCGCGCTTTGGCGAGATCGAACAGCCATCTCTTGAGGTTAACTTTCTTCCGTTTTGCCTACCTGATCAAACAACGTCAGATTCCACAGGCTCAGCGGCTCACTCATACTTTGGGTGACTGTGTAAGAGCGTCAGAGCCCCAGCGATCTCGCAGCCCAACCTGCAAGGCGGTGTACAATAAGCGCTCTCTCTTTTCTCCAATTCGGAAAGTCATTGGGGCACGAAAGCGACGGCGACCTGACCTTCGAACTTTCTTTCGCAGTCTGTTGAGAGAGATCGACATCTGCAGACAAGATGGACAGCAACAACAATGGCAACCGGTTCTATTTGAACCTGAATAATGACCGCCAAGCATACCCTGACCGTACCTATCCAACTACCCCATCCACCTTCCCGAACCCAATATTCCCGAGTCAGGCACAAGGTGGTGGTCAACAAGCACAGGCTCAGAGTTCTCAGCAGCAGCAGCAACAGCCATACTCTACAGGCTTTGCTCCCTCTGGCTACTTCATGAACAACCCATATCCGCCCTCCTACCCTCAGCAGCCTCCTGCTTCCAACTACCCAGCTCCTCAAGCCCCGCAGGCTTCATATCAACAGCGGCCAGCTCCCACCAATCCCAACGACGCTACCAATGGTCTTGTCCACCAATTCTCTCATCAGAATCTTGGTGGTCGAGCATCTCCCTACGGTGGTGCACGTCAACCCTCCCCTTCTCAAAGACCTCGCACCGCTGGTGCTACAGGACAGCAGGTAAGTTATAGTAACTACTTGAACGCCCCGATGCCCGCCGCTCCCCAACAGCAGAACTGGCCCGAATTCCAACCGGCTCCGGAGAGAAATCCAGATAAATATGGACCGTTGGCTCAGACGAACCAGAAGCGCTGTGCTCAACTCGCAGAGGCATTCTTCAAGGATAGTGTTAGGAGAGCACGAGACCGCAACGTAAGGTGAGTAATATCCATTCTCATATGAATCTAGAGTCCAGCGTTTCAAAGATGAACTAGCTCACACTCATCACCAACAGACAGAGCGAGATGGAGCAGCGCCTTGCAGACCCAAACCAATCCCAGGCAAGACGAGAGCAGACGTGGTCAAATGCCGGAAAGCAGGAGGGCAAATATCTTCGATTCCTACGAACCAGAGATGCACCGGAGAACTATCAAACCCTTAAAATCATCGGAAAGGGCGCTTTTGGGGAGGTCAAGCTCGTCCAAAAGAAGCAAGATGGAAAGGTCTACGCCATGAAGTCTCTCATCAAGAGCGAGATGTTCAAAAAGGACCAACTGGCTCATGTCCGTGCGGAACGTGATATCTTGGCCGAGTCGGACAGTCCATGGGTTGTGAAGCTCTACACCACCTTCCAGGACGCGGACTTCCTTTACATGTTGATGGAGTTCTTGCCAGGTGGTGATCTCATGACTATGCTCATTAAATATGAGATTTTCTCGGAGGACATCACACGATTCTATATTGCTGAGATCGTTCTGGCCATTGAGGCGGTTCATAAGTATGGTTTCATTCATCGGTAAGTCGTTTTAAAATTTAGAGAGCTTTCCACGTTCCACCGATACACCATGCAGGAAAACCGGTCAGCTAATTATTTACAGTGATATCAAGCCTGACAACATCCTGCTCGACCGTGGTGGACATGTCAAACTCACCGATTTCGGTTTGTCAACTGGCTTTCACAAGCTGCATGACAATTCCTACTACCAACAGCTGCTCCAAGGAAAGTCCAGCCGACCAACTAACCGGAACTCTGTCAACCTTGACCAGATAAACCTCACTGTGAGCAACCGAAGCGTGATCAATGATTGGAGAAAGTCTCGTCGGGTTATGGCGTATTCTACTGTCGGTACTCCTGATTACATTGCTCCAGAAATCTTCAGCGGCCATGGTTATACTCAGGATTGCGATTGGTGGAGCTTGGGTACGATCATGTTCGAGTGCCAAGTCGGATGGCCTCCGTTCTGTGCTGAGGATGCTCACGATACGTATCGCAAGATCGTTAACTGGCGCCAATCCCTGTACTTCCCAGAAGATGTTCAATTAGGTCCCGAGGCTGAGAATTTGATTCGAAGGTATGAAAATATAGAGGAAGAGTTTAACCTTTTGAAGCTAATTGCTTTTATAGCCTCGTTTGCAATACTGAGAACCGTCTGGGCCGGGGAGGCGCTGATGAGATCAAGGCACACAAGTTCTTCCGTGGTGTTGACTTCGATGGATTGCGCCGGATTCGAGCACCGTTCGAGCCCAAGCTTTCCTCCAACGTTGACACAGCCTACTTCCCAACGGATGAGATCGACCAAACAGACAACGCAACTCATATGAGAATTGCAGCAGAGGCCAGTAACCAGCCGCGAGTTGACGCCCCTGAGTTGAGCTTGCCATTCATTGGCTATACGTTCAAGAGATTCGACACTTACGCCAACAACCGCTGAATGTGGAAGCGGAAATGTCAAGCTGAGGTCCAGAAATCTAGTTTCTTCACGGATCTTAGAATTGCATGAGCCCCCACAACAACCCCTCACCTTATTTCGACCTGTAGGTTATTTATTGCATGGCTTAACAAACGAGCCGCTTCTACCAGATACCACTTTGCGCAGCCTGCCAAGGCATAAGATTGGCTCGCCACAGACGGTGGTCCTAGGTGGTGACATGGGTACATAATGAGAGTTTCGTCTAGATCACGACTTCTAGCATGGTTTCTTTTTTAGGGAAGATTCTGATTTGCATTTGAAGGCGTGGGTCGTAGATTTGCTGATTTTCTGCTAGCTGGCAGATCCCCAGTATCAAAAGACAATGATGCATGAAGCCTCGAGTTCTATAATACAATGTCTCCCAGCAAGTGATCTTTAACTCCATGCAATCCATCCATTCTGCATCATCGTCTTGAAGGAGCTAAGCCCGGAACACCACTATACCTCTCCTCTCTCTCCGTCTTGAACATGACCTGAACCCAGAATTCCTTGAGATCAGGGTCCCACCAAGTGAAATACCTGTCGTTCGTTCGGTCGATCTCCCTCGCTTGCAACTTAAATCCACAGGTCTCATAGGGTTCCGCTGCCACAAGCATGTATTGAAAGTTCTTGTCCGGAGGGTCATCCACTTTCTGCTCATACGCACTCATGAATCTGACCTTCGGCGTAACATCTAGCGATATCTCAGGATATTGGAGCTGGAATATTAAGCCATGCTGCCTCGTAACCTGGTCCCTCGTCTTCGTAATCTTATATCCAGGTCGTCCAATCTTGACCACATTTCTCTTGACATTGACTTGCGCTCCAACCATGCCAATCGGCATACCAGTCACAGGATCAAGACCTGCTCTTCCTTCCTTCTGCTCCTTCGCAGCACGACGGGCGAGGTTTGTTTGATGCTTTCGGCCCTGGGTGTGGGCGAGGTAGGAGCCATCGTTCTGGTGGACTGTCAGACAGAGTCGACATTCGAAGGATCCGACGTGGTTCTTGAAGAAGTAGGGGTCTTTGTCGAGGTCGATGGTTTCGAGGGCGAGCTTTCGCAGACGTTCTCGTCGATCGGCGTTTGTTGCTGAGGTGGATGCCACGCCTCCGCCGCCAAACTTGGAACCAGCACGGTTTTGGTAATCCATTTTGAGAGAGCTGGATCCCTGAAGGTAGTGTTATGCTGTAGGGATGGCCCAGTGATTTGGAAAGGGGCTGGTGTTGAGCCTTCTAAGGGAAAGAGCTTTTGGCGACGTTGGGAAAAACTTCGGCTGAGAGATCCCTCAGCCTTCCACCAAGGCTGCAAAACATCACGTCAATTTTCAGCACTTTAATCAATAGACAACATGCATCAATCTTTCCCTCCACTCGGTTCTCCCACATATAACATAGGCCAGCGCGTCTCCTTCGACTCGAATTTATGTACAATTCGTTACATAGGCGCGGTCGAAGGCACGGACAGGGAGTGGCTTGGTGTTGAATGGGATGAGCCTTCACGTGGGAAGCATGATGGATCGCACAAAGGCAAGAGATACTTCGAGTGTATGTCTGTCTCTCCCTCTTCAGCGAAGACGCTGTAGTCTTATATTGCACCCAGGTCAAAGTCCGTCTCCAACTGCGGCGTCTTTTCTGCGCACAACTCGAGTGAAAGATAAAGAACAGAGCTTCCTCGAAGCAGTACGCGCGAAGTATGCGCCTGATGATCCTTCCAGAATAGACACGATGGGCCAGATCGAGATCTCTGGAAAAGTTGTCCAAGAAGTCGGCTTCGATAAGATCAGGGAGCAGCAAAGTCAGCTTCATGAGTTGAAAATAGTTCTAGTGGACGGTATGAGAATCAACAAAGCACAATACGATCCACGCAAGCATTTGGAGATATCCATAGTATGTCCCAAGATTGTGGAACTCGACTTGAGCAGAAACCTGTTCGAAAACTTTTGGCAGATTATGGAAATTTCCAAGCACCTCGTGGAGCTCAGAAAGTTGAGACTCAAGTAAGTTGAACTTCTGAAGTTTCTCTTCACTACCTAAAGTGAGATCAGCGGCAATCGGCTTCAGAACCTTGGTGTCGATATCTCAGTGCACAAAAGCGACGTTAGATCGGGACCGACTGAGAGTTCCGGAATTAAAGACCTGGAACTGGATAATACGCTCATTCCCTGGGAAGATGTCAAGTCAATACTCATGCTGTTCCCACCATTGACAAGTCTCTCTGCATCATCCAACTACTATAAATCTCTGACCTGTCCTCTCCACAACGGTATTACGTCTTTGACGTTGGAATACAACGAGTTCACCATGATTTGGGACATCATTCTTCTACGACAACTTGAATCTCTGGAAGTATTGCACCTGAAGGGGAACAAGATATCGAGTATTGATAAAGAGGGATATCAATTGAGCTCGTTTCACGCCTTCGGAACGAGGCTGAGATATGTCGATTTATCCTACAATGCAATAGCTAATTGGAATTTCATCGATGACCTCCCACAGGTATTCCCAGGGCTTGAAGAACTTCGGCTATCCCACAACCCAGTCTACAATTACAATGGCTTGTCCAAGCAAAACGAGAACATCGGCAGTGAGGAGGGATATATGCTTACTGTGGCAAGGCTCAAAGATCTGAAGTCATTAAACTTCAGCAAGATCACCCAGACAGACCGAATGAACGCCGAAGGATTCTATCTATCCAGGATTGCCAAGGAAATGGCTGAAGTGCTAGAGGGTGAGGAGAGTACGGTGATCTCACGGCACAAGAGATACACCGAGCTTAGCAAGCAATATGGAGCTCCAACGGTTGTTCGAAAAACAGAAGGAGCCGTCAACCCCGACTTTCTCGAAGCTCGTTTGATCAAGTTCACGTTTCACTTGCCCGCGAACACACAAGCTGGCCAACAAGAGGCAATCATCAAAGTGCGGGAAATTCCAAAGTCGTTTGACGTCTATCGGGTGAAAGGTATTGTGAGAAAGTTGTTCGATATTCCTCCCATGAATATACGTTTGATTTGGGAGACCGGAGAATGGGATCCCGTTGCTGGTTACGAGGATGACGAGGAAGACAGCGATGATGAAGGAGGGGCCAGAGTGAAGGAAGCTGAAGCAGATGGTACGACAACCCAAGAGAAGGGAAGATGGATGAAGAGAGAAATTGAAATTGAAGATGGAACAAGACAGATCGGATTCTGTGTTGATAGTATAGAGCCAATGGTTCGCATTGAGATGAGATGAATTGATTAGACGTTGATACCCCTGTACGAGTATGTATTGCGACAACAATACCGCTCATTCTGTTTGTTGCAGCGGCTACCAAGCCGCCCTCAGTATCAATCAAGTATTGTTTGTGCACGTGCATTCCCACCGCTTTAAAGTTTCCGTTTGTTGCAGATGATTCAAACAGACGTCCGTCTGTTTCGTATACATACCCGAGCAAACCATGGAAGGAAGCAGAGTTGCATTGTCAGATGTATATGTATTCGGTCTTTGTCTCCTCTCTTCAACTTGCATCAACAATCTGTTTTGTATTGAGGCCAAGTCTGCTCTCAAAAATCCGAATTTTCGTTACAGACACAGTAAGGACAAGATCTATCATACTTTCATACTATCAATCAAGATGTCAGAACTTCCAGTTCGCATTCATCAAAAAGGCAAACCATGGCCAAGATATTTCCTCGTCCGTACTACCGGCGAAGTGGTCCCGCTCGTTGCAGTGGACGAACTGCCTCCCAACATTGAACTTGTCGGCGTTCCACGCTCTCTTGACTTGGAAGAAACAATTGGCATGCTCAACCTCGGACTCCAAAGAAGCAACGGTGGCTTCTACCAGATTCTTCCGGAACACGACGGCAAGACTAAGACCAATGAAGCAATTGGTAAAGCCGAGTAAGTAAGCCAAGAAACCCTTGAAGAAACTCTTGAAGAAACCCAATAACATATCTCTTCCAGCAAACGTTCTGACATTTCAAGTCAACCCTCGCCTCCACCAAAATCACCCCAAGGCTTCACCACTACAGCCAGCTCTCACTCTCCAAAGGCTACACCCACTGCTCCCTCTCGCCCAACGGCCAGCTTCACATCCTCACAAGCAGCAACCCAACTCTGCCGTCACTGGTGCGCACACGGCATCTGTAAATGGGGCCAACAGTGTCGTTACCGCCATATTATGCCCATGACTGTCCACGGCCTGCAAGAGGTTGGCTTATCCGACTGGCCAATCTGGTTTAGAAAGGAGAATCCGGGCTTCTTCGTCAGTGATGCGAGAGGTGGGGGGGTACCCGGTCGCATTGGGAGATCTAGGCGGGTTCTTGGAGGTGGTGCGGGAGGAGTGGGTGCGTGTTGTGGTTCGTTGCGGCCTGTGAATGGCGTAATAAGTGAGAGGTTGAGGCGAGGTGGCAGAGTTACTGTCAGGGAGAGAGACAGCGGTAGGGTTTTGAAGAGCGAGGAGTTAGGAGAGCAGATCATTGCTCGGCTGAGGGGGATGTCGAAGGAGGGGAAGGTGGTTGGCGAGAAAGCTGTGGTTGGTCACGGTGGAACTGCTAAAATTGAGAGAGCTGCCGCAAGAGATACGAAGAACTGGGAGGATGAGAGTGAAGAGGATGGCGAGACTGATGGCGAAGAGGAGGCTAAGCCAGCGGTCCATCGAAAGCTAGTGGATGTTTAGGTTGTGGATTTGAGGGATGGGTGATTGTTGAATTTTGGCACAGTACTTGTGGTTCGGGTGCCTGGCATGTATAATTCAGCAGATATCTTTGATGGTTTTGAGATCCCATTGCCTTTGGTTTGGACTGCGAGCTGAGCTGAAAGGAACATTTTGGAGTGGGAGGCAGCTTGCAATGCTAATTCTCTTTTCCGAACAGGAGCAGATCAAGTCGAGAGGAATTTCGTATCAGGCACTAGCCCGGGGATTGAATATAATGAGTGACCCCGAAAAGGGGTAAATTTCGAATTTGAGTACGGCTTGGCAATTCCAAACCCCGGTGATATTGCAACAGCCATGAAAGCTCCGCCATCATCTTAGGATACATACAAAGTCTTCAAAGGATGCACCGTCTAACTCCAGTCCGTTGGCCCACCCCCCATCCTGTGTATATTTCCCCATTACGCCTGGTGTAAAGACGCTAAAACGGCAGCTGCCTCTCGTTGGTCCTCAATAGGCTGACCTTTTATTGGTCTCGGACCCGGCGACATCCCTTCAAAAGATGGGGGTGAGAGGACTTTGTTCAAAGCAGCTCGTTCAGCAGCTGCTTTGAGTTCGTCTCCAGTCGGTATCTCTGCTCTGCCTGCCAAAACCTCACTCCTCCTGACATGCCAGCTGATTTCATTTTTCATTGTTTGGTCCAGCAAAATTTCTTTCTCGAGCCACTCTTTCTTCCGTAGCTCTTCGATCATCTCACATTGCCGCTTTAAAGAATCTGTTTCTTCTTCCGCCCAATGCAATTGCCTGCGTAATAGTCGCCACAACTCTTTCGGTCCCCTAGCCTCTTCCTCTGCTGTGAACCCAAGTTCTTCTGAATATGATGAGGTCCAGCCATTAAGGTCGCTGCCATCGACAACACCATTCAGAGGTCCTGCAAAGTGGCCTTCGGCGTGAGGTTGAGGCGGCTTCATCACGTCCTTTAGCCGTGATGTTTTGTGCAATGCTTGCATAGATTTGGGAATTGGATCTGACGGGCGTAATGCTTCGGTCTCGTGAACAGTTCGATGATGTTTGGCCAACGCATCAGAGCGCGTAAAGGCACGGTCACATTCTATGAAAGTTAGTAAAGAATATAGGTAGGACTGCAACGAGACATGCCTGGTAGGGTACAATAGAAGGGTTTCTCTCTTGTATGACTTCTCATATGCGACTTCAAAGCATACGCACTTGCATGCGGCATACCCTTGCGTGTACAATCCGACCATTCGCAGGTATATTTCTTGCCCCTTGTCTCAATATGCTCATTATGAATATGGTCAACAAGCTTGTCCATGTCCCCCGTATCTCCTGCGTCGCAGTCTGTCCAGGAGCATACTGTCACTTGCTCATGTGTATCATCGTCTTCGGGTCGGAGGTTGCTGGGAGAACTGGGCACTTCGCCATCGGTATCAGAGGATATTGCGATTGAGGAGAAGGCATCGTCATCGAGATGGTGAGTTGGAGTTGCGCGCATAGATTCCATGGAGGAATCTCCGATCTTTTGTCTCTTTGCTGGAGGCATTGGAGCTTCAACAGCTATGGCGTCGTGCTCCTCTTCTGCTTCGAAGGCATCAGAGGAAAGGGTGGAAAGAGGAGATCCACCGGGAGAAGAATCAGCCATGGTCATGATGTTATTTAAATGATTCACTTCGTTAGCTGTAACGCAGGCCGGAAGCAGTGAATTTTGTTTGAATGTCCTGTCCCTTCGGCTCTATGAAGTTGCTCGGGAGTTGCCGTCTAGCCCCTGCCTTCATTGGTGAGAAACTTCTTCGCTGATTCAAAGCTTCACCGTCTACATCAATGCGAATACCCTCCCCACAGAAGCATCACACCTGCTACTAACTTGCCATCATCCGCGAGTTGAGATTTGAACCTCCTAATAGGGTGTCTATCATGCTGCAATATATTTTTAAAAGTCCAATATTTGTGAAGTAAGATTACCTCTCAATTTGTACTCGAAGGTGGTGTCTTCTATGGTGATCTACCCAGAGAAATCTTTAAGGATGGATGGCTCTGGCTGATGACTTCTCGTATTTGCTACACATTCCGATCTAATTTTCTACTGCAAAATCACGGTGTGATGGTTGACTCCAACGCTGCTAATTTTAAGAAACCAGCTGTCAGCCGTCGTTGCTAATAATATATTCTGTTGCTTGCTAGATTATGCTGTCTAGATGGATATATGGTGGTTTGTTCAGGCTTGTCCATGAAGAGGGCTGTGTGCAGCGAATAGTGTCTCAATAGTTGCTGTTAGTTTCCCTCTTCTTATTCTTCTTTTAATCTTCCAAATCGCGCAAAAGATGAAATATCAAGAGAGTTCTGCAAATTGGAACCAGCTCGCTGGGCATGTCGACTTCTCAAACACGTTACACATTCTCTGAACACATGTTGCGCAACTCTACTTCGAATTATCTTGGAATTTTCTGTCCTCGACTGTTGCTGATCCTCGAGAGAAATAGATTCTCATCCCTCCATATGTGACTTCGCCGGACCACCATACCTGTCGCCCTTTACCTCGAATTTCTTCAGTATCGAATCGATCTCGACAAGCTCATCATTGCTCAACGTGATCTCCTTCGCATTCTCGAGAACACGCTCCTCTTTCGTTGCACCAGGGATTGGGATAATCTCAGGGTAACTGCGATCCTTCTTCGAAAGTTGCTTGGCCCAATTGATGGCCAATTGCGCAGGAGTGCAATTCTTTTGTTTTGCAGTTTTCTCAAGCTCCGAGACAAGCTCTAAGTTATGGTTGAAGTTCTCCTTGTTGAATCTCGGCAACATTCTCCGAAGATCACCTTCTGGGATGTCATCTGGTTTTTTGATCTCCCCTGTCAACATACCTCGTCCAATAGGTGAGTACCTATTTCCTGTCAGTTATCGGGGAGGGCTTTAGATAGCTTGACCTACGCAACAATAGGGATGTTATGCTCAGCAGCTGCCTTCGCAACACCATTATTTAAAATATCCAAAGCCCACAGTGAAAGTTCCACCTCGATAGCCACAATCTTCGTGATCTTGACGGCCTTCTGAATCGTAGCAGCGCCAACTTCAGATAGAGCGATACCTCCGATCTTGCCAGCCTTGACGTATTCCTCCAGAGCCTTCAGCGTGACCTCAAGTGGGACGTTTTTGTCGACTCTCGCTGGTTCGAAGATGTCAATGCTTTTCTTGCCGTCCAAGATCTTCAGAGAATTCTCCACAGAACGCTTCACGTTCTCTGGGCTGTGCTCAAAACCGTCAGCTAGCTCATATCCTCTCCAACCCAGAAATTTGAGCACTCGTGACTCAGCATTGTCATATAATAAGCAGTTTGAGAGAAATTATTGGTTACCTTCCATCCGGGTGCATATTCATGAGGACGCCTTTGACTGAGAGAACGACTTTATCCGCATCTTCTGGATACTTGGTGAAATACTTGTTCAGCAGATGGAGAGAGTTGTACGATTCGGTTCCATAGAACTCGCCGGCGTTCCAGAAGTTACACCCTGCAGCAAGGGAAGCCCTCATGGCCTTGAAGGCTTGCTCTTCTGGTGCAGGAGTCGGTCTCCATGTGAGCCCCCTAGATCCCAAATCAGTATTTTCTTGAATATGGAGATCGGAGTTAAGGTGGTGTCGGGTGGGCTAAGTGAGTACCCAGAATACAGCTCGGAAGGAAGATGTTGGAGACATGTGGTGTGAACAATAGAGCTGGGAATAATCTCACATCAGACCGTAGCCAATTGGCCCAATCTCTTTTCCCATGAGTTGAGGCATGTTTTGATGTGGTGTTGGTGTTGTGTGGTTGTTGACAAAGATGGGGAAACTGTGCGACAAACAGCCTTGCTTGTGATAGGCAGAGGGGTCTGAATTGGGAAAAATTAATGTGCAACCCTCTTCTTATATTTGAGACTCGGCGTGAAGAAACTTGTGGCGCTGTGTTTCCTGCGGATTTAAGCGTCTGAAGTCCGGTCCGATTAATCGATGAGGGTAATTCAAAGTAGGGATGCACGATTTATAATTATTGCAATTATATAATAATCAAGTCGCCAATATTATAATGCATAAAATACTGCATAAAAGAGCGTATAAATCGTGCATAATTCGGCACGAGGGAAAGGGTAAATCAGTGATTTGATTATTGGAGAGGAGCACGAAACCGCGCTAGTCAAATGGAGGCTTCTGATTGGCTATGTCTCATATGCAAGATAATATCACCTTCAATTCGGAGTGATTATTTTACGATATTACGTATTCAAGTCCTAAATTACAATTTTAGCATCCCTAATTCAAAGTTGACTAACAGACAGTAACGTAATGACTCAGGTGGGGCTGACCCGTGACACAAGTACCTCCCTTATTGATAAGCAAGTCCTTGGAGAGCAACCCAGAATCCCCGTTCTTCCCATACCCAGCCAAGAGGGGAAGGGATAAACCAACTTCTCAAGTCTTTCGTAGCCTCATTGCCCCACGTATACTTCACTGAAATCCCGGACATGCATCGAATCTACAATCGTGCCTGTTTAGCCTCGAGACTTCACAGCATTAGGAAACCAGCCTAGAACAGAACAGCATTTTGAAACTTTTGAGCTCTTCGCAAGGGCCGTTAAATTCTGGGATATGTTGTACAATAGAAAGATTTCGATGTTTCATTGGTGTTCGACCACACACAGTGGGCTTCAACCCCCCTTCCTCAATTCCTTCTTCTTCGCAGAGGCAGATTCCTGGTTATTGAAAGGGAAACCACTCGTCCTTTTATCAGCCCCTGTCTTCCTGCTAATGTGTCCCTGACTGCTTGCAAACAGTAAAACCCAAAGGCCAATTGAAGCCAAGAGACCAGATCCAAGAGCACCGAGAGCAAAGGCACTTTGCCCGGTTTTGCTATAGTTTCCATAGCAGTAGAATCCCATAGCTGTGTGGTAGATGAAGCTGATTGTCAAGGTAGGTACGGCGTAGGGTGCTTTCGGGCTCTCTTCATCGGTTGTTGCATTCAGGGAAGAAGTCAGAGGTACTGATCCAGATAACAACACCACCAGTACTCCAACGGCTAGCATTGTTATGCCTAGGGATCGCGAGAAATATTCCTCGAGATCTATGTCTAGTTAGCCAGAAGTTAGATCAGGGCTAGCTGACACACTTACCGCTGGGATCTCTCACTTCAGGATTCAGGAGTGCCTGTTGAGAGTGATTAGTTTGACATTTTGATACGAGAGATTGTTGGAACCGACCAGAATAATGGTGGGAGATACAATCAATGGGCTTGCCTGTAAGGCGAGCCAACCTGCTGTTCCGTACGTCTATCAAAGGGTTAGGTTGTTGAAAATAGGGAATAGCTCAGTTGGCTGGATCTTTGGGAAGGCAGGATATTCCTTACATATGCATAAAAGACGTCCATGACTGTGTCAAAGTGTTGGAACCGCAAGGTGGCTTTCGTTTCTTTTGTTGTGAGTTTTGTGTGAGACAATGGTCAGAAGCTGAAGATGTCCATAGGTAAACAACTTCAACAAAGTTTATATTCGAGAGCTAAATACGTCATTCCCATGCCAGGCACTTGTCAGTGATCTGTTCGGGCCACCGTAGTGCGGGGCCTTCTCCTCGTATCCCTGCAATTGCCACAAAGTTGTGGATCTGCGTTGAGCGGAATCGGCTCTGATTATAAACAAATTTCCTCGCGATCGCTTTGAACCTCGACATCTCCCAGGACTGCACATAGGACAACATTCGGAATAAGTCTGCTCGACACGCTGTTCTGCATACTGGTCAGGACCACGACACAAAGATTCAGCGGCGCGTTCAGCGTTCGCAGGAGTGACAATGTCGGCCATTCTTTCTGCAGATGACCTGAATGACTTTATTTCCCCAGGTGTTGCATGCATCAAACCAGTCGAGACTTTACCTGCCGCCAAGCCTATGAATGAGAGTGTAAGCTTTACCTCCTGTGCTACTGAACATGTCTGACTTCTTCAACCAGAACGAGTACGAAGTGAGCTTCAACACTGAAGCCCCTCCTACGGACCTCCCACCTGCCCAAATCTCCCTCACAGATTGTCTAGCATGTTCAGGCTGTGTCACATCCGCAGAAGCTGTCCTCGTATCTATGCAATCACACGCCGAAGTGCTCCAAGAACTCGACTCGGGCCCTGCTCTTCGACTACGAGACAACACGACTGGGGCTGGTATTGGAATAGAGAATCTCGAGAGCGGAGGCCGAATATACGTCGCGAGTGTTAGTCCGCAGTCAAGAGCGAGTATCGCTGCTACATTCGGAGTTACTGAGCGGGAGGCTGGTTTCATGATCGAGCAATTATTAAGTGGCCCGAAAGGGATCAAAAGTAGAGCAGTCTACAGAAACGGCTTTCAATGGGTCGTAGATACGAACGTTGCCAGGGAGGCATGCCTGGTGCTTGGAGCCGACGAAGTAATGGTTTCGCTGTTAGCTAGAGAGGGCAAGTCGAATGCGGTCGAAAATGGAGCAGCCAAGAAACAGTCCTCAAAACCGATATTGACCTCATCTTGTCCTGGATGGATATGCTATGCCGAGAAGACGCATCCTCACGTCCTGCCACATTTATCACGGTTGAAGTCACCTCAAGCATTGATGGGAACTTTATTAAAGACGACTCTCAGTCGAAAACTTGGAATTTCTCCGGGTAGGATATGGCATGTCGCCATAATGCCATGCTTTGATAAGAAGCTGGAAGCTAGTCGAGAAGAACTCACAGACGCCGTATGGGAAGGAACTGGTATTCGAGGTATTCGAGATGTTGATTGCGTGATCACTAGCAAAGAGCTGCTCATGTTGGCAGACTCGAGACGGGTTGACTTCGCCAAACTGCCTCGTACACCACTCTCTGCACGAGTGCCATTCCCAGACGCAAAGATAGATTCCTTCCTTTTCCCGCCTCCCCGGCGGCGAAAGAACAACGTCCCGGCCGCTGGGACTTCAGGGGGAAACCTCTATTATATCCTTCAGTACTTTGCATCCCAACACCAAGGTGCAACTATTCAGACCACCAGAGGCAGGAATGCAGACGTATTAGAATATACTGTGACATCTGGAGAAGGCGAGACTTTGTTCAAGGCGGCCCGGTATTACGGATTTCGCAATATCCAGAACCTGGTCCGACGTTTTAAACCAGCCAAGGCTTCTCGTATGCCCGGTGGTAAGCCTGTTGGGAGCGCCAGGAAATCTGGTGGGAAGCAAATCGGACCGGATTTTGCCTACATCGAAGTCATGGCCTGTCCCGGTGGGTGCACCAACGGGGGTGGTCAGATCAAGGTTGACGATCCGGTGATTACCGGCCGCGAGACCAGCGCTGTCAAGCCAGGGACCCAAGAGCAGAAGGGGTGGCTAGCTCAAGTTGACGAGGCATACTTTTCCGGAGGAGAGGATACTGGCGAAGAAGCGGCGATCCCGGATGACCGTAACAATGTTGGAGATGGAATTTCTCCTTCGCATATTAGAGATACCCTAGCTCATTGGGCAGCCACGACGGGCATAGACTTGGAAAGACTGGTATATACCAGCTATCGTGAGGTAGTCAGTGATGTGGGGAAAAAAGCCGGTAATACCGAGAGGGTGGTAGAGATCGCTGGGAAGATCGGTGGCGGTTGGTAATCTAGAGCAGAAATCAACTCGCTTTGCCGCCCCTATTCGCAAACCCAAACCCCTTGCCGCTTCCATCTGGTCCTCTGGGTGTGCGAATGACTTGGTCATCGTCGCGAGGTGTGGTTTGCCCTGACCGTGAACCTTCCCCATTCCGCTTTTGAATAGTGACTCCTGGCTTTGGCGTATAGTTGGGTTCAAATAACTCTTTATTGCTGGATTGACTTGCTGGTCGTTGATCCTGTTGTCGTCCATTACCTCTCCCTCGACCTCTGCTCCGATTTGGCTTGCTCTCTTCTGTTGGCGGAGTAGTGGTTCCAGGAGACGAAGTTCCTGACGGGGTACCTAGTATCCTTGCGCGAGCTTCGTCATATCTCCTCTGCTTCTCCTCGCGCTCTCGCTGGGCCTTCAATCGAAGTTCTTCCGGACTTGGCTGATCCTTCTGCTGCTCCCCTTCATCATCTTCGTCTTCCAGTGTCATCTTGGCCAATCCAGTAACTGGGTCGACACGCTGCACTACCTTAGGAGCTGGTTTACGACTGAGAACTTTAAGGGCAGGTTTGAATTCCGACTTGAGAGGTACATTGTCGCGCGCTGCTAGGAAATGGAAGGTTTCTGGCTCTTCCCTACGAAACTGATTAGTAAATTATACCTGCAACAGTTGCTAGAGGCACACTTACGCAGATTCCCACAGCTTTCTATTTGTTTCAGCGTGCTTTGCCAGGCGTTCGGCCTTGGATATCTTGACCTCCTCGTCTGCCTTTGCAGCGGAAGCTGCAGCATCTGCTTTGTCGGCTTGTGATTCCCAATCGTCGTCCCATGCGTCGGGGACAGCACTTTTCTTGCTCATTCTGCGAAGTACGTTTTGGAGAGTTGTAAGTGGAAGGTGGAAGGAGGGGTGACGGCTTTTGGTGATGGAGAAGCGAACTTCGGCTGTCGAAGTCGAACCGTGGGGTTCATGCAGCCCTGACAGGCACGCTCATGCACAGAACATCTCGAAATCAACAGAAGTTTGACTTCAACAACTTCTCAAATCCAAACCAAGAATCTACCACAGTGAGCACAAAACTACATTGAGAGATGTCCTGTAAGCCGAGGACTGCTTCTTGCCCCGCAGAAGAATCACACATCATCGCTAACAAATGGTCCAGCGTCAAAGCAAGCCTCCGAGCCACAGGCAGCAGAGAACTCAGATCAAGACATGATGGAGATACCCGATTCTCCCCCTGAGCAACATATCATGTTCTCGCCGACAAATATCTCCCAAGCACAAGGCTCCCAGCAAGCAGCAAACCCCGCTCGCACCAACGGCGACAATAGTGCTAAGGTTAACTTTGGCGCTCCTGGATCCAGCTGGCAAACCAAGAAGTTCAACGACGAGTACGAGAGAGCTGAGAGCCAGCTTCTAGATCGTAACTGGGACCATAGTGAGTGCAATTCTATCCGGTTGAGGTGGGAAGACTACTAATAGCAGCATAGCAAAATATGGCGATCCTCTGATTCAGGGACCGTGATCTGGGATTCAAAGCAGAAATTTGGCATGAGGGCATGAAAAATGATTATGCTACGACGTATGGGAGTTAAGAGGCATACAGATGGAATTTGGCTGTTTTCTGGCGCAATAATGGTATACAACAGGCCTTCATGATGTCCATGTTCGAACGACAGCACCTTACTTAACCAACGCCTACGAGGTCTGCGAAGAACAAAAGGACTTCTGTCAGAAAGATATTGCTTCTGGGGATCAAACGAATGATCTGGGAGGGTGCTCTCTCAATATCTCTGTCACAACGAGGATACAAGAAAATACCTGGGTCCGGAACTCTCAATATGCAGCCAACGATAGGGTTGATTATTTCCTAGAACTATCATTCGTTCATCGGCGCTTTTTTTATTCCGTCATCCGATTGAAAAGCATATTCCGAAAGTTCGGAGCCTTCATTTTCTCGGGACCTGACCGGGACCGACGAATGCAGGGGCTTTAGGCATTCCAACACTAACACAGTTCGAGGGTTCATGATTTGCTGTATTCAATTATTATACCTGGCTTTCAAGCCATTTCGCCAAGGCCACACGTAATACGCGTAAGGTCATCTCAAAGGTTTCTATATACTTGTGGCGAGGACTCTACTTCTTTTCGTCCATAGTTATGCGAACTTTTCGAGCCTGTATTGCACGTCGAAGTCGCTTAGAAAGCCCCAGAAATTTTATTTCAACATCCAGAATGTCCCTAACCATCAGACAAGACCGTCTAGCTGATGGGCCGTTCAAGCTCATCGAGACACCAGTCCATGCCCAGATAGCGACAGTGAGCACCTCCAGGGTTCTCAAGCCCCCATCAATAACAGAACTCCCAGAAACCATACGACCAATATGTAGAAGGAGCTAGTATCATGGCGTTAAGTCACAACGTGATCATCCGTGGCCTCAACAGCATCTACAGACAGGCGACACACCTAAAACCGAAAGACCACGCTGACTTCATTGCTTACTCAAAATGTTGGTACGAGGTACTCGATGCTCATCATACATCAGAGGACACAAGCCTCTTTCCACAGATTGAGGCCAAAACCGGGGAGAGGGGCCTTATGGAAGCCAATGTTCAGCAACATCGTTAGTCAACTCAAAACAATAATTTGAACAAACTAGCTGACTGAACTACAAGATGCCTTTCTCCCAGGTCTGCAAGCCTACTTAGAATACCTAAACTCAGTCACTCAAACCCCTGAGGTCTTCTCTGGCACACGCCTCAATGCAATTATCGACAGCTTTGCACCGACCCTTCTCGTCCACCTCTCTGACGAAATCCCAACACTCCTTTCCCTCTCTCGTTTCGGCTCCCAGTTTCGCTTCCTGGACGGAATCAACTTGGAAGCCAAGAAATCGCCCTTGCATCTCTCAATCACAGGTGGGGTCCCTTTCTTTTTCCGGAATCTGGATGTAGAGTATGAAGATGGGCTTTGGAGAGGTTGGCCAGAGATTCCTGGTTTGGTTTGGTGGGTTATGCAGAGGACTTTTGTTGCGTGGAATTGGAGGCTGTGGAGATTTGCTAGTTGTGATGAGAAGGGAAGGTTGCGGGACTTGCCTGCTTTGGAGGACTAAATATGGTGTGTCACGAAAACAACAGCCATTGGTGTCTTGGTGTCTTGGTTGTTGGTATAGGTGTCTCTTCTAGAATGCTTGCATGCTTTTCATACACCTGAGCACCAAAATTTGCCTTTCCTGCTCCCATCACACTGCCAATTGATAGCCAGGAAAAGTTTTCCTACGCCATCCAGTCATAATGCTTTCCGTTCGCCCTTCATGATTCATTCTTCATCGAGAGAGGATACCTTTGACGGTACCATCAACAATGAGCCGACCCTCAATGGCAACCTCACCAATGCCAGAATCGTCTCCACTGCCGACCTCAATCCAACGCTTCAGCAAGTCGTTGCTCTCCTTTGGTTTGACATCGTCGGCCCTGGTTCCAACAGTGACATGAGCGACCTGGTTCACACACTCCCAGTTCTCATCCTCATCGACAAGTCTAGCAACAATGGCCATGATTCGATTGTCCCATACAACCTAAAATGAATGTCAGAACCAGACAGACAGATCCAAGAAGTGTATTACTTACTCGCTCTAGCAAGACCTTGCACTGCCCCATCTTGCTTCCACCGCTCCATGGATCGCCTCCAGACTGAGAATGCATATCGGTATATCTTTGCCAGAGTTCTGGGTGTGCCTTTGAAGCAGCGCGATGGATTAGAGTCACGTGGAACTCGGGCTGGGTTCTACGAGTCTCTTGGAGCTGTCGGAAGAATCGGCCTTTGTTTGATGAGACAGACGCGAAAGCTGTCTCGAGGGCTTCAAGGATAGGTGTCTTTGGCAGATTGATGGAAACATATTCGAGGGGCTTGGGTCTCTTGGCAATCTGAGGCTGCTCCTTCTATGAGAGACATCAGTGGCCATGAATATCAGGCTTTCGTGAGAATGGACTTACAAATTGTTGGCCCTTCTTGTTATTTTTATTGTTTTTTGGCCCTCGATCTCCAATCGTATGTCGAATGTCCGGCTTATAATCGCTGAGGGCAACGTTAATCGCATCATCGAGATCCTCGCTGGAAGGCATGTCGTTAATGAGCTTTGGAAATAGCTCACTGAGTTGGCTAATAACGGTTTCCAAATTGTGCCTAGAGTTGGCTGTCGGGTCCAGATCGATGACAGCGTCGAATCCGTCGTCCGGTTGTGCATATGGATCCAGTGCCTCAAAACGGTGGATAAAGCCTTCCATGATTCCGAGAACCTTATTTTGATCCGAAGCTGCCTGAATCGTTTGGTGGTTGTCGCCCCGGGAAAGAACTCTGTTCTGAGTGACTTCCCTAATCTTGGAAATTGTGTCCGGAGTGTGCACAAAGTTGAGAGCAACGAGCCGAATCTCGGGATGGGGGGTCTTGACATCACCAATAATCTGCTGACGCTCATATCGCTGGGCGTTGTTCCGGTCTGCAAAAACAACGGGCATCTGCTCCAATTGTGTCAACACCTCCTTCGTAAATCGAGGAGGACGGCCTTTGCCTTGGATGTTGTCGTTTTGAACGTGACCCCACCCAAAAAGATGCACCAGTGCAACAGCAAGTGTTGTCTTTCCGCAACCAAGAGTCGCAATGGGAACCAAGATGATGTCTTTGGCAGCATCCTTTTGGGGTCCTCCCGTGATGGCATACTCTGCTCTGATAATATCAGAACCCTTCAAATTTTTCTCCTTCAAGAAGTCATCTCTCAGTTTGATAATGCCATGATTCGCGGCGTATTCTTTGCCCATGCCTCGATTCTCAGCGAGTTGTCGCCTAGCATAGAGTAAATATTCCTCAGTAATCTTGACATGCTTCTTGAAGCGAGGTGGCTTGCCAGCAATCAAAGCCTTCGTGCATTCACGCCATTGTCGATACATCAGATAGGGCTCCTCAAATTTGTATTTGAAGAACCAATCCACGAGATGGCCAGAAGCTTTCTCTTGGGATTTACAGCGAATGACAAAACCTTCAACGTCGCGGCCATTATATGAACCAGTCTCTGCCACCTGATCAAGGAAGGTCTTTGTTGTCTGGATATCGTCGAGAACTAGAAAGTCGGTCTTCCGAAAACCCCACTCCTCAGCAAAAGCTTGAACTTGAGGACCAGAGTATGTCATAAACTCAGGGATGTTGATATTTATACCATGAAGGTACAGGCCCGCATTGTCTCCGGCGTAAGCAAGGATATGCTCCTCGAAGTCGTCGTCACAGAGCTCAGCAACGGCCGTAGCATTTCTACGTCTCAGTTCTCTGGCCAAGTCTCCTCGCGACTTGCCGACGGCTGCCAATTGCTTGTCGATCCAATGCTCTCCCGCAACCGCATGGCTCTTCGTCTCGTCGCCTCGGGGTCCAGTCGAGTGCTTGCTGCAAACAAGCAAGGTGCCGTCATGCAGGCCGCTGATGAAGATGATGCATCCATTCTCCTTCAGACTCAACTCGTATGGGCCTTTCGTATTATTTTCGATATTTCGCCATTTGGTAGCGTTCACCTCTTCAGTGTTGAAGAACTTATCGTAGCCACGGATACAGATCTCGGGTTGTCCTTTCTCGTTCTTGGAAGTAAATAGTCCTCGGGCATACGTTGGAAGATCATCCCGCTTATAGTCCCAGTCTTGGAACCGCCATGAATTGACGGTAATCTTCTCCGGAGAATTGGCTATGTCGAAAGCAGTCTTCTTACAGCTGAAAGCCTTCCTAGAAGCTTTGGACTCCTTCTTGGTGCTGCCTTCAAGATTTTGAATAAGAGTCTGAACTTCTTGTACATCCTGTGGGACATATGGAGCCTCGCCAAGACCAGCCATGATTGCGAGATTTCGTTGGTAGATGACTTGGGAAGTTGGGTTCGATATGGCAGAAAATTTGACATAAATAGAGCTGGACACAGGGCGTCGAACTCTTGCAATGGTAGAACAGCAGGTACGCGCAGTACTCAAGAGAGGGAAAGCAACTTGTCGTAGGGATGGTATGAACCTGACCATCAATGGAGACTGTGGTGCTTTTGTAGGTGTGCGAAATTTAATGAAGCTCAGCCTCGGAAGGATTGCGCTTGCAGTATTAGTCACACGCCGAGCTGTCTTCAGGAGGCTAACAGGCATGAAATTTAGTCGGGACCTGTGCCTCAGAGTGAATAGAATAGGACAATTAAACCCCTGGCGGAAAAGCTGAAAAGCGAAGCCCTGAAGTGATCAAGTGCCATTGTGCTGTTCGTGGTTTGGAAACTGCCCTGAGTGGCTTTACTGCAAGCTAGCGGCCGCCTTTCGAAGTCAACAAAGTCAGCCTCGCCAGTTTCTTTCCTTGATTGGCTGTACATTTTGCAGAACCTCAAAACTCATAATCTCACGAATCACGAGTTAACTTCTTACCAAGCCTGCTTCTCCATCTTCCCCTTCAGCCGATTCCGTACTAGAACGGCTGCAATGGCAGCGAACCCTTTCTTACTGGCCGCCGACAGTGACCCTCGACTTCTCCCGCTTCTCCGAGCAAATCCTTCTCTAGCCTCCTCTCAAGACGACCACGGCTACTCTGTCATGCATGCTGCTGCATCATACAATCACCTCGATTTGCTTCGAACACTTGTGAACGAGTTCCAGGTCAACGTTGACTTGAAAGATGAGGATGGCGAGACGGCTCTCTTCGTTGCGGAAACTATGGATTGTGCAAAATTGCTAGTCGAGGAACTTCACGCCGATATCACAATTCGGAATGATGAAGGCAAAACCGCAAGAGAGAAGTTGGTAGAGGAGGGCGATTTCCCAGAAGTTGCGGTATATCTGCGGGTAAAGGAGCTCGAGGCACAGGTGAACGGGGTCCACAGTGTAGCAGCCACAAATGAGGTACATGCACCTCCACCTCTGCCCGAAGGTGCCTCGGTGAGCATTGGATCGATGGCGCCCGAAGAAGTTGGAGAAGTTGTGGACACAGAATTCAGACGGCGGATAGAGGAACTTGCGGCACGAGAGGATTTCCAAAGCGAGGAAGGCCAAAGACAATTGAGAGAGCTTGTCACAGAAGCACTGAGAGGAGAGGTCAATGAGCGGGATGTACGCCAACGTACGAGCTGACTGAGTTTCTCTCTATGAGATCTCCCATGAGACGAACTCGTTTGGTGCGTCTGGAAGCTTCAGTATTGTACAGACCTTACCTTCTCCCAAGGGGCCGTCACCAAACCCAACAACACAATATGCAAACCATTCATCTTTAGGGACAGCGAGCAACATCTGGACAAATATCTTATGGGCCCATGACGGAGACATAAAGCCCTGCCATGTGACTTTGACGAGCTTGGTATCCTTGAACGAGTCTCCTGGTGGCACATAACGAGTTAGAAAAGAATCGATTTTGTCGTCGGAGTTTATCCTTGGACTCTCGAGGAGAACCAGAGAAAGCCATTCGTGAATATCAACCGCATAATCTTCGAAATCTGCACCGTACGACGGGTCTACCACTGTTGGGGGCTTGACCGAAGGCATCTTGACTTTGATGGACTGGGAAGCCCCGGGGGAGACAGTCCTCCACGTAGGGAAGTGAGCATCGAGAGGATCCGGGGCGACAGCTTTATGACCAATTAGTATGTAGCTTAACATTGGAGTTTAGAGTCAACATACTTGCACGAAGATCATGAAAAAGCCATGTGACGGGTGTGGTGAGGATATTCTTGAATGCGTAGAGAATTCTATCAAACCCCTTTTTGCCATGAAGCATCGATGGAAGGCGGAGGTTGATCTCGACGACTGTTGCGTTTGTCAGTGATCATGTCCATAAATTCAGATCCGGAACATACCCCATCGGGGCTTGGTTCCTCGCTTTCCTTTGACACCTTCCGGTTTCCCGACCAAGCCTGCTCGTTCATAGCTCTCTTTATCCAGATGTAAAGTCAAGATGCCTGGATTCCAAGATCGTTAAAAGTATTCCAGTCTGACACGAAGTAAATGGTAGCCATGCCTTCTTTCAATGAGTACACATTGTCCACGCCAGCTCGTCCCTCGGAGAGCATCAAAATATTGCCTAAGCCCTGAATTAGAACACTTCTGAAAGAACAGAAATAATGAATATAAGGGAAGCTAAGTCACCTTTCTTGATGTGCTCGTTGAAAAATTCGCCCTCAACAAGAGCCTTCAGTGGCAGGATGACACGACTGTACACAGGCTTCACGAACTCGGAAGAGATGTTGTTCTTGATAATCTCATATAGCTCTTCCGGGAGTATAAGCTCTGCCTACGTGCTGGTCAATTTTGAAAATTCGATATGGATGCTCTACGCACCTTTTGGACGAAGCCGTGGCTCAAAATCGCAGCAAACGGTTTTCTCTTCACTGGTGGCTGTTTGGGGTCCAAATGGCCCATCGTACCATGGGTAACATTGCACTTTGCTTCATTCTTGATTCCAGCGGGGAAATCTAGCATCGTGAATTTCGAGTTGGTGATCGCGGTGGAGGAGTTTAAATGAGGTTGAGGTCGGCTCGCAGGCACTTCTCTCACCCCACAGTGGGGCGAGCTCGAATAAAGTTCGCGAGGGCTTGTGACACCAGTTCGACTTCACTTCTTGGGTACATTCAACTGAATCAAAGAAGAACCACGTATCGGATGACGACAATTTTATTTTATTTCGAAAGTTCCAATCGCGTTGCATATTCGTGTATTTTTGTGCATGATCTTTTTTATCTCTTCTTCGATGTAATCACCTGGCATAGTAGTGTAGTAATAATTGATTTTGCGAGAACTCGAGGCACGCTCCACTTTAGGGGACATTTTTATAGTGGGTAAAGCCTGTAATTACAGGGCCTGTAGCCTTGATCTGCGCTGCAAAACTGGCACTTACGCCATACGCGACAAAACGGCAGAACCTTTTCTTTGGCCCACCGCCTTCCCGTGGTTCCTCAAAATTCTGCATTTTGAAGGCCCTTCTCTAAGTCAGTAAATCGTTTTCATTTTGAGCACCGTCTTGCAGGCTCATGGATCAAAATATTCTGATGATTCCCTGCTTTCGCTATGGAGTACATGATCAGATTCACACAAGTCCATGAGACCTTCCGTCTGGCAGAAATCAAAGCTCTGGCTGTTCTTGAGGGCATCGACCTGGAGGTACTTTCCTATAGCCCCAGCGTAAGTAGCTCTTCTCTTACAGTCCGGATTTAAGCTCACAAGTTCAAGTCACCATTCTGCTTTGTGAAACTGTCATCTGGAGATGCAGCCATTAGATTGGTTCAAAGATCCATTCTCGCAAAAGCCATCTATGAGGTTTGGGGGAACGGCTCAACCTTTGAAGACCTTCACGACAATGTTCGAGCAATCTCGCAGCACCTGTGGCCACTGTACAAGGAATCCTCTTTCAAGTTCACTGTCGATTCATTTCAAGGCTCCCGGTCTACTACGGAGCAACGAAAACTGATTGAAGGTTTCCGCTTCCTTGGATTTGAAGGACCAATCAAGATGAAAGGCGCAGAGCAGGAGTTCTGCATCTCAGAGGAATGGCAATTCGATGCAGCCGCTCTTGGTGTCCATGCGCCACAGTCAGTCCACTTGGGAAGATTTCTTGGCGGAAGTGACAGAGAGGTCATTGGCAAGTATGACTTGAAGAAGCGGAAATACATCTGCACTACGTCCATGGATGCCGAGTTGGCATTGATCACGGCCAATATTACATTAGCTGCACCGGGTAAGCTGTTCTACGATCCATTCGTTGGCTCTGGTAGTTTCCCAGTAGCATGTGCGCATTTCGGTGCTCTGGCATTCGGAAGTGACATCGATGGACGTAGTATTAGGGGAAGGGGAAAGACAAATTTGTTGGCCAACTTCGTCCAGTACAAACTCACAGACAATTTCGGCGATAGTTTCGTGGCAGACCTGACCAATACGCCTCTCAGAGCAGCGAGAATGTTCGATGGTATTGTTTGTGACCCCCCCTATGGAGTCCGAGAGGGCCTGAAAGTTTTGGGTAGTAGAGATCCAACAAAGGGCAAAGAGCCTGTGTTTCGAGATGGAAAGGCTCACCACATGTGAGTAGCCTGATTCGTGATTGGAAACCAATGCTGAAGTCTAGGCAGGGAAGAGGCATACATTCCTCCAAAAAAACCCTACGGCTTTCTAGCGATGCTTGATGATATCCTAGACTTTGCGGCCCTGTCACTAGTCGACAATGGCCGACTATCTTTCTGGATGCCAACTGCAAATGATCAAGATCAAGAGATTCATATTCCAGCGCATCCATGCCTTCAAATCACTAGCGTCTGTACGCAGGCCTTCAACAGATGTAAGTTCCGGAGACCAATTGCCTGAGGCCAAGCTAACTCCTGACAAGGGTCCAGGAGGCTCATCACTTACAAAAGGATCCCAGACTCCGAGGTTGTAGCCACTACCTCTCGTGAGCAGAGAGTCAAGGAAAACGGTGTAAATGCCAATGATCTCAATCCGTTCAGAAAAGGTTACTTCCAAGGATTCAAGGCAGCGTTCAGGTGAAAAGCTGAGAGCAAACCAACTCCCAGCTCAGTTGACTGGATTGACTGAAACGAGAGCTTCCAAGGACCTCATTCATCTGCTGGTGAAGTGCCTCACCGTTTTATTATTCCAATGGCCCACAGAACGCGGGGGAATTTGTAGCGTCCGATGACCCTCATGACTTGGGAAATCCAGAGATGCTTTGAGACACTCCAATGAGTACGGGAAAACAACGGCGTGCATTCGGCAGTTTCTCGTTGAAGTCCGAAAAGATGCTCAAATACGAAACCAAACCTAGCCTGGACAGGCGAAGAAAGATGACTTGGGATGAGCTTTGAACTTTGGTGGGGAGATTAACATGGGAAAGTTTCGCTACATATGGAATGTCCCGTCCTAGGCTCATGGCATATTCGCGAGAGCTTGAAGAATCAAGCTACTTCAAAATGGAACGAGCCTGCTCGGAAATGGCAAACCGGATTTCTGGTCATGATGATAGCATTGCGTCTGGTGACCTTTTGATCCTGGACAACTCTCACGCAGAAAACTCGTCCTCTACTGGTCCATCATACTCGTGCACCGCCATTGTCCCGAACGAACATAGTGCATTTATCCAGCACTGACTATATCTCCTTAATTGCTTAACAACATGACCCTGCCCTCTCGGAGGAACTCGTATCCTACAGCAGTTTACAAGCCCAACGCCAGAAAATGCAGCATTGATCTATCCTACCAAAATCTACCTCCCGGATCTAAAAACCCATCTAAGTCAATCTCGATATCTCCGTGCCATTTCCATTTCCTGGCCCCTATAACTTCTCCCTATTTTGTATTCTCTCCATTTCTCCCGCCAATTCCTCCCTCAGACTTCTTGCTAATGCAGCAGCCTCGTCATCATCCCTCTCACTCCTCTGGCCTCTCCCAAACATTGTAAATGATTTATTCCGTAATTCCGGTGTTAATGACGGCCGAGGGATGATGTGAAAATGCACATGGGGAACAACTTGCGCCGCTGCGGCTCCTGTAGCACAAGAATCAGTACCGCTTTCTTTACAAGTCTTTGAATAAATAGTGCAAATTTGTGACAGAGGAACCTTCACCATTGTTCTGTACAATATTCCAATCCCAAACACCAGTGACATTCGCAAGCACTCTGCTCAATCTGGGCAGCCAAGCTCCCAATTCTCTCGCTTCCTCCTCCGTCACATCACTGATCTTCCCATGATGCTTCCTCGTGGTAACTAGTAAATGTCCAGGTGATAATGGCATGATATCTAGGAATGCCATACATAATGGTGTCGACAGGACGACGAAAGCCGGAGGGGACACACGCTCGTGGTTGGATTCGAAGGATGTATTGGGTGGGTAGTTTGCTGCTATGTCACAGAAGGGACAGGAGGACATCCTGGATAGGGAATGGGGAGGAGACGTCCTAGGAGAGGACGTTGTTGTTGCTGAAGCGCGGGGCGCATGCGCTGATGTTGGTGGTGAGGGCTTCGGTGCGCGAGATGGTGATCCAGCTTTATTGGCGTGCCGAGGCTAGATAGGGGCCAGGATCGACACAGGGGTACAGGGTAGTTGTAAAAGACACTTGAAGAGCTTGATACATATCTAACAATTCAGGTCACCTAACAATATCCAGGACCATACCAGCCGTGTTAAGATGCTGTGCCATTCTAGGCTGGCAATTTGTGAGTCAACTCATACAAAAGTCTGATTGTCTTGATTTCGGATTTTGATTCAGAACCAGCTGGTCGACTCGATGTGCGAGCATCTCACAATTGATTTCTTTCTTTCTCAAATGTTGATATTACTGCTTCAGTCTGAATACTCCATCGTCTCATCGCTAAAAAGCTTATCGGACCCTATGCATAACCCTATACCTCCTTTGGTCCAAGTGCCTTCTTCAAAAGAGAACGATGTCTGTCTTTGCCAATCCAATAACATTCGTCTGGGGTGTACTATCGTACAATGCATTGGCATCCGGAAGGAGATAATCAAACTTGTCGCATGGGCAACTCAGCAGAAGCATTGCTCATATGGAAGACGGAAGAGAAGTTCACGGGGAGAAATAGAAAAGGACAGACTCATTACGAAATGAACTGAAAATAAGAGGTCGAAAGCATCCTGAAAACGAGACTCCGCTGCGCTACGTGTAGGAATCAAAATGGTTTGGAAGTGAGCACAGGAAAATGGCTTTCGTCTCGGCGAGGTTGAGATGTATCAAGTTCTCAGGGATCAACTACCATGACGAATGCAGCAAAAATGAGCTGGCGTTAGACTTCAACGAAATCATGCTGGATTTGGTGATTCTACGCTCTCCAAATGACGAGAACGAGCATTGATAGATCTCCAGTTTTGCTCTCGAATAATTTTGCATGGGACCAAATCCACCTACCAGCGCCCTAATATGTGCGACGAATCAAAGTAGCAAAGAGAAATCACCAATCGTCGTCCTCGTCGGAACCATAATCAACCAGTCCCCCCTTCGCCGGAGCTGGTGGCTTCTTGTCAACCGCGGGACTTTCTGATTTCGGGCCTTGTGATTCTTGGGCTTTGTGGAGCCGAGCTGATGGTTTTGCGGTCTGGGTCCCTTTCAAAGTAGGACTACCCGGAGAGGAAGGCGTGGGAGGGTTTGCCTGGCTGGGCTGGGCAGTTTCGGTGGACGTTGATGATCTTCGAATCTTCACTCCTTTCAGCCCTTCCTTCTCCTTCGCCCGCTTGCGCTTTCTTCCACCAGCAACCCACGATTCTTCCCCCAGCGTGGGCGACCCTTCCTCAATGGCTGCCCCCTCACTCCCTCTCCGCGCCTTCTTGTCGGCCTCCTCTTGCTGTTGCCGGAAAAATGCCAGTCCCTCTGCAGTCTCCCGCTTCACTCGTTCCTCTTCTTTTCGAGTACTCTCCAGCACCGAGTCCAGAAATTCAGCCTCATCCTGATCGAGGGCGCGGAATTGGTTCTTAAGTCGATTGGCTTCTTCGAATGCTTCTTGTTTGGCAGCTAGTTCGTTCGAAGCACCCCTGCGTGATCAGTCCAAGATCCGAAGCTTTACGCGATGATAGAATGGCCGTGTATGGCGGTACCTTTATTGGCTTCTAGCGTCTCATACAAGCTCCGTCCATCAGCTTGCCTTGCTTGTTCAGCCTTGTGCTGGCGATTGGCTTCAAGTTCATTTTGCGCTGCTAGCCATTCATCGCTCCTCTCAATGGGGGCATCTGTTGTTCCTCCAGATACAAATCCCGATGACATGGTTCCGGTGCTCGGAGGTGTTGGTGAGTTGATTTGAGGCTTGAAGTGCTTTGTCGTGTGGGTTCATGATTTGACGGGAAGCTCGGGGTGTGTGAAAAGAACGAAGTGTGAGCTTATCACGCGGGGTGTCGGCTTTCTCTTCACTTTGACTTTCTCTGAACCCACCAGACCCAGTTCCACCAACGAGGAAGTCTCCGGAGTCATTTCCCGTTCGTGTGCATATTGGTACATGGAGTACCTCAGTTATAAATCATCCGCAACACCGTCCCATCCGACAAGTCGCTGGCGAGTGAAGGCTTTCAACGAAGCTCAAAATCGGAGACGACATCAACGGCTGGGCTGTCCGCTCTCTGATCCGATTTGTGCGCATGCCGATTTCCTATTCAGCCTAAAGTGGAATCCTACTTTTAGCTCACATCTTTCTGCTTGCCCCACCCCAGCAAGCTACCGGTAGCGCCGTTGCCCCTCGTTTCCCGGTGACTTTTCCTTTGAGCAACATTTTGACAGGTTGAGAGGTTCACCCGGCGGGGTTGTGTCGGGTCTGAAAGGTGGGATAACTGTCACCACCTCTCAAACAAGAATAGTCCGAAAGAAGATCTTGCCCTGCCGCTCCAATTGTTTGGCGTCATGCAGTGAAACTTTTTCCTGTGCCAGAGTATAAGTACCTGAGCCTTCCCCACGTTTCCCTTTTCCTCTCCCTTTCGTTCTTCCCAGACTACCTACTCGCTACGAATCATTGCAAATATGGCATCCACTAAAGCTACCTCGTAAGTTGCCCCGCACAAATCCTGAGCATTCGATTCATGTCAAAGCAGAAGTCTGCGGAGACTAGCCAACATTGCCTACCAACTCCAACCTGCACGTGCGTATAGCTCACAACTCTTTGCTTCCAGGAAGACGTATACCCTCAACACAGGGGCCAAGATCCCAGCAATTGGACTTGGAACATGGCAATCGAAACCCCATGAGGTGGAGAAGGCAGTTGAGATTGCACTTCGAAGAGGATACCGCCACATTGACACTGCGGTTCGTGAACCAGTCGGATCCTTTCAATAAAACGAGCTAATTGGCCTACAGCTTGCCTATGGCAATGAAGAAGAAGTTGGGCGAGGAATTAAAAATTCTGGCGTTCCCAGAGAAGAGATCTGGTTAACCACCAAGCTGGACAACCCTTGGCACAAGCGAGTCCAGGAAGGGATTGACTCCTCCTTGAAGTCCCTAGGAACTGACTACGTTGATCTGTACCTGATCCACTGGCCATCGTCCACCGATCCTAGCGACTTGAAGAAGCACCATCCAGATTGGGATTACATCAAGACGTGGCAAGAAATGCAGAAGCTCCCCGCTACTGGTAAGGTGCGGAATATTGGCGTTTCCAACTTCGGCATCACGCATCTGGAGAAGTTGCTCAACGACCCATCATGCAAGGTGGTTTACCTCCTCCACTCTAGATAGCTGTTATTAACCAATTTTAGATCGTACCTGCTGTTAACCAGATCGAGATCCACCCGAATAACCCTTCCCCAAAGCTCGTCGAATACAACACCTCTAAAGGCATCCACAGCACCGGTTACTCCTGCCTCGGCAGCACGAACTCGCCTCTTTACTCAAACGAGACCCTCCTCACCCTCGCCAAGGCTAAGGGCAAGACTCCTCAACAAGTTCTACTTGCATGGGGTATTCAAAAAGGATGGTCTGTTATTCCCAAGTCTGTTAACAAGGAGCGCATCGAGACGAACTTTGAGCTTGATGGGTGGGACTTGACCGAGGATGAGTTGAAGAAGTTGGATAGCATGCCAGAACGCTTCAAGGTCTGCGGTGATGCTTGGCTGCCAGTGAAGGTTTTCTTTGGGGACGATGAATAGGTTTGAAATTATGAATTAGCTTAGGTTAGGACTCAATAGACTGTAAAGTTTTAAACACATTGCAGGCCCCTTCAAGAACCGAATACCGCTTCGTAAATGTATTGATCACGCTGCAAGGGAAGAGATCATAATATTTGCTAGCTGGAGCTGTCAAATTGTATTCAGTGTACTAAACATGAGAGATACTGATCTCGTCGTCCCAGACAAGTGAGCGAGTGTTCTATGCGCCATGCCAGCCGCATATTCCTCGCCGAAACCAATGTCCAATTTCATGTGAACGAATTCCCGAGATTGCCAAAATGTAGGGGAAAAAAAGAAATCAGAGACGAAAGCTATATCCTCCGTGCGCTGTTGTCACATTGCTCGATGAACCGATAGATGCCCTCCAAACCCTCATAATCTGACGAGTTCTGTTGTGGACTCGGCTTACTGAAGTAGGCCGATTCTCCTTCGCTTACCTCGTCCATGCTCTCACAGCTATCGAGCCAAGGATTATCCAGGATCTCTTCCTCGACTTCTTCAAAGTCATGTCCAGATTGAGAACGCAAGGAACCACCCGGCGAAGACAAGGTATGTTCAGATGTTGGAGCATACGGGAACAGCAAAGCCATGTAAGTTCCTGCACTGCTTTCAAAATCCTCGTCCTGATAGATGATACCCCGCTGTACGCCTACTTCATCGCACAGTCTCTCGACAATGCCAGCATCGCAGCCAGGGAATCGAACTCGTAAAATAGACTTCTGTTCCAGAGTGATAGGAAGATCACCGAGAGATGATAAACGCTTGAGATCGTTCATTGTAGCAGCGAGGTCCTTCAGAGCGCGGGCGAAATCAACGGAGAGGATATCCAAGAAACCTTCGGTGTTCAAATTTGGTGCGGAAACCTCCATAGCAGAACCGAAAGGGAATTGTGCTCCCAGAGGAGTAAGTGCTGTAACTGTAGGGTTGACTGGGAAGTCAATGAAAGAGCCAGGGGCTGATCTTGGAGCAGAACGCATCTTCCGGCTGGTCTCTTCCTGTAGATTTGTGATGTTACGATACCTCTTTCCTCCTGCAGCAGTCATCCCATCGAATTGGGCCTTTTGGCCGGAAAGCCAAAATGCTCGAACGGCCGCCGAAACATTGTTAACAACCTGTGCAGGTGCGGCTGGAGTATGGGAGAAGTAACGTGCTCCCCCAGTCCGTCCTCCGCCTAAGCTATATCCTCCGGATGTTCTTGGAAAGGTGCCACCGGTAAGGTTCGGTCTGAGAGTCGAAGCAAAGGGAGCTCTGGTTGTCAATCGAGAGACGGCAGTAGCTGTAGCTGACTTTGGAAACGATGCTCGGCTGTATTTGACAGCGTCCCGGCTAGTACTCATGAACCTACGCACGGCTGCGTTGATTGTAGAATGAGTTGTGTACCATCGCCCCTTGCTCTGGCGAAGGAGGGCAGCCGGGTGGATTGGGTGCCGTGGGGACGATCGAACGAGTACAGGTTGAAGCTTGCCATTGAGACGTGCAAACTCCGCAACGCGAACTTTAATAAGATTCGAGGTCTTTTTCAAGGCATGCCTGGATGGTTGTCAATCGACTTAATGACGCGGCGGGGATCCAGGCCAAGAGAAACATGTCCGTCTTGAGAGCTGAATTAACTTACTTCATGACCCTCATAGCTAAGGGGGCCCATAAGCCAGCGGAAGGCGCCATGGTGCCAAACTGCCCAAATGCTTCTGCGTTAAATGCTGGAGATATGAGGGAGAGGTATTGATGGTGCTGGGGAGAATTGCCACCTTAAGCCACAGGTGGCGCGGCTGCAGCGCTAGCATGCTTACTCGTTAGCGCCGAGCTTGCTATTTTGTAAAGTCAAGCGAACCGCAAAATTTCCTTTCAACTTCCTTCAATAATATCACCAACCCTCAGCTCCGAGCTGGGCAGTGCGGCAAAAGCAATGCTCTCGTGTTACGCAATTTGTAAGTTTGTCTATTCTACTTTCCGGCATTGACACAATGATGAGAGAAACACATTTTGAACAATCCAACTCCTACCAACCATGAGGATTTGTACATTTTATCCTGACACAGACCCTACACATCGAAGCACTCAGACAAGCGATTGGACATGTGCTAATCCTCTACAGGGACCGAGCACGCTTCGACAAAGCTCCGATATCTTCGATACTAGTCAAAAGGTTCGTGGGAACAAATTTCTTCTCTTTTCGGTGTGCCTGAAGGGGTGATGAACAAGTGACAATAATAGGAATTCCTCATTCTGAAGTTATCATGTAGATCCTGTCTAGTTTCAGCCTTGTCTGACGTACCCTTCATATCTTTCAAGCTCTATTTTCAACTTCTTGGGAGATCTTCACTAATACCATTGCCATCCAGGTACACATCCATTTCTACATCTCCTCGAGCCTATGCATTCCATGACGAACTTTGAACGAACGGGCGGACAGACTGCGCACTCCTCCTTCTACTCTCATCAAAAGCAGGGCGTACAAACCTTGTGATGGTAGATGGACAGGAAGTGCTTGTTGAGAACTCGTCAACTGACTCAATGAATAATGATTGAGATCAATATATTACGCTCTAAGTCCGAGATTGATGCTAACAGTCTTCTCGTTAGGTAAAAAGATTGATTGCCCTTTCGTCTCCTCAAAACCATTACATCAAATGATGAAATTGTTATTCACACTATAAGAGCAACTCTGTTTGCATATGAATGTATCACAAAATTCTGATTTAATGAGGTATGCAGAGCTAAGCCAAAGTATCATAAAACACTGCTGACATTCTACTAGCCTGAAATTTGTTTTGGTTCTTTGTAATTTGTGGATATAAAGCTGCATGTGTCGGAAGGAGAACACTGCTAACACTCTCTCGGTTTCTGTTTAGGTACTGTATGGCCTCGGAACAACTGATGTTTAATCAAAGCGTGAGCATCCCCTTCTCCTTATGAGTGCCATCCCTTTAGCTCTGATGAATCCAAATATTCGCTGTGTTCTTTCCGAGTCTATCTCATTGACGAAACATATATTTCACTTTGGAGAACTGAGATAGTTACTCACGTTCATATTTACAATGCATGTTAATGTTCCAGTACAGCTATGCGCTAACTCATATCTTCCAGATCTCACGTCGATGTTAGGTTGTTGGGTCTTGGTGCAGATAGAAGATTAATGATCACAATTTTTTCCTGCTCCTTGATTATTTTGCTTTGCCTAGTGAAAATGTATTTTCCCTCGATGTGAAGTCACTGTCACCCCGCGACCATGAAAGATAGGAAGGGTTGAAGTCTAGCTGCCAAATTGACAGCTGGAGGATGCGTATTAAAGAATTATAATAACCACAATATGTAAGACAGCACGCTAAAATGCTTGATGCTCTCTGGAACCCAGTAATTCGAAAAAAGACCTCAAACGCCGGGGTATACCGTAGCCAATGTTCCATGCCGTGAAACGCACTGTGTGACTCTCCAAGGGCTCGAAAAGACCCAATGATGCATATATACAACCTCATTCGACAATTAGTTCATCCGCGTTCATCAGAACACCCATGCATTCAAGATATGCTCCTGCTTCCATCCTTGGGCTGCTAACGTCTTGTCTTCATCCATAATCTTGCCCATGTAGGCAATTTTGATGCGCCGTGATAATGGGAGCTGCACAGGTAATTAGTTCGAGATCCCTGGGATGACTTGGTAACCTTACACTTGCTTCCTCAAGAATCTTCAGGGCCACAATTCGAGCATTATCTTCCTTGCTGATCGTGACCTTGAGAGGAGTCTCCTCACGATCTGATACTTTGACTCGAATGTTTATCAAATCTTCAGCATTAACAACAGCTTTGCCTTTTTCTTGTCTTCGCCGTAAGATCTCATCTGCATCCAAGTTGTCTTCCGCCTCCTCGCCATTCTTGTCCTCGTTGCTGTTCCTTGCTGGCAGCTCGGCTATATTCTCCGGATCCGAAACAATATACTCAGGCAGGGAATAATGAGCCCCAAGACTGTCGTACACTCCACCAGTTGCCAAATCGCCGGTCGGTATCGTGATATCAGCGGCATCTAGTATCTGCTGTGCAGTGCCGAGTCCACCATCAGTATCCCCCTCGTCACCGCCACTCCATAACAACTCTAAGACTTGTTGTATCGTCTGCCATACTTCAGGACGCCCAGTCACCCGGGTGTCGAAGAATTCTGTCCGCTCACGATCAAGCTCTTTGCGGGTCCAGACGCGAGGTTGTGTGCTTCTCCAGACATGGAGTCTGAGGGGTTTATTAATGTGCTTGGCGAGAGGGGCCTGGTGGTGTCTATTGCTGTGGCTAGAAGCGTGAGTCGAGGGTCTCTGGATAGCAGCTTGTGATTGTGGTTGGGAGGTGTTGATGGCAGCACGGGAAGAGGAATTGGGGCCTTGAGTGGGGTAAGGAGAGGAGGAGGATGAGGGGGTGGAGGCACAGCAGCCCTGGATATAGGTTAGCCATGTACTTATTGAAGTTATAGCTGATGACGAAAAGAGTGCTCGGGAATCATACCATTGCGCACAATTTTGTGGCAAAATATTATCTTGTGCAGCGCAGTGAGGAGTAACCAACGATAACCAGTTGCGCGGGCTCCCTCCCTCGCCCAGCACGTTATGAATACAATTCCCTGCCAATAAACAATGTACTAAAGAGCGTGCTATCAAATGGGGCAACGATTGTTAGTATAGCTGTGCTAGAAGCATGCTCTGTATGAATGATGCGTTGTGGGCATTTTCTTTTGGAGGTCGAGAACATCGACAGGGGTTGCAAATCAGTTAGTTTATCGGTTTGAGTCACGGACACTGAGCGGCCCGAGCTGAGCTGGAACAACTCTAATAATGAAGCTTGATAGAGAGCGAACTCGGATTGATTTTTTTCTCTCAAGAGTCAAATTCTCGAACTGACTTGGACTTCTAAATTGATCCGCACTTGAGGCCATCTGAGGATGAGCATCCCATTCGTTGCTGCAGAATTTCTGTAAATTCCTCCACAAGGATCATGCTTTGTGGGGTCTGCAGGAGTATCTCAGATCCGGGCCCTGCCAGACAGACCAACCGACTTGTGATGCACTCATGTAACGCTTTCAGATGCTATGGAACGCAATCACAGAATTTATACCAGCCTTGTACTTCAGCCACTCTTCAATATTTAGTCCGGCCTCAATGCAGATGTCAAGCCTCAAGGAAACCGAGGCATTTCTTTTGAAATTGAAGTATGGTTTGCAAGGAGCATTTGAGGTCAGAACAACGAATGCACAGATTTGTAGCTGAAGTCAGTTGCTAGGCAAGTAATACTGCTCTGAGGATACGCGTGGAATAAAAGATCACTGTGGGCGGTGACGCTTGACAACTCACAACTCACTTCGATTTTCAGAGGTGAATCTAGATGCTTCCAAAATAGGCAAGGCCAAACTCGGTGACCTGTTTTTCCGCCACCGAAATAGCTCTATATTTTTCAGCCTTGCAAACCTCTGACAACCCCGTTCCTACCCAAAAACACATGTTACCTCGATCCACGAGAAGCCGAAAACATGTCCCGCGAAGCATACCAAGTCCCTACGGCAGTCCCTACTCCTGGTCGCGACTCCTTCCAGACCGGTATCTCAGTCGATGGTCCCGCCATCAACTACTTATGCGGTGACTGCAACGCCAAAGTTCCCTTGAAGAGAGGAGATCCTATTCGGTGCAAGGAGTGCGGCCACCGTGTGTTGTATAAGGAGCGGACCAAGAGGTGAGTTGGTTTCAAGGAGATGAGGAACATGCTGGAGTACTGACTTGCTGGTAGAATGGTGCAGTTCGAGGCAAGATGATGGTAGGGGAGGTGGCAATCCGATGATACGACTTGGGGCCCAAGCACGAATAGATATGATAGGAAAACGGGCATAGAAGGGGCGTAAGGGGTCACTTTTCCGGGAGGCAAAATCAGGGATTAGATTGCACTTCATGAAATGCGGTGTCTGAAAGACAAATAGTCTCCATTTGGTATCAAGAATGCGCCTTGCAATGCTGCCATCCAACGCCTTTTGCCTTCCCGTCATATCCCCTACATATTCATCTGGCTAGCTCGCAGATACCTCGTGAAGCTGTGGTTATCCTGGTTTGACGGTCCACCGGCATCAGCCAACGCTTGTTTGTATCTTGTGCTGAGTCCTTCATCTTCGTGTTCATTGCCAACTCCATCTTCCTCTGAGTCATCTTCCTCCATATCGCTCAAAGTGTCCATATCCGGTGCTGATTTATTTGATGAGGGCTTGCCGGACACCGCCATGTCCTTCATCAGTTTTCCTAGCTCCTTCTCTCTATTGGCATGCTTTTCTTCCTCTCTGAGTTTTTTTCTACGTTCCAATTCGGGCTTGTAATCCCTCTCAAACTCCTTTGCCTTCTCTCCCACTGCTTCAAAGAACTCGTTGATGCCCGCGCCAGTCATGGAACTGACTCCAACCACACTCAAATGGCTGTAAAACTCCTCCAACATCAAACTCATACTGTTCAACAGTGAGCCCATGTATCCGCTTCCTCCTCCCATGGCGCCTCCTTCCATTCCCCCGAAGCTGCCCGCCTCTTCTTCTTCCTTTAACGCAGCCTGGAAAGCCTCGAAATCCGTCATCCATTCCTTGGCAAACTCTGCATCCTTAACATCTGTCTTGTTGAAGACCAGAATCATCGGTAGCTTCGTCTTGTACAAAATACTGCAAGCATACAGCATATTGCTCATAAAGGTGCTTGTAGAAGCAGTCCGCGGAGTATCTATGATGTACGCAATAACTGTCGGGAACGTCGAAGCTAAAGAATCCAGGAGGATGCTTCCCGATGCACTCCAGACAAATACCTCAATTTGTCCTGGCGTATCTACCAAGATATTCTTTATAGGTTTTGCATCTGGCTTTGCGAGATCCGGGGTCGTGCGCTTCTCGAGGAGGTTGAGAATCTGGTCTATCTTTGTGGCGAAGAGGTTAAGGGATGTGAGGATACCGCCGTTGGGGCCGAGATTGTAGGACTTCATGACTTCTTTGTAGTTCACTGAGTCCCGAATGTCGATATTGCTGTCGAAGGGGACGTTCCGAACCGCGGGATCGAGGTTGATCACGTAGGGAGGCTCTTTCTGCGCGTGTAGATGAGCATTTATTCGTTGCATGAATGTAGTCTTTCCGCTGCCTTTTGAAATTCAGCATAGATCAACAAGATGATAATATACTCACCAGCCATTCCTACGCAGACGATCGCGGTTGGTTTACAGACAATAGCTGTGGGCAGGTTGCCCTGTGGAGCTTCGGTGGTGGCCATAACTATCAAGGCCAGAAGGTTGGTTGCTGAATGTGGAGGTGTTCTTGTACAAGGGAAGTTTTGGCGGGGGCGCGAAGTGGGATGTCAAAATTGCGGCATGTCAAGTCAGCCTCGCTTCTTCTGTCGCCTCATACCACCAACACCACAATGGACGGCCTCGACGAATTTGAGAAGGCACTGGCGGAGGAGAAAAAGGCTAGGGAGAAGGCGGAAAAGCACAGCAGTAGGGAAAAGGATGGTCACAAACACGGACATCGTCACCGGTCAAGCCACAAATCTCGAGATGACGAAAGTAAGGACAGAGAGGATCACCGACACAAAAGGTCGAGGCGGTCTCGAGATGGTGAGGAGGGCGAGCATCGAAGAAGTCACAAGCATGCAAAGACGTCAGATCCACATGAAGATCTTCCAATCCTCGACGATGAGGAGCCTTCTACTACACCCAAAATTACTCGCGATTCATGGATGCAAGCGCCCTCAGCATTAGAGTTCGACTATACGCAGAAAGGCGCCAAGAAAGTTGTTAAGCCTCCACCACCGAAACCTGACCACAATTTGAAGATTCATAAGAATGAGCTCAATCATCATCTCCAAGATTTGGCAGATGGCAAGCTCGAGGACATAGAGGACAAGCCCTCTCAGCACGAGGTTTCATACACTTTTGGGGATTCAGGAGCTCAGTGGCGTATGACGAAACTTAAGGCTGTGTATACACGGGCTGAACAAGGTGGGCAGTCAGTCGAGGAGGTTGCTATGGAACGTTTTGGAGATTTAAGGGAATTTGATGATGCTCGAGAGGAGCAGATTGAACTGGATCGCCGACAGCTTTATGGGGAGGGATATGTGGGAAAGGAGAAGCCCAGTGGTGAGCTTTTTCAGCAGAGAAAGATGAAAATGGGAATCAGAAGAAGTCCTGAGCAATCACATGGAGAGGAAAGTTTCGATCTTCCGCAAGGTGTTGCCATGGAAGAGAAGGGAGCTCCAGGGAAATCGGTGCTACTGGATTCTACAACGTTGAATCGGATGAAGGCACAGTTGATGAAGGCAAAACTCAAAAATGCTCCTAATATTGCAGATTTGGAAGCAGAATATAACGAGGCTATGGCAAGCTTTTCGAACAACCCTTCAGACCCCGGAGTTATTGTACTAGGGAAGATGGAGAATCGAATGTTGGCTGGAACTCGCGCTGAAGCCAAGGCAATCGATAATAAACGTGGTCGAGAAAGAGGCCTCGTAGAGGAGAATGAGGATATGAGTATTGAGGATATGGTTCGGGAAGAGCGTCGGATAAGAGGACAAGCTGGTGGAGAAGGCATGAGAGCTGCTGAACGAATTGCTAAGGATGCCAAGTTCGATGATGATCTGGACTACATGGACGACAACGCAAACAAGCTTGCCAAGCGCGTGCAGAAATCCGAGACGAACCTGAAGAATGCGGCAATTGGAGAATTCCAGAAGATGAATCGCATTTTGGACTCGTGCCAGCTATGTCATCACCCGGAGAAGGGCCAGCCCCCTATTGCTCCCCTCATCTCCTTGGCGACTCGGGTTTATCTAACGCTACCGACAGAGCCGGAGCTCAGTGAGGGAGGCGCAGTCATTGTCCCAATCGAACACAGGACAAATCTCTTGGAATGTGATGATGATGAATGGGAAGAGATCCGAAACTTCATGAAGTGCTTGACGCGGATGTATCATGACCAGGGCCGAGGTGTTGTGTTCTACGAGAATGCCGCTGCACCGCATCGGAAAATGCACGCTGCCATGCAAGCTGTGCCTCTGCCGTACAGCCTCGGAGAGACAGCGCCAGCCTTCTTCAAAGAAGCCATCTTGTCTTCCGACGAAGAGTGGACACAGCATAAGAAACTGATAGATACCGCTGCAAGAGCGCGAGATGGATTGAGAAAGCAAGCTTTCCGACGCTCTATCGCGAAGGAAATGCCATATTTTCACGCGTGGTTCGATCTTGACGGGGGTCTGGGCCATATTGTTGAAAACAGCAACAGATGGCCGAAAGGGGATCTGTTCGCTCGGGAAATCATAGGGGGCATGCTTGATATTGAGCCTGATGTGATAAAGAGGCAAGGCCGTTGGACCCGGGGGGATAAACGTCTCGAGGGCTTCCAAAAGCGCTGGCGAAAGTTTGACTGGACCAGAGTTCTAACAGAAGCTGCCTAGAGAAATACAAACCAGCAATTGCCAACAGCTCGTGAAGCCCATTCTGTCACGGTCGGGTTTCGGCTGCAGTCTTGGGGCTCGTGATAGGGGAGTCTTCGGCCCGGTCCCCGAATGGAAAGCTGGACGTGGCACAGGGGAATCATCTTATGATACATACACACACAGCCTTCAAGATCAAGTGTCGTGTAAATCGATCTGTAAAGTCACTGATATGAAAGCAGATGTGGATGAAAATCGCAAACGAGGTGAAAAGGAGAACACGGCGCTCGTATGCTGTAGTGACACAATATCACAGGCTACCCTGATCTAAATGATGTATCGTAGCAAATATCCATTCGCATATTGTCTCTCGTGGCAGAGACGTACAGAAAACGGTGAGAAAGTTCAGTTTAGTTCGTATGCAGTTGTCCATCCGCCATGCCTTGGACTTTAAACGGCTTTGAATGCCTCAGCCGGACCAAATTTGCGGCACTGTAATTTGTTTCAAAGTCCCAAGTCAAGCTGTGCCATTTTAGCTGGTTCCCTCATAAATATGTCCTCGAGATATGGTACATGCAAGGTCCCTCGAACATCTCAGAAATTCTATTTAAATGTTAATGCTTTCCAATAGTCAAATCCAGCTAAATGTCCAAATTTGACCTGGAACATTTGAAGTTGAGTGCTGCTTTTTCTGTCCACCGTGAGAATGCGCATCAAGGAGGCTTCCCAGGGATGGCCGGCTCGGTTAATAATGATGGCTGCCCAGGAGTCGGCAGGTTCGGGATCCCGTCAGGTCCAGCTGCAAGAACAATGGCCCGAGAAGTTGCTGAAGCGAGACTGCGGGCACACGGCGATCGTCTCGGTCGTTAGAACGATCCCTGCAAAGGCAAGTACAGTAGGTGCAAATTCGTGGTGCTGGTGGTTCATGAATCAAACATGCTGTTTCGATGAGCTTATGAAAGAAACACACTGACCTTCCTTTTCCCGACCCGGTCCATGTCCAAAACTTCTGGAAGGCGAGAGCTGGGAGCTCCGGATTCGCCCTCCCGAGCGAGGTACGACAACCTCCCCAGTTGGTAGTCAGTCGTCTTATCAACTATCACTGCTCGACGGAAAGCAGCATCAGACAATGATATGAGCATGTGGGAAATATATTTGCAACAGTAGATGCCAAGCAACATGACCGAAGAGGCGGGTTTGAAAACAATCAGTATCAAACAAGGTATTACTGTTGGTTCATGCTCATGCCTCTTGTAGTTGGAAGCATCAAACAAAGTTCTTGGTGTTTCTCCATGTTAAGGGGGTGCCAGCAATTTCTCGGCGAGACTGCAACGCCCCAATGAGAGCTGGATCGCACTCTGGCTAATAAAGCATTCGAGACGGCGTGGCTGTGATTGGGCGAATCCTCCCGCAGCAGCAATTTGAGAGCAAAGTCAACATGACGCTGGAGGGCTGTGAGGGCTCAGGGCTGGCTTCAGCAGACAGGCCGCTGAGACGAGCACAGCCAAGCTGCAGCGCACGCAGAGTCTGGGAATGTCGGGAGAGGGTGAACGTCGCGGAGAATTTATCAGATTCTTCAATATCAGGTTACAGATCTCTGTTGAGATCTGCCCGATTCAGATATATGGGGCCGTCGCCAGTGCCCGCCAGGCACATCAAACAAGGCTAATTCTGCAAAGAGCTCGCCTGTGTGCCGGTGCCCCTGTGCCGTCGCGAAAGTGAAGGATCCCGCAGGAGCAGAAGCCTCCAATGCTTCCATTCTTCCATCGCTTGCAAGCCGAAGCACAGGCGACGAACGGTGCAGCGGAGACAGGGAGCATGAGTGGCGGCGGCCTTGCGAGCACAGGAACAGGAATGGCTAGCCAGCAGCGGATGCGTGGACTCTCGGCGCGACTGGGAGTGAGTGAGCTGAGCCTGCTCGCAATACCGTAGCAGAGGCTGCAGAGCAGAGCCGAGCAGAGCAGACCATAACAAGCCGTAGAACGATGGTGCTGTTCAATCTGGCCTCTTGTCAGAAGGGAATACCACCATGCCGTACAGTACGTACGGTACTGTACTGTCCTGTACTGTACTTTGTTCTGCTGCATGCTGCATGCTGCGATCTCCGACAGCCCCTTTTTAGACCGCCTAACCTTATCGGGCATGGCTCACGTTCGAAGTAAAAAAGCGCAGCGCAGGGCAGCACGGCGCGCGCTCGAAAAAAATCCTTCCTCGTCCTGACTCCTTACTCCTCAGGCTGCAGCCCAACCCTCCGTGCTGATCTGACATTGCCTTACCTTACCTTGCCTTACCCTGCCTTGCCTGACTAACCTACCTGCCACTTACCTGCCACTGACCTGCCCCTTCTAAAAACCTAAGTTCGGCCCTTCGAGAAAACTCGTCTGTCAACTCGGCAATCCCTCGCTTCTTCTCGCCTCATCCACGGGCTCCGGCTCCAAAGCCTGCGCGGTTCCAGCATCGAGAATACTCGAGTTGTTGATTAATTCTCCGTCGCCTTTGGCTTCTGCTGCGTGCGCATTCACCCCCCGGCCCGCCTGAGTGCCCGCCTGCCTGCCTGGTCATCGATCTTCGAGCCGCCGTGGTCGAGGGTGAACTGACATCAGCGACCGCGCCAGTCGGACTTATGGCGCAGCAAAGCAATCGAAACAGTCCACATCTCTCATCGCATCTTCAGAACGGTTCCGCTCCATCGTCGCCGTCGATGTCGAATGCCCAGCAACAAGGCCAGAATCGTCAGCAACCCGTTAGCTACCCAAGCCCTACCTCCTACCCTTCACCTTCGCTCTCCAACGCGCAATACAACTACCCTCCCCCCAACCAACAAGCCGAAACCTACCGCGCATCTCCCACTGGCAGCAACGGTTCACTTTCTCTGCCCAGCATGCGCTCTCTCGACCCTCTGCAGCAGCAACAACAGCAGCAGCAGCAGCAGCACCACATGGGCTCCAACCTTCCTCCACCTGTAGCGCAGATGGGTGGTCCCTACTACCACAATCCAGGCCAGTCCTTGCCCCATCCAGCGCATCAATATCCCAACGTCACGTCCGATCCGACTGGCAACATGCGATATGCGCTCCCCGTCACCGACTCACGAGTGATGAGCGGTGGCCGCCACAAGAAGGTGAGTCGAGACGGTCTCGGCCGACCTCGTATTTTGCTGACATGATTCGCGTCGCAGGAAATCAAGCGTAGAACCAAGACGGGCTGTTTGACCTGCAGAAAGCGCAGAATAAAGGTTAGTTCATGACGTTTCCATTCGGTCGATTTCGTCGATTTGATGGAGAGGAAACGAAGTTGAGGTTCTTCGCGATGGGATCTTTTCGTTTATAGCAAGCGAATCTACCTAAGTAGGCGAAGGCACATGAGCTTGCTCAAGCCAAATGCAGGAGCGAGACCCGGTTCTCGAATTTTTTATCTTCCAGCCTGCGAAACTCGTCGGCGTGTCGAGCAATCTGCTAACCTTGTCCTCAGTGCGATGAACTCCATCCAGCCTGCCGCAACTGCCAAAAGTCGAAGCGTGAGTGCCTTGGCTACGATCCCATCTTCAAGCAACAACCAGGTCCTGCCGCCATTCAACCAGCACCAAGCTCTGCACCCTCCTCAGCGGGCGTCACAGCCACTTCCAATCCCTACGGAAATCAACCACAAATGCTGGCGGGTGGTTACGGTGCCCCAGCAAACATGGCGTACGACCCGGCTCTCTCAGCAGGTGTCAGTTCTCCTGGCTCTGCCAGTCAGCAATTTGACTACACCTCCGCAATTGATCCAGCTCTAGAGGCTGTCGCACCTCCTACTTCCGCAGCATCAGGGGCTTCGTATCAAACTACAACACCAGGTATGCCAAACTTCCGCGAGGATCTCAAAAGAGATGTTCAGAGTGCTAGTCCATTCTCTTCAGGTGCGTCGGACACGCCGCACCTGAGAGGTGGTGCCTCTTTCCTCTCCTCTTCTTCAGTTGCATCTTTTGAAGAAGACGCGGCTTACACGACTACTCCAGCAAAGCGGACCGTTAACGACCTCCTCGCCCTTGGAGGACCCGTTCCTCCTCGATCGACCACCGACACTGCCACCAACCCTACCATGCTCGACGAAGTTAAGCACCTCTACTACAGCATCTACGCGCCTGGCCTCGAAAACTTCCTCGAATCGAAGTGGTTCTCCGTCAAGGGCCTTGCCAAACTCCTCGAAGGCAAGTTCTACCTCGAACAATTCGCCGCCCTCCTTCAACAATTCGCCAAGACCTCCCAAAACGATCAGAAGGAGATCCAATACACCTCGAGCGTCGAAGCCAGAGTCGTCTGGGCACTTGCTTCTATGGTCCGAACTGCTGCTGCAGAGTCAAATGGTGTAAATGTCAAGACTGTCCCAGCCACCGATGACCCCACTGAGGCTACCAACCGCTTGAACGTCTTTGAGACGTTGCTGACTGGTAGAGTTGCCGCAAGCAATCCTCTTACAGCACCGGTTGCGGGAAGCACTGATCACCATAGACTTCGAGAGTTGGAGTTCTGGTACACCCTTGGCAACTTTGTCTGTCATCAGTATGAAGATGCTGCAGCTGCGAAGGAGGTGGACGAGACTTTGTCGGCGTTGAGAAACCTACTGGATGGCCGCGAGAACCGTGATGTCCTTTATTCTATCGCGGTCGTCCGTGGTCTTGGCCAGCGGGTGTCGGAATATACCGATAATGACACTCCACTCCACTTGGACGAGAGCGACAACAAGAGCAAGCTTCTCGTTGCAAAGAAGTTTGTCATGGACGAGGCTGCCGGTGCGGGAACTACAAACGTTATTCGCCGACTTTGCGACCTCTCCGCGCGATCCTGGTCTTCCCCGGCTGCGACCCCTGCTACTCCAGCCAAATCTGAGAAGTGATCGGCCTCTTATTTGTCTCAAATGGTCTGAACGATTCCCTTTCTCGGCGTCGCATTGCATTCTGCTCATTTCTCATCTCTGTAGCATTCCAAAAAGGGGAACATGGGTCTTTCTTTACTTCTCGTGATGCCGGCAGGCAGGCATTAAGGCATGTCACCAAAAAGAGGTCACATGTCAGCATAAACACTGGTTGGAGGGAAGATTTTATTTGCAGCGCGTAAACAACATCAGAGTGTACTCCTAGGATGGGCCAGATGGATTAATTCTCGTGTCTGGTTTTTCTTTCTACTTTGTTTGCAAGTGGTGGAAGAACAAAGGACCCGATAGAGACCCTTTGGAGTGGCTATCTGGAAAACAGCATGGCTGAGGAAGCGATCAACTGATGATCCAGATGTAGCTTTAGTTTCTATTACACGAAAAGAATGACCGGTGATTTTAGTCCGTTCTTTTTCTGGCTTTGTTCATGTGATTAGCTCAACTGAAATCTCTACGTTGATACTCGGCTCTATGGAAGAGAACTCGTCATTTGACTATCGCAGCCACTCGTTCTGACTCGTTCGAGATTCAAATATCTCCTATATGCCTCCTTGTTCACCCATGCACCATCGAATTATCGATTGCTTTCTTTATCGTGCTGTTACAGAACGTCCGGGGATATACCTCAGCCAGATATCCGCGGGTTCCTGCATTGCATATCGGTGCGGAATATAATGTCCCTTGGCACGAGAAGGCCATGTTCCGGTGTGGCCTGTGTTTCATTGACGGGACGGTGCATGGTGAGAGGGGGCTTGGGGGAGGTTGATGAGTTTTTGTTTGAAGCTCTGCACCGTTGGAGCCATAATGGAATCGTTCTTCTCGGGAAACATTTTGTTTCACGGGGGCAGGTGTGTTTTCATATAGGGGAAGCTGAGAGGGAGGACTGAATGAGCTTGCTTGTGGCACTTGGACTGTCTCAGGTCCCAATTAATTGGTAGGTAATAATATCAATGTATCATATTCCTTGAGGTTTTCGGGAGGTGAATCATTTAAACATCTCACGGCGAGATATGCAGACGTGGGACCTTGAACTTGGGAACTCACTGTCATCCTTTTCTAGCCTCGTAGTGTTTTGAAGCAAGTCACCTTACTTCAGATTAGCCCCTTCTGGGCGAGATTCACAATGGCATCAACTGATCATCCCTCGTCATTTTTGTCATAAAACGGTCTATGTCTTTTGTTTTTCTTCGATGAAGTCAAGAGAGCCCGTCCCAGCCGCTCAATCTACTCTTTCTAGAAGAAATTCTAGCCATACCCTTCCTTTCTTAAGCTAAAAGTCGACCCTCTTTAATTCTTTGCCTCATATATCCTTCTGCTCGCCGACAGGGCTCATTAACTTGCCCTTTTCAATCGCACTCCGAATGTTGTCGATGCACCAAGTCTCCATCTTGGTCTGAGTTTCAACAGTCCAAGTTCCCATATGAGGGACCAACATTACATGGGGATTGGCAATCTGTACAGTCGCGAATCAGTACTGCTTAATTCGGAAGTCCAAATGTTGCACAACGTGTGGAACATTTAGAATGGAGAGGGGTGGGATGTTTGAGAGCTCTCGAAACATAAGAACGCCGAGAGAAAAGCTTGAGAATATCCATACCAGACCAGCATGAACCTTTGGCTCCTCTTCAAAAACGTCCAGCCCGCATGACCAAACTTGTCCCTTCTCCAGCGCAACTACGAGGGCAGCTTCATCCATGACCGCACCTCGAGCAGTGTTGACAATCACTACCCCTTTCTTCATTTGCTCGAATTCCTTGGTGGAGATAATATGGCGCGTTTGTTTCTGTTGTTCTGTCAATATCTAGTTTCCCTTGAAAGTCCTAGGAAGGACTTACATTCAAAGGCAGATTAAGTGATAGCACATCCGAAGTTTTCAACAATTCGTCGAAACCGACGTACTTTGCGCCTCCACTCAACTCCTCCGATAGCTTGGAGCGGTTATAATATTGAACTGTCATTCCAAAAGCCTCGGCCTTCTTCTTCAGGTTCCTTCCGATGCCTCCCATTCCTAAGATACCGAGAACTTTGCCTTGTGGGTCATGACCGAGGGGTGGTGGGGGGGAGCCTTTCCAGTGACCGTTTCGGAGTGCAATCATTGCTTGACTGTGTTAGGAAGTAAGATGAGCATCAAGTAAAGAAGCCTTACAGGTATTAAACCCTCTCAAAGCTCCTAAAATGAGGAACATATTCGTATCTGCTGTAGCGTCATCCACGGCTGTCGGTACATTCGAGACTCTGATGCCGTGAGCTGTGCAGGCGTGGACGTCAATCTGATCGTATCCAGCTCCTGCTTCCAATCAGCACTCTGTTGGCCCAATTTCTTCCAGACGCCCAGCCCAAACCTCCATACCATTGTGGGCAATGAACTTCAAGCTCCTTGGCAAGAGGGCTATCAGTTCCTCGTCGATCAAGCCAGTGATAGCTACACTCTGGAAAGTCCGATACGTGGCCACCACATTATCAAAGGCGCCCGATTTACACTCCTTTATAAACTCTTCTCGAGATCGGGCCTTGGGTTCGATGATATCTGCGATCTCGGAAATCGAAGCCCATTCTTCGTGCGCACTGAAGGTTTCGGGCACGTATTAGCAAGGCTGAGCGGGGGAGGGGGGTTCAGAGGGGTTGAAAATCCGAAGCCACGCAACGTACTGCTCAATTTCGCCCAAAAGGAGAACTAGTGGCTTCGTCATTGTCACTGTCAATGTTTGTATGCTTCAATGGCAAAGTGGGGAGGGGGAGAGGAAGATGCTGGGTTGTGATGTTTTATGGCGGGGTTGAGAATGCCCCCCCGCGTTCGCGAGGAAGCTGCGAGCTCGGGAAACAAAAGATAAGGTCCCGCGAGACCAGTGGATTAAACTTTTTTCGGCAATGCGGTGTTCAAGGGACTGTCTGCAGAGATAGGCAAATGAGGCGTGGTTGAAGGAGGAGCAGGAGGCAGGAAGCAGGTCGGCGTGGCAGGTGAGGTGCGAGTTGTCATTTCTCTGGTTTCATTTCAGAGCGTGCTTGAGGCAACGGGCAGCGGAGATGCGTGTGAGCGGTCAGGGTCCTGGTTCGGGGTGCAGTGATGTGGGGCCATGGGTGATGTACCTTCTTGTAGATTAGCCGCGTGTATGAGCGTGTCGATGCCGTTTCCAGCAATCTGTGACTGGCTGGTTCAGGTACAGTACAACACGGCCCAAGTGGGCAGCAGAGCTGCAAGAGATCATTGCCATTGCGACATCGGCCCGTCAACAACGCCAGTTGATATACTGTCCGAAGGATAGTGTACGTGAAAGATGGGGGTGGGGCGGCGCAGCGCAGCCTCAGGGCGAGGGCGAGGGCGAGGGCGAGCTCACATCTTTGCCTATCTTGGTGCTTGAACTTCCAAAACCCCCTCGTTCCCATCTTGATGTCGCGTGCTCATGCATGAAATATAGCTTTTAATCCCCGTTTCCCACGGGGCCCCCGCGGGAGCCCTCTATGGAGTACTGAAGCTATTGCTGGCCTCCACAAACTGTGTCCACTGTCTCCACGCTTCACCACTTTCGACTGCCCATCTCGCTCTCCTGACGCCCTCCTTCCATCTTCCACCTCCTGGACCCCTCTCCGGAATGACCTTCCCGTCATCGCCATGTCCCATATCGCTGGTATCAGCTTCACAGACCCCGGCTATGACAAAGAGCGCGGCTGTGTTCATGAGGACGAAATGGAAGATGGGGTCATCGCGGGGAAGCTGGTTTTGAAGAAGTTTCGTCAAAATCGCTGCATTCTCGTGCGGTTCCTTGCCAGGCGAGACGTCCTTCAAGGCATGAGCTGGTAATCCGAAATCAGCGGCACAGATTGTGAAGCTTTCGATGTCCACATCCCCTGGGGTACTTTGGTGAGATGATCTGTCGACAAGCCTCCAGCAGTATGTTCGACCCGCGCAACTGATCTCATCAAGATCTTCCTCGCCACACACAACCATTGCTTTTCGGGCGCCACTCAGTTGTAGGGCCTCCGCGAACACTGGCCCAATGTCTCGTCGGGCTACCCCGAGGAGTCGCGCTTCGATGTTTCCCTCCACTGGGTTGGCAAGAGGTCCTAGTAGATTGAAAATTGTTCTCCATCCCAGCTCTTTCCTAATCGGGGCAACGTATTTCATCCCTGGGTGGAAGATTGGTGCAAAAAGAAAGGCATAATTGCTCTTCTCGTAGATTTTGCAGATTGACTGAGGGGTGACCGCCATCAAGTTAGGCGCCGTAGGCCGAGTAGAGTTGAGGAGATCAGCTGAGCCAGACTTGGACGTGGAAGCTCGATTTCCATGTTTGCTCAGCAGAAGCAGGGAAGATGCCAATATAGACGAGGTTGTAGAGATGTTGAAAGTGTGATGTGAATCACCCCCAGTTCCAACAATATCGCACTGCTCAAAACTCAGTAATCGTACTGCACATCATCTCCCGCAGGCCACTTACCAAACCCCCCTTATAGTCCCCTTCTGGTCTTCCACGGGCCTCAACAACTTTGACCAATGCATTCCTGTCTATTTGGGAGGCGGCTGCTCTCATAGCTTCAGCGCATTTCGCAATGACGTCTGCTCTTCGGTCCCATCCTGTGAAATGCAAGCACGTAAGGAGTGCACCCGTTTGCACAGGAGATAATTGATCAGTGAAGATGAGTGCAATGGCTAGTGCAATCTCCTCTGCAGAGACCTTATTTTCTCCAGGTGAGGGCCACAGGCGTCTCAAGAGGGGTGTTATGGAGATATTTTGCTGGGCACTTGGCTCAACTTCGTGGGCCATGATCTTTCACGGCTAACTGAGAGAATTGTCTTACGAATGAAGTCAGGATATCAAGTGTTGAAATTTCTTCTACCCGTTTGACTCATGTCACGAGGAGAATGTTGATTTGTGCCTAAAAATTGTCAGGCCGAAAATGCGCCAACCCCTGTCAACCTTTTTGACAGCTTCCCCAGGCGGAACGTCAACTTCAATATTGCTTCAAGAAGTACTTCCGCAAAATGTAAGTGGAGCCAATTGCCGCGGCAGTCGTGTATTCTTCAATCTAAAAGCTAATTCCTACTCACAGAATGCCGCCACGAATACATCCGCCCTCGAGGGCTATTGCATCAATTCCGAAGAAAAGAAGACATGTACGAAGTCAACGACAATATGCTACAGCGGCAGCCATCACACCCGCCGCACCCCATGAGCAGATGACAAAATCCCCCCCGCCCATAGCTCGATATCCTCCAACCCAGCCCCCTTCATACAAACCTCCTGAGTTCCGCAAGTCCCAACTTCTCCGCCAATATGCATCACTCCTCCGATCCACACCTCTCATGCTTCTCTTTCAACACAACAATCTGAAAGCAAATGAATGGGTTGGAATAAGGCGAGAACTCTCAGCTGCTCTGCAAAAGGTGGATGCGGCGCGAGTATCTCCTGTCCACCCACCTGAGCCTTTGGCGGACGCAATCAAGATGCAGATTATTCAGACGGGTATCTTCGCCGCCGCGCTCAGAGTCGTGGAGTTTTACAAGCCGGAATCACGGCCTTCTACACTCGATCCTACAGATCCATCGACTCCATCTTCAGCGGCTGTTCCAGTATTTACTCAGAGCGGTGATCAGTTGACGCACACCTTGTCGAAAGCCGCTCATGAAGCAGTAGCAGATACCAGGACGGCTCATGCTCTTGCCCCTTTACTTTCGGGGCCACTATGTCTGTTGACATTCCCGAATGTTTCCCCGCAGCATATGAAGGCAGCCCTTTCGATTCTATCCCCCAGCCCACCACGATTTCCTGCCCCAACGCGGAGGGCCAATCCTGGATGGCACGATGCTGCTATACAGAGTGGTTTGCAGAAGCTTCTTTTGCTTGGAGCCCGGGTAGAGGGTAAGGTGTTTGATCTTGAGGGGGCGAAGTGGGTTGGAAGCATTGATGGAGGGTTGGACGGCCTGCGCGCTCAATTGGTTGCTATGTTGCAAGGCATAGGTGGAGGTGTAACAAATACTTTGGAGAGTGCTGGAAGAAGTATCTACTTCACAGCTGAAGGTAGACGGACTATGCTGGAGGATGAGCAAAAGGAGGCTTCGAGAGAGACAGCTAAACAAAAGTAAGATAGGCAAAGCTGCTTTGTATTCTAAGTGTGAATCTAAATCTAAACCAGCACCTTGGTATCATGGTCTTACGAGAGCATCCATCTATCGCAGCTCCAACTTGGCATTATGACCAACTATGCATCTGACTAGGTCCCAATCGCCGTTGTTCCCGACCCAGTCACAAACCACTATACCTGTGCTTCCATCTCCTTTCCCCTCAGTCTCGTTGTGGCTTCGGCATAAGTGATCAACAATGGATGGGTTGACCTTGGCTGCAACCCTATCGGGCCAGCAGTCGGCCCGCCAGAAATTGGAGGCACTTAAGAAATTCATGAAGAATGGTTGCTTCGCCGCCTCCGCTGCGGCGGCCTCTACGTCCCCAGGCCCTGGGCACACAGCCTCGGCAGCTCTTGCAAGCTGATCGGTCGAATAGGTAATCTTCTTATGAATATTTTCACTTTCAGAGACCTCATAGAAATCCTGAACTCGAATCTCCCCGCTGGAGCATATCCCATCCGCACAGTTGTCTGGCCAGCTTTCTGCATCAATTGCCCAGCCTCTGCCATTGTTCTCTCCTTTCAGAGAGTCATCCAGGGCAAATCGCCGGATCAAAACTATCTTGTTGCGAGCCTCCCCAAGCGTTGGAATGCGGTTATCTGTGAACCAGCGGTCATTGGTATAATGAGTTTTAACGATCTTGCTCAAGTGTTGATCCGTTGACTTTCCTACTCCCTCTCGTTTCAAGGATATGATGATCGCTTCGGTGGGGTTTGCATCAAGAAAGGAGTAGACGGTGTTAATCAGGTCCCGGAAGTACTTCGTTCCCGTAAGAGAGATAGGAAATGCGCTGTGCACCAGTACGAGGCCTTCTTTCGAAACATCATCTGCGCTCTCAGGTTGGACCCGAATGTCGAGGAAGCGGACCCCATTTTCAAGTTGCGCTTTCACACTCACGGCTTGGCAACGCACCGATGGGAGAGCTACATGGTGGGTTGGCGAGTTATGAGTGCCCGGTATGCTGAGAGCCGACAGCGGGATTTCGTGCTTGAGCTTTCCCATCCATGATTCGAGCCTGGTGGAGGAGTAAAGTGTGAGGTGGGAGGACTTTTGGAGGTACACAGCCGTGAACTCGAAGCGGGGATTGGGGGAAAGCGGTGTGAGCACCGTTGACTGTTGGGATAAGGTAGGTGTATCCACTCTGTATCTTTGTCCCTCGACCTCGAATGTCAATCGCAAAACTTCCGTGATATTGGTTGCGATGTCCGTAGGTTGGGTTTCGAAAGCAGCAATTGGAACAGAAACATCCTGGCTGGTGAAGCTTTCGGACTTTGCAGCAAGCTGTGGCGACGAAGGAGTGGTGATGTTGCTCATAAATCCGCTCAGCGTTCTGGTGATGTTGGTGATGTTGGTGATGCCCCCTCCATTGACTCTTGACTGAGGGGCTTCAAAACGCTCTAGAAGCTTCAACTCAATTGGATTTGAGGTAACATTGCGGATCGTAAGGGGGGGTGTAGCCATTCTACGAAACTGTCAGGAATCAAGACCATGCATAGGAATTGAAGGCGTTCCCAGCAGCTGATGCTGTTGTAAGTCCAGTGTGGGGTACATGGTCGGGGTCTAGACAGGGGTAGAAGGGTTCACCCACCAACCGCCAAACCCACTTCCCGCCCAAGCAAAAAATCGATTTTTCTCTCACCGTTTATAATACTAATAATTAACCAAAATTAATTTAAAAAAAATGACTTCTGTTATTTACTAATACTGTCTCTCTCAATTATAGGAAATTTTATAAGAAGACTTATTTTGATTATTCTTTTATATTGCTTTAAAATTCTTAAATATAAATAAAAACTTAGTTTTACAAGTAATATTAATAATAACTTTTACTTGAAAAAATGAAATTGTGATTAAAGAGTCAATTTAGTAATTAAAACTTAATAAAGTATAAAATTAAATTAATATTAAAGTTGAATTTTTGGCTTGGGCGGGAAGTAGGTTTGGGCGGTTGGTGGGTGAACCCTTCTAAGCTTGGAGCACGTGCCAAGTGTTCCAACATCGGAAACCATCGGCGAATGATGGGACGGCATTTGGGAATATCGCCATGGAACAGAATACATGCGTGTCCAGCGGATGTTCGTCCCTTCCTCCACGTCCGCGCCTTCCGTTCAGCGCGGCAAAGCTCCCTCATGAGTTGAGACCTCTTGAGGAGTGCGCCGTCGAGAAGACGCTCCCTTTTACCCCGGATCCGCCCCGAACGCCGCTTCACTACATCAGATGCTGACAAAGTACGTGTGTGGCTGCCTTCGACGCCGCGTGTGGCCTCTCCTTGTCTGCAACGGGCAACCCCCTCGGTTTAGTGGTTGATCTGCTTAGCACCCACCCATTGGGGCCATCGCCAACGATTGGAATCAGCTTCATTACTGCGTGCTGTTGGTGTCCTTTCCATTGCTGCCTTGATCGTACACGTATCCCCCCTCGGTCTTCCTTTCTTTAAAATTTGTCTTGATATCTCTCGTGGAAAACAGTACCCTTCTTGACGAGCAGTTCTCTTCGTGTCAGGGTCACAATGTCTTCAAATCGCACCTCGCATGAATATTCTTTAGACTCCTTTGGTCCTACAATTCCAAACGGGTTCGACTTTACTTTACTTTTCCAAGACTCACTTCTATCTATACTGCCCTCTGCAATACTTCTCTTAGTAATTCCTTTGCGGGTTCGGTCCCTACGTAGTAAACCTCGAAAAGTTCATAGAAGTCTTATCTATGAGAACAAGCTGGTAAGCTGCGAGTCGTGAATTTGACCCCCACCAACTCGACACCGATGTTCTCCGATCAATGCCACCAAAACGCTGATCCTCTCGTAGTTATTCCTCGTCGTCTTTGCGTTGATGCAAACTGCTCTGCTTGTTTTATATGCAATTAAACCTACCCTGAGAACACGTGCAACTTTAGCTGCCGCTGTCCTCACTCTCGTTGATGCGTTGGGACTATGCCTGCTATCACACGCGGAGCATTTGTATTCTATTCGACCATCTGCTATCATCAATGTCTACCTTCTAATTACACTGATTTTTGACATTGCTCGTGCAAGAACGATGTGGCTTGAAGATGGCGGTGTGAAATCCGTTGCGGCTGTCTTCAGCAGCGCTATTGGGGTCAAAGTTATGGTACTCTCCATTGAAGCCATTGAGAAGAGGGGAATCCTCCTTGAGAGGTACCGATACTCGTCACCGGAGGTTACCAGTGGAATCTATAGCCGTAAGTTCTCTATTCCTCAGAATCTTCTTCCCGGAATCCTGCCTCGCCAGTTTCGCGATTACTTATGTGCTAGGGGTACAGAACTCTCACTTCTATGCCTCCGTCCAAATTCCACTTTCAAGCAATACTGATTCAAGAAATTGGATTATAGGCAGTTTCTTTTGGTGGCTGAATACATTAATGAGAACCGGATTCCGACGAGTTCTAGGCAATGAGGACCTCTATCCGATCGATGATAACATGACTTCAAGGGTGCTTCTTGACCGCGGACAAGAAGCGTGGAATAATACGAATAAAACCCGACCACGAGCATTATTCTGGTCAACTCTGTCGGCCACCAAAGGTGCATTTGCATACTGCATTTTCCCTCGTATCTGTCTCATTGGGTTTCGATACGCCCAGCCGTTCTTACTTTCGCGAACAGTCAACTTTGCTAGCAATCCCAAGGAACCGGATAGCATTGGCTGGGGTCTTACCGGAGCATTTGGGCTTGTGTTCGTTGGTCTTGCCATTGCTACAGGGTCATACTATCATATGAGCTATCGATTTATCACCTCAATTCGTGGAACTCTCGTTGGCATGATCTACGCCAAAACGATGGACCTCAGTATCACGGCTCTCGACGAAAGTGTCGCAGTCACTTTAATGGCAAGTGATACAGGTGAGTAGTCTTAACGGCAATGGCAAGTCCCTGCACATGTGCAAGATATGACTAACGCGGAATTTATAGAAACAATATGTCAGGGCCTTACCAATGTCCACGAACTATGGGCCGTGCCTGTCGAGCTTGGGATTGCCTTGTGGCTACTTGAGAAGCAGTTAGGGCTAGCGTTCTTAGCACCTACAGCCGTTGCTATGTTTGCGGTATGTTTATTCCCTCCTTTTAAAATCGAGGCAAGCTTCAGTGCTTTCTCTTCACGCACCACTAACTTTATAGCTCTACAGACAGGAGGTATTGCGATTATGTCAAAATACATGGGTAGTGCCCAGAAGGTTTGGATAGAGGGTATCCAGACTCGAGTAGATGTCACTGCTTCCATGCTATCGTCCATGAAGGTAGAGAAAACTCGGGTCATATCACCTCGATTTTGTGCTAATCACTTCATAGTCGGTCAAGATGCTCGGCTTTGCCAACATCCTAACAAATATCATACAAGGGCTGCGTGTCACGGAACTCAAGCTCTCGTCTCTTTATCGCAGACTCCTCTGTGTTCGCGTGTTTTTGGGTATTGCTCGCTGCATTTCCCTTTTCCTTTTCCTCTCACCCATCCTACAACCCAATACTAATATGTGAATTTAGGTAACAGCGTGAATGCGCTCGCACCCCTGTTCACATTTGCCGTGTTCGTCATCGGCGCAAACTCAACAGGTCGAACCCTAAACACCGCCTCGGCCTACACTGCGCTCTCTCTGATTTCCCTCCTGGACGGCCCAATGAACACCCTGGTGTCCGCAATTCCAATGCTAAACGCTGCCATGGCTTGCTTTGCTCGTCTCGAGTCTTTCCTCAACTCTGATGCTCGGAGAGATGACCGCTTGCCACTTCTAGGGCCAGGAGAACTTGGTGACCAGTCCTCTCCTCCGACTAGTTCTGTCAACAAGGACATCGAGATGGAAACCCTGCGCCCAGTTCTCACTAGAACCAAAATCAATTCCGTGGTGATCGCAACCCAGAATGCCAGCTTTTCTTGGGACATTGATGGACAGCCTGCTGTTTTCGACTTGAGCTTTACCTTGCACCGCCACCAGTTTTGTTTCGTCATCGGGCCTGTTGGATCAGGAAAGTCAACCATGTTGAAAGGTCTCCTTGGGGAGACACCCGCGTCTAAAGGCTTTGTCTACCAAAATTACCAGGAAACCTCGTTTGTCGGACAAACTCCCTGGATTCGAAATGGAACAATCCAAGAAAATATTCTTGGCATATCGTCATATGAAGATGCCTGGTATAAACAAGTTGTTAATGCATGTGGACTAGAGGGCGATGTCTTAATTCTGCCCAAGGGTCATGGTATGGCCCCGAAAAAATCTGGCAACGGCCTAATCAATTTGCTGACTATCATCTTTAGGAACACCTGTTGGCAGTGCTGGTATCTCCCTGAGTGGTGGCCAGAAGCAACGGCTGGCGCTCGCAAGAGCATTGTATGCCCGAAATGATCTGGTAATGCTTGATGATATTTTCTCTGGACTTGATGCAGAAACCGAGGAGCACATCTTCAATAAGCTACTTGGTAAGAATGGTCTTTTCCGGCAACTTGGTACCACAGTCATTCTAGCGACACACGCAGTACACAGGCTTTCCTACTCCGACCACGTCATTGCAATGAGTGGTAATGGCCGGATCATGGAGCAAGGTTCTTTCGAGCAGCTCAGAAACGCGGGTGGATATGTGCAGAGCCTTGCTGCAAGGATCAAAAGCGAAGATACTGCCAACTCGACAGAAAAGAAACCCGATATCTCAGCTCAACCAGTGCCTTTCCAAACCGACAACGAAGAGGAAATTGAAGAGCTGAACAGGCAAACTGGGGATTTTGCCGTGTACAAGTACTATTTCGCTTCCATCGGATGGTCCACCACCACTGTGTTCTTTGTCTTTGTGGTGCTTTATGGAGTTGCTTCCAAGATGACGGAGTTCTTGGTTACGTACTGGACGAAAGCAATCACTACCCACGGTAATGAGGTCAACGGGTTCTATATTGGCCTTTACGCGATGCTATCGCTGCTTGGCTTGTTGGGGCTTGTTGTTGGTGTGATTGTACTGGCCCTTAAAATGGTGCCCAGAAGTGGGGGGGTACTCCATGGGAAATTGCTTGCCACGGTGATGGGTGCACCGTTAAGCTTCTTCACGTAAGCATGATCTCACGTTCATTGTCTTGACGTCTCATGGCAGTTCTAACCCCCAAAGTTCCCGAGAGATGCGGTTCATTGAGTTATCCAAGTAGAGTAATACTGACTCCAAGATCCTTAGGAAAACCGACACAGGTACAACTACGAACAGGTCAGGGACATACCCCTTCCAAGTGAAACCCATACTGATGCCCGCTCCGTTAGATTTAGTCAAGACATGACCATTATTGACACTGAACTTCCTTATTCGCTTGTCGACCTTTCTCTCTCGGTCATAACCACGACCATGGGCGCTATTTTGATGTGTCTCTCGGCCAGCTACTTCGCCAGCCTGATGCCACCAGTTATTCTCGCAGTTTGGGGTAAGGCACTCATCAGTTCTCCGCCGGGAACTTTTGGCTAACCTCGAACTGTAGTTTTGCAGAAATACTACCTGAGAACCTCTCGGCAGATGCGACTACTCGATCTGGAGGCTAAATCACCTCTATACTCGCACTTCCTTGAGTCGCTTACCGGACTGGTAGAAATCAGAGCTTTTGGATGGAGTGATAATTTCCTAGTAAGTCAACCTGATCCGAAACTTCGAATACCAGCCTGTGTAAGAGTCCCAAAGCTAAATACCGGAACTAGACGCGGAATCTTGACCTCTTGGATACATCGCAGAAGCCATACTACCTTCTCTTCTGCATCCAGCGCTGGCTTTCGTTCATTCTCGACCTGATGGTCATGGTCCTAGCCGTAGTTTTGATGGTCCTTGTGGTCAAGCTGGTGAGTTTTCTCCAAGCAAGATAGTTTCTATCACAGGACTAACTTTGCCATAGCGAGAGAACATTACCCCTGGATATGTTGGCTTGGCCTTACTCAACGTGATGAGTTTCAATCAATCGCTTGCCCAGATTATCAAGAATTGGACACAGCTCGAGACGTCAATAGGAGCCATCGCACGCTTGATGAGTTTCTCCGCACAAACGGCATCCGAGAATCTCCCCAGAGAGAATGAAACCGTCCCTGACAACTGGCCAGCACACGGAACGATCGAATTCAAGAACGTTTCGTCTTCGTACACCCCAGGCGGGAACCAGGTCATCCGTGGCCTCAACATGTCCATCAAGGCTGGACAGAAGATCGGTATTTGTGGGCGAAGTGGCAGTGGGAAAAGTTCACTGATAACCACACTTTTCCGGATGCTCGAGATCGCCGAGGACAGCGCAATCACCATCGACGGCATCGATATCACGAGACTTCCCAGGGAGACGGTCCGTTCGAGACTGAATGCCATTCCTCAAGAGCCGTTCTTCGTCAAAGGCACCGTTCGTTCCAACGCCGACCCATACCAGCAGCACACGGATGCAGTTATCATCGCAGCAATTCAGAAAGTACACCTTTGGGATTTAGTGAAAAGTAAGGGTGGACTCGATACCGAACTGGATTCCGAGTTCTTCTCACACGGCCAAAGACAATTGTTCTGCCTGGCAAGAGCGGTCTTGAAGAAGAACAAAGTGGTCATCCTAGACGAGGCGACGAGCAGTGTTGATACCAAGTCGGACGAACTTATGCAGAAAGTGATACGTGAGGAGTTCACGGCCTGCACCGTCATTGCTGTTGCTCATCGACTGGATACTATTTTGGATTTTGACAAGATTGCCTTGCTCAGCGCTGGGGAGCTGAAGGAATATGATACCCCTCAGGCGTTGCTGGCGAGGCCAAGTGCCTTCAGGGAGTTATACAACTCTTGAGGGATTTTTCAAAGGGGAGAGACAACCGGAAAATGAACAACAGAATGGATCGGCTGGGGAAAGTATATAGACAGACCAGGGCAGAGTGGTGTTAGAGATGGGAAGGTGTGGGTAATGGAGTATATATATATATGTGTGTGTGTGTGTGTGTGTGCGTGTGTGCGTGTGTGTGTGTGTGTGTTAATTATAATGCCTCTGTTGATGACCTTACCATTTGAGACTATGTCAAATGTACAAGGAAAGCCGCTGTAATACCCGCATCGCCTGGATCCTGGATTTTCGATGGAGCTGGGTGACCGTTGGTGGCTCAATCCGAGGGCTGCGCCGCGGGCTGACAAAAGCTTATTTGAACCACGACTTCCACGAGAGGTTCAGAATAAAAAAGTCCTGGTGTGGCTGAGGGTAGCACACGAAGAAAGATAAGGGAGATTGGCGGCCGTGTCTTCTGGTCCAAAAGGGCAAATTGATCCCTCTCTTGGCGGACTACTTCAACACTTGGCTCATTTATCGCAAAACGGAGAAGAGACTCGGGGGTCTCGGGGCATGTTCTTCATCTGGATTCCGGACCCTTCAGCAGCCCGGCTGCGGTGGAGAGGTTGACGTTTGTGAGACTGTGACAGTGTGAAGCCGACACGAAACATCTGGCCGAGATAAGGGGAAAGGGCCGCGAGGACGAAGACGGGGACGCTCGTGTGTCCTTGTTCTGAAGACAGAAGGAGATAGGAAACAGCTAGGGTTCAGGAGGGGATGGGAAAATGGCAGACGGCCGCAGAACCAGGGCAGTGGAGCAACTGGCACGTGACAGCATGGAAGCATGGAAGCATGGAAGCATTGGGAGATGCAAGCGTGGAAGATGGAAGCAGAGAAGCAGGAAGCAGAGAAGCATGCTGAGTGGAAGCATGGAAGAAGACAAGCAGACAAGCATGGAAGCATGGAGCAGGGGAGTCCTTGATGCTCTTCCCCACCTCGCGGCAATGCCGTCCCCACGGCGGGCCCGATGCCCAATGGTGGCCGAGATCTGGAAACAGGGGCAGGGACCGCCGGGGGCGGCGATGAAATCTCTCGGTCGGCGTAACCCGAACTGGTGCTGGACGAGTCCAGTCCAGGTTTCAGGCCTCAGGCATCAGGCCGCCAGCCTCAGCGGCTGCCAATGGCCACAGTGGCCACCCATGGCCAGTTCACGCATCCCAGCCGGCCCCACTGCCCAGCCTCCCAGAAGCCGCGTAGAAACATCCCTCGGCCTGACGTCGCCGTGGCGTGCAGGGCATGGCAGGGGTACATACTTGTAAATTATAACATGGGCAAGGTCATGGATCATGGAATGCGATGGGGGGGGGGGGGGGGCATTTTTGCATTGGACATCGGCCCACCAGCTCGACGCCGTCCCATTCGCGCACTCCAGCCCGCACCCGCACTCACTCACGCTTTCGCCGCCTCCCCTTCCCTTCCCTCCGCTCTCGACTCCTCTCACAGGCTGGCTGGCAGCCTGGCCGCCTGGCCGCCATTCTCCATCGGGGTTATGTAAACGCATTTGTCGATTGTCTGCGGGCCGGCTGGCGTCTTGTCTGGCTTGCTCGGTGCCAAGCCAAGCCAAGCTACACATCGCATCGGCGCACCAGAGAGCGATCCCTCCTTATCCAGTGGTGGACCAGTGACTGGCGACCGCGTGCCTACGTTCCTTCCTCGAAAGGTCAAGCAAGCTCTCTTATCCGTCGACCCCCCGTCTCTTCTCCTCCGGTCAATCTTAGTCTCTTGCCTGCCAACCTACCTGCCTACCTCCTGGTCGACTCTTGTAAAAACTTTCTTTCACGCTTCCTCTCTTCCTCCCTCCTCCCTCCCTCCCTCCCTTCAACCATTCCTCTCTTCCTTCAAAGAAAAGTCTATCAATTGCCCCTCCCCCCAAGGCACAAGGGTACCCCGACTCGCAGCTCCGACGATACGACTACGACATCATGACCACGCCTGAAATCATGAACGATGCGCAGCTACACGATGGCAATCCACACCACCGACGCAAAAGCACCGGCATTATCGAGGTCCATGGCCCCGATGGCCAGAGAAAGACCCTGAATCTGGCTGAGATGAATGATGCAGATGCTCAACTGGCCGCCCAATTCGGCTACAAGCCCGTCTTCAAAAGAGAATTTGGCTACCTGTCAACCTTCTCCTTCGCCGTCAGTATCAGCGGTCTGTTTGCCACAATCATGACCACTTTCTCCTTCCCGCTCTATGCTGGAGGCTCTGCTGCCGCTGTTTGGTGCTGGTTGATCTCCGGTGCCGGTTGTATGTGTATTGCTGTAAGTCGAATCGCCTCGGGCAATAGGTGAAATGTTTCTTATTGACAATGTCAAAGTGCTCTGTTGCCGAGCTTGTCTCTGCATATCCCACGTCTGGAGGATTGTATGCACCCCCCAAAGCCCATCTGCGCCAATGCCTAATTATCTCAGATACTTCACAATTTCTCGACTTGCCCCCCGTGATTGGGTCCCCGCCCTCAGCTGGTAAGACGAGAGTTGACTGATGGATCTCGAACACGGTGCTAAATAATTGGACAGGATTACCGGCTGGATCAATTTGCTCGGACAAGTGAGCCGATGCCCTCACATGACAATATCAGTACTAACACGGTTTTCTAGGTTGCTGGTGTTGCCTCTTCTGAATATGGCGCTGCCCAGATGCTTCTCGCAGCCGTCTCCATGGGACGAGACTTCAACTACACGATCACGACCAACACGACCATCGGTGTCATGGCCGCCCTGACGGTACTCACGGGATCGGTCAACTCCTTGTCAACTTACTGGATGGAAAAGATGACCAAGACGTATGTCATCTTCCACGTCTTGGTCTTAGTGTCATGCTCCATTGCCCTTTTGGTCATGACCAAGACCAAGCATGATGCACACTATGTCTTCACAGACGTCGAACCGACCTCGGGATGGAGCCCTGCCGGTTTCAGTTTCTTGTTCGGGTTTCTGTCCGTCTCGTGGACCATGACCGATTACGATGCGACGGCACATATCACGGAAGAGATCAACGAACCGGAGGTCAAGGCTCCCTGGGCCATCTCGCTCGCTATGCTCTTCACATATATTGCCGGCTTCCTGTTCAATATTGTGCTATGCTTTTGCATGGGCGATCCTGCGGAGATCCTCTTAAGCCCGATCGTTCAGCCAGTTGCACAGATCTTCTACAACAGTCTCGGTAAGGCCGGTGGAATCTTCTTCACTGTCTGTGGATTCATCATCATCAAGTTTGTCTGCTTTACAGCCATGGTAAGTCTTGCTCTCAACCCCAGACCTCCCCCCTTTTGCTAACGGTCGTAAAGCAAGCCTTGGGCCGGACCGTCTTTGCCTTCTCACGTGATCGTCTCATTCCCGGACACAATATTTGGACCCAAATCAACTCCAAGACAGGAACTCCTCTTTACGCTGTGTGGGTCTCTGTTTTCTTCTGCATCGCCATTAACTTGATTGGTCTGGGCTCATATGCTGCCATTGCCGGAGTCTTCAACATCTGTGCGATCGCTCTCGACTGGAGTTACTGCATTCCTATTGCATGCAAACTCATGTTCGGGAAGTTCGAGCCAGGACCATGGCATATGGGCGTCTTCAGCAAATATGTCAATGCTTGGGCCTGTCTCTGGACGCTGTTCGTCAGCATTATCTTCATTCTGCCAACCGTCAGGCCCGTGACTGCTCTTACTGTGAGTTATGCCTCTGAGTGATCAAGAATAGGTGCTGACTTGTAACAGATGAACTACGCATCCGTCTTCCTTGTTTTCATCCTAGGCTGTGCGGCGATCTTCTGGTATATTAGCGGCCGGAAATATTATAGTGGACCTGTTATCGAAGCAGAGGGATACGAGTCCAATGGTGAGGCTCCAGCCTTGGACGGGGAGAAGAAAGCTGAGCTGGCTTGATCCCGGTATATATGCACGGAAACTTGGTGGTGGTGCTTATGTGGATTGCATTCGCATCTTATTGCCCACGATGAACGATAAGCTCAAGAGCTGTAGGTCTTTGCAGGTTGTTCTATAGCTATATCTCGACTGAGATGAAGAAATGATACCCATTGATAATTGTTTTCATCGTCTCTGCTTCGATTTTGTACTTTGCTTTTGCTTTGGCAAGCTACCCAAAGACGGGTCATTGAGAAGGCAAGGCAAGTTTCTAGTGAATGCATAGAATCAGCCTTTCACCAAGGCAGAAGAGAGGATGTTCAAGAAATCTACGGCACTTTGGAATTGAGAAGTTCCGAGTCGGGCCTAGCTCGCCTTGGTTTATTGCCGGGGTAGGGGTATTGAGTCTTTTTCGTCCCCAATCTCCGAGGCATTTCGATGCTAGATATTGAGAGACTTCTATTCAACTTCGTAGCTCGCGTATATTCTCTTTGGAGTGTGCTCGTGGGGGTGGCTCTCGTGATCCTAGATCAGGAAGTCTACTCCCCCTTTCCAATGTTGCCACCTTTGTGGACAGGGCTGAGATGCCATCAAACGCCGCCCCTCAATGCCATCTCTCTCCTTTCCTCCACCCCCAAAAACGCTCTCAAACTCAAAACTCCCTTCCCCCTCCCCCTTCCTCCTCAACAACACCCCTCATCACGCCTCCCGACCTCTCCACAACATCCTCCCTCTTCCCTTCCTCACCCTTCCACTTAAACAGCCAATGCGGCAACACAGGCAGCTCGCCGTCCCCTCTGTTCAACTCAAACCCCACTTCTCTCACCTCTGCTGAAAACTCGGAGTTCACGGCTTCCAAGAGGTGCATGTAGTGCCTGTGCAGGGAGAAGTGGTGGAAGTTTAGGGTGCACGATTTCTGTGATGCGAGCGTAGAGAGGGCGATTAGGAGCTGGCTGGATTAAGAGATTAGGTTAGTATCCGTTTACGATGGAAAGTGTTGAAGGGAGTGCAGTGGAAGTGAGGGCTTACGTATTGGTTAGAGCGTGGGAGCGCTAGAATTGTGCTATGAGGGCTCGTTGGGGTGTGAGTCTGTGCCGAGGGTTGATAGATTGTCATCATTCCGGTGGAAATGGTTGGCTCCCCTCCATTTGAGCAACCTGGGTCTTCACCATTCGTGATATTGCTCCGAGACGATCGAAGCGGGTGCAATTCCTCTTTTTTCGACGTTCCTGGGCCTGATCAGAGGTTTGCTCATGCTCGAATTCCGTGGTGCTATCATCTCACTAGTGCCATCTGCCCGCTCGTGGCTGCGGGAATATTGGCCTGGATCAGATGGAAGGTTGTCTCATCAGAATATTCGCTGGTTGGAGTAGATCACGATTATGGCTTCCATGTCAAGCCATCTGGGGAAGCCGATCGATTCGTGCCTGATTGCATTATATAGCTTGGCGGCAGCAACTGGGTATTGTTGGAATCTGGACTCTTCGATGACTGATGCATGCCCCACGGAGGAAAAAGTAGCATGAGTTGGTGTTCAACTCTGTTCTCCCTTTGCGTGAGATTACCGCAAGCCTCTCCCAACCCAGGTAGGCTGATCTGAGAAAGTGGTTGCACTGACAGCCACAGCTGGTTTCCTCACCGAAACAAATTTCCAACTCTTGTTGATGGCCAGACTGATTTGGAAGAACCGGGACATAGCAGGGAACAGAAATATCAATTAAAGAATCCCTACTGGCCGCCCCCCACGGATTTGAATTATTCAATCCAATTTCATTCATTGTGAGAAGCGGAATATCATAAGGCTACAGAGAAACTGGGTGGAGACGAAAGTAACAAAATAGCTCAATATTGTCTGTGTGTATTCCATGAGAAAGATGCAATGGAAATCTTTCTGGCTCTGGGAAATCTCTGATTATCCGGAACCCAGCCTCCTCGAAAGTGGTCTTAGTGACTCTGCTCAGAGGGACATCAAAGTGCTCGGCGATTTTGATATACGGTCCCGGAATCGTGCGAACACCTTGGAAATTCCCGAGTCAGTAGTGCCTTGAACTTTTGATACACCAAGCTCTCGAAAAACATTGGAAAGGAATGTTTGAAATACTCTTATGGTGTGGGAAACACCAGGGAGGGAAAGATCGACTCAGAAATACACATACGGTGACCCGTTTTTTTGTGGAGCTCAATGAAACCCTGGTCGGCCTCAGATTCTAAGATGTAGCGAGTATCGCATACAACCTGTAACGTGAATACAAGCTAGATAGGGATGCGTCGATTTCTCAGCATCGTTGTGATTCTTCGTGTGGATTCATGCTCTCCAGGAATAGAGAATCTGGGATTATTCTTGAGACCGTTGATGAGCCAGCACTCTGCAATCAACTCATACAGAATCTGGTTGTCCCGAGACCTTTTGTCCGGTAAGCAGCTGCGTGATATATCACGGGCTTTCCAATGTCCTTAGATAGCCAAATCGATTAGCATTTTTTATTCTGAAGTGTCACTGGAGGGAAATCAGGAAGACCGTCTTCCTGGGTAAATTGAGGGTTAGAGAAAAAGGAGAAAGTCTGAAAACTGGTAGCGAAGATGGCAGGAATCCCTTTTCTTGGGAGGAACTGGATCCAACCAGCCGCTCAGATCATAAAACCGGAAAAGGCAGACCCAGTACGCTTCCTAGAGAGGGCGGTAGGTTAGCATATTGACAACCAAGAAACAAAAAAGGAGTGGGAATTGATAAACTCACCCCATAGATCTCCTCTGAACTCTCTCCATAGTCTTCGTTGCCAACTTTATCGTAATCAACATGATCAAGTCCAATGTCCGAGAACTGCAGGTTGGCCATGCTCTGGTAGTCAGTAAGGCCGCTATCTCGATGGATTTGAAAGAGCAACTCCCGCTCCGACCTCTGCAGCAACTTAGAAGCGGTGTTAGTCATGAGAGAGACACACGCCTGGCTGATTATTCCATCTGTCAAGCCATACTGCTATTCCTGAAGGTATTCGCGGAGGTTGTTCCAATCTTTGAAGAAACAATAAATCTTGAAATAAAGATCGTCGCCCTCGTCCAATCCATAGTTGACTTGGCGAGTCTGTACGAAAGAATCCATAACATCGATATCAGTAGATGGTACAGCCTTCTCCGACAGCCTCGCTATCTTCTCCCACTTCCTGGCTTTGCCCTTCCTTTTCCCGTACTGAATCTTTCGAAGGTTCCTGTTGCCTGACTTTCCCGTCCGCTCTCTGTGTCACTACCCCCATCGCTATTGCTAACTGTACCGGAAGCATCGCCCTCGATGTCCGGGGGAATAAACAAGCTGCTGGTATCGCTATTCCTCTGACTGCGAGAAAATTTGCCTTGCTTTGCCTTAGGTGTTGCTGAGGGGTTTTTGGTGCCTCTTTCAAAGCTCTTTAAGGCTCCCTCAAGAACTTGGACGTAAGGTGCATGACAAGAACCAGCCTCCTTCTATCCTCGACTGCGGTAAAATAGGACAGCTTCTTGTCGTTGAGAGATGACTTCTTGCAGGACTTAACGAAGATCTTCAGGAATGACATGGCCACGAGAAATCACAAGTTGAACCAGACTTGGAATCTCGCGGATTTGGACAGGTCCGCCTTCCTTGTTAGTGGACCTAGAAATCTTGTGCCCTAGCTTTTTCTCCTGCTTCAGCCAGGACCTAAATTTCTGTTCTCTTGCCTTGGAGGCTTTGTACGTATCTACAATTCGGAAACCGGGGAGATTCGACATCAAAACCATGTCAAAATCCTTCCTTAGGACCATGCGAAGAGAGATGAAAAGATGGAAATTAAACAGGAAATGGGGACGCCCTTCAACGTTTTCTTAACGGCGCTACCTGCGTTTTAGCGGTGTGGATCTTACCCAAACCACGACGCGTCATCACGTGTTCTGAACAGATACTTCACTTGAGCTCTGCAGAGTCCGAATGACCAAGGGGCTCTATGAGAGTTGGCGTGCTTGTTCTAAGAGTGATGGTTATCGACTTGCATTCTTTTGGTGAACTGTGGTTCACGACGCAATGGATAACCACGTGCCATTTGAGCAAGGTAAACAACCTAAGATGCGTGCTTCTTGCAAGGTAGCACAGTGATCTTGTCTTGTCGTCAAGTCCACATGAATTCTATGCACATTTTCCGTTTCCATCGATAAAAGCAATCTGAGAACTCCATGCGCTGAAAGGCAATGACCAAGTTAAAGATTCAAAAGTAGGGGGTATGTTCGGTGTTGTAAGCAAGGGAGTTTTTGTGTCCAGTCTAGCATCCCATGCAGCTTATCCCTAATACCACCTAGAACCTAATGCTCAGTCGCGTAAGATCCGGTATCTCTTTCTAAAAGAGAATCCTTCTCAGCCTTCACTTCAAATTGCTCGCCAGACACCCAGAAACCAGCTGCTTCGATGATCCGACAGACAACGTCCAGTTCAGTTCGATCTCGGGGAGCGTAGACCATGATGAACTCGCGAGGGACATATTGTTTCATCCAACCGCCCCTTGCAAGAGGATGTCTCTCACCCCAGCCCTTCTCCAGCACGACCTTGGCGTCATCTGGGTGCAGGTTCATATGCATGCTTCGATCGCTATGGTGAACGTGGCAGATCTCACCACGACAGGTGGGATTGATCGGATCACGGGCAAAAAGGGCGAGCCCCTTCTTCTCGAAACATGAAGTGCCAACACGGAAGGAGTTTGGGTGCCTGACCACGAGATTCTCCAGACTCGTACGCAGCATTTTGTACATCTGGGCACACCCCGGTTGATCCAGTTGCCGTTGAGGCGCGATTCCTGCTATCTTGGGTCGTGGACCAGTCCGCTCCGGGAGCCAAGTATGAGCCCGTTGGTAGTAGCCTGTCACAGGATATATCTTTTCGGAGAAGGTCGCTGGCGTGTATGGATCAGACAGCGCAAAGAGACGGAGGTATGCGATTTTGAGGTAGCCCAGGAAAGTGGACGGAGTTCCTCCAGGTCCGAGGTTGAGGAAGTTCTCATAGTCATTGTAGATTATGAAGGGCAATGGTGCCAAAGCCAGTAAGGTGCAAGTCAGGGATGGTTGGAGAACCTGGATGCTGATGATGATGGCAAGTATTGCTGAAATGAGAGATGGGCCGGTCAGGGTAATCTGGAGGATAGAATGCTGGGTCATCGACATCGGAGGGTCAAATGGTGCGTCGGCTTCCTGGAAAATGACCCGAGTCGTTGTGGTTGAGCTTGCGACCTCCATGACCTATTGATTGTTAACCGACTGGAGGGATGGATAGAAGGGGCGTTGTGTGCTGACTTGGCTGCTTCTTGGTTGCTTGACGTCAGTGATCGTGCCGCCTGTCACATTCAGTAGCTTCAATGCTCGAGAAGAATAGCAAGAGCTCAAAGAAGGGATCCTAGCAGTCACGTGGAAGTGCAAGAATTGAAGAAGACGTATTCAGCAATGTGGAAATGGGACGGTTCTTGAGGGTCTCAAAGCTGATGACTACAGCAACACGAGGTCTCAACAAGAGTACGATGTGAGGCACTGCACCACGAATTGATCTTATATTGATGACTGAGACAAAAATGACTGGATATCCCTAAAAGGAGACTCAAGTTTACGTCTGCGGAAAACGGGAGAGGTCTTGAGCCGGCGTGGCGAAGGAAGCAGAGATAACAGTCAGACGGGCAAGGGAAAGGGAAAGGGACGTCTTTTTAAAGAAGGGGACCTGGCTAGTCGACTATCGGCCGTTGGCGGTTTCCTCGTGGGCCCATTTCTTGGTTCGTCCCCATCCCCTTCTGCGGGACAATCCAATGCATGGAGCGAGAAAGCGCTGTGAGCATCATCGGAACGCCGCAATCGGATTTTTGTGTCACGGGAAGAGCAAACTTGAGCTGGAAGATCGTCACTTGACATAACATCCTGCCCTAATTGGCCAACGTGGGGGATCCCAGAGGCCGCCGCGATGTTTTCGACGGAGGTCGTATGATCGACAGCGAAACGGAGCAGGAGCACAGTCAGTGGCTTGGGAGAACGCGGGGCCAGTGAGAACCCATGCAACGAGCTCGAATCGGCCATTATTGGTACATGATGGGGCTCTGGAAAGCATCCTTGTAGCATCTTGCCCTGGTCTCCGCCTCCACCTTGCTGCTGGCGAGGATGGGAAGCAGAAGAGGGGTCCCAGCAACGGCGCGGGCTGCAGAGCTTGCATCACAAGTGCAGCAGGAACAGAGTGAGCGGGCTGAGCTGGAATGCCCCCCGATAGGGTGCAGACTCGCCAGAGGGCCACGGCAGGGTGCACAGGCAGACCGATGAAAGCGGTCATTGGCGTCAGGAGGGGCAGGCCTGGGCAGCAACCAGCCAGCGATGGCAATGTCAATTGCAACCCTGGTCTGGCGTTTCTGCGTCCTCACCGTGGCAGCAGGTGGCACGCGACTCGACGGGACACTGCAGCTGAAAGGCTGCAAAGAGAATGGGCGTGGGATTGATTTGAGAAGCGTGAGAAGCGTGAGAAGCGTGTGAGGGCGCGAGAGGCGTGAGAGGCGTGAGAGGCGTGAGAGGCGTGAGAGGCGTGAGACGTGTGAGAGGCGTGGAAGTCAAGTGAGGGGCCCGACCACATGCGGTCTTTTGCTTGCGGTTGCGGTTGCGTGCGGTTGCGGTAGGGCTGGCGGCATGTACCAACTCAGCAGCTGAAGCGAAAGAGCCGAAAACCCCGAAACCAAAACCGGCAAGTTTGCCGATCCCATGCGTCCCCCCCCCTTGGGCTGTTCTACCTAGTGTCAGCTCCAGCATCAGTTTCTCTCAAAGCTTTCGTTTGTCTGGTATATGTCGAGAAGACTGCCCTGCTCTTCTTCAATGCCTGCTCCCATCCAGCAGCAGCATCATCGCCGGCCAAGACTTGGCTTGGCTTGGCTCCGCTCACTCGCTCGCTGTCATTCTGGATTACAGTACTGTAACTCAGAGCTGCTGCACGGTGAAGGCTCCCTGAAGCAGGCCCGCCTCCCAGCCTAGAACCTATCGGATTTCATTGCGGACACCAGAGGCGGTCAGTCCTTTCTTGTTACCTCATTTTCATGTTTCCCACCTCGTTCTCTCACCTCTCTCGATCGCTTTCGAGGACTGACGTTGCACTCCGCCTGCCAGTCAGACCTCCCACTTGCCGACAGCGGCCGCCGAATCTTTGAGAAGACCAGTCCAATTGACAACCTACGAAAGATCCCACAACATGATCCTCCTCGATGCCGCCGGCTTGCGTGGACTGCAGCACAAAAGAACAGCGTGTTCCTGATCGGACCAACAAACCATGGCGCTGCTGCAAACTCGAATAAAGACGTTGTCGCGGGGTGGAAAACCCCCACGTCACGTGAAGCCGGGCCCCCAAAGTGTCGTGGGCGTCGTCGCTAGGCCAACCATGTTGCACCTTCACTTAGCTGGTAAACATGGCCAGCCAAGCAAGGCAAGTAAACTTTCAAGGTTCGCCTTTCCATTGCCAGATTTTCAGTCTCCGTCTCAAAGTCATCCTCTGCGAATTGTTACAGAATCTCAAGTCTTCTCACTGTGCCATTAACTGAATGCATGGCATGTTTGCCGCATGAGACTACAAACAAGAGTAAGTCTTGCTCTGTCACGTTCAGTACAGATACTTATCGTTCCTGCAGACAACATTCCACTGCAATCAGCCGACACTTGCTCAGGAATGGCTGGCTTCAACTCCCTCAACCCCCTGACTGTCACAAAGCGGTCATCCCCTTCAAAATACTCCAAAATCGATACTCGAATGCCCAGACGGCGAGAACGCGATCTTGAAAAACATGATTACTCTGACGATTCAGATGATGAGTCCGATTACTCCTCCGATGCATCCTCGCCTGTTTCTTCCCGAGAGACATCTGGCTCCTACTCATCGAACCGACCAATGTTACGGAGGAAGTCGTCAGCAGGTTCCCAGAGACCTGCATACTCAAGATACAGACTTCCAAACAGGGTTATGCGGTACTTGTGCTTAGCACTGATCTCCACGATTGTTATTTTCATGTTAAGCTTAGTTCGAATGAGTGTTGTGTCCTCGCGGCGAGTAGAAGCTGGAGATCTTGGGAAACGGCCACCACCCCCACCCGAGCCGTGGAAGTCGTTCAAGTTCCTATCGAGATATTACGGTGGCATCAGGACCCTGGTACCATTATCGGAACGCCAGCCAGAGTATCCGTCTGCAGCTGATGAACTGCCTGCCTCGAACGAGACGACCACTATCCCAATCCGAGAAATTCCGTCCAGCAAACCATTTGACGCATTCAAGCACCAAGCCTCGGAATCTTATTTGAGCGAACATGCCCCAGTTCAGGAATGTTTTCTTGATTTAGAATCAACCATTCGCATTCCCCAACTGCAATACTATCAGGGCAGGCCCAGCGGTTTCCCTGATAATGTGGTAGGATCTTATGAACTGCTTGGCCTGCCGGAGGATATTTGTTTCGAACGATTTGGAAGATTGGGACCTTACGGCTTCGGATACTCTTCGAAGTATGGAGGTACCGATACAGGTGAACATGGAGACACGGAAGGATCAGGTTCGGTCTGGGTAGATAACTCGGAGCCTGGGCTCAACCAGGTTGACTATAGAAAGGTTAACTGGGGAGCTGCTCAGAAGAAGTGCTACGAAGCCAATATTGCACGATTCGGGCCACAATCTCCTCTCGTCGACCTCCCCACAACATTTTCCGTCCTTGGCCAAGATACCGACAGGACGGAGAAGCAGGATGTACACCCAAGATCAACTTTAGATGCGAGAGCCAATACTACGTTGAATGAAAAGTATCTGCCTCGTACTGCTGTGGTGGTTCGTGTATGGGATGATTTTGCGTATCGGGAGGAGGATATAATTAACCTCAGGGCAATGGTTTCGGAGCTGTCTCTGAGCTCGGGTGGAGAGTACTATGTCCATCTTCTTGTTCAAGTCAAGGATGAAGCAAGACACCCAATCTGGGCGGATCCTGAAACATATCAGCAACATTTGGCCGAGTGTGTGCCTGATGAATTCCGCGATATTGCAACATTATGGAGCGAAACGCAGATGCTCATGTTATATCAGGGCATCTTCGATACCTTTACCCGTGGTCTTCCCGTGCATGGCCCTTATCGAGGTCTACAAATGGCAATGCAGCATTTTGCCCAAAGGCATCCCGAGTATGACTTCTTTTGGCATTGGGAAATCGATATTCGTTATACTGGCCACTACTACAACCTGTTCTCACAGGTCGAGTCATGGGCCAAGAAGCAGCCACGGAAAGGGCTTTGGGAGAGGAGTGGCAGGTTCTACGTTCCCTCGGTCCATGGATCTTGGGAGGACTTCAAGCAGATGGTTCGCGTTCAAACGGAGATGGGCACAGAGAACGCTGAAGACATGTGGTCTGGCGTCAAGGGAGCTAAGGTGCAACCGAAAGGCGACAAGCCAATCTGGGGCCCCGAACGGCCCCAAGACCCCGAGGACTGGTTTGAGGTCGAGCTTGACCCCAAACCTGTGGGTAGCTACGACAGGGATAAGTATGCGTGGGGAGTTGGTGAAGACGCTGATCTTATAACTTTCAACCCTCTCTTCGACCCCGAAAAAACGACTTGGTTCCTGGCAAACGATATCACAGGATATAACGCCACCGATAGACTGCCTCCTCGTCGAGCAGCGATTGTTACGTCTTCGAGGATGTCAAAACGACTTCTCAGAACGATGCACCGCGAGACGGCATTCAAGAAACATCATGCGTTCTCCGAGATGTGGGCTCCCACAGCTGCATTGCACCATGGATATAAAGCCGTCTACGCCCCGCATCCCATGTTTGTGGACAGAGAATGGCCCACGCCGTATCTGGCAGGAGTTTTGAATTCAGGGAGGAATGGTGCAACTGGGGGTGCAAGAACAAGTGTGTTTGGCGAGAGGGAGCACAATCTGTTGGGCATGACTTGGTATTATAATGCTGGGTTTGCGCCGAATCTTTGGAAGAGATGGTTAGGGTTGAAGGTCAACAATGAGGGTGGTGAAGAATTTGAATTGACGGTTGATGAGGGCAGAAGCGGCAATGGTGTGAATGAGATGAGAGGTGGAGAAGGGAGAATGTGTCTCCCTCCCATGCTCTTACATCCAGTGAAGGATGTGGAGTTGCCCGTGGAGGGAACAAGGGAAGAGGAAGATGTACCGGAAAGTGACCCTAGTGCCTGATTAATGTAAGATTTGGACAGCGGCGTTTTGAGCGTTTTGAAGGTATAGGCGAAGGGTTTTGGTGTAGATAGTTCACGAAGACATGATTCGACAGCGATGATATTTTCCAGAGCCATTTGTCATATTATTCCTGCTCTGGTGTGGTTTCATGATTGTCATCCTTTTTCTTGGACTTCTTGAAATGCTCTTTGCCCTCCGAGATGTACGCCTCAACTTTTTGACCTGCGAAACTCCTCCCATCCATTACTCCAACGCACGCTCTAGCCGCCTCCGAATTTGAAAACCTAACGCTTGCAACTCCTTCCTCCTCCATGTCAAAGAGGACCACATTCGTAACTTCTCCCAGTTTACTGCACTCCTCTCTGATATCTTCTTTGATATCCAATATTGCAGCTGGGTCTTCCGCCAGTTCCTCCAGTGTGAACATATGCTTCAATATGACCACCTTGTCCCATCTTGAGCTAGTTTCCATAACGCTGGAAGGCTCGTCATCACTCCAGTCGGCTAACCGGGCATCCAACTTCTGCGTCTTCTTGATGATCTTTTGTTTGTCCTTCATGCTCGTCTTCGGTTTTTCCTTCTCCTCCCCTCCATCGTTGTGCTGAACTTTCTTGTAGCTTGACTCCGCAGCTTGAACCCTCATCTTGCCGTTTGTCTTGCCTCCTATCCTAAACTCTGTATCGTCCAGTAACATCATTGCCATATCCACGGACGGGGCTTTGAAGAATACGATTAATGCATCGCCCTTGAAAGCTCCCTTCTCATCTGTGTAAAGTTTGATGCGGGGCTTTCCGCTATCGATTTCTTCTGCAATTACACCACATTTGCGAGAAAACACCTCCCGGACTTCTTCGACGGTCACATCATGCGGGAGGCCGGTAACGTAAACAGCTGTGTTGGCTCGGGGAGGGAGAGGTGCTTTGGTCTTCTTGGGTACTTTTGCGGCTCGTCCTCCTTCCTGTTATTTGTTAGCTTTGAATGTTAAGAGGGGGTGAGCCAGACATCTTCGCCATTCACGTATTCCTTCTTGCGCTTCCTCTTCAAGGCCTCCACAGGCTCTGCCTCGTCCACACCAGACACCCTGTATGCCTTTTGCTGCTCTTCTAATAACGCCTCTTCAACAACTGGGATCCATCTCTTGATCGTATCATCGAACTCAAACTCCGCACCATCCTCTTGGACAAGGATGAATTTGTTGTCGAGTTTCGAGTATGAGATCCTGTCGTCGGCATCGAATTCTTCTGGGTTTGTGGGGAAGGATGACCCTCCATAGTTGTGCTCTTGTCTTTGCTCCATTGTTAAAGTCATGAAGCCTGGGAAGCCTGGACTCGAAGTCGAAGAAGGGTAGTTGCGACAGAGCTGAGGGAAAAAGATATCGACACCTAAGGCACAAAATTACGAAGGTAGAAGGGTTCACTCGCCAACCGCCCAAACTACTCAACCGCCCAAAATCGCTACCTTCAAAAAATCATAATTCAATACCCATATAATATTTTACTACCAAATTAATTGTTTTCTGAAGCTTTTTTAGCCCCTCAACATGCCTGTAAAAAAAATCACTATACTGAATTCGCGGACGATCCCAACGAGCTCTCTGAGAGCGTGCGATTACAGATGGCCCATAACGATTATCTCGATTACAATACTAGCAAGAAGACTAAATCCATTCGAAAATGCGCGAGAGAGTATGGAATTGCATACGAAACCCTTCGAGATCGAATTAATAGAGCGAAATCAAAGGAACAAGATACAGCGGCAAGATAGCATTTATTAGCGAGGCAAGAAGCGGTCATTTAGTATCGGTTCACCAGGAACGCGTAGCACCGTCACGTAATCGTGGAATGCTATTTGCGTAAGTTGGTGAAGTGGTTGTTATTCAGAAGTAAGGATCGCAGTATCGTAGTATTGATATGCGATCCCTAAATCTGCTAAGCCTAATGGGGACTAGCTACCGGTCGAGTCACCTATGCGATGCGAGGTCACATGATCGTTGCCCGTTGCCCATGTCCCGTTGCCTCTAGTTGCCTCCACGTTACATGACTGCGTCACATGACTGCGTCACATGACTGTCAATAACCATAGCTGTACCAACATTTAGTATTATATTCGAAAAACGCAAGTTACTAATTCTTACCCTAAAGAAAATTCAATAAGAAATATTATTATAAGAATGCAAAAAACCTTCTAATATACTCTCTTATATTAAGCCATATATTATATAAGATATTTAATTAATTATATAAGAATTAGTAAGAAATAGAAATAGTAGAATAAAAATCATAAGAAAATACTAAAAATACTACTAAATAAATAATTTTGGTAATACTATATAGTTTTAAAGTAATATATAACTATTAAGAAATTGAGATATAATAAGTATATAGACAGATATTAGATATTATAGATCTAGTTTCCTATTTTAGGTAAAGCTTATAATTAGAATTATATAAGTAATTAGAATTATATGAATTATATAAAATTATATTTCCTAGTTAAGTAAAGTACTTTATAGGCTTAGCTAAGTATTAGGAAATATATAAAGAGATACTTCTAGCTTTAGAAAAGGGTATTAATTAGTCTTTTATTAGAATTAATTCTTGGAATTAGTTATATTTATAATTATTACTCTATAGCTTATTTATCTTAACTACTTATATATTATCTTACTATTATATATCTTATATTCTAATTAATTTAACTTTTAAAAAATAGTTTATTATAAGATAATTAAGCTATTAATAAACAAAAATATTAATAGCTAGAGTATTAACTAGAAGAAGCGCCTCTATTACTACTAGGGTAATCTAATCAGGTATCTAGGGAAGTATCTAGTTAAGTATTCTTTATATTACCTAATTAGGAAAAGGAAATAGAACTCAGATATTCCTAGAACTAGCTAGTAAAATAATAATAATAGAGAAATTAGTAGCGGCTTACTATTATATTATTGAGTTAGAAATAGAGATATAATAGAAAGAAGATCTAGAGAAGCTAAAAGCTCAGATCTATTATTTTAAAGATATTTAGATACCCGATATAAAATCCGTTATATTTCCGGTAGTATTTTTAGTTCAGAGAGCTCTAAAAACCCGAGAACTGCCTATTTACTAGGAAAAGAATATTAAAAAAGCCTAGGACTTCTTTTATTAAATAAAGTTAAAATAATATAAAGATAATAGAATTATCTAGGCTACTAATATAGTAAAAGTTATATATTATATTTCTTATTTTAAGAATATAGCCAGGAATATCTAAAAATATAAGAAATAATTAATAGATATTAATATTATAAATTAGAAGATCTTTATTAAGTTTATAAAGAATTCTATTTTGAATTCAGAAAACTATAATAATAATATTCTTACTAAATTTAAGAATACTAAATAATAACTAGATTAAAGTATTTAAAGCTTTATATCTTATTTAAATAGCTTATTAAATAACTTGAAATATATGAGTTTATTATAAAAATAGAATAACTTATTTAATAGCTTGAGATAAAAGATTTAAAATAAGATTAATTATTAAGGAAATATTTTATAAGAAAAAGAAAAGCTTATTTCTATAGCTATAAGAATTAAGAATAATTTAAACTATTACGAATATAATATTTAGGGCTTGGAAAGTAAGGTAAAAGATTTCTTATAAAGATAATTTAAAGCTAAGAAAGAGAAAACTAGAATACAGGAGGCTATAAGAAAGTATATATATCCTATAGTATACTAGTCCCAAAGGGGCTTAGCCTTCTAAATATCTCTAATATATTTCAAGTATACTTCCCTAGTAAGGCAGCTATATTATATATATCTAAAAGGTATCTAGTATCTAGTAAGGTATCTCAGATACCAGGTATCTAGGAATTATAATATTATTTCTCTCTTTAGAATAAGCTTATTCCCGAGCTTTATAAAAGCCGTTAATTCATCTAATTTTATATTATTTTCCTTCCTAAAATAAAACTAGTATCTCGGATATAGATATTATATATAAAAGGCTAGTACCTTTATTATATAATCTAGAAGAGTTTATTATTATTTCTATATAATTCTAGACAAGTATTATTTTTTATATAATCTAGCTAGTATTATAGGTTTTATAAAGGTTCTAGTATATTATTATTATTATTATAGAAACTCTATAAAACCAGGGGGCTATTATTTAATACTAAAGCTAGATATTATACTAGATCTTTATCCTAACTAACTTACTAAATTCTATACTTTAGCCTATTTCTTACTAGCTTAACTATAATAACCCGTTTAATACTATACTCTTATTTACTATTCTCTAGTATTAATAGAAGTAGTTCCGGATTTACTTAATCTAATAAAGAATTCTAGGAGTTTTTTTATAGCTTCTTTATATAAAAAACTAGATATATTTTTATGATTTCCGGTAGTTTTAAGAGAAATAAATAGCTATACTATTCTAGAATCTCAAATAGGCCCTCTATTTAGTTCCCTAGCTTCTAGCTCGGATAATTAGATTTCTAATACTTTATAATAACCTATATTTTATTCCCGACTTTGAAATTAATTAGATAATAGTATTTATTAGCTTATATTATATATTATTTCTATATTTATTTTATATAGCCTTAGGTAAGTTATTATAATTTATATAATTAATTTACTAATACTTTAGTTTTATTTCTATTTAACTTCTTCTTAGATAAGTTAGCTTTAATAAGGAAGTTCTAGTTTAGAAAAATATGAGACTTATAGCTCTTTTTAGTTATAAATAGAAACTAGCTAATAGTTTTATACTAAAAAGAGGCTTATTAATAATTAATTATAGTAATTTATTTATTCTAGTTATTCTAATAATAGTTAATATATAAATATAATTTCTAATTAAAATACTAATTAATAATTTCTATTTATTTATTTATTTAGAAGTAATTAGCTATAAAAAACTTAAGCTTTATACTAATTCTTATATAGAATTCGCTTTAAAAATCGGTTATAAATTAGAGTTTCTAATCTAATATAATTATTTCTGAAATATTTACTTAATATATTATATAAAATAAAAATAGAAATACTAGTTACTTGGCTATAATTATATCTTATACTAGAATTATAATTAGATACTTAAATAAGTAATTTATAAATATAGTAATTATATTATAGCCCGATTTACTTTCTAGATAGCTCTTAAAGTTTATAATAATATATTACTAGAAGTAATTAGGAATTAGAAATAAATAAATTAAATTAGGCTTTTTATTTCTGGATATATATAATCTCTTATAAGTATAATAATTACTATAGTATTAATTAATATTCTTACTTATAGATAGCTAGTAATATTACTTCTTTAATAGCTAATAAAGCTTTATATATTTAGGATATCTAGAAAGAAGTTTATTATATATTTTATAAATTAGAATAGTTTATAAAAGTAGTCCGGGAGTTATTTTATTCTCTATAATATAAAAGAAAGCTATCTTATAGTATCTAGATATTACTTTTAACTTAAGCTATTATATATAGCTTCTCTAGATCTAGTAATATATAATTATTCTATAGAATCTTATTTATAAGTTATAAACTATTATACTTAGCGAGAGCTTCTAATAGTACTTTTATAAAAGCTATTATAATAGAATTTACTAGTAAAGCTTCTAAGAAAATACCTTTTTTTAGAAGAATTATATTTCTAATAGGAATATTTTCCTTTGGAAAGTCTTTAATATATACTTGGTTTTTAGGGCCGAATTTCGAATTAAGTAAGCTAATCTTATAAAATATTACTATAAGCTATAAGTTATAAATAATCTCTAGATTAATATTATTTTCAGAAAGAAATACTTGAGTTTATAGCTTTTTCTTAATCTGGCCCTAAATATTTACTTTATCTTATTTTTATAATAAAGTATTTATTTATTTAATTTTCTAGAATAATATATAAGCTTAAAATAATAGTAAAATAAGAGCTTAGCCTATCTAGCTTATTAAGAAAAGAGCTTCTTAGTAATTATAAAATATTTTAAGATATAGTAATTAGAATAGACTTTAAAGAAAGTATCCTAAAGGCTTTCTAGTTTAGCTTTCTATTTCTCTAATACTTATACTATAGTAAGTATTTCTTTATTATATATATTATAATTAAGCTTTATTAGGAATATAGTTTTAGAAAAATAAGCTATAGGATATTAAAGGCCTATTTTTGAGTCTTATTAAAAGAATAGGCTAGTAACTATTTCTTTAGATATATCTATTTCTATTATTATAGGTAGATTTAGATTATAGTATTATAAAACTAGAATAGAAATTATAGTTTCCTTTAAGTAAATAAAAGCCTTTTAGTATTACTTGAATTATTTAAAAGAAATATTCTTTTTTATAAATAAGATAAGAGATCTAGTAATTCGTCTATATTCTCTAATAAAATATTTATAAAAGTTATAGAAGCCAAGAAAGAACTATATATTCTTAATTATTTTTAGAAATTACTAGTTATATATTATTTTAACTTTATTAGAATCTATTTTAATATTAGATATAGAAATAATAAAGCCTAAATACTTTATATATATAACTTTAAATTCCAATTTCTTAATATTTATTTAGAGGCTAATAAGATATAAATAGTCTAGTATCTTTTATATATACTATTTATATTTTACTAGGTTCTCTAAATAAATAAAAATATTATTAAAATATATTATATAAAAGTTATCTAGATATTTAAAAAAATATTAATATATAATCGGGCTATTTATAAGACTTTTTTAGAGAATATTATATTTATATATTCTATAGTAGATATGAAATATTATTAGCTTCTAAGAGTTTAAATTTATAGCTATATAATAGAAAGCTTAATAAATATCTAATTTAGTATAAATCTTAGC